ACTTTTCAGACTCGCAAGTCATGTCATGGTTTTTAATGTTTATTATGTGCCTTGCTTCTTGTTGACTCGACATTCGTAGCTGTCTCCGAGGTCACTCATACTGTGCTTTGTCTTATATATGTTCTCGTTGTTCCCATAAGGTATAAGTTGACTCACATCGTTCCCGGAGCAGTCGAGGATGTAATCGGCTCGGCGTCCCTGGCATGGTTCTCGAGCGTTATTTATCTCCTAGCCTTGAAACTATGGCCTATTCTGATTATGATAGTATAATCCAGCTAGAGGAAAGGCTGCATCACGTCCCTGACCATATCTGGTCTCCAGTGATACAGCCTATTTTAACTCGAATAATCAGGTACGACACTCGAAGTTGGTAGGTGGTTCGGAAAGCTCTCTAATCTCTTTCATTTTGGTCCCATGAAATTGTACTGGGCACAAACATTGCCTGCTCGTTAGCGGGAGACGTGACAGTCTTGTCTTACTATACAAGCCAATCGATGAGCGCGTTCATTCCTTACACAAATTTTTGATAGAACCTCCTAAGTTCTCAAGCTCCAAGGAGTATATGGTCCTGATAATCGGAAGTCTTTCAAGTCAACATGCTCTCATAACTCTCATGAATTTCCATGCACGCCGAAAGATATGGCATAGAGGTGGCTGCAAATGCTCTAATGTCAATCTGTTTATCCTGCACAAGTTGTTGAGAGTAAGGAATACCATGCGCCAGAGTGTAGTCTTCGTGGCCAACCTTTATATGCTATGAATAAAACGATGATGAGAACAATTTAGTGTAGCGGCAAGAGAGCTGGCAAGCATATTAGCAACATAGCAAGGAGAATATAGACACACCATTCTAGTCCGTAAATTCTGATTTGGTGAATATTGAAGCCGTAATCATCTGAAGCATTGACGATTGAGGCCATGAACAGCACTGATAATCAGTGCAATTCAATTCACTAAATGCAATCTCAAGACTCTTCAATCGCATACCGCCATTGTCGATCCTCAAATGACTAGTCTCTATCTTTTGAGAGACATGATCGGTCGAAACTACTTGAGAACAAAGCTGTATCTCATGGAGAACGACTCTGCTCAATGCTCAGGGGAAACGGCAAAGTCCACTGTTTCGGAAGTTGCATTTGTCACATACAAACAACAAACGAAGCTAACAAGAGACAAGAGACAAGAAACAGCATAGAAAGTCACCAGGTCCATGAACCTCAGTATATTACCATCTCTCCACTGCACATCCTAATCTCTGTCTATCTTCTACCTCTTCTACATCGTAAAGTCACTCAAACTCGTTCAGCTTCACTAACCTGGAGACTCCATCTGTATATACAGGTGCAGCAAAACGAGCACGACAGGTAAACAGAACCGAAGTCTGCAACGTGCGTGATGGATGTGGAAGTCAACTTAAAGTTCTGCAGCTATACATTAGGTGAGAAAGATTCTCTTTTGGGGAGAGCACCGAGGATGATGGACGTGGTGATGATGACAAATTTCTCTTGCTTGCCAGGAAACCCAAGAAAGTGTTTAGCCATTGGAAATTGGTACCGGTCCTCTCAAACCTGTAATGCAACCATGAAGTTTTCGACAGGAAACTCCCTGGAAATTTTTATCCATCGAGAGAGACTGCAAGTGTTGTAATGATGGTTGTGTCTTTGGCTCAGAAAGTCTCACTGTCTTATTGGGATCAAGTTCGACATCGCCGATCTATATGTAAGGATTCGGAGTTCGACTAGGATGATGGTCTGCTCTGTGAAACTGACCACGGGCCTGGAATCAAGATAACGATTTCTAAAGCAAGTTCTGCCCAACCACCAAATCGCAGTAACAAGAAGCAAAGAACAGAAGGCATCAGGTCCATGGCCCTGCTTACGACTCTGACCCCTCTCGACCCGCACATCTAGTCTCTACCCCACAGCGCTCACACCGTCTGAATCCATTGATAATGTTTCTGACAGGGTCGGATTCATGGACCCAATCACTCACAGTCTCGATCTGTGTGGACAATGATTGGGGCATCCCGTGCCCCCTTCTGGAACTGGCGATCCAATCAGCTCATGTACTTCTTTTTTATAGCTTCTGGAGCTTGCTCGACAACTTTGTGATCGCGGCAAGAGAACTCGGATTTTGTCTGAGGTGGGATAGTCGTTGCTATTGTCGACAACCATGTTCCTCTGAATCGCAGATAGTATAATGAGCTTAGAGACGCTCTGAATGATTCCATGGAGAGCGTGCATCAGCCATTGTACTCATTGGCACACCAAAAACGTTAAGTGAAATTGTTATCTGCGTTTTGCTTCAAGCAAGTGAGCAAGTCTTCACGTGTAGCAAAGAAGGACAGACAGATCAAGAAGAACTTGTGGTTGATTCAAAGCCCAAACAAAGGCTCACAGGGTTCTATCAGCTCAAACAAAAGGAGAAACATGTTTACATAATGAGCTCATTGCCCTTGTACTTGAACAAAGGCGTGCTCTTCTTCGAGTCCGCCAGCGATCTCTCAGAAATGGCAGCAGTACGCTTGGGGAATCCATCAAATGACTTGGCATAAGTGGCGACAGAGTGGGCGATGAGCTTGGTGTTGACTTCCCAAGCAGTCAGGTCGAGGTTGTTAATGTCGTCGCAGAGCTGGTGGTAGCAAGGATCATACTGTGCTCCAGCTTCACCACCAAAGATGCTGGCCTCTTCCTTGCTCTTGATGCCTTCTGCACCAGTGGCAATACCACCGCTTGGGATACCAGCATCGAGGAATCCAGCATAATCACTTCTGCCGTCGAAGGTGATGAAAGTGTAGTTGTGACCGTTCTCTTTGTACCAGTTTTCGTAGAGTTCGCGAAGCTCGCCTGAGCCATTGGGGTTTGCCTCGTTGGTAGCATTGTAAATTTGGTAGGCGAAGTTGGGAGAGGCCATCATGTCGTAGTCCATGAAGAGGCGGATCTTCTGATTTTCGGCAGCAGAAAGGTGTTCGGCGTAGTACTCAGATCCGAGGAGACCTTCCTCTTCGGCAGCCCACCAGGCAAAGCGAACACAGTTGTTGACGTCGTACTTGGTGAGTTGAGTGGCGACCTCGATAAGAGAGATGGTTCCAGAGCCGTCGTCGTTGATACCAGGACCAGGAGCAACACTGTCGCTGTGACCGCCAAGCATGACACAGTTCTCGGGATCACCAGCAGTTGTCTGAGCGATGACGTTGGTAGTCATGATCTCGTCGACAGTGGCGTCAATATAGACGATGGCATCCAGTTTTCTGGTAGAATTCTGGAGTTTGGCAACATAAGGTGCTGCGTCGGCGGCTGAAAGACCAATAGTGGCGACGTGGTCGGGCAATGGTGTTCCGAGAGTGCCAGAGAGTGTGCCGTTCTCATTGTTGTAAATGATGGCAGCATCAGCAAGAGCTTTGCCGGCATTGGCTGACTTGTCACTGAACGAACAGGTACCACGCTTGATCAGTGCGATTTGGCCAGTCATGTTGCGGGNGAAGTCGCTGGCCGAGCATCNCCCGTTGGGAACCAGAAGAAGGTTACCATAGACAGGCTCGTGACGCTTGGTAGCCGGGGTAAGAGAAAAGGGCTCTGCAGACTTGGGAACGTCGTATCCGATCACGAGACGAGACTCGATGACATTACCACTAACAGCCGGGAAAGTCTGGTTCGTGATGTTGTAGTAGCTGCCCAGCTTAGAAATCTCAGAGTAGATATAATCGACGGTACCAAGGTGGCCTGGATGAGCGTCAGCATTGGCCGATGGACAGATGAATGGAAAGGAGCTCACCCTNNGACTGCCAATGACTCTGGTTGGGTGGTTGTACTCGGGAATGCTGGCCTCGGCAATCTTGGCGAGGTCTTCAGCACGAGCGACCAGCTTCTGGATGTCGATATCCGCTTGAAGCTTCTTGGTATCGATAGCGGTTCCATTGCTAACGTTGGATGATGGCGGGAGGGGTACGTATGAAGGATAATTGTCGTCTGCAACAAGGGGAAGTTGTCTGGCCGAAGCGGCAGCGGCAACGCATGCAAGTGCAGTACACGTCCGAAGGATAGCCATGATGATACTGGGAAACAAAGTGATGATGTTGAAATGAGAAGGATGATGAGAAGTGGTCAAAGACTTATACTGTTGAGCACATGAGAAGGTGTCTGTGTCTGAGGGAAGTCACGAGCGATGCTTCTGATAAGGTTGTCATGCAGGACGCTCGTACCTCGCCGATCATTGCCGAACTCGGTGACGTCGGATAGCGCCAGAAAGTCATGCTTGAACACCACCTGCCTACTCCTATCTCTTCTACTTGTTCTTTTTTACTCCATATGGTTTGGAAGAGTCGGGATGTATCAGGTCATAGACAGCTTGGAGATAATGTGTTCGTTCAGCAGTATCTCCCAACCCAGTGTCACTTTCAAGTCCAGTCTAGACACAGCAGGCATTGCACTTGCCCGACCAAAAGCCAAGGACTCCATGCATACAAGCAAGCAAATGCATCTGGGCAACCACTCCTCTTATAGAAGGTGCCCATATGTCTCGCGGTAGCCCTTGGACTTGCCCCTCTCTTCGAACCATTCCACCTGCCCAAAGCCGCTGTAGCATCGCTGGGCAGAAACCCACTTCCCCCTCGAGCATGTACTTTTGATGTGTATACATATTGCTCCGTCTTGGCTACTTGAGCGACATACTTTGATGGTCAATGATATGGCCGTCTGGAGAAGGAGGACAAGCAAATGCTTCATATCGCTTGGACAGGCTTGCTTGATCTCCTCATCACGCCATGGCTGATCGCTTGGCCTCGCTCTTGGCGGACTGATATGAGCTTGGATGTGTATAGCAGAAAGAAGAGGTAGAGATACAAGGGTATGTAACGCTGTCAGCACTTGAGCAGCGCGTTGAAAACAAAAACACAAAAGCAAAGATGCTAGACCAACGCCGAGGACCATGCAACCATAAAACGCCAGCTTTACTCTCCGTCCAAGGCAGAGAAAGCATGACAGAACAATGTCAAGAGCCCTTCAAGCCCTCAGCCAAGTCTGGAAGTACTCGCAATTCTTCGCATTGACAGGGCCACCATCTTCACAAAGATTGAAGACTGGACACCTGCCACAAGGCGCCTGACTCAATCCGTTTCCTTCAACCTCTTCGACCGCATCTCCCACTTGTCTCCCCTGCATGATGTTTTTCATGGCTTCTGTAGCTCCGAATACACCTTTGCAGGTTCTGTAACCATTTCCAATTCTTTCGATGCGTTCATCAAACACCAAGACATCGAGCAGGTTCTGGAGATCAGACTCGGCGAGCGCAGAACTGTCTTTCAAGAATCCAGCTTCGGTGATGAAGTGATGAATGGCAGAGACTGTAGGATAACCGCGCCAGCCTGCCGGGTAGGAAATTTGTGTTTCGTAGCCGCCTGCTCTGCGTGACTTTGGATGTGACCCTTCGATATCTGCTGTATCATTTCTCTTCCTCTTTTTGGAGATCCCATCGGCTTCGGGAGTAGCTTCGCGCTTGGTGTAGACGGTCTTCCAGCTGTTTTGGGCGATAAAGTGGATTACGGCATCTGCGGTGATGGCAATCAATTCGACGTCCAGTTCGCCGTCGCTGAACCATGGTCCTCCGGTGACATCCTCGTTCGGACTCAGGTGGTATAGCATGTAAATCTTCTGGGCAGGATTCTTGATCGACTTGACGGGTTTGACGAGCTTCTTGCCCTCGAGTGTCTTCATGGCTTTTGTGACAGTGGTTTGATGAATGTTTGTGCGCTGCTTGATCGTCTTTGTCCAGGTGCCATTGGTACCGCTGTTTTCGATTTGATTGTAGACCATGCGTTCGTCATCGTTGAGGGTGACAATNNCCTAGTCCAAACACCGTCAGCCTCTTGTTTCCACCAGGTAGTGTGCAAGGTCGAATACGCACTTGGCCGCATCATCCTTAGTGCGCAGCGCATAGCAAATCTTGCCCTCCATCTGCATCAGCCGCACCAACTGTGCATCCATCAAGCCTTGCAACAGCTCCAGCAGTGACTGGGCACTATCCACCACTCCCATCTTGAGCAATTCATCCTGGCCGAAGATTTTGGCGCGACCTTCTGGAGAGCTGAGGGCGGCATTCGTGCAGCGCTCATAGAGCTCTGAGCTCGCTTCTTCCAGCTTCGCCGCCATGATTCAGAGCTTGTGTCGCGACGATGAGCTGAGAAAGGTGACTTGGCCGATGTTTCGAGTCGCATGTGAAACTTTGTGACTGATCTGCGGGACAGAAGTTTGGTCGGTGCTTGCCAGATCCCGACACAGAGCGGACGTTACATGGAATCGGTGGAATTTCGGCTCCATTCCATTCCATTCCACCACTTCAAGCTAATGTTCCATTCTATGCCAATTCTCTAGTGGAATGATGCCAATTCCAATTTTGCTAATGTTGTCATCGTCACCCTGTCCATTCTAAGGGTCACCCTGTCATATAATTAGTAATCACAAAGCTTGGCACGATTATGTAAGCTTATCAAGACATGGAGATCAATATACCTTATAAAGATAACATCAACCTTACTAAAGAGTGGAATGTTGGAATATTCCACTAAAATTAACGATTCTATTCCATGCCAACGGAGTGGAATATTCCACTTGAAATTGGTGGAATATTCCAACATTCTACTTATTCCATGCCATTTAACGTCCGCACTGTCCCGACACCGATCATTTTACGTGTCGGGTACGACCCTGACTCTCTGATTTTTCCCATGTTCTTGCTCCTTAAGAAGGTGAGGATGGGCGATCATTGGTCTGGAAGTCATGTATATCCTCTCATACTTTTTGTGAGTTTCTCGTTTGTATTGTTCCGACTGGTGATAATGTATCAGGATTGACACAAGAAATCTTAGTACGATATTCAATAGCTTCAATGATCAGTGTGGCATTCAGATAGCACGTACGACCCGTACAAGCATATTCGATGAAAAAGATAAGTTATTACAAGAACTTATTCGTCCCGCGTGACTGCTACAGCGAATTCAGACCACGACCAACAGCACTATGCTATGCTATACTCTAACATTTGTATTAAGGAGAGATGTTTTCGAGGCACCTCTCATCACCGTCAAAAGCTTCTCACAAACCCATGCTGATCCCTTCTATGCCCTTCGGGTCCTTGCGGTCCATTTGGCCCTTGGGGCGGTCCTTGCTGCTGCTGCTGTTGAGAAGGAGGAGGTTGCTGTTGCATGGGCGGAAGACCTTGACTCGGATGATGCACAGGCTGATGCCATACTAATCCGCCAGGACCTTGAAGACCGGGCAGTGCAAACCCTGAACCCCAATGCTGTGGCACGTGTTGTTGCATTTGTTGAGGTGGTCCTGGAGGAGGCAGGACGCCTGTTGGTGGATAGGGCCCTGTGTATCCGCCAAATTGCTGATGTTGTTGTTGTTGTTGTTGCTGTTGTTGGTGTTGATGCTGCTGATGTTGTTGGTGCTGATGTTGCTGTTGTTGGGCTTGTTGTTGTGCAGCGATCAGACCGCCGTGCTGTGACATATACCGAGCATGAGCTTCGGCAGCGCGATGACGTTCAGCAGCTTGCGCTTCTGCTTCGCGAGCTTTGTCCTCTGCTTCTTTGGCCTTTCTGCGAGCCCACCATTCAACCATACTCTTGGATCGCTTCTCACTGCGAGGAACTTTACGCTTGGGATCGACTGGAATCCCTCCTGCCGTGGCTGGTGCAACGGGCGTCGTGTCGGCTGAACCAGGCGTAAGACTCGTCTCTGCACTCGCTGGTATGTCAGAGTTGACACTTCCGAAGCCTGGTGTACCGTTGCTCTGAGCTTTTGGTACGCGAGGACCTTTCGGAATGCCAGCGTCTGATCTCTTGTGGTGGTTTTTGCTGCCTTTTGGTCGTCCCTTCTTCTTGCCACTGGCTGTAAGTGATGGCCCATCTTCGCTCTGCGGATCAATCTGCGACTCGTCGGCTAAACCTGGCGTGGTCGTCTCGGTTGCAGGTAGATGTTCGAATACAGGGCTGTTCTCGCGTGTGTCTGGCGGCACGCTGCCCGCATCAGAGCCCGACATCTCATCTTCGGATGCCGTGGCTGAGACTGCAGCACTTTCTTCACGCAGCTCTTGCAGACGCTTTGCAACCAGCCCACCCCGTCCGCCTCCTCGTCCACCTCTCCCGCCTCTACCTCCACGTCCACCCCTGCCTCCTCTTCCACCACGAGTAGCTGTTTTACCTCGCTTTGCCATGGGTTCATCTGCTTCGGGAGTCTCGCTCATGGCGTTTGCACCTCTCTTTCTTCCCATAGCTTGATCAGTGGAAACAACACCGTCATACTTAGCAACCGGTTTCCTAGCCCGTCTGCCTGTCACGATCTCCTCTGGAACGACAGCGGCTGTAGCTGCGGAGGCCTCTTTGTTGGCCTGGCCGCGAGGTTGACGAGTACGTAGTTCCCTGCCAGAAGCATCCCTAACGACTTTTTGGGCGATGGAATCTTGCATGCCGACTTTCTTAGCATCGAACACGTAATCGTATAACTCGGCTTCTTTCTGATCTTCATGAATCATGGGATCAATAGGGTTGCGTTGGCCAGTTGCAGCTTTGCGAGGAATGGCGGCATGTGGGGCAGTGATCTTCTCAAGCTCGAGATATTCGTCCTGCCACGCACGTAACGCTGCTGCTGTGTTTGCGGCTAGCACATACAGATTGTCCGTAGACCTCTGCCCTGGCAAAAACTTGATGAGGGGTCCAATAAAGACGTCGGGTTGTGTCATAGGCTCGAATAGTTTGTTGTATAGAGCTTGTGCTTCATCGTCTGGCAGGTTGGGATCCTCGAACATTTCCTCGGTAAAGGGAGATGGTAGATCGTTGTCACTAACGACATCGTCTTCTGGCGCCAGAAGAGGTAGTTCAGGTGAAGGCTCGCGAGATGGCTGTCGTGATGCTGACTGTGCACCACCTCGTCGTCTTCGTTTTACAGTGCCCCCTCGTTTCGACAAGGTGTTGCCTCGTGGCAGAGGCTGAAAATTGTTCGAGACGTGATCATCGTCATCAGCATCGTCGTCTTTGTCGATATCGTCGATATCTGATGCAGTATTGTCTCCGTTGCCATTGAAAGAGACCGTTTGAGGACAATTGAAAGAAGCATTCTCCTGTGACTCGTCACCGATATGGCCTATGCTTTCATTGGACTCGGGCTTCTNTTTGATTTTTCCATTTTGGCTGGATGTCAAGCCAGTAAAGAAGATGGCTTCGTGTGCGCTTTCACGGCGAGCCCTTCGGGCGGCACGACGATCATTGGGACTTTGAGGTTTGTTGAAACTCCTTGCTTGATCCTCAGCTTCATAGGTCTCTAGAATTTCTTGGTCGATGCCGCGAACAGCAAATGTACGGTCGTTAACCCATCTAAGAGAGACGGGATCTGTTTCGGCATAATTGGGAGCCTTTGCCATGATAGTGGAGTTCATCTTGTCGGGAGAGGAGTTGTTGGTAGAGCGGGTGGCGCGAGTGAGAGAGGGACTGATTTGAGGTAGTTGAGGTTTACTGTGAGTCCTTGTTCGCATTGTAATCAATATTGTTGACAGCGAATTCTGATAAAGACACTATTGTCGTGGCAAGCCGAGACCATGTAGCCGAAGAGAGCTTATCCAGGAGGCCAAGATTATATAGAGAAGGCCAAAAGCCAGTAGAAAATCACTCGGGCCTTGAAGACTCGAGGAACAAGTGATAGACCAAGTTCTTATGATGTGTTGGAGAAAGCAAAGGAGAATAACGTTTAAGCGAGCAAAATCGGATCGTCGAGTTTGAGGGCGAGGCAGAAAAGGAAAAGTTGGCGAAAACAAGGCAGAGAATTGTACAAAATGGCGATTTGTGACTCGAGACGCGACTGGGAGTATTTGCAAGAGCAGAGATGATCAATAGCAAGAATGATAGTCTTTTTCGAGTTGTGTGATTGATTTCCAGACTCGTAGTCCTAAGGCGGGCTCCACACGACCGGACAACAGCCAATGACAGGCGACGGCGGCTAGTGGCGGGAGCTAGCCGAGTCTAAGCTAGTGACTTTCCCCAGCTTTGGACCTGCTTGCTGTTTGTCGTCCAAGACTCCCGTCTCTCTCTTTCGGGCAGACACAATACAAACAGCCATGTCCAAGAAGTTGACCGACGAAGAGCTTCTCGCTCAGTTTGAAGACATCCCTTCGGCCGACAGTACCACACCCTCGTCAGCTAAAGCAGCTTCTGGAGCCGTCGACGATGACGATCCGCTAGCAGAGCTCAGCGCCCTGGCAGCTGCTCGCCCTGTATCCCGTCCACAGACCCCTCGTCTCTCCACCGCCTCCACAGCCTCAGGAACAAAGTCCAAGCCCGAACACACCCCTCAAAGCTCCGGCCCGCCCAGCGGACGCACCAGCGAAGACCGCTCAAAGACACGCAAGAGCACCGAGAGCGCTCGTAGCTACCACCAGAGTCAGACGCCTAACGATCAACTTCAGCAGCAAGGAGAAAAGGAGCAAGAGCAGAAGGCACAAAGTGGCGGCAGTGGTTGGGGCTTTGGTGGATGGGGAGCCAGCGTCTTCAGCGCCGCCAGTGCTGCCGTCAAGCAGGCAGAGGCCGCCGTCAAGGAGGTGCGCGGCAACCCTGAAGTCCTCAAGTATGCTGAGCAGCTGCGTCACAATGTAAATGTCGAGAGCTTGAAGGCCTATGGCGGCAACGTGCGCAACATGGCTTTGCCTACCTTTACTTCTCTACTCGAGACCATCGCTCCGCCCATTGCACAGCACGAGCGCCTGATCATCCACACCACACACGATCTACAAGCATACCCCTCTCTCGACCCAATCATCTACGAAGTTTTCTCGCGCGTCATGCAGCAAGTCGAAGGCGGCGACCTGCTTGTCATTCAGCGTGGCTCAGAATCTCGCCAGCGCGGCCGCAGCTCCTCCGAACTGGCCTACCGCGGAAACATCCTTGGGACAGGAAGCGGCGCGTGGACCGACGGCCCTTGGTGGCGCGAACACGCTACACAGCGCAGTCTGGGCGCAGTCAAAGGCATGACTGAGGGTACCAAGCTCTGCCGCGCCAACGCCGAAGCCTATGCAACTGACTTCTTCTCCTCGCGCGGCGGCGTCGAAGAAGCCGCAAAGCAAGCTACACAAACACTTTCAGAGTCCAGCCCCGTCCGCAGCTCCGACATCTTCCTCGCCATCCAGCCTGTCACACAGTCCGCTGCTAAGGAGCTCTTTGCAGCAGGCCCCAAGCCCGACGAACCAAAGAGCGATGTCGTCGAGCCCGACGCCGACGAAGAAACCACCCTCTTCGCCATCCATCTCCACGATCCCATCCACTCTCTCTCCTTCTCCTCGCTGTCCCAATCGTTCCCTGCACAATGGGCACAATGGCTCGACGCCTCATCGCCCAACCCCGAGGACCCCGATACCCTCCCCGACAACATCCGCGACATTGTCGAATCCGGCGGCATCGACCCTCGCGAATGGGTCTCGGAGTGGATACAAGACACATTGAATCTAGCTATCGGTGTCGTAGCTCAAAGATATGTGGCCAAGAGAATGGGTGTTGGTGAGGGTGGTATCGGAAAGGGCAAGCAGAGACAAAGAGCAGAGGAAACAGACGCTGCTGGTGAAGCTGCCAGGGCCATCTAAAGTTGCGACATTCATCTTCACGAACGGCGTTTGGTGAGCAAGGCAGGACTGGTATACGGCAGCATATTCGAATTAATGACCATCTCTTTATCTTCTCTCTCTCTCTCTCTCTCTCTCTCTCTCTTGGCTCCTGAGTATACATGGCTTCTCCCAAGTGCTCAAACCCCGCCAGAACAGTCAAAATCTATCATTTCTCGACCTCGCGGGTTTTCACCTGCATACACAACTGAGAACGAAGCATCATACAAGGGGCGTACGGAGTAGGAACAAGTCACGCATCGATCATAGTCCATGTGCAATAACGCCGATGAGAAGGGAAGGATCACGCTCACCAAAGTTGTATGACAGAGAAGACCGAGCGGCGACATGACAACAAGCAATGTGTTCTTCAAATAGTCTTTCTTTCATTTCATAGCTCTATCGCAGAGACTGGTATATCGTCTTTCCCATGCAGCAATATTTCCTCCCAGCGCGACACGCTTACTGAGGAGGCAAAACCTCAAAGGTGTTTGCAACCTCCTTCTCCCACGAGAAGCGGTCCTTGCCATAGATCTCAGCAGCAGGGCCGAAGTTCTTGCGTCCCTCGGACAGCAGACCCGTGCGCAGGATAATCTTGTCGTCGCCAAGGGCGGTTTGGTGGTGGTACACGTGGGTCTGTTTTTCGTTCGTCAGCATGCCATTCTAGCTAGCCTCAAGGGGCAAGGCAATACTCACAGTGCAGTTGGGGCAGTAGTAGCAGTGGACGGGGTTTCCAGAGTCGCCCTTGTAGGTGTAGTTCTTGAGTGCGTCGCCGCCCTTTGTGATCTTGAGAGAGTCCTTGGGGACGATTTGGTTGAGGGTGTAGGCACCGCCCGAGAGGATCTTGCAGGTGTTGCAGTGACAGAGAATGTGCGAAGAGGTATCCTTGTCGAGGGAGGCGGTCCACTCGGTGGCGCCACAGTGGCAGGCTCCGTTGTAGGTAGACATTGTTGTATGAGTTGGTGTGGTGGTGGTGGATTGGTTGTGAGGAGGAGAGTGATGTAGAGGAAGGAAGAGAGGAGGAGTAAAGCTGTCAATTATACCCCGAGGGCTCAAAGAGCTATTTCACTTCGAGTCTTGAAGCTTGACATCAGAGCTAATGGCCATATTCTGGATCTCGTTCGGCCTTTTTGGCTCTGCTTTCTCGATGTCTACCCTCCAACAATAGCTTGCCCGGTTGCAAGCGCGCTCGGAATTGCCGTAAGCATCGGTTCCGGTAATTATACTATACCTCACCCTGTGTCATTACCTCACTGCCAGCATAACAGCTTCTTTCTGTAAGCATGAAACCGATTGCTGTCTCGTAGGATGTGAAATGAATTCCAAATCAGAAGATGAGTTCATTGGTCAGGATGTCTTTGAGCGGGGTGAGGCTCGGTCATGACGTATGGGCTTGGCCAGAGCTCCTTTCACCGTGGAGACGTCCTCCGGTCCAGGAAGCGGTCAAGGTCCATCCAAGACAAGGAAAGCAGCGAGAACGGATCGAAGTACTCGCAGTTCTGCCTGGTGTGTATCAAGCAAAATGGGTATACCTGTTCTGCATACACGATGGACCTGCAGCATGGCGGTGAGGCATCAAATCTGACACTACATCAGTGGTTACCGTTACGACCCCATATCATTTGGAATCGCGAAAGCAGCTTTGACATGCATAGCTATACAAAATTGCTGATGCATATAACGGAAAGGGCTTCATGGTCGAGGTCTAGCCTTCTCACGTTTGCCGATAAGACGGGCGTTGATACAACAGCTGTCAACCAATTTCCCATTGGTCCGAGTTTTATGATTGCAGGGCCGAGCCCTCAGGCACGAGTATGGCTGTAGGTAACCTGCGAACGCAAGAAAGAATGATGAAGAATCTGACTGCAGCAACTTTGCTGTCTTATAAAGGATCAAGACGTCAAGTCAGCACATCAAGGTGTTCTGTGTCAAGCCCAAAAGAGGCTGTCCCGCCGATCGTGGTTACCAGAAGGTAACACAGCATGATAGGCTGGCAAAGCAGACCACGAGAAGGACGAAAATGTCTTCATCACTTTCTTCATGATCTCCGACGTCCTCAATCAATCATCCACAAAGTACCGATGGTGCACACACTCTAACGCTGCCTTTGGGTCAAACAGATGCTCGTTTCAATTCCCTTGCGGCATCCAACGCAATGCTTCCCTATAACCGCCATCGTGGCAGGCAATGCCGACCCTCATACTCGCCGTATCAGCAATAACCACCAGCTCCTTCCAGAAGCGTCGCATGTCTTGCTTTAGGCACTGCAATACCTGCGCCCGGCTAAACTATCTCGGCCCCAGCGGCGGCAACTCTCCTGTGTTGCTGACGAACTACAAGGGTACTGTTGTTACCACTGGAAGCAACTTGATGGCCTTTGTCGAGTACCTGCCCTATGTGTGGCTCAGAGGGAGGGCCAAGATATGTAAGTTGAAGATCTCATACGAAGATATCAAGTGAGAAAATAATCATAGCTCTTCGGAAATCATCCAAGGCATTTGAAAACGTTGTCAACTCATTTGTGCTCGTACATTTGCACGCCAGGAGGTATTGAATTATCAAAATTGAACATTGAAGAGCTGCGCGCTTTGTACGCACGCTGACAAGTTGACGACCTGTTTGCAGACGAAAACACAGTGCTCAGAAGCGCCGCAATGTCCACCGAGGACCTACGGAGCAAAGCTCTTGAAACCCTTGAGCTGCTGGATGACTTCGACGATCGTCACGTCCTCGACAACAGTCTGCTCGTGCACTCCCGGTACTGAGATCTCAGAGAGTGCTCAATACTTCACCGACAGCAACCTTCCCGCACCACACAACGGTAGCACTTTTATGTCCACGGCCATCCTCGATCCATCAGAACGTTTGCCGTCATCCTCCGACGTCATGAGTCGAATCTAGGGTTACCAAAAGATGGAAAAGAGACCAACCTTCAACACACCGCTATCGCTCTGGATAAGACATGCAAAATTCCAATTACTGATCAATCTCAGCAAATGACGGCCCGAGCAGTCTTAGGTCGAGCTACTTACACCTTTACGTAAGTTGCACGTGCTGCCGGTCCCAGGTCAGCAACACAACAGTGAAGTCCACTATATTACACAACAACAATACAAGTGGTTCAAGGACATATGGCACTATAACATTCTTGAGGTGTGAGATAAGTAGGGGTTTATTAGACACTTTCATGAGAGAGCGGGCCCGAGTCTGACCGATCATCAAGGTCTATCCACTACTACACTCTTCTCAGAGCGTGTATCTAAACGTTACAGCTTTGTCCCCCAGATCTCCCAGCTCTTCAGGGGTGTACTTCTCGGNCTCCCCTTGCGCGAGTGCAATCTCTCTTTGCTTGTTGATACGACGATAACCGTAGACCTGGATGAGGAGGGCCACAGTACCCATACAGATGAAGCCAATCTCGAGACCATGGCCAAGGATATATCTCGGAGCATCTGTGCTGCGATAAAAGTTGGATGCCATCGNCTGTGGACTGCATCAGTACATTGAGATCACCACAAGCATAAAGGAGAACGTACCACCAGCCAAGTTTCCAACACTGATCTGGATGCCCATTCCAACAGCTCTTTTGTAACTCCCGGATAAGTTGTTGCTCAACCAGGTGATATTGCTTGGTTGACACTGATATAATGCACACGCTGCAATGAAGATTCCGGCATATGTGACTCCAGGATGACTGGTCGCAATGCACATGATAAATCCGACAGCCTGGAAGCACAAGCCTACAAGGATCCATGGTGAGCGAAGGCGTTTTCGATCAGCTGCATACGCCACTGCGATCGTGATTGCGGATGCGACGACATAGATGGGTACTGTGAGCAACTGTGCTGTCGTCGTCTTATATCCCAACTCTTTGATGATCGTAGGCAGAAACAGCGAGATGCCATACAGAGGACAAACATAGCCCCAGTAAACGACGACATTGACCCAGATTTGCCAGTCCTTGAAAGCAGCAAAGAGAAACTTCTTGTCAGAACGATCGGTTTGAGCAACCCGGTAGCCGTGCTCTGTGTTGGCGTCTTGACCGTCGTATTTGAGGCGATAGGTAATGAAAGCACGTTCTTCGACTGTCAAGAACGATGCTGTCTCGGGGTAGTCAACCAGGACAAAGAATGCAGCGATTGCAACAAGGAAGGTAAGTAGCCCTTCGAGGATGAAGANTCCTGGTAAAGGTCAGTAAAGTCATCTTGATCTTAGTTGAGAGACGCACCATCTCCATCCTGCTAACCCGCCGACACNCTGCACGAGATACGTTAGCATTATTTCATTCCTTCAAGGACAAGAAGACGCACCTTCCATATATGAGATGCCGTAGGCCAGAAGCCCCGAAAATGCACCAGCAACACTCGCCGCACTAAAAAAGTACGCCTGTCGGACCTGGACTTCGTATCGGCAGTACCACATTGTGTTATCTTCCAACCAACAAAGGTCAGCATATCACCTCTGAGCATCATCAGGATCCAGCACTTACANGAAGACAACACCAGGAAAGAGGCCTGCTTCTGTTACACCCAAAAAGATTCTGGCAATGAGCAAACCATTGAAGTCCTTGACCAGGCCCATCAGAGTCANTCTGCTTCTCCGTTAGCAATCTCCTCAAAGCTGTTTATCTATGTCTCTACTCACAACTATGCCCCAGGCCACCATGATAGACGGCAGCCAGATTGAAGGCCTTAACTTCTTCAGCAACATGTTACTCGGTACCTCGAAAGCGCAATACGTGAAAAAGAAAGCTAACATGCGAGGTCAGCCATCGGTCCTCAAAGACAGTGGGCACTCATTTGACTTACCTGTCAAGCACCAGTTGTACTCTGCACCTGTGAGATGAAGATCTTCAGCTAAACCTTCAATCTTCGCATTGCCGATATTGCCTCTATCGAGAAAACTCAGAAGATANNCTGTCATTACACATCAGCATTTTGTCCGTTTGCCTACAATATCTGTAGGGAATCCAACACTTACCAAAACAGTCAACATGGGAACCAGTCTCATATCGATCTTCCTCAGTATCTTGTTGATATCTAGGTGTGCGAAACTCTCGAGCGTGACCGAAGGATCCTCCGCGATCGCATCAATCGCAGCGATTCTCTCGTCTTTGGTCATGTTCTTATCTTCGATGTGCATAATGTCTTCTTTTGTGCTGAGGAGGCTGTAGATGCCATTAGATGGATGTCTTTTTCCATCCTGAAGCCGGGTCTAAGAGAGTAAAGTGGTTCGAGGTGAGGTGACTAAGCTGCCGGGAGAGCTTGAAGAAGTGTCGATGAGGACGATGGACGACATGATGGTCTTATTGCTTCTGATTGTTATTCCTGCTGATCGTCATGTGGAGGAGCTGCATGGTACCTCTGCATGTTGTATACTTGGCCCACATCGGGGTTCTCACCGGTGGAGTAAAGATGCGGGGATATCAAAGACACATGCAGTGATGTTTCACGACGAGAGATGATCTTGTCGATCTTTGATCCTTGTGCAGGTACGCTAGTTGACGAAGGTAGGTATGGCGAGTATGAACGACATGTGCTAAATTGCAAGATTGTAGGAGAATCAGACATTCAAAAGTGCAGGCTTGATGACCAGATCCTGTGTTTATATGTAACTGAACAGATCGCAAGGAGCTGCGATGAAGCCTGAAGTGAGCCATCGTGAGGCTGCCGCTTGGATGAGACTGCGAGTGCAATGTGTCAGCTGGCGCGCTTACCAAAAGTGATAGAAAATCCATCGACCTCGTCAACAACTCCGACGACGGCAGCAAGATTGGCTTCAACCTCAAGTCCGGTGCTGGCATCAGGAAGGCCCCTAAACACTCATGAGCATCCGGGCAAGCAGTAGGTGGACGTAGAAGAACACAACCAGAGGAGCTTCTGGTAGCGTTGCTACTCTGAAATCAGTATGACAGCATGCACAGCGAATTACTACTCTTGGTTGGGAAAAGAGGAATGGGGCACAAATCCATGCCTGATAAAATCGAAAAGCCAGGCTCGGTGGGGGAAGAGAGGCAGGCACGACCAGAGTGGAGAATTTGAGTCTTCATAAATGTGATTTATTGTAGACCAATCTTCGTCTATCGCAAGATGAGAAGTCTACATATCAAGTAAAAAGAGAGTCATACATATTCGTGCCAATATCCAATATTCATATCCTTAACCGTAACCATATCCCATCCCAAACTCCCAGTTCATGTGGGTATCTTAAACAGTGTAGCGGAAGAAACTGGCGTTGTCACCGCGCTCGCGCTCGAGGACCTTCTCCTCGGTAGTGTAGTCTTCGGGACGCTTGTACTCTGCATCTCTACGAGCGTTCTCGCGGCGAAGGTAGATGGTCATGAGGATCTGGAGGATCAAAGACATGCTCATCAAGCCAAGAAGGATGAAGTGACCAGTGTGGAACTTGGGCGAGTCCTTCTTGAGGTAGACGAAGGAGGCAAGGATACCGCCGAGGTTACCGAAACCAACGTGCATGGCAATACCAACACCACGCTTGGTAGAACCGCCGATGTTGTTACCGTTCCAAGCGACACCCTGAGGGACGTTGGGATAGATACCACAAGCGAAGAGGAAGACACCGGCGTACTTGACGTGAGGGTTGTCGGATGAGATTTGGAGAATGACACCAAGCATGGCGGTAAGAGTGAAACCGATCATGAAGATACCGCGAGTACGCAGCTTGTCAGCAAAGTATCCACCCGTAATACAGCAGAAGCAAGCAACGATGTAAGGAGGAACACTCATGAGCTGCGCCTTCTCGTTGCTGTAGCCAAGAGTCTTGACAATGGTGGGCAGGAAGAGAGAGAAACTGTAGAGAGGGGTGTAGATGCCGAAGGTGATGAACATGTGGACCCAGATCTTCCAGTCCTTGACGGCGTGCATGAAGTACTTGGTGCCGTACTCGTCTGCAAGCGAGCTACGGTCTTCTTCCAGGCGGCGAGAAATCTCCTTCTTCTCGGTCTCGTTTAGGAATTTGGCGGTCTGGGGGTAGTCGTTCATGTAGAAGAAGGCGACAATTGCAACAATGAAGGTAAGGAGACCTTCAAGGATGAAAATCCACTGCCATCCGTGGAGGTTGCCCATGCCATCCATTTCGATGATACCGCGAGCAAGAAGGCCGCCAAAGGCGCCAGCGGCGGTTGCAGCACTGAAGAAGATGGCCATGCGAAGACCGCATTCGTGGCGACGGTACCACATGGTGATGTCTAAACACATAAAAAGTCAGTCTACAGATCCAGATAAGCACCGAGATAATATACTTACNNAGAAGGTCACACCAGGGAACAGACCACCCTCGGCAAGACCGAGAGCAGCGCGAGCAGCAAGCAAGCCGTGGTAATTCTTTACAACACCGAGAAGGGTTGTGGTAATACCCCATAGAACCATAATGAAAGGGATCCAGAGTGCCGGACGAGTACGTTTCATCATCATGTTAGAGGGTATCTCTGCCAAGACGTAGAAAGGAAAGAAGATGGCGAGAGCAANTCTGCCGTCAAATGTCAGTGAAAATCGAATCACTGTTTCAGAACCACTCACGTTGTAGTCCAGCCCCTCCATGCGAAGACTCTTCTCGAGGCCAGCCAGACGTGCGTTACCGATGTTTGTACGGTCGAGGAAACTCAACAGGTACAGCAGGGCAAGGAAAGGCAGCAGTCGCAGGTCGATCTTGCGTACCAAACGGGAAGTTGCCTTGTCATCGAAGAGATGTTCTTGTTCTGACTCTGAAGAGGTTGAGACAGTCTCATAGAGCTCGACAGTACCCTTCTCCTGTACGGCAGGNNGGTTGTGCTTCTCCTCAGTCATGATTGCCATGGTGAGTGAGTGCTGACTTTGAACGAAAGAGATGTAAAGAAAGTTGTTGATAAGATCAACGATAGTGTATAGGAAACGCGAACGCCTCTGATCAGCGCTGTCAGACTGGGATGAGATCTACCCTGCAGAGTGGTACGGCCGGAGGGCATCTTATATATGCCATTGTCCTACTGTCGAGACGACAGATACCCCATACCCCGGACCCCGGACTTCTCCAGACCGGGGTATCACAACAGGTAGATCGTGTCGATGCCGTTGAACGTATTGGAACCTTGCTAGCAGTGCCCAGCACCAAAGTCAAGTCTATCGAGGCAGCCATCAGCGTCGGATGAAAGGCCAAGCAAAGCCACAGTCTTGGAAGCTGTATATTTGATTTCTTCCAACGGTAGTAGGCGAAAAAGGAGAAGAGAGTTTGATACTGCAGACGGCATGCGACCCCCACGTGCATGATTCGACACCTAAAGTCTCAGAGTCTCGAACCTTGCCAAAACGCACAAAGGTGCCGCTGTGCCAAGGACATCGTGGCGGAGGCTGGATCTTGGAAACCAACCTGAGCATTTCTTCCGCCTTGACTGTGCCTAAGCGATGTGTTCTTGACATCTCGGAGGCTGCGAGCCACAAACAACCGGAAATGCTTATCTCTCTGTCCATTCTGCCGCTGACAAATGGAAAGACATGGTGTCTGTTAGAGAGAAAGGAGGTGAGGTTGGAGGAAAGTGTGGAGAAGGGGAAAGAACAAACCTTCGAACGTGCAACACCGCTTGAGATTGCCTTCGGTGCATCCGACCTGCCAAGTCGCTAAAGATTGCTAAGAGGAGCAACCGCGGTACACCACAATGCAGTTCGACACGACCGATCCTCCTGCAAAGTAATCGTGATAGAAGCCAATCTTCCACCTGTCATCATCCGGCTGTTCTGGATAGGAAATGCGAGGTTTCTCAGACAAAATCTGGCTGCTGGCACTCGGGTCCCCCACACTCAGCGTGGCCATCGACAACCTCCGCTCCTGCAATGCTTGGCATCTCAGCCATCCTCAAACGGCAAGAACGAGTGACCACAATTTGACCTTTACTCTAATCTTTGCCATCGTACAATCCTCGTTGATGTCCCGGATGGATGGGACAAGCAATTACAGACATGCTTTTTCCTCGAGCCTCAAGGTATTCCAAGACGACGAGGGCTCATCACTCACAGCCACGAGCAAGCCGAACCCAACGCCATGCCTTGTCTTTGATGCACGCAACTTCCATGCATCGCAACGGCGAATCCTCCGGATAAAGACTCACCTGCGGAACTCGTCCGCTGCCTCCAGCGCTTGACACCTCGATAGAGACTGCGGGCTTGCTCTAGCTTTCGGAACCCCCTCTCCTGTTCTGGGCCATGGACGCACTGCCTCTCTCAGCGCGCTGGACTGGTCATGATGATTTGGCATATCGCTTAGTTTACTTGCTTATCTTTTGAGCTTCAGACATTTTGCATTGGTCTCATTGATACTGGCAACCTTCTGTGGTCAATGACAATCTCGCAGTCAAGAGGCATCTCGGACGGGTGGCATACACAAATCTTCGTCTCGTCCGCCTGGAGCCGGCGGTCAGTACACTTGGAATCTGGCAGCCACATCCTTGGTTGAGGCACCTTGGCTGACTCTTGGTCAAGCCCAGTCTTGTGAAGGGGATGCCTCGGCATACATATCACGGAACCACCCTTCAGCAAGCTTCCCACTCGAATTGACCACATAGCTTTTGAGAATGTCTTTGAAGACGGCGATTTATGCGGGTTACCGTCCCAGAATACGATCCCATGGCATGGAGCATTTGCTGTTTGGCCAGTTCACAAAAGATCGGGCTTCAGTATGGAACGCGGACTGGGTCGATACGGGCATATCCTTGCTTCTTGCCAAGTCACAGCTTAACCATCCCAGGGACAAAATGGTAGCTGCGCCCCCATCGATTCTTGGAGTAGAGATTCACACCGTCATGTCAACGAGCCCGCCATGTTTATCGTTCGATCGAATTCAATGACGGCAGGGTCAACTCATCTTTACTGCGCTATGCTGTGCTTTTCCTCATCACTCTATAGATCTGCTGCCAGGAGATCTGCAAAAGGTGTTCCCCATTACAACGCCTCCGTCTCCTCATCCAAGAGGCTGATCGTACGTGAGTAGTCAGAAGGTAGTGTTTCTGGCTATGCAACGGGCCATTGTTGTTTTCCTCTTGCCGCCATGTCGACCATTGCCGCCATGGATCTCCTAATACACGCTTCGCCTCAAAGTGAATCAGTATACTGTCAGTCACAATAGAGCCTTCGTCGTAGAAAGTAAGCCTCGACGTCACGTACATTTGCTAGCTGTTCGTCTCCGACTACACATGACCATTCTGCCAACTGTTCACGCGTTAGCCAGGGTGATATTCTATTAGCAATACATAAAGTTGACCGGACAAACCAAAAGTTACCCCTTCTACTGCTGATGGAGCTCTTGGGAATCAATGAAACTGCAATGAAACCCCACTTGGCTCAGGATCGTCATTGGCAGCCACTATACTCTGATCACCCATTCCCTCAAAGATCTCCAAACGCAGAAAACAAAGCGCCGCATCATGCTATTGTTCAGACAACCTTGACATTCGCGACGCATTATGGAGGAATAGCTGTAAAGAAAGGTAGGCAAAAGACATTACAAGCAGACTTGTACTCAAGAGCAATGTGCAATGCCTCCAGAAGATGCATTACTCAAGAGCTAAGACATCTTGGTCTGGCCATTCTGTCTAATGCCGACATACACGTCTAGAGGATGTGCCTGGGTGCCACCACGCCTTGACATCCCCTGAGGGTGATCTGTTCCGTGTCACTTCCGAATACTTGGTAACGACAGTCGCGAGTCTCATTGAATGTGAAAGAGACATCACAATCAGCCCGTACGGCTGTTGTAAAAGCCCCTACGCTCACATTGTGACGAACAAGGGTTGGAATTGCGAAGAAAGTGGAACAAAAGATATATAGATCAGTGAAGAAGTCGCGAAAAGATTTCTTAGCATCATTCTAAGCGTCAAGTGTAGCGATGTTCGAGTAGATGGAGGTCAGGAGAGTCGTGACCAGGGTCATGACCTCAGCCAGGTAGTTTGTCGAACTCTGGAGGTCACTCTAAGAAGAACTCTCGAGTCAGGGCAAAGACGACGGTCAGTGGGTAAATGCAGTGTACATAGAATAGCAAGGTGGTTGGAGTGTATGGTTTCTGGTGTTTTTGAAAGTATGGACAGGGTATAAAACTACGCCTGGACCCTGAAAGTCCTGCCACTGGCCGTCTTGCGCTCCTTTTCCTCGGCCTCTGGTCTTGCGCGACGAAGGANCTGGGTGGGTGTTAGTACAGCAACAAGGGTTGAGTGAACGGGAGTCCCACCTTGAAGGAAGTCGGCAGTTCGTCTGCGCATTCTCGAGTGGATGTAGGCTTNTGAGGCTTTGATGTGGTAGTGGAAGTAGTCACGGAATGTCTGAATGTGGGAAATGACTTCGTATCTTCTTGCTGGCTGAAGATGGCGAGGGAACAGTACGAAGGTGACGTAGCCGACATCAGCGGTGCCTGAGGGAGGCAGACCAGCCATGCCCTGCAACTCCAGAGGGGNGTCGTGACGGAACAGCACCTGAGGGGCATTCTGGATGGCTCTGCGACGAGCATCGACAAACTCTTGCAGGAAGACCTTGCCGAAGATGCGATCCGTCTCCTCGCGGAAGATTGTGCTGAAGATGACGGTAACCCGGTCGTGACTGGCCTTGACGTAGATGGCCTCTTCCTCACGGTAGTGGATGGCTCTGACCTGGCCGCCCTCAAGGACACCCTGAGGAGCAGATTCGGAAGTGTACTTGGAGGCCTCCTCATGCAGGGCTTGGTATTCGTCGAAGGCCTGCTCAAAGGGAGCAGCCATGGCGTTGCGCTTCAGCAGACTGATGCGGGAGATGAGGTCGGTGCGGGCTTGTTCGTCTTGGGGGAGGTTCTCGAGATCGATTTCAATGGAGAAGTTGTAGCCAGACTCGGGCTGGACGATGTAGCCTTCGTACTCGCGCTGGAGGACCTGCTCGGCGCCATACTGGACAAGCTCGTGGTAGCATCGGATGTTGATGGAGATGAGAATCTTCGTCTTTGATGTGGGGGTCGAGATGTGGAAAGTGACACCGTCAAAGTCGGAGACGACCTGGTCGATTGAAGTGGGGGTAGCGCTGTAGAGACAAGGCGTCAGTCGGGTGTGCTGGACGCGCGGGACCAGGACGGGGGACGAGGGGTAGCTACCNNCAGAGAAGCGGTCCTTGAGCAGCGACTCGATCAGGACGTTTTGGTAGTCGAGCAACAACATGGCGGCGACGACGATTGGAGGAGCAAAGAGGCAAGATGGTGTGTTCTGTATACACAGAGCAGGAGCGTGGCTTGGGCGGGCAGTCGCAGCCCTGCGGGATCGTCATGCGAGGTCGACCACTTCCCGGACTTTGTTTGCCTTGGCATCTCTCCGACGCTTGGATCAACCAACTTTTTGAGATTCAAGAACTTTTTGCCTGTTCAGACATCTTTTGCTGCCGTCGTCGGCACCATGGTCAAATCCTATCGCAAGTACGAGCAGTCGGCCACCTTCGGTCTTGTCAACACTGCACTTTCCAACCTCGTCTGGACCCCCGACAACCTCGTCTCGTCGTCCTCGCGCAACACTGGCGCCGGCAGAGTCTACGTCGGCGCCAACGAGCATGTCCTGGCCTGGGATGTGAAGAAGGGCGAGCTGCTGAGTCGCTGGCACGACCAAGACTGCAAGTCCCAGGTCTCGGCCATCGCTCAGTGCTCTGCTCAGCCCGATCTATTCGCTGTCGGATACCAGGATGGAAGCATTAGAGTCTGGGATGCCCTGTCTAACAACCCAATCATGAGCTTCAATGGCCATCGCTCCGCTATCACCCACCTGATCTTCGACTCCGAGGGAGCAAGACTTGCCAGTGGCTCAAAAGACACCGACATCATCATCTGGAACCTGCTCTCCGAAACTGCCGAGTTCCGTCTCAGAGGACACAAGGACCAAATCACTGGCCTCCACTTCGTTCGCACAAGGCCCTCCGGTCGCCAGTCGCCTCACACTGACGAGGCGGTCGATGTTACCTCGGGCGAACCAGAAGAATTTGAGGAAAAATACCTGCTCTCCACCAGCAAGGATGCTCTAATCAAGATCTGGGACCTCTCGACCCCTCACTGTATCGAAACACATGTCGCTCAGACAAACGGCGAGTGCTGGGCTCTCGGTGTCTCTCCAGACGGCATGGGCTGCATCACTGCTGGCAACGACGGTGAGCTGAAAGTCTGGTCGCTCGATCTGGACAGTCTGGCCGAGTTTGGCGCAAACATTGCCGAAGCAAAGCAGTCCAACTCTCTCACCGCACATGGTGTTCTCCTCCGTCAAAGCAAGGACCGAACTTTGAGCGTCGCCTTCCACCCCAAGGGCGAATACATTGCCGTTCACGGCTCCGAAAAGGCTGTCGAGATTTGGCGAATTAGATCAGACGAGGAGGTACAAAAGAGCTTGGCTAGAAAGAGAAAGAGAAGAAGAGAAAAGGCTGCTGCTGCCGGTGCTTCGGTGGCCGAAGTTGAGAAAGAGGAGGAGAACACGACACCCGACGTAGCAGAGGTCTTTGTCTCGTATGTCATTGTCCGCACTGGTGGAAAGGTCCGATCCGCTGCTTGGGCTGCTAGCAGATCTTCCAAGAACGTAGAGCTGGTCTGCTCCACCACCAACAACCAGATCGAGTCCTACACCATTACCAGCCGAGAAAAGTCAAAGAAGGCAACGGCCGAGGCTCCTGAGTACAACCGCGCTCTGGCTGTCGACATGCCTGGACACAGAACTGATATTCGCGCTCTGGCTCTGAGCTCCGACGACCGCATGCTTGCATCTGCCTCTGCTGGACTCCTCAAGATCTGGAACGTCAAGACCCAGAGCTGTCTCAGAACTCTCGAGTGTGGTCAGTCGCTCTGCTGCACATTCTTGCCCGGTGACAAGATCGTCCTTGTGGGAACCAAGACTGGAGAGCTTGAGCTCTACGATATTGCATCTTCTGCTCTGATTGACAAATTCCAAGCGCACGATGGTGCCGTGTGGACTCTCCAAGTTCACCCTGATGGAACATCAGTCGTGACTGGAGGTGCCGACAAGGCTGCGAAGTTCTGGAAGTTCGACATTGTCCAGGAAGAGATCCCTGGTACCCGAAGAACTACACCCAAGCTGAAGCTTACCCAAACTCGCATCCTCAAGGTCGCAGACGATGTTCTGAGTGTCTGCTTCTCACCCGACTCCCGCCTTCTCGCTCTCTCTACTCTCGACAACACCGTCAAGGTCTTCTTTGTCGACACTCTCAAACTCTTCCTCACCCTCTATGGCCACAAGCTTCCCGTCCTCAACATTTCTATCTCATCAGACAGCAAACTCATCGCCACTTGCAGTGCAGACAAGAACGTCCGCATCTGGGGCTTGGATTTTGGTGACTGCCACAAAGCATTTTTCGCACATCAAGACAGTGTTATGCAAGTCTTGTTCATTCCTCACCCTGTCGAGAAGGAGGAACAACATCTTTTCTTCAGTGCCAGTAAAGACTCGGTTGTCAAGACCTGGGACGGTGACAAGTTTGAGCAGATCCAGAAGTTGGAAGGTCATCACGGAGAGGTGTGGGCTATGGTTGTCAGCAGGACTGGCGAAAAGGTCATCACAGCAAGTCACGACAAGAGTATCCGCGTCTGGGATGTCACAGACGACCTCATCTTCCTGGAAGAAGAAAGAGAGAAGGAGCTCGAACAAATGTATGAATCAACACTGGCCACTCAACTCGACAAAGATCATGCCGATGACGACGAAGGCGCCGAGGACGATGTCGCTGCCGCGTCTAAACAGACGATAGCTACCTTGACATACGGTGAACGCATCTTGGAAGCGCTTGAGCTCGGCTACGCAGACTATCAAGTCATGCAAGCATGGCAAGCTGAAAAGGCAACGAAACCTAATCTCGCACCGCCGCAACGAAACCCAGTATTCACATATGGCAACCTCAGTGCTGAGCAACACGTCTTGCAGACCATTCGCAGGATCCCCAATGCATCTCTCAACGATGCTTTGATGGTGGTGCCCTTCTCATCTTTACCAGTTCTCTTCATGTTTGTTTCGGTCTTTATACAGCGTCGCATGCAACCGCAACTAGCATGGCGCGTCTTCTACTTCTTGCTACAGACACACAACGCACAAATCGTGGCCAGCAAACAGCTCAAGGATGTATTGAGCGAGGTGCTCGAAGCCTATGGCCAATTCGTCAAGGAAGAAAAGAACATGCTCGGATTCAATATGGCCGCTCTGGGACTCATGGGCAGAGAGATCAAGGAAGCACAAGTTCATGGCATGGACGACGAGCCAGAAGAACAAGAAGAAAAGCTGGAAAGGGGAACCAAAAAGCGCGCGTTTGCTTCTATTGCATAAAAGGCATTGGGGGTTTGTTTGGTTTTATGGACTATTCAGAGATATGTTTATTTTTCTTATACCACATTTGTTGATAGAGTTGATATGACATGACTATTTTTCACAATTTGTGTTGGGCCATACCATTCTTCTTGGCGAGTTGTTTCTGAGTCACGATGCATGGAAATTTGGATGTGTTTTGCGATGAGTCAAAGGTGAGAGATCCGCGCCGCCGGTCTCGGGGATGGGCGTCTGGGGAGAAAAAGAAGTGGCAGGGACAACGGGTTGAGCTTGACAAAGAGCCGTAGAGATGCACCTGTTGCAGAATCTCATGAGAATAAGATCTCAGTAAATACTTCTATTCGGTAAAGAGTAGTTGACTGGATTTCATAAGGACTACTCTTCCACTGAAGGATGCCATGAGGTGGGAATAAAGCATGGATAGAGCTTCGCCGGATGGCCGGACTTGCAGCACCGACATAAGCGAATTGCAATATTGTTGGGTCGGCCAGCGTCGGCATGAGCATTCGTAGTGTAGCAAACGTGGCAGTTGAGCCAGGAATATTGCAAATCGGCATTTCGAGCTCCAGCGTGCGATAAGCTGTGCTCCTTATCTGGGGACAGAGAGTACCGTGCAGGGGCCGATGTGAAAAATAAGTCGACGTCGCTGCTCTCTGACCGTTCCTCTCTTGTCATCTCAGTCATATCTTGAGCAATCAGCTCCCAATCCGCCCACCTGCCATCGGCACGCGATTCGCCCTTATGCGGACTGCGCCCTCCGTTTTCACTTCCCAAGGTCAGTCGTTCGTTCGCACACCGCGAAGCTCTGCACGAGCGTTGCATGTCGGTGCTCATGTGCCGAGCTGTGTGAATGAAAACTGACAGACTCCCAGACTACATCAGCGACCACCTGTGGAAGGCCAACGTCAATTGAGACTGGCCTGTTATCCCTATAAACTCCCGACTTCTACCTAAAACCAACCCTAGCCATGGCTTTCTCCAGGCGTCTGGCCCGCCAGACAGCCTCGACCCTGCTTCGTCAGAGCCAGCAGCCCATGTCTGCCAGACTGGCTGCTCGTACTCTGACGACTCAGTCGAGCTTCGCTGCTAGCAACCCCGCGCTGCTCGCGCACCCAAGAGATCTACCAACCGCTTCCTCCAGGTCCGCAACGCAACCAGCAATGCCCAAGTTGCGCCCAGTGCAAAGGCTTACCTCGAGAGCGGAGCCATTGCCGGTGCCCAGAACCTGATTGATGTCAAGAAGGTCTTGGTCATTGGAAGTGGTGGTCTCGCTATTGGACAGGCTGGAGAGTTCGATTACTCTGGTGAGTCGAAGCTTCAAGCTACGAGCATGCAGGACATAGACTAACAAAGGCGGCAGGATCTCAAGCACTCAAAGCCCTCAAGGAGGCTGGCATCCACTCCGTCCTTATCAACCCCAACATTGCTACCATTCAGACCTCGCACGTTCTCGCTGACGAGATCTACTATCTCCCCGTCACTCCCGAGTACGTTACCTACGTTATCGAGAAGGAACGCCCCGATGGTATCTTCCTCTCGTTCGGTGGTCAGACCGCCCTCAACTTGGGTGTCAAGATGGACGAGATGGGCATCTTCGACCGTTACAACGTCAGAGTCTTGGGTACCAGTATCCAGACCCTGAAGACCAGTGAAGATAGAGATCTGTTCGCTCAAGCTCTCAAGGAGATCGACATCCCCATCGCTGAGAGTATCGCTGTCAGCACCATCGACGAGGCTCTTGACGCCGCTGAGAAGGTCGGCTATCCCATCATTGTCCGTGCTGCTTACGCCCTTGGTGGTCTCGGTTCTGGTTTCGCCAACAACCCCGAAGAGCTCCGCAACCTGTCTGCTCGTTCCCTCACTCTCTCCCCCAGATCTTGGTCGAGAAATCGCTCAAGGGCTGGAAGGAGGCCGAGTACGAGGTCGTTCGTGACGCTTCCGACAACTGTATCACCGTCTGCAACATGGAGAACTTTGACCCTCTCGGTGTCCACACTGGTGACAGTATCGTCGTTTCGCCCAGTCAAACTTTCAGCGATGAGGAATACCACATGCTCCGTACCGCCGCCATCAAGATTGTCCGCCATCTCGGTGTCGTTGGTGAATGTAACGTCCAATACGCTCTCCAGCCTGATGGTCTCGACTACAGAGTCATCGAGGTCAACGCCCGTCTCTCTCGTTCGTCTGCTCTTGCCTCCAAGGCTACCGGTTACCCTCTCGCCTACACTGCTGCCAAGATTGGTCTCGGCCACACTCTCCCTGAGTTGCCCAACGCCGTTACCAGAACTACCACTGCCAACTTCGAACCCTCTCTGGATTACATCGTCACCAAGATGCCTCGCTGGGACTTGAGCAAGTTCCAGAACGTCAAGCGTGATATTGGCAGTGCCATGAAGTCCGTTGGTGAAGTCATGGCCATCGGTCGTACCTTTGAAGAATCATTCCAAAAGGCTATCCGCCAAGTCGACCCTAGATTCCTCGGAGTCCAAGGCGACAAATTCGACGACCTTGACGACGTTCTGGCAAACCCCACCGACCGCAGATGGTTGGCTGTTGGTCAGGCCATGCTCCACGAAGGCTACTCTGTCGACCGCGTCCACGAACTCTCCAAGATTGACAAATGGTTCCTCTACAAGATCCAGAACATTGTTGACACTACCCACGAACTTGAAGCCATTGGCAGCCTTTACGGCGTCAAGAAGGAACTCATGCACAAGGCCAAGAAGCAAGGTTTCTCTGACAAGCAGATTGCTAAGGCTGTCAACAGCACTGAGGATGAGGTCCGTGCGCGCCGCAAGAACTTTGGCATCACCCCTTCGTCAAGAAGATCGACAGTATGTGTCTCACTTGCCAATCATGATTATAACTTGTACTGACTCTTTTTCTAGCTCTCGCCGCTGAGTTCCCTGCAGACACGTAAGAGCTCCTTTTTGTAGAATAATAAGGAAACTGCTAACAAATTTACAGAAACTATCTTGTACGCATTCCATAATTTCTGACTTTTGAGGATCCCCAAGCAAAGCACCAAAATTCTTACACCTATCAAAAGGCACAGTAGTTTCACGAGTCTGCATACATCCATTGAGAGTCTGAACATCCGAACGATGCCCATGACTCTCCGTGGGCTTGTGTGGTTTTTGTTCTGCATTCTGCGTTTTGATAGGTGCCAAGATGGAGGTGCTTTGCTGGGAGAGCCCTTGACATGATACCACGTTGAGCATTATGCTGACTTCTTTCAATAGTATACTACGTATAACGCGAGTACCCACGACGTCGAGTTCAACGACCATGGCGTGATTGTGCTCGGCAGCGGAGTCTACAGAATTGGATCTTCCGTCGAGTTCGATTGGTGTGCTGTCAACGCTACTCTCTCCCTCAAGGAGCAGGGTAAGAAGACTGTCATGATCAACTACAATCCTGAGACCTACAGTACAGGTATGCTCTCATACTACTCTGGTGGCTGACTCGTTGCTAACATCAATCTAGACTTCGACGTTGCCGACAAGCTCTACTTCGAGGAACTCTCTTACGAACGTGTCATGGATATCTACGAACTCGAATCTGCCCAAGGTGTCGTCGTCTCTGTCGGTGGTCAACTCCCTCAGAACATGGCTCTCAAGCTCCAGGAAAGCGGCAAGGCCAAGGTTCTCGGTACCGACCCCAAGGACATTGACAAGGCCGAAGATCGTAAACAATTCTCTGCCATCCTCGACTCTATCGGTGTTGACCAGCCCGCTTGGAGCGAACTCACTTCCTACGCCGAAGCCCAGCAGTTCGCCAACAAAGTTGGTTACCCTGTTCTTGTTAGACCCTCTTACGTCCTGTCTGGTGCTGCCATGACTGTCATCCGCTCCGAGGCCGAACTTGAGGAGAAGCTCAACGCCGCCGCCGAAGTCAGCCCTGACCACCCCGTCGTAATCACTCAATTCATCGAAGGTGCTCGCGAAATCGATGTCGATGCTGTCGCTCACGACGGTAAGGTTCTTGTCCACGCCGTCAGTGAGCACATCGAAAACGCTGGTGTCCACTCTGGTGATGCTTCTCTTGTTCTCCCTCCTGCCAAGCTCTCTGAGGATACCATCAAGCGCGTCAAGGTCATTGCCGACAAGGTTGCTAAGGCCTGGAAGATCACTGGTCCCTTCAACATGCAAATCATCGACGCCGACAACCCCAACGGTGGTGAATCTTCCCTCAAGGTCATCGAGTGCAACCTCCGTGCTTCTCGTTCGTTCCCCTTCGTTTCCAAGGTTCTCGGTACCAACTTCATCGATGTCGCTACTCGCGCTCTTACCAGCACCAACGTTCCCGAGCCTGTCGACCTTATGTCTGAGAAGCGTGACTACCTCGCTGTCAAGGTTCCTCAATTCTCTTGGACTCGTCTTGCTGGTGCCGACCCCTACCTCGGTGTCGAGATGTCTTCTACTGGTGAAATGGCTTGCTTCGGTACCGACCTTGTTGAGGCGTACTGGACTGCTGCTCAGTCTATGATGAACTTCCGCTGCCCCCAGCCTGGTGAGGGTCTCCTCTTCGGTGGAGACATCACCAACCCCGACCTCGCCAAGATTGTCGACTACGTCAACCCTCTCGGTTACAAGCTCTTCGCTGCCAACGAGTCTGTCAAGAACCACCTCGAGCAGAACTCCAAGGACGGCAGTGTCAAGGTCGAAGTCATTGAATTCCCCAAGGAGGACAAGCGCGCTCTCCGTGAGGTCTTTGAGAAGTACGACATCCGTGGTGTCTTCAACTTGGCCAAGGTCCGTGCCAGCAGTCTTGTTGATGAGGACTACGTTATGCGTCGTAACGCCGTCGACTTTGGTGTTCCTCTCTTCATGGAGACCAAGACTGCCGTTCTCTTTGCTCAGTGCATGAGCGAGAAGCTTCCCAAGCCCGAGGGCATTCCCTCCGAGGTTCGCCCTTGGGCCGACTTCATTGGTGGTCGTCCCCTGTAAAAACCTTTTCTACATGGTTGATGGTTCCCGACACCACAATCTTTCTTATAAATACTACTGGAGGTGATTTATGGTGGAGTGAGAGGATAGGATTGTTCGTTTTTGGCTCTTTGGCGTTCATAGATTTGAGGATTTTCGATGAATATATCAAACCCTACCTTTTCGATTTTCGATTTCCAAGGTTCACATGTGAGCTTTGCATCGGTCTTCTCTCCTCGTCAATGCTTGTATTGCAACTGCCGTGACTCGACATCGGCTGTTCAGGTGAATGCATGGGACATCAATTGCCATTTAGGGTTTTAGGCTAATGCCCAGGATGTAGCATACAGCGTCATAACGAGGAGGGAACCGAGCATCGCAAGGTCGATCTTCTATTCCAACCACCCATACAAAATATATAAGAGCTTGCTGCGCCATGGCTTGTAAGGAATTCTTTCCATTGAGTCCCCTCCAAGTTTTCAAGCAATCATGGTCAATCTTACTCACGTTAATCTGTTGACGTTGGCGACGAGTATTCCGTATGCGCAGGAGTTGTATGGGATTGCGAATGCGTCGACGGATCATATTTCGTTCTTGTCGTATAGTGAGTATTGTGCTTGTCTTTGAGATGAGGTAGGGAAGACCAAAAGTGCTGATGGGTGATTGTANGACGATACCTTTGTTACCGACATCCTAGGACCCAATGTTTCCCAGCAGTTGGTCAGGAGTGAGAACTACCAGGCTTTCCATGAGAGCGGAGTNTTAGTATGTGCTCACTGGAATCTTCTGGCATTTCCGATTTACTGACCTCGAAACAGTAACATAAAGACTGGCAAGCTGTATGCCACCAGTAATTGGAACGGCAGTTTCTCGAACCCTATCAATGTCACTGCCATCGACATCAATAACAACAACACCATCCAATCTCTGCACTACGAGTACCTCGCCGAAGCCAATGGAGCCACCGCATGGTACCCAGTAGGCAGCCCAGCCAACAGCAGCGAAGGCCAACAAATCGTCTTTTGCGACGAAGGCGACTTTACCAACCCCGCCGGCCTCGTCCTCGTAGACCCGGCAACTAACATCAGCCGCCCTCTAATCAACAACTTCCTGGGTAGAAACTTTACTTCCATCAACGATGTCCGTCAACACCCTGTTACAGGCGACTTATGGTTCACCGATGTCCCTTACGGCTACTGGCAATACTTCCGTCCCGCCCCTGTGATCAAAAACCAGGCCTATCGCTTTGAGCCCAACACTGGAGTCGTGCAAGCCGTTTCCGATAATGAGATTGCGCCTAATGGTATTGAGTTCTCGCCAGACTTTAAGCATGTGTATATTACAGATACTGCTGTGCATACGTTCCCCAACAAGGACAATTTGACCATGCCAAGCACGATTTATCGGTATGATGTTACACCTGATGGTAAGAGATTGCAGAACAGACAAATGTTTGCGTACTCGGACATTGGGTTGCCGGATGGAATTCATTGCGATACCAAGGGGAATGTGTATGCTGGTACTGGAGATGGTGTGCATGTGTAAGTTTTTCACTTTCCCTCTATTTCTACTCTTATTGCTGCGAGCGGGAAAACTGACATGCGAACTATAGCNTGGAATCCTGAGGGTGTATTGTTGGGTGTCTTTGCTGTCTCTGGTGGAAATGCAAACTTTGCTTTTGTGCCTGGGGGCATGTATATCTTTAACGAGTACAAGTTGTTCAAGGTCACATTGCAAGCTGAGGGTAGGGAGGTCAAGAGGGACTTTGGACTGTACTAAGGGAAGGAACAATACGATATCTGTGGCGGAATCATCTGCTGGTCGTGGGGTATCAAAAGCAGTAACGAATTGAGCTTGTCACTTTCCAAAAAGACCAACATTCTCTTTTGTTGTCGAGATTGCTTCGTCTGGATTATCCTATACATCTTTCTCGTCGAACCCTTCGAAGAAACAGCCACATCACTCTTGATTCCAAAAGTCAGCCGCTGTTATCTGCTTTTCTAAATCTAGCTACAGCATTCAAGTAACTCTCATTCTTCATCTGTTCAGCATAAGTCACCGCAGACCACGGACATGGCTTCGCAATCAGATCAGGATCCGCGCCTCTTTTCATAAGAAATTTGACGACTTCGTCGCAGTCACAATTGAAGCTCCGATTGACGACATAGCATAAAGGTATTCCTCAATGATTGCCCATACCGTCTCCTTCAGGATCTTGATCGTACGCATTGACATCAAGACCATACTTGTCAAGTAGATGCTTAACAAACGCCAACCGGCTCTCGACGTAACCTTGCGAACCTTGGCTCGAGCTGATGGCGGATTGGACTGCAAAATGCAATACCCTTGCAGTTATGGGTGCACCTTTCGAGCGCAAGAGCTCGAACGTAGCGATACTACACCGGTATCTGACAGCTTGCTCGAGCAGCGGTGGACAATCCTGATGGTTGCGCAGATACTCGTGATCGGTATATGGTTCCTGGCCATTTGGTTGTACACTTGCGCCATGCTCTAATGCCCAAACCACATAATCGTGATTATCAAGGATTTGTCAGAGGAATGGCTGGCGAGCGGCATTGATGTCCCAGCCATGCGCAATCAACAGTTCTAGAACGCGTATCGATGGCAAGCCTTCACTGAGAGGGAGAGTTGAGCCGCTTGAGAGGAAAGCGTCGTTGGAAAGAACATGAGCCAAAACTTGTTCTGCAACTTCTCGAATGGCTACCCTTACGGTGCGTTCGAGGATTTCTTGCTCGGTCTTTAGCGGCCCTGCGAATGTCTTTGGCGTCCCTGGACTAGAGGCTTGCTCTACGATGCCTTTGAGGACGGAGATGTCATCTTCACGACACGCTCTATCGAGTTGGACGAATAGAGGTGGTCTACGAGCTATTGAGACTTTTGGTTGCATGTATAAGAAGGTTCGTCTTGCTGTCCGCTGCCTTGTGACATGGAGCTGGCCGGATGGACCTGCCGTTCTGGGATCACATGTTTCGCGTCCGTGCACTCATACAAAACTCTACTCTCACCGACTCAAAACATGAATCCTCTCTACAGCGAACTTGTAGATACGAAATGTCTGGGACCGGACAGGAGAACGGCGATGGCCTCTCAAGGCCATCCAGTAATGTCTCTGAGGTCAAGCCAAATGTCTTGAAGACCATCTGGCGCAACAACAAAGGCGTGTTTCTGATTCTGCTTGCTCAAGCGACGGGATCGACTATGGATGCCATTGTCCGCTTTTTGCAGCAAGGAGGACATGGTATGCATCCTTTCCAAGTCATNTTTGCGAGAATGAGTATCACGGCACTACTTAGTACCATATATATGTGGTACACAAGAGTACCTGATTTCCCGCTGGGAGCGCCTGCGATCAGGGGATGGTTGATTTTGCGAGCGCTGGCAGGCTTCTTTGGATTGTTCTGTCTATACNNTGTAAGTCAATGATTGGTTTCTCCAAGATTGTTTTGCAGGGAGCTTATGTAGAGGACACTAGATTCGGTACATTATCTTCCACTGGCCGAGGCGACGGTCTTCCGATTCTTGGTTCCTATCATTACGGCATGGGCATGTTCCGTATTTCTCGGACAAAGCTTCAGTAGGACTGAATTCTTGGCTGGAGTCATCGCTTTGCTGGGTGTAGTCATCATCGCTCACCCAGCTGCCATCTTCGGCAGAGTAGAGGATGACATTGAACTCCCACACCAACCAAGCAAAATCGACCAAGTATCTGCTGGCCAACGTCTCCTCGCCATCTTTGTCTCTGTCATCGGTGTGCTGGGTGCCTCTGCCGCATACACTCTGATCCGTGTGATTGGCTCTCGCGCCCATGCCCTCATCTCGGTAAACTACTTTGCTCTGATCAGCACTTTTGGGTCTGCAGGTGCTTTACTCGTGCTGCCTGGTATGAGCTTTACAATGCCTCACGGCGCACGTGAATGGCTTCTTCTATCCCTCCTCGGTGTCCTCGGCTTCGTGCTCCAATTCCTGCTTACCGCTGGCTTGCAGCTGGACAGAACCTCAAAGGCCACCAGTATGCTGTACACAGGCATTCTATTTGCGCTTGCTTTCGATGCGGCCATTTGGGGTGTCTTTCCTGGCTTTTGGTCGTGCATTGGAGGTGCTGTTGTTATTGCTAGTACGCTTTGGTCTGCGTTGCAGAAGTCGAAGGGAGTAGGGAAGGCAATGGTGGCTAAGGAGGAAGTTATTGATGAGGAGAGTGCGCTTCTTGGGGCGCAGACTGAGGGGAGCGAGGATGCTGTGAGGGCAGGTGCGACGAGTAACTCTGTGTAAAGTATCACGCTTCTCCCCAGAGGCCGCAAAAGTGAGAATCTTGATTTGTATTTGGAAACTGCCCTCTCAACCAGCCGATCACATAGAGAACCACTATACTAGAAAGGCCACACATAATATTCAGGCATGTTCTGCTACAGAGAAGCTTTCCTCTCCGCTACCTGACGACACATAGCACACAACAAGGGAACATGCAGCTACACGAGATAGTCTGGACCGATCAATCTATGGCTCTTGTTGCCTTTCCGTACAGGTGCAAGGTATTTCTATCAAAACATCAAAAGGACATATGCTTACCTTGCTTCATTTCACCAATTAGACATCCATGGCAGGGGTCTTTCGGTTGGATGGCCAAGAGCATACGATACACCACCGAGCTTTGATGGGCAAAGTCTTTTACCGTGAACGAACGGAACTTGTAAGAGCCTCATTTTCTAGAGTGAGAAAAGAAACTTGGCACTGGCTCTGCTAATGCTTATCTGACTTTTCGACGACTCTGTTCAGACGGCAGTATTAAGAAGATACGCTGCTCAAGGCCCATGATCCAGTAACTGACAAGTGAACTACAATCACAATCCAAGTCTGTACACAAGGAAACCAAATTTGAAGAAGTCAAGATCAATTCCATATTAGATCTTAAATCGCTAAAATGTCTAGAAGTCAGACCAGAAAAAGTCGTTACGCTATGCATGTGTATCATTCTTTGTTTGTCGCCCTCCCTTCACTCTACCAAGCCAAAGCCTCCTGCTGCTCCTCTCCACAAGCCAACCCAGAGCAAAAGTCTATATCCTTTTCACTCTGCATCTCTGCAGCACTCATCTGCTGTCTCGCCGGGTGGATCTTTGCACCGGCAGCTTTTTCCTTGTCGTGGTGTTCGGTGACTGCTTCTCTGCACAGGTTTTGGAAGTAGAGGGGTCCCTTTTCCATGCGGGGGTGCATGAGGCCGCTGACAAAGACGCCGGCGTTGACATTCTTTTGGGCGGCGTCGCAGAGGACCTTGTCTTCGGACATGATGCGCTTGTACATTTGGTTGATCTTTTCAAAGTCTTCGTCTGTGGCGTTTTTGTTGCGGTACACTTCGTAGCTCATGGTTGCTTTGCCAGCGGCGTGGGGTACGAAGCGTTGCATGAAGAAGAAGTTTGGTCTGTGGGTTGGTATGTTAGTACGAGTACGGAGGTCGACATTCATGAGGGCTGATGCTTACGTTGCGTTGACAGAGGCGTTGGGGAAATAGTAGGTCGGAACAACAGTCATGCCAGCGGCGACTTGGTCCGGTCTACTTGCGACCTCGTGTTGGATGTGCTTTGCGGTTGTGTTGACATAGTAAGCTTCTAGATCTGCCAGAGCCGGAATATCGGGGTGGGTTGTCGGGCAGTGGTAACACTCGTTGTAGTTGTCTGCCAAGATCTTCCAGTTGTAAGGGCCATCCATCTCCCACTTGTGGTCAAACTGATAGTTGTCAAAGTCGAACTGCTCGTAGCGTGTTTGAATATCGACGCCATCAAAGTTGTCTTCCCAGGCAATCTCGGGTTCCGCTTTCGCATCCATGTTGACCCAGACGAAACCGTTCTTGTCGACGTGAACGTGGATGGGCAAAAGTCCGTTGGCCTCCTTGTTGAATCCCTCGAGCTCTTGGTAGTCAGGTGCCTTTGCGAGCTTTCCGTTCAATCCATACGACCAACCGTGGTATCTGCAAGCGAAGATGCGAGCTGTGCCTTCAGTCTTCTCGACAACGGGGTAGGCTCTGTGACGGCAGATGTTGTGGAAGCCGTTGATGTTCTCTTGACGGTCCTTGGCAAGAACGAACTGGAAGCCTGCTACATCGTAGCGGAGGAAGTCACCAGGCTTGGTGAGACGGAGCTTGTGTGTGATAAGGAGCCAGCGCTTGGAGAAGATGGCACGGCGTTCGAGCTCGTACATGTCGGCAGATGTGTACCATGATGCAGGAAGTGCTCTCACGGGCTGCTTGTCCAAGGCAGGTTTTGTTGCTGTGTTTCCGCTATCTCTGCGGTTGAAGTAACTTAGGAAGGATGCCATTGCGAATATGATATCAAGTTGTGTTGTAGAGATTGCAATAGAGTAAGGCAATACTCGACAAGATGGAAAGGGGAGGGTTGATATGAATATTCAAGGTTGAGAATGGAAGAGAAAGAACACAATAGAAGTTCGCGCTTTCCGTAGTTATATGGACGATTTGGTGAGCCTACTGGTCAGGAAGGACGGTCCATAGAGCCCCGTGGGGTATGCCTACGCATTGCAGCATTTCTTCTGCGCCAGCAATCAGCCAGCTCGTTTAGAGCCAAAACTGCTCGATTTGCGTAATCATTAGCTGATGGCAGCAGGATTCGATACCCAAGACGAGTCGCAGTTTGTGACTCCTGGAACAAGTCGCTTCGACTTTCGCAGCGCTATCGGAATCTCGATTGTGGCGATGGATGTGCATTCTGACCCAAATAGGTATATGAATCCCATATGGGGTCAGCCCACAGCCGGACCCTTTGAGCTGGTGCAACTCTAATCGGTGGCTGGCAATCTTGGCAACGACGACATGTGGTAGGTAAATAAATCCCAACTCAGTTTGATGTGTTGCGATATGCGATTGATGGTCGTAGTGAGAGTGATAGTGATGATAGAGAAGGACCGAAGTCGAGGTGGACAACTTCGATGAAGTCCTGATAAGTGATGCCTGATGAGGCTCTAAACTGACTCACGTGCGATGCTCGCAATCTATGTGTTGAGATACCAGAAGCATAACGATGCATGCCTCTCGATGCGAAAACATGTTCATGAGTTCAGAGACAATGGAAGTCATATGTATTGTAGTATAAATCCCATTTAATAGCATATATGTAAATCCAGAACTAACAGCATGCATGTCCCATTAAACTGTATGGCAGTGGCCATCCATCCATTCATTCGTAAATCCATTTCAGCTTCTCAAGCTGTTACTCCAGTAGCTCCGACTCTTGCGGTCATCGATGTGGTCTCCTGGACAGTCTCACTGCCAACCATAGCCATACGCCATGCCATGAGCATATCAAGCGAGATGTCGTTGCCGCCACAAACAATCAGGACTACCTTACTGTTCTTGGTAATTGTCTTCTTGTTGGCCAATAGGCTTTGTAGGAAGCCATCAAAGCAGACAGGGACGTTGACGCCCACAGTCAGCTCAACCATCATTCTTTCGTGCTCAGCTAACAAGCAACAGCCCTTGGCAGCCTCATCATCAGTGAGAACTACACTTGTAACATTAGGCCTCTGAGCATATTCAAAGGTCTTCTCGGCGACTCTGACAACCCCAAGACTGGTGGCTGCCGAAGTGATTCTGGGTAGAGTGACGATTTGACCGGCGATGAGACTCTGGCTCAACGAGTCTGCTCCTTTGGTCTCCATGGCGAGGACCTGTACGTCGTTGTTCCACTTCTTGTGGTCTAGTTCTTGCATGATGCCGTTGAGGAGACCTCCGCCGCCGACACTGCAGACAATGACGTCGGGTTTGTCACCAAGTTGAGATGCAATCTCCTGCATCACAGTTGCATTGCCGTCCCAAATGTCCTGGTGGTCGAAAGGAGGAACGAACACACCGGTTGGATCCGCAGGCAAAAGTGTGTTGAGAATGTACTCTTGTGCTTCAGCAATGGTAGAACCGTGCTGGATGACTTGCTTGACTCCNNCTATTCATTCATCAGCAAAAGTCAGAACTGCATGACAAGAGGAACATACCATGGCCCAGATTTTGGCAATCATGACTGGTTTGGCACTCTTGGGTACAACAACAGTGGCAGGATAGCCAAGTGTTCTAGCAGCGTGAACGCAGGCAATGCCTGCATTACCACCCGAAGCTGCATAGAAGTGTGTCGAATTGGGAACTCCAGCAGCTGAGATGCGTTCGGCGGCACGCTGTAGGACGTAGTTGCCGACACCACGAGATTTGAACGAGCCGGATGGTTGTAGGTTGTCCAGCTTGAGGAAGACTCTACTTCTACGATTTAGAAATCGTTTTCAAACATTGATGCTGGTGAAAGACGGTGTGTATAGAAGAATTGGGAACGTTAACTGGGGAACATACCATCCTGCTGCTTCTGAGAGAGGTCGGCTCTCGATCAAAGGTGTCCATGCCCAAGGCTTGGGTTGCTGTGGGGCTTCTGCGTACATCTTTGTGACGTGAGGTTATGTGTTTGAAGTCAGGAGATTACTATAAAGTGTTCTTCTGAAGCCCGGAGATGATACTTGGAAGGAAAGATGGATCAATAATATGTTGTCACTGTGTGTAGAGATGTACTCAATCCGTCTTCAATAGAGGTCCTTCCTAGGTGATATCTAGGCATAGTGGTTGCTTTTACCGCGTCGGGTACGTACGCACGCTGGGGATACATCTGGGGAGTGTACAGCCTCATGTGTCGTGGGTTACCGTACAAGGTCAAGTTTTGCGAATCCGTTACCATATCGTTTCATTATCCCCTGCATAGTGACCTTATCATGACATACTGTTCATGATCGTCCAATCATTATGCAAGCCGAAAAAGCTGACCGGTTTTAGTCCACCGTTCCTGGGGAAGTTGCAGTCCGGCAATCAGGCAAACCACGGGGCCGATCCAAACCAAAGATAGCAGGAACTGTAGTCTGAGTTTGGGGAACTCGCAACCAAATTGGGATAGTGGCTTCTTCTTGACAGCAACTCGCCAAGGTGGTCTCGACTTCTGATCAGAGGTATGTATTCTAGAAGCCTGAAACTTCTCCTCAGCTCTCTTTTAGGCTCGTACTTTGCAGGTGGGCGTCGAGCGATGCGGTGACTCCGGATCCAGTGAAGTTATTCCATGAGAGGCGTTTTCTCGAAGCACTCTCTTGAGATACAACAGTACTCGAGGGAAACAGTATCCGGAGGCCGTCGTACGCCGTATGTTCCTATGGCATGGAGATCCTATCCGAGCGTGTCCTATGCAGATGTCTCCATTTTCCGTTATCTCCCGTTGAGATAGAATCAAGATTTCTGCTTTTGCTGACCGCTTCGCTCTTCCTCATGCAGCAAGAAACTTCAAGTTTCCTGATTGCGATTGTTTGAAGTGTGATTTCGATGCACTGCTTCACGTCCGATCGCGTCGATGACAATCTGATCGCTCGTAGTCGTGCAGCCACAAAGTATTGGCATCGAAATCGGCGACTCACATCGATCTCTTGATACTCAGGAGGTTCATTGAAAGTGGTCATGGCCTGACAAGCAGAGCTCCTTTCGAGCGCAGATTTACTGTGCTTGTCATCGCAAGTGCTGCAGAGCATCGCTGTACAACTGCACCAGAGATGCGATCATTTTAGCACCATCCTCAGATAGTCAGAGAAATGTGATACTGTAACATGAGTCTGATGATCAGGTAAAGCTCTGAGGTCATGTTGAGGCCTTCTCTTCGGCCAGATAATCAGATACCAGTAAAACGATGTCGCCAGCGCAAGTCGAACATGTTGTCACGACAGATCTCATGGCTACGAGCCAAATTCGGTGTTTGCTGCGCATGTACAGCGCGTCCTCAAGTATCCTTCTGGTATCGCTGCTCGAAAAATCCAGTCGCGTAGGCTGTTTGAGTTGCTTGGGTTACATTCTTCAACGTGACCGAGTAGGTCGCTTCGGAGATTTTGTCGCGATGGATGAAGATGCGATTCTGGTTCACTCGGGACGTCTGTCACCATGTTCTATCTGTTGCCAAAGCGATATCAGGGATTAAAAAAGCGTTTCCTCATGTATATCAAGCTGTCGATGTAGTGTATTATAGCCTGGCGGTTCTGACGGGGTCCAACATATCCTTCATATCATGTCTTGGCCAGTCGGCGAAGTGCTTGGGGTCAGGACGATCTCTGTCCCAGCCCCATTNTTCACACAACTCGGGTTCCAATGTGCCCTCCAACATGGAGATGATGTACTTGCCTAGCACAGGGAAGAACTTCCAGCCGTGGAAGTTACCACATGTTGCGACATACAAGCCCTTGGCAGCGGTGTGTGGCGAGATGATGAAGTCAGAGCTGGATGTGAAGGCGTNCCCTATACAGAATCAGTATGTGGAACAAGTTTGATGCGAATGGACAACTCACCAGCAGATGCGGTGCTTCTCCATAGTCCAGTGTGCAGATTTCTTTCCGTAGAACACGTGGTTGGCGTATTGAATGTCCTCCTTGAGTCTGTTTGAAACGTCCCATTGGCCGTAGTCGCGCTTTGCTGGAGGTGCAGATACGATGCGTCCAGGCAAGACTTCTGTGTCGTTCTTGAAAATCTTCTGGCCCCACCACTTGAGCTCTCTATCCCTGGTGGGTGGCAGACTGCCGATGAAAGGTCNCTATTGACATGGTAAGCGACTGATCGTTATACGTACAGGAAATCAAAACTCACCAGTTTCGGCAGTGTAGCCCTGAACTCCGACGGGCATGGATGCGAATCTGCGGTATGAATCCTCGTCGAGCTTCGTCATGCCGGTGGTGATACCGCCAGCAACTATTCTCTCACCAGCACACAGGTCGTTGTTACCACTGGCCTGAGCACAGTATTCGAGCAGCTTTGGTGTGTATGCGCCAGTGCAGAGAAGAGTGTGTTTGGCCTTCAATGTCTCGCCATCGGCAGTTTTGATACCGGCACAGCGACCATTGTCGAGGATCAACGAAGCGACCTCGGCCTGCTTGTACTTGACGCCAAGTCTGAGAGCCTCACGAGTGATGCCAATCAGGCACTCGCCAGCAGTAGCCCAGCCACTGGTCTTGTTGACGAGGACCTCCTTGACATCGCTGTAGTCGGCGTCCTCGAACAGACCGCCGTACAGCTTGCGGGCCTCGTCGATGGGCACGGCCTTGAGGTCGGCCGCTCTGCCCAGCTTCTTGTAGTTGTTGACGACGTCCTGGGCGTAGTCGCTGCGGCACATCCAGTAGATGCCGGTCTGGTAGAAGTACGGCTTCCACAGGTTGTCCGTTTTGAACATGTCTTGTGACTCAATGGCCATCTTGCAGTATACAATGTCGTCGTAGTCGGCACGAACGACCTTGTTCCAGTCCCACGAAGCAGCTACACGTGTGTCCTGATCGAAGGCATCACGGTCGACGACGGTGATGTCTGCGTCGGGGTACTNTTTGATCAGATGGTAAGCAGTCGAAATGCCGAAAACGCCAGCGCCAACGATGATGTACGACTTGTCGGCCATTGTTGGAAATAGGGAGGATGAATGCAAAGAGCAGGATATGACGAGCAACAACTACATGTTGCTGGTTGTGTTTTATTATAAGAATCAGCCGCCTGTGGCCGACGTCGTCAGGGTCGTGTGGATGCTCAGTTCGGTCATCATATCCACTTCCGATTACGGAAGTCTCATCCACTCAATCTCACGTGTCACGACCTGTTGCCCCGCCACAACCCCACGATTCTACAAAGGTCCACCGAGAATGCTGCCCCGATCCGTACATTCCATTCTCCCACACACCAACACGATAGATACAGAACTGAGAATACTATGACCTATCCAGGGCTCTACAACGCAGGTGCTATCTTGCCAGAAGGTCACCGTGACCATGTCATCCACACATTCCAATTTCAAGCTGAAAGACGCTGAGGGGCCAACCCTGACTTTGTTCTCCCATCATGGGAAAACCATGGTTATATCGGTGTACGTTGCTTGGAATTGTCGAACGAAACATTTATCATACCTCCAGATAGTCAAGATATCTACTGACATGACCAGACGTGTTTATGACACGTTTTGGGCTTCTTGTCGATGGTTCCACTTTTTGCATCTGTTTTCTTGGGAAGATCACTCACACTCGACGTCAGGTAGATTTCACACCCACAGCGAAGATAGAGAACACCCATCCATGAATCACCCGAGGTACTTGTTAGTCTGATGATATGGATCGTAGTCACATCCATCCTCGTTCAACAAATGAGCACGTGTCAATGAGCGTGCTCCATCACATCTTCAACCATGCACATACACAAGGGTCCATGGTTTGACAGAAAACGGTCGAAATAACGTTAAAATATGCCTTGATCATTAAAGTGCGCCATGTCTATGCTATAAATAAACCTTCATTACTTCCAGAAGCCCCGAGATCAACCGCGCAGACGTGACATGGAAGGATCAAATAATGGTTCGGCAGTGACTGTAGCCTCGATCCTCTTGCCGAAGTACTCGATCTCCACCTTGTCCTCCTCGTTGACCGAGCTTGGCAACCATGCATAAGCAATGGGCTTGCCGATGGTGTATGCGAATGCAGAGCTGGTGACGTATCCGCTGGGCTTGCCGCCGACGAACACTGGCTCTCTGCCAAGCACGACTGAGGAACCGTCGTCGACGACCAGGCAGCGTAGGCGCTTCTTCGCCGTCTCGACCGAGCGCCCCTCGAGGGCAGCTTGTCCGTAGTAGCCCAGTTTGCCTGCCTTGACGGCGAAGCCAACACCAGCCTCGTAAGGGTCGTGCTCGGTGTTCATGTCAGATCCCCAGGATCTGTATCCCTTCTCCAGTCTGAGGGCGTTGAAGGCAGTACGGCCAGCTGCAATGATGCCCTGCTCCTGTCCTGCCTCCCAGAGTGCGTCCCACAGTGCTTGACCGCGGTCGGCTGTAGTGTAGATTTCCCAGCCGAGCTCACCGACATACGACAGACGCATGATGGTCACAGGGATACCATTGATGTTTGCACGCTTGGTGCGGAAGTAACGCAGGCCCTTGGCTGTGGTCGAGAAGTCATCTTGACTGACCTTGCTGATAATCTCTCTGACCTTGGGACCCCAGAGACCGATACAGCAAGTTCCAGCAGTGATGTCGCGGATTGTGCACCATTTTGTGGGATCTTGCTGCATCTGCTTGTTGGCCTCCTTCTGGAGGAAGACAAGATCGACAGGTCCGTTGCAGCCGACCTGGAACAATTGGTCCTCGAGTCTGGCAACAGTGACATCACTCTTGATGCCACCCTTGTCGTCAAGCCAGAGTGTGTATGTGACGGCGCCAGGCTTCTTTCCAACATCACCAGTGCTCACGCGCTGCAAGAGCTCGACAGCACCAGGTCCATAGACTTCCAAGCGACGCAGCGGTGTCATGTCGTACATCGCTGCTGCTGTTCTCGTCTTCCACGCTTCCGCAGCAGCGATTGGGCTGTAGTACCTTGAAGACCAAGCATCGCGGTCCTTGGGCTTCCACTCCTCAGGCAAATCCTTGACCAACTTCTCATTGGCTTCGAACCAGTAAGGACGCTCCCAAGCACCACCCTCCAGGAAGTAAGCACCGAGCTCCTTCTGACGAGCGTGGAAGGGGCTGACACGAAGGTTGCGAGGCGAGTCGCGAGGTTGAAGCGGGTGCATGATGTCGTAAATCTCAACAAAGTTCTGCATGGAAGTCTCCTTGACGTAGGAGCTAGACAACTGAACTTCTTCGAAGCGGTTGAGCTCGACTGCTCCAAGATCGATTTGACTATTTCCAGTCGTCAACACCTCAGCCACTGCACGGGCAATACCGGCAGAGTGTGTCACCCAGACTGCTTCGGCGACAAAGAAGCCTTCGAGGTNTGGTGCTTGACCGACGAGGGAGCCGCCGTCGGGTGTGAAAGAGAAGATACCGTTGAAGCCATCCTCGATCTCGACTTCGCCCATGCAAGGCAGGAACTTCTTGGAGAGCTCCCATGCAGGTTCGAAGTCTTCGCGAGTGAACTCAAGACGAGAAGGCATGTTCTTGTGGTCGACCTTCTCAGGGGTGACTCCCAAGGTTGAGGCTACGATAGGCATGGGTTTGTGGCCGTAGTAACCGATACCGTACTGGTCGCCATGCTCACGGTAGTACAGATCCCTGTCTTGGTAACGCAGGATGGGCAATGATGCCTCACCCGCAGGGTTGTTGCNGTTTGACAGAGCGGGCACGGAGGTAGTCTTGACGTATTGGTGAGCCAGGGNGAGAAGAGGAATAGGTAGACCGATCATGGCACCAATCTCGACACCCCAGAAACCGGCACAAGAGACGACGATATCAGCTGGGATGACACCGTTGGGTGTCTCCACACCAGTGACGTGGCCATCAGCTCGTGCGATTCCAGTGACTGGAGTCTTGTCGATATATTGAACACCAGCTTTGCGGGTGCGGTTGATAAGGAGCTGAACAGCGCGAGCGGCCTTGGCGAGACCATCGGTGGGAATGTGAAGACCACCATGAACTTGCTCCTTGTTCAGTAGCGGGTACTTCTCCAGACACTCCTCCGGGCTGATGAGATGAGCTTCAATGCCCCAGGATTGTGCGTAACCGTGCTTGCGCTTCAATTCTGCCATACGTGCGGCATCTGTGGCGATTTCCAGACCACCGACCTGGTTGAAGCAGTTTTCGCCATCTTCTTCGAGGCCCATGAACTTTTCCACTGTGTATTTAGCAAAAAGAGTCATGGTCTTGCAGACATTTGTTTGGAAGACAAGACCAGGAGCGTGTGACGTGGAACCTCCAGGCATGTCCAGGGGACCTTGGTCGACGACTGTGATGTTGGTCCATCCTCGTGCAACCAGCTCGTCAGCAACGTTGGTGCCGACAATACCAGCACCAATGATGACCACACGTGGCGAGTACATCTTGGAGAGCATTGTTGTGGATAGTCGGGAGATGTCCCTTGAGTTCTGTTGATGGAGCTCTAGTTCTTGGAGGAGGTACTCTAAATGCTTGCAAAAGACGATGAGGAGGTCTTGAGGCAAGAAGAGTAGCAAAAGATTAGAAATAGATCAGAGTGATATGAATCCCTTCACCTCGGACGTGGGAAGGAGCTGTAGATATAGAAACGTCCATATTCGATTACCTGTACCTTTATTCTGAACGCTGTGACTTCTCTAAGGGTGGTGTCTGCTAGGCGGGATCGACGCAGCTGTGGGCGACGGGATTCACGTACCCTTTTGGGACAGAATGCACACTCGTCGCCAGATGTGGGGAAGCGACGAGACCACAAAACTTTCGCAACTAACGGACTCAAGTCAGACGGTCCGCTTGTCGCGATATGACCAACTGTTGACATCGATAGACCCTTCTTGGGAAATACTTGGATGATGGTCTACCCGCCAGACGGAGTCAAAAGATGCGAGTAAGATGGTCGAGCTTGAGATAAGTCCATTGTACTGCCGCAACAGTCCAAAGAAGCCTTGAGATGCAAATGACAGTCTGGTCATTCATCTCCAGATTGTAGACATGGCATCCTCAAGTTGTGATCCTTGATTATTTTCTTGGTGTGGTTGTCATGCAGGCAGCAGTCGAGAGATTTGTCGACGCCGGTGTCGCGGAGCTGGACGCTCGAGTTTGCTGCACTCAGTTTTGCCAGCCTTCCCTCATTGCAGAATGATGCAGCATTATAGCAGATAAGATTCAACAAACTTTCACGTACGGCCACAGTCAGCTGAAAACTGGGCATCCCGTCCGCTCTGCCATACATAAGCAGTTGAACGGCAGATTAGTACTACGGTGGGTGACCACGTGGGAATCCCTGCTGCTGTACGTTTTGTTCTTCTGTTTGCATCTGACAACTCCCAGCTCGACATTTCTTTGGACTCGCTGTTTTGCGCAGTAAACCAAGAAAGCTCGCGCTTTATCGCATCCTTTGATGTTTTGGAACCTCACGCTTAGCACGAAATCAGAGAGAGAGCATGCCTGCTTCAGCCGATTCCGAACCGCATCCGACCGAGGATTTACGCTACAGACACGCGAACAGACATCTACGCGGGCTACAATTCCAAACCGGACAGTGACTGAGCGCAATAATGAGTATGGTCAAAAGAGCTGGTGAAAGGAGAATGATATAATTCTGGAAATCGTTAAGAAGAAGCACGAGAAGATGGAGAAATACGAAACCGTCAGTCTTGAAGACCAGGTGCCCGACCCAGAAGAGTTAAAGAGAGTTTGCATACACTCGAGATTCATCAATCATCCTTCACCACAGTCGCTGAAAAGCTGCATGATCGGAGCGCCGGTCAAGTTAAGATTTAATGACTCAACCGGGCAAAACTATAGTGTTGGTTAAAATGGCTGCCTAACACGTCGTTTTTTCGGACGTCTGTGGTTGTTGTTGTTCCACCTACAAGAACATACCACGAACTTCTACCACAAGTTTCTTCCACAAAATATGAAGAGTCGTTTCAGACGCCGCCAAGTGTTGCGGAAATGTCTGGAATTCTCTCCATCCCCGATGACATACTCATACACCTTCTCGAAGCATGCCCGAACGTCCAGACAGCAATAAGGCTGTCATCCGCTAACAGGTGGTGCGCGCTGTGTGGTTTGACAACAACAAAGCGAATCGCATAGTCACAGCGATCCTCATAGCGACAACTCCCGCAGCGGCGCAGGCGATATCCTATTCAATCACGGAGACACGACTACGCGCCTCACTGGACGATGACGAGCAACAGCCGGTCAATCCCTGGCTACCGAATTGGGTACGCATAAACGACCTCTGCGCCAGTGGCATCGCAGCTGCTGTTGAGTACCGACAGATGTTGTGGGAAAGGTGCTACGAGCCGAGACCCAAGAAGATGCCCGCTCCATCACCCGAGTCATACTACCTTGTCAGACAATGTGTACTCGCCTTCGAGTTCCCCAAGTTGAGAGATGCACTACACGAGGAGATCTTGTCAGCTTCGGAGAAAAGGTTGTGGGAAGCTGCCCGTCTGCTGTCTTTCCGCAAGTTGGACAGCAGCTATTTTGCCATCTATGTTCGAAGGACGAGAAATCCTTTCATGTTGGGGATCGCCCTTGCTAGACATTCCAGGCGCGCGATCCGTTGGTTAAATCACCAGTGGCTCAAAGGTCACAGTCGAGCACCCCTAAAGATCCAAGTTAACAAATACGCTTGAATGTCAGTCGTTGACTTACGGATTGGGGGTGCAGAAGCAGGTTGATACACCTCAGAAGATAACACTAGGCCGTACACGCGGCACGTATATAATCATGTATTGGAACCATCATGCAATGTACTAAGCTACAACGCCAGCAAAACGATCAGTGGCTGCGATGCGAATGCATAAGATGGAGTATAGAGCGCATCCATTGATAAACGATGGCGGGAATTCCAGAGCTTTCTGTAAATTAGACAAGACCTTGCTGTGTTACAACAAGACCGTACTTTGCAATCCTCGCGACCAAAGGCCAGGAGAGACGATTCATCCTGATGTTTAATATCGACACCACCCTCTCGCTCTTTCGATTAAAAGATGCTGTACCGTATGCTTAGGACAATCGTCCTTGACGACAACTCATCATCTCTCCTTTCTTCTCACATGCGCGTATTCGGCATCAAGCACATTTGCATGTATCAAGATGCCAAGCTCAATGTGAGCCTCTCTTGATACTGAGGTTGGTCGAATGTCAACATTTCGATGGAAGTCAGATAGCTGGCTGTACTCATGAATCTCCAGCAATGCAGATATCAGCTAGTCAATATGTCTTCGTGCGCCATCCTGAAACGTTCAATCTATCTTTCCCAGCAACTCAGCATACCTCAGCGTATTTTTCGAAGAGGCAACATCCGCCAAACTCGGATTGAGACACGCGATAACCACAGTCTTGCACTCCTGACCTCCCTCGACATCAAACACATGCTTCAAGATCTTTGTCAACGTGCTTCCTCTTACCGGCACATGCACCTTTTTCTTGTTCGTCGCTGCCAATGCTCGCTGACGAATACAGTCNNTTCTGAGGACTGAGAGGCTGACGTTGTTTTCGCGAGTCTCGCGCATCAATTCGGGACCGTGGGCGGTTACGTCACGGGCGATCTCAGAGCCAGCGAGGTCGACCATGTATAGAAAGCCTGGTGTTGACGAGACAGGTGAGGTGACTTTGATGCGGCATATGCAGTGAGAGCGCGAGGAGGCGGGGTTCTTGAGGGTGGGCGCTGCGCGGCGGAAGGACATTGCTTTCTCCAGCAATTCGATGGCTTGCTCTTTGTCGGCGATCTGATGTTCGATGGCGCCAACAAGTTGCGTGGTACCGGATGCGTCTTCGCGAACAGCGATCCTCTCGCGTTGGTTGAGAAGGTCGAATGCCACATTCCCTGCCAGTTCAACGACAGTGACATGTAACTCAGCCTGACGATCCAACAAGTCCGCAACAGCGAGCTTTTGCAGCTCTGTGACGGTGAATGTCTTGCCAGAACTAGTCTGCCCGTATGCGAATAGAGTCCCTAGCTTGCCATCCGCAGCCGACAGCACCAAATCACGCACAACCTCATCATAGACCTGCGCTGTGCTGGCACTAGCATCAAACACATTCTGAAGCTTATGCACCGAAGACTTCAGTATGGGATGGGGTCTTCGTGGGTGGTTGTAGAGATCGTGAAGATCTATGATTTGGTGTGTTGCTGTCGGATCATGAGGACGAGGGTATACAGCACAAGGAAAGCCAGACATGATGTCGTCTCCTAGCATTGGACGGATGCGAACGCTTATGGCCATGTTGGGGTTGTCATTGTCCGTGACATTCTTCGGTGCCTGAGGCGGCAAGTTCATGAAGTGTGCTTGAGGCTTGGTTGGGTCAACTTTGTCGACGTAAGTCTGATAGAGCGCGGCATTTTTCAAGTAGAACTGATCCATGCTTGAGGTGTGTGTGGCTTCAATATTCAAATTTCGGAAATGATGCTGTAGCTTATGAAGCATTCCAATGTTATGCTGGTGCCTACCTTCCAAGACATGAGTGAATGGCTCTTGCCTGCCCAGGTGGTTGCCCCGCCAATGTATGCAGCTGTCCTTCCTTCCCTGGGCATACTTCAGATATCAGGATCATGTTGACGACGCCCAGAATTGTTTCGCACCATCGTGTTATGCGAGTCTCACCGCGAGAAGCGCGATCTCCGGAGGTTCAGCTGTGGGCAAACAGATGCCATTCAGACGTTGCCAACATAGGAAAAGCTTGTTGCGAACGGAGTGAGTGTGTTTGACTTCTGCCTGATGCTTGTGGTGTATTTGTAGTAATGATCCACCAGTCCATAGAGGGAGGAATGGACAATGTTCACTTGGAGCAGGAAGCATTATGAGTTGAAAAGAAGCGTTCATTGCATTTTCTCTTTCTTCCCGCCAAACGCTCGTGCGGAAGACAATGTCAGATAATGATAGAAAAACAACACTTTTGTACACCAGAAAGACGGGATAGCCAGCTTCTGCAATCTGATCCATCTCTTCGATTGAGAAAAAGCAAAAAAGGTAATGACCATAGATATAAAACGCCCCGCGAAGAAACCACATTCTTTTCCGCTGCCAGATATGCTCGAAAAACACCACAAAAAGTCATGAAGAAGGGGGTCAAAGGACCGAAGGAATGTACACAAAAGAGAAAGGTGGAGACAATCCAATGCATCGGAAGGCGATTTTATCTTCCACTGCGTTCTCTTGTTTGTTGACGGCGCTCCTTTTCCTTGGCTTCGTCGTAGACGAGGAACTCGTGGAGGGCGGAGCCACCAGGGACCATAGGCAAGACGGGAATCTTCTGGTCAGTGACGACCTCGAGAAGGGCAGGGCCCTCGCCGGAGCCCTCAATGAGCCACTGGAGGCTATCCTTGAGGTCACCGATCTTGGTGCAGCGGCAGGCCTGAACACCCATCGCGTCACCAAGCTTGACGAAGTCAGCATTGCGCTGATGGGTGTGGGCGAAACGGTCGTTGTAGAAGAGAGATTGCCATTGTGTAACCATGCCCTGCTCTTCGTTGTTCAGAATAAGAACCTTGCAGCCAATGTTGAACTCGGCAGCGGTAGAAAGCTCGGTCAAAGTCATGGAGAACGAGCTGTCACCGTCGATGTCAATAACGAGCTTCTCAGGGCAGGCGACCTTGGCACCAATAGCGGCGGGAAGACCGTAACCCATCGTACCAAGACCACCAGAAGTGATCATGGTGCGGGGGTTGCGCCAGCNGAAGTGCTGAGCGGTCCACATTTGATGTTGGCCAACACCAGTAGTAATGACGGTCTTGTCCTTCATGTGACTAGTCAGGTCAGAGAGCATGCTGATGACAGTCTGAGGCTTAATGAGCGAGTCGGGGCCAGACTCCTTCTCGTAAGCCCAGGGGAAGCGCTTCTTCCAGTCGGCGATCTGGGCGAACCATTCCTTGCGGTCACTCTCGGCAACATTGTTAACCTGAGGAAGGAGGTGGCGGAGGTTGTCAGTCACATCGCCCTCAACAGCCTCGGTGCACTGAATGACCTTGTTGATGTTCTTGGGCATGATGTCGAAGTGGACGATACCGCCACGGCCTTCTTGGGCGGCCAGGCGGGCTTGGGGAGCGAAGCGAGGGACGTGACCAGTGATGCGGTCGTCGAAACGAGCGCCGAGAGCGAGGATGAGATCTGCCTCTTGCATGGACATGTTGGCAAAGGCGGAACCGTGCATACCGAGCATGTGAAGGGCCTTGGGGTCAAGCTCGTCGTAAGCACCGAGACCTTGGAGAGTGGTGGTGACGGGGATCTGAGCCTTCTCGGAGAGCTCCTTCAAGAGCTTGGGACCGTCCTCGTGACCGAGAATACCAGCACCACAGTAGATGACGGGCTTCTTGGCCTTGTTGATCATTTCAGCAGTGCGAGCAATGGCAGTGTCGAGCTGCTTTCTGCTCAAGTCCTTTGCGGCGAGAGAGGCGGCGCTAGGGTGAGTAGGGAGAGTGCTGCTCATGGGGATGGGGCGGTTGAGCATAGCACCAGTGACGTCCTTGGGCAAGTCGACCAAGACAGGGCCGGGTCTGCCAGAGGTAGCGATCTCAAAGGCCTCGTTGATTCTGCGTGGCAGCTCGGCAATGTTCTTAACCATGACGTTCCACTTTGTGCAGGCTCTCGAGATACCAATGACATCGGCCTCCTGGAAAGCGTCCGAACCGATTGCAGTGGTGGGCACCTGACCGCAGAAGACAACCATGGGGGTTCCGTCCATTAGAGCATCCTGCATAGGGGTGATAACGTTGGTGGCTCCAGGACCAGATGTGACGAGGACGACACCAGGCTTACCGCAGGCACGGGCGTAGCCCTCAGCCATATGGCCAGCTCCTTGCTCGTGACGGGGTAGGATGAAGTCGAAGTGTTTTGAGTTGTAGATGGCATCGAAGACGGGCAAGATGGCGCCTCCAGGGTAACCGACTGTGGAAGTGTGTTAGTCGCAGGTCTGTCAGGAAGAGGGTAGTTCTAGCTACTCACAGACGTGCTTGACGTCGTGTCTCAACATCATCTCGTGGAAGATCTGACCGCCGTTCATGCCGACGAACGAGTGGTCCATCTCGGGCTGTCTGAAAGCCTGGAGGGGTGAAACATCGTCCTTGGAGGAGCGGTTGAAGGCTGGGCTAGGGACGGCGCGTGCTGGCGAGGAATTCGCTGCTTGTGCGGCAGCAGCTGTGCTCTGTTCTCTCTTCTCGACCTTCTTTTGTGACTTTGTGGAGGGGTTCGGCGATCTGTAGGGCGAGATGGCAGCGATGGGGCGAGTTGTGGAAAAGTGGCGAGCGCGGAGCGACAAGCGGAGAGCGCGATTCGGGGCTTGTGACGAGAGCATCTTAGTCAATGAACCGCAATCAAGGTGCGTGTGCGTGTGCGTGTGCGTGTGAAGAAACAAGTCTTGGGTTTGGCCTCTGTTTCGAGGGACTTTCACTGAGCGGATGACTCAAAAATATTCGCCAGCGGCCTCTTGCCTGTTGCTTTGGTTTTCGGGAGTGCGACCTGCATGCCAAGCGCCTGGATCGTTGCCGCCGATTGCGGCCGTCGTCCACCTCCCCGGCACATCAGAGTGGGGTAGTTTGCCTGCCCATCGAACCACAGCTCTGTCCATTGACCCATCTCCTCATAGCTATTGTTTGTCTCGAGGTATTGCGAACCACTGTGACACCTTTGTACACCTCCTCCCTTTACTGGTCTATATCGCCAACACATCCTAATTGAGTTGGTTGCGATGCTCCAACTTCACAAAGAGTCGAAAAAGCCAATTACGTAGGTCTGTCAGCCACGCACGGATCGCATCGGCTTGACTCCGCGTCTTGTAAAATCCCTCCGACTTCGCCCATATGCGACAACATCCTTGGTCCATCATCCGCTCATTGTTCCACTGCTATGCAAAGACGTGGCCTTGAGTTTACTGCATTGCTTGAGGACTGTTATACGTTCAAGTAAATCTCTCACAGGTTACTTACTCGATACAGGACATCTCAACAAAAACGAAATGCTTGACATTCTGGTCGTCGACATCATGCGTAATCTATCATGAATGTACGCTTGATCATAATCTGGTCAGAACCCTCAGACAGCATACTCTGACCTTCTCCGAGCGTATCCGATCCCCCTTCGGCGATTGTCTCGATACCTTCTGGTTCTCTCTGCTCAAGGACCGTGTCGTTGCGCTGTCCACTGCCCGTCACATGGGACAGAGCAAACGATGGCCCTTTCCCACTGCTGCCTGACCTAGAAGAGGCATACGCTGCACTTGCTGCCGGATCCATCTGCTCCAACGTTGTGTTGAGATATCCTGAATTGAGCTTGGTAAGAGGATTTCGGAGAATCGGTATTGTGGCAGCCAAAACGGTGAAGTGCATCTCAAGCTGTGTCAGAACTACTGGTAACGTCATGTCGAAAGTACGGTCCGCCCCTCTACTCGCCTTGGCCAATGCCACGAGTCGGAAGATGGTCAGCATGATCGTTCTAACCCTATTAGCAACCATGAAACTTGATCCACCAAACTAACTTACGGNGAACCGGAGACTGAAGTAAATCGCACAGCCCAACTTCTTCTTCAGCGGCATATGAAGGGTCCATAAAAGCCATGCAGGACAGATGATCAGAAGAATCTCGATCAACATACTCAAGACGTCAGTCGCGATCCATCGATGAANGCTGTAGAATCATCAGCGGCCTACCTTACACACAGACTGCTCTGGAAGACTGACTATGGATTTGTGGCTCACCACAACAATGCCCCATACGCGTATGCCGTGCTCTACCCTGATCGCAATCATGAGGAAACACGCAATCGCGACGAGTACCGATGATCCCGCGCTGAAGCGAGCAAGTCGGTGGAAGAAGCTCCGTTCGGGTCCAGACAGTCGCAAGAAGAAGAGGCTGACTGCGAGTCGTGCAATGAAGATGGTTGGTATGTAAAGGAGATCGCTGACGTAAAGAAGCTGNNCTTGTGGTCAGTATAGATCATGGCAGATTCAAAGCAGGACCCATACTTTGAGAGCTGCACTTATCTGATGGGACGAGAGGACGAACTCAGCCCTCCCAAGTCCAGCTTTGGCGCTTGAGAGCAAAACAATACTATGACATGAGGCACACACNNCTAAAAAGTCAGTTTGGTCACTTTTCTCCCGGGCTTGTGGACCAACCGAAGCTGAAAGTGTCGTCCAATCGTCAGGTCCAAGAGATCGCTTCCATGGATATCGAACGACGAGCCGAGCGCTCAAAAAGAGCAGCATACAAACAAGACACAGAGCTGTTGCTATAAAGATGAATGCTGAATGGTCTGTAGCCGTGATGGCAGGCCGTGACTTCGAACTTACTGCTTCCATCTCGANCCTGTGGATTCTGGCAAAAACGACTATCGGAGCGAAAAAGCGAAGGCCAGATGCATACGCCGACATAGTTTTAGGTGAAAGGACCCGAACACAAAAATAAGCGTAACCCGGAACACCATCTCAAGTGTTCTTCACAAGGGGCAGCGGAAACCGAGGCCAAGGTTGCGCAGTCAAAGCCAATTCTTCTAGAGCAGTACATGGCTGACTTGTGCGATTTGTACTTCGGAGGGCATTGTTGGACGCGTCCATGGAGACTACGACCCGAGAGCACAAAATCCTTTGTTGCAACCAAGGTCTATTTCTGATCTCTCGTGAGGCCGCCTCGACGGGTGCTCGCAACTTCAACTTTATGCTGTGCCACCGGTGGCAGATGGCGCTCGCCCTGCTGCAGCTGTCAAAGATGATGAGTGGCGGTTCTGGAAGTGATGCTTACTTGGTTTTGGTTGAGCTTTTGCAAGCCCCAAACTGCAAACTACGCAAGACCTTCTTCTGGATGATACATCTTACCATGAATTATTGGCTTCTGTACGACATACCGCGTGTCCTTCAACGGGTGGCAACAGTATAGTCGTGCATCACCGCACGCGGCATTTGTATCCTCAGCCTTACTGGAATCGGTACCCCTACGTCCTACACACCACGAAAAGATCCAAGGTAGAGGCAAGACGACACACGCCCGGCATCAACGTTGTCACACACACAAAGTGTGCTCGTTCGCTCTTCGGAGTGCACGTAGGTTCACCTATTCGAAGCAATTTCGAAGCGTTACCTAGTGTTTCGCTCAACGGCAACAGCCCATATCGCAGTAGGTAATACTGCTTACCTTAAACAATTTTAATTTAAGAACTTGCCAGAAATTGCTTCCCAAGTCTTGAGGAGATGGGTCGAAGTGCAGATTCTGGGTTGCGCAATGCAAGCGTAAATTCTGTCACACCTTCGCTACCATCCTACAACCAAAGTTGCCCTAGAGCGATCATTCGCATGTGGTCGCAGCGCTAGTCTCGTATCACGTACATTCATGCACAGTTGCAAGCATATCGTGTTGATACGAGGTCGGACATCTGCTCACGCCACGCAATGAGCTTTTCGTACAACTTCCCTCACCAGCTACAGCAGGAGCGACACTGTGACCGAACCCGTGCCGCCCAAAAATGCTCGGCCATGTGCAGCAAACTGCAAGTGCCGCTCAACCGTGCGGAAACATTGGGAATTCGACTGATCAAGATCAGAATGCAGGATATCGAGTAAGATCGACGTCGATGCCCAATGAATATTCGCCGGCAACTGGTAGACCCAGTATATGATAGGCATGTTTTCCACCACCTGGGACACTTATCGCTTCATCATTCTGGGTAGTCGACATCGATATGCTCGACAACAAGTACGAAGCCTACGAGCTTCAAACGCCTATCAGCGAGAAAGGTTATGAAATGCAACCAGGACAAGGGATCAAGTCTGGAACTGCTCGAGATGCTGCCGATATGATGCGTCTGGGAAAGAAGCAGGAGTTTAGGAGGAACTTCCATGCTTTCTCCATGCTCGGGCTATCTAGTGTTCTGTATGCTCTCGTCCGTTTGCACCAGATCTCGACAAAGCTAACTCGGGTCAAGNNCATGGGAACATGGCAAGCATTGATAGGCTCTGCAACCTTCAGCTTAATCAACGGTGGACTCGCTGGTTCTATCTGGTCCTATATCGCAACCTGGATCTGTACCATCTCTGTCACTTTGTCTCTTGCAGAGATGGCTAGTATGGCACCTACTTCAGGNGGTCAATACCACTGTGAGGAATCCTGCAAAAATGCCTTCGAGGATTATGCTGACTCCGTGTGTGCTGCAGGGACTAGTGAGTTCGCTCCGGCAAACTGTCAGAAAGCTCTCAGCTATTTTGTCGGATGGCTTTCTGCACTGGGCTGGCAAACGTCGATCGCGCTCACGTCTTTCGCTGCTGGTAACGTCATACTCGAGCTCGCCTCTGCTATGTACCCCACGTATACACCGGCTCTCTGGCATGGCACTCTCATGACCATCCTGATGGCAATATTGGCGGTGATGGTCAACACTCTGGGAGCAAAGCGGCTGCCGTTACTCGAAGCGGCCATCCTGTTCCTGCACATCTTTGGGTTCTTTGCTGTCCTGATCCCACTCTGGGTTATGGCTCCCAAGATTTCGGCTAAAGAAGCGTTCACTTCATTTTCCAACACTGGCGGCTGGAGCAGTATCGGAGCCGCGGTCGTGATAGGTCAGCTCACTGCTGTAGGGTCTCTTGGAGGTAGCTATGGGTGCTCCCCGGAAGCTGTTCTTACTAATGAATCGAANGGATCTGATGCTCCAGCTCATCTTGCTGAAGAAGTCGCTAACGCGAGTTATGTGGTTCCTCGGGTCATGGTTGCCACCGTCCTGTTGAACGGTGCACTGGGGCTAGTCTCGATCATTACCTTTGTCCTCTGCATCACTGACTACGACACCATGGTCGCAAATAACATGGCGGTGTATCCGTACATCTCAATCTTTCAGCAAGCCGTTGGCTCTGATGTCGGTGCCACGCTCATGACAACACTNTTTGTGCTCCTCAATTTCTTCGCGGCGTTGAGCGTTGTCGCTGCCGGATCTCGTCAAATATTCTCGTTCGCTCGTGACAAGGGCATGCCTTTCTCTGGATGGTTCAGACAGGTGGGTGATCCTTCTGAAACTCGAAACGAGGCGAACATGCTGACTCCCGAANNGATTGTGACCATTGGCACGCCAATCCCTCTCAATGCCATTCTCTTCTCGCTATCAATCACCGTCGTCCTCGCACTTATCAATCTTGGCTCAACCACAGCTTTCAATTCGATTGTGGGCTTACTTGCCGGCTCTGGAGGGTTCTCATACTCCATCAGTATTGCATGCGTGCTCTGGCGGAAGATTTGCAANAAGCCCTTGCCACAAGGAAGGTTCTCTCTGGGCAAGATGGGCATCCCGATCAATGCCTTTGCTGTCTTGTACATGATACAGCAAGCCATCATCAGTTTCTTCCCGATGTTCGCCATCGTCACTGTCAAGACGATGAATTATGGTTGCGTTATGTTTGGTGGAGTGGCCATCATTTCGATTGTGTACTACATTGTCAAAGGGAGGCATGTGTATAAAGGTCCAGTCGTTGACGTTCGCCGTGGCTAGGTAGTTGTTGATATGGTCGTGGATTTTTGCTTCATTGGGGTGTTTGAGTGCTTGTGTTTGTAGTAAGTGTTCTTTCGATTTAGAAGTTGACATATCTCAAGCAAGTTGTTCCGTCAAAAACATTCGAAATCAACCGAGATGCCTTTATCTGAAACCTGCCAAGGTGCGCTAAAATATATCCTTACAACTTGGCCCTAGAGTCGCTCTTTCCACTTGGTCGTTCTGAGCCTTTCCAACCGGAGCGCTTGCAGTATGATATATTGTGCTTCCATCTTTAGCCTCTACGGCTCCATGCTTCGACCCCGTGGGGTGTAACACGGTCTCGCTTATCACATCTCAAACACCTGGCTCCTCCACGTATAGTTCACAGACCTTTTTATCAGTGGAAGTGGCATCCTCGGCCTTCCGGAATGGCTGCAAGGCCATGCGACATCCTAGGATGTGACACCGCCGTCAGTAACATATGCTTGGCAAGCCCTATACAAGAGCTTTCTTTGGCCACATGCATCCATCTCATTGACGGATAATCTATCTGCGGAGAAATGCACCTTGTGGTCGCTCTCGAACGCTAAAATCGTGGGAAGATGGTCATCTGAAGATATAAGAGGGCTTCGGACTTCCTGCCTGGCTCTTTCCATTCTCAATAAGCAGGTGCTTCCTTCCTGACTCAGCATGAAGTTTGCCTCAGCTGTTCTTCTGGTGCTCAGTGCTGTTTCGACTGCACTTGCTGCTTCCTTCACCAACCCTCTGAAAGCAAAGGATGGATCAGATCCCTTCATCGTCTACTCTGGCGATGGCTACTATTATCTTTTGACCACTGAGTGGACCAACATCCAAGTCACCAGATCCAAGACCCTGGGTGGATTGAAGACTGGCGAGACCAGAGTCGTGTGGCAAGACAGTACTGCCTCTCGTTGCTGCAACGGTAGGTGATTCACAGATCAACACATTGAGCATGAAACATACTGATCTGAGTTTATGGCAGTGTGGGCACCTGAGGTCCACTGGATCAACGACGCATGGTACATCTACTACAGCGCTTCCAACAAAGATGACCTCGGCACCCAACGCATCCACGTCCTGAAAGGTGAGGATATCCTCCACGAGAAGCATCAGCTGAGCAGACACTAATCACCAAACACAGGAGGAACTAGTGTCTTCGACACATACACCTACGCCGGCCAACTCTTCAACGAATGGAGCATCGACGGCACCGTCCTTCGCTTCCCAGATAAGAACTACTTTGTCTACTCCTGCCAACGCACCAACCTCCAATCCCTCTGCATTGCACCCATGAACTCTCCCACTTCCGTCGGAGCCGCAAAGACGCTTTCGCAGCCTACTCTCGCTTGGGAGAAGATTGGCGAGTTTCCTGTCAACGAAGGGCCAGCTGCGCTCTATCATGGCGGAAAGACTTTCTTGACTTATTCTGCAAGCTACTGCTGGACTAGCTCTTATCAACTTGGTCTCTTGACCTACAAGGGTAGTGGTGATCCTACCAATGCTGCTAGTTGGACAAAGAGTGGACCTGTATTCAGCTCTGCCAATGGAAACTATGGTACCGGACACAATGGGTATGTGACAAGACAACATGAATCTAGACGTTTCCGCGACTGACATCTTGATAGATTCTTCAACAGTCCAGACAACAAGGAGATCTGGAATGTTTATCATGCTACTGCAAACTCGGCTGGTGCCTGCGATGGCAATAGATACACAGAGGCGCAGAGAGTGGATTGGAATGCTGATGGCAGTCCTAACTTTGGCAAGGCCGTGAAACTCGGAGCAACTCTCAATGGGCCTTCGGGCGAGTAGTAGAGTCTTCAGTCATCTCCATTATCGCAATGCGAGGTTTAGAGTACATGGTGATGTCTTGTGTTCGTGGGAGGAGTTTATAGCTACTATATCTTTGCCATGTTCTCAGATAGGACTTACCTCGGTTCGTTTGTTTGGTTTCGAGATGCAAGATCGAGAAGGATGCGGCCGCCGGCTGATCTTGCCTTCTTTTGAGAAAGAACCCCAACTTGTCTCCTTCCCGATTCGTGTGCTCAAAGATACATACTTTTGGAGAGGTAGCTTCTCATATTGAATCACGCAACTTCCAAGTTGATAACCTGCTGTCTTTACAAAACAAAAATCTGGTGCGAGAAACAGTACGATTGCGCATGCTGTGCCACATCCTTCGGAACTCCACAAGGGCTGCTTGCATCAACATTGATAACAGGCAATATAAAGACAGCGCATCTCCCTCACTCTCGTCCATCTTCCCAACAACGAAACGTCAGTCCCGTCGCTCTACCATTGCAAGCATTTCCCACCGGGCGTACAAATACCTGATCGGTCAAATAACTATGGCGACGGCAACTACATCAAAGGCCCCTGGAGGACCATTCATCCTCTCTCGCGCAACAACACCCCAAGATTTCACCGACATTGTCGCCTGCGAGTTTCGCACCTTTACCGACTCTTTTATCCGCGATCTCTTCATGGGCCCCGATACACCGTCCAATCAATCTCGGCTTGCCTCCTACTACCATACGATCCTCCACACTAACCCCGCGGACGTTTGGATAAAGGTTACAGAAAAGAGGACTGGCAAGATAGTGGCAGCGAGCAATTGGAGAGTACACATGGGATTTGTGCCGGAACATGAGGAGGAGGATATGGGATGGGAATGGTTAGAGGGTGATGAGGAAAAGTTGAAAAAGTGCAAGGAGGTTATGAAGGATATTGCGGACAAGAGGAGGAGTTTGTTTAGGGAGCCTTATTGTCGTGAGTCTACTTTTCTCTGTTTCGAGCTATTCAATGATTTCCTTTTCTTTCAACTTCACACTTCCTTCCTTTCTGGTCGTAGTTTCATCAACTATTACTGACTCAACGACTGACAACTTGTAGAGCTTCATATTTGCTTTACAGATTCATATTACCAACGAAGAGGCATTGGATCTATGATGCTGCAATGGGGATGTGACCTTGCGGATCAATTGTTCTTGCCCTCATGGGTTGAGGCGTCTCCGACAGGTAACTTCCTGTATCGTAAGCATGGGTACGCGGATGTCGACGTGAAGAAAGGAGGAGATATGGAGGGTAGTCTGATGAAGAGGGAGGCGAAGGTGCTGTTCATCGGAGGCGGAGCAAAAGTGCAAGGAGATCGAAGTTGAGTGATGATACTATCGGTTGAAGACAGAGCGCTCGCAATATGTAAGTCGGGTTCATCCAGCTCGCGGAAAGAGAACGGGCTAAATCGTTCCAGCGAACAGACCAAAGAAATAACATATCAATGGTATGAGGATTATAACAGCTGGTATGAGACTCACCAAAATTTGGTTTGTTGGACACTCTGCCACCTTAGTCTATCACCACAGCAGAAGTACATAATGGTCGGTCCATTTCACGGATCGGTAAGACGGTATGAGGTTTCAGACGACCTGAAATCGCTCACGTACACTCAGAAGTTCTGATAGACCATTGCGTATCTTTTGTTGTCCTTCGAGGCGGAGATTGAGGGGACTTCTGTGTCTTACAAGAGCGTATGGACTTCTTGCACGGTATGAATCGACGTAAAGCGGACACCAGCTGTCGAGTGGTTGAGTACAATTCCTCTTCTTGACTGCTTCGTAACGAACATCGAGGTGCAAGGTTTGGAGATGCGAGAGGTTTGTCTTGATCCAGTCCAAAATCCCGAACCATCTCCCTTCGACGAGCATGCAAGACCTGATGTCGAAAATGGAGAGCGTTTCCCTGTGGATGTCGAGTAGACTGTTGAGCATGTCGGCAGAGACATGAATGTGAGCCAGCGTTAGTACTCTCAGACCATCGGACCTGATGCTACCCAGAAGCTCATCATTACTGCAGAATTTGTGAGGGTAGACTCCAAGCCAGTACGCCCCAACCGAACGAGCCTCATCAAAGTTTACAATTCTGAAGGCTTTGAGATGGATCGCCGCGCCTACAGCCTTCTTCCATGAGCGTACCGGGTCGTGCAATACATCTCCGCAATACATCACCGAGATGTCTTGCAGGCAAGAGTAGTCAGGCTTGATCTTGCTCTCCCTGTGTACGTAATCTCTGGGTGGGAGTGTCTTCCCAGACTTCCGGCGCCATTCGAACAAGGCGAAGGATCGTATATGGCTGCCTAGATCTGAGAGCAGGAGATCGGAAAACCAGTTGAAGGCGTTGCGCTTATCCCAGACCTTCAAGTCGACAAATAGGCGCCGGCCACGAGCACTCGAAGCAAAGTGTTTGGTGCGCTTGCAAGTAAGGCGGAGGTTCACGAGATCGTTCACGGTGAGATCTTCGTCTTCGATGATCAGAGCAAGAAGTTCGTTGGGCAAGTTGACAAGAAATTCGGCCATGGTGTCATTCTGAGGACGGTCAAACGCTGTACTTGTGGTGGGTGGCAGAGGTTGTGATCTATCCGGAATTGACGCGGCGAGCAAAAGATGATCGGTCTTGTTGGCAGTCTCAGCTGCATATGTGTGAACGTGTTGCTGGTCAACCATATCGATGTGGAAGGTGGTTAGCTTTATCGCTGAGTTCTCGCGCTCATTTCAGTCCACGCGAGATGTGTTGTTGCGGTTTCAGCTTTCATTATATAGGTCAATTCTAGAATGCTCAACGGAGAGGCACAAAGCTTGTGCGAAGAATTGGAAGACTCTAGTGCAACTGCGCCTTTCTTTATCAGTGCAAGGACTCAACTGGAAGGAGCCTCTGTCGAAGCTTTCTTCCCTGATGCGGACATGCATCCACAGGACCTGCAGCAGATAATAAGATCAGTAGTATTCTCGCGCCGACACATCTGCCAAAGTGATACAAAGTAACATCAAGAAAAAAAAAGAATACACAATTCTCAGAAACCAAAAATCGGTCCACAGACAGACGGCGACGTGAAGACTCGCAGTAGATAGTTCTCCGTCTTTCGAAAATGTTGTGCATTCCTGCAGTGGCTATTCGTTTGAGCCTTGCCACTATTCTGAACATTCCCTTGGACACCATTTCTTCTCAATGACTTCGATACCACCGGAATACCTGTTAAGCAAAAGTATTCTTCTAATCCCCATCTTCGTCGATTCTTCCTGCGCCTCAGTTCCTGATCAACAAAGAATTAATGACTTGCCTTCGCCCCCTTAGAAGACTTGGGTTCGAGACCGACCAACTCTAGACCGTCTGACCTCGTGACTCTCCTCGAAGTTCGTCGTTCTTCTTCAGGGAGGCGATGTAAGCCTCGATGGTCTCTCTTCCAACATTCGTGACCAACTCCTTCCACACNNGATAGGTTGGAGATTGCCCAAAAGGACCGAAAGACGTTTGTTTGATCTCGTAAAAATGCTGTAGATCAACTCGCTGCAGGCAAGGAAGGTTCTGGAAACCCCATTCGAGGAGACCGAAGCAGCTGCCGGATTTGAGTTGGCAATCACGGAGTGACAATCTGCGAATAGTACCACTGTGTCTCCCGAGTAGGGATCTGACTGTGTCGACAGAAACCACCATGTCTGCAAGATCCAGCTCGGTGAGACGGTCAGATTCGAGTCTGGAGGGGATCGCGTCCACCTTTTCACAGTCGCGAAGTTTTCTGGCACAAGCCGTTCTTTGGACATCCCAGTGCGAAGGTACACCCTGTTGCTCATATCAATGAACACCCTTGCGGAACCTGTCTGTGCTGAAAGTGAAGATCCCCAGATGGTTTGCTAATGCCAACAACTCCCCTAAAGCGCTTGCAGAGTCGCCGCAGTTGAGAGGAGATTCGAACTTGATGTTCTTNNGGAGTCCTGAGTAGTTTGGATACATCTCTACATCCGTCTGTGTCTCTTGATAGTTGTGTACGCATACGAATTGCACATATGTGAGGAAGGGACAGAGATTCGAAGAGCAGATAACTGCGAGACGCTTGAACTCATCGATGGACGAACCCAAACAAAGACCGCCTCTAAAGCGTTCCACGGCAAATGCTTCCGTTACGTGCAGATTGAATTGACTGCAAACGCGACGCAGGTTGGCAAGATCGTCCGCGAACAGTCCAGAATCCTTAAAGATCTTGACCAACATCTCGGCTGGAAGGGCAAGGATGAAAGATGGCGTAGGAATGTTAACAGTCTGGAAAGCACATCGGGTCAGAGACCATCATGCGAATTTATGCGGACTGTTCGCACCTCTTGACCATCACTCATCGATGATTGATCAGGGCTTGGAGACTCGGTCTTGTTCACAGGCTTAGTTTCGGTCGACTTGGTCGAAGTCGTGCTTCTAGGGTCATCGCTTGCTTCGCCGTCGTCGGAATGGTAATAGTAGGACTTGGTGTAACGAGAAATGCAGTAAGTTTCGCGGTACTCAGACCTTGGAAGAGGGTAGCAGTAAAGCATTGCCGCGTGTTCAGACGACGTGATGGCACATCTATCGTTAGTGGTGTGGACTGGAAAGTAGCAGAGAAGTTCCAAGAGCTTAGCCGTTGTTGTTTTGAAAGCTGTTTGTGCGATTTCTTTTTGGCAATCGCTCTTGAAGTTTGCGCCGGGTTTGTACCTTCCGGTCACTTTGCTACCATAAAGTGAGCGGATCTCAACACTACCTTATCTTCGTCAGTATACAGTGAATGAGGGCCTGTTAGAGGTGATCGAAGTTTCCCTGCGAACGAGTCACTGCTAAGAGATCCAAAGTGGTTCACACGGTGACCAGTTGTATACAGTGTTCTTCAGTTTAGTAACTACGGTTTCAGCGATGCCCCAATCTGTCCTTTTCGGCTGATTAAGCTGTAGAGTGCTGAATGAGGTCTACACTTCACTTCGTTTTCGAAGACCACCCATGCACTCGTTCTGACAAGTCTCAGTCTCAGTCCTTCCAAGCACGAGCTCAAGAAAGTTGAAAATGATGCCCCGTTTCAATCATTCGGAAAGACTGCGGCGTGATGTCGCCATGATCGGGGCGATCGGGATATGATATGAGGGCTTGAGATGCCTCGAATAGCAAGCCACACGTACGCAGGCGGGAAGATGGTATGAGAAGACGCAAGAACAGCAGAACAAGGCGTCCGGCAATTTGCGAGGAAACATGTCAAGCCGACAAGAGAACAAAAGGCAAGAGCGAAGGCCGACAGAGAGAAATCAGGCTGAAGGAAAGAGCTCGCGGGTGACGTCAGAAAATGCCCCACACTGAACAACATCATCGGCGGGCTGGGAGAGCTACATCTACCACGACCTCTGCTCTTTTTCTTTCCTGTCAACAAACATCTCACTCGAATCACCCAACTCTTTCAACTTTCCACCCCCACAGTAAGCTCTTCTCGCACCGTCGCACCATCAAGCAAGACACTGACAGCTCTCCCAGCACTCCAAAACACCTTCAGTACGCCAACCCCGCCCTCCTCAACGCATCCCATCACACGACGTGTCTAACACCTCAACAGCAATGTCCGCTCCCAACGCCGGCCGTCAGTCCCCCGAGCCTGAGCAGCAGGACGCCAAGCAGCAATCCGCCCCCACCTCCAGCAACCCCAACCAGCAGGGCGCCGAGCCTGAGCAGGGCTCCCAGCAGGCCTCCAAGGACCAGTTGGCCAACCTCAAGAGCAACCCCACCGGTCCCCTCGACCAGGCCGCCAAGGACAAGACTTCTAAGACAACCTAGATTATCTCCCTTGTCTTTTTCACGAATTCAGATCCCGCTGCTTTGATCATGGCGGAGGAATGTTTATGACATGATTGTTTCGACTCAATGGGGTGGATGACATCTCCATACCCCTCAGATACCTCGAATGTGTACCAAAATTCAATTCGGTTCAAACTAAACATCTTCCTATCGTACATTCCCTGACTCGTTCCCGCTTATAGCCGTTTTCATCTTCATAATGACATGCCAAACGTCTTGGTGGCGGACATCTCGAGGCTTCGATACGGCCTTGACCTGATTAAATATGGGTAGCGAGCAAGAGATACTGTTTAAACATGTCCGACGTGATCTCGACCTTGACAGTCTGATATACGCTTTTCCCTTCTATCAATCTACTCGACCGCTTGGGTCACCCTGTTCGCCGACATACTCGCGTATGTTAGCGGGTCGAACAACATCTCGGCTCGCTCTTCTTTGACCATGCGCTGGGTACGACAGCATCGGAACGTCATCTACACAAGGAAGAACGCTGCTTGCCACAATCACGATAGTTGGTGTGTTCTCGAGAGGTTGTGTCAGGTCGAAAAGCACGTAGAAGGCTACTTCAATCAAAGTCAGAGTTAGACCCCTGTTGGATGTTCAGTCTCTGATAGGACGAACGTGTGGGGGCACATCTTCCATCCACTCTACCAGGTCCTCCTCCATATTTTCGGCTCATCGTAATCTTCGCTTTCCAGGGATGCAGTCTCCTGTAGCGGTGTCCGTTCACTCTCTATCCTGTGAGATGATTCCGCGCTTTCGGATTCATCCCCATAATGGGACACCGACTCAATGGCACGATTCCTGGCTGCCTCGACGTGCTCCCTGAATCCGTCAATTGCGTCAAAGCCAAAGCGCTGCAGGACCCGCACTACTGCTGTGAGTGTACCAATGTATTGCGCATCCAACTTACGTATCGTCGGAGATTTGGAGGTGAGGATCGGTATGTCGTCTTTGTCGACTTTGATTGAGTACCAGTATTGCCATTGTGGCCCTGGTGTATCAAGCTTCTTGCGTACCCATCTAGATTTCTTGATGTCCAACTTCTTGACTAGGAATTGGAGGGCTTGTTCTGCGTTTCCGTAGCTTAAGATGTCCAGTCTGTCGTTGGTTGCTTCTGATGAGAAGCGAGTTTTGACATTGCGTTTCTTGACCATCTGCTCATAGGTCTCGATGACTGCGGTCAAGGCTTCAATGTATGTTGAGGCAACTGAGAGAGCCTTGACCTTCCACTCAGGTACGGCCAGGGTGATTTGATAATGAGCATCGAGTTGATCATTTGACATGCTGAGTTTGAGTCTCGGAACCATGCCATATCTTGCAGCCTGTAGGTATATCTGTANTATTGCTTTAGTGCCTAGGCGGATCGGGTATATAAGCAGATTACGAACCCTCAAGAACTTCCTCGATGCAATTGTTCCCTTGTAAATTGTGTCAAGCTCACCGCTTCGATACAGCGCCGAGACCCGTGCAAGCCTCCGATTTGCATATGCCTNCTGCCTGTGAAATGTGAATCAGTTTTAACAGACGTGACAGCCCAGCGGTTTCGGACATACCTTGCTATACCCAAAAGAGTCTACAACCCGAATTCCCAACAAAGGCAATGAGTCTCTGGTAGTACACATGAAAATTTTGCGCTGGCCCTTTGAGAGTTTATGCTTTTGTACGTGGATGTCAATGCCGGCGTATGAATTTTNCCAGTGGCCCACAAACTTCTGAGCTGTACCAAGCCCACCAACATCCGTGTCCTTCAAAGCGGGTTTCCATTTGTCCCAATAGGTATCGGACGGTAGAATGAGGCTGGATAGCCATTTGTCAACATCAACGCGTGCGATGTTCCCTATATATGGAGTATGTTTGACATGTCGCGGTGCTGCTGAGTGTTGCTCTTCAAGAAGGCTGTCGCGGAAATCCGGAGCTTGGTGTCCAGACTGCGTATCATCGACAGACTCCTCATCAGGAATTTCCTCGATATCAGTTCTCTTAGTATGGGAATTTTTCCAAGTGATCACATGGCGGATCTTGTAATGCCGGATAGCACCAAGACGACGACACTGATAGAAGTTCGTATTCAGTGAAGTTCGAAAGTATTTGTATGGTTCCAAGTGTCTTCCAAGTCCAGTTGCTGTGCGAGAAAACACACGAAAACATATACTCATCGTTGTTGTCTAAGAACAATGGCGATAAAACAAGAATACAAGGGTGTTGATGTGATGCCAAGACCACTCGCGCGCTTGAGTCAGCAGGAACGGTCATGACTCGAGGCACCACTTGCCTCTATTGCGTGCACCTGTCGTTCCCACTGTCACACCAATTATACAAATATCAGAAACAGAAGTGAGGAAACCCAACTGGCAATCATCTCACACAAAGCAGTCACAAGTTTGTGGTTGGGCTCGCTCATCACCAAGAACACCCAGACGTCTTGACCTCCAGAACTTCTTCGTTTAGTGTTTTCGCATCACGCTTTTATCGCTTCGTGAGGGAAACCGAACAACTAGTCCTTTGACTCTCCTTCACACTTCTTGGAAGTCTCATGAACAAAACATCCGCCATGGACGCCATCACACCAGCAATCCTACTACTAAATCTGCCACCTTCGGCTTTGGGTGGCATGGACCTGCTCTCCTTTACCACCACTCCAAAATTTCAAGGCATCAAAAACATACCTCCTGGTCTGCATTTTGTCTTTGCCGGCTCGACCAGCACATTATCTGTTCGCCATGGCGTTTGGATCAAAGTCAATGCATCATCGTCCGGCCCTCCAGATTTCTTCATTCGCAAATGGGATACAAGCAGTGAAGAACTATTACCAGAAACAGATGTTACTACGCTTNNCCTGCAGCAGCGAGCCAATCTAGGAAGGATTTGGAGAGATAATTTGACACCGTATCGACAGAGCGCCTCACAAGACTCTGTAGCCGCGGAAGAATCAAATCGCTGGGTGGAATTAACGGACTGCATTTCAGAATCACTTCTGGCGCGTGTATTAGACGCAGATGCCGAGACCTGGACAATCACGTCATCCAGCAGCGCCAAACAGGACTTTGACGACATACCAGGACTTTCCGCTTCTGACCTCACTGGCAACGAGCGCGAACTGCACCTTCTCCCGATTGACCTAAAACAGACATGGCGAGAGGGAGCAACAGGACGTGAGCGTACCGAAGCCGCGCAAGATCGTTCATGGCTACTATCGGATCTTAGCACACGCTTCTGCAACAACGACACCACTCAGATACATGGCGAGCTCCAATTCTGCTTCGCCATGGTGTTGACGCTAAACAATTATTCCTGTCTCGAACAATGGCGCAGAATCCTTTCCCTAGTCTTAACTTGCGTCAGTGCAGTGACTACCCACCCGTCCTTCTTCGTGCGCACACTCGCAACCCTGAAACTCCAGCTCCAACACGGCCAAGACGTTGAAACTGGCCTCTTCGACCTCAGCGACGACGGTGCCACATTTCTAAAATCGCTCCTTTTTCGCTTCAAGAAAGCAGTCGACGGTCTATCAGGAAACACGCACGCAGATGTAGTGGACGAACTCGATGATTTGCTCGCCTATGCCCAAGAGTCTCTGGGATGGCAACTGCATCAAGGNCTTTTTGCACGCACAGGCATGCTATCACTCGAAGACGGCGAAGAGGTAGAAATGGACAACACCACTTTCGACGAAGACGACGAGGCTGGTGAATACGCACCTACGGTCGTCGAGTTGAGCGCCGAGCAGATGAAATTGTTGGGGATCGACGAGAGTGTGCAGCAAGTGATGAATGGCAACAAAACGCCTAATCTACGTGACCGTCTGCACAAGGACGAGGTGGATGCCGGACGAGATGGCTATCAGTACGAGGTACAAAGTGACGAGGAGTCAGAGAAGGAGGTCCCGGCATTTGATGACGACGAAGAGGAAGAATTGGATCTTGAAGACATGGACGCTCGATACTGAGCTCCGATCCATTGGACATGAAGACATGCTTGGATCAGCGCCTCGTGCAGAATTTGAAGAAAACACAAATCAAAGCTGAGGAGCATGTCATTAATCCAGCATACACACATCTCAAACCAGGCGCATGGCTCGAGTCCTGTCAGTTCAATTACTAGGTCTCAGGGATGTTACAGCTGTATCGCGCAAGCATCCGGTCGACGTACGGCAATCTAGCCTCCACATGTCGCAGCCACTTGAGTGCGTAACCTGAACATTCTCGTGCTATACTTTTTATCATCAAGGAGGTGAGTGATGACAAAGAGATGGAAGAGGGTATGTGTTTATGTAAATGCCCGTGAGGTAGAGAGTGGGTCTTGTACAATCCATTTGGTACTCAATCCCGTCACCTCGAGCTCACGTCTGATATGTACTCCTGCATTTCCACACACACACACACACACACACACACACACACACACACACACATACACACACACACACACACATATATATATATATATATACTCATTCCACCGTGCGTGATGCTGGAACCGACACGAAGCCCGAGTTTAAGCAGCCGGACACCATCCATAACGACAAACAACCCCAGCGCTTCGGCCTTCCGACTTTGTAGTGTTCGCCTTTGTGCGTCGATTCCGCAATCCCAGAGCCTTAGATATCAGTGGACGAGCGATTCAATCCATAGCTTCTGAATCGTGACCCGAGCTCATTCGTCTTTTGCTCGTCTAAGAACTAATGATTCTATCGCTTCGGCTTCCCGTGCTCTGTGATATCCACCTTCGTGCGTCGGTTCTATAAGCATCAAGACTCAGACATCGGTAAATGCGCAGAGCATTGTTTGGTACGGTATCGTAACCCAAGTCCATTCGTTTGCACACCCGTACCGCGAGTGTATGGCAGCAATCGATCATCAAACTCACTGGCCATTCCACAATAATAAACAACTCCAGCGCTTCGGCTTCCGTACTCTGTGGTAATCGCCATCGTGCGTCGGTTCCGAGATCCATGGGAGTCCAAAGATGGCGACGAGCAAACGATCTATAGCTCTAGCATCGTAACCCGCGTCCGTTCGTTGTATACCCGTACTGCGAGTGTGTGGCAGCAAATACGGGCAATGGGCGAGCAATCGTCGGATTCGTTCGTCAGTTCAGGTTTCTCCAACCATCCCACAAGAAGGTTGGAGTTGATGGGAGAGTTGAACAAACCTGCCTCTAAAGTTTTATAGTCGTGCAGAAGACCAGAGCATGCCACTCACTGTATCTCATTGCAATGGCGAAAACAGTCTTTGTGATACTACTGTATATCTAAAACGCCAAGGTGATCTTGCATTTGGGAACCTCGATTATCCCTCTCCTTCCTCATCCCTAGAACATTCCACATATTCACTCCCTCCGATGTTTTTGTACATGAGAAAATCGCCCGCCAAAAACGCCATATGCTAATCAACAACAATCATTTAGTAAGCACCAACGTCACCACCAACACGGGTAAGCACCTCGAACACTCTGGGCTGCAACTTGTATTGAATCAAGCCAGCAAAGACCATAGTGTCCTTTGCAACCTGGAGGATATCATCAGCCACCTTCTCACGACCGCGCTCTTCGAAGCCGGAGGGCGACGAGCGGAGGTAATCGCGCTGTTGGCCGCAGCAGGTGATGGTCCAAATGAGCAGGTTACCGATGTTGCGGGCGACGGGTGGGGGCAAGTTGCTGAAGGCATTGGCGGATGCACGAATGAGGCTCATGTTGCCGCCTGCAGAGATGGGGAGGCAGTTTAGGCTGTTGAGGGCATCGAGGGCAAGGGCCCAGCGACCTTCGGCGACGAGGGATTTGGCTTCGGCCATGCCGAGGAGGAGTGTGCAGGATTCGCGGTTGACTTGCTTGATCTTGGCAGCGTGGAGCTGGTTGCTCTCGTACAAGGCACGCATGTTGCGGGTCAAGGTGTAGGGATCCTCGACAGCGGTTAGACTGAGGGATGCAGAGGTCTCGACAGCGGTGGGATCGCGGGGCTTGAGGGGAGTGAGACGCAGAGGTGCATCGCCCAGTTCGACACTAATGGCCTCTGACAAGGCTTTGTTGCAGATAGTGATAACGTTGTCGTATTCCTCAGCCAGGTGGTAAAGCAGAACGGCATCAGTAACCCGACCATTGTCGTCAGCAATCTGCGCAGCACTGATAGTGATGTAACGCAAGAATGCTTTCTCATCAGCAATGCGGATGATCTTCAGACGCTGTTCGATAGAACCGGGAATGCGTTGACCGTCGGAACGAATGTCTCCGAGCAACTGGGCGAATTCGCGAGTCTCGAGCACAAGTTCACGTAGACCATCGTGGCAGAGTGCGACCTGACGCTGACCAATCTCTCCACCTAGGTCTCCGTTCAAGCAGATCAAAGCAATGTGGTCAGCGGCAGTAGTTGGCGACTGAGCACGGAAGTCCTTGGTGTAGTAGCCAATCAGATGAGCGAAGCTGATCTGGGGCTTTTGGCTTGTAGTGTATGACAAGAGGTCTTCGGAGTTGCTGTAGTCATTGACACGCAACAGACCGTAGTAGTTGAGAGCGATGGCAAAGTGCACAGCGCTGAGGTAGTTGTTGGGGTATAACCAGGCAATAGCGCTCTCGAACTGGCCAGCCAGAATTTGGAGGAAGAAGTAGGTGCCATATCCAGCAGCGCCTTCAGCACCTTGGACGAAATGCCTTTGACCGACCTCGTGAATGACGTTTCTGACATCGTCGAGACCAAAGACCTCGGAAGCAGTCTCCTCAACGCGGTTGACCTCGCGGGCAAGCACGAACTGCAGCCAGACCCAGTCCTCCATGTTCTGGTTGATGCTATCAAGAGTACGTCTGCCAAGCTCGCAGCGACCGATGATCTTGAAACAGGCCATGCGGTAGGGGTCGACGCTGTTCTCGGGAGCGAATTGTGCTCTTTGTGAGTAGGTGTTGTTGATTCTGGTCTGCAACTCGGGAGGAAGGCGACGGTCAGTGCTGCGGGCGTAGGCGGCAAGGAAAAGAGGGAAGTTGCGGTCGCAAGCCTTGATGGCACGTTCGTTGTCGGCCACATATTCGGCAGCTTCGTTGACGAGACCGGCGCGGAGAAGGTAGAAGATGAGAACCCAGGGGTAGTCCTCGTTGATCATTTGCAGCTCGCTGGTGTCTGGACCAAGTTCCTTGCGAGCAGCACGCAGACGGACATACGCGCGAACCTTGTTGATGACCGAAGGGACACCACCGAGAGCAGCCTCCTTTGCATTCTTGAGGATGGCTGTCTCGAGCTGGGCGAGGAATTGCTTTTCGAGGAAACGTCTGGAGCCGTCGATGATGCGTTTACGAAGATCGAAAGCCTTGCGTGAGTTGGGGGCGTCGTCGAGGTAGTCTTGTGCGAATTGACGTTCCTTGATGGCACGAGGGTCGGATGAGGTCTGGATATCGGGACTTTCGCCGACAATGTCGGCAAGAGCCTTGTAAGCATCGACGAGTTTTGATGTGTCTTCGGCTGAAGGTTGTGCCTCGACGTCGACGAAGTTGTGCAGAAGTGGGTAGAGGCGACCCTCGATGCGGGCGATGTTGAGTTCCTTGACCTTGCTTGAGTACTTGTCCTGCTTGTCTCTGAGCATGCGGTTTTCGCTGACGTTCTGCAGACCAGCAGGTGCCTTCTCAGCCACATCAGTGAACTGGCTGGCTCTGGAGGTCTGTCTGCCAGTGGCTCCGAGTACAGACTTGGAGCCCATTCTCGAGGCACCAGCCGAGTTAGCGANAGGAGCTCTGCGGCTTGAACGGCCGAAGGCGCCGCGTGCGCCATCGGTTGTTGTACCCTCGAAACTAGCCTCTGCCTTGTCCGACTTCTTTGTGATTCCAAAGTGCTCGTAGATTTGCTTGCGCTTCTGCTCCCAGTTACACTGCAGATTGTCCTCGATAAACTGGTCAAAGTCCCTCTTGGAATCTTCCATGAACTCATCAAACAGATCCTTCTTTTCCTTTTGGTAGAGACTTTCGACGTAAGTATCGAGATCGCCGTACAGGGNGTCGTTTGCAGCGATGGGAGTAGGGGCCTTTGCGGCAGAGCTGTTTGTGAAGAGGTTGAGGTCGCGTAGAGCGGCGCCTGTGTTGACGCCCGAGGCAGCGAGCAGGTAGTGGGCCTTGCTGTCAGGTGTGTACTGTTGACCCAGTCCGCGCACCTTCTTCTGGATGTCGCCCAAGCCGAGTTGCAGTGTAGGTAGCTCTCCGAAAGCGCCCATGCGTGCGCTAGTGTCAGCCTCGGCTCCCTGTCTCTTGATGTTGCGCTCGATCAGGTTGTCAAAATAAACGGGTCTAGGATTCTGCTCTTGCTGTCCAGTAGGTGCGGTGCTTGCGCNCGAGTCCTAGATTCTGGTCAGCGCGAGTCAATTGATCATCGAGGACTTTCGTGTCTCACCTTGATTGTTTCCGCCAAAGGCAGACTGCTGAGGATTTGCGGGAGCTGGCGCATTGCTGGTAGCTCCAAAGAGGTTGCCTCCAGATGTGGGGGCTGTTCCAAAGAGACTCGGAGCAGTGGTAGCAGGTTGTTGTGTAGGGTTGGATGCGCCGCCGAACAGGTTGGAGCCTGTAGAGGTGGGTTGCGCAGGTGTGTTGGAGTTTCCTGAGTTGTTGTTGAAGAGCGACAGAGTGGGCTTGTTGCCGGGTTGTTGTTGCTGGGCGCCGAAAAGACCTCCAGAAGAAGCTCCTCCAGTAGCAGTAGCTCCAAGCGCAGTGCCAAACAATGATGAGCCCTGTTGTTGCGTTGTCGCAGGCGTAGATGCTGTGTTTCCAAAGAGACCTCCAGCGCCAGCAGGCTTGTTGCCACCGAGATTTCCAAACAGCCCCGACATGGTTGGTATCCCTGTCGTGGATGGTGCAGGTGAAGGTGATGGTGGAGGGCTCGATTCTTCTAGAGGAGACGCGAAACTGACTCGCTTTCCCTTCTTGACGCCAGCCATGACTCGCGGCGGGCCGACGTACATCCGTGGTATATCAGACATCACGCCTTCTCCTCGATGCTTGACCACTGCGATTACCTTCTTGTTTGTCTTCGTGCCGTCGCGTTTTGCTCAATAACACAAGGAAGAATTGAATTCAGAACACTTGGTGCTGGAGTCTGTCGTTGGCGGTCCACGCTCAGCTGGGCTCGGCGTGTTGTACCATATTATCCAGCCTTAGCGGCCCACAGCGCAGTTGTATCTCTAGTAAGTCGTAAATCAAGGCATCTTCTCAAACTCTTCTACCTAGAGTCGCCCAAGAAAGATCAAAGACGCTCGTGTTGGTACTCCCCTTGCTGTCCGTCCATGATACTGCCTTTTACATATGTCTCGTCTCTGTCCAAGATGTGGCCTGAGCATGGAATAGTCTCACTCTTTCCATATCTCATCTGCAACTCCATCAAAAGGTACAATGCCATTCACAGTACTGCTTTGTTCCACAGAGACTTCTAAGATCTCGTGTTTCCCTGCCCATTGATGCTTCTTTGTTCATCACCTTATGACTTTGTATCATCATTGATGCCGTATTGCTGGATGTCGACACAACATCAGACTCTGCAGCCAGACTTCTCAGCTTTATAATCCTGCTCCTCTTTCCTTCTTGCACTTCTCGTTTCAAGGAGCAGCACCTGTCTTCCTTTCTGTTCGTCACTGTCTCTACCACCACCAACTCTCCTTTCTCATATTCAACAAGCACATCTCGCTGGACGAGGTTGGCGCTCTTCTCTTTTCTGCCACCTCCGTTGGTTCAATCTTTCGCCATGCAGCATCGGCCAAATGTAAATGTGACACTGCCCCCTGACTTTCGCTTGACGGCAAACTCAAACCCGCAGTTCAGATCTGAGAGTGGTACAATGCTGCACCATTCCAACCGATCCGTCTATCCGCCTTTCATTCGTCGACCACATGTCTCTGAACATTACCTCGCCTATTGTCCGAACGATGAGAGTGCAGCACCTGTTGAGCACCCAACTCTCCTTTCTCTTTCCGACTCAGACGAGTACAGAAGCTTGAACCTAGATGATGACAGCCTTGAGGGCGAGACTCTGGTAGAAGTCCCCTCTCCTCGAACTCCATATTTTGGGCCCAGAACCACCACTACTCGCGGCTTTACCTCTGATGGTCTCCCAAACATCGACAGTGATGGGTTCTCGTCAACCTTTTGGAACATACCACCAGAAGAGCGCGCTCTCATGACCAACAGCGCCAACTTTGCTCGTGACCGCCGCCAGTGTCGTGGTGCCATCCAATCTGACACTCCTTTGGAGCCTGATCCTTCTTCGCCATTGTCATCAACCCCTTCCTCCAACTTGTCTCCGCCTGCCTCTCCTCTTGGATCTTCCTGGTCTGAGGATCCTCGCGACGACAGCGATGATGGTATGGCTCCAGTCTCTGCTTCTCCTGCCGCCCCTGATGACTCCCTGACACCCCCTCGTGGTCGTCTATAATGCTCGTTCACGCCTTCGGAGCGTGACAATGCTGGTGTGGTCTTGGTGCCTGGTCTTCTTCGTCGCCTGGGCCGTCCGTTCTCTGGTCCCTGGCGAGGCCCGTCATCTCCCTTGGCCCCATTCGCGTCGGTCGATTCGCCGCATACCAGTCGTCTGTCACGTCTGCGTCGTTTGTTCTCGCATCGCCGTTGAAGTGGAGGCAGGGCGTGCGAAGTCTTTGGTGGTTGATTCCATGCGTTTCTACATGGTTGTCCTCTTGCCTTTTGGTAGTTTGGAGCATCTCTGTTCTTTACCTTTTCTGATACCCTTCTTATTCGCTTTCTCTAGAACTCGTAATGCCAATCTTGTCTCAAATCACCCTTTGCCAGTTCTCTTCACGATGTAGACATACGCTAGATCCAGTTTGCGCCACATCTCAAAAGAATTGATTGCTGTATGCAAGATCACAAAAAGGCACCCTACTCTCAGTTGAGGTGGAGTGTCCATCGAGATTGCTTTTACCAAGCAGCAAATGTTGTATTGAGGCGTATATATCGGTCTACTCCCAGCATACTCCAATCAGAATATCAGTTTGTTACCGTCTTTCTCCTGGCCCCATGCTATCAAGGATATCTGTAGCAATGGACTCTCTTGAAAAGGCCAAACGCTTACCCTTCTGAGAAACTCGGCGTTCCAGTCATATTCGGAGGGAATTCAAGCTCATCAACATTCGTCCTTGGAAATATATGCTTGTGAGAGGTATGTTGCTTCCAGGTCGTTGCCATTGAAGTTCGTTTCTCGGTAGTGCATGCTTTTCATAAAGCTCAAGGTCACAGGAGCGTCAAGTATCTTCACCGTTCGCTATTAGGCCACGTTTTCGAAGAGGACCGCACATCACGCCATCTTCGTCAAACTCATCACGTTGCAGCAGTGTTTCCACAGCTCCCATGAGGTACAGACCTCCATTGCCCAAGATGGAGTAACCAGCATCCAGTCTAAACTCAAACCACTTCAAAACCTCTGTATCTTCTCTGAGCTGATCCAGGTATTCAGCGATCTTGTCTTTGGTCTGCGCTACATCGTTGGTAAGGTCTATCGTAGCAATCATTTTCGAAAGAAGAGCAATGTCTTCATCTGTGCCTTCATCCCAAGAGCATCGTGTGAGAGCTTCGTCATAATCAGTGGCTCTATCCCATGCCACTCTAATCTTGGCTTCTTGGACGTCGTTGACCAGATCCTGCACAAGGAAAAGAACGGTATCGTCCCTTGCAGTTCTTTCGTCGATGATGCCAAAGGTATCCCCAGATAGGTGGTCTAACGGGTTGTCGCCTTGACCAAGACCACACTCGCCAAGTCGTTGATCGACAAAGCTCTTGACCTGATCCAAAGAGTGATTCAAAANACCAGAACGGAAGTTCAGTGCCACTGAGTTGGTGGGTCTTGAGACGATTTGCTGAGAGGGGTCATGTATGACAACCCATCCGTTGTAGAACCCTTCACCCAGTTGCAGGTGATGTTAGGCTTCTTGCTGAGCGCTTTCAAGCACTCTATTGACAACCTTTGTACATAATTAGCATGATCTGTGAGGAGATCTGAGAGCATGCCATCATACCTCGACTGGCACATCTGCAGTCACAAACAAAGGAGTCCACATTGCGACACTCATTGTGATGTGTGGAGGAGATTTTTCTTGAGCCTGATCTGATTTGATACTCTTGAGGTTGAACAAGGACAGATAATCCCCAGCGCTTTGACTCTTGCAAGCGCCGTGATAATGCCAAGGACGTGATTGTTGGTGGTGTGAACAATCTCGTGACTTTACCAGCATGTTGGTAGGGGCGAAGCATTGATTTAACGATTTCACATTCTCGAGTTCTAGACATTCAGATCTTGCACTGGTTCGTCTCGAAAACCATGCAGGAAAACATTGGCTAGAATTTTAACAAAGCAAAAAGAAAATAGATGTATCTACTGACAGAACATAACCTTTGTTGTTTGAGGGCCTATTGCCAATGTTGGATTGTGGCCATCTCTTCGCGCATGATATGCGAGTTGTTGATCCTACGCAAATTGTCTACGGAGACAAGTGTACCAACAGAGGCGAAGCGCTTGAAGATGTCAAGTGATTGGTCACTATATAGCATCAATACGCAGAGCGGCAAACGATCTACGTTTTATGTTCTTAGCTCGAGTATGATGGTTGGAAGACCTGCCTATGTTGTTTACAGCTTCGATCTGCAGAAGCAATCATGCAAATGTGCACTTTAATCAACAGATTCGGAGGCACCCCATAGGCAGGCGGCTGTCCCAATCCCTTGTTGTGCGACCTTTGAGCAGGAGCGGGCACTCGGCTGGACCGAATGTTTGGCTTCGATTGCAGACATAAGATTAAACTTGGGTCCCAGAACAGCACAAGACGTCAGCCGTAGCGTTGTCTGGCGAGGTTTCTGAGCATCTCCATGGTCTTATCTTCCTTGGCTCTGTGGTGTGCAAGTCTTTCTTCTCGCTCGGCCTCGCGAGCGCGGAGAATCTCTTCCTTTCTCAATTCACGTTCCGACTTTTTGCGCTGGGTGGCTTGGAGATGAGCCTTGATGCCGTCCTCGCTGCCTATCAGGTCGCCTTCACCAACCTCCTCGGCTCCTGGGGACTTNNTTTCTTCGCGGAACGCGCGATTCGCAACAGCCTTCTCGCGCTTCTTCTCGAGCTGGCGCTCCCGGGAGCCTGGCTCGGCGCGTGGGTTGAGTTCCTCTAAGCGCTCCTTCTGCAACTTTCGATCCATCTTTCGGTCGAAGCGTAGGTCTTGTCGGCGGGCGGTTTCGCCTTCCTCGGCAAGTTCNNTGTAAAGTGTTAGCCTATTGAGTGTTATGTCCAAGTGCCTTCCCAACACAAGCGTACCATTTCTATATTGCAGATCCTGGATGGATGGTACGGCAGGTCCAACACGAGTTATGTTAGTCGGCAGAGAAGGCGCATATTCGTCTTCGCTGTCCTCATGGTCGGCAGCTGGCTGGCTAGCAGCTGCTTGTTGCACATGCTGGTGGTGGTCTTGTTCTAGTCGTTCTCTCGNGGGTGGGCTACGGCGTGTCGTCTTTGCTTCGGCAGCGGCGTGGTCGGCTTTCTCTTTAGTCACAGGGTCATACCAACCTTCTGCTAACTCGGCTCGATNTCCTGCCCTCTGTCAGATGCTGTGCTTTTCGTGCCGTGGAGACTCCAAGTTCACTTACCACTTTCCTAAGAATGACTTCCACCTACCTTTGATCTCAGTCTCATCCAGCTCGTCTATTTCAATCTGCTTCTGAATGTCAAGATACAGAGCAAACAGTCTCTTGAACTCCTTCAGATCATGTTTGACAAGGGCACGCGCATTCATGGGCAGCTGAACCGGAGCTGGAGAACGACTTCGTCTCCTTTGACGATGATCATGATCACGTCTTGAGCGACCTGGTGAGCGTGATCGCCGCCTCGAAGAATGAGAGTGATCCTCAGGCATGCTTCAACGATAAAGTGAGATTGATTATGATATCGAGCTTATGCAGAATCGCGGCGAGCGTCTTCGGCGGCAGTTACTCCAGCCTTGGCGACCCTGATGACGTTCCTTTGAGGAAGCCGCGATTCGGGACATTGATGCCCCACTCCTGCTCTGTCACCTTAACTCGTGGTGCACCTGTTCACAGCAACTCAGCACAGCAGTAATTCACTGTCTGACACATGCCCGCCTTGTAGAGTGACGCAAGTAGCTTGTGAAGAAGTCAGCAACCTGGCAGTGATTCTCAATGACATTATAGAGCCACAGACGGACTTCTCTCCATACTGGAGTTAGGAGATAGGCAATAACTTTATGCCATCAGCCTAAGGTATGTTATCATCGACGGCTGGGTCGCTGGACGCTATATAATTCAACATTGCCCCTCTTTCGATCGTCGTCTTTCAAGAAATATCAATCTCCTACTTACAATCTACCATCATGACCCGCGTACTTTTGACTGGAGGCTCTGGCTTCATCGCTGCCCATGTTCTTGACATCTTGCTTGAGCATGGTCACTCGGTCGTAACGACTGTCCGTTCTCAAGAAAAGGCCAACAAGATCAAGGAGGCCCACCCCAACGTCTCCGAGAAGCAACTTTCCTTCGCCATTGTCGAAGATATTGCACAAGAGGGCGCCTTTGACAAGGCCGTCGTGTCAGACCCTCCTTTCGAGGCCGTCGTTCACACTGCTTCTCCCTTCCACTTTAACGTCACAGATATTCAGAAGGTTAGTCGCTTCTTTCCACCTACATGTGATCAACTATGGCACAGTACTGACCATATCCCANNGGAACTGCTTGACCCCGCCGTTATCGGAACCACTGGTATCCTGAAGTCGATCAAAAAGAGCGCACCATCTGTCAAGCATGTTGTCATCACCTCAAGCTTTGCATCCATTGTCAACCCCAGCAAGGGTAACTGGCCCGGTCACAAGTACACCGAGGCTGATTGGAACCCCATCACCCACGAAGAGGCTCTCCAGAGCCCTCCTGCTGGATACCGTGCCAGCAAGACATTCGCCGAGAAGGCTTCTTGGGACTTCGTCGAGAAGGAGAAGCCCAACTTCACTCTTTCGACCATCAACCCTCCCCTTGTTCTTGGTCCCATCGTCCACTACCTCAACTCGCTCGAATCGTTAAACACCAGTAACCAGCGCATCAGAGATATCTACCAGGGCAAGGCCAAGGACGAGATCCCTGAGACTGGTACCTTCTTGTGGGTCGACGTTCGCGACCTTGCACTCTCCCACGTCAAGGCCATTGAAGTCGAAGGCGCCATCAACAAGAGATTCTTCGTTACCGCAGGCTACTTCTCCAACAAGGAGATTGCCCAGATCATCAAGAAGGAATACCCTCAGACCAAGGACTTGCCTTCCGACAGCACTCCCGGCGGCGACTACCCCAAGGACGGTGTTTACGGCTTCGACAACAGCAGAACCAAGGACGTGCTGGGCATTCAGTTCAAGTCACTTCACGAGTCGATCAAGGACACTGTCAAGTCGTTCCAGTCGGTCGGTGCATGAGATGGAAAAAGCAGCAATGAGCTTGCATTATGATTAAAAGGCTAGCTAGATTTTTATTCCTATGACTGCAATGATAATGCCTGTACACTTTTAAGTGTTAGTCGATGTTGCGAATCAGAGTAACAATGATCAGAGTGAGAGAAGTATGCTGTGGATCAGGCTGTTGAGCTTTGTTGACAATCACGAAACCTCAAGTGGGTGTTTGAAGTCCATTTTGAGGCTCCATGGGTTTGCGTCCCGAAGGAGGGCCCATGGAAGTCATAAGTTATCGTTTGTTGTGTTCATCATAGTGAGCGGGAAGAGGTTGAAAGGAGAAGTATACTTACAGAGTACAACATGGCCGCTGCCACGACGTCTATGGCAGCAGCAGATGATGGTGTTTGAGGCGGTCGTGGGAGAGAGGAAAAGAGAGAAAAGTTGGGCTGTTGGACTTTATGCGGCGGGCGGAAAACGCCGAGTGGGCTCCTGGCAGCCCCGCCAACAACACAAGAGTCGACGACGCTCTGCCACAACTCGAAAGCTTGCACCAGTCGCATACCTTTATTTCTTGTAGCTCTTCTTCGTTGCGCTTCTCACATCACACTCCGTCAACATGGCCGGTAAGTTTGCGCCATTCTCGAGCATCGTTGGGCAACAAGCTGCCTCGACCTTCTGCTTGCAAGCGCCTTGGGCCGACATGCGCAACGAGTATGGCTGACACAGACCTCGAATAGACTTCCAGAACATCGCTGGTATGCGCCGACCTTGAACCTTCACGCTGCGATCCCTCAAGTCTAACGCAATCCTCAGAACAGTTCGTTCAGTTCTACTACAAGACCTTCGATGAGAACCGCTCCGCCCTCGGTGCCCTCTACGTACGGAAACACCGGCCATGATTGTTGAAAGAGAAGAACACATCCTGATATGATTGGAACATGCAGAAGGACCACTCCATGCTCACCTTCGAGAACTCTCCCGTCCAAGGTGCCGCTGGTATCACTGAGAAGCTCGTCGTATGTTTCGCAAGCCCTATTCTTTGAGCATATGGAGAGGAAGACTAAGCAACCACACAGGGTCTGCCTTTCGCCAAGGTCCAGCACGAGGTTTCCAGCTTGGACGCCCAGCCCTCCAACGACGCCGGTGGTATCCTGGTTCTTGTTGCCGGAAGACTCCTTGTACGTCGAGCACAACTGCGAGCAAACACTGACAACGACTGACGACCCAACTCACAGGTCGACGAGGAGCAGAGACCCATGAGCTACACCCAGTCCTTCCAGCTCCTGCCCGACGGTGCCGGCAGCTATTACGTCTTCAACGACATCTTCAGACTCGTCTATGCTGCCGCATAAGCGATTGAAATAAGAAGTTGAGGAAAGAAAGAGCAAGAAGATGCACATATGTCATGTAATGATTGGATCTTCTTCAGGCCATGTGGCCGATGGACGAAGGAGCGAAATCCAATTGATAAGCCGATAGTTATAAAATATCAGGCCAACGAAATCCACGACTCTCGACATTGAAATGTACTGATGAAACTGCTTTGACATTCCGATTCCTGGTAAATCTACTCTTTGATGTGCCATCCCCGTGACAAGTCAGCAGAGCTTGGTAGCGATATGAGTAGCGTGGTATGAAACTGCTGTCTTGTTATATACATAGCAGTGTAAGGATGGATCTGAGACGATGATCAGACGCAGCAGGACCCTGAAAGTGGTCTGTTTTTGGCAGCAGGTCGGGGAAGGTGACGGTCTTGACGCCGGTCGTTCCTGCTGCGCGACGCGAATCACAACCGCCTGGTCGCAAGCTCTCACTCTTCGTAGGCATCTGCATTTCACTCTCGTCAATACAAGACCCTCCTCATCCATCGAGCCTTTGACCCTATCTCTGTGAAATTTGCATTCAACCATACACAAAGCAGACTTACAGAACCACTCTTCACTGTTCAAACGCTACAGCTTGGTCCGAGCCATTCATCACCTATTCCGATCAAGACAGCTTTACCGTCATACTTGGCCAAACAAAATCCCGCCGTCGCGACACTACACACCTTACAGTCTCAGCATCTGCTAAACTGACAAGATGACAATCGCAGAAGAGCTCCGGTCGCGTAACTTCAGTGAGTCTCATATGTGAATTACGCTGCCTGTTCCACAGCGCGCTGACTCGCGATAGGTNATATACGGCCAATGGTAGGAACGATCACACAAAATGAGCAGTGATCGCATTTGCTGACCCAATCCAACAGGNGCCGGTATCATCAGCATGGTGCTGTGCTTCGGTCTCGGCATTGGCAATATCTTCCTCTTCCACTGGGTCATCCTGTTCGCAGTGATATGCCTGTGAGTAGCAGTCGCGTATCGGAGGATACATTGCGCTAACCCTATATCCAGTGTCTGCTCGTTCATCATCCTCTTCGTCGAAGTCCCTCTCCTCTTGCGTATCTGCCCGACATCGTCCACGTTTGACACATTCATCCGCCGATTCGAGACCAATTACATGCGTGCCGCAATCTACCTTGCCATGAGTGTGATCCAGTGGATCTCGCTCGCTGTCAAGACGACCAGTCTTATCGTTGCTGCGATCGTGCTGCTCATCACGGCACTCTTCTATGCATTGGCTGGTGTCAAGGGACAAGGCTTCGTTGGAAGCAAGACATTGGGTGGTCATGGTGTGGCTCAGATGATCGTCTAGTCTGTCTCTTGCGGACAAGCACCCTTCTGTGGACACGATGAGAGTCGAGGAACACACAAACAACAAAACAACAAAGAAGACTGGTCACAAAAGCACTGGTGCTGCTGTGCACCTGGACGAGGCGCATCGAGCATGCAGCAAAAGGCAATCCCAAGCTCGGGACAAGGTGTATTTTATGCGAATACTGCTCTTAATGAAGATATCTTAGCAACATGAGAAGGTGCATCCAGTTTATGATAGCAGCAAGTCTGTCTAACAACTTGTTTGTTTGGTTCTTGCATTATGCGAGCTGCTGAGTTCGTCGAGTGACACGGTTGGTTAGGTGCCAAGTGGTAGCGTGAAGAAGGTGCTTACGACAGCATTGCATGGCGCAGGGCAGAAAGGGAAAAAGGTCATGCTTGCACGGTCAAACCACCACCCACGATCGAAGATGGCCGAACAACAGAGTTTGGTTATTTGAACAGCAAGTTGATCAAGTTGCTGCTGTGACATAGCTGGGTAGATGAAATCAAGTAACAGCATATCAAGTTTCCAATCATAGCTCCAGGAACCTGTTCATCAAAATGTACCTGAATATGAGGGGCTTCCATGTTCTCGAATGTATCATCACGCGGGGACGGCAGGTGTGGCACTGTGGCTTGGTTGCTCCGAGGAAGCGCATCATGGGGAACTTGACAGGATGGGATCTGAGCGTTTGAAGGTCGGGCTGCCCACCTGGCAACGTGTTGTCAAGCGGGTGTTTTGTATAGCCAGATAGACGACCAGAGATAAGGCGGCATGGGCTTTTTGAAGAGACGGTGAGTGATATCTGTGTGTAGAAATATCTCTCTGCTAGAACCGACAGCAACCGAGCGGCCAATGATATGACGGGTGTAGCTAATAGGCCTTCGTCACGGCTCTAGCGTCGATTCCGATCGGGGCAGGCAGTTTGTCTCTTGAGGCTTTCGTCACCAACTTGGACTTGGTTTCTCCCATTGTCCTCGTCTCACGAGTCCTTGTGTCCTCTCCGAGTCGTCTCAATCGTTCCTGTCTTGTGACGCCAACAACACACACGTTTCCTCTATACCTCCATCTCGTGAATTCCAAAGCGACCATACGAGGTCGACTGCTTCCAGCGTGGTAAGTTTGCATGCACGCATTGGCTTATCATAGATCTGCATGGAAGATACAGCCTGGCAGAGAGTCTCATTGGTGAGCCCCTGCTGCTGCTGAGAATGGCACTGGCGTTGAGCGAGTCAATGAGACATGTTGGCCTTTCTTTAGTACCTATCTATACACCAACACCACCAACATTCAGGTCGCAAGGCCAGCAGGACTGATCGGTTATTGCAGTTTCTCCCGGTGTCCAATATTTCCTTATCGTCACACACCCACCCAACATGAGCGCCGAACAGCCCAAAGTGCCTCCGCGTCCAGCTCGCACCCAGGAGAGAGCTGCAGACCCCACCATGAATGCTCCAATAATTCCTCCTCGTCCCCAGCGACGCAACGAGAGATCCGTCTCTCCCATGAGAGGAGAGTACACTCGTTCTCCCCTGAACGATATGCCGCCCACGACTAGTCCCAACACCAATGGCAAGATGTACAGCCAGAGAAACCTCTCGGCCCAGGACCTGCCTCCTCGCCCTCCGAGTGTCAGCCTTCCTTCAATCGGCCAGGAAGGCAGTGAATACGCCAACCTCCAGGAGGAGGAACAAGCAGCTGCTGAACAGCACCGAAACATCTCCCCGGACTTGCCCATGCACGCTCCTACGGCATCTGTGCCCCAGTCGACGGCCAAGTCCAGAATCCAGACTGTGACCCGCACCGACTCCAGCCAAGCTGCATCTCATGGAATAGGCTCGCCTGGCGAAGCGGTACACCCATTGAGAGCAAAGGCGAGCTTCAGTCGCTCCAACTTGTCTCTGTCTCATGAGCCTACCGAGGAGGACGAGCACGGCATTCCCGAGATTGGTCTCCAAGTGCCTATGTTGAAATATGCCGGTGATGTCCAGGCCCCTACACCAGCTCCCTCAAAGGCCGGTACGCCAAGTATCAGCTTCAACGATGCGGCGCCCCGCAACCACCACCGCAAGCGTAGTTCGCGTCAGGAGTTCCACGGTCCTCCCGGCAGTTACGGTCTGCACGGCCATCGTCAGGATCCCAAGGACCAGTTCGAAAAAGCATGGTACGCCAAGCACCCGGAGGAGCTCGTCAAGGAACATCGTCCCTATGATCCTGGCCACGCTCCCGGTGACTGGGCCTTGAGCAGCGACGACCTTAACAAGCTGGTTCATCAGAACTCTGGTCGTGGCCTTGGAATGGGTNNAAGCTATGCAAATTCTTGTCTTCCACTTTTGTGAAGCTGACGTGCATGTCCAGGCACTTCGCCCGCTGCCATTGGCACACCCGACGAGTCAATCGGTTTCGCAGCTTCCGAAGCTTACACTTCTCGCATGAACTCACCCAAGCTTTTGTCAAGCCTCAGCAAGCGTCCTTCAAGCGGCGCCCAGCCCGCAGTCGAGTCTCCTCTGAGAAAGGAGTCCTTCAGTCAGAAAGAGCTTACACAGAACGACAACGCTCTAGAGAGCGAGGCTGAGGATGAGGTCATTCACATTGATCCCCCAGCCCATCGTCACAGCAAAATTCATGGTGGCGGTTACGACCCTCCTACTGTAGACCTTGGTCCTGAGGGAGGTAACACCAGCGAGCGTGGCGGCTGGGTCATCGAGAATGGCGATGGCATCCCCATCTTGGCCTCTGATGAGGTTGCCAAAAACAATCCCGAGGCCGTCTACTGGCAGCCCGCTGTCTCGCCTTCAAAGGAAAGAAAGGGCAACGATTACTACGATGCGTATGCCTCGGATTCTTCGGCAACCGGTGTTTCTCGCAGACGCAGTGGTGAGAAGCTGAGAACTAGCAGCGGAGGTAACCTGGCGAGATTCAAGTCTCATGAGGCTCAACCTTCTGGTACTGGTACACCTCTGGAGGAGATTGAGGAGTACGAGCCTCTCTTCCCTGATGATGACGACAAGCCTTCGAAGCCTCTCACTGTCACTGATAAACTCAAGCGTCCTGATCTGGCTCGTCACCACTTCCCTAGTCAGGATATCTGGGAGGATACNCCCGAAAGTCTGCAGTATCAGACTGAGGTATCTGGTCCTCAGGAGCCTGAAGATTTGACAACTTCTGCTACTTTCGAAACACCAGAGAAGGAGCAGGCACGTAAGGAGGGCAACAACCCAGAAGATCGCGCCGACTTCCTTTCTCAAGAAGCTAAGAGCATGGCCAAGACTGGTTTTAAGCCTGGCGTTTCTGATGAAATGAGCCGCCCTAGCTACAAGAACCGTTTCCCAAGTAGAGATGTCTGGGAGGACTCACCTGACAGTCTTCAACTGGAGACCACCGTTGATTCTCCTCAAATGGAGGACGAGGATGTGTCAAGTCCAGCTGATATCAAGTCGCCTATAGTTCCTCAGCGTCCGATTCGCTCTTCCAAACTTTCCGAGGTGTCGACTCCCGAACCTGAAGAGAGTACTAAGCCTCAGGTCCCCGCAAGGCCAGTTGGTCAACAAGCTCCTGTAATTCCCGAGCGTCCCAAGCCTCAGGTGCCTGCCAGACCTGCAAGGGCTGAAAACACTCAACCGCAAGATGGCGCGTCCACTGACAGATCTGTGTCGCCCGAAAAGGTTAAGGCCAAGCCTGCAGTCCCTGCAAGGCCGGCAGGCAACAAGTTCGCCGCACTCAAGGCTGGCTTCCTCGAAAACCTGAACGCACGTCTTGGCTCTGGTCCTCAAGCTCCTCCCAAGCATGAAGAGCCTGCTGAAGCACCTGCAGAAGAGAAGGCTCCTCTTGCCGATGCTCGCAAGGGCCGCGCTAGAGGTCCTGCTAGAAGAAAGCCTGCTGCCGAGTCTGCCGCAGCTCCTGCAGCCGCATCCGGCGCTTCAACTTTGTCTATCGGTACAACATTCACCGTCTTCCAGATCAACGATCAAGGAGACCTGTCGGTTCCCATCGACCAGCTCTCACCTACTCTAGCCAAGGGTGCTCAGGAGATGGAGAAGGTGGCTGCAGCAAACACCGAGGGTGCTGCCCCTGCCTCCTCGTCTTCGGCCGTTGATAACGAGAAGACTGTGCTTTCTGGACTCCCGGCCCAAGCAATTGGCCACATTGGAGACACACCCGACCCCAAGTTGTCACAGTCAACAATGGAGCGTGCCTCAGCCATTCAGTCTGGTTTCGAAGCAGCTCTTGCCGACTCGGAGAAGCATGGCGAGCAACCTGCTGGTGGCGAAACGGATGTTGTTCCTTCGATTCCTGACCGCTCGTCAGAAGTGCCTATCCCAGGTCAGACTGCTACGCAGGATACCAGATCTCCAACAGGACTTAAGGGTGACATTGAGAAATCTGAGACTTCAACTACTGCCAGCAAGTCCGAGGACACAAATACTGCCGAGAACTCTGGAGAGAGCTTAGTCTCCAAGATCGGTCAATCCGTCAACAGCGCTGTAAACTACGTGTCTGAATCCGTCTCCGAGACTGTTCAAGGCACCACAACGTCTGAGAGCAAGGAATCTACCGAACAGCAAGCCAAGCCTCAGATGACAGACAGCAGTGTGCAGACCGGTCAGCAAGACATCACCATCAAGAGCCCCACAGGCGAGCAGGAGAGCATGACATTGCATCTGGATGGTCGTGCACCTCAACCGGGCAATGTAGTGGTCAAGGATGGGCAGGAGATTGTAGGCGACATGGACGAGAGACACCGTACCGCTACTATCGGTCATGGCATGTAAAGAGAGTTTAGAGTGTAATAGCAAAGCAAAGAAGAGTTTAAATGACAATCACAAAAGCAGGATTAGGAGTTATATCTTTATTGTTCTTGTGCGATGTAGATACCATGTAATGTCTCTCTACAGGCCAATGAATTGCACAGTCAGGAGCTTACATGATCGATCTCTCGATGGTGCACAGAGTTGTCTTGATATCATGTTTGAATGACTGTTGCTCTATGCTACAAAACTGACACTAGAGTATCTGCTGACTTGACCCTAGACCCTGGAATTTTCGACCTGCTCCTTTCCGGGTAGGTACAAAGATTCCATCGCCCTACCAAGGCACAGGCACATACAATCCAAACCAGGAAGATATCTGGTCTTCACAGCAAAGACTTAGCAAGAGTGCAAGCAAACATCCGGCCATCGATCAAGAGTAACAACCTGTTGAGTTGCAATCATTGTAGCGACTATAGAGCAAGCCCCAAAGATCACTAGTGCGACCCTGATACGAGTGTATTCTAGACGTGGGTGTTGATAAGATTGAAGATCGCTGCCACTCCTCTCCAAGGTGAGCACCAAAATTCGTCATCCAATCAGCGGTCGACTGCACATCAAGCTTGAGCTACTTGAGCAAAAGAGCATGCGAGAGCAGAGGAAGCTCCTTGACATCCTGATAGATCTTTGGCTTGCTCATGAGGTTGGTCATGTCATTGTTCAGAACCTCGATGATGACGTTGCGCAATTCCATGTCATTGTCGATGGTGCTGGTGTAGATGACAATCATCGAGTTGGCGAATCCTTCACTGGTGTGTTCGTAGGCTTCTTGGTATTCCTCCTCGAGACGGGTCTTTTCCTTGAGCTTGGCAGTTTCGATCTCGAGGTAGTCCAGGTGGTAGAAGTAGTGGATCATGAGCTTGACACACTTGGGATCCTCGACATCTGCGTTCCATCTGGAGTCCTCAAGTTCAGTGGTGTTGGCATCAGTACCAGCATTGCGGCTGGGTATATCGACGATGCCGGACTGAGCTTCCTCGAACTCGCCGCCAGCGTCGGTGTGTTTACGGCATGCGAGGTCGAAGAACTCGGACTGGGAGCATATAATGGCTTTGTGGACTTTGTAGGCGTCAGATCCGCAAGTGATCGTGAGGTCTGTATGATTTCCCAGATCTTGAAGACTNNGCGATTCATGTCAGCCATGTTTCTGTTTGGCGGAGAATGACAGGGGATCACACTTGGCCATACCCTTGAGCAACGTCTGTAGAGCTTTTTCCGCAACCATGTTGTAAGGAAGGCTGATTTGGTGGTTGGTAAAGCGCAGTCCAAATGGAGGGTGGATGATACTGGGAGGCCAGACGTTTGCCAACAACTGATATAGATGAAGCGCGATCGAGGTATCAATATCTGCTTTGAGTCGGTGCTCAAACGCTCGTTTGTACTTAGGTTTGTCACGTCTTCCTGCAAGGCTTGCAAGAACACCCCAATATCATTGTGGTCCGTCTTTGTGGTCTTTGCATATCACACACCGGGAACATTGCGTGAAGTTGAATGGCCATCATTGACGTGGAAGCAGGGGTTTGAGACGTATGATGAAAAGAGTGTTGGATTAAGATGGAAGGACGGTTTGCATCCCAACAACTTCAAAAGTGCAAGGTGTTTCTGAATAGCTACATGCTCCGCTGCTTGACATGATTGGTCTCCTTCCTAGTTCTGATCTTCTCAAGTTCAAAGAGAACTTTGTTGATGTTTATCCGCCATTCGAGCTCCGAGACAAAGATAGCGGAGGTGGTGCTCCTAGTCTTCGATACACCAATCCCAAAGTCCGAGTTGGTAGAGCAACAGAGCGTACAACAAGTCAGGAAAGCATTGAACACTCGCTTCCATCACGGGTGCCAGCTGGATCCACTCCCGGTGAACGCTCAGGTTCCTGATGATGATATGACGAAGGCCTTTGTCTGACTCAGGGGTGCTGGTAAATGCGATCTTGATAGCCTTGGCATATCCAGCCGCACTGTACTTCAAGGTGTCCTGGAACTTGCTACGGGAGAGATCTTTGAGACCGGGGATGCCGTACTTGTCGCCCATGGCGTAGAGCATTGCGTGGTAGACCAAGATGCCGTCTGAGATCTCGTAGTCGTCGTAGTGCTTGACAGGTTTCCATTTCCTCACTTTGACAGACTCGGCTTCAAGGTAATCCATGTGGTAGAAGTAGTGAATCATGTGCTTGAGAGCCTCGGGGTCTTCTGCATCGGCATCCCAGTCGACTCCATCCTGATCATCCTCCTTGTTGCGAGCAGGGATTTCAATGATGCCAGTCTTGCCCTCCTTGAATTTGCTGTCGCAGGCGAGGCGGAAGAACTCAGACTGGGGACAGACAATAGCTTTGTTGACATTGTATGTGTCGGTACCACAGGTGATAATGAGGTCGGAATATTTACTGCTTCCATGTAGGCTGCGAGGGCGAGCGATTCAACATATGAATTGTATGTTGCATGCTGTGATGACTCACTCTGCTATGCCCTTGAGCAGCTTTTTGGTGGGCTCTTGTGACGACATCTTATCTTGGTGCTCTCGGAGCGTGGTTCGGCGAAGCGCTGGCGAGTTGCGAATGATGGATGAACCAACTGTTGTTTGGCGCTTGTTTCGTGCGTCGAACGCGAGTGACGAAGACACTCGCTTGTCACTTCGTGGTGGTGTCGCAACACTCGTTTGCACCTTCTGTTTTCGACGCGGCTGTCTGACAAGTGAAGCAAAACATGTGATATTCTTTTGTGCTAATTAATTTCTCGCGTATCCACCTCTTTCGAATAGAATGGATATCCAAAACTATGCTTGCGGCTCACCGGCAGGACCAGGCAACACCTCACCCTCAGCAATTGGCGCGCCGAGGATAGGGAAGCCATCAGCCTCGAAGTCGATCTTCTTCGCATTGGAGTATCTATCTCCGCAGCTGCCGGCAGGGTTGGGAGAAGAATGATAAGCCATCCAAGTCTCTGTACCATCCGGACTGGTAAAGAAGCTGTTGTGGCCAGTACTGTACATGCCGTTTGCCTGGCTAAAGTGAGGGCCAGTCTTGACCCAACTGCTTTGTTCAAGTGGGTCGCCCCNCACGTATTCGAGAAGACCGAGTGAGTATGAGGGGTCCCAGCAGAAAGAGCCAGAATAAGAGAGGAAAGTGCGGTTTTTGCTGTAGAGAGCAAATGGACCTTCGTTGACTGGCATCTGTCCGTTCCGCTCCCAGGCCTCGGTGGGAGAGGCAAGAAGGTGCTCTTCTCCGATGGTAAGGATATCGGAGTTCTTGCCAATGCAAAGTGATTGCAGAGTTTCACCTGTGTCATCTCTGAAGCAAGAGTAGACAAAGTAGTTTTGGCCCTCGATGGTCAGAGGAGTTCCGTCAATGGACCAGGCAGGTGCATTGATAGTGCCGTAGAAGTCGAAGTTGTCCCATGGAGATTCTCCGCCACGTAGGACTTGGGATTGCTGGATTGCGCCGTCGCCGCAGCCACCAGCGGAGAAGTAGATGTGCCANNTCTGATGCCGTATTAGCCCAGTGCCTGGTAAACGATGGATAGATACTCACTGTCCGTCCACAACGTGTAGCTCAGGCGCCCAGATGTTGCACTGGCGAGATGGAAAGTCGGCGCTGGGTGCCCAAACTGTCTTTGGCAGGGCAGTCTTCAGCCCCTCAAGAGTCGTTGCACGTCGAACGCTGATATCGCGATAGTTGGTCGCGGTAAAGTACCAGTACCCTTCGTGCCATACGATGGAAGGGTCACCACCATCCTTAGGCTCCAGAGGGTTTGAATAGGTGGCACCAAGGACAGCAGATGCACCGCTTAGGGCAAGGAGGCCCAGTTTTGAGAAGAACATGATGATGGGAGCGAGTAGAAGGCGAATTGGGTCGAAATATGTGAAGATACTCGTAGACAGCTGGCTTGATGTATCAACTATGCCATGGATCTTACCTTTCTTTATACCTTCTCAATCAAGACTGTTCTCTCTACAACAACCAGCATCATGCTCGGGTGAACGTTTCTTGGTAGTCGTCCGCAGCAGACCATGGAGTAGGGCTTCTGAATGCCAAGTTGAAGATCCCTCTTGTAGACACGACTGCCCGGTGGGAGAAGCACTCTTGGAGCCCCGGTTTACTCACAAAGACTCCACAAACAATCCACTTCGATGCCCCACGGGGTCGTTAGATGGAGAAGAGCTGACTGATGTGATCTGCATGATACTCCGTACTCAAGTGGTATTCGCATATTCGCCAAGGCTCACATTAGCCTTGAAGGTGTGGTTCGGCTGATTGCGGCCCGGAGGAGTGGCTGGGAAAGAGAGCCTGACGACATTGTTCCTTCCTCCAGAGCGAACATGCATGCATCGGTCGAACAATCTAGCATTGTAACCTCTTCGTGTTTACAGCGATATGGAGACGTGGAAGAGGTATGGAACGAGGCAGGATAAATGTCAGGTTGAATTGTTCTTGGCGTACGTACAGCGCTTGGCATGGTTTCATCTTCATCGACCTCATGTCTTGACTTTGTGAACATCCAGCACCTGCCATCTCAAGAAAGAAACATCTCTAACTCGTTAAGATACTGGTCTACCACCAGGGATTGCCCCAGCCCCAGCCATGTCCATAGCCGCCGCTGTTGTGGTTGCAAGCAGGGAAGCCTTGAGCACCAGGACCATGACCAGCAGGTCCTGGCACAATGAAATCGCCAGCAGTGAACTCGGTCATGTTTGAACCGTACATACCACCGTTATACACCTGAATGATCTTTCCACTATTTCCTGGCAGCACTCTTAAAGATCTGGTGTATCCGACTCCATGACCTTGGCTACTGACGTTCTTCCAAGCGCTGGGGTCGCCGTTCTGTGTGTTGAGGAAGAATTGATCGTATGAGGAATCGCTGACAACAATTGTGCCCGAGGGACCACCAGCGGGAGTCCAGACAGTGTAGGGACCTGCGCTGGAGATGCCTTCGGNGGTCTTCAGGATGCTATCGCCAACTGATCCGAATTTGAGAGGTGAGTCTGCAATCTTGTAGTGGGTGGCGTAAGGTGCGCTATCGTTGCTGCCAGTGACGGGATCTGTCCAGAGACCGACTTCGTAGGAGCACATCCATTTTCCGTTGCCGATTTGTGCCATGGTGATCATGCCGGGTCGCTGGGTGTAGTTTGCGTAAGCGACATCATTGACAACATCACCCCATGACATCAGGTCACCACTGGACTGGTGAGCGAGTTTCTGGCCATACGCGGGATCACGTTGGTCGGAGTAGAACACGTTGACCTGGTTGTCGTAGGCGAGAATGAAGGGTTCCCAGACGCAGGGTGCTCCGTTGTCGGTGTTTGGAGGACCGCCGTAAGCGACAGTGGAGACATACTCCCAGGATACACTAAGATTGTCAGCCTGGAAACGCAGCACTCCCTCATGGATAACTCACCCCTTGTCTGTGCTAGCATACAACTGAATATTGGTGCTCGAAAAGTCGCCAGGAATACGGTTACCAGACAGCAGAATGGTTCCAGGCTGGTATTTTCCAAACGGCTGAGCGAGCTCAATCATGAAAGGCTGCAAAATGATACCTCCGGTCACGCTAGCATTGCCGTTGAAGTACGCCTTGGAGAATTCCGACCAGGTGGCTCCATAGTCAGTGCTCTTGTGGATGATGAAGTATTGACCGTCAGGGGCGTTGTAGGCTGCGGTGGCCAAGATGGTGGGTTCACCCTGCTCGCAATTCTGATTGAGAAGGACGGAACGAGCATAACTGCCACCCTTGTCTGGCCAGTTGGCTGGCGGGACGAAGACGGTTGTGTTCTGAACGAAGGGGGCAGGAGGTGCGCTTGGCCATGCCACGGCGGTGGAGGCCAGCAGTGCTGAGCTGAAGAGAGACAAGAAAGAGAACATGATGGTCAACTGCTCAGCGAATGCCAAAGACCTTGGATGTCTCTTTCTCTTGCGGCGAAGGGCTTCTCCTTATATTCTCTCGGCCACCTCGAGACTTGTTATTGACCCCTCACCTCTTTTTGACCAGCCTCGTGATATACTGCACGGTCTCATTGACCCGGAGTACTTCAATTTTTGCCTGTATGCTGGCTGTCAACACGGTCCGGGTATAGGTCTTGTGCCTTACCTACTCTATATATGAAAGCCAGCATTTTCGGTTCAGTACGGACGAGTATACTGGAGATACCATACTCCCCGCAAGCTCACCCCCGCAACGAGACCTGGATGGACATGATCTTCCACGGTCCCACGGCACGATATGCATCACGTCTATCGATTTGATGCCTGTTGCTGCACGCTGCAAGTAAAATGATGTATATAGCAGGTCTAAGTCCTTTCATTTAGCCTAAAGCCTCGTTGTTGACCTCTTCTTCTTGGTCGTAGAAACAGCTGCGAGGGTGGAGAACTATATGTACTTACAGGATGTCAGCTTAGAAATTTGTTGGCAAAAGAGATGCTTAAGCATTGTGGGTGGCTTGGAGGCTTCTGCCATCAAAGTCTTGCATAAGCATTCTAACCAAGACATCCTTGGCGATCACCAGGAACTCCTCCATGCACCGTGGGGCAACTCTGCTCTGGAAACGGCAAGCACTCTGCTTACGCAGAGCACGTCGAGGTTCACTGGTCATATTCTGGTGAACCGTTGCGCGTACGTGACCCGAGGAGGAACAATGCTACAGCTTCTTTCCGCCAAGCATCGAATCAGTGAAGTCACGGTTAAATGTGATTTTCTTGTATCGGAATGATGGCTTGTTCCTGTCGATCATCGGCATTGCCTCATTCAGTCTTCTCCAGACTCGACGTGCATGAACTCGTCATCTTCAGCATCGGTGTCATCTTGCTCAGACTCATCTTCGAAGTCCTCGAAATCATCACTATCGTCTTGTCTCTCCTCGTCGGGCGGTTCTAGGAGGCGGCGAACATCTTCGGTAGGAGCATCGAGAGGCATGTCAGCGTTTCGTATGAAGCTGATAGGCACACTTGATATCGGGTCGTCGAGTTGGGAGTATCCGATAGCGTCCAGATTGGGAAATCTTCTGCTTCCCGCCACATGAGCACTAGAGGCTTCTCCTCTGTTGCTGGTCGAGCTTACAGGTCTCCAGATGACAGTGGATACGTAGTAGTCCAGTTTGTTTGGACCGGTTTCGTCGCGTATCCAACGGTGATGTCCCCAAGTCGAACTTCCACTCCACCTCATGATTCCAGGCTCGCAGTCACGGGCTGATAGCTCAGTATCATCCTTGCGGCGGAAGACCCAGCCCTCCATGGCTTGGTTTACGACGTCGTCAATCTGATCTTTCTTACGCTCGAGGCTCTCAAAAGCCACGCGGAGTTCTGTCAGGCTGTTTGGGAATCTGCAGAAGTCGACCCAAGTAGCGTCGAAGTGGAGATTGTTGTCACTCTCCCAGAACCACCAGTCGGTATGCCTGATGGTGATGGTTATGACTTTAGGATAGAAGAAGCGGAGATTGAGAATGTCCTGAAGTCTTTGTCCGTTCTCTAGAGCATACAGCTGAGGAAAGACACGCACATGCTGTATGATAGGCATGGTCTGTGTTTTGGAGATGGCCAGTAGGATTTGCTGCATTTCTCTCGGAGTGGTTGTGCGTGGTGGCCTTCGATCTGTTGAGGTGAGGTAGAAGGTTTGTTCGGCATTAGTCCATGGTAGGAACCAAGCTTCCTGATAGATGCGCTTGCATGTTCGCAGTAATACTGTGTCAGTCTTTCTGGGCGCAAAATAGTCTGGTCGCTTGTAACATGTCGCATCGTCGTACAGCTGGGTCTCGTCTTGATAATCGGCGAGAGCATAGTTCCAGATTGTCATTCGAATCTCACCAGGCAGGACGGAGAAGAGAGCGGACTGTGATTGTTCATGTGCCGCGTCGGAAGCGAAGTCAGCTGCCTTCAGCGAGTTGTTTTCTGGGATTGCCATGGTGAACCAGTTAATGATAGCTCTCAGCATGATCGCTGTTCAGGAAGTGAGGTTTGATTCCTCTTTATAGTTGGTTGACGCGCTGCGGGGAGCTGTGCGCTGTTGCCTGATTGGCGAACTACAACATGCAGAAGCCTCATCTAGGCATCGATAGCTAATATCTGGGCTCCACGCGACTTTTCCTGAGACGAGATGATCTTTCGAGATGAACGCGAGGCGTGTTTCGAGGTTGTAGAAGTCGAGTGTTCAAAGGGTCAGTGGAAGGCTGACGATGAAGCGGGGCTGGCGAGCTTCGAGACAGAGAGTCGCGATTCGCGACCAGGAGGTTCAACAGAAGACGAGAATCTTTCGCACTGCAGTAGCATCCTTAATAACATGATTCTTACTGTTTCATCCCATTGAAAGGGTATTGATTCTGTCTATGCTTGATGGTCAACTCGATGGTCTGCGGGACTGTGCATCATTGTTGGGATTGATGGTGTCAGCTTCGAGAGAAGCAGATAGCATTGCTCGGAATTGCACCACACCATCAGACCACAAGACACAACGCCAAGTACAGTAGCATCAGTATTCAGAAGAATGTTTCTGATTATGGAAGGACAACCAGGTTAATACACAAAGAGGCTGGACAAGGAGAGCATATATCGGCCTCGAAATGCTTGTTTTAGGGGCAACCCTGGCTAAATACTGCCAAGTCTAAGATGCGGGATGAATTGGGAGGCTCTCGGAAGTGTCGAGAAAGATTGTCGCCGACTCGCCGCTCTTGATGTTACCATCTTCTCTATTGCTCAACAGACACAGTACACAGTAGTAATGGTTCGTATACCCGTTGCGCATACTTCTGGCAATGACTAATCGGTTCATTCTTACAGGCGCACCGCATAGTAACCCAAGTCTTCGTAACAGGCGCCCGCGTCTTCGGCCGCGCCGTCAGCGAAGCATACCGCCACGCCTCTGCGTCACAAAAGTACCAAGCCGCAACCGGAATCAAGGGAGGCACCGGTGGAGCTGGCTTGACTTTGGACGAAGCCTGCAAGATCTTGAACGTCGGACCTCCCAAGGGCGGCAAGGCCAACATGGAACAAGTGACGGAGCGCTTTAAGAAACTCTTCGACCAAAACGACCCCAAGAAGGGAGGCAGTTTCTACCTGCAGAGCAAGGTGTTGCGAGCAAGAGAAAGGATTGACATGGAAGTGCGTGAGGCGGCGAGGGCAGCAGAGAGGGAAGCAGAACTGCAAGAAGGATGGAAGCCAAAGGTTTACAAAGACCGATAGTTGCGAGTTTGAACCTTTTGCTGAAACCATGGCAGCAATGAGCGTGGACTCGCATACTTCCGATCCGCGCATACACTACAAGCGCCTGTCGCCCATTATAGCCCTGCGCCAGGCTAATCCATCCTCGCCTTGGATCTCTTACACTTTCACCCCTTCGAGGCAATTGTACTATTTCGGCATATCTTCAAGGAAGCGCGGCGTTCATCTGTTTTCCTTCTCTCGTCCTTTTCAGGACCTTGTACAGTTCTCGATATCTCGCAACCTCTGCGCCGCGCACCGCAGCGCATCAACCCTTCTCTCCCCTCTGTGGCATATGGAAACTCGGCGTTGGGAAAACAAAAAGAAGCAGTTTTGGAAGACGAAGAAGTCTATGTACAATATTACGAAAGCACACATTCTGCTTGGAACAGCGGAAATAGATGTGGAGCAAAATATCTCTGTTCTTTCCATGTTCGCAGCTTTCGAATCGACAACACGTAATACTCGTGTAATCTGTTGAGACAAGCGTATATGGCACGTATGTGCAGTCAAGACTTAAGGACTCTTAAGCCTCTGCATAAGCCAGATATACAAACAATGTCTACAAGACCAGCTTGTCAACTCCTTCTGAAATTCTAAAGAGCATTTGATCTGTGCTGGTCTGATTGAGCTGGATTTCTAATGCTCAAGTATAGTGAAGAAGGTAGTCATGCTTGTGCAAAGTGTCGAACGTATCTCGATGTTATGCAACATAGCACATTCTGCTCGCCAGATGATGCCAGATGATACCATTCGTCGAGTTCATGTCTTGACCATTGCAGATCGTGTTACGGTATACGTGGACAGCCAGGAAAAGGGCAATGTAGAGCAGACTGTTATCTATCCTCTTAATCTCGGACAATAGCAGTGATATGCGTGTTCTATCAATCTTTTGACGCGATAAAGGCCTTCGTACGTACTCGTGGTCAAACAGTTTAACCGTCTTTGTTAAAAGAAAGCGAATGCCGGCAATCCGAGGGCCCAGATCCGACAAACGTGTCATGGCCAAAGTCAAAGGCTTTGGTAAATAAAGCCGACGTTGGACCTCGAGGACTCGGATACGATCCGACGTCTCCATACCATGGTCACGAGACGGTCAGGCCAGAAGTTGCAAGCGACGACGTTTCTCTGCATGGACCCGCAGGCTGCATTGTGAAGATGCGAAACACCTTGACATTCTGACAATTATGTGGGTGTGTTTTCACTCTGAGCATGTGAAGATAGGCGAGCAGATACGTAGTCGGGCGGTGTGCTCGATGCATCGCCAGACATCGAGGCCTGTATGTATACAAGTGGGGCGGTGATGCTTTGTTTGTACTTTTATTCATTTTTTATCTGGGGAAGAAGATTGAAAAGAAAACTCTGGTTCAGGGAAGGATGCGCACTGGCTGCTATGTGGTGGTTTGACGAATGACAGCATGGGCATTAAGGTATGCGCTAGCGCAAGTAGTCGGCGATTGGTCGAGCAGGACAGGGCCCGTTTGGGCGGGGGCCCCCATGCATACCGACGACCGGGACAGGATGACTCTTTCCTCAAGGCAGCAATGGAGGAGAGATGAAGGTGTGCAGAAGAGTCACCAATGGGTAGAAGGCACATGGAGAAAACGGGAGAGCAGAATCTGCTGTACAGGCCAGATTGTCGGGAAAGACGGTGCTCGCGTGGAAGAGAGAGTGCAAAGTCCAAAGGCGGGCGGCAAGCCTCTAGCGTCTGCGCCAAGCAGGACTGACGGAGGATGGTTGGCTGCTTCTTTACGACCGACGACTGCCTCTAAACATCTTTCTCTTCTCCCTTCTTTTCTGCAAGACCAGCACTTCCATACAAGACGAAGACGTCGCCCATCACTACCACCCAATCCCACCCACCATTCAACTACCACTCGTCTACCACAATGTCGCCGGCCGCCGCTGCTCACTAAATCCACCGCTAGGGGCGCCTGTTCGTTCGGCGCCCTCTAGTGACCGGTCCTTCTCAAGAGCTCTTACCGAGATTTATATACACATTCAATCAGACACCACCTACTACGAGTAGCCCAAGCACAGTCTTGCCGCGACTTCATCGAGACTCAACAACAATCCACCCCGCGACATTTCTGAAAACGAAACGGCTACAAGATTAACAGCCGTTGAGACATACAACGACGAGTCCTAACCGAACGAGGCCACCCCACCTGTGTCCCGCTCCAACCCATCATCATTACAACAAGTCCAATCCGATATTGATTCAACTTAGCAATATACAATGGCCACTTCAATTAACCTGAATACTATGCAGCCACAGGCCATGCATCCCCCAACAAATACCAACAACGAGGCTGCTAGCCAGGCCAGCCCTCGAAAAGCAACAAAAAGCTGTCTAAAAACTCAGACATCGACAGACGGGGTCGACGAAGAGGTAGATGGCGAGAAGAGCACCGGCAAAGAAGACGCAGACACAAACGCACCTGCCATGGCCACACACATGAACATGTCAGGTGCTCTTCAACGCAAGATGTCGGAACTCCAAGCCAGTGGCTGGAGACCGCCGGAAGAGTCATTCGATAGTGACGATGACTACGATGGTGTCGACATGATTAGCAACAGCGATGACGAAGAAAAGAGTATGAGAAAGGCTGAGGAGAAGCTGATGGCTCAAGATGAAGATGACGACGACGAGCACAACGCTGCTCTGGCACGAAGACTTAGTTTGTCCAGCCAAAACAGCAACCAAGCCGAGCTGGCCTACCTCGAGTTCAACGACGACTACCTCTTGGGCGATGTCCCTTTCTCGCAGCCTTGGCTCGATGCTGACGAGATCATGGCCGCGCCCGAGTTCTTCCGTGAGGGAAGNCCCCTGACAAGGACTGAGAGCGAACAGACCGTGCCCCCTCAGCGTCGTGTACGCTTTGAGGAGAGAGCAGACATGTCTGACGAGACCGACTCGGACAACGACAGCGACTTCTTCCCCGATCTCTTCATCCAACAAGACCACCTCGACCCGCGCTTTAGACGCTTGATCGAGAAGGATGACGACCACGAGTTGTACCAGGACGACAGTAGTAATGCCGGTTCTGAATGGGACTTTGAGGCCGATGAGATGAGAATGCTACTCATGGACGAGGAAGAGGAGGAATCGGATTCGTCAGCAGGCTCCAGCGGCTACGAATGTATGTCTTGACCGGTTTGCTGAAACTCGAGTGCCCGTAAGCTAACACTTAGTTCCCCAAAGCCGATGACGGTGACACTACCGACGAAGAGCCCATGCCTCCCCCACCCAAGAGAGCTTCCACCGCACCTACAAGCCCCAGTAGCAACNCTCGCCACTCCTCGCCCTTCCAATGCAAGCTCAACCCGCATCAGATTGCCCCTTCGCAAGAACAAGAACAAGCGCACCCCTACACAGCCCAAGATGGGAACATTCATCATCGACCCTCACCGCCCTGTTCTCACCATTGATGGTGTTGGTGTTTCGCAAAAGAGCACTTTATGGCCTGCGAAGATTCAATCTGCTGCTGACAAGCAGTTGTGGGAGCGCATGCACATGCTGAGCAACACCAACAGTCGTGCTACTAGTCGTACCACCAGCCCTCGCCAGTCGGTTCAACTGACTCCTTCTGGCGAGAGCGACGCCATGAGCATTGGCGAGGAGAACGACTTCTTCGACTCTTTCGGTGCCCTTCGTACCGATCAAGTCATTGGTCCACCAGAAGCTTTTACTCCTTTTGTTGATGTCACTGCTTCCGGTGCTGTCATCCACGACTTTGGTGCTGCCCTTCCTGGTGCTGAAGCAGAGGAAGAACAAGACCCTATGTGCTTCTTGAACTTTGACGATGACGACGATGAGGATCAAGACATGCCTGATGAGTCTGACCACGCCGCCTCTCCTACCACCCAGTCTTTCTCTTCTCAAGTCACAAACACTACTTCATCCCAACCTGGCGGCTTTGATCTGCTTGCTCATCTCGACCGCCACGGAGTCGTTGGCTCCTTCCGCCGCAATCAACACTTCGCCAAAGCCGTTGGTTCTCTGCCTTCGCACCCTGCTCTCAGAGCTTCTATGTCCGAGACAAACGCCATGCAGACAGGTCGTCGTGCTGCAGCCAACACACCCATCACACCTCTAAGNAAAAAGAAGGCAAAGGGTGTTGGAGCTCGCAACTCTCCCATGACCACTACAAGTCCTCTTACCAAGAGCCCTCCTTTTAAGAAGAAAGGACCCATCAGAGGCGGTTTCAGCCGTCGCTGACCACATTACAAGCAACATGACTCACACATGTCAGCACGACTTATGAAAAAACGGCAGGTATCATACCTTGGAGTACTGGAGTCTTTTCAGCGCGTCAGGCGCCTCAAAAGCAACAACTCAAGCCCCAAAGCAACAAAACAATCGTCTTATACATCCTGCTTCTCCAAGACGCGATAGACTTATGACATGCGTTTGCATGCTTTGCAGTGTTTCAAGTATATTGTTCGAGTTTCGTCTTATCGCTCCGTCGTTTCTGTTGTTCTTTCTTGCCCTTTTTCGTTCTTTTTATTGTTCAGCGCCGGGTTTGGCTTTTTGCAACTCACAGATACCTCAAACAGCAATTTGTTTTGTGTCGACGCATTCAGTGTTCGACCTGTTTTCTTCGCTTTTTGCTTTCGCCGATCAATCTTTAGCATCTTGTTGCTTCTTTCCCTTTTGGTCTTCCAGATGGAATATTGCACAGATAGCCATTTTGTTCTTTTTCTTTTCGCTCAAAAAATCTCTGCGTAGATGGACTATTTCGATCAGAATGGAAGAATTTCAAAAATATGTTGCCAATCTATTATACTGTGATATACGTTATTGCCTCAAACTTATGCAAGAGTCTCTTGTACGAAACTCTTCGTGTAGTCGGTTGCGGTCTGGTTACGCCAGTCGGACCAGTCATGATTCAACAGTCCCCAGGTCTCGTCCTTATCTTGACCACCCTCACGGATGTAGTAGCTTCCAGACAAGACCCACTGCATCCAGCCACCGGGACCGCCAGGCAGAGTGGTCAGGTACTCTTTCAAACACTGCGCATAAACACTTTCCGTGCCAGAATTCTGATCGAAGCCGAATTCTGTCAATACCACTGGAGCCGTATTGACAGCAGCGGCATCACCTTCCATGGCATTATAACCCTGATTTCTCAGACTGCCCTCAATGTCGCCGCAGTTTGTCGCGCTGTTGGCATAATTGTGCAGTTCCCAGACAATCTTGTCTGCGTATGCGTGATCGTTCAACGAGAACGAGGTTCCATTGCCGATGTCCTCGCCATTGACTATGGTTCCCAATTGCGTATCATAACTCAACCCCGAGAAAAAGATCAGCGGCGATGTGTTGGCAGCGTAAATCCCATCAGCAGCAGGAATAACGTTTTCATACCAACTAACCCAATTATCGCCAGTACCGTTTTCAGTGGTGCGGAGTTCGTTGCGCAGAGACATGGAGGTAAATGCTGGCCAGGAGGCTGCATGGGAGGCCATGAACGCGAGACCGCGTTTCCAGTTTGCGACGTTGAAGTAGGTGTCGCCGAACCAGGCGTTGCCGTCGGTGTGGCTGCAGCACCATTCGCCTTTGGAGACGTGGTTGTCGAGGTGGATGTAGATTTGTTGGGTGTTTGCTTCGGCGGCGATGGCGTCGAAGANCCTGTGCGTTCGAATGTTAGGGGTTGAGATACGTGGTATATAGTCTTGGATATTACTCACCTCTAGACGAGTGGTGTCCTCGGTAAAGCTTGGATTGCTGGACAGCACTTGGTTCAAGACTTTGGTTCCATTTGTCTCTCCTAGTGCTTGGATGAATGCGGTCTTGAGACTGCTGTCTACGTCTTCATAGATGTCGTCGATCATTTCGATAGCGTAGGTGAGTCTGATCACATTCATGCCGAGGTCTTTGATATTTGTCATGATTGTGCTGACGGATTGGTATTGTAGACCCTCAGGAATCATGACGTCCGCAGCACCTGGCCAGTTGACTCCAGCATAGACGACTGTTTCGTCAAGGCTATTTTTCATGTCGCGGCCGGAGGTGGTAAAGGGTGCGTTAGGCCATGATGATGCTCGTGAAATAATGGGGCTGGCTTGGGCAAGAGCACCCAAGACAGGTAGTAGAAGAGTAGGGATATGCATTGCGGAAGTAACACCGATGAACCGTGAGAGTATAGCAGAAGGGGTAGAGATATTTATACATAGACAAGAAACGTCCGTAAGACCTACCCATTACTTCATCGTACTTACTCTCCTCGTGTATGTGTATGCATCACGCATGCCCTCGACGATCGTTCTCGTTAGAAACACTAGGCAACAAAGGCATAGACGAGCAGTCGCCTTCTGTAAGTGGATGGTGATAGAAAGTTACCCCCTCTTGATAGACATATCCCTCCGGTGTGCATTCTCCCGTCAGATAAAGCAAGGCATATGTGCATGATGGACACGGATAAATTGACTGTTCGTTGTAGGGCGCCAACGCCAACGTAGAAGATCATCGTTCCTGCTGTTGCTGCATACGAGGAGAAATGCAACCTCGTTGAAGGCGGGGGAGACATGAAGTCAGCTTGGCACTTTCGATTCTCACACAGCCGAATCTTGACAGAACACATGTGTGTTCCCATACCTCGGTCAAAAAAATACCGACTGTAGCGTAGCAGCTTGTCTATCGTATTGACGTTGTCGTCAACGAAGAACAAAAAGAAAGCTCTCCCGGACAGGCTTGAACTGTCAACCTCTCGATAGCCGATTTGATCAGATCAAATCTAACAGTCGAACGCGCTAGCCAATTGCGCCACGGAAGATGTGAAAGCTAGGCTTTCTGTGGCTGTTGGATGCGGGCATGCGAGGAACTTCGCAATATAACGCTTTCCATATACGGCACAACCTCGGTAGATCCATCACCCTGTATGTCGAGACACTTCCAAGAGAGATTCCCTTTCGCTCTCCTTACTATCATCATGATCGAAAGATAGCTATAAAAACGCACAGTACTTTACGAGAACGGAGTCACATCCATTGAAAGCTCTTCGCATCATCAACTCTCTGTGGACACGACCAGGGAAAACACAGCTATAAAAATGCACAGTACTTTACAGAGGACCAGTAACGTCTATTGAGAGCTGACGACAGGAAGAGCTCCCTCTGGCCATGATCGGGGAAGATCAGCTATGGAAATGCACAGTATGTTACGAAAACAGAGAACGTCCACTGAAGCGCTCATCGAGAACACCAACCCGTTTTACGAAGATCATACTCTCCTAGGACCTCCTCACATACGAGCTACACCTCGTGTATTATGTCATGGTATCACAAGCACAAAAATTACCACTGGAGACTTGGATTTTGATTGCCGGATTCTATCTCGTGGTCGGCTTCCTCTCCCTGCCCCTCTCCTCCGCTGTGCCTGGCTTCTTCAGACTTCCTCATGACCATCGTCAGGATCGTGGTCGTTATCGTCGTCGTCATCCTCGGAGTCGCCATTTTCTTCCTCGTCGGTTTCTTGCTCGTCCTCCTCCTCAACCTGCTTCCTCAAAGCTCTGATGTCGTCAGGCATGGTATTGTCCAGCTCAACTGTGAGCTGGTCGAGGAGGAGACGGTTTCTGTACAAGGCTGCGTCCATGCCATCATCACATCCTGGTGGGAACAGGATGCGAGTGGACTTGTACAGCATTTCAGCTGCCTGTTGATAGGTCTATGATGGTCAGCACTATTCTGCCTGGACTGATAAGGCAATCTTACCTCGGCCTCATACCAGTCTTCGACTGCATTTGCAAGGAGAGTCAGTGTCTGAATGCGCCAGAAACGGGGAGTCTTGAATCGTGACGGAGCGTGTGCAATGCTGAGATGGCGCCTTGGTTGTTGCTGCTGAAGAGCATATCGAATACTTCATAGACCTGGTCTGACCAGCAGGGGTTTGATGAAGTTGATGATGCCATTTTGAGGAGGTGAGTGACTTTTCCTTGTCTTGATGCACGGCGCAGCGGTGTTATTGCTCGGCGTCAAATCGTCCGTGCGTCTGTATAGCAAACTGACACAAACTCAGCTCTTGGAAGCTCAACACCCGCCGACCATCAGGAATAAGCCGAAGTTGTGCCATGGGACTCAGAGATCGAATCATGCTGCATCGGCCTTACCTACCCTGACGATTGTTGGCTCTTCGGTCTTCTGCATACGATGATTCCATGCTGCATCTGCCGGGACATGGAGAATTGCCCCTGGTCGTAAGATGACCACGAACGACAGGGCACTTTGAAGGGCATGTGGGCTATCTGAACTTCTCCTGGCTTCAATCTATGCTAGACCGAGTTGCTGCATCGTGACAATGGAGAATGTGCGCCACGAAGTGATGCCAACAGCGCGTTGCTGATCGTGTTCATCGACAAGACATACGAACAAAGCAAAAGAGTTGGCAAAAAAGGGGCAAGCCAGGAGTCGAACCCACCACTTTTGATGAAGCAAAAGTAGAGTCTCCGACGCTACTACTCCCGGCGTATACAATCATTGCAATTGGCGGTAAATTACTTCCTGTACAGAGAATCGGGGATCTCCCTTCAGCCAGACTACCGTGTGGACTTATAGAAGGGATGTGAGGTGAGCAACCTTTTTACACTATATAGTCTCATTGTTTTCACTTTCATGATGTCTTTGCCATTGAGATCTCATGCTTGTTGACTACAGACATTAGTGTGATTCTATAGCATTCAGGAGACGGCGAGTTCCATTCTTCTGTTCATATGTTCTTTCTGCATGTAGCAAACAGTCTCCCTTATGCACTATATATGCGTCTCTCCTTCGTAAACGATATCTCTTCAATTCTGCCGGTTGCTGGCCCTGCTCCGACCCTCTGATTGCATTTCCCAAGCATGGTCAACGAAGTGATGACATCTAGCAACCTACCCAGTAAGCTTCCATCATAGTATATATGTGAAGCTGCATACGAGTAAATGGACTATAGCATGCCCCTATAGAGCGATCTATCTCCACCAAGAAGTCACTTCAAGCAGACCAAAATCACTTGAGTCCCCTTCTGTCCTCTTCCTATTACTTCTTCAGCCTTTGCTGTTTGTAAACTCATGCCGCCGCGGATACCGAGTCATTGATTGTCTGGTTGCCTGGTCGCCCGGTTTTGCCGAGGACGAATTTTCCGCCGTCAGAATATATGACAACAGAGCCGGACGCGTCTCCTGAATTCTTCTGTTTTCCAGACTCGCAACCACAACCACAACATTGGCTCCATGACTATCCTTCTATATCTACAACCTACCACCACAACGAGTGACGACTATAATACGGATAGCACCTCAAGACTCACTCGACCACAATCTGCTCACTGCATTGTCTCCTTGAGAACCTGCATCCAGGATGGCGCCAGCATCATCACCAAAAAGTGTAAGAAACACTCAAGTGCTAGAAGTTGATCTGATACTGACCACTCACAGCGGATTCCAATACGGACAGCAAGTTGTCCAGACTCACCAAAGCCACGCCATATAAGCCTAACACACTCCGCTCTCATCACTATCCATGAGAGCCCTCAGCAGAAGAGCAAATCACCTCAACTCACCAGGATGCCTCGCGTCAGGTCCTGTGATGCTTTATACCAGCACGCAACGGACAAGACCCTGCCGCAACTTCCCCAACCTGACGACCTGAATCAAAACCACGACTCGACAGAATCGATCGAGCTTGACGAAGGTATCGAAGCAAACAGTCCCGCCACAACCTCTGTCATCGCTCAGTCCGAAACAAAGCACGAGACTCAGACTCAAAGCTTCCACTGCATGATCGCTGCCCCCGAAGCCGCATGGCAAAACCATCTTCTCAAAGACCAGAGAGCTCGCAAATGGAAAATGTCAACTGCGCTTCAATTCGTCATGGACCAGAATGGCGCTCTTCTATCAGAGATTAAAATTGCCAGCGGCAAAGCCGAATGTCTTGTTTCGTTGTTCAACGACATTGCCGGTACCAATCAGCGCCTTAGGTACCTCCATCAGCGAGCAGTAGAGCAGAGCCGCACCTTCACCCAACAAAGCGATCAGCTCGCCAGTGCCAGCAAGTTTATCCTCACATCAAACGCTAGCTTGATCGCAGAATGTACACGCTTCCTCCAAAACAACGCAAACTCCTACAACCTTCTCCTTGCAGAGAAAGAGGCCAGTCTCAAGTACGCTATGAACAACAAACGTCTCGAAAAGCAACCTCACGTACCAAAGAATCACGATGTTACCAAAGAGAACGAGGAGCTCGCTTTGTTCATTGCTGTTCTGACAACGCTTCTGGACACACTCGAGAACATGAACATTCTCTTGCTCAATCACAAGGACGCGATCGATTCTCAAGTGCTCGAGTTCCAGACAACTATGGCCGAATTGATGCACAAGAAGGGCTCGAGCAATGTGAGTCTTTTCTTCAAACTCTCTTGCTTCCGTTGAAGAGTTTGTCTTCCAATGCAGAACCATTGAAAGGGCGCGGCTTCGTTGGGTGTTTTGACTTGATTTTGCTTCTCTGTCTCTGTTGCATCGCTCTTGCATTTGGGATTTGGTTTATACGCCTTTCTGTAAAGATTAGTCGGTGGCGTTTGAAGCCGGATGGAGGCAGGTACAAGTGCTTGCAAAAGTACATTCATCAACCAGAAAGTCGCGATTGCCCTTCTTCTGATCAAGCTTGTTCTTTCTTTCCATTCTGTTTTTCTTTCGGGCATTGTCTGATACCCCTTTCTTTTCGCTTCTCGTTCTTGTTTTACGATATCAAACTTTTTGGTTCAGAGACGCCTATGAGCAAAACCAAGTATCCGTGTCCCCAAGAACGAATATCTCTGTAGTGAAACTGAACCTTCTATGGTGAAGTGGAGTCGTGACTGCCCGTTTCCTTGACCAAGCAATTTTGGGTTCTTGTTTTCTCTCGTTCTGAACTCTTATTCCTGTATTACTATAAAAAAAACACTTATCACAGAAGCGCTTGAACAACAAATGTGTTTCACGTGTTTTTCTCATGAAAATTTTCTATCACTTCGCGATGACAGAGAATTTCAGTTGGAAGCTCCATAGCAATGTTGACAACCAAGCGATGACTCCTTCCTTTCTTCTCCTGAGACTTCAGATGACGACAGAGAACAACGAAGCAAAGCAAAGCAAAGCAAAGCTCAGGAATACAGCCTCGCATTTCCTAGGTCTGGCAAAAGAAAGCAAGCTATTCTATCCTATCGTACAACCTTCATGCTCAATCGACCTCAACTCTGCATCTTGGCAACTGCGTATTCCTCATCTCTGCCTTCCCTAAGCATACACGCTATTCCTCTCAAATCTCATACTCGGCATTGAAAAGATTCCACAGCCCCTTTTATTCTTCTTACCACTGCCCTCGCCTTCCTCGTTTCCAGTACCATCGACTGGTTTCTTTCTCGGTGACATCTCGGTCCTACTTTTAGATGGCGAGCCTTTGGTTGGCGATACAGACATCGAAGGTCCTTGTAAGTGCTGAGCTAGAGAGCGTATACTCTTTGACGGACTGAGCGAACGAGGTTGAGAAGCTGATGGCCGGGCGGATGGTGGAGGCGGTATGGCTATGCGGTTGGATGGAGGAATGAAGAAGGACTTTATCACACAAAACGATGTTAGCACGGCGAGCACGAGATGCGAAAGACGAAAGACGAGGGGTGAGAGAAGGAGGAAAGAAAAAGCAATAGTTTAGTGAATTGTGCATCAAATATAGTGATAGTGTGTATGCAAAAAGTCTCAAGGACCCCAGAGAAGATCTTTGCGCACCTGAGATTGCTGCTGCTGCTGTGACGATGACAGATCCTGCGGCGAGGTGGCGGCAGTGGCGGCCGAAGAGTCAACACCCAAACCCCTCTCACTTGCCTTCCTCCTCAAAGACTCATCTCCAACGCTATTTCCACTCTCTCCCCTTCTTACAGATTCGCCCAAGAAGCCTGCTGTAAGTCCTTTCTTAGAGTTTGAGCTGCTGCGTCGGCTGTCGAGACTCTTGTTAAGTGTCTTTGCTGCTTCGCTCAGGTCACTCTGTTTCTTCATGCGTATACTGCCTCTAGCGTCTACGGATGAGCTGGCGACGGTGCTCTTGCCTAAGCCTGGCGTAGTTGGAGCGCCGGGCTTGTCTTCGGATGCATGCACCAGATACCATGTCAATCCATCAGAGAGATCGAAAGGGTTGTCGTTCATCTCGTCCAGAGAAGCGGCGTCCACGCTTGTTGAGCCAATGCTGCGACCATCGAATGATGCAGCTGGTTTCGACAAGTCGACAACACGCTCCTCAATCTTGGAGATGCGGGCGACGAGCCACTCACGGCGGTTTAGAACCATACCTTCACGTTCCCGCAAGAAATGGTGTGGTGCATTGATGTTGAAGGCGGCCCATGCGCCGGTTCGCTGGCCTTTAGTCGGCAAGAACAAGGCGAGGTCGCCTTCTTTAAAGTCTCTAACCGCAATCTTGACTGAGGACTCGGCTTGCAAGCGCGTGTTCTTCTCTTTGTATCCGCGTGCCTCCTTTTGCCACTTCCGAGCCGTGTATTCAAAGTCACGAAGGCGTTTGCTGATAGCTTCGCTGAAGATGTCGGTGCTGAACAAGGAGATATGGTTCAGATAGTCAGCATATTGCGATTCTTCTTCAGCCGCATCGGTGGCTTCGGACCAGTGCAGGAAAGTAAGACTTGAAGAATCATCGGAAACGGTAGACGTTTTGCGTGTCGGAGGGGGCGAGGACATCGATATCGCACGAGTGAGACTTGATGTAGGGTCGAAAGTGGTGCTAGCAGTGACCTTAGAAGCCCGCTCGATGATCATATTGCCATCCCTGTGAGTTACGACAAAGCCCAGGGCTTCAANGAAGGCGCAAGAGACGTGCATTCTGAGCATACAGGCGCTGTGCAATCTCCCTGGCACGAGCACCACGCTGCCTGAGTTGTTCCTCGACAGAAGCAGCTGTGGATTTCGCATCGTTGAGCTGCTTCTGTACTCGCATGATTTCCACGTCAAGACTAGCAGCACGAGTCTGAGTATCGGAGAGCTGTTCCGAGAGTTGGATGACTCTACCTTCCTCCTCTGTGACACGCTGGCGAAGCACATCTGCACCCGTTTCTCCGTCGGCGAACTTTGAGCGAAGCTTGCGCAACTGCTCGCGTTCGTCTTCAAGACACGTTGCCAGCGATTCGGCGTGCGCCTTCTCTGCCTCCATCTCATCTTGCAAGCGAATGAGCTCAGTCTCGTTAACAGCCTGCTTCGCCTTGACTGCTTTGAGCTCAGTCCTCTGAGTGCTACTCTGTGATCGGAGAGACTCGGTCTNNCGGATCTCGCAAGTGCGATAGCATCATTCAGCTCTCTGACATGATCCGCAGACTTCTGTGCAAGCCCTTCCAAAGCAGGAACCAGATCCATGAACTTCTCTGGAGGTGAGCTGGTGGGCGATAGATGCTTGTGAGTCTCTTTAAGAATCCGGAAGTTATCAGATTCGTACTGTTGCTGTTCTTCTTTACTCTTTGTAAGGACTTGCAGTTGCTCCTTCAGGCGTTGGTTCTCTTCTTGCTGTTTCCGCAGCAAAGACTGGGTTTCTTCAAGATCAGTGTGGTGCTTCAGCTGTGCTTCCTCCGCAGACTGTTTCATCTTTGCAATCTCGGCTTCGAGTGTTTTGGCTCTAGCATCAATACCAGAAACTTCCTGATCGCGACTACCCAACAACCTGTCGATCTCGTCTTCAAGCTCCTCGATCCTGTGTCGTGCCTGGCCCAAGTCTTGCTCCAAGACCCTGCGCTCATCTGCAAACTCTCTCTGCTGTGCTTCCATATTTTGCATGATATCCTTTTTCGTGGAAACAGCTTCTTCAATCTCGCGTTGACCATCAACATCCTTCCGCTTTCTGTTCTCAGCATCCTTTTCGAGATTTGAAGAATGCTCCTTGGCGGCGTGGAGTTCGGCTTCGAGCGATACTATGCGCTTTGCGAGTTTACCATCTTCAGCAGCTAAGCTTGAAGACGGACGTCTAGAGCTGACAGTCTGCCTGACCAATTCCTCTGAAGGTCTTGGCGATGGCGGAATCGGGCTGACCATGTCGGAAACCAGTTCGATCGAGGGCCTGAAACTATCACCCGTCGTAACGCGGTTCATGTGAGCATGGCGGTGAAGAATATCTTCTAGTCTTCGTACTCGACTCTTCTGCCCTTTCAACTCTTCCTCGAGCTTGATGTTTGCTTCTCTGAGAACCTTGTACTCGTCCTCACCACGAAGCATGAGGGAAGTGGTTCCAAAAGCGGCCTCGTGCATACTGCCATTCTTGAACGTCTTGGCATGCTTGATCTGCTTCTTGGTAGGACGGTCCAGATCCTTGAGGGCAGTTGATAGAGTTTGCGTAACAGAGTCAGGCAGCTCCAGTTCGGTTAAGATCTGGATGTACTCTTGTAAATGCTGTCTCTGCACGATAGGCCACTCGAGATCATCCGCTTGAAGGTTCACTTCGACGCTCAAAGGCTGCCCTTCAAAGACTTCAGTCTTGACGACATCATCGACAGACTTGAGCCATTTAGTCCGACGGCGCTCTTCCTCTTCCTGATAGGTAGCCATCTCTTCAGCGAGTGTGGCAGAGTCAGACTTCATTTTGTCGGCCCATTCACGACGACGTACAGCTTCGATCATGAGAGAGCCATAGACAAATGGAAGCTTAGACAAGACGTTGAGTGTGTCAAAAACTTGCTCGTCACTCTGCGACATGTTCAGATTTTTGAGACTTGAGTGTACCTGAGCCAGACGAGACTCGATGCTGGACAAAGTCTGCATGTGATGCAAAAAGTTCTGAGCGGCATTGTTACGTTGTTGAATTGTCTGGCGGACCAGTGAGTTGAGCTCGAGACACAAACCGTCGAGATTAGGCAGGTAGTTCCGTGTGTGTAGCAGAGCCATTTTAGAAGCTCTCGCGGCATTCTGGGCATTGTTTGGCAAGGATTTCACGTGTTCCAAGTCATTGGACATTTTGTTCACGATAATATCGACCTCTTCGAGGAGCTTTGCTGGCTCGTCCGTATTGTCGACTCGACTAAGACTCACAGTCTGAACGGCGTCAAGGAGAGCCTCGCTATCTTTCGCGGTTGTGTCTAGCGATTGTTGAATGTTGTGAACCCTTTGTGCGAAGTTGGTCATGATGTTCTGAGCAGACGATGCGGCTTGTCTGATGTGGTCGACCTGGACGAATTGCTGTAGCGTGACATTGGAGTCATGTCCAGATTGCTGCAAAGACACAGCGGTCTGGGACTGGATGTAGCGAGCAAAGTCGGGATTGGCTGGAATGTGCTGCAGAATATCAAGGTCTCTTTCCCAGCTGTCGACGTGTGCCTCCTGCTGCTTAAGCAGTTTGTCCACCCACTCTTCCTCGTTGTGATATCTCTGTTCGGTAGAACGGATGTGGAGGTGCAGGCTCATGACAGCGACGTTGACGCTCTGTTCGATGATGGCCTGCTCTTGATGGTATCGCTGTGTACTGTCAACCCAGTCGGCGTACTGATCGCGCAGAGCTCTTGCCCAGTCGAGTCGACGACGAAACAAGTCGTTCCATGATGGAAGCTGGTCATGGTTGGCGATAGAGTCGGGCGGAGTGTCAGGGTTCAGAGGAGATGGGTCCGGGATGAGCGAGAGACTGGTATTGGTGGGCGAGAACGAGGACGAGTCAAAGACGTAGATTTCGGGCTCGGTGAGCAGCGTCTGCGGCCGTACGGCCTTGCCCTTGTTTGTCAGGAAGACCTGTTTATTGACGGGGATGTGGGCGGTGCGCTGGATCCATGCTCGGAGGCTTTCCAGGCTGTTGACCTTTGCCGGCTCGGCGACGACTTTGTTGCCCGAGTGCGCGACATAGATTATTAATGACATACCCGCCAAAGACTCCTCTCAGACCGGCTACCAGGCATGGGATAGAAATGTTTGGTGACCGCCGACCGAGAGAGGGAAGACGCGACTGACGTCCTTGTGTCAAAAAGTCCGGGGTCGCGCCATCCATGTCCCGTGCTGTCATCACAAGCCAACTCGCTGTTTGAGCCCATTTTCACAACATTATGCAATTGAAGCCAACACGCTCGCGAGATGACATTCCTTGTACCATGTCTATTGAACCGATCCATTAGAGTTACCCCCTCCATATGCAAAACCCCCTTTACCCGATCTATGCGTGAATTTTTGTATCCTACACTGCTCAGTTGAGCCCTCTCCCCCTTCGGAAATAATCGTAACTCGTGTTCTCTTCCTGGTCGCTTTCGACAGGTGTGTGAATCTCTCCCAGACGGAGAGGCCCGTAACCTCCAGGAGTTGGTGCGGGCACTCCGCCTCTTCCCATACCTGCTGCTCCCGACAAGAGGTGTTCGTTATCGTAACGGCGATCGGCATTACCGATATCCATCGAGCGTACACTACTGGCAGGACTGTTATCGCGCAGTGCCGTCGGTGTCTTGTGGTATCCCTGAGGATAAGTCGTGCCCATCTCATCGCCCGTCCTTGTGGCTGCAGAATCACTCGACCCTCTGCGGCTGTCGTAGTCCGTCATGACAGTGCCATCTTGTGTCATCAAAGTACCGTGCGATCCTCTACGCACCTGATCTTGAGGTCTGCCGTAGAGTTCTCCCTCACCACCTGCTACATCCCTGAACTCGGGTCGGTTCTTATAGAACTCGAAGTCCATCTGGTTCTCGGACACAAACTCGAAAGGTGCCGGTGCCTCGCCCTTAGCCGTCTTACCAGGCTCGTCGTGCGCCATGGCATCCATGTATACATCCGAATATCCGGCCACTGGGATGTCTACCTCTGCAGTACGACCGGAGTAAACGGTTGGCAGAAGATGCCTCGATTTTGCCGAGACCATAGGTGTGATGAGGGGCTTGTAAAGCACAGGATGACCAAAGCGGACGCCGACACGGTCTGTGCGCTTGGTCTTCATCTCTGCTGCATTCTCGGTGTCCGCTGCTGTAACTCCAGTTGTGTAGAAGGTCAACTTGTTGTCGAAGTGCGAAGCGCACCACCACTTGAAAGCCAACATAATGATTGGCAATGGGGCCAGAGCGCAGACCTTGGGCAACCATTCAGTGTAGCCAAAGGTGGTGTTACCTACGCAGACCAAAGCCACCAGAGCGTCGGAGAGAATGGTGAGGAAGATGTATCGGTTGAACAAGACCTTCCAGAACTGACCTCCGGATTCTGTCTTGGTGATGAAGACGTACATGAGCAGATACTTCTTCAGATACGAATCAACCCAGAAGTAGAAAGCCGTGACAGGCAGTACCAGTGGCTGAATGTATGAGAAACACAATGCGACAGTCGAGTAGAACAAGAAGTAATTGTAGTATCCAGCATAATCAAACGTCGGTGGCGCGCTTAGTTCGATTAGCTCACGGGGAGTAGGATGCAGGAAGTGACGTGAAAACGAGCCCCAGGCAAGGTTGACAAACTGAGCAAGGTCAACAGCGGCGCCGAGATTACGTTGAAGTAGCCAAGTAATCCAGTAGGTTGAGACCGAGTTGAGGGCCGTTATACCCTTCTGCAACAATTGACCGTCTTTGATGGCAGACCAGGCGTCTTCTTGCTCACTGCTGTCGATGACGGCACGGACATAACCCGAGATGGCAGCGAAAAGCGAGAATAGAAACAAGTTGTTGAAAACGAAGAAGGTGTAGAGCTTGTGCATGACATGGCGTTCTCTGCTGGTCTTTGACAAATCACCCGCGTTGTTGCTCAGTTTTCGAAAGATGGCAGGCAGGAAGTAGTAGAAGAGAGACGTGAGAGCAGGTGCTGCCACACCCTGAACGACAGCCCATGTCTTCGGGTTGTTGGCGAGATTAGTCGCAAAAGCAGGCCACAATTTGGCCAAATTGCCCAAATTGGAAAGGAAAACGGCAATGAGAGCGTTAGGGACGATCCAAACAACAGTCAAAACAGCGACCCAGATGTTGTTGATAAAGGTTTGCCAGTTTCGTTGTTTACTTGTCATGGGCAAGTTCTTCCAAATGAGATCGTGCGGCCTAGGTGCCAGACGAATTGATGTCTTTTGTGGACCCTTCTTGCGTGTTTTGTATGCAACAGTATGAGCATCGGCGATTGATTCATAACTGGCGAATCCATATGACATGGCGTTTCTCTTGTCGATGGATTCTCTGACCTCCTTGATCTGGATCTCGAGCTCTCTAATACGCGCAGTCAAATATTCGATAGCATCGACTTTCTGGCCCTTGCGGTAGGTCTGATCAGACTTGTTCACGGAACATGTCGGTCGCTTTGGCGGCAGCTTGTTGGGATTTGCGAGGTACTTAGCAAGCACCTGCTCGAGGTTTCTGACCGTCTCGTTGTGCTCGTCGATGAGTTCTGGTAGATCTTTGACGTTGCGAGCAATGGCGGTACGCGGGTTTGAGCCAGTGTCTTTGGCTTCAGTGACGATCTTGACAAGTCCTTCGTCAGTTCGAAGACCTCTGGGGATCTCGGTGACAAGAAGAGTTCGAGAATGCAGACTCTTCTGATATTCCGGACTGTCGAAATAAGCTCTGCGCAATCTGGCAACGCTCTTGTAGTTGCGCCAGAGGAAGAAGGCGATAGTCAAGTTTGCGAACCAGGCGAGCAGGACGTAGCCCCACAGATATTTGCCCTGGACGCCCTGCGACGTCAACTGCGTGAAGAAGTTCTCTGTGTGGACGCTGCCGAGAGAGCTACGATGCTCGTACAAATTGATGGGGANCAAAATGGCAAGGCCCACCACGGTGATGCAAACAAAAATGTTTCGGCACATGTTTGCGAAGCGTAGGAAGATGGTGGCGTCGAGTCCAACCTTCTCGACCAGTTCCAGCTCTTTTGTCTTGAGGACGGGTGCGACCCAATCGAGTACACCCTTGCCGACCGGCGGTGGGGCGTGTTTGGAGTCGGCATGTCGTGAGCGAGGAGCGTAGACGACGCTGTTGTATGGGCGAACGAAGCAAANAAGACAGGCGATTAAGAGAGAACCACCGATTGAAGTGCCCAAGGCAGACCAGAAGGCGTTCTTCTCGATCTGCACGTAACCATGTTAGCTATACACAAGATTGGAGCCGATGGTCATGGAAGNACTTGCCGATTGTGCGAAAGGATTTGAGATTAGCGAAGCAAAGACATCGACGGGCTTCGTTTGTGACCCTTGCCGAGCAAGCAGGTTAAGTGTCCTTGTCGGCACGTCCATGGCGGCCGGATGGGTTGGTGATAGATGCTCAGGAAAGGATGTGCGCCGGTGACCAAACGCAGGTGGCTTGCAGCATCAAAACAATAGCTAGTGTATGCAAGCGCAGGAGAAAATAGAGCGATAGTCGAGGGGCGGATGTATCGAAGCTTAAGGCCGCGGCGAGTCTGAAACGATTGAAGACAGCGCTCGGTCGAGTAGGACAAAGAAATGCAGACACGACAATTTGACTGTGGTTGTGCGTGTGTAAGGTCGGAAGGTTTGAATCAAAACCCAGGAACAAGAACAAAAGCGCCTGCCCAAGGCACCAGGGCCGCCAGCGAGGTCATCATTCGTTCCAGATCTCCAAGACCCTTCTCTCCACGACCATGACGAACCTTGAGCCATCCATCATTTTCGCTGACGCGCGGTTTTCTTAGCGGCTGCTGATACACGTATCAGCCGCATTCCGCTTTGTTATCCGACGCATGCCGTCTATCTGCTTTTAACTTTTGTGTGAGAAGCATGCTTCTGCGACAACGTGTCTTGAGAACAGCTGCTGTTCACTGTAACCATCAGCCAGGTCTCATACTCTTCCACTGATCAAAGACCATATATGTCCAGTAGCTAGACATTTTTCACACTCGATGTAAACACGATTCTGCTCGATAACAAAAGCACACGCGTCTCGTATCAACTCTAGACGGTAGGCGCCCCAACTCCCATCAATCTATAAAAAGCAACCCTCCCCAACATCCCACAACCGTAAAACGAACACCAAACCCTCCAACCCGTTCAGGTGTTTCTAGCCGCGCTGAACTCCATGAGACCATCGCATGGCTTGAAGTCTGAAAGCTCTCAAGGGATCCTCCTTCCCTCTTTGTCTATTTTCTTTCGCAAGTGTCTGCTCTTTCAACGCTTGGCTTGCATCTTAGGCGTTTTCGTGCTTGCCGATTGGTTCGGAGCAAAATCATCTACTTTTCGTCCACACAAGGGCAGAAAAGTCTCCGGTGCAACGACGACTGCACGCGACACTGAAATGTTTACTGCACACCCGTTGCTTTCATGCCAGGCACCTGGAGACTTCGCTGTGTCTTTTTCTGCACGGTAGTTGTCTTGTGCTCTTTGCGTGAATCATGTTCCTTTGTTGTTGGCATTTCCGCGTCAAGCGCTGTTTTGTTTGCTGTGCACGAGCGCTTGAGCAAAAGATGCCCAGTGATGCGTGTCATCGTGCATCTTCTACCGAAACGGTTGTGTTGTGGCTGTGTAAAGAGGACCCGACGTGCAGTCATCGTCAGGAACCGACGGAACGATCACCATCCGTGCTTGATGATCATCTCCAGCTTGCCATGACAGCATCCAAGAGAGCTATCGAAATGTATGATGGTATATTGTCTTCTTGTGATGTCCAGTGAGAGTTCATGTTCTTGGAAACTATTCTCATCTCAGTTCTGGTTGGCTGTATGAAAGGTATCTATAGAAATGCACAATACAATTAGAAACATGATAGTGTCCAGAGAGAGCCCAGCGGCTTTTCGAAGATTGTTTGAATTCGTCAAGTCAATTATGTTCATTATCTGTTTACCATCTGTCCTTGTTATCCTCGACCCGGTCTCCCCATTATTTGAGACCCGGGTGTCGACGCGGCCTGCCTAGATACATGCTGCTCTCGTCCTCCAAGGCAATACCTTAAGAATCCTCGTGCTATCATTCATCGTCATCATCCTCAGCATCATCCTCGTCACTCTCTGAAATGTGCTCAGCAGATTCCTCGTAAGGATGCTTGAGTCGGTATGTATAGATGTAGTTGGCCAGCTCAACATTGGACTTGAGCACACGGTTGAAAAGCATGGGCTCTTCGTCAATGATCTCGTGCATACGAGCCGCGATGTCCTGTCTCAGCATCCGGCGCATCTTGTCATCGATTTCAGCATCGGTAGACGAGTTCCAGAAAACCATGTTAGTGAACATGAGCAGTGACTTCGCGGCCAAAGGCGTCTGGACCTCGATCTTGCGGTAGATGAGTTCTTGAAGGTCGGTGAGCTCAAGTTTGTGAGCGATACCCCAGAGGGCGCTTGCCTCTTCAGCAGCATCTTCGAATTGTTTGGCGCTCTTGATGTTTTCAAGGTGGCGGTGATTGCCTTCGATTAAGCGAGGAGCGTAGTCGGCGGTCTTGAGCCAAGACACCAAGGACTCGAATGGCGTTGATTTAAACTTCTCAAAGGTTTCGTTGCAAATCTCGAAGCCGTTCTTGTTATCGCCGGTGATGTGCTTCATGAATGAGGGGTACTTTTGAATGAGAGCTCGGTCTAGAATAAAGAGCTTGTTCTCGTCGCCGACGTAGATATTGATCTTGAGGGGGCTGTATACGGATTAGTGCACATTCTTCGAGAGGAAACATTCACGGGCTCACTCTTTGACAGGCTCAAGAGCTTTGGCCTTCTCAGGCGTGGCAGACTTGCTATCTCCCTTCTTCATCATGAGCAACTCGAGCTGCTTTCTTGTGACATAGTCATCTGGGGCAACCTTAGGCAGCTTGCCGCTTGGCTTCCACTTAGGGGTGGCCGGCTTAGGGTCTTGTCTTCTAGTGGGTGTAAAGGTTGATGGGTCGGGGAGATCGATGTCATCCTCTTCTTCCTCGAATGGAAGTGCGGGAGTGGCTCTAGGCGATGGTTTGCCTTTCTTCCTGGGTGTCGGGCTAGGAGAAGGCTTGCCAGGGCGTTTGAACACTGAAATATAGGGTCGCTTCTTCTTGGTCACCGAAGTGATGCTGACGTCGTCATCGCTGCCGGGTTTGAGGGAGGTGCGCTTGCGCGGCTTGACCTTCGTGTTGTCGTCATCATCGTCGCTGTCTAGAACGATGGCCATGTCCTTTGCGGCTTGCTTCTGCCAGGCGACATCGTGATAGTGTTTCATGCTGTGGAACTGCATAGCCTCTTCAAAGGCCTGCTCGCGTTCTTTGTCAGCACGAGAGGCGCCACATTCTCTGGTCTGGCAAGGGTCGAAATCATAAGTCGCATCGGGGCTGCGCCATTCGAAGTGGTGTCTCTGAAGAACAAATACTGGTAGAGCATGCTTGTTGGGCTTGGGCTCGATTGCGCCAGGAGGCACAGAGTGATCGGGAAAGACGAAGCAAGGCCATTCTTGACCCTCAAACTCAGTCACGCGTGTGCTTTCGATGATGTCTGAATTGTCCATGGTGATGTGGAGTAATTGTGGAAGGTGCTTGATGAAGGGGTTGTAGGGGATATTAGTGGAGTGGTGTGTAGGGGAGAGAGAGAGGAAGTGGATCATATGATGATTTATGTACTACCTATCTGGTTGAGTGAAGGTCGAACCCAAGGGAAATAAACTTGTGGTAGGAAGATGGAGTGAAGAGCAGATGTAAATTGTATAAACTTGGACTTCAAATGAGGTCGTCGACGTCTTCAGTGAAGGGCGCTCAGAAGAGAGCAGGCTGGAAAGACAGTACTTGCATGGAGCTTGTTATACTTGTGCATGAGGAAGTGGCAGTGGTTAATGTGAACAAAAGCTCATAAATTAAACCAACTCTCAATGGAGCTTGCAAGATATTGAGTCTCAACTATGCATTTTGATAGACACGTTAGCCAGCGTAGCCGTCTGGAGATGCGACCATGTTTTGGAGGTGCCCGCGTCGGCATGGACTGAAAGTCCTCGGGGAACCAACGGTTAGTACAAGTAGACATGGAGATCCACAGTGCAAAGCTGGAAGATTCGTTTGACTGTGTCAATTGGAGGCCTTGTTCAGTGGTTGCTCACCGACTCGAGGAAGGAGCGGTGCGCCTCACCAAGACGGGGAAACCACGGCTTGTCGGCCAGCAGCTCCGGCGAGCAACTCAAGCAGCGGTGACGACAAGGTGGCATACATAGCAACAAACAACTCTTTTGGACACTTTCTTCTGCGTCTCTCTTCTCTGCGATCTCTTGACCAGCTTCCACAGATTCGACTCACACCAAAAACGCAATCATGGCACACAATTTCGCACCCTACCAGAGCAGCCCTCCTGAATCAACACGCGCTTTGTCACCACCACTCCGCACATCAACCTCGTCACCTCGTCCTGCTGTAGTTACTCGCGCACAATCAAGCATTGAAGACCCATGGGCCGCAACCCGCGTCTCTCAACTCCCCTCTCCCTCGGCCTACGACGATCTCGAAGCGAACACAACACAGACCTCGCGGTTAAGAGGAGATGGCTACTATGTCTTTGAAACGAGCTTGGGAATCCGCATGGACATCGAGGCCTGTCTACCTTATCTACTGCTACCACCTGCNGGGGGTGTCGCTTTGTTGATCTTTGAGAGAAAGAGCGACTACGTGCGGTATGGAGATTGTGAGAACAAAAAGAAAGAGCTTGATGCTGATATGAACACGACNAGATTCCACGCCTGGCAGTCGAGTCTTGTCTTTGCTGCCTTGTTTGTGCTACACATGCTGCTTTCATGGTCTCGCTTCTTGTCTTGGCTGCTGTTCATCGGCGACCTCGGCTTGATCGTCCTACTGGTCTTTAGAGCTTATCGGGATGGTAAGATTGCTCACTACCCTTGCCGTATCCTTCTTGTACTGATCTTTCTTCTAGCCGAGACTCTCGATCGCTTCGAGCTCCCCTTCTTTGGACGCCTGGCTAGCACCTACGTCGATCGCGAATAAGCTGTTGCAACTCAGCTCGACCCTTTCATGAACACATTATCCTCGACTGCTTGTTTTGAACGATACCCCCGACTTTTGCATACACCACATCTTCTTCTTGCGGATCCTTCGACTTTGTACAAACAAGCACTGTTGCCTTTTAATGCTATATCTTCTTTTCTTCTCTTGTATATTCGAGTCACATGTTCTCACGTTAAGTCAGACTCACCTTCCAGCCGTTGCTCGAGAAAGACGAGTTCAAAGAGGCTGCGTGTGCCGACTTCAGAATATCTCTCCATGCCGCTTGTACGACGCCGGCCTCCGTTGCATCTTGATCATACATATCCACGAACCGCGACCCTTCGGCCACATCATCCATACATCATCTTTCGGCAATGGACCCCTCGAAGTCGATGTTGGCTGTGTGTTTTTCGAGTATCTATTGCACTGTCAAATGCGCTTTGCCAAGATCAGCCGACCATCAAAACTCCCTCACGCGACCTCCGAACTCCCTCAACAACCCACTATACCTTCTAACCTTTATATTCAAGATAGTTTGGGTCCATTTCAACCAAAAAGCCGTGGTAGTGTAGTGGCATCACGCCCAATCCGGTAACCTAAGTCCCTAAACTCGCTTACCTAAGTCCCTAATACTCTCCCCCCAAGGATCGGGAGGTCGCAGATTCAAGTCCTGCTCACGGTGCTCATTTTTGCCCATCGTTCGTTCTATCAAGTTATGTCGCGATGGAAAGCAGGTAGGATTGATGTGCTTGCTTCTTACTCTGGCTGATTTTCTTGCTTGGTTGTTCCTTCCCCCTATCACCGTATGTTCCTGCTCTTTCTTTCTTTTTGTTATCCTTTCGCAGTCCGGTCGTCCTTTTCTACCGTGCTCGCGCCCTTGTTTGCTTGACAATGTTGGAGAACAACGATATGTTCGATGGGTATGACAAGGTGATCTACTAATTGACATAGTCCATACTCTAACAAGATCATCTACTTGCCGCCAGTCTTAGCAGCCTCCTTCTCCAGCTCCAACAAACTGTTTACCGTATCCACAACCATCTCCTCCAACCCTATAAACTGCATGCCCAGCACCTTCTTCGCCTTCTCATTACTCAAACCAAACATCTCGGGATACTTTTCCCCAGCGTTTCCCTCTGGCACTTTGTCCTTGAGCTCTGGAAACTGTGTCCTGATGATATCGCAAACGCGTTGATAGGTAAAGTTTCCTGATGTGACGGCAAAGCGTTGATTTGATGCTGAGGGTACTTCGTAGGCGCGGAGATGGGCGAGGGCGACATCGCGGACGTCGACGCAGAGGGGGGAAGGTGGTGGAGCCGGNNGGGAAGTGCTGCTGCCGTTGATGAGGCGGTAGATGTCTGCTGAGCTGGTATTGAGTTTGGACATATCGGGGACGGAGTGCTTGGAGGGGCCGTAGACCATTGGAGCTGTTTTGAGTTTCGTCAGTGACTATCTCTGTGAGAAGACCGATAAGAGGGGGAATACTCACGNGCAAATAGTAACCACATCAAACTTTGTGTTAGGTTCCTTGATAAACTCCCAAGCAGCACGTTCCGCAAACGCCTTACTTGCACAATACGCCACAGATCCATCTCCCCTTTTAGCTTCCTCATATGTCGTAGGGTTCCAATCATTTTCTGTATAAATATATCCAAGTCTCATGCCTTTACTCGTATCAATGATACTCGCAAAGCTACTAGTAACCACCACCCTCTTAACGTTGGGTGCAAACTTCTTGACTGCACTTAGACACCCTTTGGTACCTTGAATAGCAGGAATCAAGAGATCCTTTTCATTGTCTTCAACGTCAAAGGCAAAGGGAGATGCATTGTGGATTACGCCGTCAACGCCTTTGACTGCTTCGTCAAAAGCATTTTCGGCGGCAATGTCGGGGACGATGGAAAAGGAGAGTTGGGAGGAATTAGCGGTGTGGATGGCTTTGACCTTCTGGGCGGACGACTCAGAACGGACAGTGCCGCGGACATTGTAGCCGGCATTGAGGAAGAAGGTGATGATGTGGGTGGCCATGAAGCCTGAGGCTCCTGTGATGAGGATAGTTTGTTCGGAAGCGAGTTTCGACATTGTGACTAGTGGTTATTGTATTCTCGAGGTAACGGGTTATTGATATCTGTTTGATGTTTGAAAGACGTGGTGAGAACTAAAGGTGAGGAGAAAGGAGTAAGAGAGAAGGTGCTGGTTGGTTATGGCTCAGATACTTATATCATTCATGTTGGCTGGTCTCTTGATCCTATTTTCTTCGAGGAAATGCAACAAACGTAGGATTTGCGTATTGAAGCAACCATAAGATACAGGCGTCATATCGATGTAGGATAGATGAAGAGGCCATTAGTAGGGTAGATCAGCCCTCCACATTTTGAGAAATGTCGCCCACCCACCTTGATGGAATATGGCTCCGAAGCTTCCGCCTCAATATCGGACTCACTCTCTCATCAGCGCATCACGTTCTTGCGAGGACGAATGTGGTGCTTTGCGATACTATTTAGCTTTCCCATTGGGTAGTTGAGATCTAGGGTGTATCCGATGGTGTTGTGATGACGGTGGAAGCAGGTGGTCGAGTCAGGGGTAGACGTGTCAGGCTGATAGCGGCATCAAATGTGCTCATCCTCGTGTTCCTTCATCGTATCACAATTTTCCTTAGAAAGAACGATCCAGGCAAGAGATCGGAAACAAAACATCGCAAATCGTCAAAAGTGGTATCAGAAACAAAGAAACGTGGTCAAAACATTCAATGCTTGCCGCGAGAAGAACCACTCATGAGTCGCGGTCTGGCAATTCTGTAGGATGATGTACTGACATCGTGACTATCTAAAAGCTAGCCTTTCTTAAACCCGACGCTCTTTCTCTCTCGCCTGCCACTGCCAATCTCTTCATTTGGCGTTGTAATACTCAGTCCGCTCTTCTTCCTGCCACCCGCCAACGTAGCAGCTGTCTGCGCAGCCCTCGACTCTGCCACGATCCAGTCATCATCACGTACACTTTTCTCCCTTTCCCTTCGCTCGACAGTGTCCAACAACTCATTTCGTTGAGGTCCCGGTGTGCACGCGCAGAGACAGCCTGGAGTGGGGCAAGCGCCCTCGGAGGTTGACACAGAGGTTGGAGAAACATCAATATGGGATGGAGGTGGTGAGTGCCAGGTACGCAGACACGCTGCATGAGCTGAATGGTTGCAAAGCAAGCAAGTAGAGTACAAGGCATTCTTCTGTACCTGGGCATCTTCAATGGTGGTTTGTTGAGTCTCGTCGTCGTCTCCGGCACTTGCTGGCCGAATAAAGGGCTCGACTATAGAAGTTCGATCGCCTCCTGCTCGCACCTTTATTTTGGCAGAACCCTCGAATGGACTTGTGTCACTCCAGCAGATTGGACAAGGATCTTGACGCTGCATACAAGTTTCACAGCGCATCTTATTGGGAGTGTTGATGGGTTTCTTGCAGGCACCGCACATGAAGCTGACTTGAGTGTCTTTCAAGCCGGCCTCGTAGACCGATGGATACATGGGATAGCTGACACGGCGCATATATGCGGCATTGCTGAACAATCCAAGATGCTGCAGTTGGCTGTGATAGGTGCTGATGATGCTTTCTGCTTGTAGAGGTTGCAGCCCAGCCTTGATGAGATGTTCAAATGAAGTCGAGAACAAGCTGTAGATCTCCATATCGCTGTATCCCATGGCCGTAAAGTATTCGCTGTACACAGTAATGGTCGCATCGATATCTGCTTGTGAGAGTGCATGGGTCGCTGGAAGCAGGGGTGCCAACATGAAGATAAAGTTGGTCGCTGCTTGTGCGTCAGGCACTTTCACAGTATGATGGTCGAGTAGGTGATTGAGCATGTCTATCACACGGAATGGTTTGTCCTTTTCGCTGTCGACATTATAGTCAGATGTCAGGAAATCGGCTGTGATGAACGGTGTTTTTGTCGAGTCGACAGCAGCATTCTTGGTGGGCATCACGGCTGGTGCACTCTCTGTGGTGTGCGCGAGTGTCGTTGGCTTGGTTATAGATCCTTCTCTCGATCGTCCTAGCTGCCTTGAATGCCGGTGCGGAATGATAGTGCCACTAGCTTCCATATTCTCGGCTTCATCAGAAAGCTTCCGGTGGTTGGGAAAAGCGTCGATCTCGGATATGAAGCTCTGCTGGTTGTTCAAGGCAAGAGTTTGCATGTCTCGAGGTATGTCTCTTGCTGGAGCTTCTTTGTTCTCCGTGGGTGCAGGGACCTTCACAGACCCTCCACGGTCGCTTTCGGATGAAGATACAACGACAGATCCCTGGCTTTGATCCTCAAGGATACCCTGTCTGGCCTGATAGCTTCGACCCAAGATAGGCTCAGAAGATGAACTGCTTCCCAGATTCATCGAGCCGTACGACCCCTCTGATCGGAGATTTTCTTGCACGGCTTCCATGAGATCTGATCTGCTAGCGACCGAAGAAGCAGGTCCCGAAGCATCCCGAGAAGACAAAGATGGGAACATGCCAAAACTCTCGTCAGAGTTGTATCTTGTAGGTTTAGGCCGTTCGTTAGGCCCGTCCTCCAGATTGAGCGGCTCTTTAAGAGGTTGTCTCCAATTGCTGATCGACTCTCGCTTCTCTTGATAGTTTTGTACAGAGCCATACCAAGAGTTACGATGCTCGATGCCTCGGTGATCGACTGCCTGCAATGTAGCTCGGCTCTGTTCCTCGATGTTTTGTTGAATCTCTGAAGGAGTCAGGAGCGAAGGTGGCAGCGTAAGACTTTCGTCCTTATCAATCTCTTTCAGCGAAGCTCGCTCTGACTCATGTTTGTCTTTTACAGGTCTTGCAATCGGTGTGGGAACATTTGAGGTACTGTCGGGCTGAACAGTCGAGAGTGACTCCATCGTTCTGAGTGGTCGGCTCAAGGGTGTGCCAGGCTTTGAGCTCAGCCTGCGCTCTGTTGACCCAAGCCATTTTCTGGTCCTTCTCGCAAAGGGCGACTCGTCTAGCAAGCTCTTGCGAGGCCCGGATTCGTTCTTTACTCTTAGTCTGCGGTGGTGATTCGCTCTGTTTAGCAGCTCTGTCATAACTGCTCGACCCATCATCCTCCATGACTGAGCCAAGCGATATAGTGATGCCTTCTGAGCGTGAATTGCGTTGTGCTCGAAGACCTCGTGTACTGTCAAGAACGCATCGACTGAAGGAGGTTCGGGAAGAACTCGTGTTGTGTACTGCTTGGCGAAATATTGAAGGAGCAACAGGTTTGGGCTACCAGGCAGACGGCCGCGAGCGGCGCTTTGCCCTGGCTTATATGCTCGTCCCGCTTTCAGGACGTCTTCGAGACTGACTGTTCGAGTAGAATTCACATCATATGCTGGTGGTGATCCATTAGACGACTTACCAATCCTAGCACTGGGAGATCTTGTATGGCGCTTGCCATAAGAACTGCTTAGAAAAGTGTCGTCTATGGTATCGTCATGAGATCCTCGACTAGATGTGTTGCCTTGTCCAATCGTCTCAGAAGGTGACAGACCAGATCGCCGTTGACGGATGAACGCTTCGCTATCGTCACGATTGAGACCTGGTCTAAGGCGGGTCGCTCTCTTCTGAATCACCAAACTAAATTCTCCAAGCGGGGAGATAGCAAAGGCTTGCATGTTGCGTTTGTCCATGACTTTGCGAGCATATTTGATATCATGCTGCAGAAACATACCCTCCCTGCTGACTGTCCACAGCAAGTCTTGAGAATGCCACAAAAGATCTGTTGGGGCGGTCTGGTAGCCTTCCATTTCTCGAAAGGGTAGCCAAGGTCTTCGGAAATCCCAGATATGCACGATGGGATGATCACGCTCGTAGGATGTGACAATCTGAGTACACTGCCTAGAGCCCCGACCTGTTGGCCACGATGACTGACAAGATGGCCTCCACCTAGCATGACGCAAAGGATGTGGTGTCTTGATCTCGTAAACAGCCTTGTGTCTTCTACCCTCAGCAGAGATGTTCCAGACTTTCACAGTCTTGTCCGAACTGGCGCTGAGTAGATGTTTACCATCCGGATGCCAGTCAATCGTCGCGCACGGGCCAGTATGAGCGGCGATACGCGTTAGTGGACTTTTGAGCTTGCGAGTGTCCCATCTTTGAACGAAGCCACCATCCGTACACATGGCTAATTCGAAGATGTCTGTTGGGGACCATTTGACATCCCGAACTCCCTCATTCTGGCCGCTGGTGGTGAACCTGCTTGGAAAAGTGTTGGCATCCCGTCTCACATCGCGGAGGTCCCACAGTCGGACAGTTCCATCTTGACTGGCAGAAAGGAAATGCTGGCCAGCATGAGGATTGAACGTCACTCTGTGGATTTGTCGGCGGTGTTCTTTTAGCTGCGCAACTTCGATACCAGGATGATTGAGGTCATATAGCGTGATGGGTCCGTTGGCGTTTGCAGCGGCGATATAGTTGCCGAAATTGCCCTTTCNCCAAGCAACATCTGAGATGTTGATATTGTCCTNTGACCTCCCAGAGGTGTGCGCACTGTAGTTACGGATGGCAGCTCGAATATTGATGTCTTCTGTACAGCTTCCCTCATCAACGCGAATTGTTTTGAGAATGTCCCGTCCAGCAAGAATCGCATGACTTCCCTCATCGTTGATGGATAAGGAGTTGATTTCTAGCCCGGTTTTATGGCTAGCGCTGGCATTATACGCTGATAGACTAGGAAGTCTCTGCATATCCTTCAGCCCTGGACCGGTGCCATCGCGCCCATCGCCATCTGCATCAGCGGCTCTGGCAGGGAATCCTAGAAATCTGTTCAGGGCATTGCGGGCTCGCTGTTGTGGAGGCAGAGGCGGAGCTGGTGGCGGATTCTGATGGTTTTGGGGAACAGGCAGAGGCACAGTCGCCGCTCTTCGCGGCTGTTCAGGATTCATCAGGGCAGATGACCAATGTGTGACATCCTGAAGGGGTTCAATGTAGTAGTCATCTGATTCGCGAGAGACGCGACAAATGAACGTGTTGTTGAGAACGCGTGAGTTGCCGATACGTGCTTTATTTCAAGGACGATATCTACACGTAGAGGATGTTGCACATAGTTTGAGAGGCTGTCAGATAAGACAGATGGAAGTCACGAATGCCCGAGGGTCGGCGTTTCTCGTTGGAGCTAGTTGCCAAGAGGATGCATAACTCACTTCCGATATCATGCAAGTAAATCGTTCTCAACACGATCAGCCAGCCAGATGGCAACCATTGTTGAGAAAATTCACTGTCCTTTCCACATGAGGAAAGAAGCAGAGGGATGGCTTTGAAATATGAGAAATGTAACATTAACATCAAGTGGGTATTCTATGCTTAACAACTTCGCCGCCATTGCAACCACAACCATGACTCTTCTCAGACTCATAGAAAGAAAACGCCATATGGGAGGGGTCCTAAATTCGTCTTGTTCACCCTGTTCGTGTGCCATAAGAATTTCCAGGGAGTCGTATTATATAAACAGAGGAGGGCGACTTGAAGTCTTTGTAATAAAGGAGAAGGAGTAAGAATTGAGAAAAAGGAAACACGAAAAGGTCATGTCGACGTTATGATGGTCCGCGAGGGAGTCGCGTTCCATCCTCTACTCTTCACGGTAGAACTTCTTGAAGACCAGATGCAAGAAGAGATTGACGTTCAGCTTTAGACCACCTTCGCCGCCAGTGCCACGGAACAGGTTCATGAATTGATGGTTGTCGAATTGCGCCTGGAGGAGGTCATCGAGGGGCACAGAAGCGCTAGCGCCTGGGATCATAAGACTACCCATGCTACCCTCGATGTGGAATACGCCAACTTCATCCGAAGAGATTGTGACGTTGATGCGATTCCACTGAGTTGCATCGTATCCTTCCCAGCTGACAAGTACGCCCTTCTCCGCAAGAGAACGTGCCGAGTACTTGTAGGAACCGAACTTGGGTGTGCGACCAGATCGAGCCAATTCACGCTCGTGGTTGTATTGCTTAGTGAAAGGCAGCAAGAATCTCTTTTTCCCCTTCTTGTTTTGCAGCGTAATCATGGCCTGCTCGATATAGTCGTTGTAGCTTTGTAGTTGCTCATCCAAGTAAGATGCCTTCGAGTCGAGTTGCGTAAGCGTAGCACGGACACCGTCCAACTCGCGAGTTCTTTGTACGCGACGACGATGCTTCGTCCTGATGTCGATAGCGATAGCATTGAGCAGGTCTTGGTACTGATTGTGTCTGTTGACTTTTCCTTCTTGCTCAAGCATCAGAATGTTCTCGAGAGCCGCACTCTTGACTTCAGCGTATGACATTGAAGTGATGTCTAGAAGAGTTGAAGCTGGTTCTTCTTCCATCATGCCAGAGTATGCCGAAGGTGCTCTTGGGTTATGCTTCTGGTGCAGAGCTTCTTCGTCCAGGAGTGAGAACCACTTGTCGTCATCATCCGGTGTGATAGGGCGAACGAGAATTTCAAGCAAGTTGGCTCCAGCTTGTATCCTGATGATGAACAAGACGAGGCGCTTGGTCTCCATGAACAGTTGCTTGAGGTCGGCCTCTGGATCTTGCTTGTCGTGGAATTTGGGGGTCAATTGCAAGCTGATCTCGTTCGAGCCTACACCCATCATCTCGTTCTCGTTACTCTGAGCACTGCCGAGCTCGCGAATGATCTCACGTAGAACATCGTCTGGGTCGGAGAGATGCGACAGCTCGTTTGTTACAAGATGATGAATAGCAAAGATGTCTGCCATCTTGATGTACAGTGTGGGCTTGACGCGGGCGAAGAGATCGTTGAACTCGTCAATATCGAATTGTTGCTCAGGCTCGGGAATATCGATCANCTAGAAAGCGTTAGCAGTGCATAACCAATGATCAATAGAAAACTTACGAGACACAAGAAGCTCCTCCATTCTCTCGATAGCCTCGCCAACCCAGGTGTTTAGAGGCTGCAGATAAATGTGGTCGCCGCCGAATAGTCGGCCAGCATATACCTGACCGAGAACTTTACTGACCTCTCCCAAGTTTCGCTTGTGTATGGGACTTAGCCCTCTATCAATTATACCCCACATCTCTGGTTGAGTCAAAGCAGGGGCAAGGTAGGCCTTCCATAGCCAGTGGCCGACCACTTGGAGGAGATGCTGCTGACTTTCTCCAGGGAAACTGGTCACGAGCGTGTTGAAAGTTTGCTGGGCAATGAATCTCAGACCGTAAGGCATACGAGGCAGAGTCTCTTCCAGCAGGATGAAGAAGTGGTCGCAAATATCGCGGAGATCTTGCAGATGTGATACAAAGAGATCTCTGGTCTCAGGATCGCGAATAGCTTCTTCACGTGAGATGTCTGGGTTCCTGCGACTGCGCTGTCCGGTAGAGAGCTCTTCGTTGTTGATCGAAGCACGGTAGATCTGCATTGGATCACTTTCAAGGTCCAGATCTGCGTTTTCGAAGATGCTTTCCCTGACTAGTGGTCCGAATAAATCGCGCATGTACTTGCGATCGCGGGGACTTCTCACATAGGCAGATAGCAATCTGCTCCAGAAGAAATTACCACGGAGATAATCCTGTAGAGAAGCACTGTGCTCTGCTTCTTCTTGAACAGAGCGTGTCACTAGCTTCAAGAGGTAGTATTCCTCTCTACGTTTCTGCGCAAAGCCAAAGAGTCCCATCATGAGCAGCTCGATCCTCTTGCCTTCTTGCTCTGGCATGCCTTGTTCTTTCAGCTTGTGGAAGAGACGTGCAAGATATTGTGGTTGAGTTTGCAAGAGGAAAAACAGCTCCTGATAGTGCTCAAGCTTCCTCCTCGAGTTCTTGTTCAAGGCCTTGAGGTCGAAAGGATCTTTGGAAGAGATTTCGGTGTTGTTCAGGAGACTGCCAATGTGGCCACCAAAGTGCCGTTGATGCTTGACGACTTCGTCCAGGGTAATTTTGTTCTTGACAAGAAGCGCAATCTTGATATCGAGTTGATCGATGTATTGCTCGGCCATCTCGTTCTGTCTTACGCGCTGGACGACAGTCTTACGCAGTCTCTCGAACTCAAGTTCCTCATCAAAGTCGAAGTCGCTGTCGTTGAGGAGATGAACAAAGTTCTTCACTGTACCGACAGGTGGATTCTTTCCGCTGGTCAAGCTTTTGTAGGCTTGACCTTGTTGACGGGCGCGGATTATGCTCTGGACCTTGATGACCTTCTCCATGTTCTCCTTGTAGAAGCGTTGCTTCTCGACAAAGTCTCGCCTCACAAGTGATCCTCTAATGGCAGATTGCAATTCCATGACTGCGTCCTCTTCATCTTCAAGCTGACCAAGAAGAGTACCAATGTCGCGACGGCCAAGAAGGGCGCGAGCGATGCTTTGCAACTCGACAATCTGGTCTTCTTGCTCGTTAAGCTGACACAAAACATCAAACACTCTTTGACGCTCAAGATAGGCCCTCGACAGAGATTGGAGATCTCTGATCGCTGGCTTTTGGGCATACAGCGCGTTGATATCGGCATGGTGCTTCTTGCGGAATATATGGCCACGAGCAGAGCTCTGGAACTCAAGGATCGAATTCTCGCGGTAACTGAGCGCATCCCTGATGGCGTTCACATTCTTACGACCACAACCAGCTCTGAAAGCGGATTGCAATGCGACGATCGAAGGCGATTGCTTTTGTAGATCTGACTTGAGTTTTCTGAACGTACGCCTTGCTTTCTGACCACGCGCTGCAGATTGAAGTGCGAGCCAGGCAGGGGCCTCTATATCCAGGGATGTGCGGGTGTGTTCGAGTTTCCGACGCTGAATAAAGCCAGCCATTGCATGTTGGAGCATTGCGACAGATCTCGAATGCTTTCTAAGCAGATCCGCATTCGCAGCATGCCCCTTTCTCTCAAGCATACCTCTGATTGCGGCTTGCATGGCGACAACATTTTGCTCAGACGCTCGGCTGTCTTCGAGTTGACGCTCAACCTGAGTTCTTCGAAGAGCACCTCGAATAGCGGCTTGTAGAGAAACAATGTGCTCCTCAGAGGCGTGACCTTCTTCAATCTGGCGCTCAATCTGCTTTCTCTTGATAGCTCCTCTGATTGCTGCTTGAAGCCAACGAACTGGCTCTTCGGCTTCGCGTGTCGCTTCGTATTGGTCACTGACATTCCATCTACCCAGCGCTCCACGAATAGCGGCTTGAAGGTTGCGGATGCCCATTTCTTGCTTCTGCATGTGAGTACGCATTCGCTTGACTTCGGTTCTTGCTTTGCGAGCTCTGAAGAGCGATTGAAGAGTGACGACTTGCTTCTCTTGGCTTTTCCAGGTCTGCTCACGGTTGCTGCGACGCTTGCGAATGAGGAAGCCTCTAGCAGCACTCTGAAGCTGAACAGCGAATCGTTTCATATCCATGCGATAATCTGAAATCTGACGAGCGAAGTCTCCACGGATCCTTGATTGAAGGTCGACGATGACTTCTTCGGCGTCCCATAGCTGATTCATGGTGTCGCCGAGTTTTAATCTGATCATAGCCCCGCGAACCTGAGATTGCAAGTCTTCGAGCATGGCTTCGTGTTCGGAGAGTTCTCTCTGAATTCGTTCTTCCTCTGTCTCAACGGGTTCCGGTTCCGGTTCTGGTTCACCGAAATTGGCTCCCATGCCTGAGAAGTTGGGCATACTAATGCCAGCCTTGTCAAGACCCTTCTGCATGGCTTCGAGCTCATGGTCCTCGAATTGCAATTGACCGACAAGGTTACCGATGCGGAAGTCTACGACTCCTTTGCGGAAAAGAAGCCACGACAGGGCATGAATGCAGTAGATGACCTTGGGAATGTTCTTCTTCTCATACAAGTCGACCAGCTCAAAACGGAAGAGCTCGGGCAGTTCCATCTCAGCAAGAAAGCGGAAGAATAGAGCAATGTTGTCAGAATGGCGGAATTGTAGGCGCTCGTGCTTGAAGATGCGTATAGGTCGGTCGGGATGGATGGCTTGCACAACTTCAGCCAACGTGACGCCGTCTCTGAGTGCCTCCTCAAGCTGAACAATCTCAGGGATCTGCTTGTGAATAATGTCTTCGATCCACTCTTTGGCTTCACCGATATGACACAGATATTCATAGGCCTGCAAGAATTGACGTTGACGATCCATCCACTTGCTAGCCTCCCAACTGCTTGTGAATTTGCTAGTATTTTCTGTTCCTTTCTTCTCTTTTGTTGTCATGGTACGTTGTAACCTCCTGCGGCCATGCAGACCAACAACCTCTTGCTCTGGAGACTTGATCGAGAAGTCGTCGTCGTCAGTGTTCTGGGCAAACTTGCTAAGGGTGCGCAGGTGTTTCGTGGCTGATCTTTGCAAGCCTTGTAGTTCCGACTTCTCGATGTGGCTCGGCGAGGCGAAGTGGACGTGAACGGAATTGCGGTTGCCGCGGTCGTGGATAGGGGCTCGCACGGAGTCGGAGCGGGAGATTGCAAGCGAATGCGGTCGAGACTTCATCGGTGGTGATGCGGGCATGGGCGAGGCCGACTGGGAAGTGGGAGTGCTGTCGTTGAAGGGGTCCATTCTAGAGTCATGCAGACTCTTGGAGCGCGAGTGCGAATGAGTATGTGATAGCGAATGCGGCGAGGGCTGAGCAGGCGATGTTCCCGGGGCCTGTTGTAAAGGCCTTAGAGCAGTGCGGAACTGTTCAGGTGTAACAGGCGCGACATTGGCTTCTTTGGCCTCCCAGAACCCCTTTGCCTTTGGTGAGCCGGTGGCCTCGCTGAGTCCTCGTTTGTGGTGCAGGTGATTTGTTGATACGCTGGTCGTATGGCGGAGCGGGCTGCCAGGCACCGAAGGAGACCCTGGCGCTTGCCCGCGTGATTGGTGTAGATATGCCATGCTGTCTTAGGGAAGGAGCGACCCTGAATGAATGGGGAAGGAGTGTGGTCTCCGACTTGTCAGTGTCCCGGCGGCACTCACACAGCAGCGGGACGGCGAGTTGTTTGTCGAAAGAGAGCGGCGACGTCGCCCGCAGCACTGCTATTAGCAATGACAGTACAAGCAGCAGACAAGGGAAAAGTCGTCGACTGGACCAGACGGCATAGCAGGGCAGAAATCGATTGCTTTGCAACGCTCAGTCCCCGTAAACACGCCCGTTACAACACCCGTTCTTGGTTTCGCTTGCGGAACAGAGTCAGAGGCTTTTGAAACGACCGTTCTGTCCTAGCAGACAAGATACTTGCGGCCTCGAAAAATAGTTGGCGCTGGACAAAGCAGCAGGCTGGCGTGATGTATGCAGGAAAGTGGTGGGCCGAAAAGCTCGACTTTGTTGTTTTGCTTGGTGTCAACAAACTCACCCGCACCCCGAAACCAAAGTTGCCCAAACACTAAACTGACCGATCAAGGGTCCCTTCTACCTCTTGTACCTTGCATCGAACCCGGTCAAAATTGACAGGAGAGAATTAATCCAACATGGTTCATAGCGATGAGCACCCTGGATGACCGAGTGCACATCTGCATTCTCAAGGACTGGGTTGCATGCTTTGTTTTCTCTCGGGCTGGCTGATGCTTTCATCGAGGCATCCCACTTCGTCTCGAATTGTTTGGAGAAAGACGAAATGACCGACAAGAACTGAGACATGACTTTATGGTACAGCTGCCTGACAAAGTACTTGGCTATTGCGACTACGTAACGCCTCGATCTGAAGTGTCTACCTACTATTGAGTAAGGGCTCCTGGACTCGGTGAGCGAAGAGCTGATGATGGCGGCGATAACCAGAAAGGGTCCTGTTAAGACCGAGTATCAAACATTGCAAACTTGAGTGCACAGATCGCTTGCAGATCTTGGCCGAAGCCTGCGCGTCGAGGATGCGCAGAAAATCTCGAACAACTCTCTTTTCTCTCTTCTTTTCTTGGGGAAAGTATTCACACTTGAACCCGTCGACCTCTTCGTCGTACTATTTACAATTGAGATACCCATTTGCGTCATTTGTCCTTTCTTCTTATCTGTTTTTCTACCCTAATCACACGACACACGACACTCCGCCAAAATGACCGCCCAGGTTCCTGTTCTTCACAAGGAGAAGATCCTTGACTACCAGAACGCCCTCGACATTGTCAAGAGCGAGTACTCCGAGCGTGATGGCATCAACGTCCAGACCCTCCTCGACTCCAAGAACAACGGCGGTCTGACCTACAACGATTTCCTGGTCCTCCCTGGTTACATTGGTATGAGCCGCTGAATGCGCACGCGCACAATTATCAGCGTGCTTACTTCTCAATTCNNAGGCTTCTCCGCCAACGAGGTCACCCTCGACTCGCCCGTCACCAAGCGCATCTCCCTCAAGACTCCNCTCCTCTCCTCGCCCATGGACACCGTCACCGAGCACAACATGGCCATCCACATGGCTCTCCTCGGTGGTCTTGGTGTCATTCACCACAACTGCTCTGCCGAAGACCAGGCCGAGATGGTCCGCAAGGTCAAGCGCTACGAGAACGGTTTCATCCTCGACCCCGTCGTCATCTCTCCCGAGACTACCGTCGGCGAGGCCATTGCTCTCAAGGAGAAGCTTGGTTTCGGTGGTTTCCCCGTCACTGGTAAGCCAACATTTCTTTCTTTGCTCTTCTCGCTTGAGGATGACTCAACAAATATAATAACTTTCGTTCAACCGCATCCAAGTCAATCTGTTGTGGAGAAATATTTTGGAATCTGAAAAAACGCACAATCCTGTTTTCTGCCCGAGTTCTCTCTTGGAAACAGCACGGCTAATACGATTTTGCANGAGTCCGGCAAGCTTCGCTCCAAGCTCCTCGGTATCATCACTCCTCGTGATATCCAGTTCCACGATAACCTGAGAGACTCGGTCAGCAAGGTCATGTCGACTGAGCTCGTCACCGCTAAGAGTGGCATTGAGCTCACTGAGGCCAACGCTATCCTGCAAAAGTCCAAGAAGGGCAAGCTTCCCATCGTTGACGATAACGGCAACCTGATCTCGCTCGTCTCCCGCTCCGATCTGATGAAGAACTTGAACTANCCCCTCGCCTCCAAGCTCTCCGACTCCAAGCAGCTGATCGCCGCTGCCGCCATCGGTACTCGTCCCGACGACAAGGCTCGTCTCCAGAAGCTCGTTGACGCTGGTCTCGACATTGTTATCCTTGACTCTTCTCAGGGTAACTCCATGTACCAGATTGAGATGATCAAGTACATCAAGAAGACCCACCCCGGTCTTGATGTTATTGGTGGCAACGTTGTCACTCGCGAGCAAGCCGCCGGTCTTATCGCTGCTGGTGTCGACGGTCTCAGAATTGGTATGGGCTCCGGCTCTGCCTGCATCACCCAGGAGGTCATGGCCGTTGGTCGTCCCCAGGCTGCTTCCGTCCACAGCGTTACCTCGTTCGCTGCCCGCTTCGGTGTTCCTTGCATTGCTGACGGTGGTATCCAAAACATTGGCCACATCGTCAAGGGTCTTGCTCTCGGTGCCAGCACTGTCATGATGGGAGGTCTCCTTGCCGGTACCACCGAGTCACCCGGTGAGTCCTACGTCTCTCGTGAGGGTCAGCTCGTCAAGGCCTACAGAGGTATGGGTTCCATCGACGCCATGGAGGACAAGAAGGCTGGTGTTGGTTCTACCAACCCCAACGACCCCAAGGCTTCCAACGCCGGTACCGCTCGCTACTTCTCCGAAGGTGACAGACTTCTCGTCGCCCAGGGTGTCTCTGGTTCCGTTCTCGACCGTGGATCCGTCACCAAATTCGTTCCTTACCTCATCTCGGGTGTTCAGCACTCCCTCCAGGACATTGGTGTTACTAGCTTGACCGCTCTTCGCCAAGGTGTCATTGACGGCGAGGTCAGATTCGAGCTCCGTACCGTCTCTGCTCAGGCCGAGGGTAACGTCCACGGTCTCCACAGCTTCGACAAGAAGCTCTACGCTTAGAGGGAATAGACCATCAATGGGAAAAGTTGGGACGGTTATGATAAAAAGATGGGAGTCACTGCGGAGTTCAACTGAAAGCATTTACATTGGGCGTTCATGAACTGGGAAAAGAGGAATTTGAATATGAATTCATGCTGCGCATATTTTGCACATACACCTCATTTGTTCTGCTTGTTCTTTACCCACGTGTATGTGATGTATGCTTTGTACTAAAGCGGCCTCCGAGCTTCAAGTCTAGGTGTGCTTTGATCGTCCTTGTTCGGCCTACGAGTATCCTGCTTATAGAGAGGACGCTACCACCGTTCACTCATCGTCGTGACGATACCAAGTTCATTGCTCAGCGCAGGAAGGGCAACATCACGGCGAAGTAACGCTACGCGCTCTGGACGTCGACCAAACCCTTACTAAGGAACGTGTTCCATGCACTATGAGAGCTTCGAGGAAACACCGTTGCGACTGACCGAGTGTCGTTGAGGAAGACTCTGGCGTGGGTAACGGGGTACGAGCATGAGCAATCGTGACACAGCAGGACCGGGAAGCTGCTTCTGCTCCTGCCTCAAGTCTGCGGCTTGATTTCACGCGGGATTGCGTAAGGCGCGTTTGTTCAGACGTCGTTTGTTGACTTTAATGTCTCTTGCAGGCACCTTGATGAAGCTGAACAATGCATGCAGCAGGTGTCTCCACGCCGGCTGGGTTGGTGCGAGGCCTGGTCTATCGATCGGTTTAGCTCTCTCCAAAGCAGCCAGCAACATTGCTGGAGCTCTCGCGTCCAGAGTTGTCTGGATGAACAAGACGCAATCGATACGACACCCGGAGCTCGATGAGCACGTCGTTGGAAGAGTACTCGTCGTCAGCGGCTCGTCGCGCATCCAACTTGGCGGGCGCAATTTGCTGAAGCTCGCAGCGATCGTCGGGTTGACTCGGGAAGGCGCGGGCGCCACGACTTTTGACCTCACGACATCCAATCTCGACCGACCGGCCACATGGATCTTGGACTGCGTTTGAGGCCTCTCCGTTTGCTTCGTCTTTCGACCTTCGAGTCTGGTGAAATCCAACGGACTTGAAGAAGCGGGCAGCTGCCTACCTTTATCCCTGCCAACGATAGCTAGCCATGCTCAATGGCTGGCGCCCATGCTCCATGCATCCTGGAGACACTTTGCTTGTTTGAGCAATGGAACGGCTCGCTTGTCTCTGCTACCCGCATGCCTTGAACGGTTAGTCTGCATGTTTCTTGCTGGAATTGGCTCTCACGGCAAGTCGTCTCAAAACTCAAGATGCGTTCATCTCGTCCCTCCTTCGCATCCCATCAAAAAGAGTACAAACACTCTCGATTCTTTCTTTCTCATATGTAACGTTCAATTCGTACCTGGTCATCACAATTTCCGCATTCCTGGAGGACTGGGTATCTCAAACGCATCCGCCATTCTCAAGCGGTCATGCCTCCCTATATCCATCTCTGGAGTAGGACATGGGTATTGCATGGACTACTACCATTGCTGCTCACACTGGACCAGTGAGGACAAGCGTGCTCTTATATATACGCATTGTCACAGAAACATCTTTCGCGTTGTTTCCAGATTCCGTCACTGAGATTCGATATTGTATTGAGTAGAGAGCTTTGGCTCAGCTCACTCCCGGTAAAGCACACCCCAGCCTAAACAGTTGGCTGGGGGAGCTCCAATTCGATCACTGACGCGGATGCGGGCGCTATCAATTTAGACTATGTTTGGCCATTACTTCTGTCCCTTTTTCATGATATCACTACATATACTATGCTTTGAGCTCATTCTGAGCTCAAATTTATTTAGCTCTGGAGCTCGACTGCACGAAGTTGAACGACATTGTTCTGTTTTCCTTCGCAGCCAGTGCTGTTGTGAGTGCAATTGACACTCCTAACATCGGCCAGGATTCGGAGGCGGATGGTCTGTGTGCTGGGAGAAACTGGCCAATTGTTGAGCTTCCTGGAGTGAAAGAGACCCACATGGACTCGGTTAAGCTACGCCGCCTGGGCCCGAGTGGAAGCAAACAAGGCCAAATCACACGGCCACCGGACCGGCAGTACAAGAAAATTCTGCGTGGGCTCCCACGGCTTTCCCCCTTGACCTCTTCTCACTCGTCGTCCATCAAGGAAAGCTTCCGCCCCGATCTCTCAACCCTTATCTTCCATCCTTCATCAACAACTCTCCTCTCCATCCCCTTTCACACATCCAAATCGTCGAAATGGCCTCCAGAATCGCCCCCAAGTTCGCCCAGATGGCTGCCCGCCCTGCTGCCTTCCGCGCTGTCCAGCCCAAGGTCGCCCAGCGCGCCTTCTCTGGTAAATCATCACCACCTCAACGTCACCTCATCACACCTTCATCGAAACATCGAACCATCCTCCACCTCCATCAGCCTTCCATCCATCAATGGCAAGCCCAATTGAATTGAAGCAACAATGTTCTGACGCTCTCTCAAGGTCTCCGCCAGGCCACTTTCGTCCGCCCCCAGGCCGTCTCCATGGCCCAGAAGGTCGCCCCTGCCGCCCGCCGCGCCTACTCCTCCGAGATGGCCAACGCCCTCGTCCAGGTCTCCCAGAACATTGGTATGGGTAACGCNTGCCATCGGTCTCGGTGGTGCCGGTGTAAGTACCCACTCGCATATCATGTCGGGGTGTTTTGGAACTCAACCTTTTTCTTCCATCTCACTTCAAATGATATCCTATCTCTATGAGTTGTCTTCTCAAGCTAATCACTCCTCATGTAGATCGGTATCGGTCTTGTTTTCGCTGCTCTCCTCCAGGGTGTTGCCCGTAACCCCTCTCTCCGTGGTCAGCTCTTCTCGTACGCCATTCTTGGTTTCGCCTTCGTCGAGGCCATCGGTCTTTTCGACCTGATGGTTGCCATGATGTGCAAGTACGTGTAAACGTCTTCACCTCTGCAATGAGCGATGTCTTTTGGGGAGTTCAAAGTCAACCCCGGTCATGGAAACCAAAACATCGACGTGTACATTATTTTCTATTGACGCCCGGAGGGATGAATTGTGGAAGGACGATGACATGGCCAGGATACGACGGGGCTCTTTCAAGACTTTCTTAAAAACAAACAAGAAAATCCTCTACTCATACATTGGGGAGGCTTTTGAATAGAAACGCCTGTCCTGACCAACACCAACTGACGTTTGCCTCTTTTCTCCCGACGTGACACGACAGTTCTTCAATCACGGCTCCCTACTGAGCAAGCAATGTAATACTGCTGCAAGAAACTTCTCGAATGCGACATCGCGAGCGCCGCATCGCTACGACTGGTCTTCGATCCATAACCCGGGTAAATACACTCTATAGTGTCTGATTGCCAATTACATGACTTTTGACCATCTAGAACAGCTGTTCGAACGAGCTGTAGCTCTTTGGAGCTTGAGCTCTTGGGTGGTCTGGAGCTCAGGACAGCTTGCTTCAGCTTTGCGGCTCAGCTTCCAAGTCAACGTCGCTTGGTAACCACGACCACTTACAACGCTGTCAACATCAGCATCACCACAGTTTAAGTCTTTCAAATCTTGTCTGGATATCTGTAATTGTTATAGAGTCTGTTTATCAGCTTTCTTGTCTCTATTCGGCTTCTACAAGTTGACTCGTCTCGCTCACCTCTAAAACGGGCGCTAGACGTGCCTCGGCTGTCCGCAATCATACCTCCACCAGTCTACACCCGAGCCATCGAGGAGTACCCTTCTCACCGTACCCTCTAAACCTGTTGATACATTGTTGCATTCTTCTACCACTCCTCGTTTGTGCAATCTATATGCATATTGCTCGTCTCTTTGCGCCAACCGCACTGGCTCCACCTGTCGTCGACGTCATTGCTTCTCGTGTATCGAGACCATCTTATATTGCCGGACCAGCGACCGCACGACAATTGGCAAGAAAAACATCGGTTCGCAGCATGTCGAGCACTACACCTTTGGGAGCGGGATATGAGAGAAACGGCGAGAAAGGCAAGAAGGCGCCCGCCGTTCCGAGACCGAGTTCTAGGTGAGTTGTGACTGCGATTCCTGTTCTACAGTCTTTGATATTGGAAACCACCATGTCTATCGTCGCAACCCGCTCGTCCGCACGTCCTTTTTTTCGTTATCCTATGGCATTGCGACCTCGGTTTCCATCGCGAACGTTCTCAAAGCCCTTCCCTTCGTTTTCGTCCCATCAGACCAGAAATAGCATCTCAAAACCATGTTGCTAGTGCGACCCTGGCCTCAAACTCCCGAGCAAAACACAAATCTAGTTTGACACCTCCTGCATATCTTTTGGCTGACGATATTTGTAGTGTCATCTTAATATCACCAGAGAACCAAATTCTCCTCTTGCGTCGAGTACAAACTTCGTCGTCGTTCGCTTCCGCACACGTCTTCCCAGGCGGCAACATATCTCCCTTTCACGACGGCGACCCACCTGCTCCTGAAGATGCCGCCCGCCACCGTGATAGCGACGTTTATCGGATGGCTGCGGTCCGTGAGACTTTCGAGGAGAGTGGGATCCTTCTGGCAAGGACCAAAGACGGAAAACTGTTGGAGGTAGACGACGAAGAGAGGGTGAAAGTCAGAAAGCTCGTGCACGGAGACAAGATCAAGTTCGAAGACTGGCTTGAGGAAAAGAGTGCAAAGGCTGATCTTGGTAAGTTCTGTTGGCTAGACGTTGTCTCGCGTACATCATCTTGGGCCAAGTTGACGTTCGAGCANGACAACCTCATCCCATTTACTCGCTGGATAACTCCCACGAATCTGCCCAAACGTTTCACGACTCAGATGTACATCTATCTACTTCCTCTCAGCAACACGCCGAAGAACCTGCCATCCTCCTCTTCCAATACTGAAGAAGACGAACCTGAGACCATGATCCCGGTGCCTACCCACGACGGCGGTCTTGAACATACCGCTGCTCGCTTCCTTCCTGCGGCAACCTGGCTACGTCTAGCTCGCGTCTCTCGCATTGTGCTGTTTCCTCCTCAGTTCTTTCTCATGTATCTGCTTTCTCCCTTCCTCTGTCCTTCAGGCGATGTTGGCAAAGATGCTCCTGTACCAGACCCTGCTACATTACAAAAGCAACGAGACCAAGTACTTAGCTTTGTCAAGGAGGGCAACTGGGGTGATAAGTGCATTTCGCCTACAGTGTTGGGAGGTAAGAAGAGAGAAGATGGCAGAGTGGTTTTAGGCCTCGACAAGCCTGGTGCTGAGGCTGAAGCTGAGGGAAGGAAGGGAGATAATGACAGAGTTGTGCTGGTGGAATTTAAAAAGGAAGGACCGAGGAGGGTGGAAGTTGGTTGGAGAAAGGAGGTACTGGCCGATGGCCGCGAGACCAAGTTGTGAGACCGTGAGTTGAATATGGTTTGTTGCCATTGTCCTGGCTTATTGATCAAGCGGAATTTTGAATGACACTCCATGATTTAGATACAAGTGTTACTTAGGTTCGGAAGGGGTTGCTAACTTGTGTACATGTCCGTTATAATGTCAAGTCCATCATTCCGTCGCTATATACGGATGCAGAGCTCAGTTGTACCCCTTGTTGATGGTAGTACACTGGATACCCTGCAACAGACTCTCATCCACATCGCCACAAGAAAACTCATTGACCGTGCCGTTCGGGCTGCTGACATTAATATCCGACAACTTGATGTTAGTGCAAACGCTCGGGCTGCTACAAACAACATATCCCGAGATAGGATTGTACTTGGAGCTAGTAGTGCCATGAATGTTCTTCATGACAATATTCGAGATGGTCAACTTGGACGGGAACTCGTTGCAAGCTGTCAAGTTCTTCTGGCCATAGCATTGAGTGACCTCGATGGCGTAATCGACATTGTTGATGCTCATGGTATCGTAGGTGATGTTGTTGACACGACCTTTGCCACCGCCGCCTTGGAGATCGCCGGAGAGAGCGGCGGNGGAGCCGGGCCAGACCTTGATGCGAGCGCCGTCGCTGGCGTTGGACATGGAGATGTTGTAGACGAGAACATTCTCCACAATGTCAGTCTCGGTAGGGTACTGGCCCAGAGAGCCGACACTGATGCCGTGACTGCCGTTGCATTGCAGGTTCTGGACAAGCATGTTGGTGCTGTTGGGCTTGAACGAAACACAATCGTCACCGTTGTTGATTACTGAGTTCTGGATGATGATGTTGTCGCTGCGGTAGGTATCCCATCCATNCCTGTACAGAAGATTGGTTAGTCAAACATATCTTATCAACTCTTGAAATAGCATTCTGCTTACAGTGTTCTTGGCCACGTTCTTGCTCTGACTAAATCCCGAGATGGAGATGTTCGAGAACAAGACATTGGTGCTGTTGGCGACCCAGTTGTAGTACTGAGGGCTGTAGCGAAGATTCAAGTTTTGGATAGTCGAGTTGTGCAGACCAACGACACCGAAGAGGACAGGTCTCAAGATGTAGATGTTTTGAGCATACAAGTCATACCAGGCTTGGCCGTTGCCATCAAGGAAGCCTCCACCATAGACATTGACATCGTTTCCACCGAGTTGGAAGAATGTCGTGGCGTTTTGGAAGACCTGCTTGAAAGCATTTGCCTGCCAGTAGTCGGTGTCGTTGGTGAATTGGACGTATCCTTGGATATCAAGATCGATGTGGTTGAGGTTGGTCAGATTCAGTGCTGTACCGATCACGTACTTCTGGCCCTGCGAGAAGATAACATGACCGCCGTTGTTACACTTCTTGACGGCAGAGAGAATGTAGTCAGAGTCGTCTGTAACGCCGTCGTTGTGAGAACTGACGTAGCAGACCCTGTTCCTGGAAGGCGAAGAAGGGAAGGGCTTGAACGGCTTCTTAGGAGAGATGTCGGTCTTTGGACGCGTTCCTTGATGCTTGGAGACGCTCTTTGGTAGAGACTTGGTGTATTCTTGCTGGGCAGACCATGTCGGCGAAGCAACGGCTGTGATGGCGCTCAAAAGAGTCGCAGCAATGAGAGGCTGGAACAACATCCTGTGAATATGTGTAAGGAAGACAAAGATGATAATGGACACAGATCCATCTTTCAATGCGGCCGTCTATAGCTTTATATGGATGGCATATGCTTCAGAGAACCCTCATACAAGGTGACGCCTCTTGTGAAGGTTGTCTGTTTCTCCGCAACTGTCCCGCCCACGGGGTAACTTGGAAATATGGGGAACACGCACGGCAGCTAACCGGATAAAGTAACATGCCATACACATCCTCAGATCATTTTGATAGACGGAATAAAAGGAGGATACACCATTGGTGGAATGTAGTCTGTCCGGCGCGAGAATTGAGGTGGATGTGGAGATTTCAGGCAGGGAGGGCAAGCATGGGAAGCTCGGCACGCAGGCGTCGGCGTCGCGGTCACGTAGCCCCGACCAATCGACCGCACCTTCCACGAGAAATTTCCAAAATTCCATCGAGGCTTCACAAAACTATACCATGTTATTCTATGAACCAAAATTTGAGCAAGACGATGACAAAAGTGATGATTCCGCCCGGGTTCGAACCGGGGACCGCCTGTGTGTTAGACAGAAGTGATAACCAACTACACCACAGAACCGATTGTTAAAGAAAAGTTCGAGGATAACCTTTATAGATCTTGATTCAAACCGCCAAGGCTTCGGCTACAGCGAAGCTTCGATGCTTGAAACTCCACCTGAAGCCCTAAGTCTTGTCAGCAACCACTCATTATTGGCAAGAGCACAAATGTTAGTTCTCATGAACAGCTGTATCAACCACGCTTAGTATAGTTTTTACGGATTGCACGTCAGTACGGATAGAGAAGAGGCGAGACACTGTTTGCCTCTTGGAACAAAACATATGTCGCCAACCCCGTCTTTGTTTCACAAAGCATGCGGTACATCTTTACCACGTCCTTTAATCTTTATCAGAACATCACGCATTTCTTTGATCTGCTACTCTTGATGTTGTTTGTCCTTTCAAGCAACCATTGTGAGTCTTCAACATGACTCGATATAGGTGAAAGTGACACGCAGTGAGAATGTTTCACTGGCTGAAGACCCAACAACACCATGCAAATCCTATTAATCATGGTTGAAGATCGACCGTTCTCCTGATTCAATCCTTCCAAACTACCGATCTTACATGAATTCAAGTCTGCCTCAAGATACCATGGCCGACTGGCAGGAGCTATTGACCACAGTCAGAGATGTCTACCAGAACGTCAGCGAACTATATGGTCTGATCAAAGATCACGAGCAAGACTTGATTGTCATCGAAAAGGCAGGCTCTCTGATGGAGGACACGGAGACCAATCTCTCGTTCCTCAATGGTTGCATTCAGAAGTACGGCAACGACACCCAGCTCACAGATCAGATCGCTGGTTTCTCGCGTAGCAGAGTTTCCCAATCTCCAAATACCACATCATCACTCAACGGTACACCAAGCGATGTCGCCACGAAATCTCATGGAAATCTGGAAGAAGACGAGATGAAGCGTCAGGTCCAGGACACCGTGAGGCATCTGATAACCGAGATGGTCGGGTTGTTGGCAAGGAAAAGTTGTTGCTCGACTGGTCATCATGTGGACTGTGGTATGAACCACGCACACCAACAGAGTGGCAAGCAGCAGCTCTCAGTGGATGACTCTGATGAGTTCGACATACTCTGAGATCTATAGATGCGCACAAGGCACTGCAGAGGGGGATGGATGACATGGTAGCGCAGCGAGCTTCCAGAAACGTGATGTAATTACCATGTAGGCAAAAAGATTTGAGAGCTATACCAACACAAAGAACAGCACTGAAAACACTGGAGAATGACGCGTCTAGAATGCGCCATCACAGAACGCGCATCTTCCTCCAACACACGAAGGCTGGAAAAAGGAGCAAAGCATCACATCTCGATCACTTACACACCTCTTCTCAACCTCAACAACCACCTCGAAACACAAAATGACTGTCCTCGCCGAATCTGAGAACCAGGAACTGCAAAGAAAGATTGAGCGTTTGGCCAATGCGCTCATCACATCTGATCAACCCGACGAGTGGAAGCAGCACTTCCGCACCGATACCGACCTTCAAGGGATCAAGTCACTGCTTGCGCAGAAGCGCGCACGTCTGAGCTACGCNCCCCTCCGCGAGTGGCAACAGAACGAAGCCACTTTCGCACTCGCCCAGGTTGAGACATGCATGCAAAAGAGGGAAGTGAACCATACCAGGTAAGTCACAAGTAACAGATCAGAGGTAATCACGTCTGATNNCATGATTAGTTCTTCATACGTCTGCTCTGTTGTCAAGGATTCCGTCGCCACAGTCCTGAACACCACCCTTGACGAGATCAGGAGAGGCGAGATCTCCACTGGCCCATCTGGATCTGCTCTGCAAGCTGCTGTCGTGATGATCAACAAGCAGGACATTCTCGACGCCGTCTTCCAGAGAGCCAATCTTGATGCACTCGACTCTGAAATCACCATCAAGAAGCATGTCGTTGCCGCCCTCGCAGGTTTGGTGNNCAGAGAGATGGTGAGATCTGTCGACAGCCTGTCCGGATACTGAGTTTGATGCGGCGAAAGGCCGGCGCGGTTCATGGTGTTGCACGTCTTGGTTTCGATGAGATGTTTTCGACCAGAGAAAAATAAAACCTAGGCGTTTGAGTCTTGGATGCAACCTCGAAGGGTAGTTTGACAAGGAAGGAATGATCCAAAACAAGGGGACATAATCAAGTTGGTACGTGATACCCTCAGAAATGGCAGTCGCGACTCAATGCAAATCTGCTTTTGCTGTTTCTCAATACGTGCCTGCTTTGTACTTGCTACCATCTCATCTAACCGTCCATCTGATCAACAAGCACTCCATACACAGATTCAACTCCTCATCATCCACATCACGAGCCGAGACGGAGCACACAAAATCAGAACCCGACTTGACAAACATTCACAAAGCGGTCGANGGATGCTCTCACAAAGATTCACGACGCTCAAACCGACAACCATGACCCTAGCAAAACCAAAGAGGACACAAACCGCGACCTGGTCGAAGCATCAAACATTCTGGCTCAAGCCAAGGAAGACATTGCCGCGTATGTTAGACCACCATTTACATGGAATTAGTCAAACTATGTCTAATCATCTGTACCAGCCAATCCATCGACACCAAGGTTGGCCATGCTGTCGACTTCGTCGTAGGTAGAATCGACAGCCTNCCCAGAGATCATACCATCAAAGGAGCTCCCGACGTTCACGCCCCAAACTGGCCTGAGTTACGTGAAGACCTCATCAAACAAGTCAAGGTTCGACTTGAGGCCTTCTACTTTCAGCTTGAGAAGGGTATGCTGGTGACAATCGACCCCAAAGTCTTCGAAGATCAGGCCAGAAGAGAAGCGTCTGAGGTTATCTTGGGAAAAGTGCAGGAGAAGCCAGAGATACTGTCCAAGGATTTGTGAAGGATGGCGACAAGTCTGAGCGACCATCATTGAACCACGAGTAATAATGAAAAAGTAAGTTTTCGGGAAATTCAGTAATGCTGCATACAACTGACCAAGTACCAGGCCTACGTCTTCTCCCAGTCAGGTCATGCCAGTCAACATCCATCGTATCGCCAATATCACTCCAACGTCAACATGTTATCGCTATCATTTGGAGAAACAACATTCCTCTCAATACAACTATACCTCCAGATCGAGCAGGCATGAGTACAAAGATGAAGGCAAAATCCAGGTTGTTGTTTCCATACAGAGTAAAGTACTGGAACAAGAAGCAAACCTCTACTCTCTTTTATTCCACACGTTTGTGAACTTGCTTGTTCGTCCCTCTGACATCTCCAACACTGGTTACACTTTGCACAGTATCAAAACAAACACGTATTGCGCTGTAAACGACACGGTTATAGTCAGTCCTGCTGGAATTCATTACTGGAACAGCCAGCGGACGCATCTGTTGCACGTGTCAGCGTGGTAACCCACGAGCCATTATTACGCCGTGAAAGCTGTTACAATCTGACCGTAACATGCGCCAACTACGTGGCAGCCGTATCTTGTGATACAACGGAGTACGCGACAATGATCTATATAAAAGAACCTCGAACTGTCTTCGAAACTAACCTAAGCACTTCAGCAACAACCCTTCACCAATACCCAACTACGTTTCGAGCCACAGATCATGTTGTCATTCGAACTCTCCAATCATGTCGAGGCTGGCCAAGAAGAAGCCAGAAGCCTTGTCGCAAACCTCAAAGCCGTTCAGCAGACTTTGAGAGATGCAGGTACAGACATCAACATCCTCCGAGACCTCAATGTCTGTGTCTCCAAAGCTCAGGAGCTGTTTGCCGAGTCGTTCCTCTTCATTGAGAAGGAAGCAAAGAAGTATGTTCTTTCTGAACACCCCTTCTCCATCTTTTCTGAGTAAAAGGCTGACAATTGCCATGCNAACAGTGCCAGAAAGATGGCAGACTTCCTTACCAACAGAGCAATTTCAGAGATTGTAGATGGATTAGTCAAGCAGGCTCACATGTACTCGCGCCACAACAATCTCGCCGTCCTTGTTCTACGCTACTACTTCGACGGACCCTCTGGCGACGCCAATCGCAAGAAGCTGGAAGACAAACTGAAGGTAGCCGTGGATGCGGGAAGTCTGGGTGACTATCCTTGGACCTGTGAGTTCGAGGATGTGCTGGTGAAGTACAGAGTCAAGGTTGAGAAGCTTGCTGTGGAGTATGTGGTCAAGGATGCAAAAGAGATGTTCGAGCGTGAGGCTCAGGTCTGCTTTGCCGTGGAAGATGATGGAGAGTTGGGATCGTTACAAGACCATGATGAAGTCGGAATTGAGAAGATCAGTCTCAGAAGATCAGTTTGAGAGGTTAGATTTGAGCCACATAATGAAGTGGCGATGCAAGCAATGTGGTTGAAAGCATTTTAAGGCCATCGGATGTCTCAACCTGGCAAGTTAAGTATCTTGCTTCTCTTACATGATGATTGACAATGAACATCGAATAAAAGCTTCAAAGATGTTTTGACATTATTTCAAGCACAGGTCAAAGAAGGTAGGATAGTCTCCGTCGTGTGTTTTTGGTATGTACACTGGGTAGTCGAGTAAACTTGTGAATTGATTTCTTGAAGAAACTTTGCTGATCAGGTCTCACTAGTTCTCCTGAAAAGAGCAGACATCAGTAAGCGCCGACAAATCAGTGAGCATTCGTCAGATCTGCTGCCTCGTTCACATTGAATTTCACTTCCACTAGACCACAGTCACTGTGAGCACCTCACCAAGAATAGAAGATTTACTTGACTCTCTTGTTGTTTCCTCTCGCCAACACAACAACAATCTCGCTGCACCTCCTCGCACATCAAAATCGACGATCTTACACGCTCTTACGGATCATCCACAATGGACCTCGAAGCTGTAGTGCCTTCTTTCCTCCGACAAGCTTTATTAGAAGGCGACAAGCTCAACAATATCCTGGGCAGAATGCAACAGCAGAAGACCTCCGGTATCGATGCTTGCTTGAGCCAAAACATTGAAGCTGCCTGCAGATCTTCCAACAAGAAGTAAGCGATTCTGAAGAATGATGAGAATGATTAAATGTTAATTGGATCTGGAAAAGTGTGGATGACTTGATCTGGCACATTCACGACAGAATCATCAAAGACGCAGTGACTCGTCTCATCAATAAGATCGGCTCGCAATCAGCTCAGCCTCAACTCGCCATAATCAGACTCGATCTTTTCTTCGAAGGTTCCGAGGGTAGCAAGAGACGTGAAGACTTGGAATCCAGCTTGAAGGAAGCAAAGAATTGGGTCGGTGCCCTCCCTCCCGATGACAGTGATTACGGAGTTTCTCTACAGAAATTCGCCCGAGAGGTTGATCAGAAGGCTCTGAGATTCGCAATCGACGCGGCAAAGAAGATGGTTGAGGCTCAGTTCAAAGGACAGAATGAGATGTGATGAGCACTCCACAGCATTGACAAACCAAGACCACAACATACATGGCCAGATGTATCATACAGACCAGTGCTCGAGTTTGAGGACAGGAGGAAAGCCCGCGAGAGAATGGTCAATCACAAAAACCATTTAAACCAATCCACTGCTTTTCCTATACAAGCGCAAGAGAAATACTCTTAGCCTTTTGTGTGTTTCACTTGCCTCGTTTATCCTTCTTGAATGGCCCGCTTTCACTCTCACTGTCACTAACCCTTAGGCACTCAGCATTCTGGAGCAGCAATAGAAGCTCTCCCTTGCTCTCTTTTCGCCTCTCATCCATCCACCAACAACACACTCGCAACTGCTCTAGTTGCAACTCCACCCGCAACTTCTCACACTACTCATCGATCATCGGACACGATGGGCTTCGATCCAACTTATCTCTCGAGTTCATCAGAACAAAACTCGAGGAGTTGCTTGACGACGAACGTCTGACCGACTACAAGCATGGCCAGGCCCTTCTCAGCGACTCTCTCGGGGCCATCAAGAGCCTCGAATGGGAGGCAGCTCACAATGAGGGCGGGTAAGGAGTGTCCAAAATTAAAAAAGACTGAAGATGCAATGCTGATGAACCTACAAAGTCTCCAAGACATGGCTAAGTACATCGGCTCTCGAGTCGTCAAAGACGCAGTTGACCGCCTCGTCGGCAAGACCCATTGGCAGTCAGCTCACCCTCAGTTCGACACTCTCAAACTTCTCTTCGAGGGCGATGAAGGCAACGACAGACGCAAAGCCCTGGAAGCCAGAGTCAAGGCAGCTTGTGACTGCTGCCATCTCCATGAATTGGAGAACAGCTTATTCAAGAACAACCTGGGGGTTATACAAGGAGGAGGCCGAGAAGCTGGCTTTGAAGTACGCAGTTGACGCCGTAAAGGAGTACGCCGTCAAGGAAGCCGCCAAAGATGCAGAGCTGATGGTCGAGACCTTCTTCGGAGTGCAGGACGAAGATTGAGGACACAGAGTGACACTCACTACCTGCAGACCGGACGAAGGGTTTGGTCAGATGTACAATAGCTCTTCAAACTGATCGTCCCTAGGCTCAAGAAAGAAGCAAACACACAAGAAGCTTTCGAACCTATACTTTCAGCCCTCCATCACACTCACTTCCCTCATTCATTCTTACGTGGTCCCCTTTCACTCTCACCGTCACTGGTTCGCAGACACTCAGCACTTTGGCCCAACTATAAGAGACTCGGCTTTGCTCCTGTCCTTCTTTGTCAATCCCCCGAAGCAACAACAACCGCGTCTCGAGACCTAACAACTCCACACACGTCCTCTGAGCAACTACCGAACAAGATGAGTGATACCGGACTACTCGCACATGTCCACCAGGCCTCGGGTAACACCCGCGATCTGCAGAAAGTTCTTGACATTTTGGCAAATGTCGGAAGTAACAGAGGACTTACATCAAGCTCAATCAAGTACTGCAAGCGCCTCACCGAAACGATTTTTCGAAATCTCGAAGGGGTCAGAAATGGGGCTCACAATGCCAACAAGGTCGCCAGGTGAGGAGTCCGGACTGCTACACTCTTTTCAAGGATGCTGATATGTGACAGCAACGCAAAGGATATGGCTCACTACATCGCCGACAAGGCAACCAAGGAAGCAGTTGATCGCGTGATGGACCAAATCCGTTCGAAGCAAACTCAGAACGCGATGGCCTCGGTCATGCTGGGAATGTTTCAAGGCCCTACGGCTGACGACAAACGCAAAGAGCTGGAGACTAGGATCAAGGCAGAACTGGGTCTGGGCGGCCTCGAGAGTCATGACTCTATGGAAGAGAGGGTGCAAGCCTATGAGACGAAGGCTGAAGAACTGACCCAGCGATTCGCAGCTGAGGACGCAAAGAAGATGGTCGAGGCTTGCTTCGGCGTGCAGGACGAAGAGTGGGGAGACGAAGACTGACGAGACACTCACCTACAGACCAGACGAAGGGCTCGGTCAGATATCCAACCAAACCCCAGATACATCCGTCCTTACCACTCCAAGACCTGAGAACCGAGCACAAAGAACTTCGAGCAAATACACCCCCAATACCAAAACCATACAAACCACACAATCACATGTCACAAAAACTCATAAATGTACCTCCCGTATCTGTATCAACGACCTGTGCTCTCAAGCGGCCGCAAACTTACAAAGGAGTTGCTTTCGCATTGATCTGGCGACGATGCGGAAGAAGCAAGGGTTCGGATGTACCAGACCCATAGTTCCCGAGCCCCACTGAATTGCCTCATTGATCATGGAAGTAAAGAAGAAGAGGCGGTGGGTTATGTCGCTGGTGGAAGGAGGCAGAGAATGAGTGGGTTAGGACGAATAGGTAAAAGGATGAAGTTATCAGGAGACAGGAGCGACTGGAAGCGCAGGACAGGAAAGCTTGAAGGACCTACGAGGAAGCTACGATGCAACAATGATAAGATGAATAGGGAAATTTGAACCTTTGACGGACATTGATGTAGAAGGCATGAAGATCGAACGCGACTCTGGTTGGCGCATATGGACAAGTTGACAGAAAGACAAAGACAACAAAATACAAGAAGCAGAGAAGCTGGGTTGTGTTTTGGGAGGGAAGTATCATTTTCTTTTCGTTGACAAGCACAGTCGAAAGGGGTATTGCGTGGTCTTGTAGATATGCTTTTGTTGCGCGTGGTGTAGCATCTCCTCCAGCCAGGGAATCTTCTGTCGGGAAAGTGATGGCGCGCGCAAAGAAAACCAGCCAGCTAGGGATAGTAGCAGACGGTTTCCAGCAAGGTAAAAAAACCCCAAACTCGGAGTCCCCTTTGTCATTGTGAAAAAGCCTTGGGGTCCTCCGTGATGCCATGGTGTTTTTGTTTTCATGTCCTTTAATTCGGCTCTTCATCAGCACTTTGTTGCAATGCTTGTTGGATCCGAGAAGGTCGCTCACCTCACACACAAAAAGCCCCCAGTTCCTCTGGCGAGACGCTTATCGGCTGGCGCTCCAGACGTTCTTGAGGTAGCCGTCACGCTGAGCGAGGCGGTTCATGCAGTCGTCGGACTCGCCCATGGCGCGAACGAAGCCGCAGAGGGCGTAGGCCTGGGTCTCGCCATTGAATCTGCCGTTCTCGTCGACCTTGGCGATGCTGATCTGAACAGAGCCGTGGTCCTTGGCCTTGATGATGCGGTTGGTGGCGCTGCACTTGCGGGGACGTAACTGCGCGTGCGAGAAATGTCAGCCCTGGTGTTCTTCTTGTCTCTTGTGCTCTGTCCGTGTCTCTTTCTGTCGCTCGAGGGCACGCTCTGCTCGGTGGGGGCGGGTATCTCAGGAAATGATGGGGGATCGTACAGGTCGACAAGCTCTCCGCGTTCGTTCTCCATGGTGACGGTGTTGTGAGGTTGGGGGTTGTCGAAAAGAAAATGGGACTGAAGACGACGACGTTCGGCGGTGCGAGAACGGGAGAAATTCGACTTCGTCAAGCCCACGCAGCGTCCCCCAGCCCGCAGCCATTTCGACGCCAAGCCTGCCTTTTCACCAATCTCGAGGTCTGTGCGTCTTCGGTCGATCTGTTTTTCCGTTCCGAAGTTTGCAGCGCGTATTGACTTCACCCTTCAAGAGCATCAAGTGCAGCATTTGTCTTTAGTCACTTCTCCATATAGCACCGTTGTGTCACTCATCAGCAGGTAGGAGAGCATGCTATCAAGTTGTATCAGGAAAACGCTGTCAATTGAACGAACAAAATCATCGCTCTATGCACCTCGAACCCCCAAGGTATTAGGTCGTGTATAAATATGAAGGAAACGCAAAAGTAGCATCAAGTGCAAGCAGTATTGACAAGAAAAGAGCCTTAAGAATCATGATAACCTCCCCATTTTGTTTACAGCATCATTGCAGCAGCAAAGAAGGCCACAAGCGCAACAAGGCTGCCTGCAACAACTCTGTTGCCATCGTTGGTGCCACTACCGGTCTCAAGACCTTGCGAGAATCCGGTGGATCCACTTCCTGAGGAGGAGCTCGAGTCCGAAGAGCCCGATGAGCCAGAAGAGCCTGACGAACCGCTGCTGCCAGAAGATGAACTGTCGCTGGCGACATCACTGCCAGACTCGCGCGAACCACCACCAGAAACACCAGGAATGGTCTCGGGTTCAGCGGTCGCAGAGGATGAAGCCGAGGACTTGTTGCCACTCTTGGTAGCAGTAGAAGTCGAGCTAGAACTGGCACCCTTCTTGGGCTCCTCACCAGTAGCAAGGAAAGAGGACAAAATGGTACCGTTGTTGCCAACAACGACGGTGTCGTTGGTCCCGTACTTGTTCTCGTACCAGTAGGCCTTGTTGCCTTGGTTGTTGTAACCTGAGGGAGGGTTGTAGCAGTCGACGGTNNCTATTAAAACTTGGTTAGTATCGTACACACAACGACCACGGAGGGAGTTCAGACTTACGACATCCTTGACCATGGCATAGTAGTAGCCGTTCTGCATGTACTGGCTGCTCCAATCAATCTCACCTCCAGCCCACTCGATGGTACCTTGAGCGTTGCCAGCCTTTCCAGCAGGCCACAAACTGAATTGGACTCTGGAGGGGGTCTGAGGGTAGTGGTACTGGCCAGCAGTCTCGTTGTAGGTATCGTTGCGGTTAAGAGTGCGAAGAACTTGGCCATCGACCTCCCAGCTGAGGGAATCAGGGGTCCAATCGATCGTGTAAGTGTGCCATTGTGAGTCAGTGTTGGGCGCGGAAAGGTTCTTCTCGTTGCCGTCTGAACAAATTAGTCATGGTTCGTGAGTGCAGCGATTCAGCCTGACTTACANATCAGTGATTCCTTGGAAATAGTAGTTGCTCTGAGCATTCGCAACATCTGTGCCAATAAACTCAAAGTCGATTTCGTCCTTGACGTCACTCATCATGATGAAAGCAGTAACGACACCAGCGCCTCGACTTGTCTTCATGGTAGCGCTCATCTTGCCGTACCAGACATAGCGTGTGCTGCTCAAGAGAGTGCCTGACGAATCCTCGGTCATGGTAAGCAGCACAGCCTCGTTGTTGTACATCAACGGGTCTCCAGAAAAGACCCAGTTGCCGCTGGATGGGTCTCCAAGGTATTCCGTGTTCTCAATAAAGCCATTCATGTTGTTGAAGTCGTAGTCGGAAGACTTGCAGATGGGTGCAGGCATACAAGAATCCATGCTGAAAGAGTCCTTGGGGTAACATCCTCCCAGACAGTATGCGCCAACACCGCAGTACCCGTAGGACGAGCAGCATGGAGCGCTGGAAGGGCAGGGGTTGTTTGAGTCGCAACTGATCATGGCCTGAACGGCCGAGGCCGCTGCCACCGTCAGGGCAGCCACAGCGTGTATCGTCTTCATTTTTTATGTGTTTCCGCGTCACAGATGTGTGTCACGTATGGTGATTTGACAGTCGAGCGAGCGGTGCGGTCGTAGGCTGGGGGCAGCGTCGTGGACAAGGCCGAAGGGGAGGCGTCGTAATCACGCGGCCCGCAGAAAGTCGTTGGTTCGTGTAGAGACGGGTTTGTGGCGACAACAAACGAATGATGCTGTCGAGTGATATAACAATATCCAGCAGTCGGACTGGTGTTAAGGATGGCTAAGAGAGCGAGGGCGCAAGAAGGAAAAGAATGCAAGATCGAATTCGCGTTACCTTATTGCTGGCGTCAGAGACAAAAATAAGTCAGAGTTCAGGGCCAATGCGAGATGCGGATGGCGGATGCGCCTGCCCGCACACCGCAGGGCCAAGCAAAGGGCGACGGCGTGTTTGCATGTCGATCATTTGTCCAATCCCGCTCGTATCAAACCGCCTCTTCCACGACTGTTTCGCCATTCGATTCATGCCAGCGAGGTCACCAGACCACACTCCTCACAGATTAATGGCTCCCAGTTGGATCTGATGCATCCGTTGTCTTCGCATAACCACTTCTTCCGCGCATGCGCAATGTGTTCGGCGATCCTCCATGTTCGAAGTCGAGACTTCCTCGGGATCCTCTCCACATTTCTCGGCAAATCATCTCCGCGAAACTCCATAACCGTCATTAATATGCATAACAACCACTCCATGTTGTTGACAACAGACCATCTAGTTGTACACACGTTTTCACTGTGAGGAACGGACTTGAAAAATCATGAACGTAATACTATCGAGAACCTATCTCAAGGAACAATGTCTAAAACGGCAAAAGAAGAACCGAAACCCAATCGATCTACAATCTGCAGTAATTGAGAGCATCTCCATGATTCAACCTCATCCTACCCTTTAATTCCAGTGATAACAACCCCAGAGAACAACAAACATAGGAGAACAAGAGCGATTCCTCTGCTCATTCGCAACAACCCGAAATCTGTAGCCACCACTTCACATGTGCGCAGGCAAGCAACTGTGACACCATGCGTCAGAGAAGTTGGGCAGATGCTCAGTCGCCTGAATGACTTCAAAGTTGCCGCAAGGAATAGAAGGGTAGTTTGCGTTTCTAGCCCATTCTCTGACACGGTTGTTGGGCGACCTTCCGTTCTTCTTAGACCAGGGACGCCCGCCATACTTTTGGCCCTTCTTAGTAGGCTTGCCGTAGGAGTCATTGTCGTATTCGTTGAAGTTGACTGGTGCGTTGGGGTTTCTTTCGGCAACTGGTCCATCACCCTTGAACGATATCTCCAGACCATCGCCACCACACCAACCATAGCGCCATCCCGGAGCGGCAGATTTGACATCCCAGCCTCTGCGTTGATGACCATCATCTTGAAGGTCAGGCATAGTCGGAAGAGGTGCTCTACCAAATCTGACTCCACTCTGACCAGGATTCATCCAGTCCCATTGTGGTTTGTAGAGATTCATGCCTGGATCGACGGGTCCAAGCGAGGACAAAGGTGGGCTGGTTGCGAAGTTTGAGAAAATCGCTGAAGACGTTCCAGGAGACGACGCAGAGCTGGATCTACGCTCTCTTCGCTCTCTGAGGATGGCCGTCTTGGTCTCGAAGGGAAGGTCGTACCACTCTTCATCGGGGATCCAGCTTGGACAGTCATCGAGAGCCGAAGGGCACTGGGTTGTGAGCTGCTGGGAAACTGCCATAGGAAGAATGGGTGGACAAACAGGGAGAACTGTAGGGCCAATCAGTGGCGCCAACCCAAGCGTAGGCGCGACAAGAGTGGAAGGTGCAGGTGGCAGAGGAAGTCTGAATGCAGGCTCTGGGGCACTCAACGGTCCAAACTCTTCTTCTGAAGTAGGTGTAGGAACGAAGTGAGCAGCAGTAGCACGCAGGCTAGACCTAGCAGGGCCAGAGGTGGACCTCGGCTGGCTCTTCGAGGTCTGAGCCTTGACTGGACCGCATCGCACCACTGCGGGATCCTTGTCCGGAGATGAAGCGCAGGATATGTGTTTAGAACGACAGGCTGCCTGGAACTCACGCAGCTTTTCTGCTTGATGTGCTTCGTCCATGCTTGAGGATGGTGCAACAGATGTTTTGACCAGACTGATGCTTTGTTGGAAAGCATGAGCTTCGGCGGTCTGTTTGATGGTGTCGAGCAACAGAGCAGAAGCGGGCTCGAGCTTGGTCATCAATGAAGAAGGAACAGTGTTGGATGACTGCTGCGTCTTCTTTTGAGCACTGGTCTCAGTGATGGTCACGTCGGACTCGTTGAACATGTCGGGCTCCTTCGTGACTGTAGAATTGTCCCCGACGCAAGCCATCTCTTTGGACTGCGTGGCTCCAGAGTCTCTGCGTGGTCGTCCAGTCGAAGAAGTGCTTGATCGTCGCTGGCTGGTAGAAGAAGAAGAAGAAGCACTAGACAGACGTCTTCTGATGGGATCAAGTATGGAGGCTCTGTCGATCGGCTTGGAAGTAGCCATGCCAGCTTCAGTAACTTCGACCACCTGTGCAGTCGGGCATTTAGGAGTTACAGGCTCGACATCCGTAGCTAATGTGTTTGGCGAAACAGCGATAGGAATTCGAGAAGGACTGGCCGGGCGAGGCAAGCTACTGGAAGGATCTGGGATGTTGATCCTCAGATTAAGCTTTGCTTTCTTTGAAGGACGTACAGAATTGCCAGAGAAAGACTGCAACATGCTAGTTTGATCGAACTCGAACGTTCCATCCAGACCGAATGGAAACGAGGTTGGTGCGTATCTGCCATGCACAGGAAGGACCTTGCGTCGGGAAGCATCGAAGACAGCAGATGCCACAGATCGAGTGGGAGATTGTTGTTCTGATGGAGACATAGCTGCACTGGACATCGTGTCGACGCGTACAGATTTGAGCTTGCAAGGAGAAGGAGATCTAGCAGCCTCGGATGTTCCAGCAGTGCGATGCTTGGAGGCCTTTGTGGGTGAGGCATAACCTGGAGTCTTCGATGCTGTAGCCTTGGTCAAAGTGGGCTTGCTCGGCTTGGACTTGAGTGAGTCGGCTTGGGCTTGAGCGAGCTGGTTGTGAGGGCCTTTGACGCGAGCGGTGCGTTGCAGAGGTTTGTTGGGACTCGAGTGAGGTGCCAGCGGTACGTTCTCAGGAGTTGACCACGGGGTGTGAACATCGTCGTCCATCTGCATCCATGCCTTTGGGAGTGACTTGCGTACATGGCGTTCGGTGACAGTAGCGTGCTGCTTCTGGGAACGAGTGCCACGACCTGAGCGGTCGACGAGATGCCAATCGCCATCCTCATCCTGGTCGGAAATACGAGACACAATCTGAGGCTCGAAAGGAACATGTGGCTCACTTGCCTGGGCGACAACAGGTAGTGGTTGCGGAAGAGAGTTCTTAACCGCCTTTGCATAAGATTGGATCAGAGCATCGTTACGAGGGCGAGTTGTGAGAGAAAGCGCAGGGAAGTTCTCAAGAGGCATGGGGGCAGGAGTCGAAGGACTGGTCGAAACAGTCTGGCCCGACGACTGGCCGTTGTGCTCATGGAGTTCTTGGAGTCTTACAGCTGCCGAAGAGCTTGGGTTGCCGAGTTGGCGAACTCTGTCAAGGACTTGCTGTAGTTGAATCTCGATGGCCTTGTAGTATGCAGGAGGTCTTCCGCCGCTGATGATATCGTTGTAACGGCGTTCGGCTTCCTGTGCAAATTCCTGCTCGTGGTCGCTGTTGAGAGTCAGCAAGTTTTGCACGGAGTCGAAAGACAACAATGATGATACCAACCTCATCTCGTTTGTATCAGGAGCCATGGCGCTGGATTATGTTAGAACTAGCATGTCAGAAGCATGGTTACATGGGATGACGAACCTCACTACGATGTGTAAGATGTTACTCGATGGATGGATAGAATGATCAACTTCTCCTGTCAAAACAATGGATGGTTCTGTGTTGGAGAGGTCAGATTCAACTGCGCACAGAGACGCAGCTGTTGTGTCGGCGGGAGGCGCTTTGACACTCGCGCCTTCTGTGTTGTGTTTTTGCTGGTGTTTGTCAAAGTGAGCCAGAGGGACGGCGCCTTCACAAAGCTTGACAAGAATAAATTCTTGATGTCGGCAATGACCATAATAATGGTATCGATATTGGCACATGGCCTTAGAGATTCAGCTAACAATGGCTGTGAAGTCAATGGTGATGTATGTCTATACCGATCAGCTTGTGTGGTGGGTGACCGCGTGGGACAAACAGGCAAGCACAAACGGATCGTTTAAATTTCCTAGTCTGTGAATTGCCAGCGAGATATTCGATTTCGGTATTCGAGTCGCCGCGGTGATTGACTATCGCAATGCACACTCATCTGGCCACTAAAGTCGGGTTTGATGAACATAGATGTACTGACTCTCAAGTGACGCCTTCACCAGTCCGTGGGTTTTCTACAGCCATACATCTTTGCAGAGCCAAACACCAGCACCTTGCAATGAGGAAAGCTTGTCACGACATTCGTTCGTCACAGTGATACATGTTTACTTAGCTTAGAACCGCCTCTTCTTCTTCACAGGCGCTTTCGACTTTTCGTTGTGTTTCAACTCTTGCCTCTTCCTGTTGGCTCTCTCCGCCGATGTTTCTCTCGGGATTGGTTCTTCCCCACTGGCTTTGCGCTTTGCTCGAGTCTGCCGAACCTCAGCCGTGTCCTCACGACTCTCGCGAGCTGTAGACGTGAGTCCCAAATCAAGACCAGTATTGTCCTGTTGGTCTTCTTCGAGTATAGGCGGAGCTTGCGACGACCATCTGCTGAGAGATGGCTGAGAATGCTGGGTTTGTGAGCTGCCACGTCCGATCCCACCAAGCCTACGTCTCCGTGAGGGAGACACTTGGCTCTGAGGAGGCAAAATCGAGGATGGAGTTGGTGACAGCATGGTTCTTGAGCGCAAGTTGTGATCAAGTTCGACATCTGCGGGTGGCTTAGGTGGCGAGGAAGGTGGTAGAGCTTGAGAGCTGGATCTGCCACCTATTGCTCCTATGCGTCTTGTCTGTGTGTTGGAGCTTTTGCTCGGGCTGTCGGGTGCAGGGGTTTGCGTCTGTGGGAGACGAAAATTGCGAAGAGCAGGAGGGGGAGGGGGAGACGATGCGACTCGGCCATCGTCGGTGCTATCGTCATTAGCAGCAATATGCCTCTGGATCCGTCTGGACGAGCGGACTGGAGAAGATATATTAGCAGGCATCTGCCGTTGCAGTTGCTCTGGTATCGTCTGTGTCTNGCTCGTCGTTAGTTGAGACCTTGATGTTATTGGCTTTCTTACTTGAAAGTCCAGATCATCGTCTGTTTCGTCATCATCCAGGGCTGAGGGCATTGGCACGTTGACTTCTATGCTTTCCTGTTGCGTGGGCAAGTCCTGCCACCATGTATTGGAAGTGTTAGTCAAGCTGGGAGCTATATCACCAGGCACATCGCGAAGGACAGCATACAGCGTCTCAGTAGAGGGTGGACCCCCACTGTGTTGCAGCTCCGAGCCGGGCTGGAAAGGAGCGAGGCCTGGGACACGACTGGCTACATGGTTTCTTTTCAAAGACCTTTGAGAGCTCCTGCCAGCCGAAACTCCTGGAAAGACAGAGCCAAGATCGGTGTTTGTGGCTTCCATCTTGTCAAGCAATCTCGACATGGCGTGGTCCTTGTCCTTGAGTTGAGCGAGCAAAAAGCTGAGCTGTTTTTGCTGTTGATGAGCAAGGAGAAGCAGGGGTGAAACGACCTCAGAAACCACCTCAATCTGAGTGGCTTTGCTAAGTAGCATGATCCATTCGAAGGGAGGCAAAGGAGGTGGCAAGGGAGCTCTTAGTGTAAGCTTCAGAAGGTCAGGAGGCTGGAGGGCAAGGTGAACAGTAGTGCCAATCTTGTGATGAAGAACATCGCGTATCTGTTCAAGTAATAGGCGTAACTGGCCGACATCATCGCCTGGATTGATGCTGCAAGCTTGATCCTCAGCATTGCGTATGACATCTCGATTGGCTAGAGTCTCAATCCATATGTTTGCAAGGTCGGTGATAGATACAGAGTAGCCAGCGTCGCCAATAACATACTTGACGAGAAGCTTGGGCAAGCCCTCAAGGTTGAGATTGAGGAGCTCCCAACGCCCTTCGGTACCCATGTTGAAGTTGCTGGATCATATCACGAGAGAATTCGAGAGACGAAACGCTCCTTGAGCAGCTCAAGTCAAGTGAAAGTCGGTGTGGCTGGAAAAGAGAGGCTGGCAGAAACAGCTTCACTGCTCTTGGCGCGCGTCAGAAGGGAAGCCGTGTTTTGAGACGCGACAAGAATAGATCGAGACTTGTTTGCTCTCGAATTACTATTTGTCCAGTGTCGAGGAAAACACCAGGTCGCCAACAAGAGGTGAAACGATAAGAGATACTACGACGATGGATCACGGGGCTATGCGACGCGGCGGCCCACCCAGGTCCAGCATTCCAGCCAAACGAAGCGCCGCCGATGCCCAAGAGGAAGCATGGGTTGCCAACGAGGACCGCTTTGTGCTCAAGCAGGCCAAGAAGAAGGCCATTATTCGAGCACGCGCTGGAAGAGCCGACCCTATTGATTTACTTGCCGTCACACTACGCGCTCTGGATGCCACGCGCGACGGCTACGACAGCGACGATGACGATGGAGAACTGCCCGCCGTGGACCCCGAGGGTGTCTTTGAAGGCCTCGACGATATTCAACTCGACGAACTGGACAAGGGAATCGACACCTACTTGACCCTCGAGCACAGCAGGAGTAACCGCGACTTCTGGAACGTACGTCTCGCAACCGCTCTTGTTGCTCTACCATTCAGCTAACCTCTCTGCTAGACAATGAAAGTCGTCTGCAAAGACCGACGGCGTGCTGCTCCTGGCAAGCTCCAGACTGCTCGAGGAATGTCGTCGGTGACTCCTGAGATCGATCGCCTACTTGCACCAAAGACACACGAACAACTCGAGGCGTTGGAGAAGCAGGTCAAGGCAAAGCTGAGATCCAACGACGATATTGATGTTGATTATTGGGAAAGTCTTCTGAAGAGCCTGTCCATCTACAAGGCCAAGGCCAGGCTGCGTCAGGTCTCCAAATCAGTCTTGGGTGCTCGTCTGGAGTCCTTGCGACAGCAACAAGAACAAGACGCTCTAGCCCTACGCAACAAGGTCAGAGAAAGTCTGAAGTCCTCTTCGCTCGCCGCCCCAGCAGAGCAGGCGCCACTCACATCATCACCTGCTGCCTTGGACCCGGAACCCTTATTACGCTTGAACCCAGAAGACAAAACATTGCTCTCACTCGAGGAGGAAGACTTCAAGCAGAAATTGGTATGCGCCGCTTCATAGATCAACAAAGCGTTATGCTGACTCAAGTGCAGNGTTCAAGATAGGCGCAGAGTCCTCAAGCTAGGCTATATTCCAGCTCGTCATGGCACCAAAATCTCCAACACCGAGGTCGCCTTGTCTTCTGAACCAAAAAGGGACGACACGTCTAGGATTACAAGTGCATTGTATGACCGAGAGGCTGCGAGAGGCTTCAACGACAACGAGGAAGCATTCAATGCCGAGGAGGATGTCTCAACCGGAAGACCCAAGTGGGCCGAGACATACCGTCCACGAAAACCACGCTATTTCAACCGCGTTCAGATGGGCTACGAGTGGAACAAGTACAACCAGACTCATTACGACCACGAAAATCTCCCACCCAAGGTCGTTCAGGGCTACAAGTTCAACATTTTCTACCCCGACCTCGTCGACACAACCAAAGCACCCACCTTCCGCATTGAACGCGAGAACGGTCGCAAGCGGGGTGAATCATTTGCTCCTGCTGGAGCTGAGGACACTTGTCTCATCCGTTTCATTGCTGGTCCACCATATGAGGACATTGCCTTCCGTATCGTCGACAAAGAATGGGACTACAGCGCAAAGCGTGAGCGTGGCTTCAGAAGCAGCTTTGACAAGGTATGTCAGAATCTTCTTCTTCTTTCTTGTCAATTCGCGGGATTCCACGGTACATGTTCGATGAAGAGATGCTGGTTGCAGCTATTGTTTGACTTCAGCAACCATCTCCCAGCAACGGACGGTGCCTTGCCGACGGCAGACACAATGCACTGCATGCTGGGAGTACGGATTGACGAGGACTGGAGAGCACACTGTTTTCCCGCACACACATACTGCTGCGACATTTCTAGCTTGACATCCTGCAGATCACAATGCATTAGCCTGAGCTTTCCTGACATGTCATCATAGGGAATTCTTCAACTACACTTCCAGTTCAAGAAGATCTATTACAGAAAATGAGCGCCCGGCCTGGATTGCTGCGCGACTGCTTCTCGACAAATCAACGTCTTCAATCCATCGTTCACTGCTATGAATGAGCATGACACGCGACTACGACTTCACGTTTCATTGCATGTTAATTCCAAATCATGCACGCTCAGAAACACCTGTTGGTCCGAAACATGTGTATCATCAACGCCTTTGCTGCAGGGCCCGGCTTTATGCATGCCTGTACCTGGGATTTCAACATGCTTTCGTTGTAGATCCAATGCCGCTTTGACAACATTCAGTCCGTGCTCATGGAGCCAATTATTGGGCAAAAGCTGCACTTGGCATTGTTGTGCCAGATCGAAGTGATGAACTCTTTTGAGAACATGCCTGGTAGTGTAGAGTTTGCTTTCTAAATCGTTGTCTGACATCAAACAGATATCTTCTCCACAACGACGATATTGATCGTATGCTTTGTAGGCAAGTAGAGGTCATCGTGTACAATTGCGATGCAACAACGTTCCTCAGGCAGATGCTCCTGCCTCAGAATCATGCTTGCTACGCTGTAGAAATCGGTTAAACCTCGTGCTGATGAACAGTGCGTGTGTGCTTGCAGCCGCTCACCTGCATTTCAAGCGTCACACAGACCGCACCGGATATGCCTTCCGGAAGGTTCGGGCGTTACCCTCTCCACGTCTTGGTGATTGAGCTTCGCCAGGACCATCAGGTGTGCCATGGGGCTGCGCTCTCACGGGATGCTCTAGCTCCATCATGTCCAAGCCTTCTTTGTGTCCCTGCTGAGATATATCCGCTGTTCATTGTGGAACTCCAATATGGAGGCTCTGATGCTTTTTGTCATGCAACTGACCACTCTCTGATGATTCTTCCAGGCCAGCTCAGGACAGCGTATTGGAAATAGACATACATTGTGCTAAACGCTCGACGGGATCTTTCTTTCATGTTCAGTCTGATCACTGGATGCAGGATCATCAGCCCTTCCTTGACTGGTCACATTTTCTGAAGCTCGTGGGCTTCCGATCCTTTGTCACGTTGCATATAAGGTGCTTCAACCCTTGCCCATACGTGTCTTAGATTGTTTTATATTCATTCCACATCCTCATCCAGACCAAAGCTCTTGATTGACTCTCCTCGCTGCGACAACTGTCGCATCTTTCACTCCGCGCTTGCAGTATCAATCTATACCTAGCAGCATTACACTATGACCTACGCGATGACCTACAACTCCCAGCTGGATTGGTGGAACCAACCTGTGAACAACATTCACCGCCTGTCAATCACTCCTCACTGTCGCTCTGACAGTATTCATGCGTCAGAATACCCTTTGCAACAGCAGAATTCAGAGTGTGACTCCGAGTTCTTCGCACCAGCTCACGTCAATGATGTATACCAAAGCACTCAGGCTATGCCCAACTACTGGGTCGGTGATTTGCCTCAGTTCACCGAGACCTCTATGCCTTTTGCTTTGCTTCCTACTCAAACCACGCCTGGAAACTACGCGAGCCAATGTATACCATCAGCATCACTACCTCCAGCTGCTTTTAGCAAGGAACCTCTGCTCATCGACCAATTTTCCAACAACGATCTGACGGCGTTCGATAACACCAATCCAACCTCATTCTTTCACAGCCAGGTTCTCCCTCTATCGGATGTGCCGGCCTTGGATTATGATAACGTGTCAGATGAGAATGCGTATGGCCGTAGGCAATGGACCGATTCTCCCATGCCAGATGAAATCGACAGTCTGGCAGGTTCTGGTGAGACTGATGACAGCTTGGAGAACACGGATCCATGCTATGCGGAACTACTCAGGCAGGCCTTGATGGAGAAGAAAGACGATCACACCATGCTTCTCAAGGACCTCTACGAGTGGGTTCGCACTCACAGTTCGAAAGCTCAGGATCCTAGCAACAAGGGCTGGCAGAACAGCGTGCGCCACAATCTTTCCATGAACGCGGTTGGTGCTTGTGGCATGTCCTCAAGTCGGATCTTGCTAATATTATGCAGNGCATTCGAAAGAGTCCCTCCACCCAACCAAGAGGCAGGCACCAAGAAGACAAGCTACTGGCGACTTACCAAGCATGCTGTCGAGCACGGCATTAGCTCAACTACTCGCTACCGCAAAGATAGCAAGCGCAAGACGCAACGCAATCCCAATCCCGCACCCATCCGAGTTCAGGCAGGCGCCAAGGGTGGGCAGGCAACTCGCAGATCTGTCCGCCGCCAGCAGATGGCTGCCTCTCCACTGAGCAACCACTCATCCTCTTTCGAGGCGGCACGTCAACGCAATCTTCGCCGACCACATCAGCTTCGCCAGCATCCCATCACTCAAGTCGACACATCCCCGTTACAGCAACAACTCCCACAGACTTTACCCATCAACACACCATCCTACTTTGGAAACACAACAGAGATGTTCAACGTTCCCAACCCCTATCCGGCCGACAACAACATCGACGACAATCGCGATCTTTTTGGACCATATTGCAGCACTCAACCATACCTAGACTGGTCTACCTCGCCTTCACCCATGAGCCAGCCCGCCAGTGAGACTAGCGGTTGGCGGATGGATCAAAAGCCCTTCGGTATCTGATCATCCCTCGAGATAGTGCCATGCAGTCAAGCTTACGAGCACGACATATGCATGACAACTGAGCGCGATATAGAGCGACTACATGCTCAGTTTGGCTTGGCAGTTTCTGGATTATGGATTGGATTGGAGTCTAAGCATATTGTATGTTAGATTGGGGCTGCATCCAGGGCTCACTCGCTCCAATGATCTGGGCCAATATTCAGTTTTTTCATGCCTGCTTGAGTACACGTCGAATTCTCAAGTGCTTTACAAGACCAACTTCCTTGCTTTGATGTTACATTAGTGCTGGTCATCCTGGGTGTTTTGCGGAATGACATGGTGAGTCGTGACTCGATAGAGGTTTTCGAGGAAAGGCCATAGATTGGCGCAACTCCTTATAGCTGAGCACAAGGCAGACCGACACAGACGTGGCACTGTTGAGCGGTTTTGNNACAGACAGGCTCGAAGTTGCAACTCACGCCTACTGTGCCGTTGTACAAGGTAGCTGTCATGGAGTGCAGTGACATATGCGGGAAGGCTTTGCAAGTCAAGATGGTCGTACGAGAAGCGNNCACCGCATATCCTTGACAGTAGTGGCTTCTTCTATCATCCAGCCGGGGATTTTTCTTGTCAAATAGCACGTACGATCACCGGGCGGGAGCTGTCACAGTGCCTGGCATCGAGGGGGCTAGTCCATCGTGCGACGACTCCACCCCAGCACCTGCGACCATGTCTCGGTTGTCTATTTTATCTTCAGATACTTGGTACTTGGTCTTCGCAAGCTATCAAATGTTTATTTCCGTTAGCAAGTCAGAGCACCGTGGACCCTCTGCCATGAATGCAGTTACATGCAGCAGAAAACTAGGGCACTCTCCGACAGCCCCAGTGCTGAGAGCGTTTTGCCCAGACGTGCATCCTCTTGCACGAGGCTGCTCTTTCCTTCGAGGTAGGTAGTCGGCGATCTGTTCTTCTGCGCCGCAATCGCTGCGTGTCCATAATTTGCAGGAGCTCTCGACTGCAAGCTGCTGCGACACCTCAGTGCTCGAGTAACCTGGTCCTCGACACTATCGAAATCTCATCGCAACCTGGGCAGCGGGCCAGAAGTATCTCGATACTCATGCAAGATGCATCTCGCAACCATCGCCAGTCCTGACACTGCCTGCATGGCGTACGCGCGAAAATATCATGCCAGCGATGGTCAGCCGAAGTCATTTGCATGCTGCAGCGCGCGCCAAAGCAGGCTGTGTCCGCAAGCTTGCTCGCACCACCACCCTAATGGTTGCCTCAGGACTCTGAGTTTTATCCACACTTACGACCGAAAATCAATGTCACACAGCATCAGTCAAAGAGACGTGCAGATTTTCCTTGCAGCCGCCTCGCTGNNATGTTCTTGGCACATCATGTCAGCAAGTCGACACCTCGCAGGCTTCGAGAAGCAAACTCTATGTCAACGACACAGTATACATATCTTCAATCAGACGCTGAGGGGCCTCAACCTGGCTAGAATTCATCAAAAATGCACCTGGTTTCAATCAATCGACGTTCAACTTCGACGGCGGCAACTGCACTGTTTACGCGCAACGCGCTTACCTCCTCTTCCGCCGATGTGACCATCGCGTCTATTCAACCATTCGCATCTCGTCGTCACNAAATATGTTTACCGAGGACCCATCACCAGGCTGGCAATGAAACGGTCCGAATATATTGCGACCGTACCTCGTATGATAATGGATTCTACTATCGGGTACCTACAGCAATACATATGCACAACACGAATGTCACTCGCCCATATTCAGCAGATCGAGTCAGTCCCTGGTATGGCTGACGTTTCCGACGCCAGAACCCGACGATATGTCGGTCAACCTTGAGGCTCTGGTGTTGATACACAGCCATCGATTACTCGTGCCCTTTGCTGATCGACAAAACAAGTACCATACGACCGAGAGGCCAAGCGATGATACGAGGTCGTCTCCAGAAGTCCTGTGGTTGCTCTTTCAGTGGAGTAAGAATAGTCTCGAAAGCAACCCAAGAAGAGTACAGCCGGCCAACACATCATATCGGCTTGCCAAAACCATTGTCGATCTCTAAACAATCCAAAGAGTGTCAAGCTAGGATTCACAACTCCCGAAACCGTCTGCAGTCCCAACAATATTTGCCGGCATTCCATTCGCGCTCCCCTCTGCGTGTGACCGAGTCTACTGATGCAACACAAACCACGAATCGTCACCACACGAAGAACGGGCCGCCAACTAATTTGTCTCACTGAGTGTCTTTGAGGCGACACAGCTCGAGCATGCATGCAAATCTTGCAGCTTCCTGAAAGGTATTTGTACGTGTCAGCTGAAACCCTTCTTGGTTCACTAGGAGGCATCGTTCTTGCACCAACCGAACATATATCACTCAAAATGGCCTCCTTGCATGCAGCTTCAGAGAATCATCAGAACCATGAATAGGCATGTGGGAAAGGCGGTAGGCCCGATCAGGATCAGACCAAACCAAGCCTCGAGCTGAGATAAACGGACTCGAGCGAGTGTGATGTGTATCTGTAGCACAGCCTTGAACTTCCAACGTACAAATCGGTGTGCAGGTAACTACCGGAAAAATTTTGCGGACTGGTGGATTATGGTCTTCCGCGCCTGCTGCTGGCTAAGATCAACCGCAAGATGTTTCTTCTCGCTCTAATGGGGGTTCGACAGGTAACGACTTTTCCTCTTCCTTGATAGTGCTTTCTTTGCCTCATATATAAATTGTGCTATGATCTGTGCATGTTGTCCCCGTATGTTGAAGACATCCATAGTGTAACCGTAGAAACGCACAACTGTTGCCAGACGAGGGAGATTCAAAAAGAGTCGACAAATCACGAAACCTTGTAACACTACTCCTTTCTAGGAAGTATCTTGAGTTTGCATAGCTTGAGAAACCCATGATTTACCTTGAGAGAGTAATTGGCTATGAGTATGTGGTTGTCTATGGCACACTGGAAGGATGGACGAGTTGTTGAATCCTTTTTTGTATATCTAGATCGTTTATGGATCTGAATAACGATTTGATAGTGCTCGATCTCCTGATCTTACTTGTTTCTTGTATGAGATGAGCTGGGTCATTTCTGGCCAGAGGTGATCAATACTCTTTATGGGGCAGGGTCGTACTCTCAACAAGCTGATTTTGGTCTATCGACGACATTGTGGGTCACTCAGAGCTCTGGGTAGATTGACCTCTTGTATGAAGATACTCTGATATATGGTTCCTGGCGTGTATGATTTACCAAGACGTAGATACAGTCAAGACCGAATTATTCCATATTTTCTTTTTCCAGGATTGGACATCAGCAATCTGAGTACTTGTAGCATTGGTAAGTGACTATCTTTAGCGACAGAGTTCCAACTGACACAAAATATTTTCCAGATGGTCTTTCAGGATGACATAAGCATATAATAAGTCAGAAGACACTATTAAACAAAGATATTGATCAGTCAGACACGTCTGTCTGAAGAAGATTTTGTGAATGATTCTGTTTCGAAAAAGTTGACAGCCTCGAAGCACAACGGACCGACTACCCCACTCAAAAAGTCATCCTCTTAATGCACCAAAACATCGAACCCTCAAGTTGTGCAACGAGGAGAACAAAAAGACTAGGTGGTGATCACGAGAGAAAACAAGACNAAACAAAACGTACAGCAGCAGGGATTCCCACGTGGTCACCCACCGTAGTACTAATCTGCCGTTCAACTGCTTATGTATGGCAGAGCGGACGGGATGCCCAGTTTTCAGCTGACTGTGGCCGTACGTGGTAGAAAAGCCGTTTGCAAAAATTATAATTCATTTCTCAAATCCAGAGAAAGCAAGAACACAACTCTTGCGACATCTTTCTTTCTGATATCTCGTTGCTCACAATCTCGCTGATGCGGTGGAAGGGTGTTGGAGCAATGACTTCACGGAGACAGGATTTGTCTGCGTTGATGAGACTGTAGTAGTGTGAGTGAGAGCAAGCGTTGATTGCTTATCATGACTCTGCTCCGCAAGTCATTGCATCCCATACTAGCATCTGTCTTCAAACCCCTCAAGCCGTCCACACTACAATCATGACTTTTTCACCTATCGCCACAGTCAGCACACCTCCGATTCAGCACTGCCAGTCTGCAATATTGGCTCTATTTCCACTGTTGCTACGATCAGCATCACTCCTGCACAGCATCAGCACTCCCAGTCTACGATTCTAACATCTTCGACCATCGTCTCAATCAGTACAACTCCTACATAGTGCTCTCAGCTTTTGGGCAAGCCATTCTGCCTTGTCATATGATATTTGTTTTTATTCCTCGCGCCATGTTCCAGACACACGCCCCTGAAATTTGCCGCCTGGGCAGTCATAGAGGTATGCCGTCTGATACTGCCCTTCTCCAAGAATATCATTCAACTCATCAAAGCCTCATTTGCCCGATGCACTTTCTCAACATCGCTACCTGTTCCGGTCGATACGCAACACAGTACTTAGCTCGAAGACGTGGATAAGGAGGTATTGGCACTGACTGTACTGTTCTACTATTAGAACTGACTATCTACGCAAGACAAAGCACAACACCAAGCAAAACAGACGGAATCAACTTCTTCCAATCCGGTGACCACCTTCCAGCATCATTGGTCGTTTGCTGAGCTGGAGGAGCACTTCCAGTGTACGTCGCATTGCCTGCAGCGACGCCTCCGAATGGAATCTTGAACACCCAGCTGTACTCATCGCTAGCCATGACAGCATCACTGATAGTCAATTCCAGACTTCCATTACTCAACAGCCTCGAAGGGACAACACTGCCACTCATATTGCCACCCACAACAGTGACTCGATCGCCACTAACATACGGAACAGGGCTATCCAGCACCAGCGTAGCGTTAGGTGGATACAAAGTCAAGATGTAAAAAGCATCAGGCGTCTGCGTAAAGCGAACAGTATCTCCTTCCTCAGNGGTAATGAACCAATAAGTGGTGTTAAAGATAGCCTCGCCATGAGACTTGATCCATTTACCCGCATCTCTGAGGTTCTGCTTCTCGATGTCGACGATTGTGCCGTTGGCTTGGGGTCCAATATCCAAGAGGAAATTGCCGTTTTTGCTTGTAATGTCGATTAGAGAGGTAACAATGTCTGCTGGCTTGATGTATGCGGAAATGGGGGTTGCTCTGTTGTAGCCGTATGAGAAGGGATCCATGCCTAGATTGCTCTCCCACTTTCGCATCTGGACGGCTTCGTAGCGAGCATATTCAGGTGTGTCGAAGTCGCCTGGGAGACCACAACGGTTGTTGATCAAGACTTGCTTGCCTTGAGCGGCCATATTGTTGAAATACTCGGCCGAGAACTCGGCTGTGAGGTTGGGGCCTCCAATATCGCNACTGTGATGGATGTCAGAAAGGCTGATTGGGTATGGGTCGGATACCAAAAGTCTACTCACCCACATGATTTCTGTGCCCATTTGTGCCAGGATCTGCATTTCGGGAAGAATGAGGTCCGAGACAAAGTCATCCACTGGCACATAGCCTGTGTAAGGGAGTGTTTCGTTGGTGTAGGGGTTAAGCGCCAGCCCACCTGGCCAAGCAGCACCCTTGGAATCGCCAAATCCATACTTTTTGTAGTCAGGATGGAACCACTCAGGCAGTGAGAAGTAGGTGGCCTTGTGCAGGTGCGGCTGGTACTGATCCGCAGCGTCAAAAAGCATCTGAAGCAGATTTTTATGTGGCATCTGGGCTACACTCGTTCGCTTGGTGATGTTGGCAGGGATGTCGAAGAGAGCATAGCCTTCGTGGTGCTTCGAAACTTGGACAAAGTACTGAGCACCTGCATCGGCGAAGAGGTCAACCCATTCTTTGGGATCGTAGTACTCTGTGGTGAAGTTTTGGATGAAATCGTCGTATGCATGGTCTGGTCCGTAAGTTTCGAGGTTGTATTCGTAAAATCCAGCAGAATTTGAGCTGTCAATGCCTTGGTTCATGTACCACCAATACCACTCTGCGTATTGTTCNNTGGTTCTTGTTAGCCGCTACCGTCTTTGACTAGACTGTGTTCTAAACGTACCCTTTTTGCCAGAGTTGCCCCAGCCGGGAACAGCGTAAACTCCCCAATGGATGAAGATACCATACTTTCCGCCAGTGTACCAGGCAGGACTCTCGTGAGCATAGATGCTCTCATATGTGGCTTCGTAGGCTCCAATGCCGAAGGTTGCATTAAATATAGAGCTCGCCTGTACCCCAGCGCCCGCAACGCGCAGAGTGGCCTCGCCTGTAGTACCAGGCTGAGTCCCATTGGTGTTGACAACTCCAACGCGCACGATAGCTCTGTCTCCAGGACGGAGCCTGTTGATGATCCCTGGCTGCACAGTTTTTACGCCTGAAGCATCGACAGTGACCTTGACGCTGTTGTTTGCCAAAACCCACTGGTCTCCTGTATTCACAACAACAGCTTCGAATATTTGAGTCTTGTTGGTGCCTTCCATCCAAAGTTGTGTTGATCGCGCTTGCTGAATTTCAAGGCTAATGCCCGAACCAGTTGCTGAGACGAGTGAGACTGCAAAAACATGCAATCGAGTATTCTGTGCAGCACCACCAGGTCCAGTTGCAGCCCCAGAAGTGACATTTGGAAGGGTGACACTAGAGACTTGTTTCGTGGAGTCGAGCCAGTTGACAGATTGATAGATCATGGAGCGATTGTAGTCGACACTGCTGTTAGTCAGGTAGTAGGGAAACACGATATCACCACCATAGGGATACGNGCCTAAAAAAGGTTAAATAGAGCGATACGCGGGTATCATTGCCACTCACCATGACCAGAAAGGGTCTACAAGGATAGGCCCAGAAGACGTAGTGTTGTCTGTGTAGGTGACATTGACGTAGCCAGTCGCAACGGCAGACTCGGCAGCTACGAGCATGGAGATACTGGAGTAGCGTCCCTGAGGAGGGGTGATGACCTGGCCTTGGGCAAGCACATTGTCATCACCTGATTCTTTGTACTCAGGAAACATGTAGTTGATGCCTGCGTAGGTAAAATTGCTGTCTGGCAGGTACTGAGCAGGGTAGCCTGAGTGTATGCCATCAAAATCGGCATCGCCAGGTGACATGGCAAAGGCACGGTTATTGACCATGCTCGAGAGATCAATAGGAACGGATGAGGCATGATCGCCGACTTGTTGACCAACATTCTTTGGATTGATGACTAGGCCTCCCTGACCAAGTGCCAGAGGGATGAGGCCAAGCACGGCAAGCTTCAGAGAGGCTGAAGCAGGCATGATGAGTGGTGTATCACGAATTGACAGAGAAGAGCATGGCAGCACTGCATACTTATATCTGATCTTCTAAGCAGCAAAGTATGGCTAAATGCATCGGGTATCATGCCTGCATCAGTTGGCCGCCGGGCAAGAAGCATAAATGATGTACGATAGGTGATCGTCGGGGGCGGGGTAAACATGACTATGAGAATGAAACCTGATCTCAAGGTAGCATGGCGGGACACCGTAGATTGCCGGGCTGCATGGTTTTACTGCTACTGTTCGTATCGGCAGTGGAGTTGCACTTCGTCAAGTCAATTGCAGTAGACAGGCATGATTAATCTCATCATCATCGGCTCGGAGTTGGTATGTTACTGTGAATTGCAGCCGTGTTGTTATCGGGACAAGCAGATGCTGGGAGTTGTCGATATGCTGTGTTTTTCAATGACGGTAGCTCTTTTAATTCCGAGTCTGATGGAGAGTATTTCATCTGATGATGTGTGGTGCAAGAAGTGTGGTCAAGTGCACATGGTCAGTCCATCAACGGGTCAAGTGCGGCAGAACTGAGTCGACACGTCCCGACGCGTCGACTCTCTCGAGCGTGTCGCCAGTCCACTTTCTCGCCATACATCACCGCCCATTCGCTCCCACATGCCGGGCATTGCATGAGCTACGATAATGCATATCAAACAGATCATCATCCAGGGCTTCAAAAGGTGTGTCTGCTCGCCCTCGTCCACTCATCAAGTCGTGCTCTGACACGATGCGCCTCTNAGCTACAAGGACCAAACCGTCATTGAGCCTTTCTCGCCGAAACACAATGTCATTGTCGGTCGCAATGGTTCTGGCAAGAGCAACTTCTTCGCCGCAATCAGATTCGTCCTGAGCGATGCCTACACCCAGATGGGTCGCGAGGAGCGACAAGCTCTTCTACACGTATGTTTGCGCCGCTAGCATTTGTGTCTCTTTCTGACACCCGCACAGGAAGGTTCAGGCTCCGCAGTCATGTCGGCCTACGTAGAGGTCATCTTCGACAACACCGACGGCCGTTTCCCCACCGGCAGAGAGGAACTGGTCCTGCGCAGAACTATCGGTCAGAAGAAGGACGAATACTCGCTCGATCGCAAGAATGCCACCAAGGCCGATGTCATGAACCTCCTCGAATCCGCCGGTTTCTCGCGCTCAAACCCCTACTACATCGTCCCCCAAGGACGTGTCACAACCCTCACCAACATGAAGGACGGCGAGCGTTTGAATCTCCTCAAAGAAGTCGCCGGAACCCAGGTCTACGAGTCACGCAGAACAGAGTCTCTGAAAATCGTCACCGACACCGACAACAAGCGCGCAAAGATCGACGACCTCCTGGCCTACATCCGCGAGCGATTGGGCGAGCTGGAAGAGGAAAAGGAGGAGCTTAGAGCATACCAAGAAAAGGATCGTGAACGACGCTGTCTTGAATACGCCATCTACCGAAACGAGCAGGAGGAAGTTGCAGACTGGTTGGCGAGGATCGACGAGGAACGTCAAAACGACGTGGTAGGAGCAGACGAACACAGCCAGGACTTCCTCCAAGGAGAGGAAGACTTGAAAGAGATGGACAGCCAAATCAGCCGACTCAAGCAGCAAATCGACTTCCTGGTGCTCGACAGACAACAACTAGAAGACGAGCGCAAAGAAGCTTCTCGTGAAAAGGCAAAGGTCGAACTGGATGTCAAAACTCTCACAGATGGCCAATCTGCCGCACAGTCTGCCAGGACCCGCCATGCCAACGATTTACAGCAAGTTCGCGCTCAGATCGAGCAGCGTGAGGCCGAGTTGGCCCAGATCCTCCCTCAGTACAATGCACAAAAAGAGCAGGAGGCCACCCTCAAGAACCAGCTCGTCGAAGCAGAAGGCCAGCGCCAGAGATTATACGCCAAGCAGGGACGTCAGACTCAGTTCCAGAGCAAGCGCGACAGAGATACCTGGTTGCGCAAAGAAATTGCAGAAATCAATGTTGCTCTGGCCACAAGGAAAGCGATTGCTATGCAAGCATCCGACGATGTTGCAGAACTTGAGGAAGAAATCTCGACTCTCGAATCCGAGATTGCAGAGCTGAGAAGCCGCATTGACAACCGCGGCGACGAGACACAGACCATGGCAACTGATGTACAAAAAGCCAAGGACGAGCGAGACCGTCTGATGGACCAGCGCAAAGAGTTGTGGCGTGAAGAAGCCAAGCTTGATTCAGTCATTACTAATGCACAGCAAGAGCTCGAAAAGGCCGAGCGTTTCCTTTCCCACATGACAGACCACAACACAAGTCGAGGCATTGCTGCTGTTCGTCGTATCGCTCGTCAACACAACATCCCTGGTGTATACGGCACGCTTGCTGAGTTGTTTGAGCCTTCATCAGAACGATACAAGACTGCTATCGAGGTTACTGCAGGCAACAGTCTCTTCCACTATGTGGTCGACACCGACGATACCGCCACAAGAGTTCTGGAGCTTCTCCAACGAGAGAAGTCAGGACGTGTAACATTCATGCCGCTGAACCGCCTCCAACCAAGACCTGTCAACATCCCGAATGCTGCTGATGCGGTACACCTTCTCACCAAGATCACATACGACCAAAAGTACGAAAAAGCGTTTGAGCAGGTATTTGGCAAAACTATTGTTTGCCCCAACCTTGCAACTGCTTCACAATATGCTCGTAGTCACGGTGTCTCTGCCATCACGCCAGAGGGTGATCGTGCAGACAAGAAGGGTGCTCTTACTGGTGGTTTCCACGACCCAAGATCATCACGTCTTGACGGTGTACGAAACGTTCAGACATGGCGTGTCGAGTATGAGAAGCACCGTAACCGTGGTGACGAGATCCGCCGTGAGCTCGAAGCGCTGGACCAGCAAGTCACAAGAGCTGTCAGCAACCTACAGAAAATCGACCAGAAGCGCCTACAAGCGGAAAACAGTTACGGTCCACTCCGTCAAGAACTCAGAAACCAGACCAATGCTTTACAATCCAAGCACGAAGAGCTTGAGAAGAAGCAGCGCTCTCGTGATAATGTTGAGCTGGCGGCAAGACAGCTCGGAGAGCAAGGCAGTGCCTATGAGACAGAACTGAGCACCGAGTTCAGAAAAGCACTTTCAGCAGACGAGGAACGTCAACTCGAGACATTGAGCACGACTGTGCAGAATCTGCGAAAGCAATTCTCTGACTTGAGTTCTACTCGTTCAGATGTCGAAGGTCGCAAGGCTAGTCTGGAAGTGGAGCTTCGCGAGAACCTTCGTCTCAGACTTGACCAGCTTCAAGCTCAAGACGCCGAATTGGGTGCTGGTGGTGTTGCAGGTGGTAATGCACGCCTCGGTGAGAAGCAGAGGGAGCTTGAACGTGCAGATGAAGCCTTGTCGAACGTCATGAACAAGCTCGAAGAGGCAGAGGCATCACTCGAACAAGCACAATCTCAACTCTCAGAGGCAAACACATCACGCGAGGAGAAGCAACGTCAACAAGAAGAGCTCGCTCGCTTCATCTCCAAGAAGAAGAGATCAATGGAGAAGAACACCGCCAAGCGTGCCACTCTCAAGGAAAAGGAAGAAGCCGTAGGCATCAGCATCCGCAACCTTGGTGTACTGCCCGAGTCTGCCTTCCAAGAACCATACACAAGTATGAATTGGGACAAGGCAGCCAAGAAGCTGAACAAGGTCAAGAATGCTCTCAAGGGTTATGGTCACGTCAACAAGAAGGCCTTCGAACAGTACAACTCCTTCACTCGCCAACGTGAAAGTCTGGAAACCCGCCGGAAAGAGCTTGAAAACTCGCTGTCGAGTATCCAGGAGCTCATTGATGTGTTGGATCAACGCAAGGACGAAGCCATCGAGCGTACTTTCCGCCAAGTCAGCAAGGAGTTTGCACGCATCTTTGAGAAACTGGTTCCTGCTGGTAAGGGCCGCTTGGTGATTCAACGCCGTACCGACCGTATTGCGCGCGGCGAGAATGACGAAGAAGACAGTGAGGATGGTGAAGGCAGAAAAGACGGCGTGGAAAACTACACTGGTGTGGGCATCAGTGTGAGTTTCAACAGCAAACACGACGAACAACAACGTATCCAGCAACTCTCAGGTGGACAGAAGAGTGAGTTTCTCCTTTCCATCTTCCCCTTTTACCATATACTAACACATTATCACAGGNNTTTGTGCGCCCTCGCCCTCGTCTTTGCAATCCAAGCCTCAGACCCAGCACCCTTCTACCTCTTTGACGAGATCGACGCAAATCTTGATGCACAGTACCGTACCGCAGTTGCCCAAATGCTGTCCGAGAGCTCCGAGAAGGGACAGTTCATCTGCACGACATTTAGACCTGAGATGTTGCTTGTGGCGGAAAAGTGCTATGGTGTCAGTTATATCAACAAGACGAGTAGTATTGATGTCGTGTCCAAGGAACAAGCGTTGGACTTTGTCGAGGGACAGATTAGTGGCAAGTAAGAGATGAAGGGGATGAAGGGAGATGGATGAGCGTGGCGTTGTTTTATTTTTTTCCATCATTTGCTTTGGGTGGTTCTGTAGTTTATGGAAGGAACATGATGACTTTTCGCCGTTGCTGTAAATGAAGAGTGTGTTAATCAGATGTCATGTGCAGAGTGCAAGTGTGTGAAGAAGGTGATAAGGGCATGCTGTCTTGCAGCAAAAAGGGGGTATCATAAAGTCATCGAAGAAGGGAACAAGATAAAAGCAAGCGAGAGAAAATCAGGCAATCTCCTGCAACCTCTTGCGCCTATCCTCAGCCCTCTGTTTCTCCTTGTCAATCTCAGCATCCATGTCCTTTTGCGCCGTGGACAGCATATCCAGCATCTTCTTCTCCAGCTCTCTGCTCCAAGGCAAGGCGTCGGAACCCCTGTCGGGCAAGTTTGCAGTCGGCTCCCTGCCACCTTCGTATTCAATCCTCGCACCTCTTCCTTTGGCACCTCTGCCTCCCTTTGCACCACCGCCTTNTTTCTGCAAATGAGCGAATTGGTCTTCAGCCGTCATCTTTGCGAAAAAGTCGTGAGAAGGCTCATTGAACTCGACAATCTCACACGTCTCGCTCGTCACCATGTTCGCCTCCTTTTGCATCTTTTGCTGCTCTTCACTGCCATAAGGCTCTAGCCTCAACCTATGACTTCTGTACTGCGCCTTTTCTCCCGAACTCGAGTCAAAGTATAACCGCATCTCGATATCAAATTCTCCATAACCGGTTTCTTGGATTTTGAAAGGGAGGGCTTCGACGGTGCGCGAAGGGTCGGCGTAGGTCATGTGTAGTTTGAATTGGACTTNTTTGAGCCAGGTGCTGAGGTCGGGGCCGCTGTCGAGGGCTTTTACGTAGACGCGCCAGCCTTTTGTGTGGCCTTCGGGGATTGGGCCGGTTTGGGTGGTGGGGTCGAGGTTCCAGGCTTGAGAGCCGATTACTGTGAAGGTTGTTAGTGTTTTGTGAGATGGTGAGGAGGAGGANNGGGAGGAGGTAGTACTGAAGGGGCGTGAGATGCGCGTGTTTTTGACGCGTTTGTTGCTTGCTGCGGCTGGCATGGTGGAGTGTCTGGTATGGTGTGATGCGACAAGAGGGTGTTTTGTTGATGAGAACTTGATGATGGTGAATTGTCCAGAGATGGAAGAGACAGGGTCAGAGGGTCGGAGGACAAGGCAGGCGCGTGGCCAATCGGGGTGGTTCCTGCCCGCAAGGTCGAGCCGGCGATGGCGCTAAGACGCGGTGCACGTCATGCATCGTGCCATCTCTTTTGCATGTGAATAGCAGATGAGAGCTTCCACAGCTTCCACTCTTTTGCATTCCTGACCTTCAATTCCATACATACACAATCAATCATGTCGACAAAAGCAGCAACCAAGAAAATCGTCGTCGCTGGCGGCAATGGCTTCCTCGGTACCCAACACCAACCCGATCGACCATCCTCAAGCTAACACTTCCACCCAGGAAGCCGCATCTGCAAAGCAGCAGCCGCACGAGGCTGGCAAGTAACCTCCATCTCGCGCTCCGGCGAACCTACGTGGTCCTCCGTCACCTCATCCCCCGTTGCACCCACCTGGTCTTCCGACGTCAACTGGGTCAGCGCCAACATCCTGCAACCCTCGACCTACAAGCAACACCTCGAAAACGCCGATTCCGTCGTCCACAGCATGGGTATCTTGCTAGAAGCCGACTACAAAGGCGTCTTGACCGGCAAAGAACCCATCATCGGTGGATTGCAGAAGGCATTCAGCAGTACAAAGCAAGGGACCCAGAACCCATTGGAGAGAAAAGAGGGCAGTGATGTCGAGCCACAGCATGAGGGCGGTCAAATCACGTACGAGGTCATGAACAGAGACTCGGCTATCCTTCTGGCCAAGGAGGCTTCGGCTGCTGGCGCTTCGTCCATGGCATATATTTCTGCTGCTGGCGGTGCGCCCATCTTGCCTGCGAGGTACATCAAGACCAAGCGCGAAGCTGAGGAGTCCATCACTTCGAATTTCCCAGCCATGAGGAGTGTCTTTATTCGTCCTGGTTTCTTGTATGATTCATCACGGACATTCACCGTCCCTCTGGCCGGACTGACGTTCATGGGTGCCATGGCCAATTCGCTAGTTGGTGGTCGTTTGACTGGGCTGATGGGTGCTGGTGGTGTCGAGCCTCTAAAGGCAGATCTAGTTGCCGAGGCCGTTGTTGAGGCTTTGGCCGATGAGGAACTGAAGGGCCCTGTCGAAGTCAAGACCATCAAGGAACTTGCGACTCGTGCATGGAGAAGGGCATGCTCTAAGCTTGCTCTAATATACAATCATCCATAGATCTCATACTCTTGAGAGAAGAGCAAAACTATCCTATATTCCACCTTATGAACTTTATAACCTAGACACAAGATACATCCTTTCGTTACACATTACTCGTCAAGCCTTGCATGAATCATCTGGATGATAGCCATCAATCAAGCACTCCCATCAATCGACCTCTCGTGCTGCCCACTCTTCCTTCTTTCTTCAGACTCTGCTATCACCTGTTCTGCTGCATTGCCTGCAGGATGTTCCTTGTCATGCTGAGCCTGTATCTCCGAGTCACCATTAGGAACACTCTCTGATCTACTAACGTCCTCCAAGGTTGTTGTATCAGGCTCCTCAGGTCCTTGCAGCGGTTGTTGCACCAGTTTCTTCTTGTCGACATGTCCCATCTCAGGTCCCTTTAGCGGCCCCAGCGTTTCCGGATCGCCGCTCGAGTTTTCGAGGCTTCCGTTTCGTGTTGGCTCCTTTTGGGAATCCTCAGCTGTGTCCATGTGCTGGGATTGTCCCTCTGCACTCTCACCTGTTTGTGCTCCAGCAGCAGCGGCACTCGTCTTCTTTGCCTTTTCCAGTTCCTCGCCATACAGTAAGCGGAATGTCGTCACCACAAACACTTTTCCGGTTTTACGGCTCTTGAGCACGAATCTTGTTGTGTGTGTTCTGTCGTTAATATATTTTAAGACTCCGAATGAGAAACCTGGGAGCTTCAAGGCGTAGTTCTTCCAGTCAATGTAGCCGTTGTGGAAGTCAAATGCATAACAACGTCCCTTTTCAAACACAAAGTCTTTGCGTTTTTGCTCGTCTAGAAAGTGTTTGCGGCGTTGTGAATCGGATGTGGGGATATCGTGGCTTTGGCGTATGGCAGAGTCATTGGAGAGCCCGCCTTCTGCAAGTATAGCTGGGAGTTCGCAAGTGCCTTTGGGTCCAATGCTGAAGGTTATCGCTGTAGAGCATAGCGCAGGCCCATTCAACCAGGGCCGGTCTGCATTGGGGTCGCATCTCAAACTCGAGTCCACAAAGCCTTTGACAATGTTGAAGGCGGTGGTAATGAANNAGCGCCCAGGTATGCGATCGCGGATTGGGTTGATGAGTTCAATGCCCCAGACCAAGTCATCTGCGTCAATGTCTTCTTCAGGGATCCAGGAGACGGCTATACTGTATGTATCGTGTACATGTGCGTGATCCTCAAAGTACGGAGAAGTTGCCGGAGAGCCCAGAGGTAGACCTTGATATTCCTTGATCCGGACAGCGACTTTGGCGTTCTTGCTCAGTGCCGTAGGAGCACCATTGATGATGACTTGTTTGGCCTTGGAGTCATCGTAGGAGGTTGCTGCGGCCACTTGGATATAGTACTTATCGGCGTTGCCGCTGTCGACCTCGGATGGAGCACCGGTGATCTTTTCTTTGAGGTAGGAAGCCATGTTTTTCTATTGAAGTAAGCAGATGGATCAGCACATTGTTTATATAGGGGTCCCAGGTACACAAGGTTTCAAGGCGTTAGTTGCTGTCGTGGCAGGTGGAAGGTGATGACGTGGGTGAGTGAACGTGGGGAAACTGCGATGGGAAAACGTGCAGGTGGCGTCTCCTTGTCCTTGCTCACCCTCCTCACCAGCCTATTGGAGCACTGCATTTCCCACTGCTTATGAGTAACAATCTAAAAGAAGGATCACTTCAAACACATTTACGAGGATATCATTGGAAGAAGACCAGGAGCTCGGATACTGGAAGGAATCTAGGAGCCATACATATTCTGACCGGACGCTGGAGGAAATCCACGAGCAACTCTTTCTTTCTCTTTACTCTGTAATGCCCAAAAAGCACAGACAGACATACCAACCCAAACCAGGCTCGAACTATGTTCACCCCTCCCTCGGAGGTGGTTCTCGCACCGGCGAGAATGCTCAAGCAAAACCTGTGTTATCCGTCAACGAACGTCTCACCAACCTGAGACTCGCACAGTCATCCCCAGCTTCTGTCGAAAGAAAGCGCCAGCTCGCTGAACTTTCAAATCAAAGGTCATTACCTCCAAGTCTTGGACAGGGTATCTTGGGTCAAACTGCTGTAGCTGCGCCGGCTCCGAGAAACAGTGCTTCTCAGAGATCAAGAGTTCGGCTGAGGACGCCTGGCCCTGCCCCTCCGCCTAGTTGGGTGTCGAGACTAACAAGTCATAGACAAGCACTGGAGAACCGTTACTATCCGGCGAAACGACAACCAAGAACTTTTGGCCAGAATGGAGGTCCAACGAGGAATCTACCGGATGGACTGGCACGTTTCTTGAATATGGCCAATGACAATCCTGTCGTTTCTGGCAGCTTGCTGGACATGTCATTGAAGGTAGCAGCCCGAAACTGGTCAGACATTGTGGAAGACTGTGGCGAATGGCTCGACGTGATTCCACCACATCTACGTGTTGTCTTGCTCAGCTATTTGACCACTTTAGGACCTCCAGAAGGTGTTGACATGGCCGGTCTTCAAGCTCTCTTCCCAAACTCATCCGAAGCTACCTCTTTGGATCTATCAGGGCTAGTGGGTTGGGGCTTCACGCTCAAAGAACTCAGAAGATGGCTACACAGGTCAGCAGAGGAATCTAAAGACCTTGCTGAAAAGTCCAAGAAAGAAAGAAGCGACATCGCAGATTCGTGGGACCAAGACACCTCCTCGGACGACAGCGACTTCTTCATTTCAACATCTCTCAACAACAACCTCCAATACTTGACCAAACTCTCCCTAGCCCATCCTCCTTCCTCAGCCTCCTGGACAGACCTCCTACTTCTCTCCAAGGACCTACACACCATAACCCACCTCAGCCTAGCACACTGGCCACTACCAACACGAACCCCAAACTCAACCTCNCCCTACGCCTCTCTCGACCGCGACTTTGAGGAACCAGCCCTAGTCCTCCGCATGCTAGCCGAAAACACCTACTGCCTCCGCTGGCTCGACCTTCAAGGCTGCCATTCTTGGCTCCCAGCCCTAACTCATCGCTCTTACGCCCTCCCCCAACCCACCGATTCTGACGACAGTGACAACGACTGGTCACAACAAACGCAGCGTCTCAAAGGTCCAGACTGGAATGGAGCTTGGCGTCATCTTACCTACCTGAATTTATCCCAAGACTCTACTGCATGGTTCCCCACCAACACCGCATTCCTCAAAACCTCTGTCTTTCGCCAGAAAATGGCAAAGACTTATTTCCGCGTTGGTGTTAAACATCAACAAATCATTGATGACTTGCGCGATTATATTTCTACTCATCCGGAGAGGAGAGAGTTCCAAGTTCAGCATTGTGGTGATTGTCATGCCACTGCAGATTCGGGAGACTGTTGGCAAGAGTGCGGCAATTGTAATACTTACCAAGACATGTTTGTCGGTTTGATGGCCAGATGGTTGGAAAGAGAAGCAGAGGCGAGGACGGTAGCTAGAGGTATCATTGCTGCTAGACAGGGTACGGGCCTAAGGTGCACTTTTAACCACGGATGGCAGAGTAGAGAGAGTTATCCCGTATTGAATTGGCCATAGGATTTCTTGAGATAGACGAACCATATTTCTCGACACCAACACAAGTCGTCATCTTCAATAGCGAATTCGTTTCACGAGTCACAACAGGAAAGCAAAAATAGAAATAACAAAATGCAGAATTTCGTTCCCAGGGTACTTTTCTGTGCAAAAGAAGTGACTGAGAATACTAGCCCACCTTCTTCATCACTTTTGACAAAGAATCAACAATGCCACTGATGCTCATTGCTCGCACCCCAACTTTATGCTTCTATCTCATCGCCAGCCGCCAAAAGAACCAGCTCCATGTCTCTGCACACAATTCCACTCATNACTACAAAAGCAAAAGGTCAGTAAAGAAGTCGAATACACAGTCCAGATGTCCAAACTTACAACTTTGCCATCTTCATCACCAGTATACACAGCTTGAGGCATGGGAAGAACACAAGCGATGGTGGGGACTTGAATGTTCGGCTCGCCTCGCGTTGGCTCAACATGCATCAATCGCTTGATGAGTTGCAGATGCCATGCTCCATCGCGGAGTGTGACGAGTGACCAGANCCTGTTACGATGCATTAGCTTGACAGTTCTTCGATGATGAGTTTTTACGTTACTTACATTTACGATACCACGTTTGTGGCCTGTAAAGAGCAATACTCGCTCTACCCACTCGTTGGCAGCGCCTTCGTAGAAAGCACAGCAGGTGATCTCGTCATCTTCTGCATCGCAGACCTTTTGTTCTACGAGTAGATGTCCATTCAAAGTGAGTACTCTGACGAACGCTCCGCTGCAGAGGACAATGTGCCCAGTCAAGTTATTGACCTTAGCACACTGGATTGTGCGGCTGCCGTTATNTGCTTCCTGGAGGATACGCACACAGTCGAAACGGTTGAGATCCCAAAGGAACACTTGACCGTCGACTGATGCAGATACCAAAGTGCTAAACGCGCGTGAGGCGGCAAGAACGCTAATGGGCGTGCGATGGCCGAAGAGATAGGTTCTTGACTGAATGTCTGCAGAGTCTGAGCTGAAGCCAATGGTCCACACGCCAATCGTGCTATCTGCACCTCCTGTGATGAGCGTCTTCGAATCTGCAAAGAGGGCGGTACTGATTTGTCCTATATGCAGGTTCTCGTACAAGCCAAGCATTCTTCTATTATCGGCGGTGAAGAAACGAAGACTGTTGTCTGCGAAGCCCCACTGTAGATAGCTCTTGCAAGCCGGTGGGACATTGAGCTTGCAAGGAGGAGAGCATAACAAGCGCTCCTGGCTAGGCGAGTATGTCAATGCCGTGACTCGTTCATGGCTCTCATGCAAGGGGAATGGTAGCTTGGTCAGCGACTCTGCAATGGTATCGAGTCTTTCCACTCTGTGTTTCTCTTCTTCTCTTCTGGGATGTGCGCGCTGGAAGACTTGATGAGGTGTTTGTCCAAAGTTGTGGATGATTCCAATGGTTGCAAGTTTTTCAACCTCATCTTGCATGGTGTCCAGGTCCTTGGCACCTTGGTACGAAAGATGATGGAACACATTAGTGGCTTCGAGTGCTGCTTCGCCGCGTTGTTTGTATCCAAAAATGAGATCAATCCACTCTTGAAGATGTTGACTAACATATGGGCTCTCGAGAGCTTCTCTATGCTTTGCAATGAAGATGTGTGGGTCTCCCTTAGCCCAAGGTGGCAGAACAACATCATTGATTGTTTGGCCACTGCCTTGCTTTTGGCCGAAGTCGTAGCCGTTGATGTTTTGCAAAAACTCAGGCAGGCAGAAGAACTCCGGTGTCAATTCACGAACATCGGTCATGTTCTCCTTTGATGCAGACAACCATGCCTTCTCGACTGAGTCAAACAGCCTGTCTGCGTGATCGAAGTTGCCACCTTGGAGCAGCAAGTAAGACTGCACGAACGGCGGTAGTCGAATGAGGTATGAAGAGACGATCATGGCCGAAGAGTAATGAGTACCATAGTGGAAAGGTGGAGAGTGTTCATCACCCATCTCGGCAAAGGCTCGGTAACGTTCGCGGAACTCGGACTCGCGCGCAGGATGTTGACAGCCCATCGGTTTGGAGAGATCACGGAAACTTCGAGGGTCGGTCAGATCGAGTTCTTCGCTAGTATAGTCTGCGAGAATCCAAGGAAACACAGGATACTGCGTGAGGTCGTTGAAAGTTCTGCCGGCCATGTTATTGACAAGCATGAGATATTGGAAGTTCGATATCTCGCCACGGGTCCATCGTCGAGTTGCTGCGTTGGATGATGTTGGGTTGAAGACATTTGCAAATTTGTAGCCAAAGCTTTGTGGTGTTTCCTCTGGATTTCTCAATGAGTCGAGTCTCCAAGCGTCCTCGGCAGGCAAGGATGATAGTGAACCATAGACTAACGGTGATTTCCCTGCGAGATTTGCGTAAACATCGTTGCGTGCTGTTGGCGTCATAAACGTCAAAAGGTAGCTACGACCGTCGGTGAAGAAGACTTCTAGTGCGACATCTCGGAACAGGAAGCGGCGTTTTGAGATATGCAATAGCTCCTGCCAAGTCCAATGTCTTGCAGGCTCTCTTTCCGCGCGTTGCTTTCGCTTGGTTTTAACCTCTTTACCTGAGATTAACTGAACGTAAGGGTCGCGTTCTTCGTCGGGAGCATGAACAACGCTGACAATTTCGCCATCAGATCTTTGGAACATTTCGTCCTGAAGATACAAGCATTTCTTGCCAATGATCAGCAGACCTTCAAAGGCTTCCAAGCCCACAACACGAGAAACATTGCAGATGTTCTGTACACGATCGCCGCGCTGCAGACTTTTCAACACTTTACGGTTCTTGTCTTCAAATCCTTCCTCGCCGTCTTTAGGGTCATCCACCATCTCAAATTCGCCGTCAAGAAGCGCAGAGCCTGAGATAGAGTCATCTCTTGATGTTGATGGAGTGTCTTCGAAGTGAGGAATACCGAGGTTGGCAGGAGTCCTCGGTGTAGGTTCCGCCGAGACTATATTGTCCGACAAGCCTGGACGAGATTGTGTGTCGATTCTAAGCTTTGTATGCGACGCACGCTCAGAGGCTTTGCGCTTCGGCTGGAATGCCTCTTGATCTCGTCGTGAGTCTGGCACTATTCGTATACGCATTCTATTGCGCGATTCTGTCTGATCGAGTTGCCATTTAAATGGTTCTTTCTCGGGGAAGAGGCCTGAAGGTTGCTTCAGGAGAGTTTCAAGCCTGGAAATGACAGTTTGTATATGATTCAGGTTCTCTTGCTGGTCCTGTAGCGCGCCTTGATACTTCAGTCGCTCTTGGGAATGGATGTTCGATCGCCAGTGCCTAGTGGACACTTCAAAACGATGTGCAACATTATCAAGCTCGGTCTCTGTCGTTCTCCATTGTTTCAGCTTCTCCTTGCGCTTAGCAAGACGGTTTCTGGCCGATTCTTCGGTCTTCTGGTTTTCAGAGCCGACAAATTCATCCCAGAATCTCGACATGGTTTCATGGAAGAACTCATCCAGCGGTTTTCGGTTCTGGTCAATCCATTGTAGAAGCTCGTCATCATCGTGTGCAGCAAGCTTGATCAGGCCAGTAGAGATGTGACGCTGATTTGGATCAGCGTTCTGTATCAGGATGGTAGCTGCTTCTGTTGGCTTCTGTACAAGCAACATCCTCCACAATGAGGCAGCAGCATGCCGCACTGGAAACGATGGCGAGGTCATCTTGATGTATAGAAGATAACAAATCAATCTTATAAATGGAAGTTCCTGATTTTGGGGTGAGAACAGGATGGTTTGCCAGTAGGTCATCTTCCTTAGGAAATCCAGTGCTTCTGTATCATCTTCAACTTCATCAAGTTCTGACAAGCGAAGGAGAGTGATACGAAGGAATACCGAACGCAGTGTTGACACGGCCTGTGAACATAGTCGTACGCCCTTCGTCGCAGACACGGCTGGTTGTTGAAGGTACTCCAGTGCCTTGCCAGTAAAATCGAGTAGTGGCTGGGCTCCATCAATAAACCAGCCTTCGAACACAGCCTCAGCCATATGTAAGCTGTATCGAGCCAGGTTCGTCAAAGTTCTGGGCTCGATCATCAACTCCTGATTCAGCTGAAGATGGTTCCATAGCTGATGCATGGTGTGAAGCAGAACGTATGACTCAAAATATGCCTGATGTTCCTGGAAGCCAGGCGGAACTTTGAGAAATAGACCAAAGCCTGCAAAGTCTTTGCGTTGCGAGACTTGTTCGAGGTATACCATGACTACAAGTTCAAGTAGGGACTCGACAATCGCATTGCCGACATTGATCTTAACCGGTCTGCTTGTGGTGGGAGACATTATCGCGTTGAACCGTGTTGACACAGTAGACTGTTTGACCTCGGACGCGGTGGGATTAACAAAAACGAAAGAAGATGTCCTGCGAGGGATCTGAAGTTGGTTCGGGCGGTTTTGAGTAGGCAATGTCCTGCTGGAACCACTTCTAAGTACAGCCGGTCTTTCGCCCAGCGAATTGGAATGAGGTCGCAGAACAACTTCGCGGCCCTGGAAATTCAGCGGGCTTTCAGATGCTAATTCGGCGGATGCGCTAAGTCGATCGGCACTCGTGATGAGTGGGAACAACACGAAAAGCAGTTCCTGTACATAGTGGGAGTCCACCGCAAAGTCTCGGAACGACCTACTCCGCGCATGAACATCTGTAAGGAACTGAATGATCGTCTTTGGGATTGTGTTCAACTCGGCCGCGTCCTCATTATCCTTCTGATGCGAAGAATCTTTGACGACAGTTCTGAGCCCTGCTTCTAACATGCTCGATATTGCTGGGAAGATTTCGGGATGTCGTATCTCAGACTCTCCTTGCTGCATAAATGCTTCCATGAGCTGGAAAATGGTAAGCTCGTCAGCATCTTCTTGACAAACGAATGGACGACCAAACAGAATGGCAAAGCAACCCATCCACACTCTTGGAGATGTCCAGTGGCTCCGCAGTCTAGCTTGCAGTGTGGTGAAGCCATTGTTCTTCTCCGTGAACTTTGATTTGAAACTCGGTATCTCGACGATTGCTCTTGATATGATCGAGAGTGCAGAACCAACGACGCGTGAGTCAGGCTCCGCCAACAAATGAAGAATCCATCGCGTAGGTACCTGCTGATCAAAACGCTTGATATGCGTGTTGGTTTCGAAACCACAAAGAACCTCTGAGTATGTCTCAACGATGCTGACACCAAGATTTGATTGACTGAGTCTGGCTGGACTTGGTGACGCTGATGTTGGTGATGGGCTGGACGTCTCAGGTGCGACCAATCTAGGAGATGGTAGCTTGATTGATGCGGATCTGTTCCGAGGTGTCCTCAGGAGCGGATTAGTCGACTGCAAGGCTCTGTCGTCATGTAGCGCATATGTAACAAATGTAGCAATATCTCGATGATTGAGGTGTGCTGTTTTACACAAGCTGAGAGCTCTCAAAGCATGTAAAATTTCTGGCAAGACTTCAGGGTTGATGGAATCAACTTTGAGAGCATCGAGAAATCTACGAACAACTCTCATCTTGTTGTAGCGTTTCATGTTGAAAATCTGATTGTTGTTTTTCCAGACAAATCCAGCGATCTGCTGGTAGTAGAGTTTCTGAGTCTCGGTACTTATAGTACGCCAAGTGTCGAAATCTACAAGTAGAACTCTGTAAGCCATAGGGTTGATGAGCAAAGAGTTTTCGGGGCTCTTGATGTCATAGCCAACAAATGCCAGTACAACTCTAAGAAGTCTCAATGCCAGCTCTTCCCTCTGTTGCATGGTCTTTGCTACTGGGACAGTTCTATTGCCACCGGGGCCGCTGGTGTATATTCCAATTTTTTCTCGTAGTAAGACTGCGAGAATGCCAAATCCGTTGTCCTTCTCCATGACTTCACTGGTTCGCCAATTGTCCAGTATGCATTGGAAGAGAAGCTTGACTGAAGTGACAAGAGAATCGGCTGTTGATGCACTCTGGATTATTTTCATGCTGATGGGTAAGCTGCCTCCAATCTGCCAACTACCATCATCCAAGCCACGAGTGAGAGTCAATACAGGATCACCAGTGATCACAGCTGCTCCATAAGATCTCGTGATAGCTTCGTTGATTGTAGGTCGAGCCGCATTAAGTAAAAGTGGATTTCCATTACGCGTGAGAGACTGAAGATGTGCCGCAGCTTTTTCATTCAGCATGCCTGCAACGTTGACACCGTTTGCCAGAAAACCGTTCATGTTCACAATCGTTGAAGCTGACATACTGATCAAGAGTTTGCCTTCTGGGAGGAGCTCACTGCCCTGGGATTGTGTAGCCTTGACGATTTCGGATTTGTCGTCTTTGTCCGCGTGCAGCATCTCGTTGTATCGGTTGAGCTCGGCGGAAGCGCGATATGTCAAAANAGGTCCCACACAGTCTTGAAAGTTGCCACAATAGCGTGGACCAAGCTTCTGGTGAACCGCAACTAACTCTGGAGAAAGGGATGCGTCAATCAGATAAGCGCTTGCAAGAGACCACTTCAACCTCAAGACACGATCGGCTGCTTGGGAAGCAAGATCCTGAGGGGTGCCGAAGAAAGCCTGGACTGGTCGTCGAGTGGTGTTAACAACTTGAGAAGGAACAGGAGCTCGGGGTTCTGGTATAAGCGGAGGCGCTTCTGGGTACGGGCAGTGCTGCTCTTCGATGCAGCGTCCGTTGACATAGAGTATGGCTGGACTCGAACCGCTTGTTCTAGAAGGGCGATGCACTATAGCGATATGGTACCACTCTCCAGCTCCACATCTAAACTTCTTGAATCGTACACTGGGTCTCTTCGCAGTGACTGATGTCTGCAGAATTAGCTGATGGGTGTCCTTTTCGATGTACACAAGAACAAAACATGTTTGGCTGGCGTCAAATGCTCCGAATATCGTGGTATGACAGTCTGAATCAAATTGATCGATCTTGATCCAAGACGAGAATGTGTAGCCGGTAGGTGGTGGAAAAGGCCGTGGCAGGGACGCAAGCTCAATAGAGCAATGCCCGGAGTATGACAAATCGAACTGGATAGCAGGAGGCTGTTTAGACTTCTGCAAAGCCTCTAACAATATCTCTTTGGCGGAATCATCTTCGCAGGCCAATTTGAATATTTGAGCTGTCTCTTCCAATCGACGTGTCCCAAGTGGAAGCAACGATTTACAGAGCTTTTGTAATAGCGTGGCCTCATATTCCTCCATGCCCTTATCAGCCAAGCGAGGCAACAAAACTGACAGTGTGCCAGCGTCATGAATTGCAATTCTGTTGCTTGCTGATGTTTCAACAAGGCAATCAAGTACGGTCAAGATGACAGTTGGCAGAGCAGCTATGTGATCACCAGCGGTCTCTTTCCCGTACCCAAATGGCGTGTAGAAATCTGACATGATAGTCACAGCCTCAGAGTTGAGGATCCGTTCATCTCGGTCGAAGCACTCACGAACCAGAATCTGCATCTTTTCAGGAGTTGATGTCTCTGTCACGGCTTTGTAATCAGGATTTGCCTCTGAAGAAGCATCTCCGTTAACTGCGCTCTGCGGACTATCCGGACCTTCGAACCAGAGAGGCTTGAGAGCGTTGCTGAACGCATTGTCCCCAAGTGCCAATGCTAAAGTGGCGCAGAAAAGTCTCAATAGATTGTTGAACCGAAGCCCACTAGAGGTTGAGCTCGCAATGATGCAAGAAGCGTGTTGGATGAGGTGACGGAGAGCTTGCCATCCTCCGCTAGAGACTCGCTTGGTGAAGTAACGAGAGTTTCCATGGTGCCGACGTAGTGCTTTGGTCAAGATGTTTAGCACATCAATTGCGATTTGGATGAAGTTCTCTTCAAAAGAGATATCCGTCAGTTCTCCTTGTGCTTCCACACATCGAGTTGTTACTTCCAGAACATAAATGATTGCTTGAAAGCCTCGGATTTGGCGGAACTGGTCTTGTATGTCGTTCTGGCCATTATCATCAAAGAAGATGGATAGTCTGATGAGGTCATCATGGATACTCCGTAATGATTCGGGAGTGGTGGTTGTAAAATTTGATAGTCGCTGAACGAGTGAAGCAAGTGCACTTGTCCTTACTTGCAATGGTGGACTTGAGTTGCTGGTAGATGACCTGTACCGACGGGGGTCGGAGATCGGTTGTCCATTTTGGCATCAACGGTGCTGGTCGATATATACAGATTGAACAGCTAACGATGTCATTGCTCCGGAAGTGACTGTGATTGCGCAAGGGGCAGATGATCCGGAACCCGAGGGCGTTCTCTCCGGGCTCAGTCAAGCAGTCAAGTGACGACCCCGCAAAGTAGAATGCCTGCTTGATTGCGGCTTCGAGGACGAAGCGTACACCAGCCAAGGAGGGACCAAAGGGGATGGGCCGAAGACCTAAGCTGCAAAGGCTCTGAAGATAGCAGCAGTAGGGTTGCAAGGTGCAACGGACGCAATGGAGGCGCACGTGAGCGTTTCGATGTTTCGCAGCACCGGGTGCCTTAAACAGTGATTCGAGAAAGAGGGCACGCGAATGAACGTAGTCGGCGTTTGTGAACCGCTAGCGCCATAGCTCCACATTTCCAAGGCGACAGACGTGTGATAACAACGCCCCCGAGTCGCTGATAGCACATCTCGAGTCGTCTGTACACGGTTGTTTACCCATTCAAGCCTTTATTCTATGATATAGTTGAACGTATATAGTCTAAGGACATCACGATGTCCACAGCAAACTCTTGATGCATTCCTGAATGGTCGAACGTGGACTGGTGGGCCGGTCCGCGAATCCAGGGCGTGGTTAACGTGACCGGCCGAAAACGTCATTTGACCTGATCGAGCACGGGCCCGCTGATAACGACCTACCCCAGATTGGCAAGCTTCCACTTGGGTGAAGTCCTTCATCAACTCGACTCATCCTCGACTCCATCCCTCCTTCATCCACCTCCTCTTTACCATCCTCTCTTCTGCATCCACTTCCCAACCACATACACATATCAGCACTTCACCATGAAGGGCATCGCAGGTCTTACTCTCCTGCCGCTGCTGGCAGCTGCAAAGCCTGTCATCAAGGCAGACACCTTGAGCCACCAGAGCATCGACAACGATGCCGCTCCCCTCATCTCGTCTGTCGATGCTGAGACCATCCCCGACTCATACCTGATCGCTTTCAAGGATCACGTCGACCACCGTGATGCCGCCGCTCACCACAACTGGGTGCAGGACATCCACGAGCAGACGCTCAGCACCAAGCTCGAGCTCCGCAAGAGATCGCAGGCTCCTTTCCTCGAGACTGTCTTTGACGGTCTCAAGCACACATACAACATGGCAGGCCTCAAGGGCTACTCAGGCCACTTCGACGAGTCCGTCATTGACGCCATTCGCAAGCACCCCGACGTAAGTACACACGATCTCTCCCTCGTTCTGTCCCAGCTCTCCGCACGACGCGGCTCGGAAACATGCCCAAAACTCGTTTCCGGCTGTTTGCCTCTGTTCTGTGGCGATCTCTAAACTGCTGCCTACGCAGTCCCAAGCCATTCAGCCTATGAGACCTTTACTGACTTGCTCTCACTCAGNGTCGCCTTTGTCGAGAAGGACCAGGTCATGCACACCCTCGCCAAGTCCGAGGACCCCGCCGTCGAGAAAGGCGCTCCTTGGGGTCTCGCTCGTATCTCGCACCGCGACAGCTTGACCTTCGGCACATTCAACAAGTACCTCTACTCATCCGACGGTGGTGAGGGCGTTGATGTCTACGTTATCGACACTGGCACCAACGTTGACCACGTCGACTTTGAGGGCCGTGCCTCCTGGGGCAAGACCATCCCTCAGGGTGACGAGGACAAGGACGGCAACGGTCACGGCACTCACTGCTCTGGTACCGTCGCTGGTAAGAAGTACGGTGTTGCCAAGAAGGCCCATGTCAAGGCCGTCAAGGTCCTCCGCTCCAATGGCTCGGGTTCCATGTCCGACGTCGTCAAGGGTGTTGAGTACGCTGCCGAGTCCCACATCGAGCAGGTCGAGAAGGCCAAGAAGGGCAAGAGAAAGGGCTTCAAGGGCAGCGCTGCCAACATGAGTCTGGGTGGTGGCAAGTCTGCTCTCCTCGACCAGGCTGTCAACGCTGCCGTCGACGCCGGCATCCACTTCGCTGTCGCCGCCGGCAACGACAACGCCGACTCTTGCAGATACTCNCCCGCCGCTGCTGAGAAGGCAGTCACCGTTGGCGCCTCCACTCTTGCTGACGAGCGTGCTTACTTCTCCAACTTCGGCAAGTGCAACGACATCTTCGCTCCCGGCCTCAACATCCTTTCCACCTGGATCGGCAGCGAGACTGCCACCAACGTCATCTCCGGTACCTCTATGGCCTCTCCCCACATTGCTGGTCTCCTCGCCTACCTCCTCTCCCTCCAGCCCTCCAAGAACTCTGCCTACGCTGTCGCTGAGATCACCCCCAAGAAGCTCAAGGCTGACCTCCTCTCCATCGCCACTGTTGGTGCTCTTGAGGACGTTCCCTCAGACACTGCCAACGTAAGTAACTGTATACTTCTGTGTTTATGCTCTTTACTGACATCAATCAGNATCCTTGCCTGGAACGGTGGTGGTTCTGCCAACTACACCGAGGTCATTGCCGCTGGTGGTTACAAGGTCAAGAACTCGCAGCGCGAGTACGGTCTTGAGGAGCTCAAGGCCATCACCAAGACCGACTCTGCCCACAAGGCTTACAAGAAGGTCCAGGAGATGGACGCATCGGTCATCCGCGAGGACATGAGAGAGTCGTTCGAGGCTGCTCGCAAGGAGATTGCCAGACTTACCGCCAAGCTCGAGTCCGAGATTGACGAGTTCCTCGCATCTTCTGAGTAAGTGTTCAACGCATGATTGGATGAGCTTGTATGGCGTCCACGATGGAGCCACATTGCATTGGAGTAGGCCTTGACATATCGATTCTGATGTCTTGCATACTCTCATTTCTTTTGTCACGGTTTACGGAGGATAATCAGATGCATATCCCTTATTGTTTCATTATGTATACATTTAAGTGGGTGACCCCATACGACAATGGATGGTTTTCCCAGACAACAACCTGCTGAGTCTTGCTCTTCCCTGCTGCTGTTAACCGCCGTGGTTGCAAGGTGTCACGCGCGTCACGCGCGTCACGAGCGTCACGAAACAAGCCACCTTCCATTTCGAGCCACTTTCGCATGCCTCGGCTCAAAATGAAAGGTGGCTGGCCTGTGCTTCGAGTTATTTTCGGTCATCTCGGTGAAAACCTCTCCGTCCTTGAATGTCACCAACGCATCTTGGCAATATACTGAGAGTCTGACGTCCTTTGGTATTTCTGAGCTCATCTTATCGAGTCGTTGACCTCTATGAGTATATCGTCGCAGTCGTTGCGGCTTGTGATATGGCAGGTGAATCTGCTTTGACCTTGACTTAGAGACGACATCAGATCCCATCACGATCATGCAGTCCTTGACATTTCTAGAGTGCAAGATGTTCTTCGCGACACATATCTTGAGAATATCAGAATCCACAGAGAGCATCTTGGGTCACTGTAGTGGACTGACTAATCACCGCTCAGGTGCATCCGTATCGGTGAATTGAATGTGAGATAGGCTGTCTACAATCCACCATTGGACAGGNAAGGAGCGTCCTGCAGACTTCTTGCCTNNCTTGCAAGATGCATGCATCCAACAAACACAAGTGGGTCCTGCCTTCTTCATGTTCGACCAATGTACACAAATGCATCTCATACCAAAGCATTGGTATCGCCGCATACGTCTTCCTAGCTTTCTCGTAACCATCAACAATTCTCAGCGAACAACCCCGAAGGAAGCTTCAATGCTGTCCCGTGCCAACAGTGACGCTGCTCTACGCCTACGCCGAGCCAAGTCGTCATCCTCGAGCAGCCACAGACCCTTCGAGCCATCGATATCGAACGAGCTTAGGTATGCAGAGGTTGCCGCTGTGGAGGCCTACACGCGTGCATACCGCTACTCACAAGGTGACCGACCTCAACGACGTCGCTCTCGACGCTCTGAGGGCAGCCATTTCGATGACAACCGACGCAAGTCTACGCAGAAGCCTGAGCGCTTTGAACGTCCTGCACTGGTGTCTGGATCTGCAACTGCTCCCGCAACTGTACCAGCGCGACCACCAACTCGGCAGTCTCTGTTGCCAGATACACCTTATCGATTTGCTCTCGAAGCCTCCAACGATCCTACAGTCACCATGACAGATGTGTCAGAGTCACGACTCAGCACAGCCTCCAGACGACAAACTCGTGATCTGCAGACGGATGATGAGATCAAGACAGCTGCTTGGGACGCCTACCTCCAGGGATTCCACAAGAAGGAGGTCCGCGAGAGGAAATCTTTTGCTGCTCCCCTGAAGAAACGTTTCTCAAAGTCACCGACTCCAGCACCCTCCATCCACTATGACACGTCAGTACCACCCTACAATTGTGATCAAGAATCCAATGATATCTTCTCCATTGCTCCGCCCATTGAGATCAAGCCCGAAGACGAGCCTGAAGCTCCTGCCAAACTGAAGAAACAACGGACTGTCTCCGAGTCACTCAAAGGCAGATTCAAAAGGCTTTTGTCAAGGTCGAAGCGAGTGCAATCACAATTCCCTGCCCAACACGTAGAAGCGAGGAACCTCCACTTCGATGTCTACAAGACAAACGACGACAGCTTCTCTGGTGGTCCAGACTTTGGAGTGTCTCTTCCTAGATCACCTTTCTCTTCTCTGGGTGCTTCTTCGGGCGCACAATCACGAATCACGAGTTGGTCCAACTCGATAAATTCGCGCGGCAAACGCCTGCCCTCGATAGACGAGACTTCAGCACCCCCAGCTCTTGCTTCTACTCCAGAGGAAGCACCGACCGGCTCGTTTCTCGGTCGAGCTTTACGACTTCCACTCCGTCGCCCCAGCCAGACCAACCTCCAACGCAAGTCAGAAGACAGCAAGCGCTTGTATGATGCACTGCAGAGACGCATCAATGGTCCTGAAGTGCCGATCATCGTCGTAGAGGAGGTTGTACCACAACCACCTGCTGTCGTGTTCAACGACTCTCCACCAATATCGCCAGCCTCTGAGACGATTCGGATGGTCACCCCAGAACCTACCATTCTCGAGTCTCCTACGCGTCCGGCTCCCAGTCCACCACATCAAGTGACCCGAAAGTCGTCGTGGTGGAGTATTGCGCCAAGCATACGTTCAAAGAAACGCCGTCCAGCAGAACCAGTTGCGCCATCAAACGAGCAGATTGCTGCTCGTGTGGAGAGATCAGAGAACCGTTGGCAGGCCGCGTTAGAAGATGGCCCACCCGTTGTTTCACGCGCTCTCAACTATTGTATGAAAGGCGATAATCCATATGAATTGCGACCGTTGAAGAACGTCAACGACTCCAGCTTGCCTGTTGCTGTCCGTCACGAATCCCACGACGCTGCTGCATCAACGTTTAACAACGGCGCAGATCTTCATGACCTTCGACAGCAGGTCATTTCGCCCAGTATATACTCGAGGTCCGTCTCTCCTGATGCTGTTGGCACGTTTATCACAATCACCGGGCGCGAGGTCAAGCGTTATCCTCTCGACTCGCCNCCACGGGCTGTGAATGGACCTGCCACCTACGCACCAAAACCAAGTAATGAGTGGAGAGCCTGGTTCAGCAAAGGGATTGAAGACTTCAGCATGACACCTGCACCTATTGGAGACACTGTTCTGGCTGGACCTGACTATTCTTTGAGTAACGACAACCCTTACAATTCGAAGGAAAGCCTGCAGGAGGATCCACCAGTGCCTCAAGCCTCGAAGAATCGACCCGAGTTACGTTCTCGTTCATCCAGCATCATGAATGAGCGATATCCTTTGATCGATACCGGGAGGCCATCGAGCAGGGCATCGGGTCGTCGTACCAATCCTTCTAGCACATCTTCTGGACGGTCTGCTTCAGGATCCGGAACATCTGTCGCTGAACGGGCATCCAGCAAAGCGAGTCAGCGAGGCGATGCAGATCAGTCGGTCATGTCTTCATCAATCGTCCGAGAACGACAGTCAACAAGTGCACTTGTCCGCAAAAAGTCAAGCCTAGCCACTCGTGCTGCGCGTCATGGTTATGGTCCCTCGAACAACGAGATCGAATCTGCAGGCAGAGAAGATCCTGTCAAGGCTCCAAAGTCGGCACTGGACCTCCGTGTCATGTATCGCAACAATCGCAACCTGGAAGCTTCGAGTCTCAACATTCGCCGTAGAGCCGTGGCACCAACGGCATTCGATGATACGTTGCGTCGAATCTCAGAGGGTCCTTACGCAGCTGACAGTAAAGAGAACACCGCACCTCCAAGACCTTCTGGTATGATTGATGGCATAACGATTCCTCCATTCTACACACCAACCAAGGACTCATCAAAGAGCAAAGGATCCTCGCCCGGACAGCAGATGGTGGATGAGTTTTTGAACTCGAGGAAAACACAGATGGTTACAAATCCACCTCCAGCCTTCATATAATCAGCACATTGATTGTGCATTTCTCATTTGTACTCACGTTGCGGCATGGTCGGTGCTTTGGGAGGGCCTTTCACTCACATTACAGAATAACCAAGATATTGTTACATTCGTGTGTAGAATATACCTTTGCGGTCTGACCATTGTGTTACGAGTGTCTCCTACTGTGTGGTTTCTGAACGCTGGCCGTGTCTTTTGGCTGTTTCTGGCTTCTGCGCATGCCCCTATGCTAACCCTTCGTTGATAGCTTACTCCGGAGTTGATCACTCTGATACACGTATGCTCATGAGAGTGTCTAAAGACTATGCAACACCTGATTTATGCTAGCTAGCCCGAGAACAGTGGCGATAATGTTGAGAAAATCCAAAAAGTGGAGGGGACGAAAGATTGAGGTATTCATCTTGTTTTCGTGTCAACATGAACCAAGGGTAGTTCATGACTTCTTGTGAGAGCGTAATTACTGTTATCTATCTTACTGAGGTTGATCGATTGGAGACACGTCCCCTCTGATTGCTGTATATATTTTGTATCGCGACATGCAGGGTGCACATGGACAGTCAGTACATGCACATGAACGTAGAAGGATCTGGAGCACAACAAGATTGACGCCCTTGACTAGATCTACCACACCTCTAAAAGTCTATAGCAGGCTCAAGCACAAATGTAAACTCCCTTTCTCTACACTCCACCTGATCTTCCTTCTTGACACCAGGTCCGCAAGCTGCAGTGCCCACGCCAGCATTATCAGCATCCAGCCTCCAAAGCGGGCTGACCCTTTCCACCAAATCGCAAGGATGTCTGGCCATCTCCAGTACCTTTGCATCATGCAAGCAACATGCCCATTGGAAGAACTCCTTCTCCTGTGGGCCAGGGATATACGTGGCTTTTATGCCTAGGCCCTGTTCGTTCAAGACCTTGACCCAGCGCGTAGAGATGCGATTGCCATTCTCCTGGGGTACCTCGTACGGGGTCTGAAGATTGCGGATTGTAGAGTTCCAGATGCCGATCTGTTGCGAGGTTGCCTTGTCGCTGTAGGATTCACCGGGGCCTTTGCCGTACCAGGTTGCTTGTTTGAAGGAGGAGTCGAGTTGGAGGTTTAAGCCTACTCTGGGAAGTGTGCTGGGGGCGGTGCCTTGGGGTGTCAAGCGCACTCTAACAGAGAGTTGACCTGCGGACGAGATCTCGTAGGTCACTTTGGCGATGAAGCCCCAGGCGAGGACTGGTGGACTGTAGTAGTATACAGCGGTCAGGCGAGCTTTGTCGGGGCCATTGTCTTCGAGATCGAAGCTGCGGAGCTGGGGTGTCATGGAGTCGAGTCCGTAACGCTTCCACTCCTTGCTCTTGGATGCCGCATCATTGTCAGTCGGTGCACGCCAGAAATCCAGAGCTAGCAAAGGATCATCAGGTGTCTCGCGTTCCTTGAGGACAGATCTGCNCCCATACACCCACTCAACCAGTCTTCCTCTGGCTCGAGAAAAGTTGAAGCGGAAGTCACAACCAATGAATCGGTAGTGCAGTTGCGTTTCATTTGCAGTGATGGCACTCGACATGATAGGCCTTTCAATACCGTAGGTGTGATCGTCATCTTTGGCCGAAAGTCGAGTCTGATACCATGTGATACTGTGACCAGCCTCTGCCCATGGAGTCGCAACACCAAGACGGAAGTCAATGGTCAACCACACTTCTGTGCCATTGGGTCGATGCAATTCGAAGATTTCTCCGGGCAGATCAACCTTGGCTTCAGTACCAGGACCAATGTGAGGAAGCTGGATTGGACCAGAAAGGACACGGTTAGGTCTNNATAAGATGTTAGCCCGGAATTATATGTATTGTATAGCATCGAAAACATCTTACCGGATACCGAGGACCTCGACCTTGTAATCAGCAATCAGATGGCCCAAGGATATAAATTCAAACTCATTCTTGATGACCAGCTTCTTACCCTCAATCCAAGCTCGAACAGGAGCAATGACCTTCTTCAGCTCGGTCAGACCTGGGGTTGGTGTATGGTCGCTAAACAGAAGCCCGTCCATGACGAATGTGTCATCATTCGGTACGTCTCCGAAATCTCCACCATAGGCGTAGAATTGCTTGTCGCCTTCGGTCTTGAGAAGACCATGGTTCGCCCACTCCCAGATGTAGCCACCTTGAAGTCTGCGATATTTGCGGAAAGCCTCTTGATAATCCTCTAGTAGACCTGGGCCGTTGCCCATGGCATGGCCATATTCGCAGAGTACGATGGGCTTCTTAAAATCATCGCCTTCTTCTGTCGCGTGACCAATCAGTTGTTCGATTGGCGGGTACATGTAGGAAAACATGTCGGCAGATGCTGCATTCACGTCTCCCTCATAGTGAACTGGACGCTCCGGGTCTCGAGATTTGGCCCACTCGTACATGGCGACATGGTTCTGGCCATAGAAAGCTTCATTGCCAAGAGACCACATGATAATTGAAGGATGGTTCTTGTCTCTCTCTACCATCTGTACCATGCGGTCGACATAAGCAGTTTTCCAATCTTCATTGTCACTTGTGAACTTGGCTGCCTTGGCAAAGGTGTACTCTTTGCGTTCCTCGTAGCCCATATCCGGAGGTAGGTTGAGAGGTCGTTCAACAGCATCATAGAACCCGTGACATTCGAGGTCCGCTTCATCCATAACCCAGAGACCGAGTTCGTCGCACAGCTCGTACAACTTCGGGTTTGCGGGATAATGAGAGGTACGTAGAGCATTGATATTGTGTTGCTTCATGATCATCAGATCTTTTCTCATGTAGGCCAAGGGTACGGCTCGACCGAACAACGCGTGGTGGTCATGACGATTGACGCCTCTCAGGAGAAGTGGCTTGCCATTGACGCTGATGTTGCCTTTGATGATTTCAACATTTCTGAATCCAACTCGTTGCTTGACTGTTTGAGTGGAAGTATCAGAGTTGTGCTCTAGCAGATTGATCTCCAGGCTGTAAAGATGCGGTGCCTCTGCGGTCCACTTAACAGGGTTCGATACAGTAAACACATGTGAGCTGTGAGAAGCATCAGCGGAGAGCTGAATCTTCTCGTTAATAATAGAAGAGCCGTTGGGGCTTCGCAGAGAGAGCATTGCCTCTGCTGCCTCGTGTATTGTGAGGTCCAACTCAACGTGCAACTTTGCATCTCGATATTCTCCATCAAGCTCTGTCTTGATGAAAATGTCCTCAATGCGGGTTTTGCTTGGGAAGCATATCAGATGCACGTCACGGAAGATTCCTGAAAGCCACCATTGATCTTGGTNCCTACAGTGTATGTTAGCTTGAATCTCCTTAGACAAAGTATACATGTTTGGCAGTACCTCGATATAAGAGCCGTCACACCATTGATAGACATTGACGATGAGGCGATTGACATCCTCTCCGCGATTCACGAAATTGGTGATGTCGAATTCTGCAGGGTTCCTCGAGCCTTGAGAATAGCCGACCTTCTGCCCATTGAGATAGACATGGTAAGCACTGTCGACGCCATCAAATCGGAGTCGAATTTGAGAGTCTTCGGACCAGGAAGATGGAACGAAGAAGTTGCGACGGTAAGTTCCCGTAGGATTCTCAGTTGGTACAAAGGGTGGGCACACTGGGAACGGGTAGACCGTGTTTGTGTAATGGGGTTTGCCATAGCCNNCTAAGGTTATTAGTTTGCTGCTCGCTGTTGATGTAGAATATCTCAATAACCTCACCTGCAACTGCCAATGCCCTGGGACGGTGATAGAGGACCATTGGATGACTGCATTCTGACCTTCGTTTCCATCAACCGTGAGAGCATCTACAAGACTGCTGAGGCCGTCGGAGTACAAACTGGGATGCGGCGCATGCTTAGGTGTCGGGGAGTATACAAAACCCCATGTACCATTCAGAAGGAGGGACTTCTCTGGGATCCAGTAGGAACGAGCTGGAAGACGATTGCGGTGAACAATCTTGGGATTGCAGATGTCGAGATCAGACGACTGTCCTGAGTGATGGTCTGCAGCCGCCGTCAAGCTTCCAGGCAGGGCCATACTGATTGATTGTTCACGATTTTCTTCTTCTCGACGGGCTCCAGGTAAAGAACACCTTGATAATAATTGTCGTGAAGCTTCACGATCACATATGGCAGGTCAGATCATCTGACTTTCACACGTTCTGCGGCCATCCATCATTCCACGATCGTCAAACCCCTCTCGGTAGATTGAGCCCTCTTCGGCGCGACACCCAAGCAACGCGCGACAACCTCGGTCATGACGATAAGCAAGCGTATCTCTCAAAACTCTTGCCGCCAATAGAAGGATTCCGTACGGACAAGCCACCCAAGAAAGTCAGGTTGAATTCCGCGAAGGAAGCAGCCAAGGCGAGGGGAAGGAAGGCGCAATGCTGCCAATGCTCGCGGGTAAAACGACTCCCAATATCATCTTGCAGCACTCGGACAAGGTGCTTTCCTCCATACAGACAGATGTTTGCTTGCAAAACAAATGTGCCATCACAGAATGGTTTGTCTTCTTCTATCGTCCTCTTACTTCTGATGGGGTTGTCCTTACCCACCTGTATATTCGCTCCGACAAATTGGCCAATCGGAAAAGCCACGGTTAATCGAAGGATACATCGCGGGGTACAACAATCAATTGAGCGAGGAAGACCAATGGAACTTCGGTCTATCAACTCGCGACCTCTCCAATCTCTACCAACTGACAACCTCGTCGGCGGGGGCACATGCTACCGTCTCGTATCGTATCAATATAGCGATGCAACCATACCCCAAACTTGCCCCAGGAATGCAGATCACCTATCTCCAGGTTTCTCTCCCCACGATATCCTGCAGAAGGATCACTTGAGGATCAGCAGGTCTCAGACAGTTACCGGATGAAGGTCCTGAGGTGAGAGAATGTGGTAGTATACTGAGTACCTTGTACTCGCCATGGCAACATATTTAAGGTAGGTGAGCGCCTGTTTGGCAGTCAGATTGTCATCTCATCTTTCTCTGCTCAATTCTTTTAATTTCTCCCTTCAATTCGATATGGACATCAAAAAGGATGGTGTCACGCACGTTGATGATGTGGACAATGAGTTTCATCAAGCAAAAGTTGCTGTTCAGCTGTCAGAAGAGGCTGTCCACGTCAAACAAAGTCCTTGGACATCGAGCATGCTGAAGCTATATGGTTGTTTAGCTATTGCATATCTCTGTGGCTGCTTGAATGGATACGATGGAAGCTTGATGGGAGGGTTGAACGCGATGGACACATATCTTGCCTACTTCCACATGNNTGAGCATGCCTCTTGGAAAGTGAATGACGAAATCCTCGATGCTGATGTCTGTAGGAAATCTGCTGGCAGTAGCACTGGTATCACATTTGCGATGTAGGTCCTGATCGTAGCTGACCAAAGTATCTCACCTTTACTCATCTCCTCACAGNNATACAACATCGGATCAATCCCAGCAGTCTTCCTGACCGGACCTGTGAACGATTACTATGGAAGACGTGAGTTCTTTGCCCCTCGTAATTCTTTTTTTTCCTTTTGGTAGCTGACTGAAGTTGCTAGGNNCGCTGGTATGTTCACAGGTGCTATCATCGTTGTCATTGGCACATGTATCCAAGCCCCGGCTGTCAATAGAGAGATGTTCCTTGCTGGTCGATTTATCCTTGGATTTGGTGTATCCTTCGCATGCGTTAGTGCGCCATGCTATGTCTCAGAGGTCTGTCATGCTCCTTTCGATAGTCCATCACCACCGGGTTGCTGACGAATTACCAGNATGGCTCATCCTGCTTGGCGAGGCACGTTGACTGGACTGTACAACTGCACGTGNGTGTAGGTTTGAGTTGTATTTGGACAATGCAGCTCGCTTTACTAACATATTCCACTAGATATCGGATCCATTGTGGCTTCTTGGGTTATATACGCATGCGCAGAACGCGTAAAATCCGATGTTAGCTGGCGCATTCCACTGTGGTGCCAGCTGGTCTCTTCAGTCGTCGTCGCTATCGGTGTCTGGTTCTTGCCAGAGAGCCCAAGGTCCGCTTTGTCTATCCAAATTCTGTTGCGGATACTAATTTTGGTTGCTTACAGATGGCTTTGCGCTCAGGACCGTATGGAAGAAGCTACCAAGGTTCTTGGTCGCTACCACGGAGAGGGTGATGAATCGCACCCAATCGTGCTTCTCCAGATCAAGGAGATGCAAAACCAAATTCGTCAAGACGCATCCGACAAGAAGGGATGGGACTACTCTGAGCTAGTAAACACCCACTCTGCTCGTCGAAGACTTATCTGCGTTTTGGGAATGGCTTGTTTCGGCCAATTGAGCGGCAACAGCGTAACGTCCTACTACCTTCCGGTCATGCTCGAAAACGCTGGAATCACTTCCCAGGGAACAAAACTTATGTTGAATGGCATTTACCCCGTCATCTGCTTTTTCGCCGCAATCCTTGGAGCCCGCATGACCGACGTCGTTGGTCGCAGACCATTGTTGTTGTATTCCATCCTCTTCTGTTCAGGCTGTTTTGCTGTCATTTGTGGCACAAGCAAGCTTGCACAACAGGAACTCGACAACAAGTCGGCAGCCAACACGACCATTGCTTTCATCTACCTCTTCGGAATCATCTTCTCCTTCGGCTGGACGTAAGTGATCTATATTGTTGTAAGCCTCTGTTTTTACGACGTGCTAATTCTCTCCGCCAGACCTCTGCAAAGCATGTATATCGCCGAGACACTGGCTACCTCGACACGAGCAAAGGGTACTGCCGTTGGCAATCTCGCCTCGAACATCAGCTCGGCTGTCATTCAATATGGTTCAGGTCCTGCTTTTGCCAACATCGGTGCTTACTTCTACCTCGTGTTTGTGTTTTGGGATCTGATCGAGTTTGGCGTCATCTACCTCTATTGGCCAGAAACAAAGGAGCGTACTCTGGAAGAACTTTCGGAGGTGTTTGAAGCCAAGAACCCTGTCAAGAAGAGTTTGGAGAAGAGAGGAGCTGCTACGGTGCTCAACACCCTCGATGTAGACGCTTCTATGGTCGAGAAGATGGAGCTTTGATTCCTCGTTACTTCTGGTAATGATCCATGTTGATGATCGTATGCTGTTAAGAGAGGATGTTAAATACAAGTGTGGTTGATTATTGATCTATTAAAACTTGGAGGGTATTATAATCTATGAGTATATTGGGAAGCAACACAGAATCTGTTGTCTTAGTGTCATCGAGTGTCGAGAGCTTAGGCAGAAAGAGCCATTTGCTTCGCCCCTTCCTCATATGGTTGTTTGCGTTCTCATCTCGTTCTTCTCTCTTCATAGATTTACGATGCTACGAGGACGTTCTCGCCCATTTGAGCTTCTTTGCTCTTTCCTAACATGACATGGCTTGTTTCCTGTTTTGTTCGTCGTCGTCTACATACAATGTTATGCTCTGTCTTTTAGCTGCTTTCATTGCGAGAGCTAGTGGTACTGTATACTGAAAGTTGCTTCTCCTGGCATTCAGAATTTTTGCAGCTTGCACTGAATTATGTACGACAGGGCTAGTATATAAAAGAATAAAAAGAAAAAAAAGCATAAAAAGGGAATTCTGACAGAATGATGTTGGCTCACTCACTGCACGTCAGATGGAGTCGATCCAGATGGTACGCAGCAGATGTGCCATCTGTATTGGTCTTCCAAGCCATGCGGCATGGCTCGCCGAAGTTTACAGCCAACACAACAATATGTGTATGATGATGGAGATGCTTGGCTGATAGTGGATAAGGTAGACGCGCACGTGCGGTTGAATGTCACCTTTCTGTGGCTTGAAGTCGGCAAAACATGTGTTTCAAAGTCATGGTCGTAAAGTGAGGCTGAGCATGTGCTATAACAGAAACTATGACTAACGTGTACGATTGCTCGAGTCTTACGACACAACTACCGCAGCACTGACGACTTCTAGAAACCGTTGAGGAGACAGGCGGGATAATATCGATCAATGGACAGGTGTCGTCTGCACTCTGCCGCCTGATGAAAACAAGAAAGCGCAAGAGGGTATGGTAGACCTTGATGACTCGCGGAACTTGAGTAGCGACAAGTCGTCCCAGCGACAACCGTGCGAGTCGAACGCGACGACCTCAGCCCATGCCGAGCAGAGACGGACTCCACACAGCACGCTCGGCATCTTCGGCTGCTTGGGTATCCGCATCTGATAGAACACCTGCTATATGCTTACGGGTCGCCCAGAGGCGCATATACCGCTGTTGTGTTCGTATCGTGCAGGAAATGTTGGTAGATTGAGGGGTGGTGTTGGGTGGCATCGAGCTTTCTCGCGTAGCAAGCAGACAAGCCAGCCCAGGCAGTGCAAGAACATGTCTTGGCTCGCATTGTCTCTCATAAATCCTGTTATTGCTGCATATATCGTTATATTGTTACGTGGGAGTGCTCTCTAGAGCTTGGCAAGCAAGAGACTGTGAATCAACAACACCTCTTCCCTGATTGAAAGTCACGAGCAAAGGACATGCATGCCGGCGGAGTGAACAGCTGAACAGCCACTTCGCTCCATGTTACTACGCCACACGATAATCAAGTAGCATGATGCGAGATCTACAGCATCGCATGTACAGTACAGAGGTATGCACGGCTGTTCGACTACCACTGCAGAACGAGATGCAGTCAGCTTGACACTGCCCGTGATCCACGGTCCAGGTTGATGGTTGATGTTGTGGACGTTACGTGCGTTGTCGCGATGCACGTTGTTGATCCTAGCCACCTCCGAACCGACCGGGATGGCTTGGATGGAGCTTGCGTCGACGGTCTCTCTCCAAAATGCGTTCTTAGGGTTGCAAGCCCTTGGAGAGGAGGGCAACCAACCTTCAAACGGTTGCTTGGGTGAGACAGAGCACGGCAAAAGCCAACTTCCACCTGAATTCTTTTCCTGCATCTTGTTACTCATGCATGGGTGCCTGCATGCGAGCATCCCGCGGGCGGGGCTGCTTTGGAGATACCACGGTAACAAATTCTCGCAGATCTTCACGACGCAATCGGAAGGAAGCACAGCAGAATTTTTTCGGTCCCATCCCAACAATTCAAGTTGCAGAATCACGGCAAAAAAAAAAAAAAAGAGGCAAGTAAGAGTGATGTAAATGTACACTTTTTGAGGTTGTCCATACAGGTGAGAAGTAAAAAGAAAAAGAAAGAAAAAACACGTCTATGTACAGATAGAATAATTGTCATGTGTTTGCATACATGCTTGCGAGAGGGATACCATCTCCAAACTCCGAAAAATTCCCTCTCCTTCTAGACAGCATTATGTAGTAAAGGCCGTTCCTTAGAAAATCCCAAAAACTTCGAAGGTTATCAAAGATATGCAAAAACGTTTGACGAAGAAATATGCGAAGCGCTCCAGAAAGAAGTGACCCAAGAAAAGTAGAATCGAGTGCAAATGCGTGATGTTGTAGGAAATGCGTTTACTCCTCGAGTTGGGAGTCCTTGATGATGAAGGTGATGACGAAAATGAAAATGGCGTAAGCGACGAGGAAGAGGACCTCGAACTCGTGCCAGAAGTGGCTCTTGCCCCAGCGCTGGCTCTTCCAGTACTCCTTGGGGTGAGCGACACCAGTCTTCGGGTCTCTGTCGAGGAGCTCCTCGCGATCGGGCATGGTGGGAGGGTGGAGAGCGTAGCGGAGTGGGATGGCGAAAGCGGTGCAGCAAATGAGCCAGAGCATAGGAGGGAACATGGCGTGAGTCAACAGGTAGATGAGCTTGTCCTGAGCGGTGTCGTTGTCCATGAAAGCGCGGACGGTGCTGAGAGTGACGGCAGCGATGACGAACAAGATGTACAAAAGATGCTGGTAAGCGGAGCAGTCCCAGAGAATGACCTTCAGGCGACGGAAAACGTGGGCACGGTGTGCGCCGTCGCGCTCCATGATGTCGCCCTTGATGGAACCGGAAGTGGTGAAAGCCATGGGCTTACCACCGAGCCAGCTGGGAAGGAGGAACGAGACAAGGACGGTCTTTGCGTGGTAAGGAGCCATCCAAAGCATAGAACCACCGTCACGAAGAGCCAGTCTGTATCCAGAGGGCAAGAAGTTGACGTACTCCTGGAGGCGCATCAAGAAGAAGGAGATGAAGGCAAGACGAACCTGCCAGCGGAGCTGGTCGTTGTTCGAGTAGGCGACCAATCTACCACCAGAAACCAAAACGATCGGGATGGCGAGAATGGAGATGATGAGGAAAATCTTGAAAANAGCGTCGACGGTGAAGACGAAACCAGAGAGACGTTGGTAGAAGGTCATATCTCTGCAGATATCACCGTAGAGACAGAAACGCTGTTGGAATGCAGATTGAAGCGTACCAAGAGTCCAGCGAGTACGTTGCTTCAAGTGACCGGTGTAGGAATCAGGAACGGTACCGAATTGAAGACCCTCGTGAACGTAGGCAGTGCGGAAACCTCTACCGAGAAGCTTGGAACTGGTGAAGGTGTCCTCAGCGAGAGTACCGGTAGGCCAGCCACCAATGAATTCGAGAGCAGAACGACGAATAACGTAACCAGAACCAGTGCACCAGGCAACACCCAGAGAGTCCTTGATGGGCTCCATGACGTGGACGAAAGGATCGAGCGATTGAACAAGCATGTCGTTGTCGGGAACGTTGTAGAAAAGCTGGGGAGGGCAGGCAAGAGCAGTCTTGGGGTCGCGGATACAGTGGGGAAGAAGAGCACGAAGCCACTCCCTCTCGGGAATCATGTCAGCATCGAGAGCAGCAATGTATTCGCCAGGGCCACCAGGAAGCTTGGTAACGAAATCAGTACCACCAATCAGGTTACCGGCCTTGGCGTGGTGAGGCTGGCCCTTGACCTTGACACGAGCGAAGTAGTATGCGTTGGGGTATTGGTAGCTCAGATCTTCCATGGCCTTCTTCAGCTCCGGGTCAGCACCGTCGTCGAGGACAACAACGCGGAAACGGTCTTGAGGGTAGTCGACGTCGCAGGCAGCGCGGGCAGTGTCAATAACAACGTCAACGTCTTCCTTGCAGCAAGTGATGAAAGCATCAACGGTGGGAACAGCCTCTCCGACAAGTCTGAGTTGGGGTCGCTTGCGGCCCTTGAATGCGAGCATGGAGTACATTTGATGGAAAAACGAGGGAACNNTAAATTTTTGTGAGAATTGGGAGACAATATTTTCAAGCAAATTGAACTTACGAGCAACCAAGAATTCGGCAGCAATGAAGAACCAAGCCATGGCGTAGACAGTGCCGTTTGTCCTCTGTGCGTCGACAGTGTAGTAGATACGGAAAGCGTAGTATGTGAAGTAACCGCCCATGGCAGCAATGGTGAAAAGAGGAGCCAGGTAGTGCAACTTTCTCTTCCAAGGCTTCATCAGGGCAATATCATCGTGCTTTGCAATTTCGCGAACAACGTAGTCGGCATCAGTGTATTCGCGACCGAAAGAACTTGTGGTCGAGAATCTGTTGTCGAATCCAGACTTGGTCTCAGGGGTCGAGCCGGTAACGGTCGAAGCGTCCTCCTCATCCACGTTGTAAGGTGACTTGTCATCTTCGTATGACTCTCTTTCAGGAATCATGTAGTCGTTCTCGGTGGCCAGGTTTGTTGATGAGCCATTGAAGTATGTAGAGTGGTTCTTGTCCAGTGTTGGTCGTAGACGTTGGAGTCCTCCAGCGGTCTGGCTGTCAGGACGACCTCCAACCAGACGAGTAGTGCTAGCAGCAGGAGAAGGTTGGTAGTCGTATGACGGCCTCCTGCTCATCGACGGTGTGGTGCCGTCGAATGGGGTGCCGTATGGGCTTGTGGGATTGACGGACTCATAGTCGTAGCTACCTTGATGAGCCATGGTGATGATTGCTGGGAGCGTATGCCCAGGCCCCTTGATGTGTTGTAGGGAAGATCAGGTTGCTCGAGTTGCTGGGATGACTGGGGTAACGACTGAATACTTCGTGGCAAGAGCAGGAGCCGGATGAGGCGTAAGGGGTAGGTTGTAGAAAAATGCAGGAGAAGATGTCTAGGGAACACGAGACGAATAAGAACAACGGGCAAAAACGATGCTGTTATTGGAAACAAGAAGAAATCCCGTGATACGAAGCGAAGAGGCTCCACAGCCTACGTCGATTCCATTGGGGAAAAAGCACAAACTATCTTTGGGTACACGTCGACCGGTCTCGTTATCTGCAGGCTTGCAGTAGCGGCCAGTTTAGATTTGACAGCTAGGCGATAGGACATGGGGCGGACCGGGCACGGTCAAGCGTGATAAGGTAGAACAAGTTGGAAATTGATTGGGACTGTCTTGGCCTGAACCGTGTAAGGTCGTGTAAATGTTATGGCCGGGGGTTCGATACGACAGCATTGGTCCCTGCTGCAGAAGCGCGCCTCGATTGGAGAAGGCTACACACATGGCAGGGGCCCGTTTGTCCGATTCACGAACACTGAATAGGAGTTCGACAGCCTCCTACTCAACTGCCAACGAAGCACTTGTTCACGCGTTGCTAACGTTCCGGAGAAGATTGACCGCAGGGGAAAGGGCATGGTTTGAAAGGCTTTCGCAAGCGTGAAGGGCCGATGATGGAAGAAAGAGTGGAGCCCCTGCAGGAACAAAAGCTTAGGGAGGCGGTGCGCACAACAGCGAGCGCCAACCAACGACCGGCGACCAATGGTGAGGGGGTCAGTGCAAGAGTTCGCGACAGCAGGCAGATTGCTGCCGAGAGCATCAGTCAATCTCTCGACGATCAGGCGTACTTCGCCTTCGAATAGAAGAAAGTGTTTCTATTTCGAGACAGAAGCCCTCATGGCGGTTGGCTTTGGTGCCTGGATTTGCAAATGGGCGGCGGTCTCAAAGCCATGGATCAAAATAATACAAGCTCTCGTGTAGGCCAAAGTTTTTCCTCAGTCAAGTCAGCGGCCCGCTGCTCCTCTTCCATCATCGCCCAAAGTTCGGAGAAACGGCCATGGTGCGAGTCGTGTACCGTCGCTGCACGCGTTTCGAACCACGCACCAGGCCAAAAGGAGCTACGGCTCCGACTAGCTCTGCCAACTGAGCGTTAGCACGAGGGGCAAGTCTCAGTGTCGCATGCAAAACACGCTGCACGGTAAGTTGACGTTGCTGTTTCGCCCACAGACACAACAAACCCGTGAACCGGCCTGACCCGGCCCGGGAGCGCACACACTACGCACACAGCACAGTGTTGAAATACAAGGTTGGCCGATGTGATTCGGGCGATGTGATCTTTCGGATCAGGGGTCCCGGCGCCAAGGAGCACCGCATCATGCAGAAGCGCCGTGCACGGTGGCCTTGGTTGAGAAAAAGAAGGGCTGGTTGTGCGGCGCATGGAGGTGTGAGCTGGGATGATTTGAGGGCCGATCTCCCTTTGGTTTTCCCTTGCCCTCGTGTTGTTTTTGGTCTGTTTTGCTGACTGCCTGCTGCGCACTTGCGCGAGCCCCGCCGTCTACCCGGCCGGCCTCAGGACCCGCGGGCCAAGGCACTCCCAGGACGACAGTTTCATCCTGACGAGATGCCGAGTCGGATGCCCATCGTCCCTAATAAGAAATACGGTTGGCCAGGAGTGTCTTAGGAGGTCTTGCAATGAAAGGTTCGTATTGGTGCAATCTTAAGAGCTGAGCCAAAAGGCGATTTTGTTGATGGGCGTTGGACTCTGGCCCCTACTCGCCCCTGTCAACCAATTGGCAATTGCGTAGCGGCAAATGCGGCTATGCTGTAATTTGGCTTTGGGATTCATGTTAGATACAGTGCCAGACCTTTTCCATTTCTCCTTCGCGCCCTTCGGCATCCTTGTGACATACATGCGACAATAGCTCTCTTGCCGTCCCCTCGTTCAACAAAAACAAAATCAAGGAACAGACAGCTATTCTCCACTCGTTTACTCCAGATGTCTTCCTGCAGGGCCCTCCGTATTCTGGGGCAAGGTTTATCTTTGCTCGCCGTCCTATCTCCTCTGTCAGTCGCCGCCGCCTCTTCCAAGGATGAGTACAAGACCATGTGCGCCGCCTACGGCGCCTCTACTGCAGACCAGTTCGCCGGCGCAGTGTCCGACTCTGGCAAATACCTCTACGGCTCAAACCAGTGGGGTTGGGATGACAGTGGTGCCCAGTGTATGACCGTAAGTCGATGCCATGATCTGCTCGGGTGACACCAGAGTCAAAACTGACCACGATTGTGTGACAGGCTNGGACTGGACGACTCGGACGATGCTGCTTCGTTCAACGTAACGTGGTCCTGGACGGAGCGCGATGTCTGGGTATGCGCAGCTCGACTATCTCTTGTTTACATCCAGCTTGCTGACTCGCGACCANNGGTGCACTCGTATCCCAATGTCGGTCTCGAATCTGTGCAGCTGCCTAGCAGACTGGACAACGTCAAGTCTTTCAACGTCAGCGCCGCCTGGGACATGTTCCCCTCAGCTCAGCCTAATGCTGCCAACAAGACCCAAGCCCTTATCGACATCGGCTGCAAGGCCGATATTGCGCTCGACATGTTCATCGACAGCAACAACGTGACCTCGACGAACGCCTCCGCCGCCGCCTTCGAAGTCATGGTGTGGTCGGCTGTCTGGGGCGGTGTCGCTCCCATCGGATACCAGACCTTCAACGCCGAGTCGCCCAAGTACACTCTCAACGGAGTCGAATACTCTCTGTACTCTGGCTTCAACCAGCAGGGTCAGAAGCAAGCTGTGTTCTCCTGGGTACCCGCCGAGAACCAGAACGGCATCGACGCCGATCTCTGGGAGCTTGTCACCTACCTTGTCAACGCTGGCAACCTCACCTCCGACATGTACATTGGCCTGATCCAATTTGGTACCGAGACCGTTCACGCCACCCAAAACGTCACCTTCGAGATGCAGAAGGCTCAAATGGACCTCTCGGTTGTCAAGCAAAAGCCCACAACCACCAAGGGATCTCCTCCCGCCACCGCTGGTGCATCCAAGGGCGCCGCATTCCATGTCGCACCTACCGGATTCGCTCTTCCCGCAGCTGCCATGGGTCTCGCTGCTGCCGTCCTCCTCTAATTTCCTAATACTTGTCATTTCGCTCGCTTCACTTCGCTTCTCTTCACTTCTTGGCACATTTTTTCCAGCTTCTTTGCACTCGTTCACGGCCCTTTTACTATATCTTTTTTTACATCTTGACGTTTACGATCACTCCCTTTCTTTGTGCATATCTAGGTTCACGGCTTGTATGACGGAAAACTAGGACAATTTGGCCACGGCTTCAGCTCGAATAGCGGGCGTCTGGAAGAGGGGCAATGTTTAATAGATTGCCAACAGAATCACTACAATCTGTATCAGCATCTCTCTGTCGTGTGTTTACTCCTTGGCATGTCTTGTGTACAGTACGTGAGTAGTGGACACCTCATTTGCCTATACAACCGTCTCGTACATTTCATCAAAACAATGCGGAGTCGCCGTAGCCCTCAACGGCTAGTCCGATCTAAAATTGATTGGCAGCCAGCCAATCGTAGGATTTGCTTGAGCTCTCAACTCTCGTGCATAAAGACTGAATCTATGATCTGCTTTGAACACTGCGGAAACCCTTTCAACCATGACATAGCACACAGACATATCCTTCACCCAATCCGGTCAACCTAGACTGCGTAGGACGACCCGATTCTTTTCACCTTGACGATGATCCACCAATTTGGAATGGATGGCAGGAGAGGCAAACAATCGGAAGATAGCCCCGCGGGACTAGAAGGCTTCGAAGATGATGGATGATCTTCGGGATCGGCGGTCGCGTGCGGCGCTCTGGCCATGCTGAATCGTATCTCGACACCTTGACCGCCTCTGGAAATAGCCCGGCATCACCTACTCAATACCAACTCGTGACCGCCAAATACTATTCAGCTCGGCTTGAAACACATTGAAATTATCACCAAAAACTCTCTTCGCAAAGGGCAACAGGCCTCCTAATCCCTAGAAACGCCCCAAGACAACGACATTGCGATGGACGCAGAGGCACTTGTTGAATCACAACCAGTAACGTTAGTGGATCTCTTGAACAATACTCTCATCTGGCGCGAGACGGCGCCTTACCTTCCGGCCGGAAGTGTTTTGGCATTGTCTGCTACAGCACGGGCTTTTCGACATACCATTTGCGAGTCGCCAGAGACATTCCGACATCTGAATCTCACCTTGGTCAAATCCGCTACTCTTCTTGACTCCAGCCCTATTGATAGTGGTGGTAAGTTGATAATTATTCCTCTATCCATAATCATTTGCTGGTGACATGTCTTGGACAAATCTCATTGAGAAACCGAGATATCACTTTCCCGTTGCACTGCTATTCCCTCTTGTCTAACGATGTTTCACTTGAAGAAATGAACCACTGCAACGCACGAAACTCTCTCAAGCACAGGAGTATCCGTTGATGCCAATGCCGTTCTACTCATCAGACGAGCTGTCAACGGACAAGATACCTGCTTGGCTCAGATTTGTGCAGTGCTACGGTTGTACTGATTCGTGTCGGAGAATGAACAAGATAGCGTCATCGGGCGACCACTTGCCCACATGGTTTGCTACACAATAAGCTGACACGTCGCAAGGCGAATCATGGCGTGCCGAGCGCATGGACGAATCCCTAACAGAAGATGAATTCTTCTCCGGCCCGTTGCGAGGTGTCTTCTCGAAGCTCAACCATCAACAATTGCTTCAGAATGTCAAAACACTGATCCTGGACGGCCTCAGCGTACCAGCGGAGCTCGTTCGGGAGATTGTTCTGGAAGACCGCTTCAATGTCAAGATTCTTAGCATCCGAGACGTCACCAACATGAACCAGAGAGGCTTGCAGTCAGTACTCCGTTACATTGTAAGGCCCTCTGCTTCAAGGTTGCCCAAATTGAAGGGCCTTTATCTGTTTGGTCGTAAGGACGCCCCAGAAACACTCTCACGTAGAGCCCAAACTGCACCTTCAAGTCATGTATCAACTGGCGTCATGTCATCGGAGGGTGCTCAGATCGGTGCTGCGTGGAACTCGAGATCTGAGGTGGCGCTCTCTGCGTCACTCAATCATAACCAACCACTAGATGACTGGTGGAAGACCAAAGGTAATGTTTGGGACATCGAAGGCAGCACCAAACACACTCCTTCGCCAGATTGGGCCGATATATTGCTCGCATGCCAAGGTATCATAGCCTTTGATGCAGTGCTATGTCGCGGCCCGAGGCATGATCCCTCTAGAACGACACCGGACCGGCTACTGCGGCCTGCAATCGCGAACATCGCACTCGGTTCAAGAGGTTGCGAATCATGCGGTTCCTGTCCCGAACAGCCTGCGGTCTTCGACCGAGACGCAGATTCCAAGTTTCCACTGCTGGCTCCTCCTCCGCTGCATGCCAGCTCGGTGAGATCTGCACAGAGACCCATTGTACAGGACGCTGACGTGCCGCCATTGATTCTACGATGCTTAGAGTGTCTTCGCGAGCGGTGGTGCGAAAGATGTAACAAGTGGTGGTGCGAGGACTGTTACCAAGAGCCGATCTCACGAGCAAAGCGACAGCACCCTAATTCGCCTGAGAATAGCTTACAGGACAATGGTGGTTGGGCCTTGGAAGCTCTGAGCGCAAATGCTGCAGTAAAGGTATATTCCAATCTCTGCGTCGAAACCTGCCTCGTAGGCGAGATGCTGCCTGTGGCCGATGGCATGTGGGGATGATGCACAGCGTGTACGCGCTTCAAAGACATCTCACCGAGACCGGGTCTCCCAGAGAAATAAATCATGTTGCGCAGTGTTTACATGAGGCAGAGCTTTGTCCACTGGAACTGCTTGTTGCAACTTCTGGGGGGGAGACCTCCAAAGTGTAAGCATCATGCTATCTAATGAGTTGGGAGCTCGGTCTTGGTGGAGTCCTGCATACTCTCGCGTCATGCCTCAATCAAGCATTCGACTACCACATATCTGACATGTCATAGGGCGTACACCAAGACTGCATCGCCTGCAAACGCACATGCGAAGAATGCAAAGCAAAATATATTCGGCGATGCCGGGATTGTGGAAACGAATACTGTCTGGAACATAATGAACCCAACTCAGCCACGACGGTCTCTCACTCCGATGTCCCAGTCACCAGAAGCTTTGCTGACAAGGGCCTGCAGTGCGACTGGTGCCTCTATAGTGGAAGACGCACTCGCGAGCTCTTCTAGGAATAGAGATCGATACTACTGTACCTCATGTACCCTACGCTCTGTTGACGACCACATATTGCTACCCCAGACTACGAACGACTATTTTTATCATTGTGGCTTGATGACAAGAGATCAAGGCATACGAGCAGGTGTCCTGATCTGGCTTGAGGATAGTCGAGTCCAACCACACCGTATCGTCATAATCATCTGTTTAATGCCATGATGTTCAAGATCTTCGACTGTCTAGAGCCTTTGGCTTGCGTCTTGNTGACTTATGCTGTGAGGCGTTGTAGTCTTCTGCAGTCGTTCAATGTCCTGCTTCAGGAGGCGGATGTAGAAGAAACGTCTGATGCATGATGCGATCTAGACATTGTTCAGCNNCTGTCACCGGTGGCTGGCAGCTCATGCCTCCTAACCCCCTACGTCGATTTGTATNGCCATGGCTGCGAGTCGTCGTTACCAGCCAAAAACAGGGGTAACGGCCCTTGCCCGCCACAAGNNTGGAAGGCGCGGATTTATTCTTGTCGATCTGTCGCGGGAGCGCGTTTTCGCTCCCAACGTCTCCCAAAAANNACCGTTTGCAACGTGCTGCGCCCTCCGAGACAGAAACGGCCGTCTTTTCGTATTCTGACCTATGAGACTNTTTCCAACTTTCACCTCGCTTCACGGATGTAAAAGATTTGATGTGATCTGGAAGCTCGTTGCGCTTACAGTACACCAAGTCCGCGAGAAANNAGGTCACGCATGANNACATGGTGTGTCGCGCAAGCTTGGCAGTACAACCACCTCTCCAGAATGGCAAAAGAGCACAGAACTCAACAGTGTACACGGNACCATACTTAATACCATGATCGATTTCCGATGCGCTGGGTCGGTACAAGTTCTGNNGATTGCGAATGCATCTCGTTGTTGCGTTGCCATATTCAAGATCTTGACCATGCTCGGCATCTCCCTCTCTCAACGCACACGCAAGCGCGGCATCTGTGTACGACTCTATGCAATGCGCTGTGCTTGGGAGGCAAGACCTGACCTGTGCCTCCTTCTTGTTCCAGGATGGTCACTTGCACTGCATCTTGATTTCCAGATCCACGGAAAACGATAGTCTTGAATCACATATATCCGAGTACTGCCATGACAATAACATGCTGTCTCATCAACACACGCGAGCCTCCAGCTCCACAGTCCACACCTGCACATCCACTTTGACAGCCACTCATGCTGACCAAACAGTCAACAAGTACCGCTTCCCCAGACATCTTCTATAGTGGAGACAGCAGATATAGCGGAGCAATGAGAGAAAACCCTGGCACAGAACATGTCACCTTCCGTTCGCTTCCGGTAACCACGCACTGCAGAGCAATCGAGATATCTCATCCGCTATTTTACTCAACATCCAAGAAGTGCCCAGCCACCTACGATTGATCTTGTCAACAGCTTGTAATGGTTAGCTCAATATAGGGTTGACTGAAGTCTGAGAGCAAATATTTTCCCGGATCGTGGTCTTCTGCCGCGGGTCTCGGTCATAACGCTTCGTGACCGGCTCGCTAGATGCCGTGTCTGGGACCAAAAAAGAAGTTTGACGGGCCGGCTGGTTCGACACTTTTGACCCAACTTTGGTAATGTATCAGACGACCAGCCTTGGTTCTGTTGGGTCTTCTATCGAGAGCTTGAATGGTGTAGGGCACACAAGTTGTGGGTTGTGGTATCTGATGAATAGGGCTCGAGACACTTGATCACATTGATCCGTTGACCTGTTTGGGACTGTCGAGGCAGCTACTTGCATTAATCTGCATATAGCCGCAGACCAGATGGACTTGCTCATGGTTGGCACTGTATAAAGTTGTCTTCAGTCATCCCTACCAAGTTCGAAACAGAATAGGCACTCGCTTGCAACCAGACGAATGCACAATCTCCCAGCAATACATATCTCTTTACAGAGTCCATCTTGTTCTCATTGCCATATGTGTGCTGCTCTGATCTTTCACACATCGTTGCGTGGATGTTCTCTACCCAGTACATATGGTTCCTTCCTTCTTTATACCTCCATCGCTCCTTCCATTTTCACACATTCCCCGCTCTTTCCTTTTCCTCTAATCACTTACTGGTTGTTCTTTTCTCTTGATGTTCCACTCCTTCCCCTCTCATTTCGTACTTGCTCCTTCCACTTCTAAACCTTTAGTCAGTCTTTCGTTTCTCTGCGTCTCTGAGGTAGCCATTTCATCGTTCCTTTCAATACTAGTTAATCAATCTTGTTGATTGTGCCACGTAAGTTCTTCGTATCTGAAGACTCGTCTGGGCCTTTTCCTTCTTAGTCAGATCTTGCGATTGCCTCTTTCACGATGAACATGGTAGTGTTTCCTTGTTCACTTGCTCGTTGTATCGCTTCCCTGCTGGTTCTGTTACTTGAGTTACTTCTTTCCTTGCTATCTATATTGCCTTCTTGTTCTCTTTGGCTGTTCTTGTGCTATCTGCTTTTGTGATCAATCATTTGTTGAGCATTATCAATCTCTGTTACTTTATCTTTTATATATAATACTGGATTGGTTAATCGTCTTTCCTCTCATCTGCTGGCTAGTTTGACCTGTATTCATGTAACCAGTGTCTCGTTGTCATGGTTGTGATTTTGCATGGGTAATTGACAGGGTCACCCTGGAACTATGCGGTCTTTCGTCAGTACGTATGTATTCTGGTATCGTATTTATCATGTTTGTTCTTTATACTCTATCATAGCTATACGACACTCTGAAGAGAGGTTTTGTCGTTGTGGATTGTTGGTAACGAACCATATGCAGAATGCCCATGTCCACGATAAGGAAGCAAGCACACTTAGGTCAATATATATATATATATATAAAGCAGAAGACGGTTAGTAAATGGAACAAATAAGGCACAAGAGGTGGTTGTGAGCATAAATCAATAACACGACACTGCTACGGTAGCTCGTCGTCGCACGTAAAGATTGTCACAACACTTACCATGTTGCCTCTCTACAAATCACTTTTTGGCCCGATGTGATTCAAGAGCAGTCCTGATGAAGAATTGCTAGACAGGAACTCGACGGTCCACTTGGATTAAACGAACATCAGTGGGAAGGCACGATCTTCCAACGTATTCGGTCACTCGCGCTTTCCATTGAAGCTGTGGACGACTGGAATGTGCATGCAGAAGGAGCGACGAGGAGATGCGGCTGGACAGAGTCGTCTGTTGTAGCAGAAGTGTTGTGGCATGAACAAAAAGTGTGATATGATACAGTGCCAAAAGCCCGCTATGCAATGTATAAAACAACCTCCCGATATTTAGAGTCCCTCTCGAGAAACGCCTTCTATACGCCATGTAACCACCCTTATCCAAGGACCTGCTGTGGGTATCGGTATGTACAAGTCTATATTCGGAGTCATGAGACTCTTAGTATTCGTTTTCCATTTCCTGTGCTTTGTTCTTCAGACCATTGTTGACATCGTTGTCAGGGGAGTCCTCGAAATCGGTTTCAAACTCTGTACGCCGAGATTCGTTGTTGAGATGGGTAAGGTCAGGATGGTTTGCAAACTCAGATACGTCTCTGAGCTCGTCTCGAACGTGTCGATTGGGCAGTCCAAACTTCTTCATGATTTTCCATGCCCACTCGGCTTCCTGACGTACAAGTGTATATTGGCCGCCAGTTTCTTTCAAGGCCTGCTTCAGAATGATATGAATTGTCGCAAGGTTCATACCAGGTTGATCAGGGACATTGATCGAAGCCTTCTTCCCACCGGGCCCAGCGATGTGAATTCGGTGCTCGGGTCGTTGAGTATAAGGAGAGGTCAAGACTTTTGTATCCTGACGGTATGCAGCCATACGGGGTACACCACCTGGATTGTCGTCGTACCTCGATGCATGCGGAGGCTCATCCTTGAGTGAATCCGGCCAAAACTTGCCAAGATACTGCTTGCCTGCAGTAGAACCGTAAGTGTCGACAACACCACTGAGAATCCTATTGAATGCTCTAGGCGTAAAATTAACATAATTGTAACCAGCCATGTTCGGGTAGACCTTCCAGGCATACTGTCTCCAGTCATCGTTGATGAGCGCAAGCAAGCGCCAAACACGGCTTCCAAGTTCCAGAGTATCTTGTTTCTTGTAACCGCGTTTGGCACGTCGAGTTTCGCCTTTTTCTCGGAAGCCTAACACTTTTTGGAAAGCCTTTGCAGATACAGAAGTCTCGAGGCGCGAAAGATCGCCAGTGCAAGATTTCGCCTCGCGTAGAATCACCCGAATCATACTCGCAGCAGTGTTTGTACTGATACTGTAGCCGTGAATTGGACCCTTGGCAAAACTCTCCAGGGCTTTGTCAACGAAAGGCCAGTTTCCTGCCTCTATTTGCTGATCCAAGAGCTCGTTCAACACTTCTTCAGGAGGTTCTGTTCCCGACGAATCCTTTTGGAATTGCAGAACTTTGCGCATGAGAACCTCATCATCAAGGCTGGCAGCAAGTCTAATCAGAGGTGGGCCCATGATGCGATCACTGTACAGACCCTTGTGGATGATTGGACCATCCAGGTCCTCGGAATATAGCAGCCATGAACCTAGCTCGAGAGCTTGAGAGTCGACGACCAAGGTAACAAGATCAGCCAGGATAGGAACAGGTATTTGAGGGAAGAAACTGGGATAGTGGATACCACCATAGCGGCCCTGAAAGCCGAACTCGGATGCGTCTTCCTCTTCGTCCTGCATTGTGGCGTCTTGTTGCTTTGCAAAGAACTCCTGAATCGATCTTTGCTTGTTCGTGTCGGTAAGTTGTTGCAAATCCCGGACCACACCCATAGCACCAGACAGACTGCCGAGCTTGATGTGAGCTCTGAGAAGACGGTGATGGTAACCAATGTTGGCTGCAGAACCGTCCAAGACATATGCTGGTGTGGGTTGCCATAGCTGATCACGAGTAGGAGCGTTAACAGCAGAAATATCGTCGCCGAACAAGGAGGCTACTGAGCTGATCTTGCCCGCTAACTGCGGGTCCTTTTCGAAATCGACACCTCTTGACTCGAAGAAGCGTAGAACTGTGGCGTCCCATGAGGTATAGCCCAGGCTCATATTGTTGGCGCTAAAAAGCCNTTTCATGGCTTTTAGAAAACGAGCTGGATCCTCAGGAGACATACCTCGCGAGCCGACACCGGCGCTGACGTGGGATACAGCGGCATCGACGAAGGAGGCAATGACTTCTGCACTTATGGTTCTGCGGACCTTCTTCTTGTTGATGGTCTGGTCGGTATCCGAGATGCCTGTGTTGAAAATATACTTGACCTCGTCCCAATTGATGGATTTTTCTTGGCCGGACTGAACAATGGGGTTGGCCAGCTCTCTCCAGGACAAAACAGACCAGGCTTTGTCACCTTCCAACCTTGCATGCATATGTCTAAGAACTTTGACGCCTTGTTTGTAATAGCGACCGTACAACATTGCCCATAGAACTAACTCGAGCCAGATTTCGTGACCGAGACCAGTAACATGAACTTTGTACATAGAACCGGGTATCTCAGGTCTCATGGATTCATAGACACCACCTCTTTCTTTGGCCTCTTCGACAACGTTGGTCTCGTAGGCCCTCCAGGCGGCGTCGGTCAGGGAGGTGATGATTTGGTTGGACAGTAGATGCAGAGTAGGAGGCTGACACAACGACATGGAATCGTTGGGTGGCTGGTATGAATAGATGGAAGAGGGCATAGCACCGGAGTGGTGCAACATTGCGATGATCTCAAGGATTTCGGGCTTGATGGCTTGGTTGGCTTTGTCCTTGTTGGCACGACCTGCGTCTACAATAATCATTCTTGCCAGACTGTACCAAATCTGACCGAGGGTCTCGTGGTGCAGAATGGAAGGGAGCGGTTCCTCGAGAGGATGCAATTCCGCAGTGAGGTGGTCCAAAGAAGGAGGCGGCTGTAAGTCGTTGAGAGGGTTGTGCGCAGGCGGGTTCAACAAGACGGTATCCCCATCGCGAGTGTGGCGAGTATACTCAGATAAAGAGAAATGGGGTGGCAGACAGGTGTTCCAGACATTGGTGTCCTTCGGAGGCGTCGGGTCGGGTTTGAAGTCGTGTGAGATGACCATTGAAGCCAACCAGACAGCGGCCTTGGGACGATTCTGCTTGACAGCCAAGAAGGATAATAGATCCAATCCGTACGTGTAAGACGAGATGTGGATGATTCGACTGATGTCTTGAGCCGAGAATGGCTCGTCTGTGATTTTGAAAGCGCCGGGAGTGCGCAAACGAGGAGGCAGAGCAGCTTCGATGGTGGGCATCCATGCCTCCGCGGTACGGGAAGCATCGCGGGCAGGAAGTTTGGACAGGTCGATGTATGCAAAGCCACCTTTATGCAATGCCTGGCGGTGTCGGATGGCAGCGCGGCGCGACGAGCCTTTCAGCCCGCTGGCGAGTGTTTCGAATGTGTCATTGTCGGCGCCGACAAGACTGTCGTAGTCCTGGTCTTGGACAGTGAGTGAAGCAGGGGCAGCGCTATGTTGGGCATCTTGTGAGGAAGGGGCGGCGCNTGTAGGCGTCTTTACAACAGGGAAGGCGCTATGTTGGGCGTATCGTTGGTGTCTCGAGTGCAGTCGTGGTCGGGTATTGCTGCGGCAGGCAAATGTCCTCAGGCCTGCTATCCGGGCGCAGCATCTTTGCATTGGTTTGCTCCGAGCATTCTATGCTGATGGGAGAAATCAGGGCCTGTGTCTGAACACTTAACAATGTCTTTGCCTCTTGCCGTATCGAGTCTTGATGTCGTACATTTTTGAGGGTCAATCCTAAATCTACAAGCACCGACTCGCCGACGCTGCGCTGCTGCCGCCGTCTGGGCGTACGTCACAAGTGAGCTCAACGCGTCTCTCGCGTTTCAGTTCTGCGCCAGCGTCTGCCTTCACATCGCTGTCTCTGCCTGAACAAAGACTTTGTCTCTCAGCTGTCTACGACAAGCCTGCCTTAAGCACTCTTTTCATTTTCCTCGACTTGTTGATAAATCGCCTGCTATCATCGGTCTCCCTGACCTTTTGCTTTGCGCAAGCACAATCCTTTCCTCTCACTCTCCTTCTGATCACATCAACCACCATCACAATGCCTTATCGTCTCGGTATTTTTTCTTCTGGCATTAACGAAAGAAGAGACATGCAATCCTAACGCATCCTACAGAGCTCAGTCCCAACAACCGCGCCACCTGCAAGGCTACAGATTGCAAGGACAAGGGCGTGAAGATCATGAAGGGCGAGTTTCGCCAAGCTACTCAAATCACCATCAATGAGCATCAGAGCTGGGTTTACCGCCACTGGTGAGTCAATGTCCGTCTTCTGCTGGTTTCGTCGCTTATACCCTTCAGGGGCTGTGTCACTCCGAAGCAACTCGAAAACATGAAGGCCGAGTGCGGTATGGACATGGACTACGTCGACGGCTACGACGAGCTGCCCCATGATCTCCAGGAAAAGGTCTATCGTGCTCTGGACCAAGGTCACGTCGACATGGAAGACTGGAAGGGTGATCCCGAGTACAATGTCCCTGGAAAGAGCGGCACTGGTCCCAGAAAGACCAAGAAGAAGAAGGGAGAAGAGGTAAATCTTCCAGTCTTTTCCTCATCTCTGGTCTCCCTGCTGACTATTCATGCAGGCTGCCGCCGCTGCCGAAGCCGCAGGTGAAAATCCTCCTAGCTCCTCTGCCCCCGAGCCGGCTCCCAAGAAGCGCGGTCGCAAGAAGGCTGAAGCCGACGATGAAGAAGCTGAGGCTCCCCACCTAAGAAGGCCAGAGGAAAGAAGGCAGTCAAGTCTGAGGTTGCCGACGCTCATGTCGACAACGAAGAGGCCGACGTCAAGCCTGCTCCTCAGAAGAAGACCGCCAAAAGCAAGAAGGCCGTCAAGGCAGAGGAGACTTCCGACGTTGACGACACCATGGCACCCAGAAGAGAAACCGCAAAGGGCAGAAAGGTCAAGGCCGAGCAGTTGTCTGATGTCGACGAGCCCAAAGCACCCGCTCCTGCTCCAAAGAAGGCTGCCAAGGGCAAGAAGGCAGTCAAGTCCGAGGAGACTGACGTCCCCAAGGAGCCCACCAGAAAATCCTCCAGAGCAAAGAAGCCAGTCCCAGTCGCCGACGCCGACTCTTCGTCCGATACCGAGCCTGCTCCTCAGAAGAAGAAGAAGAAGGCTGCCGTCAAACCCCGCAAGACGGCCAAGTCCAAGGATGTTGTCATGTCCGAGGACGAGGCAGATGATGCTCAGGAGCCTGCTGAGCCCGCCCCTGAGCCTGTTGAGGAAGCCGCTGAAGAACCTGACGAGGAGGATGTGAATCCTGCTCTCAAGAAGAAGCGCACCTCTAAGAAGAAGGCATAGACCTGTTGGTCTTGAGTCCACTTGACTCTTCTTTTCGTTCGAGCTCTTCACCACAACACGCCGTCGACACACGCATTGCAGTCGTTTACATGTTTCATACCGGCACGTTCTATACCCTTCCCTTTACAAGTCTTGTCATGGTGTTTCTTCGGGTTTCGGTTTAGCGATGCAAAGGAGGGCGTTATAGGTTACTGTTAATTGTAGTCGACGGCCAACGACATGAACGATTTCCTCTTCCATGTCGCTTGCAATTTCTCTATCATCAATGCAGTGTATTAGAGCATGTGCTGTTGCCGTTAAAGAAACGCAAATACGCTGACGTCAAGAGGTGCAGCTGTCGACTTTCCTTTTCCAACATCACCACAACAACCACAACCAAAACTCCACCGTAATCCTGAATAAAGCGATATCGTTTGCGCGAGGCTGAGAGAACAACATCATCTGTGGAGAAGATCTGGCAGATCTGTCCGATGCAAGGTACACGAGATCTGACGCTTTCCCCGATCGGGAACAAGTATTGAAAAATGACGATGAGATCTCACCTTGACGTCTTCTTCGCATGCACTTCCAGCCTCTTCACGCTTCCAGCACGAAGCGATCGCGTGCCCGTCACGATGGTTGCTGTTGGCGACAGAAGTATGAGTGAAAGTCAATTGCCCTTCGATCGAATACGCATGAAACGATCCAAAGAGCCAAAGATCCTACCCGCCCTTGTCGTCACCGAAGGTCCAATCTCCAACATACACTTTCCCGTTTTGGATACTTCATTGATGTCAGTATGTTGGATGGCCCTGGACACGTCTTGCCAAACGCGAAGATGACGGGTGTGACGTGCCTGTTGTGTCGTTGATCGTTAATTGACTGTCACAACAAACGACGATGAGGTAGTGTCTGTCATCACTTGTATGCATGGTGGGTGCTTTTGACAGGACATCGAGGAAAAGGGTATAAGTATCCTTTTCTGCTTGCTGCTTTTCTCTTCTCATCATTTCAATCTCCATCTGATATTACAAGCACTACAACAACAAATTCTCTACCCTTTTTCCAAACACATAATCAACATGTCTGCCGAGTACACNCCCGAGACCTCCACTGGCGTTGCCGCCGACAACGACTACGCCAGCCGTACTGGCCAGAGCGAGATCCCCGTCCAGAAGGACGAGGCTGGCATTGAGGACCCCATTGACCCTGACACTGCCGACTCCGACAAGGTTCTTGGTATGCGCACTCTCCTCTCATTCCCTCTATGTGGAACAAAGCTAACATTCTCCCANGAGCAAGACGAGAAGGCTGCCATGAACGAGGACAACATCATTGATGATCGCACCCGTGGTGCCGCCAAGCCCAAGGGCTCTTACCAGGAACCTGGTGATGAGGAGGTGAGTTTTTTTGATATTCAACAAGATCGTAGAACTCGACACTGACAATCATGACAGGGTCTTCCTGGCCCGGACAACGGTACCTCTGCCATTGCCCAGTAAACGATTCAAAGTCACTATACCCTTGCTTCGACTTTGATGTGTATGAATAGAGATGGAGTAGCCATGTATGAATAGATAATCACCCTTTATGAATTGATGTATCATTATCAACCACATCTTCTTTGAGTCCATTTGACCGTGACATGTCCATGAACATTATGTAGCTTTGATCTGGATAATGTGTTCAATCTCACTATTCTGCCGATATCTCATATATGGGACTTCAATATTTTCGTGCCTGCATCTTTATATGCTGCTAATTCCTGCTTTGATTCATGATACCCTGATACTAACTAGTCCATAGTGTTTCCGAGAAGCATTATGACCTTTCCACTCGCTCTAGATCATACGGGAGTTGTTGTCTAGTACAAAGTTCTTCAGGTACAATGCCGACGAGGCCTTGGGTTCACGGTCAAGATGGTATGGTTGAGGGTGAAGCTTGCCCTGGAAGTCGACCATTTGTAAACATCGAAGCAAGACCACCACATATTTGCTTTACGAGTCGGTAGGACATGCATAAGCTCGATATGGTCGCAAAAAGAAGGAAACCAGCATCTGATGTTAAATTAGAGAAGACATGGAGGAATCATCATCACCACAAGTTCAGGCCAGGGTCATGCTCGAGTCAAGAAAGAGATGAACACTTCGACACGACCCCGCAGTTTCCCCGATGCAGTCGAAGCTTTGGACAGCTTGACTCTCAAGATGATTGAACAACAACAGTTGTGTTCTTGACTCATCGCAACGTGGAAACAGCAAGAGGAAGAGGACAATACCCGGCCCTGACAAGACAAACTCGCATCCATCAACTCCGCGCTCCTCGACACCCCAACTGCGACAAAAGCCACGCTTCCATCGCAACCAGCATCTCCAAATCCCAGAACCAAACCTCTCTACGCTCCCAGAACAACACCGTCAAGATGCTCGGCTCACTCTCCAACATGCAACCCCGCCAACTAGCAACCCAAGTCCTAAACTTCGCTCTCGTCCTCAGCACAGCATTCATGCTCTGGAAAGGCCTCTCGGTCGCAACCGACTCGTCCTCTCCCATCGTCGTTGTGCTGTCCGGATCCATGGAACCCGCCTTCCAACGCGGAGACCTGCTGTTCTTGTGGAATAGAGGGCTGGACACAAAGGTTGGAGAAGTGGTAGTGTATAATGTGAGGGGCAAGGATATCCCTATCGTACATAGGGTTGTCAGGAGATTTGGCGGCGGTGTTGGGTAAGTTCTTTTTCTCCTCCTGCTCTGCTTACAAGTCTTGTAAGGTCGATGCTGATGATGACTCGTGAACAGACTTGACGCACCTCCCCTCCAACTCCTCACAAAGGGCGACAACAACGCAGCCGATGATACCGAACTCTACGCCAGAGGCCAGGACTTTTTGAACCGTAAGACAGACGTTATTGGCAGTGTGGTTGGCTATGTTCCTTTTGTGGGCTACGTTACCATCCTTCTGGCCGAGTACCCTTGGCTCAAGACTGTGATGCTGGCCTTTATGGGCTTGACGGTCGTCTTCCAAAGGGAATGATGAACAAAAGGATGCAGAGAGGAAGAAGCGAGCGTGTTGTGCATTTTACAAGGGAGTTACGGGGTTCAAGGGACTTGTGTTATAGCAATGGCATAGCGGAAAGTGCCTTTCCAAACGGACAAAGAGCTGCTGCATCGTATGAAATACCCATTCCACTTATGAACCATGTGTGTAACGCCTACTTCTCGGTTGCACAAGTGACTCGTGGCATGGACACGCAACGAGCGGCCAGGTCACCAGCCTCTGAAGGCGAGCAGGACAGAGACACGGATGATCGATCGCGAGTGCAGTGTGCTGGGCAGGTTTAAGAATCATCACGGTGCAAGCAAGGGGAATGACATGCCAATCATGAAAACATCGAGCTTCAAATTGCCGCAGCCTCGTGGTCTGTCTGATGAGTGCGAGGCATATTGCAGTAGCTAACATGATGCATTGGGTATAAGCCACAGAGAAAAAACACCACAATCCCCATTCCGGATTAGCCAGTGAAATCGCTCATTGTTTGCTCCGCTCCTCCCAACCCTTTGCCCCTCCGATTCGTATCCGTGTGTAGAAGACATGCGATAGAAAAAATAGTAAAAACTCGAGAAGCAATTCCATGTGATAAACAGTAAGACAAAGCCATGAATGAAAAATTAGGCGTGACGGTTGATGACTTTGATCATGTCGTTGGATGGTGAGAAGGGAGTGATTTACTCCTCCTCCTCCTCCTCGTCAGCATCGCCGCCCTGTTGTCAAGTCAGTTTGATTGTCAAGGATGGATGAGTTGCTTGGGAAAAACTTACAGCAGTGTAGGCAGCCTTCTCTTCTTCGTAACGCTTCTTGTCGGCGGCAGCCTTGGCCTCGTAGGGAGTCTTTTGCTTCTCGTTGAGGCTCTTCCACTTCTCACCGAGGATCTTGCCAACATCACNCTATTGATATTGTTAGTCGTTTGGCTGAAGTTGAACGTGAGAGAGTAATAACTTACCGAACTTGATGCCGGGGTTGTCCTCGCGAACCTTCTCGCGCTGCTCGTTGGCGAAGAACATGTAGGCGGAAAGACCACGCTTGGGGGCGTTGGGGTCTGGCGACGAAGTCAGTCATGAGGCGCAATGAAATAGTGAAGTGAATGGATTGGAACATACCCTTCTTCTTCTTACCGCCGTCCTTCTTGGCGGCCTTGCGGGTGGTGGCTCTTTCCTTAGGCATGTTGATTTGATTTAATCTGAGTCGCGGAGTCGAGGTTAGCAGATTGGCTTTTGAATTGAAGCGATGCGACAACTGTGAGGTGATGTGATGGTTGATGTAGTGGTGATGGGACGCGCTTGGTGAGAGCTGGATGGAAACACCGCAACTTCGAAGACGCGTCTTACGGGCGCAATTGAGGATAGCGACGCGTCGGTTGAAAGGACAATTGACATACCGGTGTGATTAAAAGAGTTAGATGTGTTGTGGTTGTGTAGAGACAACTAAAGCGATTGTGTTAGTCTTTGGTGTGATGAAAGACGGCGCGATGGATGAAGTTGAGAGCGCGTGAAGGAAAGAATAGAACAAGACGAGTGACGGAAGGAGCTCTCGGATCGCTCTTTTCTGTTGTGTGAAAGAAGTGAAGGTGGTTTTTGGATATGTTGTAAAGCTGTTGTGAAAGCTATACAGCGTGAAGCCGGGAAGACGCGCAGCGCGACCTTACATTTTGTATGGGAGTCGAGTTTGGTGAGAGACTGTATGAGAGAAAGAACCGCAGCGAAAGTTGGGTGAGGCCTTTGCCTTACTACTGGAATTTGGAGAGGGGAACGCCTTCCTCACACGTGATCCTCTCTAAGCCGATCCGCGCAAGCTTGGTCGCAATGAAACTTATTATTGACACGTCTCTTTCGACGACAAACACATTTCTACAAACGACAATCATCTATCAGAGACATTGTAACATGCAAATACACGTATAAATCAAAACAGAATAGTATTCATGACCTTGTATGGCCATAAAAGAGCAGACTGACTGTGGTCTTGGCGGCTCAGAAGCACCCAAATGTGGCTGCGGAATCAGTGCGGATTTGAAGGTGACGTCTCAGCTCTCCACTTTCAGCTCTCATTCCTCAAACTGCCAGCCCCTTTCAACCTTGCGTGTTTTTGTTCCGCTTGTGCCTGTTTCATATACGGCTGTACATGCTGTGTCACCTAGGAGACCATATTAGCCAGATGTCTTATGTAGGGCTTATGCAAGTCATACTTGTTATCTGAATTGAACTGACTTTGCCGTTTGATCAAGCTATTGGAAGAACAGCCGCACGCCAACCACAACCCTTATCAAGCCAGTGTTCTGGATTTTTGCTTCTCATCTCGCGTTCCTTGTGGCTTGGTATGTGTGTTGCCAACAGTACTAGCTCATCTTGCAAAGCTGCTGAAGAGCAAGGTGTTACTAACCAGGACTAGAAGGGCTCGTTATCAACATGTTTGACAGCATCTGGCACATGACAATACGGGCGACTCATTGTCTTCTTTTTGCCGATGGTAGATACTCATAGGGTAATACGTAAATACTTCCGGATCTAGTGGCACTTCCAATGGCTTCTCTCTATTAAGGATCACTGGCCCGGTTTGGAGCGGCAGCAGGTGTGACAGTCGCGGGCATACCATGGTATATCCTGCCTCGTGGCTGGCCAGAAGAACTGTCATTATACGGCTGGAGAGGTGCCCGTGGCTCATGCTCAGATAAAGGCAAGGCATGGAAGAAGTGGATCAGCATAGTCCTCACCGAGAGAAGCGGCCACCAGGATGTTTTCTGGCTTGATCATACGGTCTTGTTCTGTCTCCTCATCCTCACTATGAGGGAAATCGGCAGATCTTCGAGACAGCGTCTGGCTTGACAAATCGCTCTCGCTTCCCATGTGCTAGTGAAGTGGTGTAGCCGGAGGACTACACAATACATTCTGGAGAAGGTGAAACTACGGAGAGACCCTGATTGTAGGGCTCCTGACCAAAGTGATGGCAAAGGGTATCTCTTGTTTCACCTGGAGAGCTCATTCCTTTGAGTTCAACTTCACTGGGAAGGTTCTCTCCTCCGGGTTCAGCACACTTGTCACCTCGTTTTTGTTTCACCTAGAGAGCGCCTTCCTTTGATTTTAGCACACCTATCAACCTCCTCTTTTTCCATCTAGGGATAGAAATCAAATATGAAGCGCTCTCCTAGCTCTTCACCTGTCACTTCAGCCAAGCGACTGGCCATCTTCAATTCCTTCGGCCGTTCTAACATTATAGAACCTCTGCCTGCAGAAAGTCCTCCTGCAAAGGAAGATTCCCAAAGAAGTGACAGCTCAGACGACAGCAGTATCGATTGGGACAACTATCAATACCCAACTCCACCGAATCTTGTACCGCCCGACTCACCCACTCTATCAGCCAGCAAGTCTCCAAAAGGTCATAGCCTTGTTGACAACAGCTCAAACGGCGCTTCGATCGAGATTCCCGGACCGTCGAGGGAAACCTTTGACTGTGCTAAAGCACACTTCGTTCGCCAGCAAAGCCAGGGCCACCACGTCTTCGTTGATCCGATGCTCAGAATTTTCGACAAATTCGAAGAAGAAGAAGCTACGTTGAGGCATGCAGCGGCTACGAGTACCAACGACCAGGCATTTGCATGCGATCTGTTCACTTTCAAGATTGGTCAACTTTCCTTGCAGGACCTCACACCTCTTGCACTCCACGCCAACGACGAACGTTCGTGTTTTGAAGATACGACTGTCGACTTCATCATCAATCATGGAGCATCGCATTTGGATTTCCAGGATAACGCGGCATACATATCTCCCGGCTACAGCGACATCTACACCAAGCAAAACGCCCGCATCCCCGTTGTGGGTCATATCCACCTCGTCGATACCTTCCCTACGAGAGCAGATGAGAATGATCGAGAGATCACCCATATCCTGCAGCACAACACGCCGGATACCACGTCATGGCCATTCGCCGCTGGTGTTACCGGCATTACCAAAGTGGTCATGGCATGCAACGATAGCTCTCATTGGTACGCAGTACTCTTTGATTACTCCTCTGATACAGGATTCTCGATCTACATCTACGACTCTAGCCATGATCCCCAAAGACTTACCAGCTTGAATGCATATCTTCCCAAGCTCGCTGAATTCCTGGCTCTATCACCTGCTGTGGGTATCGGCAGAGGCGGCAACCGTTACCCAGCATGGGCATCAACTTTGCCAACCAACGGATGCAGCATGCAGCAAATGACTCGGCAAGCCAACGAAGTCGATTCTGGTCCTATTATGGTCGACACAATTGTTCGATTGATGCGAGGCGAACATGTACCCGATGTGAGTGCATCTGCTGGTGTGTTTGGTCGTCAACTGCGTCATTCATACGAAGCGGTCGCTTATCATGAGATAATGGGCGAAAAGATGGCAGAGACTTTTGCCGAAGAACCCTCATTTGTACTGAGAAACAAAAATGAATGAGAACCAGAAACATCCTTTACTCTCACCGCAGATCGACCTCAAATTGGGAGGAGAGCGATCGCATTCCATCGTCCGCATACTAAACCTGAAATTCATGGCCATCGTCCACGCAACTTGGGCAAACTTTTGGGACAGGCAATTCGGTTAGACGCACAGGAACTTTGCAGAAAGGGAGATATGAGAGACTGGACTACTTTGGACGTGTCTTTACTAGTAGTGGAGGTGGAGTTGGCCGAAAGAGATATGCAGAGAGGTGATTTGTTATTGGAGCAAATCATTCTGAATACGATCTTCTTCGTTCTGAACTTGCTTTGTTGATTGAACGTGACTTGTTACTAAACGTGACTTTGGAGGTGTTCTTCGACTTGTATTCTCCAGCGAATCTATCAGGATACCAAGCTTAGATACTCGCACGTCTGGGTGCCATGGTTCTTCTCAAGTTCTTCCTCTCCTCCGTCTCTTCCATCACGGGCAACACACCCTCGTCTCTCAACTTGGCCAAGAACTCTTGACCGTACTTGTAACCAACCTGGTAGATCTCATCGAACTTGGCAAATTCGAGTGTACCATATCCATCGATTGGTGGTCGAAGATACAAGCATCCAGGAGTGGTCTTAGCACGCTCGAGAGCATCGATACTAGACACATATGCAAGACGACCCTGGATCTCAGAAAGTGTTGGTGGATTGGGGAATGCAGAGAAGGGATTCCAACGATTGAAGGAGGCCCAGAATCCGGATAGTGAATCTCCGTAGGCTTGGGGGTTGTCGTCATCGATAGATCCGACATCAACAGCAAAGATGACATCCGCACCAAGCGACTTCATGTGAGCGACGGTCAAGTTGTCGACGTAGCCACCATCAAGCAGCATGTTACCTTCATCGCAGAGTGGAGGTAGGAGACCAGCAAGCGACATGGAGGCACGAACATAGCGCCAGGCGTAGCCACTTGTATGGATTTCGGATCGTGACTTGCTGATGTTTGTGGTGTTGCAGTAGTATTCGAGCCAGAAATCTTCGATCTGAGAGTCACCGAATGTCTTGAAGATACCACGGTTGAACTCGTGGCCGGTTGTGTAAGATGCACTNNGAACTGTCAGCAGTGTTCACTATATCGGAGGTAGGTAGACTTACGACGGATAGGTCAGATCCAGAGCAAATCGCCACATACTGCCCATTCTTCCCGAGAACTTCTTGGCTCGACCATACATAGGGACCACATCGGCATCCCATGCATAGAGCGCACCAATAAAGGAACCGATCGATGTGCCTCCAACAATATCGATAGGAATGCCAGCTTCTTCCATAGCTTTGATGATACCCACATGAGCAATGCCTCTGGCGCCACCTCCACCAAGCACAAGGCCAACAGACTTGCCGAGGAGACGACGAGCTAGGCGATGGAAGTCACCCTTGAAAGGAGTCTCGGCTGAATACAACGGCGTCTGTCGCACCTTCCTGGAAGTGTATTTCTGAATCTCGGCCTGAATGACCTGGACACGCTGCTTAATGGCCGTACTAAACCTTCTGCTGATCTGGGGATGAACAGGCTCGACATTGTCGCGGAAGGACATGTGGATATGGTGATGGCTTCCATTGATCCAAGAACGGTCTCTGAGCCACTTGCGCGTAAGTCCAGGATGGCAATATCTCTCGGCGTGTAGCAAGACGAGTTCCTTTCTCGCCGTGGTCTTCGTCGTGAGAAGGAAGCGCTCATACTCGCCAATGGCGGGCGAGCCCTCTGCTAGACCCACAAGCAGGATGCAATCTGCCTGGTTAATGCAAGTCTGCGTCCATGGTGACTTGACGTTTGTGTCAGCGACATACAAGACCAGCGCAAACTTCTCTTCAAGATCAGCCAAGTATTGAGATAGCTTGAGCTTGCCCATCTTGGTGAATGCGTGTCTGCCAAGGTGGTTCAGAATAGCTGCCTGATTAAGCGAAGTGGTTCTTTGTGGTGTAGCACCAATCTGGTTCAAAGCGTTGAGCAAGCGATGACCAAATTCAACTACAGGAACGCCTGCTGTGACGGGCAGAATGGCGACAGTGCGCAGGTTAGTAGTTGAAGAAGCTTTGCTACGAGTTGCAATCCTGCTGGTGTCTTTGCCGTGCTCGGAAGTAGGATCTTCAATCAGCGCGCGCATGCGAGAGGCGATGATTTTGGAGATCTTCATCGTGATACCAGGGTGCTCGTGGGCAAGACTATTGAAGAGCGACTTGGGAAATTTCGCCAGCTCTGTATCACGAATGGCCAATAGCGTACCCGGTCGGGTGGACTCGGTCAGGACTTCAAGCTCTCCCACACTATCGCCTTGACCATACTCGCCAATGACTCTCATCTTGTCGTCTGGTCCTTCTTGAATTGCTCTTAATCTACCGTTGAGCACGATATAGATTGCATCGCTTTCCTCACTCTGGTTGTAAATAACTTGACCGGCATTGACTTGTACCCACTCAAGGGCGAAATCAATGTGCAAGATGAGTTTTGGGAGCAGAGTGGTAAGACGCTTGGCTATGGTAAGTAGCACGATTGGGAACCTCTCCACGATTTTCTCTACAGCTGCTCGTGGTAGGAAGCCTACGTAGACATCAGTCTTGGCGGTGACATCGATGAAAGAGCGATACGAAGAGACAGTTCCAAGATACCCAGCTAATCCACCAGGCTTGGTCAAGAAGAGGCTCTTCTGTCTCCTGTTGCGTGGCTTGTTTGGGGGCTTTGGGTTAAGCGAGAGTGAGCTGGGCCTTCGAACACTGCCCATGTTTCTGCCTCCATTTGATCGGATTGTTTGGGGCGTGTCGTCCAAGTCGACACCAGCTGAGGTACCAAAGATGTTGGACTCTGCAGCCTCAGATTCCTCGAGAGGCACACTGACGTCAAGAAAGCCGTCAATGACATAGTAAAGTCCAGGATTGCGCTCTCCTTGCTCGACAAGGACAGAGCCCTTGGGGAAGAAGACAATTTCGACTTCCTCCTTCATGTCTTCCAAGACATTCAGGTTGCCAGTCGCACTGAAAGTTGTCGAGGCAACGGATTCAGTCTCGCCATCGTTAGGATCGAAAGGGTCGATAAAGCCAAATGCGTTGTTGAAGACAGCTTTTTGCCGTTTCGAATCATAAGAGACAAGTTTGGGCGACTGTGGTAGGGAGTCCGTCCTTGATAGTCCGTCTTTCGTGTTGGTCAGTCCAATAGCCTTGAACATGCAATCTAGAATGGATTCTCTGAAGATCATGTCCTCGTCTACCGAGTCCTGGCGACGCAGAGTCTGGATAGAGGCATCGAAAGGATTGAAATTTCTGCTGGCTAGGGGACTCATACCATCCCTAGTAAGAGGTCTTGGAGTTTGGAAGGGCAACGAGTATGGTGCCAGGTTCTTACGACCACCTTGTCTTGCCACGTTGTTGTTGTTGGTCAGCAAATCTCCAGCACTGACACCAGATCTGTCTTTCTCTGGGTCAGGCGATAGAGGACCTCGCTCTTGACTAAGCCTACTATTACGGACTGGCGTGTGAATGGACTCGCTCCTTCCTCCACCACCACGACGACTGCTAGGCGTAGCTTGTGCATGGAGGACGGCTTCTTTTCGTAAACCAGTTGCTGTCTTCTTCCTTTGGCCAGCGCGTGGATTGTGAAGAGCAATGCCCTTAGCAATCTCCTCTGGGCCAGTGCGCTCCTTTTCCTTCGTAAATTTGCCCTTCAGTCTTTCCATGGCGTCTCCTTTCAGGAAGTCGGGAAGGTCGTATGCGGTGTAACCATCCATAAGCCTCTCGGTACGCAGGACCTCACCAGTGAGACCGAGATACTGGTGGCCTGTCGCCATCGTCACACGCTGGAGTCGAGTGAGGATGACTTGGACAATGTGTGAAGTTGCTTTAGGATAGACACGGGTAAGTCGTCGGAAAGCAGTTGCTGGAATGATCGCGATTGTGGTATCCACAGAAGCCCTTGCAACAATATCCGGATGGGCGGATATGTGCTTGATAGATTGTCTGCGAGCATTATGGCTGCTACCTTGTCTCGACCTGGGTTCAGGGCCTGCCTCGTTTGGATCGTTTAGAGAGAATGAAGGCACTGCACTTTGGGCAAAGGATGCAGCATCGAGACCATGTAGGACTGTATGAGGCTCTGCTCCGGTAGCGGTAAGGTTAGGGCTCACGATAGGCGACAAAGGAGTGGCAGCACCGCTGCGAGGAAAACGACTTGAAAGTGGTGTTTGGGGCTGGGCGTTATCTCGGACGCTTGAGCCCAGATCAACATCCTTCTCATCGTGACGCAGCTTGACATCCTCCGTGAAGAGAGACAGAATAGAGAACAAGGAAGACATGGGGGCACCATTTTTGACTTCAGTCAACAACTGATATCCTTGGTTGCCATGTATACGTCCTTCGTCGTCAATTCCAGTCTCCTCGGGAGTGGTCCTGCCAGTTGATGGATCTTCTTCTCTGTCCTTATTCGACTTCACAAAAATCTGGACCAGGCCATCCACCACCAGACAAAAGCCCTTCTCCTCTTCCAGCAAGATGGTCTCACCAGCAATGAGCTTCCTTGTTTGCATAGTCCGGGTGAGCTCGTGAAAGACAGGTCGCTCGAGATAGCCAAAAACCTTGATGGCACTCAAGAACTCATCAAGATAGTTTGCCAGACCTTGCTTGGAGTCTGTCTCTTGAGTATCTGGGAAGACTTCGACCTGAGGCTCTTTGCGTTGGGGCTCCGGAGGTAGACGTGAGTACATGTTCAAAAAGCGATAGCGGACCACCCAACTGGCAGTCGAGACGAAGAATATAAGGATCAGCACAACGGTAGTCATGTTGACCGTCAACGTCAGACTCGTCGACAAAAGGTNAAACAACCATGTCGGTAAAGTAATGGTTAGGAAAGCGATGGACCACAGGAGAAGGCTAGGCAACATGGTGAAGATGGTCAAGACCAAGCCTGCTGCCGAACCAATAGAGGATGGCTCGGTACTGGGAGACAGAGATGGCACGACAGGTACAGTGGTATTCTGTATGACTTCCCGCAAGGTACTTGATGCATTCGAGGCCATTTCAGAAGCCACTCCAGAAGCCATTTGCTCCGGTTGTTGGTAATGAGAGGTTTGCTGTGCTTAATGTCCAGTCAGAGCAGGTTGGTGCTCTCAAGGTTAGTGACGACAACACTCAAGGCATGACGGGTTGCACTTCGAAAGAACAAACGGATACTTTCCAGAGTGACAGTTGTAGAGAAACAGGAGTTGGCCCTGGTTGACGTTGTCTTGGCGCCTCGATCTGGCATGCGCGATTGGCAGACGGATTTTGCAAGGGTCGTTTACCTTTTGCACGTCTTATGCAAAGATGATCTGTCGAATTGTATAGTACTGAAGAAGCCTTGTGATCCTATCAAGAAGCACATTGGCAACTGCATGGTTCTTATAGGATCGTGGGATTGAGTTGACACTGTGCATCTTTATACATGACTTTAGTGAAATAAGCTGGCGTCGGATAAGCTTCAGTCTATGTTCAATAGCGACTCCTCCAGACGCCGGCGCATCGCGACTTTATGACAGTCGCAAACAAGTGAAGTCGATTGCGACTTTGATTGAAAGACGTCGGCGACATCCACCACGAACATCCACTCCGAGCACAAACCAAGGTCACAACAGTCAAGATGGCCTCTGGACGCTCAGAACGCGTCTACCACCAGGACTACATTGCGCGCATCAGATACTCTAACACATTACCACCTCCTCCAAACCCGCCAAAGCTTCTCGACATCCCTGGAACCGGCATCGCCTCGAACAACTACACATCAGCATCATATGCCCTCAAGCTTGCAAGAGAGCAGCCTCTCAACATTGAGGCCGATGCCGAGCTCGGAATGCCCATTGACCTGGTCGGTCTGCCAGGTGTCTTTGACGGAGACGAGAGCGGTATGTCCATCATCACTCTCTCTAGCACTGCCCTCATACTAACAGACAACNNAGCCATCATGGCCCAGGACTCTCCGCCGCCGCTTCACCCCAAAGACCGAGCACTGCTCAAGCCGCTATCAGCACTGGGCAAGCCGACAGCAATGAACTCTGGTGTCAGTTTCCTTCGCAGAACAGAATACATCTCATCCAACGCCGCTGCTGTCCAACGCTTCGAGTCGAGTACCTCNAAAGATCTTTTGCGCGTGCGCAACGACCCCAAGCGTCGCAAGCCTCCTCCGACCGTCAACCGCGACGACCCCATCAACATCATCAGATCCCTCGTCAAGGGCTTTGACCTTGCCTACCCCGAAGATGCCTACACTGGCCCCGATTCTGAGACAAACATCCGCGGCGCTCCTATCACTGAAGCCGACAGAACTGCTTGGAAGAAGCCGAAACATCCTACCAACCCCAACCTGACCCTTTTGGACTCGTACCCTCTTCTTCCTGATCTGGACGCCATACCGTTGATTGGCGACTATCAGATCGTCAAATTCAGTACCAACCCCGTCGCTCAATCAGATTCCTACGACCATCGCCTCGATACAGCACTATTGCGACCACTCGGCGCAGACCTTAACTTGATGGAAGAGCGTATGGCTGCCCATAAAGCTGACCCCACCATTCCCAAGCCTCTTCCTGAATGGGACTACGACTTGTTCCTGGCCGAGCATGAAAGCTCTGTTCGTGGTATCAAGCGCAAGTTTGACCCGAACGACGTTCAAAACGACGACCCGTCACTCTACGACACCGAGGCAGACGGCGAGAGCTTCTTCCAGTTTCAGCGTATCCGCGAGTACGAGACATACCAACAGGCTGGTGATGCCGACAATTCGTATGGCGACACAGTTGCTCTTGCGCTTCATGACTCTGGCGACCGTCTCCAAAAGGGTGCCTACTTCTACCCTGTAAAACAACGAACCAACCTTCGTCCGAAGCGCAAGATACCCGGACTCATCGAGGAAGGCCGTGTCGAGCACGTCGACGTCCTACATGTCAACGTCAGAGACCCCAACTCAGATGAAATCACTATGCGCACAGATCACCAAACTGCGCTCGATCCTACCACCGAGAGTGTATAGAGCGATAGTCTGTAGTACCCCTAGAACCAAAATTTTATCATCAGCTGCGCCCAATCTCTCTTTACTCTTTCTACCACTTAGCGTAACAATGACTCACCAAAATGCCAGAACCCAAGAACATCCCCTCAGTCGACATGCTGATGATCTATAGCAGATCAAAATCGATATCTCGCAGTCATAACAACTCTCTTGATTCACATGCCTCCCATAGGCATTCATGAGGCCGACATATGCTCCATTTCCTCCTGTAGTAAAGAGTGTCAGATTATAGACAGCCAGTCTGAAGCATCGCTGGTCCCGAAGATTACTACCCTGACTACGTTCACAGTACCACCATAATATCCTTAGATTTTGATGAATCGCATGAAGTATGAGGTAGAGCATCAGGTACGTGACCCAGATATCGGAAGGAGGCTCTCAAGATCGGTGAGAGGTCTGACTGAGTTGACGATGATCGAAAGATGGAGATAGACTGACTCGGGAGATAAGGGGCCGGCATGGGCATCGGGGACCTGATGTTCTGGTATGCTGTCACTTGTCTAACCAAAAGCGCATCATGATCTGTGGCGTCTCTGAGAGGTCAAGCATCCCACAGTGTCATCTGTTACCGACACTCGTTGGCCACAGATGGCGGATCTGCGGCGTCCTTCAAAGCTGTAAAAGCTTTCCTCGACTTCATGCGGTTTATAAACAATCGTGCTCTGGTTGGCAGCCGATGGCAGGTCTGCTTGTCACACGTCAGCCGCACTAGTCGTGACTCCCCACCAGCAACCCTCACTTTCAGACAATACTTTATAACCACCTCGATTTGTATTCACTTCAAAACAAGCAGCGATGGTCTAGTGGTCAAGAAGCTACACAAATATGTCTTGCAAACACAAGCATAAAGGTGCGAATTCCCTCTCTGGCGCTCATTCGCTGAGGTTTCTATGGACTCACTGGATTTGTAGAGGCGTGAGTTCGAATCTCACTCGCTGCGTTTTCTTTTTGACCCTTTTTCGATCCTCTCCTGAAGCTCACATTTATGATACGCCCTGCCTCGGTGACATGTTCGTGTTTCACAGTCACATCTCTACATAAACAAAGTCAGCCTTCCCACATGCGGTTTAGTGCTGAGAACTCACTGCTACGAATGGAAGATCAAGTGGAGACTATAACAAGCAGAGCACATTCAAGAAGACCAGGTCTATGAATCATAGGACTATGTTCTCTTGTTCACGGCCAGCCATCAAGAAAAAGGCGCGTACCCGACATCTAGACACTGGATCAAAAGAAGAATCACAGACCTGATGACTTTCTTGCCTCTACATGCATGATGACTCTGATCAGGTAAATGCTTATACTAGGAGACGACGAAGCAGACCAAGATTCAGCTCTTCGGTGATCGATATAATCACTGTTGAGTATACAACGTGTGCGGGCACCAAGGATTAGTTCTGTTTGATTTCCCCATTATGCCCACCATTTGCTTAGGCCTTTGCTTTCTACCTTTTCCATAAAATCTGTCCTCGACCTTGTGAAATATATGCATGGTACTCCTGTGATCAGCCTTGCATATTTACTATTCACCTTTTAAGCTTGGACTTTTTGCTGAACCTCCTTTGACATATCATTACTTTGTGTCCTTACGAGAGGTTATCTGGAAAGTCAAAGCCTTTGTCAAGGTCTCTTTTGCCTCTCTCGTACTTGAGGATTTCCAAGTTGAGCGAGTTCTCACGAGAGTGGGAGCCCTTGTTGAGATTCATCGACCGGATCCGTTTCGTTCTCGGCCTGTAGAAATTCTGATCGAGCACCAGGCAATGAGGGTGAAGATAACGGTCCAGACAATGGTCTTAGGGGTATGGGATGATGCCCGTGAGAGTAAAGGCATCGCTCTGTGCGGGTTACAGAAGTTTGTTGTGGATGTTTCGATGATGTATTGGAAGTGAGGCGAGGATGGAGAATCATGCTTGGAGTCGAGCTGCTGGTTTCGACAAGAGTAGTGTAACGAGATTCTACCACATGTTTCGCTTTTACATCCAGCCCAACACAATCTTTCTTGCGATTGAATTGAAGGTGTCTTTGCTGCTGCTGTGATTCTCTTCCGCCATGACTTTGCGTTCGTCGAGGCTATCGGTCGATTCGACCTGATGGTAGCAATGATGTACAAGCGTCTTGCTTTTCAGCGCTACGTCTGCTGCGCGGCTCTACAGAGTCGAAGCAAGTCAAGAATCAGGTACGTGAAGTTGTATTAAGAAACACGCTCTCAAATCTTGGAACTTCCATGTCAGTGGTTGCAGATATGCGGAGAGTGTGCGAGTATCTTGGGTATTACAGACCTGATGCTTCCTTGGGGATATTCTCTCTACTGTTTGTTCGCGGTAATAGGTTAAGGGCGAGATCGTTGAGCAAAGTTGTGAGACTTTTCGGCTGGGTATTGAGAGTGATACCTGACTCGAGGTTGTTGACAGGTTGTGACTCGTCAATGATGAGACAGCAATGGCCGTGTTGATGTGCTGAGACCAGTTTGGTGTGAAGAAGGAGATATATACAGTGAACGAGAACAAAGACCGCATCAGTAAATTGCTGTAAGGACAGCTTGTAATTCCAGCATACTCAATACGAGTGCTCGCGGATCATAAAACGCCTGGCTGAATGCTATACTAAAGACCTCTCCACACCTAACGCCAACGCTAATGCAAGCACACCAACCCTCCATCTTGATACCAATAGATTAGAGCGAATGCTGCACGGCTCGTCGTTGTTTCCAGGCTTGGTTGAGCTTCTCTTTGCGGGCCTGTTCAGCCAAGTTCTTTTGCTTCTTCCAATCGTCTGATTGCATAAAGTCCTCCCAGTCTTGGTCGATATCAATCTCGTCAGGATGCTGTTCTTCATCGGCATGCCATTCGTCGTCCGCGATGCCCATCTCGTCCAGTATGTCCTCGTCGTCGTCAAAGTATGTCCTCCTCTTGTCGGCGTCGGTCATATTGGCGAAGTAGGTTTGCGCAGCGCTGGAGGTCTGCTGCTGCCACTCGGCAGGGAGGGCTGACGGATCCAGTATAGATGATAGTTGTGTGAGGTCATCCCATCTGAGTGGTCTTTCTACCTCAGCTTGCTCTTTGACGGGCGCCTCTCTCATGACAACATCGGGCACAGCTGCTGTTGCTGTTGGCCGTGCATCCTGACTTGCGTCGCGTCCGATGTCCTTGAAACCTCTCTTGACACCATCCGTTTTGCCTTTGTTCAGGTTCAGACTGATCATCTCGGAGTTCTCTGTTCTTTTCTTCTCGGTGCGTGAGTTGCGAACGGCGGCTGTCGGGTTTCTGGTGATTTGCTTCATTTCCTTCATGCGCTTGCGGTGTTGGTGGTCATAGCTGTTCTCGTGGGCTTCGAGTTCTGTGATTCGGGCATAGCCTTTACTGCATAGGTCGCAGTAGAAGTTGCGGCGCAATTCGCGAGCGCTTTCGGTCTGGGACTTGGGTCAGGGTGGGCGGACGCAAAAGATGGACGAGGTCGTGTACCTGTGCGCTGGGGAGGGCGGTTGACCGCTGCGACCATATTAGCTTCTCCATGTAGTATGCGACAGACATCGACTTACTGGACCCATGATGGATGGTTGGTGTGTCTTGTCAAGTGGAAGGTGAGAGCGGAGGATTGTCCTGCAAGAGCCAAAGCTCGACACGAGAGCCGAGGTCTGGGTAGATCCGCCGATGCAGGCAGAGATAAGATGTAGATTTGGTAAGCAATCACATGTGCAACGCTGATTCGTGACCATGTTGTTTCTTGCTCGGCACTAGCCAGTTGCACACAGATGAACACTCACGCAAACGACCTCGAGCGGGAGCTTTCCCTGCAAGAACTCGAACCTTCGCCCATCGAAGAAGAGTTTCCCTCGGACTCGTACTTTCTCGCAGCCTCGGACAAGGCTCCCTACGACGATGAAGCGATCAAGCCTGTCCAACGGACCTCTACCCTAGGTCTGGATGCACACTCACCTGTCTGGTACCTCACCCGCATCCACAAGTACTCGAGTTACGCCTTCTCCGTCTTTACTGCCTTCCACGTCGCCAACACGGCTCTCATCCCGCTTGCCACGCGCTCCGTCTCCAGTTCGGAACCCTACCTCCTGCTTACTCGCCCTTACTACCAATCACCTATCGCCGAGCCCTTTGTTGTTGTCTTGCCTTTGATTGCCCACATTGGCAGCGGTGTCGCTCTCCGCCTTTACCGTCGCAAGCAGAACCTCAAGAGATATGGTGCAGAGAACAGGACAGACAGACGCATGGTCGCATGGCCAAAGTTGTCAGGCACAAGCGCACTAGGTTACGCATTGGTACCACTGGTCTTCGGCCACGCCTTTGTCAACAGAATCATCCCGCTGTGGTACGAGGGTGGTTCTAGCAGCATCAATCTGGGCTACGTCTCGCACGGCTTCGCCAAACACCCTGCTGTATCTTTCGTTGGCTTCAGCGCTCTCATCACTGTTGGAGTGTGGCACTCAGTTTGGGGCTGGGCCAAATGGCTCAACTTCACCCCATCCCAGGTCACGCAAGGAGGGCCAGAGGGTCAGCTCCTCAGAAAGAGAAGGTGGTATGTGGTCAATGCAACCAGTGCTGTCGTCAGCGCTCTCTGGCTCGCTGGCGGCATGGGTATTGTCGGTCGTGGCGGTGCAGTCGGTGGATGGGTTGGCAGAGAGTACGACGAGCTGTACAGCCATATCCCTCTGATTGGCAACTACATGGCTTCTTCGTAGAAGTTGGATTCTGTTTGTTCTCTGTACTCCTCAAATACCCATCTCAGCGCAATTTGGTCAATTCATTGTTACTCGCATGCCCGCGCCGACCTTCCTTTCAAGGGTAAAACGATCGAGTAAATACCCCTCGGACCCCTCCTTATCGTGACGGCTAACAGCGGGTGTGGGGCGGGAAACCCTTCTTTCGGGCCGTGTGCCGGCGAACGCCCTACACATTCAGCCATTAGAGTTCTTATCTGGAGGAGCACCAAGAAACTAAAGTGGCTCAACCTGCTGCATGTGGTGCCGTTTGGCGAGAGTCGTAAAAAAGTTGATTTGTCGGGATCAATGACTCCTTGTTCTGTTTCTTCTGCATCTTTCTCGCTGCTATTGTTCTGCTGATCTGTTGCGGGCAAAACCACTCGGGTGAAGCAAGCTTAAGCCGAGAGCTCGCGCGTCATACAGTCGTTCCTTTGAACAAGATTGCTTGTTAGTTTCTTCTGTCGCAGAGGTGAGAGACACGGTATCCTCTGTACGTTCCTCCAACAGGAACATCAGCCTGACTGAGCTCAGTCCTCATCATGCAACAATCACTGGTCGCAGCCGCAAGGCTTCGGTCTGCTTCACTATGCCGAGGCCCTGTCTCCTCTCTGACGAGCAGGCGATGCCTCAACTTGTCTGCTAGAAGACAGGTACTTCAGCCCAGCAAGCATGTACGCCCTGTACAGTTTAGACCCTTCTACTCGAGCACTGCAGCCGAGACTCAGCTCGACAGCGAAGGCAATGCTCAGTCCTCCCTCTTCGCGCCTCTAGACACATTTGCCCGTAGGCACATTGGTCCCTCGCCTGACGACACTATCGAGATGCTCAAGGTCTTGGATCCTCCAGTCAAGTCCCTGGACGAGTTTGTCACCCAAGTCTTGCCTGGAGATATCCTGTCGTCTCGCGACCTTAAGATTGAAGGGCCCACCAAATACACCAAGGGTCAACCTCAAGAGACGAGTACGGAAGGATTCTCGGAAAGTCAGTTGATTGACAGACTGAGGGAGATCGCCGAGGGAAACAAGGTTGTCAAAAGTTACATTGGATGCGGCTATGCAGGCACCCGCGTGCCAGAGGTCATCAAGAGAAACGTCCTCGAGAATCCTGCCTGGTATACCAGCTACACCCCATACCAACCCGAGATCAGTCAGGGAAGACTGGAGTCCCTGCTCAACTTCCAGACCATGGTCTCTGATCTTACTGGTCTGCCAATCTCCAACGCATCCGTCCTTGATGAGCCGACAGCCGCTGCCGAAGCCATGACTCTTTCCATCAACGCCCTTCCGTCCGCACGCCAGAAGCGCCCCAACAAAGTTTACCTTGTCTCGCACCTGTGCCATCCTCAGACCATCGCTGTTCTGGCCTCTCGCGCAGAGGGCTTTGGTGTCAAGATCGAGGTGGATGACATCCTCAAGGATGGAAGCAAGAGAGTGGAAGAGATAGGCGAAGATCTGGTTGGTGTTCTAGGACAATACCCCGACACTCTTGGTGGTGTCCAGGATTTCAAGAACCTCTCCGAGAAGGTGCACAAGCTCAAGGCAACTTTCAGTGTGGCCACTGACCTGCTGGCTCTGACTGTTCTTACACCACCAGGAGAGTTCGGTGCGGATGTGGCTTTCGGAAATGCTCAGAGATTTGGTGTACCATTCGGCTTTGGTGGTCCTCACGCGGCCTTCTTTGCCTGCAGCGAACAGCACAAGCGTAAGATTCCTGGTCGTCTGATTGGTCTCTCTAAGGACAGGCTGGGCGACAAGGCAGCTCGTCTGGCTCTCCAGACCCGTGAACAGCACATTCGTCGTGAGAAGGCTACCAGCAACATCTGCACAGCTCAGGCCTTGTTGGCCAACATGAGTGCCATGTACGCTGTCTACCACGGACCCGAAGGCTTGAAGGCCATTGCTCACAGAGTCATCAACTCTACTCGTGTGGTTGCCGAGGCTGCTTCGAAGTCCGGCTACACGATCGAAACCACTGGCCCTCTGTTTGACACCGTCGTCCTCTCAGGAGGTCCTATTTCTGGAAAGGCTGGTGACTTCGCCAAGCTCGCTGAGCAAGAGTACAAGACAAACCTGAGAGTCGTCGACGAGAATCGCATTGGTATCACCTTGGACGAGACTGTGGAGAAGGAAGATCTCCAGGCTATCATCGACTTGCTCGCTGGTGCCGCAAAGTCATCACCCAAGCTTACTGTCGACAGTCTTGTCAAAGACATTGGCCTCTCAGCAGACGATGCCGTGTCCCATGTTCCTGCCGAGCTCCGTAGAAAGAGCGCATTCTTGACACACCCTGTCTTCAACACACATCACTCCGAGACCAACATCCTCCGCTATATCCACCATTTGCAGTCAAAGGATCTCTCCCTCGTCCACTCTATGATTCCCCTCGGGTCTTGCACCATGAAGCTCAACGCCACCACTGAGATGATCCCCATTACTTGGCCCGAGTTCTCGAACATCCACCCCTTTGCTCCTCCTGAGCAAGCCAAGGGCTACGAAACTTTGATCAACGAACTCGAAGCCGATCTTGCGGAGATTACTGGCTTCCACTCGGTGTCGTTACAGCCTAACTCAGGTGCTCAGGGTGAGTTCACCGGTCTGCGTGTTATTCGCAAGTATCTCGAGCAACAGCCTGGAAAGAAGCGCGACATCTGTCTGATTCCGGTCTCTGCTCATGGTACCAACCCTGCTAGTGCAGCTATGGCTGGTATGCGTGTTGTCACCATCAAGTGTGAGAGCGGCACCGGTAACCTCGACATGGCAGACCTGAAGGCCAAGTGCGAAAAGCACAAGGAAGAACTTGGTGCCATCATGATCACATACCCTAGCACTTTTGGTGTGTTCGAGCCCAAGGTCAAGGAAGCCTGCGATCTGGTTCACCAGCACGGCGGTCAAGTTTACATGGACGGCGCGAACATGAACGCACAGATCGGTCTCTGCTCGCCCGGAGAGATTGGTGCTGATGTTTGCCACTTGAACCTTCACAAGACATTCTGCATTCCTCACGGTGGTGGTGGTCCTGGTGTTGGTCCCATTGGTGTTGCAGAGCATCTCGCTCCCTTCTTGCCTGGCCATCCGCTGGTGAAGACCGGTGGCTCTCAAGCCATTGCACCCATCAGTGGTGCACCTTGGGGTAGCGCAAGTATCTTGCCCATCAGTTGGGCCTACGTGAAGATGATGGGTGCTCGCGGACTTACACACGCCACCAAGATCACATTGTTGAACGCCAACTACATTCTTTCTCGCCTGCGTCCTCACTACCCCATTCTCTACACTAACGACAATGGCCGCTGTGCTCACGAGTTCATCCTGGATATCCGCAAGTTCAAGGAGTCTGCCGGTATCGAAGCGATTGACGTCGCCAAGCGCCTCCAAGATTATGGCTTCCACGCACCGACGATGAGCTGGCCCGTTGCAAACACTCTGATGATCGAACCAACAGAGTCGGAGAGCAAGGAAGAGCTCGACCGTTTCTGCGACGCGTTGATCTCAATTCGCAAGGAAATCACGATGGTGGAAGAAGGCAAGCAGCCCAAAGATGGTAATGTGCTCAAGATGGCACCTCACACTGTCAAGGATATCATTACTTCAGACTGGGAGTCGAGACCATACACTCGCGAGACAGCCGCTTATCCTTTGTCCTATCTCAAGGAGAAGAAGTTCTGGCCTACAGTCACCAGACTTGATGATGGTAAGTTAAACTTTAGCCTGATGTTGTGAACATGACTAACGATAATCNNAGCATACGGAGACATGAACCTCTTCTGCACCTGCGCGCCCGCAGAGACCTTCGAGGACATGACTGGTGCCGCTGCACCCATGCCCACTTGATCCTTCTTCTTCTTCTGTGTCTTTAATTTTTGCTTCATTTTCAGCGACAGGTCTTCAACGACCTCCTATGCCTGACTTCTACACAAAGTCGAGGCAACTTAACCTTATTGCATCTGGATGGTGTTTTCCTTTTCTGTTATCACGAACTTTATGGCATCTTCAACGAGGCAGCGTTTGCTTTTCTTTCAAGGCGGAAAAATATGGATGACGAGGTGCTTCCTACAGACGATCGAAATAAAGATTGATCTTGCCTTTTGTTTTCTACATGCGTGTTTCTATTATACTGTTGTGAGATTGATTGAGAACTGACGGGACATCCATCAAAAAGGAGAGAAGGTGTTTTCCAAGACTTCCGCTGAGCAACTCATGACGTTGATGCTGTTTGATGACTAAAGACCCGGAGTCAAAGACGGAGCAGGCAGGAGCAGAGAGTGACTACTGCCTCGAAAGCGTTTCTCGAAACGCAGCTGCCTGCCTCCGCCGCCAATTCTGTATCATAGGCGAATCGCGCTCGCAAATGTCAGTCCTTCCTTCCTGCAACAACGAACCTTCCCATTAAACACTTACTTCAGGCAACAGAACGTGGTCTGCCTCAGCTCAATTTACTGCACACTTTCAACTCCGGATCTCTTGTTTTGCGTTTTCCCATCCTCCTGTTGGGCTTTCTCATTCACTTCTGCCTGTCCTGACTCACAAGCGTTCTTCTGGATCGTGGCAGCTCACGCTTGTCCTCTTCGCCTGGTCAGAAACCGTCACACATTGCAGCCTCCACCATTGTTGCACCAACTCCATCTCCCACTGCCTCCATCTCCAAAACACCGATATCTCTACTCGTCACAGCAGCGCTGTATCTACGCCGACATGTCTGTCCCCCTCGTCTTCTGCTGGTACCATTGCCCATGATTGTGGATCCACAACTGACGGAACCTCTTTTCTCGATCTACCTCCCGAACTACGTACGATGGTGTACGACCTGACCATTCCCGAGTCACGAACATTTGGCACATGGAAATTTCCTTTACCTGGTCACCCAAAGCCTGTGGTACTGGGGATCAACCTGTTACAATCCTGCAAACAAATCCGCCAGGAGGTTCATGATCGCGTCTGGAGCAAGATCTGGTGGATTGGTTTTCCATTCCGCTCAGAACGTGTAGATGCACCATTGATTGACTGCTCTTATGCTATATCCCTTCTAAACACCGAAGCATTGGCCAGAGTGACAAGGTTGAGCCTGAATATCGACGTTGCTCACTCAACGTGTCCAATCTTCGGTTCGATCGACCTGCGAATATTGGTCGAGTTCAAATCTCTTCAGCGTTTGACTGTTTATATCGAGCTGGGACATGTCGAACGAACACTGGGACAAGATGTAATGGCAGCCACAATTCAAGACATGCCATTGCTCAATGGAATCATGATACGAATGCTCACCCTTACCCCGAAGCATACACCTGTCTACTGATTCTCAACCTACAAATACCGTCCTAGAGGATCCTCAAGGTTCGTACTCCCTACATTTGTAGATTTGTACGATCTTGCCGAAAGATACAAGAACTTAAAAGGTTCTGCCTGCAAACCCGAAATCAACGACCTTTCCTTCAACACCAGTGGGAGTTGGGTAAGTCAATCATCAGCGATCTTTGGTCGAACTCATACTGACAGCTGCAGCCATGTTGAACCACGATGATCCGTTCTGCCAGATCACGTCGCGAGCACACGGCCGAGACAATTTGCTTCCACAACATATCAAGGCTAGTATGTCAATGATGAAAAGTTTCGTTACAAGGAATCGCTACAGTTATTGAGGACACAAGAAGACATCCTAACATTTGCTCTTCTTCGGTCTCACAGAGAAACTGGTTGGGCCAATGACTTGCTCGAGGAGAAGATATTGACATGGCTTCTCACATAAACACAATCATGTATACTAGTGGCTGTTCGCTTTAGCTCTACTCACCGCCCTTTCGGGTACTTTATCAAGCGCTGCTGTAGCACACGAGTACAAGACATGTTCACTCCAACAAGTACCCTTAAAGACTGGCTTAGTAAGAGTAACTTTCCTTTATGACACAAATGCTTCGAGATCTTTCAATCCGTCGAGGATGCTGCATCCTCAGATCAGAAAGGGAATTCAGAAAGTAGTCTTCACAGCACGTCAGTCGAAGGCCAGAATGCATGACATGAAAAAACTGTACTTTTCCACAGTTATACAGAATGCTTCCTGATTTCCAAATGCAGTATCAACCTCCAGTCCACTACATCATTTCCACGTCCTCCTCCTCGGCCATACCCTCATCCTCAGGATACAATTCCTCATCCTCCATCTCCTCATCCTGCGCCGCACTAACCGGCGGCAGTACACCTTCACCCTTCTTGATCGCCTCCACCTTTGCCTTTGTCATCTCAAACACATACTGTCCCAGATGTTCTACACCCTCCATCTCAGCCGTGTTGCCTTGTTCCTCGACACTTCTTTGCGTTGGGAACATTTCTCCGGTCGAGAGAGTGAGGGCAGCGGGGCGTGAAAGCAAGGAAGAGAAAGCGGTGGTGAGGTCGGGGGTTGAGGTGAAAACTTCGCGGCGGCCGAGGATGTAGAGGCCTAGACGGGCGCGGGATAGTGCGACGGTTAGACGGCGGATATCGCGGAGGTAGCCGGGTCGTGATGTTCGTGTGAGTGATAGGATGATGTCTGTGTCTCGAGGTCAGTGTCTTGTCGTGAGAGAATTGACAAAGATGAATTGCTTACAGTCGTTTTGCTCGCCTTGATACTTGTCTACCGTACTGACCTTGCCTGGAAGTCCAAACATACGGTTGTTTTGACAACGATGCTTGAGTACATCTCTGACTAGAGCACGCTGACCAGCATACGTAGTCAAGATACTGATCTTCTCGGCTGGATAACCGAGTAATCGCATGTACATGTAAATGGCAACGGCATACTCAGCTTCTCCCAAGTTCTGGATGAAATGTGGTGACGGTTCGGTTTCTCCCTTACCCTTGTAATCAGGCACATCGATGAATTGGTAGTCATAGGCAAATCCGGCATTTGCTTGCAAGAACTGTGGCGAGGATGTTACAAGCGGCAAGTTACCCAGAGTAGGGTATCGCCACTTGTATAGCTCGGCAAGAGAAGGTCTCGCACGACCTTGTTGGTCCAACGTGATGGTTGGCACACCCAGCCTCACCAATCTCAAGAACAAACTCTGCTCCAAGTTTGCATACTGACGGAATGCCAGGTTTTGCACAATAGGGCTGTTCTGAAGGTGATCACCGACCAACACCACTCGTTGCAACTTCATCTCGCCATCACGAGGCTTCTGCAATGCGAGTGGGATAAAGTTTTCGATCTCGGTGACTTGGGCTGCTTCTTCCATAACAATGTTGTCGTAGCGGAAACCTAGGTCGGCAGTCTCTTGACGGCGCATGGCGGCGTGGGTAGATGTCATGGCGATGATGCGGGCTTCCTTAATGAGGAGATAGTTCGCCTTGTCGCGGGCTGTGCGTAGAATTTCGAAGGGGCGAGTGTCGGCGAGAGATGCGAAGATGTGGTCGAGATGGTTGTTGCAGCCCGAGGCAACATCGACCAACTCTTCACGAGAGGCGGTTGCAGGGAAGAGCGGTTGCGGCGCGTTGGCGAAGTAGGCGTGGAAAGGGAAGGAGTCGATGATCTGTTGGGGTTCCGCACCTACATTCACAGCATCCCAATATTTTGTCCAGGCAGGCTTGACATATACTTGGTTGAAGTAGTCGGCAGTCTCACAACTGCTGCCATGAGCGCCGGGTGCGCCAATACTAGCAGCCAATCGACTGACTTCATACAGATGTACAGCGGCGTTTTCCATGAAGGACTCGACACGACCATGCTTACTATAGCTTGCCTCGGTCTCGAGCTCTTCTTCACCATGCCCCAGTCTGAGGAGATGACGCTCATCAATGTCTAGAGCTGTGATCTTCTGGAAGAGCTGGTTGAGTGCTTGATTGCTGTGAGCAACAAGTAACGTGCGTTGTTCGGGGAAATTGTGGTAGATGTTGTTGATGATTTGTGTTGCGACATCAGTCTTGCCAGTTCCAGGAGGACCGACAATCACAGTCAGACCTGGTTGGGTTCCTGATGTGATTGCCTCGATCTGTGTGGGCGTGAAGCGTACACTGTTCAGCTTGGGAGCATCTACAGGGTATGGACCAGGATTGGCTGGCTTGTATGTTCCGACCTTGACAGCTTCTACGGCAGGAGCTGGTGCAGCTTCGACTTGCTCACGCTTGCGTCTCTTAGTAGGTCTGGCCTCTGGAGGCGGTGCTGGTGTGGTCTCGAGCACATATGGTGGAGGGAAGCTCGAGTTCTGCTGTGCATCTGGCTCTACGGTCTTTCCGGGCAGAGACTCGACCAAGTGCTGCCAGTCAAGGAACGTATCCCGATAGTCAATCGAGTTCAGTCTGTTTGGCAAGCGCTGGTATGTTGCAGCAGCTGGGTCACTGTAACCAAGGAACACTTCCTGCAGCCATTGAGGAGCCGGCACATCAGAGAGCGCCAAATGCTTGATGGAGTCCAAGATGGACTTGAAGTTGTTCTCACGACCTTGACGTCGCACAAGAAGATTGATGCTTTCAAGAACGTCCGGCTTACCCTTGTCTGTGCGCTCCTTGTCTTGTTGATATGAAACAGGGTCGAGTCGGAGCAGGAGTCTGCGTTGACGACCGCCTTTCGAAGCTGCACCGTTAGTCTGAGCTTGAGATTGGTCGCGTAGCATACGACCGTTTTCGTCAAGCACATTGATCACTTCGGCAGACCGCACATGCTTGACACCATGTCTGTCTGCTACATCGGCCGCTTCAGACCCACCGTTGCTAAACACCGATGTCGTGTCTCCCACCTGGACAGATACCAAGAACACAACGTCACCCGATCGTAGTGTCTCCCACTCCTTGCGGATGTTGGGACCCAAGCGGCCTACATCAAGCGTCACCTCAACCTCTACCTTCGAAGGGTGAAGCTCCGAGACTTTGGCAGGTGCGACATCGACGAGAGCAGGTTTCGTAATGGGGATAGCCATCTTGGAGAAGCCATCGAACTTTGTAGCAGGTCCAGCCTTTCTCGGTTGTAACCTTTTGACAGTATCTTCAATATCTTTACGGATCTGATAGAAGGCTTCCGCTCTGTACAACACAAACGATCTCCAAAGGAAATCTCCCATGGTCAGATATTGAAGGTTCAGCTTTGGGATAGCCAAGGGTCTAGTTCCGTTGTAGCTCTCGTTGCGAACAAAGGCGGAATCGTAGATTGTGCTCTCAGTCGGCACGACAGCCATGTTTTGCATGGTCTGCTGATACATAGGGACACTCTCGTGTGCTGAAAGGAGGATTTCCATGTAGAAGGTACGGTCGCGTGTGACGAGAGTCGAGCTAGGATAGTCGGTCCGGAAGCCGAGCAGACCGCAAAGCTCAATAACCTCGTCGTCTGACAAAGAAGTCAAATGGCTCTGTAGATCCTCTCTGGTGGCTAATGAGGCAAAGTTGGCCAGAACCAGAATCTTCAGCTTGTCCTGGAAATGCTTAAAGGAGACTCTCTGAAGTTTCGTTAAAGCGGCGTGATGTTGTTGGTCAAATTCGAGCGAAGTGTACTGTCGGCCACTGTGATCCTCGATAGGGAAGGTGGTGTAGTGTTGAAGAAGATTGTAGAGATCGCGCAAGAGAGCATTGTCCTCATCAGCGTACATGGGCGATAGCTTGATGACGGACAGGGTGTTGAGGTCCTGCAGCAGAGTGTTGACAAAGCGTCTGGTAGGCAACTGACTCTGCAGATCTGACAGCAATTCGATGAAGCGTTCGCAGTAAAGGACATTGTCCGAGCGAGATTTGGGAGTCGTGTCGTACAGACGGTCGAAGAAGTCGAGGGTCAATGAGTACAGCCATGACCTTTCGAAGCGCAATCGGGCCTGTGTAGGGGCATCTGAGCCATCGTATCTCTTGTTTGCCGCTCTCCAAGCCTTTTGCAGTTGTACAGCCTTTTCCAAATGTCCATCTCTTGCTTGTTCGCTGTGTAGGTTGTGCCAGACGGCAATGTTGACCAGTGGAGCGCACTCCTTTCTGACAATACCACTATCGAGCGATTGGTATGCGATGATGATGAAGGTGAGAAGGTGTGTTCGGAGGGTGGTTGCGATGGTTGTGTCGATGGTCATGGACAGTACGCGACGGAACAAGGACGAGAAGTTCTCCGAGTGTTGATGGAAGCAGTCCCAAACGGCGAGACCTTCGCGACGCTTCACATTGACCAACATGGCCAGCAGCAGGACGTGGTGGTTTGAAGCATCGTCGGTGTATCCAGGCCAGAGGTACAAGTCCAACAACTGCAATTGTTCCAGCAACAGCAACGAGCCAAAGTCCTCCTGTTCTAATTGTGTCCACAGCTCTTTCTCAATGACATCGCGCTGGACCTTCGGTTGCTTGGTCTTATTGAGCCAGTGCTTGCGCGCCAACTGGGCATAGTGGTTGTCGCCAGTCAGGTCGTCGACGGTCGGGCGGCTGGTTCCTTGTGTGTCGGCCATCTTTGTCGCTATTATCTCATTCTGTGTGCAGACGCGACCCTTCTTAGACAGCTGGAAAGATCGAAAGATGTAAATCAAAGTTGTTTTTGAGCTGTCTCGTGTGTCGCTATCCAAGTCGAAACTTCTTGAATCTGAGAGCCCCAGAAACACGCCAAGTCCATTGACGTCTGCGTGGCTTTCCCTCTTGCTCTTTCCTTCTTCTCATATCTCCGACTCCAGCACTCCTCAACTTTCATGGAAACCCCTTATCTTTGTCAAGAAATTGTCATTAATATTAAGATATGTCTGCTTTTTCATGAGTACCATTAGGGATAAGACCATCATACCATCAAACCATNCAGAGGTCCCGCTTTTCCAACCTCCTTCACTTCTAGCAGGCTTCGGTCAAAGGTGCCAGGCAGTCTACCCATGCGACCCAGACTTGTCTTGAGAACACCCTTGGCATATACCAGCGAGTTCTTGTAGACGGCTTCCTCTCCTTCCTTCTCCGAGAACCCTCCCTGCACCTTGTGCTGAGTAGCCCCTAGCAACATCGGCGTGGTATGCGCATACACCGTCTCGTAGTTTTTGGACCGGACCTGATACGTCTCGTGGAAGATACCCAGGTGAGGATACTGAGCTGCGTGTTTGGCCCACCACGTCAATGACTTGCGATGGGTTGGTCCTGTTGCGTATGCCTGGATGTGCTCGGATGTCTTGAAGTACATGATCGTCATTGTTTCGTTGTTCGTGGCCGACTCGGCTCCAACAAGACTTCTTGATCCTAGGAAACCGTGCTTTTCTCTGTCCTCTGGTATATTGGTAAGTCTCGAATTACACATTAGATATGGGTCTGCTTACGNTTCGATCTCTTTGACCATGGTCGCAAACTGTGAGCCCATCTCCTTGTAGCCTGGTGCGAAAAGTCCAAAGGNGGCTAGGAGAGTGATCAGTACCATAGCTTAAGTAAAGGTGGTTTCGACATACTGGTTGACTTTTGATCCGATGAGGAAGACACAGATATCCGACTCTGCAGGAGACTCTACACCGCCATCCGCCTCACTAGGAAGTTGAGCAGAGTAGTGCTCTGGAATTATGCCGTCCAGGTAATGGTTGTGCTTGAGGCCAGTCTTAATGGCGTATGCGTCTGCCACGCGATAAAGCAACAAACAGACAGCCGGGAGGAAGGCCATTCGACCGAGTAAAGAGTATGCGGCGGACTGAGCCAGAGCTCCGATCGCTAGCCATGTCGTTATGGAAAAGTTGTCTCTGACGAGCTGTTTATTGTGTTAGTCTCAAGTGGCCATGTTCGAGATCTTGAAGACTCACAANNGAAGCAAATTGTTTCGGTTCTGTGGGCTTGAGGAAGACATGTTTGTGGATCGGCGTTCTTAGTAGCTAGATATCCTTGACCTTTCGGAGGCACTAAACCGAAGATGTTTTGGATTACTGGTAGTCGTAGTATGTATTCGCAGTTCAAGTCTCGATAATGATCGCTCAAGACCTGAAAGAGGGTCGTATCACAGACTACTTATACAAGCCCATCCTATCATTTACGTGCCGCAGGTAGTACCCACCGTCCACTCAAATTCGTCCGTATCACAATCATTTTCTCGTTTCAGCCTTGCGGTTGAAGCTTTTTCAGCTGCCGACTTCTTTCGTGGCGTGTGAGTCCTCGGTCGGACGAGGGGTGTGGAGGAAAGCAGCTGGCCGACGGTCGTCGGGGCGTTTTTTCGTTCCCCCCCTTGCCCGTCTTTGTTTTTGCACAACGTCAGCAGGCACATGCAGTTCAAAGAGCTCAAAGGATTGTGTACAATTGACATCGATGATTGAAGATACTCGTCATGTTCTGTGAGAATCGCATCCTTTCAATGCACGCGGCTTTCCAAAGGAGCCGTGGCCGTCGGCCGCTGGTCATTTCACCATTCCTCTTCGCCTATGCAGAGGGAACGGCCAGACTCTCATAGCACACGATATTCCCGGCCCCGAAGGCGCCCTCCTAACGAAAAAAACCCACCCAATTTAATAATAAAGGGGATGAAACATACCGGCAAGTAAATGGTCTAGTGCTTATACTCGCGAGTCGTATACCACCGACACTCTAAACCTCGCACTTTTGTCCAAATTGAGAAAATTTTCTCAGAGCCGAAAGGCACGAGGTTTTCAATCACACGCGTCGTTTTGGCTAGTCGGTGGCTGGTCCGAAGAGACGAATCAGTGACTGTTCCGGTTGTGGTTCGGTATGCACGACAGGCTGTCAGCATGGAAAAGTCAATCTCAGCTCTTCCTTCTCGCTCATCGTTTAAATGATTACTGATACGCAGGTGGGAGGAGCAAGTGCATCTTCTCCCTCCATCGGTACCTAGCTAACCGGGGCTTTGAAGTTGCACAGGCATTTCATGGTCAGATAGATATCGACGCCCTCCCCACGCAAAGACCAGTTCTACCTGTAGCTATAAAAATGCACAAAAGTATTGAAAAGCAGGAAACGCTCGCTGAAAACGGGCAGTTTGTTGGCTCTCTCTGGCCACAGTTCAGATATGAACACCACTGTGTATTTTTACAGCTCAGTTCCCACTGCTATGCTATTGCGGGAGGCGGATGTTTACAGTTTGGAAAGGGTAATCTCATGTCAGTTTTGTCAGAGCTACTAGCTATAATACATTACGAAGGGATATCCCAAACCCATTACAGCTTCTTAGTGAGTCCATCACGCCAGTGTTCATAGCCTTCGGTCATCTCTGGAGTAATCCTACGTACTGCTGTCGACAAAGCAGTGTCGAAATCGTCTTTTGAAACCTTCATTTGTTCTTGGGTGTCTGACGAAGCATCAGTCTGACCGTGAGAAGTAACAATGGCGACCCTTCTACGCATGGCAGCACGGCATGCGTTTAGACAAATCTCAACGATTTCAGCGCCCGAGAATCCATCCGTACGAACAGACAGGTCGTCAATATTCACGTCATCAGCCAAGGGTACGCTGTTGGTACGAATGCGCAAGATCTCCTTGCGAGCGGATTGCGATGGGGGAGAGATGTAGATAAGGCTGTCGAAACGACCCGGACGCAGCAGAGCGGGATCCAGCACCTCAGGCTTGTTGGTAGCAGCTAAGACAAGCACACCCTTGAGACTCTCGATACCATCCATCTCGTTGAGCAGGGTCGTGAGCACGTTTAGACCTTTGGTGCCAGATGAGTCGCGCTCTGAGCCGATAGAGTCGATCTCATCAAAGAAGATGATGCTGGGAGCAGCAGCACGAGCTTTACGGAACACCTCGCGAACTGAGCGTTCAGACTCACCAACGTACATGGAGGTGAGTTCAGCACCCTTGACAGCAATGAAGTTGAGGCCAGACTCTGTTGCCACAGCTTTAGCCGTAAGAGTCTTGGAACATCCAGGAGGTCCGTAAAATAGTATGCCCTTCTGAGGAGTCAAGCTCAAAGCCTGCATGTGTTGTTCGAACTTGAGAGGCCACTCCACGACCTCGTTCAACGTCTTCTTGACATCGCCCGAACCTCCAATGTCGGACCACAATACTTTGGGGGTCTCGAGGAATATTTCACGCATGGCTGTCGGCCGGACTTCCAGCATCGCTTTCTCGTAATCTGCAAGTGTCACCTGGAGATCGCCGTCGTCCGTGTCGTCCGTGTCAGCAGTGCGAGGTCTGTCAACAATGTTGCAGTTCTGCATGCCATTGACCAAGGTCCGTTGGGAGTCGTCGTCTTCATCAGCATGCTGGATGGGAAGCCAGTTCGTAGGTCTTTCCTGATATCTGTCAAGAGCATGCTCGAGAGCGTTGTTGAACAGGGCTTCGAGATCCTGTCCGACGAAACCGTGCGTGCGCTCTCCTATAGCCTCGGCGAGCTCAGCAGTACCGGTCTCTCCTTGCATGACCTTGAGGATCTGGATTCTGGCTCTCATGTCGGGGATAGGTATTTCGATCTCATATCGAAGACGCCCAGGTGTGCGGAGTGATTTGTCGACGTCGTTAGGGTTGTGTGCAGCAGCCACAACCAAGACGTGTGTGTTTCGTAGTCTGTCGAGTTCAGCGACCAGAGCGGGTGCGAGGTTGCTTGCAGTGTAATCGCGTTGCTGTGTACCGGCAATTGCTTCAAGGTTGTCCATAATGACCAGACTGGGCTGGTGAGCCACGGCTTCGGCAAAGAGATTGCGTACAGAGAGTTGGTTCTTGCTAGACGTGCCGGCGAGTGCACTCTGATCAATCCTGACGACCTTCTTCCAGGGAGCTTGGGTCGATAGATGATTGAGTAGCAGTGTTTTTCCAGTTCCTTCAGGGCCATAAAGAAGAATACCTCCATTGCGTTGGACTTGAGGTGGCAGTCTTCTTCCTCTGATATCACCGATCAAACGTGACAGACGCTTGTTGAGGAGCTCAATTTGTTTGTTCAGACCACCAATGCCCTCAGGAGTCACAGCCATCGAACGAGGCAGAGGTGCCTCAGGTGTTACGGCAGATGCCTCATCCTGAAGAACGATCTGACTTCTGTCATCAAACAGATATAAAGCAGGTGTTCCCTTAGATTCACTCGATTCGATGTGCTCAATGAGGAAGCGCTTTCTCAGACCTTTACGAGACGAGGCCTCGAAAGCCACACCAGTCGTGATTGCCTCGACGTTACCAAGAGCCATACCACAACGCCATTTCCAGCTTTTGTCGTCCTTGGTAAGATCAATCTTCTCGCTATCAGAGACATCGATGACAACAACGCGGTCGGCATGGGCGATTTTTGCGTTGATTTTTTCAATGGTAATCTGGCTGCCAAGCTTGAATCTAAAGGCATCGCGCATAGCTTCAGAGAGTTTGACAGGATGAAGCTGGGGTTTCACGCTCGTATCCATGGATCTCCAAGCGATACCAACGGCAGATGAGCCATCGCCTGAATGCAAAACACAAAGATCACCCAGCTTGAGTCCAAGGAGATCAAGGTCTTTTGCTGTGAGATGTACGCGGAAGGCGCCATCCAGTGAGGTCGTAGGAGGCAGTGGCCGTACAGTGAATAAAGTAGAGTCCACCATGGTGTCTACCTAGCAAGGAGTGCTGTTGTCTCGTGGTTTGCGAGGACGAATTTTTGTAAAAGATTCAGGTGCATAGAAGTCTTGGCTTAGTCAGCCGAGATATATGGTCGAGTGAATCAAGAGCAAGGCAGCAACTGCCTCCTTTGCAAAGTTTGTCCCACGTGTAGCTGTAGAAATACACGATTATTTTCTCACCAGAGATGTGTCCAAGGAGAGGCAACAAAACGATGGCTCTTGGTGGGCTTTGCTCTGTTTCTGGACCATATTGTGCATTTTTATAGCTTACTCATCACTCTATGTCTTCGTGAGAGACGATGAGGTCGTAGACATATCTATATAATACGAACACCTCACCACACATCTGGGCATAGATCTCGCATGAGGTTTGATCATTCCATGTCAGAAATGCAAAGTTGAGGTTGGTATATGTACTCGAGTGGATGGCTGCTGAGTCAGCAAAAGATGCGGGCAAGACGGGCGTCGCGGACATTTCACATGCAAGCGACACATTGAGAGGGTCGAGGCCAAATCAGCAAGAGATTCGAGGTGCGACGATTGATGCCGACTGCGCAACCAGTCTGTCTGCGAGCGTCATGCCTGAGATGGCTCCCTCGTGAAAGCAGACACTTTTCCGATTCGACCAATATCCGCCTGCCCTTTCTACGACCTGGATACCATGAGAGACGCACCATTCATAATCCCAGCGGACCGAGAAGCGCGAGCTCGAAAGCCTCAAACAAAACAAACAAGTCCACTCAGGATGCCACGAGGGGAGCGAAACAAGAAAAGAGGCCTTCCCTGATGGAAGAGCTGTTTCCAGAAGAAGCTCAACCCAAGCCTCAAACCTCGACTCGACCAAAGGAGCGTGATATTCCACGACTAGATGTCCGCGCTTCGCTGCCCAGGGCCAAACCGCAGCGGCCAGAGCAGAGCAACCTCGTCAGGAGAATGAACAAGACCAAGGACAATTGGTGGAATCGGACGACTGAAGCAGTTGCACCAGAGCCAACCCCAGCACAAGACAGACAAAAGCGCCCGCGTGTCGAGGCTGTGCTTATGTTACGAAACGCGAGTAAGACTCTGGTCGAAGATGACTTTACAAGATTGGTTCCTCAGGGACTGCATATCGAGGGCTGGGCTCTGGACCAAGCCGACATCATCAAGGTCGTGCCAGGGCGCAATACTAGCACTCTGGAACGCGCCAACTTTTACTTCATTCTCTTCCGTTCACGCCCTGCCATGAACGCCTACCGCAGTCATGTAATGTCGTTGCACTCGCTTGCCTCAAGGCATGTCCAGTCCAGTCTTACATCGCCCATACCTCCACCACCAGGATACCACCTCAATGGTCAGGATGTCGACGCTCTGTTGCAAACCTACACACTTGTCCCTCCATCCCGTACCCTTCAACTTCTACCTCTACCTATGCAAATCTCACCCTCAGTAGTCGACATCATCAACAATCTAGGCTACCCAGCCATTGTCAAAGGGCCNCTCAAGGAGCCATACGTTGTCATGGTACGCCTCGAAGGTCCTCAGATGCTCACCACCATGGCCAGAGGTATCTTCATGAAGGCCGAACGAGATCGAAGGTCACCATGGAATGGCGAATTTGGTAATCTGCCATACCATACTTGGGAGCCGACACCCAAAAATATTTCGCCGCTAGACAGGAAGAGTCGCCTGGACAAAGATGGTGATCACAAGAAGAACAGCTGGTTGGAAGAGATCGAAGAGGTGGCCGATATGGATAGTGAGTTCGAGGAGGACGAACGAACAGAAAACCGGCCGGGCACACGCGAGAGACGCAAGGTTAGATGCTCGCATCTCTTTGGTTTCGACACTGAGGATGCCGCCCTCACCTTTGTCCAATACTGGCACCGAAGACCTCTCGACATCACTGGCACAAGTTACAATAGCGACGATGTAGCGCCCGTGGTAGATGCTGAGCTGTTGTGGTAATATAATCGAGATGTCATAAAGCGTCTATTCGTCCATCTGCCATGCATACTGCAAGTCCTTGATGTTTTGCTGTTGGTTGCGCGCCTCGAACCATCTCTTTTCGAAGCCAATACTACGATCCACACCGTCCCATCGGTACCCGGGCCTGATGCCATAGCGATTGGGTTCGAAGGCGCCTGCGTATGTCTTCTTTCTTCCTCTGGTACCCTTGGTACCTTTTGTCGTGCCTTTGCTCAAGAAAGCCAATGCTGGGTCGTTCCATCGTTCTTGCTCCTTCTGCTCGTCATTAAGCTGACGGTCATCCGCGTAGCGACTGAGTGACATGGTCTTTGCCTCCTCCAGTTCTCGCATGCGTGCCTCCTTCTCCCTCTTCTGTACATCACCCCGTCTGCTCTCGGCCTCCTCAACCTTCTTTCTCTCTTCCTCATCGGCCTGGCGTCGTAGCTCGGCGCGTTTCATGGCGACATTGATGATGCGACCCGACGCATCACGGTATATCGTCTCTTGTGCTTTTCCAGTAGGATCCATGCCCATCTCTTGCATGGCCTTTTTCTCCTCACGCTCCTTTCTCTTCAAGGCCTTTGTAACTTGTTCCGCCGTCTGCAATCCCGCCATTGCGCCTGACGCCATGGTGGGTCCCGAGTAGTCCATTTCTTCGTCTTCTCCTACGACAGCAGGTGCGTCTTCGTCTTCGGCATTGCGCGCTTGTGTCTCGGCGGCGGCATCTGCCAGAATGGCATCGGCTGCAGCTTGTTCGTTGTTTGAGGGAGCAGCTTTGCCGAACGTCTTCCAAGTCGTTGTTCGTTTGCTGATATTTGCGTCTCCTGGTATGATCATGGGAATATCGTCGTCGTCGTCGCCGTTCCGTGATTTGCTCAAGCCGCTCACATCGTCGTCCGCGATGACCAGGCCGGCGTCTTCGGCATTCTTTCTCTTGCGCTTCTTGCCTTTGGATGTTTTGTCGGCGGATAGGTAGTTCTGGGCTAGGTAGTCGGCAAGACCCATGTTATTGATGTGTACGGAATAAATGGTGTTTGGGTTCCTCTCGGCCAGTCAGTCAAAACATGATGATCCTCTCGAATCTTGGCGTTGCACATGCGCGGAGCTCATCCGTAACGTTATTCAAGTTGCTGCTTCACAGCTCCAACATGTGTAGATACGTGCTGCAATGGCTCGATCTGAGGAAGCCGCCGCTTGGACTTATGCAGTATACAATGCAGTGAGAGAGGTTCCATACGGCAAAGTCACGTCTTACGGCCATATCGCTCGTCTGCTTGGGAAGCGTAAGTGAAGCTGCTCTACTTGCTACCTAAGAATTGTGATCTATGTGTTACTAATACTTTGACCAGCTGAATGCCCAAGGTCAGCACATAGTTCTTCTACCTCAATATCTAGCAGGCTGACTCCAACCAGACAAGTGGGTGTGTCGCTGAAGGCGCTTCTCTCTGCTACAGCACAGCCAGATGCTCACTACAATAATTCGAATGTACCATGGCAGAGGATCATCAACTCCAAAGGTGCCATCAGTCCAAGGTCTCCCAACTCAATCACATCTCATGTATGAAAATCAGCATCTGACCATGTCNNTAGAGGAGTGAATGGGGCCCGTCAACAAGCAACCGCCTTGGAAGCTGAAGGAGTACAAGTGGCTCGAGGATCACTGGGAGAATACACTATCGACTTTGCGACCTACGGCTGGTTCCCTGACAGACTCCCAAGCGACCTCAGCGAAGATGATGAAGACGAGGAATGACCAACGAGAACAGCAGCAGAGTCCATGTGCTATGCACAATGTGCACAACATGCACAAACTCCCCAGCCGCCACAGATAGAAGCCGAGCTTAACGCCGAGATATGACGTGCGCTTTGTTGCTTGGATCGCGGATGACCACAACAACACTCTCCTCAAACAAGGCCGTTTCCGGCCGCCGCCGCCAACTCATCCCATAACCAGTCACGAACCCCTCGTGGGCCGTAGACTTGGTCTGCTGCAACTAGAAATATGACGCCGAACAGAGGCACGCGTACGCATGACCTTGCTAACATACGAATGTGGCTTCCCTTATCGTCCACTCCCCGCAGTCAGCCTGTCTGAGTGTTGGTGGATATCCAGGCTGTCTCAACCCGTAGGCATCAAAGCAATGCAGCTCTGTTCTTTGTCCTCTGTCTAAGGCATCCCTTGAACCTCCATTCAGTGACTCATTCACGGTGTCTCTATTTGCATCTATTGCGTCTTACCTGTATTAAACTCTATACTAACGCCGTTGCAACACGACGCCGCAAGCGGATCCGGTCCTTATCTCATCATCGGAAACCACTCGGGTATTCACCAACTCCACACTTTACCCCAGTGAGTCAGGAGCGATCCAACCTTCTGACTGCGTCCCTCCTTCTTGTTGTTTGTTCATTTGACTTCCTTTGTTTTAACACATCTCGTCATTGACACCTGTTTCCTACTCTCTCACCTACAGCCTCACTACTGCTCCATCCCTTCACCCCATTACACCACTCAGTCTCTTTGTTTACCATCGTCACGCCGATCAGCTACCCGCCTCAACAACTCATCACAACTTTATATCGGTACAAAGCGTCGTCAGCCATGTCTTCTGAGCAGACATTCCCTGAATCCGACCTTCGCTGCGCTGCTCAGGACTACAAGCGCGATGCAGACAAGAAGGCCAAATGGGCCATGGGCGCTGTCTCCATGGACGATCAAGGCGATAAAGTTGTGCCCTTGAAGGANGGGAAGACGTAAGTTCCTGGCCCCTATCCCTCCTTCCATTCATCAGTCTAGTCAAGGAGTAGACACTGACGCGTGCGATATAGCCAGTCCTACCGTCACGCCGAGAAAAGCGGCCTCTTCTGCGCCGTCTATGTCCCCTACAAAGCAAAGGTTGCTCGCAAGCGAGACATGCTCGCCGACGCCGATGAGTACGCCGTCAGCTCCGAAGACAGTAGCAGCAGTACCTCTGGCGACGAGGCCACGAATCCGACCGAGATCCTCTACGGCTTTGACTCGCCCCGTGTCCCTTCCCACGGAAGCCAAATCTTGAACACTGCCCTCGCAAAGGCCATCGAGCAGTATGAAGACAAGGAGACCGTCAAGCTTGTGCGCAACGAGTATGACATCCTTGATGCCGATGAAGAGGAGGCTCGTAACCTTGGACACGTCTCTGCCAAGCCTAAGCTCATGGACGCTGAGGATGCAGAGTACGAGTTCGTTTGAAGCAGAGTGCTACTGCCCTACTCTCTGTACACACCACTCTTTGACCTCTCGGGCACCCTCTAGGTTACTTCACTTCTTCTTTATGGCGCATAGCACGGAGACATCATACGACACAAACACATTCTATTGATATGGACGAAGGATATGTGATGCATGGCGTGGGTTTGACACATGGGATTCATTCACACGGTGCTTTTCATGAGATTGGTTCGGACTGTCTTCATGCAGCTACCATACCTTATCAGACTTGATGAGCGGACTCCTTTTTCTTTCTCGACACTTCCTTTACTCTATTATCCCCCTTTTTATTACCCACACTTATGATGTGGATGACCAAGCAGCTATAATAAAGACTGCATACTTTTCTCTTTCTAGAATCTGGTCCCTGTGTGCTTGGTGTAAGTGATATCAGGATATCGAAGAAGCTTGATGCTGTCCACATCGTCTGACCTTGTTCCTATTCGGAAACATGCATCTGATCTTGCTCCTGTGAGTACGCTCTTTGCTTGTATCGCTGGCTTACTTCGTGTGTACTGACGGAGTCTGTCTTCGACAACTACCTTCAGCCGTCTTGTTCTGGCAGTTCTTTGATGCACGAATAACAATCTTTCTGCACAGGAGTCATGCCAGACTCGTGCAGGCATAAATGAGGGAGCTAGTCAATGGACAGCAATGTATTTTGCAATCACTCCTTGTGTCTTTATAGCCATATCAGTATACATTCCGGCGTTGGAGAGTATGGCTGATGCATGCACGAATTTTCTGCCTGTCAGTCCTGAAGCCTGTCAGTATCTCTATTTTGATAGTCTTGCCCTTGCAATATAGAGATTGAGATATCAGACGATAATGTTCGAAAGTGCGAAGCGAAGAGAGGCCAAGCCGCATGTTGTAGTCCGGGCTGCTGCACGATGGAAGCACAGGGCGAGAATGGAGACGTGATAATTTGCATATTCGTTGATTCTGCTATATAAAGCCCTTGTTCTCTTTCAGCCAAAAGCTCCCATGTGGATTAAAAGCAGAGTCATTGATTCCTGTCCCAATAGCCAGAAGAACGCCGTTATGCGGAGCCTTTCCCTTTCCGTTTCCCGAACTTCATATGCTATTTTCAAGGCAGGTATGCGCCACTGGCCATGACCAGGTTCATCTGTGTGAACCTGACCTTGTATACCGGGCTCTTCTTTGTAGGGAAAGCGCTGATCTGGTCAGGCGAGACCACGACATCCTTGGCCTTCTTGTTCTTGTTAGCAGCTGCTCCTCCAGCACCAGGGCCTCCATCTTTGCCGTTCATGCCACCGTCGGTGAGCGCCTTTGCGTCGCTTCCGTTGGACACGGTTGGTGGTTGCACGTCCCAGACTCTGACTGTGCAGTCTGCGCCACCAGAGATGAGAACGGTGCTCTCGATGCTCCAGTCTAGAGTCCAGATACCACCGCGACCGTGACCCTTCATGCGCTTGACCAGGCGACCGGTTGCCAGATCCCAGAGCAGGATCTCGCCACGATCGTCGGCACTGGCAACAAGTTTGCCATTGGGAGCACAGGCGATGCTCGTCACGTTGCCAGTGTGGCCAGTGAACAAACGTACGGCACTGCCGCGCTGCACATCCCACATGCGAATGCTGCGGTCCGGGCTGCCTGCGGCGGTGAAGACATAGGCTGAGTTGGGGTGCCATGAGATGGCTTCGACATCACTATCATGCCCAACAAACAATCGTAGAGGAGCAATCTGCGCTGTGCTCCACATACGAGCTGTTCTGTCGGCGCCACTCGAGACGAAGTAGTGGCCGAAAGGAGAGAATTTCACATCCCAGACGGGAGAAGTGTGAGAGCGGTAGACTACCAAGTTGGTGAAGGTGTCGAGCGACCACAAGCGGACAGTGCTGTCTGCGGAGCATGAAAGGAGGTAGCGAGGGTGGGAAGGTGATGTTTGTGAGTCATTATTGCCGCTGCCGTTAGTTTGCGCGGCAGTTGCGGGGAGAGCAATAGACGGGGAGAAAGAGAGGCCGTAAACAGGACCGGAGTGTCCTATTAATCGTCGTGATGAGGAAATTTGTTGAGTGGGAGGGTCGAGAGGAGAGACGAGGGGCTTGTTGTCGAGCGACCAAACCCGGATGTAAGATTCTGCTGTTCCAACGGCCGCAAGTTTCTCATCGCCAGAGAACTCAATGCAGTTAATGCTNNGGTGTGTTTTGTCAGCGCGTCGATCGGTGGAAATTTAGGTATAAGCATACCTGTCGAAGGTGTTGTGATAGGTAAACATTGTCACGCCGACACCTGGACCAACACCGTCTGTTCTGCTCTCGATCTTGAACCTATCACGGTTCTCCTTGATCCTTTGCACCTCCATGGCGACGTCACGAGCGAGAGAAGGCGGGAAGGGGATTTGTTCGCGTGATGGCGCGTCGTCGTTAGGCTCTTGCTTGATACACTGCTCGAACTCCTCAACTAGCGTGTTACGGCCTGGCGGAGGTGGGTGCAGCGAATCATGCTCTTGAAGCTCTGCTTTTACGTCTTCCATCAAGTCTGCTTCCATGGGCATCGGCGCAAGCGCGAGTTTCGCCAAGACTGGCGGCGCGTTACGATCTGTGTTTGCAGAACCAGGGTTGTGTCCCGGAATGCCCTCATCTTCAGCTGGCACATCAGCAATACCTCGCTGTTTTGCGAGGATCCTCGCGAGACTGCGCTCCGCTCCCGAGGCCACTCGATCTACGTGCTTCAGCTCGATGTGATTTGTGAGTAGATTCAGAATGACCGAGCCTCCCTCGGTGTCGTGTGCTTCTAGGAACTGCAACAAGGCCGAGTATGCGAGGTCGGTGATTGTGAGCCTGTAGTGGTTTTCGCGGTAGAGCTTGGCGATATGGTTGCTCTGAACATGCTCTGGCAAGCTGATTGACTGGAGAGCGCGGATGTCGTCTGGGTGTTCCTTCTCAAATTGGTCTTTGTAGTTTTTGAAGAAGGCGGCACATTGACGAGGGTAATAATTTGCGGCCAGAGCGAGGAAAGAATGCACAAAGATGGGCCATAGTAAGCGACCGAGCTCGTCCTTGTAGATATCCAGAGACTTTTCGACCCATCTCAGTAGGAGTTCGTAGGCTTTTTCGTACATTTCTCCGCCAGCATCCTCAGCACGACGGATGATAGGTCGACCTTCAGCATCTGCATGAGCGCTCTCTCTTCGCAGCATCGCTTCCGTTCGATTATAACCCTTTTTGGCGAGATACTCGAGTACCTTGTGTGGGTCAGTTCCTGATTTAAAGTACTTCATGATGTGTGGTGGGTAATTGGTGATTGGGAATTAAAGAGATGCCGTATGTGGATTCATATATCCGAGAGAATCCAATGAGTGAGAACAGAAGAAAGCAACTGTAGTAAGGTATCGACTTGAGCAAGCAAGCAGATGTGAAGTAGATGCGAACGCGTTGGCTCTTGCTTTGTTTGATATATGCAAGCGAGCGATGAGGGAAGAATGGAAGTGACAATCAAAGTCGCAGCTTCTCGATGATGACTGGAAGGGAAAGAAATTTCTCGATAAGGTAGAACACTCACAATCTGATTTAAATTCTGCTGCGATTGCGGTTGCGCAGGTGGTGGTTGAGCATGAGGAGTGGGAGGAACATTCTGCGGTCCTACACTGGCCGTCCTCGGCGGCTGTTGGGGTGGTCCTGACATATTAGGATATAACACAAGTGAAATGGAAGCGCCGAGTGAGGATGCGACGACGGCGACAGCACTCGTACAGATGGATAGTGAAGGACGATGGAAAGTGGTCGAGGAAAGAGCGACGCGCCAAGAATCGTGAAGCGTGGAGTGTTCTGGCCGTTCTCAAACCCTCTGTCCATCTTTCCTTGCGACCAACTCCTCTTTCAGGTAGCAACGATTGGAGTTCGATGGGCTGAGAGATCAGTCGCAAGCAGGCCAGCAAGTACGCTCCATCTGTTTTCGCAATGTCGCAGTCGCAGCCACCGCCGACCGTGACTCCCGCCGAGCGCATTCGCGAACTGTTGGCCATCAACGCCGATGTGCCCGCCCTATTGTCCAGCGCCGGAGGTGCCATCAATGCCTTGACCAATCGCCCTCCGACTACTGCCTCGGCCGATGGCGACGACATAATGGACGTGCAAAGCGACAACTCTCCAGCCGCTCACAAGGAAGCCTTCACCAAACACACGACAGCCTACTTCACATACATCCAATCGATCATGGCTCGACTGCGCCGTCAAGCATACGCTCTGGAGGAAGCAGGCATCATTGCTGCTGAGGCGCCTACGCTGAGTACCACGGGAGCGGCACCCGAGACTGCAGGTCTGGCGAGAAGAGGACCGGCTGGACAATCACAGAGGCAGCCTGCTGAAGATGGCGATCGCATTACCAATGGCGGTCTGGGAAGCTTGGATGTTGGCCTGCTGAACTCAAGAGGCAATAGTGTCGGTCTGGACAAGGAAGCTGAGCTCATTGCAGAGGCCAAGCAGATGGTTGCTGGACTGCTGAAGGAGCGCCAAAAGGATGCCTAGAAGGCAGTACTGGGCAAAACACGTACTCAAAGCGTACTCAGGCGCTCAAAGCATTATTGTCTCTATACACAATCACAATCAAAAGCACATCTGAAACCTTCAAGTTGAAGCACTGTATACAAAATAGCATGTGACAGAGAAGCGCCGGGGCAGATTGCCGAGCCAACGAAAGCTCATGACGCAGGCTTGTTCGCCGACTGGGGAAATTTTTCTCAAGACATCAACACACGCACCACACAAAATGGCCACATACGACAGCGACTCTGATTTTGAGGATGAGAACTTCACCGAGACCAATGTCCTGCTCGGCTATGCGACAAAGGATGTAGCAGACGACACGACCAGCCAGTTGGGCGGACANCCCAGTATGCGAGACTTATCCACAATCAACCTGGGGTCCACCACTAACACTGCCCAGACATGGCTAGACGAAAAGACCTCACCGCCGGGCGACCTGGCCAAATGCAAGAACTGCAACAACCTCTTGACCCTGCTACTGCAACTCAATGGCGACCTGCCCGACCGCTTCCCTGGCCACGAACGACGACTGTATCTATGGGCATGCAAGAGGAAGGCCTGCAGAAGGAAGACTGGTAGCGTGAGAGCCTTTAGAGCAGTCCGCGCCTCTGCCATCCCCGCCGAGTCCGAGAAGCCCAAACAGTCCAAGAAGGAAGAGACACCACAAGAAACACCAGCCCCTGCTGCGCCAAAGACCAACCTGGGCGAGTCCCTCTTTGGAGTCAAACCTCCCACTTCGGCCTCTGGTCCTATCAACCCCTTCTCCACCGGCGGNCGCATCATCACGCCCTGCAAACCCATTCTCCTCCGCTCCCTCGTCTTCGCCCACCGCTCCCATACCAGCACCCACACAACCCACCCCATCTCTCTCCGAGACCTTCGCCACAAAAGCCCGCATCTCCACCCCAGAGCCCAGCTCCCTGATCCCACCACAGCACCCACAGGTCCCCGCGAGCCATGGCCCCAACAATCCTCCTTNCCCCCACCCTACCCCTCCTACTACCTCGACGCCGACTACGAAACCCTCGATGCCGAGAAACCAGATATTCCCGTCCAGACACGCGTAGACATGGACATTGACGCCGGCGAAGGCAGCTCTGGCGCAGGAGCAGACATGGACGTAAAAGACGCTTTTGAGTCGAGCATGGATAAAGCTTTCCAACGCTTTGCAGACCGCATGTCTCAGAACCCCGAGCAAATCTTGCGGTACGAGTTTGCGGGCCAGCCATTGCTGTATAGCAAGACTGATGCGGTTGGAAAACTACTGGGCGCGCATCAGGATTCTGCTGCTGTGAATGCTAAAGTCAAGACTACTGCGGCTGCCAAGTCGGGAATGCCAAAGTGTACAAACTGTGGCGCGGAGAGGTTGTTTGAGTTGCAACTTACTCCTTATGCTATTGTGGAGCTTGAGGCTGAGGAGCTTGGTCTTGAGGGTATGGAGTGGGGAACCGTCATTCTTGGTGTGTGCTCAAAGGACTGTGTGCAGCGTGGTCAGAAGGAAGCAGAGGTTGGCTACGTTGAGGAGTGGGTCGGAGTCCAGTGGGAGGAGTTGAGCAGCAAGAAGTAAAGAGATGGATACCACGATAAATTGAGCCTGGAAACGTACTCATATGTACAGTGTCAACAAACGATACGAAGAGATTCATTGACAGTCATGTTCTTCTTGTTCTTCTAATGTTTTGAGGGCATATGAACAACACTATGCGTTTCCATGCCATCCCTTTCTCTCTTTTGCTACGAGATACAAAAAGGTTGTCGTGGTAATGCGACTTTTTGTGTCCCCACCAAGTATATCCCTCGAGCTTTTGCCATTCACCAAGGCTCTTTTTGTGTGAAGAAAATCCGTAGAACGCCATGCTTTCGTGTCAAGTCGCCAAAATACATCCCATCCTCTATGCGGGCTGCTCGTATGCTCTCTTGATCATTCTCGAGAATTCTGCAGTTTTGTCAGTATACCGTTCCAATTCCAGGATATGCCAAAACTTACGGTCGAACTTGACATTCTCACGCACAACCGTTCCTCTGGCCTCGTTCTCCTTGTTGAGGGGGGATGCTGACGGTGCTGCCCTCAACAGTCCAGCCGCAAACGTCCTTGACAAACTTGTCAAAGGCCTCGCCGTTCAGGTTGAGCCACGACTCAAGAACAGCACGGTCAACACTCTGCATGGTCTGACTAATGACAACAGCCTGACGAACGCGCATCAACTCCTCGAAACCCTGGACATCGGCAATCAAGTCGGCGTAGAGGTCATCGCCGTCCAGCGAAGACCAGAACTGGTCGTATGAGGCGCCGATCAGCTGGCTGTGTAGAGTGTTGAGCTTTTGTACGGCCTCGGCGAGCGAGTTGGCGGCCGGGTTGGGTGCGAGGACGTGAGGAGGGAGGAGAGCGAGGCAGAGGCTGAAGTCGGGCGAGGGAAGACGGTCAGCGACTTGACCAGGATGTTGGTGATGGTCTCCTCGCGACCAAGGTGGGGGTTGAATTGGTAGCTGTTTGTTCAAAACGGTCAGTCTCCGAGGTCGCCAGAAGAAGACAAACAGCATGCGCATATGCAGAAGAAGTGATTGCGGATCAGATAGAGCTAATAATCCAGACATCAAGAGGCATGGAGTGATTCAAGCTCCGGTCGCCTGTCAGGTAATAGGAAACGTGTATATATGTCGTTCGTCATGCAACAACAGCAGAGTCCAGAGAAAAGAGACAGAGGCGGCACTCACAGCTTGAGCAGGGCCAGGTTGGCGTAGCAGTCGTAAGTCTGGTTTTCGCATTGCGACACGACGTAGTCCTGGAAAACCGTCGTGGTCTCGGGGTTGTAGCGGTCGAGTCCGTTCAGGATGGCATCAATGTGCTCTGGCCTCTCGGGCGCGTAGTCGAAGGGAACACCCATGTTGTATGTGGTTGGATATGGTATATGTGAACTTGGCTGTGTAAAGATTCTGTGCGTCGCTGTGTGCTGTTGACCAGCCAAAACTTCTCCGTCTTTCTCGGCCTTGGCGGTCTGTCCCTTTCATCACCACCACCATCACATGCACTTTCACACGATCTATCGAGTCGACAAATTTAGACATGCTCAACAGTGAACTCAGGGGATGCGAACTATGCTATTCGTATGCAGTCGCTATCAATGCCTCGTTGACTGCTCAAATTCCCTACAATACTCCAAACCCAGCATACCATGCCGCAACACCATCCAACCAGAAATAGACACAAGACATGACCAGCTATCAGTGGCCATCATAGAAAAAAGCTATATGTTCATCATTCATCGTAGTGGCGTCTTGCCCTGCTTCCGTCTCATACCATCCAACTTCTTCATCAACGTCTCGTGCAGCTTCTTGTTGCCCGACCACGCTTCCTGCATCTTGCGCATACGTACAGTAGCCATGATCATGTATGCTACTGATTTGAGGCTCGGCTTCTGCTCTCTGGCCTGGGTCTTAGGTGTTACCCCATCTCTTCGAGCAGCTTGAGATCTGCTTTGTTGCTGTAAAAGAAGTTAGATCACATTCTAGTAGTCAACAGGTTTACAGGGAGAAGAACTTACCATGCACCGTACATCTCCACCTGCATCAGGAACCAGCGCTTGCTAAACACTAGATCCTTGCGGAACGCTTCTTCACGCTCACACTTGGCGCGCATGTATTGAATCTGTTTGGCAAGTCCCTTGAGCTCGCTGGCATGTGTCTTTTCCTTGGCCTCAATTAGACCACGAATGTCTCTCTGGTTGATCGTTCGTGTGTCGTCAGCTTCGCCGCGGACGTTCTTGAGCTTGGAGCGCAGTTCGTTCTCACGGCCGAGAGACGATTGCAAACGAGTCTCTCTCTCCTCGAGCTGCTTCTGGAGGTTCTCGCACTCAATCTCTACGTCCTGCAGTTGGGCGCGAAGGTCTTGCTCGAGGAAGTGCGTATCATCAGATATCGTTCGGCTCTTCTTGATTCTGTCGCGAAGATCCTTTTCTTTCTGGGACAACACTCCAATCCGCTCTTCCTTCTCAGAGAGTTGGACTTGCAAGTCCTCAATCTCAATCTTGGAATCGCGGAGCTGTACACGGAGTTCTGCCTCACGTCTTGCATGGCCAGAACTGCTGCCTTTACGCTCGCCGAGCTGGAGTTCAAGCTCCTGTAGCTGGACTTTGGCCTCTCTCAATTCTTGAATCTGCGTGCGAAGTTCTCTTTCCTTGGCCATGTAGCCCGAGATTCTGGTGTCACGTTCCGAGACCTCCGATTGAAGCTGTTCCATCTCCAGACGTGCCTCATCGAGATGAAACTTGGCCTCGCCCTCCTTCTCCGATATAGCAGCAAGCTTCTTATCGCGTTCTGAGATTTGCAGTTGCAAGTCTTCAGCTTCTATCTTGGCTTCCTTCAGCGATTCATGTAGATCCATGCGCTCATCGGCCATGGTCTTGTCAGCTTGAGCGGACTCCAGATCAAACTCGAGAGACTGAATGCGATTCTGAAGCTTGGAGATTTCGGTTTGCGACTCTCTCAATTTTGATCGAAGCTCATTGCGCTCGCGGACGGGTGTGCCGTTCTCCTTGGCTTGCCAGGCTGCATCAAGCTCACGCTCGAGATCTTGTATCTGGCTCTTGAGGTTCTCCCGCTCCATGTCGACGTTCCTCAACTTCAAGCGCAGCTCGTTGCGTTCGCGTACTGGTGTGCCATTCTGCTTAGATGCCACGAGATCTCTTTCCAGAAGCTGAATCTTTTGCTGCAAAGCTGATTTCTCACTCTGCACTTCTTCAACATTCGACTCCAAAACGATGATCTCATCTTCGAGGGCTTCCAAAGCCTCTTCATGGTCGACGTTGAGCTGTTGCTTCTCGTGTTCGGCTTCTTGCTTGGCTTGACTGAGACGCGACTTGAAGGTTATCATCTCGGACTCCTTTTCTTGTAAGACCTTGCGAAGCTTGGTTTGCATTTCCAAGAGCTGATCTTCTTGCTGCTCGATGGTCTTTTGCTTCTCTTGCATATCTTCGTCCATGTGGCCGGCGAAAGATTGGTCTCTTTCTGCTGATCTTAGACGCTCTTGCAGCTGCTGAATCTTCTTGGTGTGGGCGTCCAATTCGGTTTCGGCGGATCGTAGATGCTTTTCGAGCTCATTTAGCTCGGCATCCTTTTCGCTAGACAAAGCGCGAAGAGCTTGCTGGAGGTTGCGAATTTGTTCCGCTTGTTGACTAAGCATAGAGTTCTTCTTTGTAGGTGTCTCCATGCTAGTCATGCGATCCTTTAGAGCACGCATTTCGGTGTTTAACTGCAAGGCTTGCTGGTTCTTCTGCTGTATGTCTCTCTCAAGTTGCTCGATGTGTTCCGTCTTGAGTCGGATCTCGTTACCCTCATCTCCTTCTTGGCCACGGAGCCTTGACTGCAAGTTGCGGATTTCGCGATCCTTCGAAGCGATGATGTCTGACTTCTCATCCCTCTCGGCGCCTGCACTGGTCTCAGTGGATCGCAAGCGTTCTTGGAGTTGTCGAATTTGGTCGGCTTGCTGTCCGTACTGCTGAGCTTGTGCGTTGGTGCCGCTCTCGATGGATTTGATGTTCTGCTTCAAATCTGCAATCTCACGGTTGCGCTCATCAATCAGGCGTGTAGCCTCACGGAGTTGCGACTCTCTTTCGTAGACAAGCTGGTCCTTTTCCTGCAAACGAGCATCAGTCTGCATTGCTTCCGCATCCCAGCTACCTCTTGCTGTCTGTAGGCGGTCCTGCAAAGCTCTGATCTCTCCATCTTTCTGCTCGAGCGAGAAGTCCTTCTCTTGTAGTTCGTTCTCAATCTCTCGGATCTCGGTTGTATGCGCTGTTTCTGAAGTCTGTAGTCGCTTCTCCAATACACGCAGCTCATTGTGCTTCTGATCAATGACTTGATCTTTCTCTCTGAGCTGATTTTCCAGTTCTTCCAGGCTACCTCGAAGCTTCTTTGTTGATCGGTCCGTATTTTGGGTGCTTCTGACTTGTTGCTTCAATTCTTCAATCTCCTCGCGGTGTTCCAAGAGCTCACGTTCTCGCGTCTCGAGGTCGGCTTCGAGTGCTGCAACGTCCTCGCGCAGACCATTGAGTTCCTCATCGTCGGTTTGGACCTCCTTGAGCTTCTGTTTAAGAGATTCGATCTGGTCGTTCTTCGAGTAGATTTCCTTTTCTTTAGCGTGTACTTCGGCTTCGAGTTCGGCGATCTCTTCGGCTCCGTCGTTGTCAGACTGAGCTTCCTTGAGCTTCTCCTCCAGCTGCTCGATCTGCTCGTCTTTTGCGTAGAGATCATTCTCTTTTGCACGAACATCGGCCTCGAGGTCGGCGACATCATCCTGAAGATCCTTGATTTTGTCATCCGAAGAGCTTCCAGCTTTGTTGAGTCTATGTTGTAGCTCGTTGATCTGCTCTTCTCGCTCGTCTGCCAATTTCTGGTTCTTCTCGGCTTGTTGACGCAAACGTTCCATCTCTTCCTTGACTATGTCATCTGTGTGCTTCCTCTTGATCTTCTCGGCATACTCGCGGAGTTGTTGACGGTATTGCTCCAGTTCGGCCTCGGCACGCTCGATGGCCTTTCTCTGTTTCTTGAGTTCGTGGGAGAGTTGGGTGTTGTCGGTTTTCAGCTCGGTGTTTTGTTTGAGAACTTCTTGCTGATACTCGGTTCCAGTCCGCTTCAAGTTCTCGTCCAGAAAATGAATCCTGAGTTTCAGGTTGAAGTTCTCTTTCGTGACGGCGTCGAGTTNTCTAGTAAATTTGAGGTCAGCGCTTGTCGCCAAGTAATGTGGACCAAATGTAGCACTTACAGCTTCTTGTTCGCGTAGTGTGAGGACGTTTCCTTGATCGACCAATCCTCCGTCTCTTTGAGGTAGCATGGGCATGGGTGTAGACATGATGCTGCTACTTGCAATGGCAGGTGGGACAGGAGTGCCTTCACCCTGGGAACTACCCGTGTGATCGTGATCCATGATACTGCTGTTGATAGGCAGTCCGGNGGTGTGAGACTCGACGTAGCCAGGCTTAAGGTAAGCAGGTGTGGCAGGTGCGCGTCCACTCAGAACGCTGTTGAGCAGGTCGTTGTGATTCTCCTTGTTCTCCCTTGAGCGGAAGCGGTTGTGTGCAGCACTCTTCAGCAGAGGAGTGAACTCGTTCTTCGAAGGCCCATTCCTGGCAGTGACCAGACTGTTTCGAGCGCGTGGGGTCTTGATAGATTGCGCAGCACCTTGTCGAGCTTTCATCTGGCGTACAAGGTCATTCTTGGGATCCTTGGAGGGTGACGGAAAGGGTTGCTCCATGGAGAACGACAGAGCATCGGCATCGAATCGCGTCAAGTCGGCCATATCGGTGCGCGGAGTGTCGACAAAGTTGTAAGCCATCGTGGGCTAGTCGGCGCTTCGCTCAGGCGCGGTTTGGCGAATGCGACTCGAACAAAATATTGCTGGAAAAATGCAAAGCGATATACAGCAGCTATGGGACACAGACGCGAGAGTGGAGATGGAGCTTTGTTTTCTAAACAACCCTTTTGGGAAAGGCTCCCGTCGGCACCGACTCGCCGACCATCATCCATGACATGTGACATGAATCTTTTCTCGACCCTCTTGACCTGTATCTGTCTGCATCTACGTCTCAATGTCAAGCAAACAATGGTGTCGACGGAGTTCGCACCTTGCGCCTGCCAATAGTCGTAGTCAGCGCACACCTCTCACTAACAACCATGGCTTGCCCGTGTCTCCTGCTTTGCAACCACGAAAGCAAAGGCCTGCTCGCGAACATCAATCACTTGAGTCTCTTACTCCTTTCCGGAAGGCAGTAGCTGCCAATCCTTATGCAAATGCTTTGGCGACTCCGGTCCGCCAATGCAACTTCACAGGTGCCAGATTGCCTTCGCATCATCTATTGCCGTTTGCTACTGTCTTCTGCCGAGACCAGAAGGACAAACATATTCCATATCTCGCTCCTGTTGATGAGTCTCGACAAAGTTCACGCGCTTATGCCCTCAACTCTCGTCATCTGCTGAATCGTCTTGGCCAGAGGAAGAATTGGCAGCGTTTGCTCGGCCATGACCTCAAATTCGGTCTGAAGAACAGAAACGAATATCAGTGGCCTGGTCAGATAGAAGAGATAATTCTCTCTCGACTACGCTCTTCTGTGGTTCGTAAGTTGGCTTGGTTTCTCCGAAAACCGAATGCGAAACTGGTTCTTCCATTCGACTCTGCTAAGGAATGTCCTTCGTCAGCATGCATCTTGTATCTGGGCAGNGAAAGTCCGACACGCTCTCCTTCGGAGCCCGGTGTCACTGAGTATCACCTCTCGGACCTACTGGGTCACGAACTATTGGTGGACCTGCTTAAGGATACTCCGTATGCCGAAATGCATGCCTTACTCCTCTCACACTCATACATGACTGTGTCTGTACATAATGCTCTCTCGAGGTTGAGCAGTTTTATGTCTTCCACAGAGACTACTTCGAAAAGTCCAAAGACATGATTATGTGGATACTGTCTGTACAAACTTCAACCAACACGCCAATCATGGCCCCAAAAACGCCCAAGGAACTCGTCTACTTCATCATAACAGGGGCGACTTTCCTCGCCTTCTCGGCTGCGAACTCTGCAACCTTCTGCAACTTCTCTGCCCTGAGCTTACGCACATATCTGAAGAGCAGAACGAACATGAGCTCCATTCTCTCTTNTGTCATCATCAGAAGTCCTTGTACCAACAACCCTTTCAGGATTTGAGGACCAATGCCCTTGAAGAGCCCCATGGGGCCTTCGTTGTCGATGATGTACCTCATAACTTCGAGGAAAGAACTGAAGGGCTTGCCCATTCTAGCAGGCGGCGGTCTGGATTGTAGACCGACCTTTGCAACGATAAGCGGCTGGGTAGCGATGGTTGCTAGGGCTTTGGACATTGCACCGAGTACTGTTCGTGTTAGAGTCGCGCTGATCTGTAGCAAGATGCCAATCTCGACTTACANGAATGCCTCGTGGGGTCTGAGGCTGACCTTGCCTGGGTAAAGAACGTCCTTGAGTCTTTGGTATGCACCGTATGTGATGGCTGGGTTCACAACGAGTACTAAGCTCGCCTTCATGCCTCTCCACAACCCTGTCCAGCCGTCCTCGCTGTTGACGACCTCTTNTGCTGTTTCCAACATGCCTCTCTTGTCTCCNNCCTTGGGTTGTGTCTGCTGTCTCGTCGTAACGACTGCAATTGGGATCGTGAAGAGCTGTGCGAGAGCTCCGGCAGCTGCGCCTAAGCTGAGCTCGATGGCGGTCGACGGAGGCCCGGGGACGGCGAGTCGTGAAACGTACAAGGTTCGAACAACAGAGTACCAATAGAAGTAGGCGAAATTCGTGCTTGCGACTCCAAGAAGCGAACCGAACATGCCCGAATATAGACCTGCCAGACCCTCATCCTCAATGATACAGTTGATTGCGTGCAGAGTGCCTTCGTAGTGTCGATCATTTGTAGTAGTCGATACATCATTCGGCTTTCTCTTTACTTGAACTTGCAGACGCGTCTTGANCTCTGCCAGCTGATTAGCATTCGAAGCACTCTCCACCATCAACAATGCTTCGTACATGTCCAGCGGGTACACAAGAGCATTCGCGAGAACGGCACCAGTCGCGCCAGCAACTGCCAGGCCCCATGGCGGAACGACCTCTTTGGATTGAACGCCCATTATTCGGTCGAGCGGGTCTGGTCTGTGAGGGTGGTTGGTGGATAAGAATATAGGCAGATACGCCGTGTGGTGGAGCTCTCGAAGTTGTCGACTGACTGCTGGATCCCTGGAGAGACGGACGTTCTACGTGATGTCGCGAACTGGATTCAAATGCTCTGACCTTGAAGCACAGGTTCTGAGCGGTCGAAGGTGTGGTATATGGCGACCTCGGCGTAATACCATGCTTCACGTCACGGCCGCCCACCCCCAAATTATTGTTTTTGCCGAGGTTCTTCGGCTACTCTCTCACAAGCAGATGGAAATGTTGCAGACGCTGTTGAGAATCACTCGAGATGGAAGGCACTTCTTCCATGCTTGCAGTGAGCAGTGAGCAGTGAGCAGTGAGCTCAGTCTAGGGCCAGCATACTACTGACTGGAAACTTCGCTATCACAAAGAGAAGGCCGCTCTCGACGTCCATGGGATGAGAAGATGTCTTTCGCAAAGAGCCAACTCGGTTTCTCGCTGCCGCAAGCTCCTTCTCGAAATTCTGGGGCGCGGCAGTCCAAGCTTAGAGCCGCATTTCTACCCCCACCTTGCGTCAACATCACATGCGCCAATCAAGTTGAATACGGTAAACACACCGGCGCGATTCATAGACCTGTGTCGCCCATGGGTTCAGAAGATGCCTTCTCCTGAAGATATCTCGTCTTTGAAGGAGAAAATTCAGGTAGGTGACTCACACAAGCCCTTCCAACGACAACAACGCTGACATGATGGTAGATACTCGAACATGAAATTCCCTCTGCACCAACCCGTGATGCCGCACTCAACATGGCCTTCAAGGCCGTCGAACATGCCATGGAGGCCATGAAGATATCAAACAACCTGGAGACACAAAAGTTCATGAGGAAGAAGAGCGAGTTTTTCCTCGACGAAGCACAACGCATCAAATCTGTCAGCGACTGGAAACCTCAACTCGAGATCGATGTCGATAGAGTCGTCATACTCGTCGAGCCGAAATCAGATCGTAAACTGCCCACATCAGAGCAGATTTTACTTCTGAAAGCTTCTCAACTCAATGGCTTCAAATTTCCTCCATGGACCAATGCACCTCAAGACTCAGACTTTGGGCTCTCGACCGACCAAGAGCATTTCACGTGAGTCTTATCATCAACATGCTTGCATAAAGAGTGAGACTAACGAAAGGGCAGTGACGAGCCTAAGCTGCGCCTTTCTGCTGCACAGCTCGAAGTCTTCGATGATTGGAAGCGTGCAGATGAGGCTCTTCCGCCGCCGGCATGGTATACACCTGAGGAAAGACGAGCAGGCCCCACTATGAGCTCTTCGCGTACCATTGATCTCGTTCAAGATGCTGCGACCGACTGTTCAGTAGTTGCGAGTCTTTGTGCCCTGGTTGCCAGAGGTGAGAGGGGTCATGCNAAAGGTATGTGCTCCCGACAAAGGGAAGATATATGACTTAAGCTAATTCCCCTACAGATTCTAGGCTCCATGATGTATCCCTATGACCTAGTCCAAGGACGTCCCAAATTGTCTCCCAATGGCAAATACACTTTGAAGCTCAACTTCAACGGAACCCACAGAAGGGTCGAGATCGATGATTTTCTCCCTGTATCGAAATCATCGAGAGTCTTGCATGTCATTGATCGTCACAATCCGAGCCTCCTATGGCCTGCACTAATCGAAAAGGCATATCTCAAAGTCAGAGGTAGCTACGACTTCCCCGGTAGCAACTCAGGAACGGATCTCTGGATCCTAAGCGGATGGATCCCAGAGCAGATCTTTTTGCAAAGGTATCGCCTGGTCATGCCCCGGAAGCAACGAAACTTCTGCTTACTAACATTACCTGTCNNTAGTGACGATACCATCCCCAACAACATCTGGAAGCGGATCTTCAAGTCACACCAGTACGGCGACGTCTTGATAACTATGGGCACTGGCAAGATCTCGACACGCACCGAACGCGCGATCGGTCTTGCAGGAGAGCACGACTATGCTGTGCTAGACATGAGAGAAGTTGACGGACAGAAGCTGATGCTCGTCAAGAACCCCTGGTGCGAAGGCATGTCATGGCGAGGAAGCATTCCCAGGTCTCCTGTTGATGATGAAGATGATGAGGACGAAGAAGTCCTCCCCTCATCACGAGATCTGTTGAACCAAGACGACAAGCTGACGCCCGGAACCTTTTGGATGGACTTGAACAGTGTGATGCAGTACTTTGAGTCCATCTACCTGAACTGGAATCCAGGACTCTTCCGCTATCGTCAGGATATCCATTTCGCCTGGGATTTATCGGCATCATCATCAAGCAGCAAGTATAAAAGCTTCAGCAGCAACCAGCAATTTTGTGTATCTACGGCAGCTTCAAGTGCTGCATGGTTTCTACTCAGCCGTCATTTCAAAGACGGGAAAGAAAATGTCCATCCTTCAGAATACATCAGCATGTATGTCTTTGACAACAATGGCGCAAAAGTTTACCTGAGCGATGGAGCGGTGCAACGCGGGCCCTTCGTGGACTCTCCACAGACTCTGGTTCGACTGGACAATCTGGAAGCAAACAAGAAGTACACAATTGTCCCAGTCGAGCAAGACCTCGGACCAACCACCCACTCTTTCACCCTATCTGTGTTTGCAAATGCACGCATCACCATTGTCGAAGCGCCCAACAAGTATCCCTGTCATAAGGCCATCACCGCGGCATGGACGGAAGAGACTGCAGGCGGCAATGCCCACTCGCCAACATACTCGCAGAACCCACAATTCAGTATTGTTGTTCCCGTCAAAACACCGATCGCATTACTTCTCGAAACAGCAATGGAGCAACTGCACGTTCACGTGAAGCTGGTGCATGGTCGAGGCTCTCGAATCCAAGCAGTGCGATCCAAGGACATTGTATTTGACTCGAAAGACTATCGTCGTGGATGCGCTCTAGCACAATATGCAGAGCTCGAAGCAGGAACTTACACGATCATCTGCTCTACGTTCGAAGCTGGTCAGAAAGGAAACTTCAAGCTGCGAGTCGATAGTATGGTGGCTACACAACTCTCCATGCTCCCGCGGCAAGGCGCAGGACGACTGAGACGCGCTTGGGCCAAGGCGACTTTTGAAGGACAGCAACGCACGTTAGCAGCACCAATCGCACCTAGACGTCTCACCAAACTCGATGTGTTCGTCAAACAAGTCCAGCAGATTGGGCTTCGGAAGACTGCGAAGACGGGCCAGAGCAGGGAAAGAAGCATGATTCGTGTTACACTGGAAGTTGGTACAGGCCCTGAGAGACGAATCTTGATCGCCAGCTCCAACGGGGAGTATAGCGATTCATCCGCTGGAGTACGAACAGGCGAGATTGATCTATCTCCTCAAGAGATGGGCAAGGTGTGGCTGGTAATCGAACGAATGTTTACGCCCAGGGATTCGCAGGGGGAGATGTTCGAGATTGAGACATTCACGGATGCGCCTGACACGGTCGACATAGGAGTCTGGAGGAGGTGGGAGGTCGACTGAGAGGTGGTAAATACTCCAGGGCAGTAAAGCAGCTAGTGGTACGAGTCTCTTAAAAGGTCCGTAGCAAACAAGCACCCGAAGCGAGCCGCTCCTCCCCGCACGGTTGTCTGTGCGCATTTCCCACCCTAATGAGCATCCAAGGCGTCCCAGATTCCAAGAGTCTCATACGCAGGTGGATGACTGGTTTTCTGGTTGTGTACAACAATATTCCTGGCCTGTGGTGCACCCCATTGCTGTAGACACGGGTACAAAAGCCCTAGGGTGGTGTTTTGGCATGCGCCCTTCATAAGACAAGCCCATGGCAGCCTCTCCGAATCACCAAAGTGGACGCCGACATGCGACTATGACCAACCATACGCCTTCCTTGCTCGATCAGGATGTCGATGGCGCTTCTGTTGCAGTATCCGACAAGGCAATCCGACCTAGGCACCTGTTCGATCTGCCTGTAGAGATTCTCAACGCCATCTTGAAAGAGGCATGCCGTTCCACGACAGCATTGGCGCATACATATCGACTGACTTGTCGCAACAGNTTGAACCACACGAACGACCTGACTTCGCTTGCTCTCTGTCACTCGACACTCCATACTCTGACCATACCTCATGTTTACAGTAGATTTGACATCGTCTGGCCTGATAATGCTACTAGTCCGGAGCCGCGAGCTGGTGTTGATGCTCTTACTTATGGTCTCTCTACCTTGGTCATGGCCGAGGAGATTTTTGGCAATCGTCGTAGCCAGTCTATGGAGCAGCGGGTAAGGAGACGTCGTGGAAACCACTTTGCTTCCTTTACCAAAAAGTTCTCGTTGGGCAATGGTCCGCCAGAATGGGTTCAAGACTGTAAGTGTTTATCATTTTTGCCATATTTTGACTTGCAGCATGCTCTTCTAGACTTGAAAACTCTTTCCAATTCGCTACAATGTCTCGTAACAGCCTCGCAGAGATCAAATTGTGCTGCAAGAGGAAGTTTGCTAACTCTGTCTCTGACAGACCTTATCACTAAAGAGGGTGGTAGCGGTAAGATGCTTGGTACTCTTGTCGCGCTAGCCATCGCTAGAATGCGAAGACTTGAGTCTTTCACATGGGACATGCCAACAGGTGTACTTAGTGCTGTGTGGGACGCTCTCTCATCATTAGCCGACCATGAGGACGATCAACCTTGTCGTTTGGAACGAGTTGCTGTTCGTTGGCACGACAACTATGCCGAGCCTCATAATGCTTCTCTTCGTATTCCACGCCAGGAAGGTGTCGCGCCTCCTCCTTTGAGTGCTTTGCAACATGTTGAAAATCCATCATTCTCCATACTGCCTCCGCTCAAGAGCCTGAGTGTACTTGACATTGATGAAGTCCAGTATCTCGACGAGTTGAGTGTCCTGATCGACCGATCAGTCGACAAGTTACGCGAGTTGCGTATTGGAATCGCGCATCTCGCCAAAGGCAGAGAGTTTTGCTATGTTTGGGAAGATGACAATGTTCAGCAGATCGATCGAGCCAATCCAGTCATGTCTTGCATCACACTAGGTGAAAAGCGTCTCGGTGGTATTCTTGGAATCTTGACAGGCATGATCTTTGATCTGCGATTTATTGAACCCCCACGACCAAATCGACTGAGGCGAAGGTCTATTGGCCCTTCGCAAGTATCCGGAACTGTGAACAGCACATCGGCTATATCTACTGTTACTGCTAGTAGTAATTTCACGAGCTTTGAGATGGGAACAGCAATCGCGACCAATACACCGTCAGAGGACAGCGCTGATGAAGAGACGATCACCAGTGTCGAGCACATCCAAGCTGCGCCCAAGACCTCAACAACCAATCCAGGGGCTCCTGGACAATTGGGCACTACCGGTGAACTTCCGCAGACTACGCTGCCCTATCGTAACAAGGATCCTTCAAACACACAAGACAAGCATTCTGCTGTCAAGAAAGACGACCAGCCATCGGCATTATCGAGAAAGCTCTCGCTAGATGTACTCGAGCTCGAAAATATACCCCTATCGATACCAGTCATGCTGAACACCATCGACTGGAGTGCCTTGACCACCCTCACTTTACTCCGATGTTTCTATCACGAACATTTGTGGAAAGCTTTGCGCCGCCAATTCTCGCCTGATCCTTCTCCCCTCAAGCCAAAGTATGACACTGGAGTGGTCGATTCTACCTTGAGATTTTCAGGCAGACCCTCAGGGTCAGAGAAGACATTCAGGCTGAATCTGAAGCACATCTACACAGATACAGTGTCGTCTTCCTTGATCTCGTTCATCAAAGAAACGCTTCGACCAAACAGTTTGGAATCGGTGCTCTTCTTGCACAATTCTATAGCCTCGAGAATCGTACCTCTGGACGCCATCTTCAATGGTGTTATACGCAGGCACCGGAATAGTTTGAGAAAACTGTTAATTGACAGCGGCGACAGAATGCAGGAGGACCTACCAGGAGCTAATGTGATCTGGCGACAGTGGATGTTCAGTCGCGAGGTCATTAAATTCCTTGGTAAGATGCCGTGTCTGAGGGAGCTGGGTGCCGCGCTGGACTATCGTGACTGGGTATGTTCAATAGATACGATGCGTGAGCGTTCTAACACTGACTTGCCTTGCCAGCACTTCTTCTTACAGCACCTTCCAGCTCTGTCAAAGCTTCGCTCGCTCTACATACCTTACATTGTTAACTACAGCCAAGGAGGCCCAGGAAACCGTGCGGATACCAGAGAACTAGCTCTCCAGGTTGTGGACGTTATGGCCCTCCGCCCAAAACTAGAGATCTGCTACATCGGTATCATGAAGAAGTGTTTCGAGATATTCGAGCAAAACCAAGGTTCTCGAAACACGGATCATGGTGTAATCGGGGTCGGTGATGACTCTGGGAGTGAAGACGAAGACGAAGACGACGACGAAGACGACGACGACGACGATGAGGCATCAGCTGATGAAGACGATGATGATGTCGATGACAGTGATGACACGGCCTCTGATACAACCGACAATTACGAGGACAGCGAACTCGACTCCTCCGAACACGAGAATGACTCGCCGACACTGAGACTGCGGGAGATCCTCTATTACGACGACAAGGTGTCTGTATTCAAGGCCAGGCACGGAAGACTATAATCAGCATCGAGACAATGGTCGTGTGGGCGCATGGATGCTAAAGGACAAGGCTCAGGCCTGTGGGCTTTTGACTTTTCGGTCTTGATTTGATTCTGCTTCGTTCATTAATTCATCTCTGGACGACTTTTTACTCTCGATATATTCGGTACTTAGTCTCATATCTAATCATCACAAACACATGGTCGAATAGAATTCTCGGCTGCCAATGTGATTTACACCTTCTCGGTCTTTGTCCATGGCAGGTCCTTAGCAAATGTCTAGAGTTTCCTGATCGAAGAGGTAATGACCAGTGTGGTCATATACTTATCTACAGAACAAAATATACGAGTAGTGATGTGGGAAAGCATCAAGGTAAGAAAGTGTCAGGGTCTCCCAGAAATGTGTTGGCAAGTTGCCGAGGATACCCCAGGCCTCTCGCGGGCAGGAGCTCACCATACGAATCAACCCACCTGCGCATCTAACTAGCTACGATAATCACCGATCAATTTACGTTACGCCTATACTGGTCGCCTTCATCTCGCTTCAGCTGTATCGCGTCCGACAACTCGCGCTCAAGCACACAACAATCCAAGACCATCATCATGGCGCCTATCACGACAGCATCAGACGAGAGCAACCACATGGCGCTGCTCGATAAGCTCGACATGCAGAAGATCCACAAGCCCTTCCGCAACCCACGATGGAAGCCTGCCCAGCGCCGCAACAAGACTGTCAAGCAGATTGTGTCCGAAGCTCAGCGCAAAGAACAGCAACTATTACAGCAATCCGTCCAGGCCACACGCAACAACAGTGCTGCCGGCACTCCTCAGCCAGAGGCTGCCGTTCCCGACCCGCAACCTGCGCAACCCATCGTCACACCGAGTTACACATACACATCCATTCAGGCTGCGCCGTCTTTCAAGCCCAAGCAAAAGTATTGCGATATCACTGGTCTGCCTGCTCCATACAGCGACCCCAAGACCGGCCTGCGCTACCACAACACCGAGGTCTACTCTGTCATCAAGACTTTGAGCACCACGCAGGTCCAGGAGTATCTGGCTGCAAGAGGCGCACACACCATTCTCAAGTGATTGGAACAGTCTACACATGACACTACTTCTATTCTTGTCCATCAACTACAACTACGAGCTTCAGAGGCAGGAATGCACCTCGAGTGCATGTCAGTCCAACCAAGTCAAGCTCACTCCACCCACACCGACCCTTTCGAATCGGCGCTCAAGAGTGCGCTCCGGCTTATTTGCGAACGACGGCATCTTTCGACGCCTTTGCTCTTCGCCTTTGCAAATACCGCGAATCTATGCTCTGACGAGAGATACACAGTTGCAGCTAGCTGTTGCTAGACTGCCGCATGGCGAGGGTAGGAAAGAAAGAGATAGCACACATACTATACCTTTTGGCTGGTCGCGCAATCACATTCTTATGATCGGACAAGCGGCTCGAACACATCAATCTCGACACAGTCGGTGTTCTAGCAAAGCAGCGACGCTTGATGCTGAAGAACAAAGATCCAAAGCACAAACGATAAGCGAGCGCTTTGCGAAACCCTTGGGACTCGCTGCTGTCCCGACGTTCTTCCACATCCCGAGCCCGTCCGCGGCTGGTGATGACGTTGCTGTGTTCGATTGACAATCATAGCATAACCATTGCGAGTAATAATATCTACGGAATTGTGTGACATTCATCGTCCTGTATCTCAGCGTCTCTCTTCTTCTCTCCTAATCTCACTCACGTCAACTAAACATCCAAATTACTGCACCATGTCCAATAAGTTCCTAGCCACTCCTAAGCCAGCTCCCGAGCTTACCATACCACAATCTGACAAGTTCGTCAAGGTATCAATCATTGACAGGTACGAAATCAAAAGTTACTTGCTTCTTGGCCTTGGTCGTATCTGACTCACACGGCGGNNTAGCACATCTTACGTTGATTTGCCTGCCGAGCTGTTCTTGAAGCCTTTCTATAAGGGCAAGAATCGATTGACTGGACCTACTTTCTCCTTCCTAATTGAACACAACTCCGGCAAGCGTATCTTGTTTGACCTAGGAATCCGCAAAGATGTCGATAACATGGCCCCGAGCATCGTACACAGCTTCAAGTCGAAAGGCTGGACTGTAAAGGCTGAGAAGAATACGGCCGACATCTTGCAAGAAGCAGGGTTTAATATTCAAGGAGGTGACATTGACAGCGTGATCTACAGCCATCATCACTTTGATCACGTTGGAGACATGACGACTTTCCCGCCGTCTACTCAGCTCATTGTTGGTCCCGGCTTCAAGAGCGCTCACCTTCCTGCATACCCGATCAACAAAGACTCGCCCAATTTACAAAGTGATTTTGAGGGTCGTGATGTTCGAGAGGTTGACATCGTGCAGGAGGGAGCCGACCTGAAGATTGGACGCTTCAATGCTTACGACTACTTTGGTGACGGCTCATTCTATCTCTTGGATACACCTGGCCACGCAGTTGGACACATGTGCGGCTTGGCTCGAACCTCTGCACCCCTGGACGCACCAGCGACCTTTGTGTTGATGGGAGGTGATGCTTGTCACCATGCTGGAGAGTTCAGACCTTCGCAGTACCAGCCTCTCCCGACAGAAATCTCACCCTCGCCAAAGACACTACCTCAGCCTATTTGTCCTGGTCATCTTTTACAGGACGTACACTGCAACAAGAGCGCAAACGAGCCTTACTACGAGGTCACCGAGAGTTTCTGCCACGACTTGAAGCAATGCCACTCGACTGTCAAGGGAATGCAAGAATTCGATGCTTCAGATGATGTTCTCTTGATCATAGCGCATGACGCAAGTTTGTTGGGAGCGCTTGACTTTTTCCCTGATTCGATGAACAAGTGGCGTGAAAAGGATCTGGATGCAAAGACGAGATGGAGGTTCCTGGGCGATTTCAGCGAGGCAATCGACAAGCAGTAGAGAAGAAGCACCAAGAATAATTGGCCATGGAAATAATACAACCGCTTGGACTGGAGGACTTGGATCCATGACTTGCATGACCCGCGGGAACAACGTAATGCGTCCTCAACAAGCACGGTCCAGGTTGGCTGCCCCACGACGGCGGGCCCCGCGAAGTCGGACCAGGGCGAAATATTAAAGAGTCACGTCAACCGCTTTGTGTTTTTGAGTGTAATTGGCCTTCACTGTCCAGTTCCGTTCAATACTAGTTGGACGATAATTCGCTGCACATCGATTCACCATGTCTACAACCGTAGTTCTCGGCTCGCAGTTTGGCGACGAGGGTATGTTTGTGACTCAGACCGCGCTGCGCTCCCACACAGAGCTCGTCTAACTCAGCTCTNNAGGCAAGGGCAAGCTCGTCGACCTCCTGTCTGAGAAGTTCAAGATCACCGCTCGCTCTGCCGGTGGCCACAACGCCGGTCACACCATTGTCGTCAATGGTGTCACGTACGACTTCCACATCCTCCCTTCCGGTCTGGTCAACCCCAAGACCGTCAACCTCGTTGGTTCAGGAACTGTCGTCAGCGTGCCCCAGTTCTTCCACGAGCTCCAGCAGCTCGAGAAGCACAACCTCGACTACAAGGAGCGCATCTTCATCAGTGACCGCGCTCATGCCCTGTTCGAACTGCACTCGCTCGTCGATGGCCTCGAAGAGGTTGAGCTCGGCAAGGACGCCGTCGGCACCACCAAGAAGGGCATCGGCCCGTGCTACCAGACCAAGGCCGCTCGCACTGGTATCAGAGTTGGCGAGATCTTCGACAAGGAGCACATGGACCACAAGCTGAGGACTATGGCTGCCGCCTTCCAGAAGCGCTACGGCGACCTGTTGAAGTACGACGTCGAGGCCGAGATCAAGAGATACGACGAATGGCGTCCTCGTCTTGCCGAGTATGTCATTGATCAGGTCCCAATGATCCAGCAGGCCGAGGCTACAAACACCCCCATGCTTGTTGAGGGAGCCAACGCTCTCCTTCTCGACATTGACTGGGGAACCTACCCCATGGTAACCTCCTCAAACACCGGCATTGGTGGTGTCTTCACCGGTCTCGCCCTCTCTCCCTTCAAGCTCAAGGAGGTCATTGGTGTCGTCAAGGCTTACCAGACCAGAGTCGGTGGTGGTCCCTTCCCTACCGAGCAGATCAACGAGATCGGTGAGAAGCTTCAGACTATCGGCCGTGAGGTCGGTGTTACCACCGGTCGCCGTCGTCGCTGCGGCTGGCTCGACCTTGTTCTCCTCAAGTACTCGGCCGCCATCAACCACTACACTTCCTTCAACCTGACCAAGCTGGATATCCTGGACGACTTTGACGAGATCAAGGTCGCTGTCGGCTACAAGGTCGATGGAAAGGAGGTCCCCTCTTTCCCTGGCACCATTGATGCGCTGTCCAAGGTCGAGCCCATCTACGAGACTCTGCCCGGTTGGAAGACCAACAGCACAAACATCAACTCATACGAAGCCCTTCCCGAGAACGCCAGAAAATACATCGAGTTCATCGAGAAGTTCACTGGTGTTGGTGTCAAGTGGATCGGCACAGGTCCCGCCAGAGAGGCCATGATTTTCCGATAGAGGATATGCTGAAACGCCCTCTTTGTACTTCATGGCAGCTGCTTGCCCAGGATTTGAAATTATGGGATGGGTTTTCGTGATCTGGTATCAAGGAATGAGAAATGCTTAAGAAAGTCACTATAGACACAAAATTCATTAGAAGAACCTCTACACAGAAGAGCTCTCTAATACCAACGAGAATGTTTTACGCTTATATGAAATGCACGTCACGCTAAAATTGATGGTTCTGACGTGATTGTTGAAATAGATTGAATGTGGCAGGGCGTTCTTGAGCTTCAACCTCGTACGACTCCGCGTCTCGACTCCTTCCAACCAGCTTCACTGGCAATGCACCCATATTTGTTCAACTGACTTTACAACCTCACCAGTTCAAAACATGAAGTCTTTCATCGGCCATACATTGGCTTGGCTACAAGCTCAAGCACAATTACCTCTCAGTCTATCTAGTCTTCAAATNGCTTCTGAGCGATGCTCGGTAGATGCTATCGCGAAGCCAGACATCTTTGGTGCTGAAATCATCAATCTCTCTGCTCATGAAGTCAAGGGTTACTCGAGTACAAAACATTTGGCATCAAATACAGATGATGCAAATGGTTTAAACTTCTGCAATGTCACCGTCACCTACACTCATCCACGACAAAACGACACGATACATGTAACAGTTTGGCTGCCACTCGAGGAATGGAATGGCAGGTTCATGGCTGTTGGCGGCGGAGGTTGGATCACTGGTCATCCATACCTGGACTCTCAAATCAAACAGGGCTATGCTGCGGCCAGCACTGACGGTGGGCACGGAGTGGAACGATCGGCCGCATCTTGGGCTCAGACCAGCCCTGGAAATGTAAACTGGAATCTGCTGCAAGATTTCGCATATCGAGCGCTCGATGATATGGCTGTAATTGGCAAGAGCATCACAACGTCTTTCTATGGGACCGCTCCGAAATACTCTTACTGGAATGGATGCTCGACTGGAGGTCGACAAGGTCTTATGCTTGCACAGCGCTCTCCGAAACTCTTCGATGGCATTCTTGCAGCTGCACCTNNTGCAATCGATTGGCCAACTTTTGTCGTCTCTGCCTTCTGGGCTCAGCAACGCATGCATAGCCTAGACGCGTATCCATCAACTTGCGAACTCATGGCCTTCAGAGCTGCTGCTATAGAGGCATGTGATGATCTCGATGGACTCACTGACGGCATTATTGGAGCACCCGGTCTGTGTAGATTTGACCCGCGTACTGTTGTGGGCAAGAAGTTCAAGTGCGATGGCGTCGAAAAACAACTCACGTCTGCAGGTGCTACAATAGCTCAAGCAGCTTGGACTGGACCTATCGATGATGATGGCAAAGCTCCTTGGTTCGGTGTCAATCACGATGCAGTCCTTCGTTCAGCAGACGATGCTATCGTAGTCGGCAACGGCAGCGCAAGAGACAAGACCATTCCAGAAGAGTGGATCAGTCTTTTCGTCGTCAAGAATCCAGCATACGATACAACCAAAATGTCAGACGCGGACTACTTCTCCGTACTCAGAGCGTCTCAGAGAGAGTACGACTCTATCATCGGCACGAACTGGGCAGATCTATCTGAGTTTCGTGATGCTGGTGGTAAGATGATCACCTGGCATGGCCTCGCAGACGACCGTATCCCACCCAATGGAACCTCACACTACTACGACCAAGTGCTTGCAAAAACCTTGAACGTCTCAGACTTCTACAGATATTTCGAAGCTCCGGGTGTCGGTCACTGCGCAGGCGGAGCTGGTCCTGTCCCGGATGCTCACAGGGATTTGGTTAGATGGGTCGAGGAAGGTATCGCTCCTAACACTCTAAGAGCATTCAGTCAGCATGGAGATGGAACCATCAGGGAGCTGTGTCAATATCCGCTAGTGCAGCGGTTCATCGGAGGTGACCCAAAGGTCGCTTCCTCTTTTGTATGCACAGCTGGATTTGCTTGATGCTCTGATTAACGACACATTAAGGTATGGAACAGCATATGGAGGAGCGCAGAGATGGCCACAGTATGTCGCGACGCGAGTCGACGTGTTCGCGAGCTCGGAAGTGGGTGGAGATCCGGTGCAGGTGCAGCCCTCGGTAACGACTGCCGTGGACTACACATGCTATAAACTGCTGTTACACGGTTACACAAGCCATTCTTCGTCCTGAGTTGTCTATACCATTGATCAATTATCTCGTTTCGATACTGGTAACAGTCATGGTTCGATTGTCCAATCGCGATAGACCCTGACCAGATGAGGAATGACGAAGCCACCGGTGCCAAAAGAAACGAAAAACGTCCACATGATAGCTTTTAGAAGACCAGCTCCCATGTCCCCTGAAACCTGGAAATATCTGTTCTGTCTCTTCTCGAATGCTTCGAAGTTATCATCTATTATCTGTATACATCTAAGCTTATCACACATGACTACCTCACCTCTTGCTTCTGACTTCGTTGTCAGCCTCCCTTCGGAGGTACTGTTGACCATCTTTGGAGCTCAAGATAGCTTCCGCGACATGTCTTCGTTATTCAGAACCTGCAAAAGCCTCTACGCTCTTTGGCAAACACGAGCCAGTTCAATCAGTAGGCCACTACTCATTCGCCAAACNCCCTGCTACGAGGAAGTAGAAGCCTTGATATTGGCAAATGAAGCAGCAAGGCTTACCACCAAATCTCGAAACTCTGTCGTTCTGGCAGACCCAATCCAAGAGGAAAAACTCGGAAGAACCCTCAATAGGATTATCCTAAGTCGACAAATTGTAGGGCAAGCGAGATATCTTTGCGAAATCATTGAGAGCAGATATCTTCAGCAAAAATACAACTGCCACGATGCGAAATGTCGAGCTCGTCCATCCACACTTCCACAACCAGAAAGAGACGACGTCATCCGAGCACATCATTTCATCAAGCTCTACACACTCACATACGCACACAAAGGACTTGCAGACCTACATGATAGCTGCAAGACCAGACTGGAAGCAATGAGCGATGCCAACAAACACTTTCTGTTCCAGCTTACGAGGATCATGCATGATTATGCCTTACCGTGGGATAAAATGAGATTGGATCTGTGCTCGTGGTCGCTGACTCCTGTTGTCAAGTCGGAAGGCTCTGGATGTTCTGTTACTTGGGCGGACAAGTTCAAGGCACTTCAGGAGGCTACGCGTGTGCAAGTCATGACTTGCGGAGATTGTATCTATGATGATACAGCTCGGTTTAGCAGGATTGGCCAGTAAGAAGGCCATTGGAGATATTGCCAAATATTAGGATATACCACCACATAGGCACGCTTGTTGGAAATTAACTGGCGAATGACCACTCTTATCAGGCATTGAGATTGTCATGATTGATAGATCAACGGTCGGAGACAAGTCACACAGCAAGGCGCCCCTCGAAGTTGTTTCGAACCTGCCACTGCGCTATGGTGGCTCGTTTGTGTTGCTACGCACAGATGCAACAACATGACGAGATTGGGAGCAAAACAGAGAAGCGACTGGCTACCCATAGCATTCGTCAGAGCTCGCAAGAATCGAGCGGATGGATGACAGATACAAGTCGTCGTACAGGGGTCTGAAAACGATCAGATACGTGACATGGTGCTGCGCCACAGGTCCACATTCCTGGCGCAATCTCGCCCACGCTCCGCCCCGGACGCAAGGTAGCACCATACACTTGTGGAGACCCATGGCCACTGCATTGAAACTGGGATAGGGCCTGGTTCTTCTTGTGGTCAGTCGGCGAGCAGGAAGGCACAGAATGCAGCTAGATCTCAAAGTAGACATAGCCAAGTGACCCAAGAACCTGATTCTTTGCTTGTTACTTGGTGTCCGCGGCACGTTTGCTGCTTACCGAAAGAAGGTACTACGGGCTTCCATACTGAGCAGCACCTAATTCGTGTATGCATCGCTTGGCACACGTAATTTTGTGGCTGTGGCTAAAGGCGACTTCCTCTCACATTTCTCCCAACACGCAAAAGGAGACCTGTTTCGACGGCTTCAGCAGGCAAACCATCATCCATTGGGTAGTACCAACATCTCATCCACAACCACCGACGCGTCTGGAAGCTATAGGTGGCTCGCAAGCACGAAATGCGTAAGTTTTCAGCTCTCTAAAAGTGGCATGCGACCATGAATCGCGATTTCAACTTGTCATGATCCCCGGGGCGGAAGCGGCGCGCCGGTGGAAGCTAGCGTCTTGGTGCTCTGGATGGTTATCTATGCCATCGCCAGCTGCCCAGACATTCATTCCCTCTGCTACCTTGCTACTTTGCTTTCCTCCTTCACTTCACTTCACTTCAATCATCCTTGTGGATTATACGCCGATGGGAGAACCTTCTGACCCTTCTTTATTAGACCGCATCCGTTCATGGGCGAAGCACCACGCCTCTGACCGCTCCAAGCACCCCACCAACAACAACATTACGCCACAGCGAAGTGCAAGCCCCATTCTACCAACCACGACCCGAGATCTGCCGAACGCGGAGAAGACTGGACCCTCGTCGAACCATGTCATCAACAACACAAGTCACCATGACAGTATTGCCTTCAACAATACCGCAGAGAAGACATCGCCTGCTCTGCCCGGCCCAGCCCCTCCTTCTGAACATGTCAAGTCGGAACATGCATCACCGAACCAACCCACCCTAGGAGGTGGAGACGGCACTCCCAATGTGCCCGCTCCCAAACCATCCATCCTCAAGAGAGCCAAAGCTGGAACCGTCAGATTTGGTCTCCATACCTACGATGCCCTCACCCACAGCTGGATCAACGTCCTCCTCGTCTTCGTCCCTGCTGGTATCATTGCTAAGGCCCTCAATATCAACCCTTCGGTCGTCTTCGCTCTGAATGCCGTTGCCATTATCCCTCTGGCTGGCATGCTGTCATACGCAACCGAGGTCGTTGCTTCTCGCTTGGGCGATACACTCGGTGCTCTGATGAACGTCTCGTTCGGCAATGCCGTCGAGCTGATCATCTTCATTATTGCCTTGGTCAAGGACGAGATTCGTATTGTCCAGGCTTCACTGGTTGGATCCATTCTCTCCAACCTTCTCCTCATTATGGGAATGGCCTTCCTACTTGGTGGTCTCCGATTCCAAGAGCAGATTTACAACAGCACTATCACCCAGATGAGTGCTTGTCTGCTCAGTTTGAGTGTCGTGAGTCTGGTCTTGCCCACGGCTTTCCATGCCTCCTTCTCGGACAGCACGACTGCCGACGACAGAGTCTTGAAGGTCAGCAGAGGCACCAGTGTCATTCTGCTCATCATCTATGTTCTGTACCTGCTCTTCCAATTGAAGTCGCATGCCTACCTGTACGAAAGTACACCGCAGCAGATCATTGATGAGGAGTCTCACCCGGGTATCTTGGCCGACATGCTAGGTTCGTCTAGCTCATCTGATAGCTCATCCTCGTCGGATTCATCAGACTCGGATACTTCCTCGCACACGACTTCAAAGCGTATCAGGCGTGCCTTTAGACACCGCAGACGCCGCAAGTCGAGTGCCAGCACTGCCACGACCCCTTCTGTCATCAGCGCTCCTTCTGTCGTCAGTGCTCCATCCGTGGAGCGTGCCCACTCCCACCAATCAGACATAGTCCAGCCTCAGCCTCAGCGTCGTCCATCTGCTCTCGGTGCCATCAACAGTGGCGATGAGGCCGATACAGATGGCGAGCTCGAAATGCGTGGCGCTCCTCCTCTCATCAGAGACTTTGTCGATGGGCCCGTCACCGAAGAACATCAGCAGCAGCTGCACTTCCAAGACACAAAGCCCGACACACGCAAGCAGAAGAAGAAGCATAAGAAGAGGCATCATCATAAACGCCATGGCAGCCACGAGGAGAAGCAGTCCATTGACGAGGCTTCTTCGGTTCGCAAACAGGGCAAGCAACCTGTTAAGGACTACACTCCTAAGGTGGGCTTCTCCGACGACGTGCATTATGCTCCCGCTGTCGAAACCGGCTCGCCTAGGAAGTCTTTCGGTATTCGCCAGCTCTCTTCTCGTCAGGCCTTCCCTCGTCCCACCCTCCCCAAGATGCTCTCTCAGAACGTCTTTGTCTCTCCACCTCCGGCTTCCGGCTCTCCTGTCACAGGCGCGCCTATGGTGCCCCGTACTGGAGTGGGTGCGCTACGTAGAACTAGCTCTCTGCCTGACCGCCTCAACCGTCAAAACACTCCCTCGCAGCCTCCTCAGGAGAACCTCCCTCCTTATCCTAGAGCCATGAGTGGAGAACAGGAATCCGAAGAGGAGACGGAAGAAAAGCATAATCGCATGTCTCGTACTGCTGCTGTCGTTCTCCTGCTTTTCTCCACCGCTCTAGTCGCCGTCTGTGCCGAGTTCCTCGTCGATGCTATCCCTGCCATGATCGACGCAACTCCAGTCAGTCAAGCCTTTATTGGTCTCATCATCCTGCCCATTGTCTCCAATGCTGCCGAGCACGTCACGGCCGTCACCGTTGCCGCCAAGAACAAGATGGACCTTTCCATTGGTGTCAGTGTCGGTAGNCAGTATCCAGATCGCTCTATTTGTCACCCCCTAGTGGTCATTCTTGGCTGGATCATCGGCCGCGACATGTCTCTCTACTTTACGCTTTTCGAGACTATCAGTTTATTCGTTACCGCGTTCGTGGTCAACTTCTTGGTCCTTGACGGCAGAAGTAACTACCTCGAGGGTGCTCTACTCATTGCTGCCTATGTGATTATTGCGTAAGTCCCTACCTCTTAACATTATCATATCACAACCAGCTAACATTATCATAGCGTCTCGGCTTTCTATTACCCTGATGGTGCTGATGCCAGCTCTCTCGCCGGATCGAACTAGGCGATTCCAGATCGCGCTCATGTATAGCCAATGAAGACGAAGAAGGGAAATTGGTTATCAATGATAAGTTAGGCGGAGGTTAGATCAGATTGAGCAGTTTCTTACGGAGTTTGGTTTCTAACGAGTCAATGATTTGGACAAGTTCCACAAGCGGTCCTTTCCATCAATATCTCATTTTTCATACGCACAAATTGATATTGTTCCTTTCTTTGAAAATTGCTGGAATGCTTTGTGAGCTCCAGACCTATTAGATGACTTTGCCCTGTCCTGACAAGCAGGGTCGTACTCTGGCCATCATGTACGTCTGGGACTCTCGACCTCGATATTTCGAGGCGTGTGATTTCTCCTTTTTTCCTTTTTTCCTCGCTCAAGCTGTTGGTAACACCCTGACCGTATACTTATCATGCCTTCTTGTCCACCATGTATGCTAATATTGAAGCATCTATACACTTCTTGTGCTCTGTGCATAGCAATATGGTTTCTGGTGTACTTTGATAGTCATCTGAAGTGCTTGTTGTCGAATTTTTATTGTTTTATCTTTTGGTCTGAGGCTTGGGGCTTTCTCGACATTAGACTCTCTGACAATCAGACAACAATTCAGCAAATTTTTAACCCTGAGGTTGGAATCTGGACTATGAGTATATCCTTTGGGTCTGTGACACATAGCATTTCCTTTGGGCGAAAAACTTGACCCGATTGCAGAATGGGCCGTCTACCAAGATCTCGGTGACGGATTGGCCTGCACAGCGCAAGGGGCATTTGCCCTGAAAATGCTCAATGAGAGGTGTTCTATAAATCAATACATACACAGAGCAGAGAAATAGGATGCCTAGTCAAGTTGTTCAGATATAGAGAGATGTGATCCTGGATGTAAGCGGAAGAGAGTTTATATACACCTACCGACTTGTATTTAAGCCACTCATTATGTATCTAAACGGGACATTTGGACATACCGTATCTAAAAGAGAAACAAGACACCGCAAGTCGATGTGCTATGCACAGGGGAAAGTAGAGGAAAGAGCGACCGTTACGGAGGAGAAAAAAACAACGTAGTATAGACGGAAAGAGCGAGCAGGCGAGACAGAAAGGAATGATGCACGAAAACAGGCAAGAGCGAGCAGAGACAGAACATAGTGAGCAATGCGAGATCCGAAAAAGCTGTAACGCAAGAGCGGGTGACTAGACAAAGAGCGAGATTTGGCATAGAGTGTCACAAGTCCCATAGATGCTCTCTCACACTGGCATATAACGATATTGTAAGCTATAGAAATGCATGATTGCTTACAAAGAAGCGTGGCCATGGAGACACCATACGGCAACGTTCTCTCTATGGACTCCACTTCCTCAAGAAAGTACTGTGCATTTTTATAGTGACATTGTGAAAGTCTTCGGCACATGGGGATGAATCAAGGAAGGAACCAAGCTGGAGTCGGTACACAGTGCAGAGGCTCAGAAGACCAACATTTGTGCTGTCCTAGACTCGTCCGTGATGCATATTGCATGAACGATGGTAAGCAGTTTTGATGCTAAAGGCCATTGTTGCAAGTAAAGTAGCATCATGAAGATGCCACTTCGCATTGCCTGTCTCAAGCAGGTGGGAATGTGCCCATAGGATTTCAAACGTCCGCATAAGACTCGAGCTGAACGATTGATTGTGGTTTCTCAACCTCATATCTCCCGATTGAAAGCTCCTGAGGCTAGCATCGGTCTCCAAGAGGTTGCAGAGCGGTCTGAAGTCTGTTCTTAGCAGTTGAGCATCGCATGTAAATTAGTGAGATGGCCGCTAGGCGTACCAGATATGCTCGGTCAGATGGCAGCGCTACTGTAAACGAGCAACAGAGACAGTGCCCGACCTTTTGCGGCAATAAGTAGAACGCCTCGATGAAGAGGCTCTGAAGCGGTGCCAAACCAACCAAGCACCATGTTATTTGGTAGATCACTATCAGATAGATGGCCTAATTCGAGTTTATCGACGATTGTCGATATCAGAAAGTGATATTGCCATCTCGCACGTGGAGCGAGGCTCTTCTGACAAAGGGGCACCGACCTAGTGAATCAGATTATGGTTGAGTCCTGACAGGAAACATCAGTGACAAGATCCACAAGCTTGGAGTCGCGGAAAACACCGCACTGTGCAAATCATGAGCAGGGAACTGTTGTGGCGCCTGCACGAATCGGGCATACCCTCCGGATTGTGAGCAACGACACTTCTCAGAATGGGGCGATTTTGACGACGTTCAAAGTAACTCGGAACGCGTACCTCGCACGAGGTGCGTACAAGAGCCTGAAGAAGCTGCCCTATGCCCTCGACGGCAGAGGGCACCGAAGATGGAGGTGTACAATGCGAAAGGCATGTCCCGAAGGGTTATCGGATGATGATCATGATGCTCGGTGATAATGTGCGCGGCTCTCTCCATCGGCATCTTGTTGCTGGAAAGGCGAGCCGCTCATGAGCACCAAGGCCATAAAGATCGCATGGGCCGCTTGTGCTGGATAAGGCCTGTGCCATCTCCTTGACGCCTCTGTCCCCAATATGGATGGGAAACCCATCAAGGACTTACCATAACAGTATTTAGGTATGGCATATGAGAACATGGGGGTTTGGCGAAGCACGCTCGTTCAGGAACATGGTTCCAACTCTGGGGACCTCGGAGTCAGATGTGAGACACGGAGACATATCCGATATTGACATGACGGCTAAATGTCGTCATGAGGGAAAAATTGCTCCCTGCCTTTGTTGAGCTTTGAGAGCGAGGAGACCATGACCTGTATCGCATGACTACTGATATTGTGTTAGAGACAGAGGCCACAGAGATGTCATACAGGTTGTGTTTCACAAATGGCTTGATGATAGCGTTGAGAAAGGAACGAATTGGGGTTTATGGTCGGAGGTCGACTATGAAGATATCAATCAGATAAGATCATGTTCGTGATACACTGGCATCGCCGCCTCGATCAAGGAACACAAGCACCAAGTGTGATGGGGGAACCAGTGGAGTGACTGGCGCCAGCTTGGCGTGCCCGACGTAGATCAAGCAACCAAGGTCTGGTTGGAATAAATTGCTGGTGCTGTTTTCGCGACTCGCATGTCAACAGATATTTCGCATGGAAGTGCACGGTCCGACAAGCTCATGACGTGGATCTTCCGCGAGGCTCGTTGCAACTTCTCAGCCGCATAGCCGCCCTGACACAAAGTTTTGTCAATCTCGATATCTCCGTCCGTGGAATGTCACTTCCCTCCACGACTGGAGGCAACACAGAGAGACGCGACTCCTGTCGTAAGCACCTCCAACGTATGTCGTATCCAAAGGCAAAAAAGGTTCGTGGAGGCAGGACGATAAACTCCGTATGCTCCCCAGCGCATGTGTACTTGTAGAAGAATTCGATCAGGCATGTTCTATCGATGTCTTGGCTAGTGCGGCTCACCCTAGTCGCCCATATTTATTGATGTGTGCACGGAGCCTACCTTAGTGCGTACCCCAATGGTTGCAACCGAGACCGCAAACCTCGATCGAGGGCAAACGGGGCGGCATCTACCACTCCCAGATCAAGATCGCCTTCTTTCGAGAGTGTTGATGTCACGGTGCGGCACCCTGGGCATGCTGGTTGCCGATGACGCTGCATGGCGAAAATGTCGTTCCTGCAGGCCATGCCGAATATATATGTAGAGCCATGCTTCATCCAGTCTGCTCTTCCATCGACCATTGAACTCTCACACCATCGCAAAGATGTTCTCCAAGTCAATTGTCGCCTCGGCCCTGCTTGCAGGCGCTGCTTACGCTGCCCCTGCTTCTCAGTCGCAGGGTGTCTACGCCTCCCAGGCCTCGTCTGAGTACGGCAGCCAGGTTCCCGCCTACACTGGTGCCGATGCTCCTTACAAGTCCGACGCTGCCTCTGTTGACCTCGAGAACGTTGCCACCTCTTTCGGCACCAACTCTGCAGTCAACGCCATCGCTACTGCTGCTCCCAACGGCACCGCTTCTGGAGCTGGCTACCCTCTCCGCAGCAGCGATGTTACTGGTTCGACTACCCACGGCCCTTACAGCGGTGTTCCCACCACTGTCGGTGCTGTCACCACTGTCACCCAGGGCCTGACCGTCCCTACCCTCCCCCTTAACCCTACTGCCACCTACTACAACACCGATGGCAAGCTTACCCAGCCCGAGCCCGCTCCTTACACCCCCGCTGGTGGTCTTGGTACCAACGGTTCTCTTCCTCGCTACATGGTTGAGTCCGACTTCGACTATGAATCCATCACCCTTGGTCTCTACCAGGAGTGGATCGAGCTCGACACCTTCAACAACGGTCTCGCTACCTTCTCCGAGGAGGACTTTATCGCTGCCGGTCTCACTGCTGAGGACCGCGAGCTCATCCGCTTCATGGCCCAGCAAGAGGAGGGCCACGCTACTCTTCTGACCAACATGCTCGGCCACACCGCACCTCCCCAGTGCACCTACAATTACCCTTACACCACTGTCCGCGAGTTCCTCGACTTCAACCAGAAGCTCACCCGCTTCGGTGAGTCTGGCGTCTGGGGTTTCATTAACCACCTCGACAGCCGTGAGGTCGGTCAGCTCCTTGCTCAGTCCATCGCCACCGAGGCCCGTCAGCAGATGGCCTTCCGCCAGATGAGCGGTCTCTTCCCCATGCCCGTCTGGTTCGAGACCGGTATTCCCCAGTCTTGGTCGTGGTCTCTCCTCGCTCCTTACATCTCTTCGTGCCCTGCCAACACCACTCGTCTCGCATGGCAGAACTTCCCCGCTCTCCACATTGTTAACCAGCCCAACATCAACCGCTGGTCTGCCAACGATACTGCCGCATTTGAGGTTACCGGTAACCGCACTTCTGACCCCAGCATCTCCACCATTCCCGAGGAGGAGAGCTGCCAGCACTCNCTGAACGTCACCGGCTACGGCTGTGGCCCTGCCATCTCNCGCAACCGTTCTGAGCCTCTTTCCTTCCCCGGCAAGCAGGTTAACTTCACCTGGGACGCTCCCGGTCTTGCTGTCGGTCCCAACAACAGCTACGTCACCGCTGTCAACCCTGTCGCTGGCGAGCCTCAGTTCGTTGCCTGGGCTGCTCAGCTCAACTTGACCTACACCCCTCTTATCAAGACTTCGAACAACACTGGTTACACTTACCAGCCCGCTGGTGAGGTCTACGGTGGCGGTGCNCCTGTTGTCAACGGTACCATGTTCGTCGCTCTTACCGACACCGACATGTTCTTGACCCCCTTCAACCTTTCCATGATCAACCCTCACGTTATCGCACTGGGCTTGTACCAGAGTGGTTAAGCATCTTTTGATGTTTGTTACGAATATCTCTGAGTTGTGATACGGAATGAAGTATCTACTCCATTTTTGCCTTCAGCAGCGCGCTAGTCGCCATTATGCTAGGCATGTGTACTCTTATCAAAGATTAAACACTAATCATAATACTGTTCATACTTTCAAACTGGCTCCATTCTGCTCCCTCGTGACACAAGTACGTTATCTGACAGTCGATATGTTTGTCATGTCTTTATGACCTGTCATTTGTCGAATCCCATACCATGATAGCAAGGAGTATTTTTATGGCTAATACGAAGCCTGAACTATCATGATTAGCAACTAAGTATTCAAGCTGACCTGTGGTACAGAAAATCTCTAAAGCCCATCCCTCGTTCTTTGAAGATCCCAAAGAATACTCGAGATCGTTGACATCACCTTCGCACCTTGAAGAACAGCATATCAACTTGGCTGTCAGGAATAAGTATTATCAAATAATTGTGACTGAAGATAGTGAGGATGATGGGCATTCATGTTCGTCGTGATTAAAACATGGCACACCTTTCAGACGAATTGATCCTCAGGTACCATGGCCGAAGCTGGCATACTGCAGACGACCCTTGCTATGAAAGCAAGTTGTCCTATTCTCATCAGTCAGACTTCGACCTGCATCTCGATATGGAGGGCACGCGACGTGCCAAGGGAGGAAGTGACGAGCTTTCTCCACAAAAGAACCGAGAACGAAAGACGGAATTGACGTCAGCGATGAGGTAGCTACCCAGCAAGCTCTTTGCTCGAAAACAACTCAGCTCGCGAAACAAAAGGCACTGCATATCCCATTCTCCTGTCAGACTTCTCCTCAAGCAAAATCATCAATCATTTCCTCTATACCCAAAACCAACCCCCCACCAACCACATATCAAACATGCCTCGCGACGGATCTGGAGCTGGTGACAACGCCATTGAGGCTGGTCACAACATTGTCCACGGTGATGCTGGCGGTGTAAGTCTCGACAGTTTCCTTAGTATAATATTCTCTTAAGCTTACACAACTCAACAGGCCGCATCCACCGGTGTCGACCGCAGCAACAAGGCTGCCCCCATGCCCGAGATCGAGAAGGGCGACAGCCTCGAGGGCATGAACGCTTCCGGCGGCGGCCTCTCTGGTGCCACCCTCACCTCCACCGGCCAGGGCGGTAACAAGGAGCCCTTTGTCGAGAAGGAGGCTGAGAAGCACTCCTCGTAAGCGAGTCGCTTTCCACATCAACTCAGAATCACGACCTCGAAGATATCATTGCCATATCAAATCAATTGATGGCTTCGTAACATATTCATGTTTACGACCAAGACTAGGAGGAATCCTTGTTGAGGATGGAAAGGACTGGCAAGAGCCAAAGTCCTTGAGAAAAGAAAGGCTGCTGTAAAAGTAGCTTTCCCTCATGTATATCGAGATACGACTTTAACGACGGAAATCAAATCATTCAAACCACAATACTGCTCATGCTCTTGCCACTACTTGACGTTGCTATTTTCCCAATAATTGAGATACTTTGTTATGTCCGGACGTTGTAGAGGTTTGAGCATTTTCTTTTCGTCTTTTGCTGAACAACCATATGGTAGAGGTCTCTCAGGTCAAATCGCCCACTTTAACTCCTCCAAGTCGTGATGCGGGATGCTACATGACCTATAAAAATGCAAGAATGTTTCCAAACTAAAGTTGTTTCCACAGAGCTCTACAAAAACAAATGCTCTCGGCGAATACAGTGCCGAGCTTTGATGAGAGAATTGGAGAAATCGGTTGTCCCTGATTCCAAAGATGAAAAGACATATTTCCTGCTGCGTGAGATCTACCATATACTGCACGATATCATCCAACGCAACACAGCCTCCTCGTGTGCAACAAACAGTCGAAGTGTAGCTATAAAAATGCACGATCCCTTGAACAACAGAGTGATATCCACGGAGAGAACGTGAAGTTTAGGCATCTCCACGGTGACACCTCTATCCAGCAAAGAAACTGTACATTTTGATAGCTTATGATAATACAGGGTTATTTCGGGAGAGGTCGGTCTCAGGGGTATGACTGTTTTCTACGCACGAGAAACATACAATTTTTAAAAGACACAACCCCTCTGAATATGAATGTGTACAGCAAGAGCCCAAGAGACAGATATCAGACCCTCATGAACAGCTCCATGGGAGCTTATCGATCAATAGACAGCCAACGAGTCACTCGATCGAGAAGGAACGATAATAATCTTTCGCTATTGGTCTAATATGAAGAATCATATAACATCCATAAGGCCCGCCTAACTCTCCACCACTGTTTGAGAAACATAGCCACCAAGCCCTCAAGCCATCATACGCAAATCAGCAACACGCTTGTGGACAAGAGGACGCAAAGCATTCACGCCAGCACGTAAAGCCATCATCTCACCACAATTATGACCAAGGCTTGGAGAACAACCACAGACACAAGTCCAAGATGGCAAACTAAGGACCTCACTATAGCAAAGAAGCAAAAAACTCAGCATATTGTCATCACGTGTTGGACAGAAGAATGACGGGGATGATTTTGATTCCTGAAGGTGGTATCTGGGGTAATCTGCGAAACCGAAGTTTGGCAGCTTTATCTAGTGGTGGTGACGGAGAAAAAGAAAAAGGGGAGATTGTTGGTCCTGCAAAGACCATAGTCAAACATCTCGTGGTTGACTAGTCTGGCTCCTTGTGCATGCTGTTGTTCTGATCGAATCTGCGCCCAGGCTCCATCTGTTCCTTTGCAAAGACTGAGATACAAAGGGGAAAGCGAGGGCGAAACGAAGCAAAAACAGCAACAAGGTGGTGCAGGAGTAAAGGGTAGGGGTATAAGGTATGCTCAGGGCTCAAAGGATAGAGATCGCGCTTACTTCAGCTTGTCGACGACCTGCTGGCAGAAGTCCTCGGTCTGGTCGTCATCCCAGCTAACAATCTCATCCTCCTCCTTGATGGTGAAGCAGTTCTTGCCAAAGATGACGACGTTGAGTGCAGCATCCTTGTCACCATCAGCGGCATGGACAATGGCCTGAAGCAGGCGGCCGCTCTCGGTGAAGAAGGACTTGGCGGCCTTCTGAGGAGTGGCGTTGGTTCCGACACCACCAATGATGGAAACCCTCTGGAGGTTACGGCAGTCGGCCAACATGTTCATGCAAGGCATGGCGGTAGCCTTGGTGTAGGTCACGATGGTGATGTTCGACATGGCCTTGCGGGCCTCATCACCAACCATGCTCAGGAAATTGAGCAGAGTGGTGGTAGTGTCGAAACGGAGCTTGTAGCTGTAGAGGATTTGACGTGCCTCGGTAGCCAGCTATATTATCATAGTTAGTCCGTGTGCAGAAAAGGACTGTAAACATTTGGTACTAACCTCCTTGTTCAACTGGGCGACAGCAATTCTGTGCTTGGCGTGGTTGCAGCCGTCCTTCTCCTTGAACTCCTTGACGTAGTCCTTGGCTTTGACGCTACCGCTCTTGTTCTCGGTGACAAGCTCAATGCCTCTCTTGGGGTTGGTAGGGGCAAGGTTCAGGCTCAGAATTCTGGTGCGAATGTGCTTGGGAAGCTTCATGAACGGGAATGGAGCACTGGGCTTGATGATGATGGCCTGGAGACCGTTGTCAAGCATGTAGGAGGCAACCAATTCAAAAGGTTGGGCGGCAACGAGTCTCACGTTCTGTCCATGGTTGGCATCCTTGGCCAGAGGCTTGCTCTGAACAGTGTCGTTCTCAAAGGTCACATCGACAGGGGCAGCACTGCTGAGAGCATTCGACAGCTTGTTGAAGACCTTAGCAGGTGCTCTAGGCTTTCTAGGAGTCTTCTTGACTCCAGTGGCAGGAGTGGTAGGAGCCTCGTCGCCAGACTCGGGCTTGGGGGTGGCGGGAGCCACGGCAGCCTTCTTCTGTCGAGGCATGAGTAAGTTGAATATGTATGTGTGGTGTATGCGTGGGAAGAAGAACAGAGGAAGAGTGGTAAATATATAGGTGGATGGGCAGGTGTTGAATAAGGGAAAGTAAAATTCCAAGGTGAAGCTCAAAGTGAGAAGCCAAGTGAATGAGAACGATAGAAGGTGATAGGCAAAAGTCAAGGGAAGACGAAGGGTGGATGTATGCTCTCTCTGGACCGGTATGAGTCTGACTCTCCTTTCTGCATTTCTATGCTGTCTGTATGCTACCCATGGTGATGTGAGAGCCCATGAAGGCCGCATCGACCTGAGGCGCTTGCTCGTAGCATCTCGAGGTAAGCAGACAGCATTGTGAACAGCATAGCAATGCAGGAAGTATAGTCGAGCTTGTATGGACCCAGAGAGACCTCGTCGACCCGGTATATGAGCTCGCATCGACCCGAAGCGCAAGCCCGTAGCATCCCGAGGCAAGCAGAGAGCATCGTAAGCAGCGTCGAAATGCAGAAAGGAGACTCAAGCTCGAATCGGTCCAGAGAGATGGTGCCAGCTCGGGATGTGAGGTCTTGTGAACCCGAGACGCGAGCTCACATCGACCCGGGGCAGGCAAACAGGATTGAGGTGCAGAAAGGAGAGAGATCTGGTGGACCCGGAGCGCGACTTCGCGTTGACCCGAGGCAAGCAGATAGTGAGGACAGAGGGTGGAAGGTGTAGTGGAAGGAAAAGAGTGTGCTGGAACAAGAAAAGAAGATGACTTACGGAACCCTTAGGAGGCATTGTGATGAGTTTGTCTGGTGTTGGAGGAGGTAGAAGTAGAAGAGGTCTTGAGAGTGTTTGGGTTGTCGTGGCTTGAAGGTGGTGGTGTTTGGAGAAGAAGGACAGAGGAACAGAGGGGTGGGAAGCGAGTAAAAAGCAAAAGGAAGTGCAGAAATGAGATGAATCTAAACTTCTTGCTGTGTTGTTCGCGTTGCTGAGTGAAGTGGTGGGTGCAAGACAAAACGAATGGTCCGGATTCTCACGGTCAAGCTCGGAATCAAGTCGTCGGGGTCAACGATAGTCCTGATTGGCCGAGTAACTGTAAGTGATCGAGCACAAAGAGTCTGGTGTCGGATTTGAATGAGACTTTCTGACGTTTTCCTTGCTGCCCGGAAGAAGATAGAATGCGCTTCTCAGCATTAGTATCATATCAATGATACAGTCTCCTTGATATTCGTGAGGCTCTCTGTGAGGTACGCTCTGCAAATCCCAAATATACGCGATCCTTCCTGACTCAGTGTCGCGTCCAGGGAAGGCGTACCAGGCATCCATATATACACGCTCTCTGGAGGCTTTGTCGACACCGAAGCAACGTGCCTTTATAAGGCGCATACAACCCTGTACACGATGTGAGGAGCACAACTGGGTACCTTCTGTCTTCACGACTGGAGTGGCTCCATGTACCAGGGATCGACCTGGTTAATGGTCGTACAACATCTTGACTTACTGACATGGTGTTGAAGCGACCTACCATGGACCTTCCAGGCACGACTGATATCCTGCTGTCAAAGATGGCTCAAGCACTTGTCCTCCAGCACTTGAGGTATATACATGGGTGGCTGTTGTCTGAAATCAACATGTCGAACTTGGAGGCCAAGAGAAGAAGCTACACAAGAAGTCTCACGATGAGGGTCTATACCAAGTGCACGGACTCATGACGCACGGACCATACACACTGAGTGAAGCTACCTACTATACTCGAATGTGCAAACATCTGCTGCAACTTTCGCAAAGCACACGAGTTCAAAAACAAGCCACCAACATGGCCGAGCCTCCCAACGATATGGCCGCTCCATCCACCCAAGACATTGAGATGAAGGAGGAAGCTGCAGAGGTAAGATAGCTCGGCAGCAGACATGTTCGAATGCGCCGCTAACCATGAGCANNGCCCTCGGTCCACAGCATTCCCTCTGCCACAGAGCAGGTCGCCGGAGCCACCGAGGACGAGGGAGCCCTGCCCATCAGCCAGCCCTTCGCCGCTGACTCGGCCGTTGCGCAAACCACTCAGGCTCTCCCTCCTCCAGTCGCCCAAGCTCCCTCAGTCTCGCCATTGCCTGCTACCGCCGCTGCGCCAATCGCCGCCTCTCTGCCTATCTCGGCACCCACTCCTTCGCCTGCACCTACCAGACCTTCCTCAATTCCTCCCACAATCTCGCTGCCACCCGAGCAGGCCCGCGAGCACGGCTCCACTGGAAGAGTCTACCTCAACAACCTCGTCACCTACTATTTGGAAGGCATGAAGTACTTGATCTTCTACCGACCCGAGAAGCCATTGAAGTGGATGGGCGAGTTCCTCTTGAAGCGCAGTGCTGAGATCGAGGGAGAGTGATGATTACTTGGGGACGGAAACATGGGAACTTTACTGGGATGCATTGCATAGCGAAGGCGTTCAACAGGTCATCAGGTTCATTAGTGTGGTAGAAACAGGAAACACTATCACGTCGAGCGCGGGTCCCAGAGATGGACAGAGATAAAATGACAATCGGACACATGATTTTTGGTGAGGGTCCAAAGTGGCTCCCTTGTCGTTCATTTACTTTTTCATCCCTTTGCAACGAGCTAGTGAAAACCCTGGCGACCTTCCAAATACACATGCCCTGAACGCCATGTGGTATCGATGCTTCTTCCTCCATTCGACATTTCTCAGTCAAGAGCCGCTTATGCGACGAGGGTGGAGGCGGTCGAGGACTCGTACTTCCAGGTGGNGGGAAGGACACCGACGGTCTTGTAGTAACGGGCCAGACGGTGGATACGGGACTCGATGAGAATCAGGCGGAACTTGGAGTCCTTGTCCTTGCGGTTGCGCTCGAGGTGCTTGCGGACGGCAACAGCNNCTGAGAGAATTGTGTCAGCCAACCGGGCGCAGAAGTTTTGGTAGGAGTGCAAACATACCTTCTTGATGAGCATGTAGAGGTCCTCGGGGATCTCAGGGGCAAGGCNCTATTGGATATCACTCCGTCAGTCAAAGACCAAACAGAGGCAGAGTTGATGTGTTGAAAAGTGGTTCGTGGCAATCTCTTGCGCTTCCATCTTTTCTTTCCTTCACACGGGGTGGACCGTACCGCTGGACTTGAGGATTCTGAGAATCTTGTTACCTGNTGTCATGTGTTAGTCTTTGGCTTGCGCAGAATTCAGATGCGACGGGCGTAACGTACCAGTGACAACCTTGACCTGGGCGACACCGTGGGAGTCACGGAGGACGACACCAATCTGCGAAGGGGTGGCACCCTTACGGGCGAGCTTGCAGATCTGGTCAACGACCTGCTCGGGAGTGGTCTTGAGCCATGCGGGAGGAGCGCGCGAGTAGGGGATGGCGCTGGAGGCGATACCCTTTCCCTTGGAATGAAGACGGCCCATTTTGAATGTCGGTTTGGAGTAGAAGTTGTCGGATGAAGGGTCGTCGGTTGCTCGTTCGTCGTTCTCGAAATCTCGTCCAGGAAGCAAAGCTGAAATCAATTTCGCCCGGTCGCTGGACGCCAAGACCTTTTCGTGGGCGGCAGCTTCCGACCTTCAGCCGTCGTCCTGGCAAAAACTTCTGCGCTTCGTCTTTGCGAAAGCCTTTGTTCTCTGCAACATGAACAGCTTGTTCAACCTCATCTTCGACATCCTTGGGCAGCGCTTGATGGCTCACTGAGTGCGCAAACGCATATACTGATGCTTCGAAGCCACTCGAGTGCAGCCTCAAGCACTGCCCGCCCTGAAAATGGTATGCAGCCGACTTCTCTTCACTCATCCCCATCACCTTCTATATGATGAATTTTGTCAATTACTATTTTTCTGGTACCTCTTATGTCAGAGGCTTTCGAGTCTCGATGATCTTAGCGGACTTCTGATCTATCCAACCACACTACACATCTTGGTCGCTTCACTATTCAGACATCTGGCTAACGAATGACCTTTGTAGACAAGCTCTCCTTCACGCAGGCACGATACGCTCTGGTTATACGAGCACTCGGCACCGGTGTGGCTCAGTGTTAAACACACTGATAACTCCTTAACCCCTGCTAAGTCCTTGGCTCTTGTCCGCAAGATCTCTTCTCTCTTGGCCCGAATTTTGTTGCGCATGACATTCTTGGTGCTCATTGAACGCTCTATGACAATTTTAAATATCTTATATCACAACATGATTTTCTCGTTACTTGACTTTTGCCATATCAACGTCCACGTCCTGTGCAATGCTGAGCGTCTATTTAAGCACGGTGACTTGACCCAGAGCCTTGTCAACTGGCTGTGCATACACACGGGCTACGAACAACGGTATACCCGTTCGAAGACTGACTTAATCGGGGTACACAGCATCGGGTTGCTATCCGCGCCGTTAAGACTTGGATCTGAGTAACGTGAGTTGTCCTAACTCCTGACTCGGGCTGCCATGTGTACCATGGCCCACTCTTTTCTCCCCATGTTTCCCTGACCTCCCCATGTGCTAGAGTAGCTATGAAATGCACAGTGCTATCAAGAACAAGGGCACTATCCACTGAGAGTTCGTAGTTTGGCTGCTCTCTTTGGCTGCTCCTCTGCTTTGGAAAAGAATTGTGCCTTTTTAAAACGTGCACTTCGCACTTCGCACTTCTTGTGGGAGAAGGGTAGAGTTACAGACTCTATCACACGGGGAGGAAGCATCACACCAACACACAACTGCCGTAAAACAAAAGACCAATGTCATGCCGTGTCACGTTTGAATGGGATGCGAACCGCTATTTTCGCCTTGGCATGGCGGATTTGAATTGACTATTTTGGATCTGCAGGAACGAATCTCCAGACAGTCGGTGTTAAATTTTGCGGGTGTTCCTGCGGCCGAGACAGGAAAAGAAGGTTTTCATGTTGCGACCACATGGTGTCCATTCGCAAGCAAACGACCGCCCGTCGAGGCATCCGACACCCGCTCTGTATACCCGGTAAGTACAAGCGTTGGTAGTCTCTCGCCTGCTTCCTGAATCTCGGGCGCGACAGACATGCAGGGTGGCGCACAGAGTCAGTTCCATGGTGAAACGTCGAGCAGACCTGCGGCGGCCGTGCATATTTCTTACACCTCTGACCAAGTTGGGGATGGTCTGGTCAGATCTCCCTCGATCAAGGAGCACGGTAATTGAATTCCCAATGATCGCCTTGGACAATGTGTAGGTCGTTATTTGACGAAAACAAGAACCAACCGCATCTCATCAAACGTCGGTCGAATGGTCAAGAACAATAGCGCTCTTTGTTCGCTGTCGCGCGACAGACGTCGAAGACGACGGNCATATCAAGCAAGCCACATGCATCCACGCTAATGTTCGNTGAAATTGTGACCCACCCTGCGACTCNGCCATAACGGCGCTTGTCAGAAAGGCGAACTTTAGGCGTGCCATGACCATGATACCAAGCGCCTCACTGCTTGCATTGTTCAATATGCTCGGGTCCTCGATTTTGCTTTAATTCAGGCCCCAGCCCCCGAATCGACCTCGAAGGCTTNNTCCATTCCTTCACTTCGTCATCCAGTACCAATAACAAACATACCTGACCAGCAGTCATTCTTTTAAGTGTCCTAGTGACATTGCCACGATCTTTACTCAACTTGCATTGAAGACGCGTTTGATACCCCCTTGCTTTACTGCTCTTCGCCTCATATAATCGAGTGCGCACCTTTTACGCCAAACCAAGCAACCCCTGTTAGCGTTCGACACACAATGAAGAACTTCATCGCCGCCAGTGCTCTCCTGGCTGCATCCATCTCTGGAGCTGCTGCCGATCTGTGCAGCAAGGGCTCCGTCGACGACAATGGCAACTGGTATTGCCAAGCTGTCGATGCCATCACCTACACTGGAATGATGGGCAAGGGCAACTACAACAAGATTACCAACATGGACAGCAACTCTGGCTCTTGCTCTTCCACTCCTTATGGCTACTCTGGACAAATGTCTCCTCTTGACGAGGAAGTCTCTCTCCACTTCCGTGGTCCTCTCAAGATCAAGCAATTCGCCTTCTTCTCGCCCAGCACTGACTCTTCGGACTCTTCCAAGAAGGCCAAGCGCAGTGCCATGCACCGCCACAACCATGCGCACAACCACGTCCACAAGCACAAGCGTGACGAGGACGTCGAGAAGCGTGCTGTCGGCGATTGGGTGACGGCGACAGTCGATGGAATGGCTGTTTCGTGGATCAACGAATGGTCTGGTGTTGCTTCTACTGCTGCCCCTGCCCCTGCAGCCACCACCTCCGCTGCTCCCGCTCCTGCTGCTTCAAGCACCGAGCCTGCCTCAGCTGGTTTCGTGAACAAGCTTCTCAAGGTCAACGCTCCTGTCGCATACAGCTCCAGTGCTTCCAGCTCCAGCTCTGCCGTTGCCGCAAAGGCTAGCTCAAGCTCCTCGTCCGCTTCATCTTCTTCTGCTGCTTCATCTTCTTCTGCTGCTTCTTCTTCTTCTTCTTCTTCTTCTTCTTCTTCTTCTTCTTCTTCTTCTGGCAGCTCCGGATCCTGGGGTCGCAAGGCTTACTACAACTCTGAGGCCGGCTCCGCAGACAACGTTGTTTTCCTCAATCACAACGGTGGTCAAGGCTCTGGTGTCTTTGACTACACTTTCGGCAACTCGCTCTCTTACTCTAACAGCAAGGGTGATGCTGGTGCTTCCTCTCCTCAGGTCCTCGCCGACACCCAGCTTGCCTCCAACCACGAGGTTATCATCATGTCCGACAAGGAGTGCGATGGTGACTGCGGCTACTACCGCGATGGCAACGTTGCTTACCACGGCTTCGCTGGCGCTCAGAAGGCTTTCTTCTTCGAGTTCGAGATGCCTCTCGACGGCAACACTGATGCTGCCACCAACGGTGACATGCCCGCCATCTGGATGCTCAACGCTCAGATCCCTCGCACCCTCCAGTACGGCAAGGCCGAGTGCTCTTGCTGGACCACCGGTTGTGGTGAGTTCGATCTCTTCGAGGTCCTTGCTCCTGGTGATCTCCGCTGCAAGTCTACCCTTCACAGCAACATCAAGGGCGGCAACTCGGACTACTTCAAGCGCCCCACATCTGGAAGCATGAAGGCCATGGTCATCCTCAACGGCGAGAACATGCACATCAAGGTCCTCGACAACGACTACCAACTCCCCACCAGCCTCGACGCTTCGTGGATCTCGGACCAATGCGACTCTGGTCTCATCCAGAACACATTGAACTCGCTCTTCGCCCTGATCGCATAAACGGCGACAAGTTCTTTTACCATTTGTCTACTCTTCTTGACGAAGCCATGTTCGTTACTCTTCTTAATGTTTTTAGCCTGTAAGGGGATTCTCGCAGAAGGGGCATTGGATGTTCATAGCGCTGGGCGTGGAAAGGATCGGTGTGTTGGAAGCGATTGCACAAATTAGTGATTAGCATGCGACAACTGTACTTAGCGAGATTCCCAAAAATTTGCATCAACATCAATTTCTCGTCTCGTGCTTGTGCGTGATAGTAGGTGGGTGGAGTGGCTGATTGGAATGTAACTCCTGGCCCAGACCTAGCCACATCAGCTCACGACAGTCTCGACCCAGCCTTGTCAATGCAATGGTATGTTGGCCATCATAGCATAATCACTGACGAATTCGTGTGAACCCGACAATTGGGGTCATGGTTGGACGTTTGGGTTGAGTTGAACAAGACCCTGAAGATGTGTCTCCCTCGGCAATGACATGGCAGAAAGTGGAGATTTGGTCCGAAGCAGCAAGAGCGAACCAGCGAAATACCTTGTATGGCTAGTTAGATAAGACCAATCATAGCTTGAGGCTTCATGTATATTGTTCAATCCAGTCCATGTCTACATGATATGGCCGTAAAGGAGCGAGAAATGCTAAGACAAAGACGTATCCATTCACGTGCGTGACACGGATGAAGAGCGAAGGCGGCGGCAAGCGGGCGATGAACAGCCTCGGCATGGCAGGAACGACGACACTGCAGTTCGTCACTTTCTCGTCCAAAACTCTGGGGTCGCAAACACTCAGACTCCAGACGACGGCCACTTCGATCTGGTAGGATATGGCGACGCCGTCACCGCCCAAGCCGTGGGAAAGAGGCCGCGCTGCCTCATCGTCGGGTACGTTTTAGATCGCCCAGCGCTCGACCGCAGCTCGGACTCGACTAACGCTTATGACACANGCCTTGACTTCCTCCGCTGCCATACCCACATCGACCACGGCCGCTACCCCTTCATCAGTAAACACTACCGGTACCGCCGCGACACCCGCTCTACCATCGCGACCCGAGTCGCTCAACTCTGTTGTTGATCGCACCGCCTCCAACTTCGCCGGCGCTCAGCCCTATCAATCCTCGTCTTACGGCTACGGTGGTGGCGCCATGTCCTCACCTTACTCGCGCTACGGATCTGGTTATGGCGGAGGCATGTACGGAGGCGGCATGTATGGAGGAGGAGGAGGCATGTACGGTGCAAGTCCCTATGGCGGTATGGGAGGCATGGGCGGCATGGGCGGCATGTACGGCAATGGCTACGGTGGCATGGGAGGCCCCATGGGCGGTCCCAATGGCCAGAGCCTGACACAGACGTTCAGTCAGAGCACACAAACCACCTTCCAGCTCATCGAGAGCATTGTTGGTGCCTTTGGTGGCTTTGCTCAGATGCTCGAGAGCACATATATGGCCACCCACTCGAGTTTCTTTGGTACGTCTCGTACTACTATCAATGCTGCTTTCTTACTAATGACCTTCTANGCGATGGTCTCAGTAGCCGAACAGTTTGGTAACCTACGGCAAACCCTAGGCCAGGTCCTAGGCATCTTCACCATCATTCGGTGGATACGCACAGCCATGGCGAAACTGACCGGACGCCCGCTCCCAGCAAACAGTACCGACCTCACTCCCGCCAACTTCGCGAGCTTTAATGGTCGTCTNCCTGACGGCTCTCCTGCACCTCCCCGCGCCAGCAAGAAGCCCTTCGTCATGTTCATCGTCGCAGTCTTCGGTCTACCCTACCTCATGGGCAAGCTCATCCGCGCCCTAGCCCGCAGCCAAGAAGAAGAAGAGCAGCGCCGCCTTCAAGCAGAAGGCCCCCAACAACCTCTCGATCCTTCCAAACTCGACTTCTGTCGCGTCCTCTACGACTTCAACCCCGAAGCCAACGCAAACGCCGTGCAAGGCGTTGACCTCGCAGTAGCCAAGGGCGATCTTGTCGCTGTCTTGAGCAAGACAGACCCCCTCGGTAACCCCTCAGAGTGGTGGCAATGCCGTGCTCGCGATGGCCGCAAGGGATATCTCCCTGCTCCTTACCTCGAAACCATTCAACGCCGTCCTCAAGGTCAAATCACCAGCGGAACCAGCCCTACCGGCAGCCGCGCACAAACAATGACAACCACCAGCGCCGACAGCCGGTCGAACACCATGGTGGACAGAGAAAAGGATCTCGTCAAGGCTGCTCCCAGAGATTTGCCTCCGAACGTGCAAGGCAAAGCCGGCGATCTCAGCGTTGAAAGCTTCCAGAAGGGTCAATTCTACTCATGAGGGTATCCATGACATTTGTATCACGAAAGCGGGCGTTCTTGTGTATGTTAACGATAAAGAGGTCTTTTGGTAAATGGCCACAGAACTTTTCTCGGTCATGGGTTATGTTTCTTTTCTATATACATCTTCTTTTATACCGATTTTCCTGTTTACGAATTGAATCTGTATTTGACATGATGAGGTCTCTCTTTTCTTCTTCTTTTTCCATCTGTTTTGCTTTCACACACCAATGTAGAATGAGCACCTTCTCCCCGTGAGCAACAATCAGTCACACACGGCTGTAGAAATACACAGCTATCCTCAGATAAGAACACCTTCCACCGAGAACTTTTAGTTCCCCAACAATCGCTGGACTCATCCCTGGCTCTGGAACAACCATGCATTTCGATAGTTCAAAGACCGTTTGACAAACCACTGATATAAAGACTGTCATCGACATTGATGTCCTCACAAGACGAAACTCAGAAGCCGATGCCCGCGTTGAAGAAGAAAGAACGACACCAGGTTGAGAATAGTGGAAGAAGGAAAAGATCGAGTAACAAGAAGAGGAAGCCACAGACTTTGGAAAGAATCGAACCTCTTGTCCTTTAATTCTCGTCTCTTTTGGAAGGAAAGAGCCAAGGTTTGGAAGGAGGCGATGGGAACAGAAACGAAAGAGGAAGGGGCGATCTACTTGGTTAAAGAAAAGAAAGCGCAATCGAGCAGAAGCGGAAGGGACAGTCGCAAAGCAAAAGGGGGAGGAGCGCCTGACAGAATATAGTCATGATTTATCAAGCAGGAAGGAGCGACTGAGAAGAGCAAAGATTAAATCATGGAAGTTCTTATTCTTCATAAACCAATCGAACTATCTGAGCTGGTAAACTAAAAACTACTTGGTCCCATACCAACGCGAGTCAAATAACGCCGCTGTAAAATAACGCAACTCCCTATCCTCCTGTTCCCTCGTGAGACACTTTTTGCGTCTAGAAGATCGCCATCAACTCGAATCTATCACAAGTCTCATCATCAAGATTAGGATAATAAGGCACCATAGCATCGGCGGCATGAACGTAAGCATCATTGTAGAGTCTCCAATATGGTGTTCTGACCTTTCGTGCAGGGTGGAATAGACCAGCCCAGACGTAATTCATAACGACACCAGTACCGACGGCAACACGAACGGCATCGATGGCCTCGATCATGCGGTCGATGACGTGAGGCGAGGTCTCGAAGATGTTGGGGTAGAGCAGGTTGAGCAAGTGAAGCATAGCGTCTTCACAGCCAAGGCCGACGACACCGAGGGCTACGTGCTTGACAACTGACGCTGCTGTTTGACGATGCACTTGGTCGCGGTCGATGAGTGCGTCCTCGAGAAGTGGTGTTACGGCATAGACGTAATCCTTGGCCATCTCTCCAATGTACTCGAAGAGGAAGGACAATGATTTGAGCACACCGTTCTGCACGTTGAGTTCGGGTACGCGGTATTCGTTCATCAACGCTGGTAAGACGGTGAAAGGTGCGCAAGTTTCCGCGACGATGCCAATAGCAACGGCGGTACAAACACGCGATTGACGTTCCTGAACGCGCAAGTTGTTCAACAGCGTTGCTAGAACATCTTGTGGACCAATAGCCTTGGCAATGAAACCGAATGTGTTGTTGGCTGCTCGTCGAATACCCTTCTTGTGCGCCTTGAGCATGTCGAGAAGTTCGAAACAGATGCGCATCCATTCACGAGGGTTGACACTTTCTGGGCCGCGGTCTGCGATACGACCAACCAAGTCGATTGTGTTTTCCTGAACCTTCTCGTGACGGTTACGAAGAATAGGTGTCAGTCGTGGCAGCAGGTCCTTGATAGGCGGCTGCACTTGATTGATTCCGATGACAGTGACAATCGAGCGCAGTGCACCAAGTACCGAACCAAGGACCTCAGGGTACTCTTCACCCAAGTTCTCGTACAGGTTGATACTGATCGTGCCCAAAAGGTTCTCCTGTCCACAGTGCTTCATGACGATCGCAATTCGTGATACCAAGTCTGCCGCTTGCTGTCTGACAGTGGCTGACTTGTTGCTTAGACGGAAGAGAATAGTACTGGCGATTTGAGGCAGATATGGTGTGCATCGGGTGTCGAGGGCGTTGACCACAGTTCCGAATCCGTTTAGGATGGTAATGTCTTCCACTGTTTGTTCTTGGAAAGCGGTCAAGATACCATCGACCAAGCGCTCTTCGAGACGCTCGTTGATGTCTGCAGCACCCAAGCTGGCGATGGATTTCTCAATGGTCTCCATTGTCATCTTTCGGTATGCCTCGCTCTCGTCCTTGAGGTTGTCGACGACTCTTTCCACAATCTCACCACAACCGACCTTTCGACCAAGATCTCCGGTGGTCTCAACAACCTGAACGTAGTTTCGTCGGTCGAGTGCCATTCTTCGTACCCAGAAACTCTTGAAGAAATCGTCGAGAACAGTCTCCTTCAAGTAAGCAGCAGTGACACCATTGGTGTTGGCACACTGCGACAGAACCTTCAAGACAACCTTCTTCATCTCCTCGTCTGGTGATGAGAACTCACGAAGCAGAATCTCCATGATCTGACTAACGTAGTAGTTGGCGAATTCTTCGTCCATCAGAGGAACAACGTAACCGACGGCCTTGAGGAAACCAGCAAGACCCTTACCACGCTGCTTGCGAGCTCCAGTCCAGAGAGGGTTGAGAATGTCATCGAAACTCTCGATACCGTAAGGGTTGGCAGCCTCAGCAAGAGCGGCGATAGCCAATGCTGTGACAGTACGGACCTTGGTCTGCTCATCGTTCAGGTTATCTCCTATGCAATCAACAAGACCCTTGAGATGTGGTAGAACAGCACAGCCCATGAGGATAGGAATTTGTTGCACAATCTTGACACCAGTGTGTCTTGCTTGCCATGACTTCTTACTCTTGCATACAGCGCGCAAGAAGGGAAGAAGTGCAGGAATACCGAGAGCGCTGGCAACAACGGCAAAAGCACGAGCGGTAGTGTTTCTGACGTACTCGTCTGCGTGGTCAATATCGGGACGCATGGTGGAAATCATGTGTGCAAGACCAGCAGCTTTGGCCAGGTTGGAGATGATTTCGCGACCTTCAACACGTGCGTAGTAATCTTGATCGATCAGCAATGGCTCGATAACGACCAAGATCTTGTGGGTATAAGGTCTGACCAAATCATCAAGCTTGTACAGAATGCGGTCAATGACCTTGACGAGCAAATGACGTTCCTGGTCTTCAAGCGTCTTTTCCATGAGCAGAGGAAGAATTTGATCGAACAGTGGGCCGGCACCGAACGAACGAGCATTGTCAGTGAGTTGACGTAGCGCGGTTTTACGCATAGGTGGGGTTCCGTTCTTGACCTTGATAAGCAGACGCATGATTTTGCGCTCCTTGAGCTCATCAACACTCATCTCGTTCTCATCAGCGCCATCGACAAGCTTTCCAAAGTATGCCATATCTTCTGGCTTCAAGCGAAGCTCGCCGACTCCAGGGAGCTCGCTTGGGAGGTCCTTGCCAAGTGATCGAGGGTCGACAGGCTGCTGCATCATGAAACCACCTTGTAGCGAAGTAGGAGTGCTGGGAACTCTGTGTGCGGGCACTCGCGTGGGCTCGTATCCAGGAGGGAAGGGTAGAACACGGTAACCCTCCTTCTCGCCAGGGAGCATCATGTCGAGCTCCTCATCAGACAGAGNGGCGTTTCTACCAGAGATGTCGGAACCGTAGCCAGCTCCAGCGGCAGGAGTCTGAGAGGGATGCATAGGGGTGGCAAGACCTGCGTTTCCACCAACGGGAGTTGCAGCGGTCAGAGAAGGTGCCATATCGAAACGAGAGCGCTTCCTCGGCTCGGCCTGAGCTGCTGGAGCAGGAGTAGAGTCCCAGCGAGAGCGCTTGCTTTCGGGAGCGTCTTCGGTCTTAACGACGGCGTCCTTTGCAGCGGCGTCTTCAGACGAGCTGTCCCATCGCTGTTTTCGCTTGCGGGGAGCAGCAACTTCGGACGATTCCTCGTCGGCTTTTAGCGTAGGCTTGTGCTCGACCACGCCATCCATACCATCCTCTCCCTTGGCCTGCTTCTCCTCGATAAGCTTGTGTACCCGCTCTTCTTCGCGCTCAATCTCTCGTTGCTTCATGACCTCCTTGTAGCTTTGGCCGTCAGGGCTGAGTTGACGGTTGAAACGACGCTTCTGGTAATCCGACTCGCGACTGGAGATCTGGGCCTGCTTCTCGCGGTCGACAAGGATGTCGCCTTCTCCATGGGCATATTCGTTCATCTGTTCGGTGGTGGCAGTGTACTGGCCGACCAGCCTCCTGCTCTGGTCCTCGCCATCAGCATCGTCCATGTCGTCGTCCTCGTTGACAGCGATCGACGTGTTGTATCCGGCATATTTATCGACAGTTCCATTTCCATAGAGGTCAGTATCGGCATTGTCGGTGAGCGACTGCTTGGTCGGATTGGCTCTGGTGGAGGCGCGCTCCTGCTGCAGTCGTCGGATTTCAGCTATTGCCTCGTCAGTCTCGGCGCGGCGCGTTGTGAGACTGCTGTACTTACCGTCAGACATGGTGATGTCGTTATCTGGACATTCAAGGGGTCATTAATATACAACTTGTGCAAACGATGAGGTGTTTGCGCGCAGCGTCCGGTCGTTGAATAGAGGATAGTAGTATGAGATCAAGCAAGTGCTTCTTTCCTTCCGAATGTGACGCTCCCTCCAGAAAGTTAATGCCAAGCCTTCTGCTCTCCACTCACCGACCCCCAACTTCTAACCTCGTCTGACCTTTCTCTACCACGGACATCGATCTTGAAAAATTATAACTCAACAGACGTCGTGCTGCTCATCGATGAAAATATTTGTTGACTGCTCAGAAACCTTGCTTAATTCACTTGTGGAACAGTAAGTCACAGCTCCGAAACGATAGCCTCGCCAGGCCGCTTCCTCAGGTTACTTTCTCTTTGTCTGTCCTCGCCATGAACTCAGTCTGTCCTTCCAACCAGTTCTTCACTGCAACAGTAGAAAAGTGGTGTGTAGGTAAGTTGTGAAAAAGCGCAGGTATTTTCTCATCAGCCTCCAAGCATAAAGAGCAAAAAAGAACCAAAAAAGAACCAAGGTTCAACTTGGGGGAAACAACCAAAGTCATCTTCGCGACCAACCAAGGCGGAGAGTCGAACTCACCACCTTTGGATTCTATTTATGCTAGACTTTGGAAAGAGGGTTCCATCGAGTGGTCTACCGTGTGAGCCACAGAACCGATCTCTGCTAGCAAATCAAACCAGCTTCAATATAGTGGTGAAAGATGAAGTGAGTGAGGACGTGTGCACACAGAGAGCCGAGAAGACAGCGCTTCTCGATGGGCTATCTCATGTTTCAACTTACCGTCACACACACAGTGTTTTCAGGTCTATAAGCATAGAGGGCCGACGTGACAAAGTCCACGGGAGGTCTCCTCCAGGCAATGCGCACGCCGAGTGGTCTCGTTTTCATGTTGTCGTCTCATAAACACAAGATCGAATCCCATCACAACTCTGCACTTTTCAAGCTAGCCGCCCATTCTTTCTGCATCCCAATATCAATTTCATTACTGCAGTCCTCACCTCACCGCATGCACCTTCAACATGGATAGAGACTTGCACACGCATGTGCACATCACGCCCTCATTCCCTTTCGAGCTGCACTACATCAAAGCACTTTATCTGAACCATCAATACAAAGAGTGCGCGCGTAGATGCGAGGACTTGCTCTGTCACAATCAGGTAACGCTTTGCCGTGGCATATCAATGCAACAAACATCAATGGCATAGTCTGACGTACCTCGNCAGGATGAACCAGCACACGTCGTCTTCCTCAACTTCTATGGTGCACTGTCTCATGAAGGCCTTGCAAAGATAATGTATGTTTATTCAGTGTGGAGACTGCCCAGAATCTCTGCAGCCGAGTCCGCGTACAACAAAGCACTGGATGCGTGCTCAGAAGCAGAGCATCGCCTCGAAGAGAGCTCTACACTATCACTACCAGGATTCGCCCTCGATCATCCCGTGCCCCATCTTGCCGCTTCGAACAGCATCCATGTGCGCAAGAGAAGCAACAAGCCGTCCCTTGCTCATTTCGGTCCAGGACTTGATTCTTCTCACACCAAGTCGAGCAAACATGCCAAGCGTGTCAACTTCAGCTGGTCACGCAGCTTTACACCACTGTCATGCGCAACAATCAAAGCCATCCAATACAGCGTGTGTCAAGACATGATGTCTCCCCTAGAAGACCCATTTACAGTCTCNCCCTCTGAGTCATCAAGCGGCGGAACATCCGCTCAGGACACTCCAATCAAGACCGACCATCTCAGTGCAAATGGCAGCAAAGATGTATTCGACTCACCTCATCCTCCAACTCCCACTCCTTCCTACAGATCCGTTCAGCCTTCCGTCTCGCGTGCTCATGCAACTTACTTGGCCCACCTCGCCGCCCTGCACGACCAACTTACCACTCATTTTCAACAACTCCTCGAGTTGAAGCAGTCTACCATCGCTGAACAAGAAGAGCGTGTCCGTCGTCAAAGCGGATCTACCTCGTCCGCCAGTAACACCAAGACCAACACCAAGTTGCCTCAGTCACGCAGTTTCTGGAGCTTCAAGGACGCAGAGGTGGAGAAGAAGGAGAAGCTGGCCCGAATTGAGGAAGGTAGAGCCAAAGGCTGGAAGACTGCTAGATTCGAGCCAAAGAGATATACTGAGTTGGCTGAGAATGCACTTGCCGAGTTGGAGTAGGTCAAGCGTTCAGGATCGAGAAGTAATGCACTAATGGTTGGTGATACCGACTGCGAGAATGGTTATCAATATGTACAACTCATTCGCGCTGTAGGTCAATAGTTTGGCCAAACCAATCGAAGTCTTGTTTATCCTGAACGACCATCCAATAGACCTGATTATAAAGGCTAGCTGCAATAGAGCTTGATGAAAATGGTGTTCTGTTTGGACGCCTCCTGAGATTATAAAGCCTGGTCTACTACACTTTCTGCTGTATCAGAACATGATCGAGATCTTGCGTGTACAGCGGAGCGAGAATAAGAGGAACGATTTACTTGTGATTCGAACTGGTGAACAATCTTATTAGCACTTGCAGCTCTAAGCATCTGATTCCTAAGGTTTGCTGTGTCCAACCAATCTTGTACTTGGTTTGTTCCTTGCTTGACCAGTATGATAGCAATCACTAAACCTGGACATCAAACTGATCTTGCAAGACCTCTTTCTCAAGTACACTGCTGCAAAGACACACTATATTTTCGGCATAAGGGTATAATCCCTGAACAGTGACTCCTTAAAGGGGCTTCTCTTGTAACAATAAGGATCTGAAGCAGAGGATGCATTCCTTCCATCGAGTCACACAAAGGGAGGCCTGGCAAACAGTGTCCAGAGGCTTCCAAGATACTCCATCGCTGGCTTGCTTTGTATACTAGCAATCAGATGTGGCCATGTAAGCACCCTGATCTTCCCTGTAGACTAGATCAGTCTCCAGTATCAGTGTATATCAACACGTCAGGACATCCGAAGCTTGAAGCGGCACTATCAAGACCTCATCTCAACCTATCACCACATGTCTCCTTACCGTCTATGATACATATCGTCGTGCAAGAATCAAGAACACTGTCGGATCTATCACTATGACCAGCACTGCCCCTCGTCCCAACCCTGGACATGACCACGATCCTGTTACAATCTGTGTGGATTGAGCGCCGCAAACTACAAGGGCATTTTCTAGAAAGCATACTCCCTATTGGCCGATAACAACTCTATATATCTGAGGACGAACCACCAGTGTGAACTGGAACGACAGACGCATCGCAACCAGACCTGATGCCATTCTCAAAGACCTTCTAACAAAGAACGATGACTATCGTCCTCTTTGATTCATATGTAATAACTCACAACCTTGTCTTCTGTCACTACACCCAGTATCAAGAATCTCATACTTTGCAAATTCCGGATTCGGTGTCACAACTCCATTTGGTCTTCCTGGACATCTTACAATACCTCGAAAGAGATCTGCGATTAAATTTGCACCTCATGCAGTTTGTTATCTCAGTCGATGAACTAGCAAGAGAGGAGATGGCTGAAAACGCTCTGCAGGATATCCAGGTAAATTCTTCTTATTAGTGTGGTCTTGCGGACTCCAGCGTACTAACGCATGATGTAGTCACTCTGGCCTCGACCCCCGAGAAACTGACCTCGACCATACTTATACAGACCCACCACTGCATGAGCATCAGCAGAATAACCATCAGATATCACCACCTGCGACGGTTCTTGGTGCAGTGTGCTTCGCTCCTCGAACACGCTGGACAGCCCATGACAGATGCCGAGGCAAAGGAGATCGCCCTGAACGCCAAATAGCACGTTCTCGGTGCTATGAACGCTGACGAAATGCCTTGTCGGAAGTTGAACCCGAAAACTTCCATGGTTGCCGACTGGCTGGAGGTCGATACAGACACAGAGGAAGAGTCCATGCGTGCTGGGGATCTCAACATTCAAGGGCTGAAGGACTCTCAAGGGGACTATACTATTCTGGTAATCTTGCCCGAGATATATATATAGAAGATGTTTGGCAACACCCGAGACAAGGATTCTGCCATGAACATGGCTATGCACTTACATCGGTTGTGTCTCCCGGCGATCTCGGAAGTGATATAGGGAGAGACTAAGGAGCAACTGGGGAAGAAGAACGTACTCAAATGCAAGGTGGCCAAGGAGATAAGAGAGCTGGCTCCCGAGGAATGAGTTTCCTTTCTTTCGATAACGAGTTACTCGACGGAGGACGAAGACCATGCTTTCTAGATTGCACTAAGTCTCACAAAGTCCAGGAAGCAGCTTGTAGAACCATCGCAAGGAGACAAGAGAGCTGAAACCAGGCTGAGCAAGTAATGATCCACATCATCCTATGCAAAATGCCACAGCAGAACCATAAAACAAAAACACAACAAGCAAAAGAACTGCTTCCGAAGAAGGAGAGATCCCCCACACTAGCAACCTCGGGTGGAGAGGGTTTACAAAGTGTGTCGAGGGGGTTATCTTTGAAGCAACAGCCGGGACTCCAACCACTGCCTGGGGAAAAGGACCTATATTGTTGTGGTGAAACAGTGGGCTTCTCCCGGGGTTCGAACCCAGGTACCGCTCCACCAGAGATTAGGGTCTTACCGAGTGGGCCACGGAACCTTTTGATGGTGACTGCTGCTTGACAATGGGGGATTTTGCTGTATGTGTATGTTGCTTTGGAAATGGAGGGAGGGTTGGTTCACTGTGTTCACTCGTGCTCTCTCTCTGTCTCTCGACATGATACACACCGGCATTCATCATCATCAATATCTCTTCTCATTGATGATTGTGCGGTCTTGAATACCCCTCTACTCTACCAATTGGTCTTCCAGTCTCACCTACTTAGCACTCTGTCAACAACCGCTTTCCAAAGCACATGTCTGCCGCTGTTCATCAAATCGTACAAGCGGATATCTTCAGAGACTTCAATTCTCTACTTTCATCTCCTGCTGTGTGCGCCTCAAATACTCAACCAACTTGTTCATCAACTCTTTGATTAACACATCTACCTCACGGCTCACCTTGGGTGCAACTAATCCCTCTTTACTCAAAACAATCCGTCAAGATCGACTGCTCTGTCAAAATCACCAATGATTTCGTCCGAACATCATTCACGATTGCAACAAACTTGCTAAACTCCCTTTTGATGGATACGTACCGCCCGCAGACGCTCATCAACTTCTGATCCATCAAGTTCTTGAACAATCACCAGCTTCTTCACTGAGATAGGAAGTGCGTTGGAAAGTGTCGATGGAATGGAGATTGTGCCTCTCACATAATAGATAGAAGCCATCAAGTCAATGAATCCCCATATAATCTCAGGATAAATGCCTCCATTAGTTTGATGCACTGTCTTGTGCGCAACAACTGACCTTTTCATATTCATCACTTACCTTGTGTGTTTGTGCATCTTCAAACTAAGAGAACATTGACCCTCTGGTCATGAGATATTATGGTCATCATCGGTCGAAACAAAGGGTGAGCTGTAAGAGTGCATAAAATCACGATTGTCTTGTGAAACGAGCAGGATATCACCAGCAAGTTAAACTAGACAGCTCTTTCTAAACCAGTCTTCTTGGTCATGAAAACTGTGTATCTCTACAACTACAGCTAGTTTCTAAATCTTGTGGTATTGCTTGAGTGGTAGATCACTGCAAGTGATATGTCAAGGTCCTCTAGCTCCTCATCACTTGAAGACAAAACGATAGTACTCATAGCTTGTTGTAATAGGAACCAGCCTTGATCGGGAGTCTGTTCTGGAATGGATGCTCATATCGACATATCTTATACCAGTTTCAATTGGAAGCCACCACCAATCTCCTCATTATCACGTCCTGCAAACAGTCCACTAAAATCTGATGCAGCAGCACCACCCTCGCCACGCATAGGCGCGTTGGGTGTCCTGTGTTTACGTCTTCTTTCTTGACCAGCCTTACTGGGGAAGGTAGGGAACATGGCTGTGCTCTTCGGCCGCGGGTCTTCGGTGAAGTAACTGTGTTCCAAAAGCTCCTTCGCCGATGGCCTGTTCGCTGGGTTCAGAGACAACAAGGCAGATAGCAGATCGGTGCCTGCTTTTGTCAGGAAGGGGAACTTCGAGCGTATCACTGAGCCAGTCGTTTGTGCATTGCGTGGTAGCCGTAATGAGCGGGCGTTGGGCAAGCGCTTGAAGCCGGGCCATGAAGCATCGGTCGGCACACCGCAGAGCTCGAAAATCTTGCTGAGCTCATCTACTTCGTTCTTGCCTTGGAGCAGTGGTACGTTGGTGAGAAGTTCACCGAATATGCAACCAACACTCCACATATCGATACTACTGTCGTATGTTGTAGTACCTAGAAGCAGTTCTGGGGCTCGGTACCAGAGAGTGACGACGAGTTGAGTGAGGTTCTTTGGCGGTGGATCGCCGCAGAAGCGAGCCATACCAAAGTCGGCAATCTTGATCTCTCCTCGATTGTTCATGAGGATGTTTGACGTTTTCAAGTCACGATGCAGGATCCACCTATCGTGCAAGAACTCGATGGCACTGCCGAGCTGCAGCATCAACGTCTTGACCTCGCTGGGCAGGAATGGCTCCTCCATGTCATCCATGAGTGTCTTAAGATCATGCTCCAGGAAGTCCATGACCAGGAAGATGTCGTCAACATTGCCCTTCTCACCAACTACGACCTCTCTCAGATCGACAATGTGTCGATGTTTTGCGGCAGATAGTGTTTGGATTTCGCGTAGAGCCGTGACAGGGAAGCCATTCAGTGCAGCGCCTGGCTCCATCTTCATCTTTTTGATTGCGACGATATCTCCCGTAGCCAGTTCCCTTGCTCGTGACACGAAACCATAGCTGCCCTCTTCAATGTGGTTCAGTCGCTCGAAGCTGTCGATGGTGCGAGCAGGTTGCCATGATGGCGCATGGAAGCGGACAAGTTGACGCGGTTGATCCCAGTCTTGTGCAGGCGAGAGTCGTCTTCTCTTGGATGGTCTGTCATCAGACTCTGCGGCTTGTTGTTGTTGTTGTCGTAGTCGGTCGGCTTCTTCTTGCTTGCGCTGCTTCTCAGCCTTTGCGCGTTTCTTTTGTTCCTTCTCTTGCTTGCGTTGCGCTTCTAGGGCGGCATCATCTTCATCGTCGGCCCAGCGAGATACCATGATGGAAAGGTTGTGGTTGGTGTGTGTTTGAGATGGTTGCCGACGTGTGCGTCATGAAGTTGCGGCGAATTTGGAGACCTCCGAGCTGAAGCTCTTCCACTTTTGTCGCGATAGACACCGTCCATACATCTCGTGCACCAGACACCGGAGTGGAAGCATGAGACGCAGCACAATTCAAATAGCCAGGCGGGTAGCTAATGAGCGACTATCGCTGTCGCGACGGGCCCTGACTTGCTCCGGCGCAAGATGTTCGTCGACAAGCTCTAGGGAGTGGTCCACGCCCCTGGCAAAGACATTGGGAGAGGCCATCACTGTGAGTCCAGCTTTGTTGATACCACGAAGTCTGTATTCTGACAGTTATCGCAGNACGACTGGACCCATTTCTGTAGCGGCATACATGCGACAGTGCCTGACCTTCCCCGAAACTGGCTACTACACACAATCGACCGAAGGCAAAGACCCATTCGGCAAGAAAGGAGATTTCGTCACGTCTCCTGAGATCTCACAGATCTTCGGTGAACTCATCGGACTGTGGTTTGTGGCAGAGTGGATCGCCCAAGGCAGAAAGAGCAGCGGAGTTTACCTGATGGAAATGGGCCCTGGACGAGGAACCTTGATGGACGACATGCTGAGATCGATCCGCAACTTCAAACCTCTGGCCCAAGCTATTGACGGCATCTATATGGTCGAAGCCAGTCCGTCATTACGTCAAGCCCAGCACAAGCTCCTATGCGGTGACAACCCCTTGGAAGAAATCGACATTGGCTACAAGAGCACATGCAAGTACACTCCCGACTTGAGCATCATCTGGTGTGAGGACATCCGCTTTGTGCCCAGAGAGACAGACAGCTCGCCCTTCATCGTCGCCCACGAGTTCTTCGATGCTCTTCCCATCCACGTTTTCGAGTCTGTCAAGGCCCAGGCTGCTCCCAAGCAGATTCGCACCCCTACTGGCATCCACAAGGTCGACCCCTCAGCTACTGGCAACCCAAACACTGTCTCGCAATGGCGTGAACTTGTCGTCTCGCCCACCTCGCCCTACGCAACCCACGACACACTTAACACACCGAAGTCACAACGCGATCAACCTGTCCCTGAATTCGCACTCACCCGCTCGCAAGCAGCCACACCACACTCGCTCTTCCTCCCCGAGCAATCAAATCGTTACAAGAACCTCAAAGACACTGAAGGCTCCGTCATCGAAGTAAGCCCCGAATCACAAACATATGCCGCAGACTTTGCTGTCCGAATCGGTGGAGGCGTCAGCCCCTCAGCTCTCTACAGTACCCACCCCGATCAGACCCCCCCTCCTATTGGTCGTCGCGTTTCTCCTCGTCGTGCTCTTGAGGAAATCGTCAAGAAGCAGGCTTCCGGCGCAGCATTGATCCTCGACTACGGCACCGCCGCCACAATCCCTGTAAACTCTCTTCGTGGCATCAAGGAGCACCGCATGGTTTCTCCTCTCTCAGAACCCGGTAAAGTTGACATCAGTGCTGACGTCGATTTCCTCGCTTTGGCTGAGAGTGCCATCAATGCCTCTCTGCACGTCGAAGTTCATGGACCTGTCGACCAAGCACGTTTCCTTACATCCATGGGTATCGAGCAAAGAGCAGCTCAACTTGTCAAACTAGCTGTTGATCGCGAACGAGGCAGTGTTGCGGAGAAGGCCGAGGGCGAGAGAACGAAGAGCGATCTTACTGAGACAGTCAAGAGAATCGAGAGTGGGTGGAGAAGACTCGTTGATGTGGGACCTCAGGGCATGGGTAAACTGTATCAGGTCATGGCTATCTTGCCACATGTACCGCCCAAGCANGGAGAGCAGCCCAGGAGACCTGTGGGCTTTGGTGGTGATGTGGCCGTCTAGGTGAATGAACATGTGGTCTGTACAGCTCTTCTTCTTGTTGATGATTCATCTTTTACATCACATCAAAATGCACAGAACAATTCACATCCAGGTCTGTGTCCACCGAGAGTAGATAGAAGGAGTTTTACATTGAAGAAGAATCACCTCGATCACTACTCCACTCTCATATCTGCGAGCTGTTGTGACATGGGAACCTTAACACATTGGACAATATCTGCTTGACCTCTCCCGTGATAGTGGTATCTCTGATCAACACGCTAGGTTCCAGAAATATTGGTGGCAGGCTTCCCTTCCAGCATCTCGTTGATGTGATCGTAGGTCATATTTAGCAGTTTGTGTAGTGCTTGTTCGAGACTATCCGAAGAGCCCGGCGCCGTGATGGCTTTTCGACCGTCGTCGTGCTCTTCTACGATCATCGCCATATAGCCATATTGGTCGTCGTACCACTCCCGTCTGACCACTATTTTTACGTTGATGGTCGTGAGTCGTTCGCGATGTAAGCAGCGCCAGTTGTCTATTTTGTGTCAGTATGTACTTAGCAGATCTCCAGGGAATAGAAGGCTGCAACTTACTAAGTATTTGGGTTTGAAGATCCATACTGGTTGTAGTTTTAGACGGCAGAACGGTGTGAAAGTGTGGAAGTCTGAGAGTCTTTGTATAATGAGTGCAACGATCCCGAAGAGGAGAGTGTGTGTGGAGGCTTTTTGAAGCTTTTCTGACTGTCTCACGTTCGAGTCATCCTACATTTATGCTTACAACAGTCATCTCGAACACGTGTAGGTGAGGAACTCGTCATGTGACGCAAAGGCTCTTGCTTCCCAATTACTCTTAGATCATTCACAGCATGAAAGCCAGTAGTACCGTGCTTGATTGACTCTAGGAGAATATAACAGGTGAAATTCGTTGTGTGTTGATAAGATATCACGGGATCCTGACTTCTCCCCTCTTTCATCGCCCCTTCCTTCTCAATTCGACATCGAGTCAGGGCTTTTGAGAAAGTTGGTGAGTCACTCTCTGGAAACAACTTCAGATGCGAAAGTTTGCTGCATTGCGATAGCACGATCTTCGAGCAATCAGTGCTTTGAAGGACACTCTAGCATATGTTGAATCAATAGCCCCTGTACCTATCATGCTGTGCCCTGAACCTGTTTCCAATAACGTCTACCAAAGAGTATCTGCCGGTCTTCGATGCCATATTTGTGACCGTGGAGTAGTTGGTGAGTCACTCTCTTGTGGAAGCCAGCTCGATGATATGGTCGAGTGCTTTATGGGAACTCTTCATCTCTATTTCCTCGACTGACTGCTTTGATTTCTCCCTATCTTACTCGGTCTAAAACAGTAATACCGTGACTGATTGACTCTAGGAACATATGGCAGGTGGAAACGGTTGTGTGTTGATATGATATTACGGAATCTTAACTTCTCCCCTGGGTAAATTTCCCCTTTGATCTTCGATGCCTATTGCTGAGTTTGTGACCTCAGAATAGCTGGTAAGTCACTCTGTTCGAGAAGGCGTTTTTCTCGAGGTTCTCAATTTTCTGCTCTGATTTGTCAATACATTCCAGGATCAGCTTAACGCATTCTCTGGTAACTTACTCTAGCAGCCTGAAGCAGCTGCCAAAACCGGCCAGTGCGTTGGGCCTGTCTTGTAGGACGGCGACAGAGGCTGCACTGATATACGGGGATGTCTTGACGGATGATGGCAAGAAGGTGGGGAATGGAAGACCTGAAAGAAGCCCATTGTCTGCCACGAGGATGGCCGTGGTATATGTTGACGACTCTGCGAGGACCGCTGGGTCCTGGACTGGTGTAGAAGGTGGCGATGTAACCTCGGGGCCAGTCAACGATGCGAAGACTACCGCCGAGGGGGANCTAGAAGCTGGTTGTTAGGACGACTCAGCTTGATGCTTTGGCTGTAGATCAGATCTCACGGAATTCGGCGTAGTTATGGATCAAAATATAGTCTCTGAGTTTAACCAGCAGAGGGTTGACTGGCTGCCTTTGGCGATTGTGTATGTTAGGCCAGTTAGCCTGAATACCATCGCTCAGGTGATGGCTTAAGTCGATGGTTTTAACCAGCTGAGGGGCCGCCATAGTGGTGTATATGAGCTTGCCACGTGATCTGAAGAGGGTTGTCGCTCAGGAGGGCGAGAAAAGAAGAATATGCATGTGAAGTGGCCATCACTCAAGTTTTCCTGGTCGACCGATCAGCCTTGTTCGACGACGGATGGACGATTTGCTCGTCGACGAACGACATCATCTGCACTGTTTCGGGGCAGTCAGGCTTCATCATCCATTCTGCATCTAAAGTCATTCCTAAGTAAGGATTGAACCGCTCAAAGAGTATCTATCCACAACGTGTTACAACGTTACTGACCCAGCTTGCCATCATCATGATTGAGAGTGGTTTAATATCAATCACAGTGCACTGCTTATCAAGGGCTCTCTTTGAACACCACTTATTTTGATAGTATGATCTTCAGGTTATAGGTGCTTGGGGATCATTGCTAGCGTATGTTGAACTTCTAGTCCCCTGTATCCATCACGCTGTGCCGCGCAACCGTTCCCGGAGCAATATCTGCCAGAATCTTCCTTTGTCTTTTGTCATTGTCGAATGTCACAATCATGCTCGGAACAAGGGCTGCTCTGTAGTCAAGCAGCAAACAGAACACTCTGAAGAGCCTGAGCCTTAGCTAGTATGGAACATACATAGGGGTCATCCTCTCCCAGACAGCGTGACTTGTTACTTCCAACAAAGCCTGCAAAGCAAGTTCAACAGTTCCACAGACATCTACAGCAGCAATAACATTGTCGCCATCTACAGCTTTTGCCGACCACTGATCACCAGTTGAGGATAGTAGCGTGATAATGAAGAGTGATCTTGTAGGATAGAGGAAGTTGACGTTATCTAGGTTGTGTTAGATAAGAAGAGGTCAGTAAGGGAACGTGTGTACTAATGATCTGGGCACGGAGACCGGAGATAGTGTGGTTGCTGACTTCAGCCATTGGTTCGGCTTGAGAATGGACGTGTGTGGAGGTAGTGGATGTGGATGCTGTGGGTAGAGTCAGAAGACAGAGGTGTTCCTATCCGAGTTCGGAAATTGATATACCACCACGAGACGAAGTAGAATTCTGAGGTACACTGGCGGAAGGTAGTAGCTTATTGGAGCAGTTGCGGAAGCTTGTATGGATCTGACTAGAGCGTGATGGTAATGGTGAGACTGTGCATCTTTAGACTGGCAGAGAGTTCTGATATCGAAAGCGTCTACATCAAGCACTTTCCAAGGGACGATGACGGATCTCGATGATTCAAGATCCAAACACTCCCAGTATAACGATGGTAGAATTCTGTAGAAGGGACTTCCAAGTACTGATGTCGTCTGCGTTGACAAAGGACTGCTTATTTGTTCTCAGAGGTTGCCAACAAAGAGCAACTTAACAATCGGCACTTTCGAGACGCTATAAACCCCAGGATATAAAGGCGTGAAGTAGGGCTACATGACATAGCAATGGCATTGAAGACTATAGTATCGCGTTTGACCAATCTCAGCTACTCAAATGCAGACTTTTGACTGTCATGAAGGCTAAGATGCTTACGCATCAATTGGCAAAGGCAGTCTCCAGCGGCTTTCTAATCTGCTCTAGTATCAGCACTGCCATCATAGTTCTAACTGACTGCGACTTACTTTTCTGCGTTAAGGGGACATCCCGCAACAGGCGCAGCAAATATCCAAAGCAAGCGTGGATGAGCCCCTGAGCACCATTGACTTTCCACCAGATTACTTGTGGTCGTTCGACGTCATCTCACCCAGAATTTTGCAGGTCTGCTCGAACATCTTGCGCAGAGCCGGCTGAGGTGTGTTCCAAGGACAGAACTCTTTCATCAAAACCTTCTTGCCTTTATCGGGGTGGGTGATCAGGAGAGCCTCGAATATGTCCTCGGTGGTGTAGGTGACGGTAGGGTACATCAGGAGTTCTTGCTTGTTCTTCTTGCGCAGGGTGATGATGAGAAGTGCGTCGGCGTTGCCAGGGTCGATTACACTGTGATTTTCNNTTGGTGATGTCAGCATTGATCTTGGATATGCGCTCTGGATTTGCTGACCGAGAATCTGCTCGCGGAGACCGGCGAGCTCGTTGAAGCCGTGAGACATTTCGTTGCTCCCTCTTCGTACTTCTGTCGGTGTTGTTTGAAGTTGATACTTCGATCGGATGACTGGTCGTCGTTTGTCACAGTCCGTTCGCCTCCTGTTTATTTTCACTCCCAACGCGTCTAAGACTCGAGGTCGCATCCATATATGTAAGTGAGCTAGTGCTTCACAGACTCACAACACTTTCTGCTCACTATTGTTTTCTTGGGTAATAAAGTCAACTGCATATTTCTGCTTCTCGTATTACCTCTCACCATCTGTCAGGACTTCATAACCCTGACATGCCAAACACATACCAACAAATCATGGATTCTCTCTCTGCTGAAACCATGATGATGCTGCGTGCTTAGATCAAGGGTAAATCATCTTCGTACGCTAAAGCATCCTTTCGCAAGTTTTGACATTACATTTAGACAACTATCGCTTCGTCTACTCTCTAGCCGGCGATATCAACGTCGTCGTTGTCACACACGACAATCTCTACTGGATCATAGTCCAGCACAAGATGGCCCCTACTCTTTGGAAGTCTAACAATGGCCACAAGACTGAGGGTGCTGTTCTGCAGGGCACGGCCAACTACTCGAACACATAGGCCTGGGAAGAGTCCAAAGAACACAAAATCACACTGTCTAAGTAGATCCACAAGTCCACTCATAGGTACGACAATTTTTTGCGCTATTGACGTCAAAGCGTTGACTGAATCGATAGGCAAAGCATCGAACCCAGGATGGGCTAGACGCAGATCGATGTGATCGAAACTTTTACTATCATTTTGCGGTGTCTTGAGATCGACATCGACCTTCGGGACTGGTTCTATCGCTGCAATTTCTCTGGTTGCCAGTAGATAGCAGCCATGAGAACCCCTCATCATGTGTCTACAATATTCATTCTTCCTTCTTTGGAAACTTGCCCCCAACCTTTCTTCCGGCCGATCGTTCTGTTTGTCAATCATCAAACATATATACACACTGCTCCACCCTTTTGGGGATGAATAAGAAAGAATGATCTTGGCACTTAGACAGCCAATCACATTATCCTAGACAAGTGCGAAAATAGAGAACGAGGCGCTGAGGAATTCTTATGCGTACCAGAGAGAGCTGTTGGGCAACCAGGGGCCTTCACTATAGGCAGCCAGTCGGGTCTCACTTCCAGGACACCCGCTCCTCAATCGTTGCGTGATACTCCAGTCAAATTGATTTTCCTTCAGCAGTTGGAAAGTTGGCCTACTTGGTAAATCACTCACAAATCCATTGCGATAAAACTCCTAGAAGTCCTTGGTTCGATCCTTGGATGTAGCGGAACATTATGTCTTTCTCTCTTGCAAAGGTAGAATACTTTGCCTGTAGGAAGGGTTTTCCCTAGCCACTGGCTTGGTTTTTGCTTCTTTCCAAGATAGTGAATCTTGCTTGCTGTACTTTCTGCCAGATTTTGCGCGCACTGCCTCCATTGAGTATTTGTTTGTTTTGGCATCTCGATTGAGTGTGTCTCAAGATTGTCCGGAAGGAGCATACCACTAGTTGGCTTCTCTATGCGCGGCCTTGATTTTGCAAGAACTATCTGTATCTTGGAGCTCGTGGAGATTTGTGGGATATAAGACAACCAGTGGCGTGTCCCATACCATCTCTCTACGAATCATGCTTCTCATTAGAGTCTGGTGATGTACTTTCGTTTCTTGGGTCTGAGCTTACTTGCTCACATTCTTCGCGGTTGGAACATGAACCAATCTTTGCACTTTGGATTATGATACTTGACTCTCTGACCTTGGTCCATTATGCAAAGAAACGACTGAAACGCATATTGCTCTGTCTCCCTGATACACAATCTTTCTCCATCAAGGATCGGTATAGATATCCACATACTGACCAAACACTTCGCTCCATACAGATCTATGAGCAGCCACCCTGTGGAACCTGCCCCTAGAGAGATGTTCGACCAGAGACGGTGTAGGAGATTAAGTAGACGGCGCTGAAGTTGTAACGGTCGATTCAAACACGGTGGTGATCTGAGAAGTGATCGTTTCGGTCGAGTATCCAGTTCCAGTGCTTGTAACGATTGCCACACACGGATTTGTGCTATACACAGCAACTGCTTGAACCCCAGAACCAAAGGTGGTACCACCTCCAGGCGAAGTCTGCGCGAGTGAGCAAAAGGTACGCGTAGGATTGTAGACAGCTAAATTGCAGTACGCTGAAAATTGGCTACAGTAGCTTAGGCATGTGTTGACATCTCGGACTCCAGGGGCGTTGATACGGAGTGATCCAGAGACGACTACATTGTCGCATTGCTCGCTGTAGTATGTGCCAGCGGTCGAATAGACCGTGTTTTGACAATTTCAACTGGAGATACCGTGCCTACTGTGCATGTTGTGACGGTCTCGATATTTGTGGTAGGCGTGGTCTGGACTGTGGTGTATGTACTCGCATAGCTGGAAGTGACTGTGACAATCGATTGTTCAACTCCAGCTCCAGCCGACGGTGTAGCGGTCGCTGTGACTACCTCAGTACTCGTTGTTGTCGCGATGACCGTAGTCACGCTGATAGTTTCGGTGTTCGTTTCGGTGATTTGCAGAGTCATGATTGGAGGCGTGATCGTATAGTTGCCACTGATGATCGGCGTGATGGTTGTTGTGCTCGAAGCCGTTTGCGTGTTGGTGATTGTAGTGGTCATTGGTGTTTGTAGACAAGAGCACACTTGTGCGATATCAGATGACGGTCGGGCCATGATGCTGGAAAAGATGCTGGCTTCGGGGTTGGCATTGTTGTTTGCCTCTTCTGGATGACTACTGTGCTTTCGGTCTCAGTCGTGGTTCTAGAGCACAAGATTAGTATAACGTCATCATGATTGGTCGCAGTGGAAATGGACTCACATCGTGGTTGTGTCTGTGACTGTAAGCTCGGTTGAGAAGTAAGAGGTTTCGGTAATTGTCGCCTCGTTTGTCTGCACTCTCGTCTCGGCAGTCAGAGTGACATTGCTGAAGATTGTGGTCGCAGGAGCCACCGTGGTGACTATCTCTGTGGTTGTGGCATCGAATGAGCTGGTAGATGCAGTAAGAGGATAGGCTGAGGAACAGTAGGACATGGCAGGCGCATATCCAGCGATATCACTTGCGACTGCACAGCCATTGAATGGGGCAACAGACGAACTGCTTGTGATCGATGCTGAAGTTGTAGAGACTGTTGAAGAGTTGGTCACAGATGACATGCTGCTCAGGCTAGGTGTGCTGCTGGACGAAGAACTGATAGGGTTGATCGAAGTTGTACCTGAACTCGAAGCGGCGGAGCTGAAAGTGGTATCGGAGAACGCGCTCAGACTAGACATACTGCTGAACGTAGAGGTCGTGGAGATGGTCGACGAATTCGTAGTGGACGGAAGGGCATTCGAATTTGAGCTCGAGACGAAAACCAGAACCGGCTCTGAACTGGATATCGAAGTCGACCTCGTGATAACGCTCGACGATACGGACACAGCGACGGAGACACTCGAGCTGGATCTCTCGCTTGACCTCGAAGTCGTCGAAGCCAACGAGCAGTTGGTCATCGGATACAGAGCGCTACTCAAGCTGATTCTGCTGCTTGATTCCGAGATAGGATCAATGCTTGTCGTGTCACTGTTCGTCGTCGTGATGAGAGTCATGCTAATACTCGAACGAGTGACTACTCCTGGGCTGGTCGATACCAAAGAATCTGTCGATACTGAAGAGCCTGCACGGTCAGTCGACCTCGGAAGACTCGTAGAGGCCAGCGAACTGGTAGACACCGAAGGGCCCGTTGACGCTGACGGTCTGAAGATGACAATAGCAAAAATATTTCCATCAGCATTTCTTCGGCTCTGTGCATTGAATCGGGCCAAAGGGCTACACGAAGAAGTATTTTCATCTAGGGAGGTAGCCACACAGTCTGCTTGCTGGGCACATCGGGCAAGACATGTGCTGAGCTCGAAAGAAATGCCGGCCAAAGTACTGGCCTGGCGTTTGCGTAGATTGCCAACAGCAACGCCATCGTATGATGTGTCATACTCCAGCAGGAAAGTTACATTTTCCATAGTCACCATCGTAGGTCGAGGAGTGGCCACATTCGTGGTCGTGACTATGTCCGTGGCAGTTTCTGTCTGTATCGTCGTAAGGATACTGGTAGCTGTTGTCGTAATAGTGGTAGGAGCCTGTTCAACGATGGACTCAATTACATAGATATAGATTATCTTGACGATGTAGTTGACCGAAGGAACTAGAGCCGTTGGTACGGCTCCTATGCTGGTTGCAGTCAATTCGAGGACAGTTGACTGCACCGTGCAGGGGCAATCAGTAAGAATGACACCATCGCCACCGATGGTGGTAGTTCCGGTCTGGCATGTTACCACTTGACCACTCATACCGGTCATGGATGACGGGTAGACGACATCAGTGATGCTCACAGAGGCGGTATACGCGTTGTCGGTAACGAAGTCCGGAACAAGTACCAGATTGCTGATGGTCTGATCCAAAGTCAATGTGGTTGCCTGCGCGAGAGTGGTTACAGAACCGCCGATCTCGAGGACTTGTCCGGCCTGGTATTGAGATATGGTCTGATAGACGATGTCTGCATTGTTGGCAATGGCAGACGGCAGAGTAGTGCACTGGTCGTTGCAGAGAGTGACAGTCGCTGGTGTAGGACATGGGACCGTCGAAATCATTGTTGACCAGGATGTGTGAGTGACTGTGACGGTCTGTATCGTGCCATTGTTTGCCAATGCTGTTGCGGCCGTCAAGATTGAGGCCGCAGCCAAGCCAAAGGAAGTGCGCATCTCGTCCGTTGTCAGTAATGAGATGTCAAATGGAGGAGTACGACTGGATACTGAGAGACCATTGGAAAAGAGGAATTCGACAAATCTTTATACAGTTCTGAATCACGGTCTCAGGAGTCATCAGCCTGTGAAGTGTCAATCCTTACCGTTACCCGCAAATTACTGCCATATACAGGTCACTATTACCTACTGTATGGGTTGAGATACACAGTCCCGGCGAGACTCCCTTCGTTGATACTAGAGACCTATTCCTTGGTCCGTCTGTAAACAGAAAATATGCAACAACGCTAGCGCGGCAGGTTTCAATCTCAGGCGCATCAAGTCCCGTGTATACTGCTCTTAGGATGCAACATGTTCTCATAAACACAGCTTTGCTTACCTTATACTTGATTGCTTTCCAAGTGTATGGTAATGTGATCAGTGGAGTCTTTGCTCTCGAGAATGGTAGATATCTTTTCTACTGCGACTCCAGACTCCAGTACGTTAGATGCAAACAGGCCGTGGAAGTATAGGGATGAAGGAGTCTATCAATCTCGGTTAGCAATAGGGACTCGATTCGCCTCCCCGCTATAACGATCTTACACAGGAGAATATACAGTACTCAACAACGGCTTTCAGCTCTGTCGGCCTTTAACGGCTTTCAGCTCTCAGCGGCTCTGCAGCTCACGACCTCCGACGGTCATACTGCCATCTTGTAGATTCTTCCGACCGGCAAGATTGGGGTTGGATTAGTACTATTTGTCAATTGCTCACGCGATACCTAGTGTTTTTCGACGTACAGTGGCGCATAGACGTAACACCTGTCAGTTTGTCTGTGCTAGTACACAGTCATCAATCTGATGCTTTACTCTTGAGGCGTTACCTGGGATTCGACGTCCAGACATCAACTTCATGCCGCGCGATCTTTGTTGGTCATAGTGTTACTGTGGTAGGAGGACAGCACGATAAGAGATCATTGCGAAGCGCTGTAGCCCACAAGATCACATTCGTTTGTGAACAGGAGCGGGGAAGTGTCGAATGGGTCTTGAGAAACACGTACTAGAAATGACGCGGAGCAGAGCCAGACGATGATTGCAAGCCATAATTCCCCAATACTACATAACAAGAATTACAAAATACCTTACTAGCAAAGAAGAAAACGACAACCGTAAACGCCACCGCTATGCATGCAAACAGCTCACAGCCACCTCAAACCGAAAAAGAGTGAAAAGCGAACAAATACCGAAACAGATCCCACCTTGTGCTCCTTCTCTTGCCCGGATTACCAGAAACTGCACCAACCACCGTAATGCTGACACAAATTCTCCAGATTCGTTGCTTCAGACAACAACTTCTCGACTTGCTCCTCAATAGCCAACTCGACATCCTTCTTGAAGTCTCTACCCGTAAGCTTTTCCTTGACACGGGCGAGGACTTGCAGGGCTCTGGCATTCTGGACCTCCTTGCCTTCGCCAGGAACATTTTCGGCGCCGGGTGGTGCACGCTTGCGACCGCCTGGTGTGCTGCGGGGCGCGGAGTCTAGTTCGCCAATGATCGACGTACGACGTTCTGATGGGAAAGAGGGCTCAGGAGGTGAATNTTTGTTGCCCAGACGCCAGGTGAGCAGAGGATCGTGAATGAACGCTTCAAGCACAGCAATGAGTGATTCTTTGTTCTCGCGGAGGACACGCATGGTATGTTCACAGGTCGTGCGGAAGCTACCTTCAATGTTCGAGACTTCCATAGCAAATGTGAGCATGCGTGTGAGACGGAAGGGAACACGCTCGGGATATTTCTCGCGATGCATGGCGACTTCGAAACAATCACCGAAATCGATGTGGATGATCTTGCCAGTATTGCGATCAAGCATCAAGTTGGACGGGTGACGATCACCAAGACCCAGAATGTAGCCGACCATGGACATGACTGCGAGGGAGCGCGTGTAGTTTGTGCGACGCTCAAGCCAGGCTTCTGAACTCTTGCTCTTCAACCACAGAACGCGGTAAAGGTCTTGGCCAGTGGTGTTGTCCAGTGCGTAGCCGAACACTTCCACCTTCTGCATGAGCGTAAGGTTGTCATAGTCGGGAGCCATCTGAAGCATGATGCGATGTTCGATGTTGAGAAGGATTTTACGACTCTCACGGTAATCCCGGATGAGAACGTGCAAGGTGTCACTGTTGGGTACCCATCCAAGCAGACCGGACTGTGTCGAGAGAGGAATGGCTGCGTAACGCTGGATATTAAGGTGACGCTTGAGCGACTCGGGATCGTGTGAGAGCAGAGTATTGACCAGACCGAAAAGTTGCATGACACGTTCATCTTGACGAATATCCTCGTGACCCTTGAGTACGTACTGATAGGTGCCTCCGTCGCTGCCAGTGAGGGTAAGCTTTCTTGGTCGCTGTTTGGACTGAATGACAGTCGACGAAGGATCGAAGGAGAGAATGCGAATAATCTCCTTGCCACTCTTGTACGTTCCAGGAAGAGCAAGCTCAAGGTCGTGAACATTTTTGAGCTTTGGTGAGACATATTGCAGCTCGAGGTTGGCAAGTTGAGGCAACTGTCTCGCTATTCTCTTGAAAACGCCGTAGTAGAGGTCCCATGCTTGGTTAAGATCACCGACCTCATTCGTACGTTTGAAGTTGTTGCACCAATCTCTGGCTTCTGCGAGGTCGCGTCCGAAGCTCTGGATAAATGATATTTCTCTCAGAGTCTCAGGGCCCTCGTCAAGCATGCGATGCAAGGGCTCAAGAGTACGGAGCATGCCGTCGATGTCGTGATCACCGAAGTATAGTCTCGACGCTTCTTCAAGACCCTCATGCCACTGTTCATGCCAGAGCACAGCGATACGGATCAGCTCGTGACTGACAACAGCTGCCTGTCTGCAAAGATTAGGGCTATGTTGCTCCATAGCAGTCATGATGTCCTTGGCAGCTCTTGAACGGTCTCTGTCTTCTGACTTGATTGAAACAGTCAATGGGTATACCAGTGCTTGTGGGTGAGCTCTTCCGACTTCACATAACAAGTGATGAATCGAATCCTTGACCAGTCTGTTCGGTTGATTGATACGAGCAATCAGCTGAGGGATGACCTCGAGCCAGGTGTCGATGCTGACAGTGGTCACACCTTGCGTGACTGCCGAGGTAACTTCTTGATGCTCGCCATGGTTGAACCACAGTGTCAGAAGACGCAGAGTGTCTTGCAAAGAGCTTGAAGAAGAGAGGGCAATTGACTTGAAGAATCCTTGAATGGCAGGAACGACATAGTCGTGGATGTATCTTCGTTGCATGCCATCGGCTTCTCCTCTGTCTTTGTTTGCGGTAAGTGCGGTAACGACCTCAAAGTTTGCCAGCGCCCAAGCGTGCCATGCCTTGTACCAGTCTTGGTTGTAGTGGGTGGCTGCCTTGTACGAAGATCTTATCTCGTGTACTCGATGAGCATCCCACTCTCCACGCATCTGCAGACTAAGCCAGTCACCTTGCTTGAGGTAGCATCTAGCAAGCAGCTTTTGCCAGTCGGCCAATTGAGCCATGTCCTTCTCAGAGATCTGAGGACTTACACCAGCTGCGGGAATTGTGTGCCATTGACACCATTGGTACCATTCATTCCGTTCATACCATTNGGTCCCAGGGTTCGTGACTGCCAATGTTCGCTGTTCGTAATCGATGCGCAGCCTTTCTGTGAAGTCTCTGAGGCCTGTCAAGGCGCCTGAAGAATATCCATTCGACCACATGTACTTGTAGACGGCGTACTGAACAGGGTACGGTGCGTGTAGAGTGCGCTCCTGACCTTCTGGTGTCATGAGACTACCTTGCCAGCCAAGAAGGGAGTTCAGCGACTTCTCAGCAAGACCGTTCCTCTGTGCCTTTCTGCAGATGCTGGCAAACTTGATGTACATCTCTGCATTCTCTGGAGGTGAGATGACCAAGGCACGCACCTTGAGCATTCTCTGCCAAACCTCGACGTTCTTTTGGCACCCCTTCAGTCGCTTGGTCCAGGTCAGACGCATGCGCTCCTGCTTGTGGGGATCACTGGAGCTTTGTTTGTATGCAATAATTTCTTCCAGCTCTGCAAGCATCTGCACACGGACGATGACACTGTACGCTCTTGTGTATGACTCGCCGAGGAGTGCACTGAGCTCTGTGTCCAACCCTTCTCTCGCTTTGTTGATATGAAGCTGTGCATCGTCGAACTGATTGCGATGAATTGAGAGAATGGCGCCAAAGAAAGAGCGATCGGGCGAGTGCAATTTCATCACAGACAAATAGCCGTCCATAAGCTCCCACTGTCCCATGCCCCATGCGGCAGCAGCAGCCAAGGCAGCGATAGACTTGCGGTTCTCCGAAGAAGCGTGCATCCACTTCTCTTGCGCAAGAGATGAAAGTACTTCCCACTCACCGAGAGCGTGAAGACAGCGCATCTTACCCATGATGACCTCGAATGAATCTGGTTCATCGCGCTCACGGCGTTGGTATGCTGTCAGGGCCTCTTCCCAACGTTGCAACTTCTCGAACCAAGTCTCCTTCATCTGGACATCCACGTAACCTTGCGCCTTACGCAAAATACCGAAGGCGGCATCAGTCTGTTGGAGTTGGTTGTTGATGCTGATCAAAGCCTCAACGTTACTGGCGTTTTGCTCGGCGTTGAACTCGAGTTCTTTATAATGAAGAGCTTTTGCGAATGCATGACATTTGCCGGCGTACATACCGAGAGTACGAACATCGATCGGAAGAGCCTTGTCGTCATGCTCCATGAACTCAGCAAGGTTCAGAAGCACTTGTAGGATCTCAGGTGGAATATGGGGTGAGGTCAGAGCAGTCTCTATCGAGCGGACCAAGGACTCTTGGTAGTGGTCGTACAGCTCAGTCCAGCATGACACGAATGCAGAGTTGAAAAGCTGCCTTGCAAGAGGAGGGTAAGAACTAGCGAGCTGCGAGCATGATCTCAATGCGTTCTGTGGCGACTCCTTGAGCAGTTCCAGACTAAATCGTCTCATCCACTCTTGCCAATCTTCCTTGGTTGACTTAGCATTGGCTGCCCATGCGATCTTGAGATGCTGCTGGTTGACTGCCAATTTGCGGTTGTCGACACCTCTCTGAACTTCTTCCGAAGCGGAAGTCTTGTATCGTTCATCTGGGCTCAGGTCTTGTGGTAGAGGCTCACCCTTCTGCAACTTGCTGACAATCAAAGCATAGTTGGTGTGTGGCACTTTGTGAGTTACAAGAATCTTGTTGATGGTCGGGATGAAGTGGATGTAGTCTGGACCAAGCTGGAAGATGAGAGCACACAGAGTATCCAGAGCAGTCTGCTTGAGTCCAGTCTCTTGGCCGCCCAAGACTCGCGAAAGAGGGTGGATGATCTTTGCAGCGAACTCAGAAATATTGACGTGTCTTGAGAGTTTGCCAATAGTCTCAATTGCGAGCTTGCGAATGTGTGTCGGCTGACCTGGCTTCTCGAACATACGGACAATGACGGGAATGATCAAGTGCATGTACTCTTCTGCGCTCGATCCAAAGACAAGGAACGCGTGCAACACTCGTTCCGATGGCAAGCGTCTAGGTGTGATGTCGTGATCGAGTACACCAAGCATCAGAGGAAGCACGTTAGCTAGGTATATTTTGAACTCGCCCTCGAGAGATTGGGCAATCGACTCAATAAGTGCAAGCATTGTCGCCTGGTAGGGAGAGTTGTCTGCCCAGAAGTCTTGTACTGTTGCAAGAATCTCCGGCAAATAAGGTCTGATGTGTTGACGAACAATCTCCACTAGCTCGCTAAGATTGTTGAAATACTTCTCAATGTTTCCTGCCGGTGAGGTTCGGATGACAAGAAGAATACCGGGAACCACTAGGCCAAGGAAGTTGACACACTTCAGACGCATGGTTCTGTAAATACTCATGACAGCCTCAACAACAGCAGCGTGATGTTGCGCGAGCGTGGGCTCCTTGAGCAAGTCCAGAAGAGTGTTGATGACAATGGTTGGGTAGTATTCCTCGTTCGAGGGTGTGGTTCCTTGCATGATCAGGCCAACATCGGTAACAGTCTGCGAATCTGCGACGAGATGGTTCTCAGAGGATTGCTCCATGACCTGATGTCTGTACGGATCCAAAGCACCAAGGATACCCATCAGTCGAATAGTCTCTTTGCGCAGTTCGCCAGGTGGCTCATTCTTGACGATCTGCACCAGGATCGAAAGAAGCTCAGGATGCTCTACGTAAGGATCGATCACGTAGCCGGAGTTACTGGCAAGCTGTCCAAGAGTCCTCAGAGCTGCTCGCCTTTTCCCAGCTGAGCTCAAGTCTTGGAGACTCTCAATAATGACCTTCATCAATTCAGGAACATACTTGACCATCTCATCACCACCGACGGTGGCCAAATCACCTATTGCCTCCAAAGTGGCAGATGCCACATCAGGATTGGGATCTTGAGCTTTCGGCAAGAGTACCGTGATCATGGGGTCAACATATGGCTTGATCAGCTTCGAAGACGAGCCAACAAGATGACTGATCAACCTTGCGCTCTCCTCCTTGTTTCTGACATTGTTTGAGTATTCGATCTCGGTCAACAATTGGATCAAAACTTTGCGCAAAGAAGGAAAGATGTAAGCTGGATTGACAGCAGTCAGGCGGCCAATAATGGTCATTGCAGCTTCTCGGATACCGAAGATTTCGTCGTTTAGTGCAAGGAAGAGCGTGCGAACGTTTTCAGCCTTTGCAAGATGACGATCAAAGCGAGCATCTAGTGATGCCAGGACTGTTCTTCGAATCTCGGCCTCCGGATCAGCAACTCCAACAGTCAAGAGTTTCTCAATGACATCGCTGACAACTTGGATCGAGTAATGGCTGGTCTGGTACACAATTGGGTCTCTAACAAACAATTGGCAACAGGTCAAGGCCGCTGCCTTCCGGATCTCGGCGTCGTCATCTTCCACGTAACGAATTGCGACGTCTCTAACGAACTCGTTGAGAACATGACCAGAGAAGTCGAAGCTGCCGAGAGTGTAGAGGGCCAGTGCTATCTGCTGCTCCTTGTGTTCGACGTGTTGAGGATCTTGTTGATCTCTGACTTCTCTAGTGAATATCCGGGGCAAGGGAGTGCTGTGACTAGGGTGGCCTGGTAGAACAAAAGGCTTGCCGCACAGAGTGATGCTCAGCAAATCAAGGAGTTTCTCCTGAATGATCGGCTTGACAGGAGGGATGTAGTGTGCCATGTCGACAAGTGCTTGTGATAAAGCATCGCTCAGACCACAGGCGAAAATTGGGTCAAGCAAAGCCTCCATGTACTTGCTCAGAGTCTGACCGACAGCGATCGAGATCATGCTGATACACTTGAAGATCGGAGCTTCATCGGTGTTCTTGATGCGTGCCTTGACACTAAGGGCTTCGCGGATATGAAGGAGAATGTTGTCGAGATAAGGAGCAATTTGACTGCCAACAGCATTTGCGACATTTCCAATGGCGATGAACGACAGATTGCGATCTTTGGGAGATTTGAGGAGGCCTTGGAGATGTGACATGGATCGGTGAATGTAGCCATTACAGAACTCCTTCGGGGCGTATCTGGCCAAGATTGGAATGATGTAAACGACCTCGCGGCGAATAAGAGGATCGCGGTGTTCACGGTACGATAGGATGCGCTCGCAAGCTTCCTTGTAGCGCGGACCGTGCATGAACATGCCTCCCTTCTGCAGCAATTCTTTTAGAGCAAGCAAAGAACCATGAATGGCCTCGACCGTGTTGTGTTGGAAACCCTTGTCTATCTCTTCATATGTTCTTGTCAACCATTTCTGGCGTGCCTGGGGGTCTCTGGCCATGAGAATCTCGAAACATTGGCTAATGGTGTTGGCGGCCGACTCGCGGATCATGACCTTGGGGTCGCGTAGCGCGACCCAAATGACCTCGAAGATGTCGGGTATCCATACGTGTAGAAGTGTGGGCGAGCTCTTCGCAAGTTCGTATAAGTTCAAGACGGCTGAGAATCTCCGATTCTCGTTGCGTTCGATCTGAAGCCACTCGAGGGCGACCTTGACTTCGGCGTCAACCAGTTCGGCGGTAAGGGTCCCTCCAGGCGAGACGAGATGACCGAGTGTCTTTGCAGCGACGACCATGGCAGCCGTGTCGTTGCCCGTCATGACCTTGCGTAGGACAGTATGGAATCGCGTCGTCTTTTGAGCAGCATCGTCGCCCTTGAAGTCGATGAGTTGTGAAAGTGCGTAGAGACCGCCGGTTCGTTCGTGTGTGTCGGCTCCATTCTGGATGAGTTCGGCGATGCGTTTGTTGACCTCGACGTAGTAAGGAGCGAATTGAGCGGCCGACAATTCNNTGTGGCGGATGCGTGTCAGCTGGAGTGCTTCAGTCAGATGGATACGACGAGCGGCCTCACCTCTATGTGCGGCTTCTACTTCGTGTAGTAGGCTCTCGGCAGCATGTAGTCGTTTCTCATCGCGCCTGGATGGCGTGGGTCAGCAAGATGATAGTATTGTCGAATGAAGCAGGGTAGGGTACCTTGATTTGAGCTCTTGGACGGTGCGCTCGAGCGCATCGCGGTAGGCTTGAGCCATAGTCTTGCCTTACCGCGCTACTCATGCGCCACTGTTCATCTAGGTCTGGTTTCCTCGCCCTGTTGGTTCAGCAGTAGAATAGCTTGAGTTGTGATGCTGTTGCTTGGTATGCGTTCATTCGGTGCAAGCCCGACTGCTCCTTCCAAGACTGCGGGGTGCACGTGGACTTGTCAATCCACCGCAACCTCTGACATCTTCCCTCTCCTACTCTATCTCCAATCGCAAGTATGTCCTCGATCATGCTGGAATCATGTTTGACTATTGTACTTGTCTACTTGCTGGGAACGGCTGTTGTCTCTTGCTCCTGACTTTCCTCATTGACGGCCTGTCAAATAGACAATGACAACTCAACTCTGGCATTTGTCCATCATGATTATTCTCAGATGCGTAGGAAGCAGCTGCTCATGACTTACCATAGAACTCTTGTTCAGAATTACTCGATAGCGACTGATATCAACATCATCAAGTCAATGGAAACCGATCATTTCAGAACTCTCATTTTTGTATTCCTCGACTTTTTATTTTTCTTGGTTGACAACGCAGAGATAAACATCCTTCCGTCCAGTATTGTGGAATGGTATCAGTAGAGAGACGCGCTTGAGAAGAGAAAATTTGAAGGAAGGAGAGACGAAATGTGCATATCGACCACAACACTCAGCTGGCAATTCCTTTTTCCCTCCCTCTGCACACTTAGTAATCCTTGTGCGTTTCCCCTTGGACGAGATAGGAAACGATTGATACAGTAAAAGAACGAAAGTGAAACATTTGGCGCGGTCGATCCCTCGATGGTATTTCCACTGATGGGCATGCTAGTGAGCATCCTCGCTACTATTCCAACAACAACGAAAGGCAAGGAGAGAAAGCATAATGGAAACGAGTTTGGTCAAGGCAATCAATATCAGGACTCCTTGGCTGATGTGCGCCGACTCAGCTTGTGTATGAGACGCTGGGGTATTTAGTTACGTTGCTTCAGCGGCAAGAATGGGAAAAGTCCGAATGTCCTCTTCATGGACAATGTACGAGATGTGCGCGGAAGACTAGGAAATGGTCCCACGAGACGACCTTACAGCTCTTCATCCTCGTCGATAGCTTGAGNCGGATGAGGGTGGTTGAGTGNGGATGAGACTGAGGCATTGATGTGCTTGCAGAGAGAGGCGAAGCTCCGATTGCAGAAGGATGGGTGGTGGGTGCAGAACTGGGGCCNCGTGAGGCTGGGCTTGCCCAAAGGACTGGCGTCTACAGCTCCCAAGCTCGGGCGCTGCTNTTTGAGAGGGCTTTCGACGTATGTGTCCGAGGGCTCGGCGAGCAGTTTTTGGCTGGCCTTGTCGCTAGGTGAAGTCGAGTTGTCGGTGATGTGTGCCGCTGAAGCACCAATGTGGGGTGATTTGCTGGGAGTAGGGTTGTTGAACTCACCCGAGTGCTGGCGCTTGAGCTGTAGAAGAGTTAGTCATCTAAAATAGTATAGGATAGGAAAGGCAAGTACCTTGATGTGGCGCACACCCTCGGCCATCTCTTCCTGGCGCTGGCGGTCCTCCTCAGTCAAGATCAAGGGGTTGCCATTCTCGTCTTTGACATCAGCATCGTCCATGTCGTCACGAGCCCCTGGCTCCTCGTCTTCTTCGTCGCTGTCCATGGCATCGGCATTCTTTGAGCCCTTGCGATTCGCGCGAGCAGCAGGATCACGGTAGCTTGAGAAGCCTTTAGTGCCTTGGTTCTTCAGGGGACCAAGTTTCGAGAAATCAGTGCTACGTTTCCTCGTCACGGTCGAAGAACTCTTGCGGCTGGGTGCGATGACGCCCATCTTCTCGAGTTGNNTTCTATAGATGTGTATTAGCATTTGAAGAATTCAAGAGAGAGCACAAGGAAGAAACATACTGGGACTGCGATAATAGAAAGTAAAGGTAGCAAAAGGACTATCCGGGGNGTCAATGCCTGTGACTGTTTGGGTGCTGATACTCTTTGGATCAAGCGTCTTGGGTTTGTCAAGGCCGGTAGTGTGGTCGACATCCTCATCTTCGGCGCCGTCGTTATTGGTACCTTCGTCATCGTGGACGTCGAATTGCGGCGAGTACTCTCCACGCTTGATCTCACCAGAAGCAAGGACGCGGAAGAGGACGATCTTAATCTGGCCAGCAGCTTCGCTCTCAGGCATGTCGGAGTCTGAATCAGAGTCGGACATTTCGTCGTCTTGCATGATGGCCTCGGTCGGGGCGCCATTATCTTCGCCGTAACGCAGGACCGTGTTACGATCGTAGCGGGGCTTGTCCTGGTCGTCTTCATCATCACTGTCCTCTCTCTTGATCTCTCTCTTTCTTTCCTCGCGCTGGCGCATCTTCTCAAACTTCTTCCTGCGCTTGTCGATCAGAGCGGCTTTGGCTTCCTTATCGGTGCTCGTCAGATCCAGTCCGTTGAGCCAGCGTTCCAGACCAACTTCGCGGAAGAGGAACTCGCGCTCAGCCAGGCCACCTCCTTCGCTGTCAGGTATGCTGACCCATCTTGAGTTTACCCAAGTCTCTTCACCCTTGCGGAGTAGTGTGGCAACCTCCTCTTTTTGTCGGCCGTCGAAGTAGATGTATGCAGCAATGGTCTCGTTGGGTGACGAAGTGCGGGGCTGATAAGGCGGGATGAGGACTTGAGGTTTGCCGGTCTCGGGATCGATGGGCGGAGGCTCCTTTCTGGGCAGACCCCTAGTCATGCCAGCAGATTGAGGGCCTACATAGACACCTTTGGGGTTGGGATTGGTAGGTGTAGGGCGCGGAGTCGAGTAGGGGACCTTCAAGCCCTGTGTGAGGAGAGTGATGGAGACAGCAAAAGTCGACTGCTGCGGCTGGCCGGTGGTTGAGTTTGGCGGGATCGAAGGTGGAGGGACGGGGATGTAGGTGTTGATGCGGCCAAAACGCGACAGACTCTGGACACCATGCTCTGCGAGAGGGCCTTCGGGAGTGTGTATGCTCACGGCAATGCCTTTGAAACACGGCATTATGGCTGCTTGGTTGGATGTGCAAGCGAATCAGTTATCCGTCGTGCAAAAGAACCATCCAAGAGCAGCGTGCGTGTGCGTGTCGAGTGGGTGCGTGTTTAGGTCAAAAGTTGCTGCCAGGGGCGGGGTCGAGTGAAATGACGGCCGTCGTCACAGGCTCGCGGCGTCTTGTGACTGTCAGAAGCGACGACGAGGTGAAGATGCGTGAATAGGCACGGCCGACTGCTGTAAACCGATATGCACGAGGAAAAACACAGCCTTGTGTGGTTTGTATGCACCGCGATGACGAGCCGTCCAATGATTCTGCTGCTGCTCCGGACAATCAAGCTACCAACTTCAACCACAACTCCGATCCGCCAAGACCTGGAACTGCATTAAGTGGCAGTGACTGCCTTATTTTTGTCCCTCCCTTGATCAAATCCTCATTTCATCTATCGAATCTTATTCCTCTTCATCTAACCTGTGCCCAGGTATTTCTTCTCATATTACAAGCTATGGTTTCATATTCTGCTTGTCCAATCTTATGCATCGCATCCATTTGTCTGTTTCAACCCACTTTCTTACGCGCGACGACGCGTATCGCGTCAAACTCTAAAGCCGAGGCTTGACGTCGTTTCTTTTGAGTCTTTCACCTTCTTCACTCGACCATCCATGCCAGACATCATCTTTGGTTTCAGTATTGTAGATTCTTGTAGACAAAAATATAGTGAGCAAAGACAGAAGACTTTTACCAACTTTTTTCTTCTCGGAATTTCACGAGTCAAGGACTCAACTGTTGCCTAAGTATCGAGCTGTGCTGCCTGACCTGACCTGGAAACACGCCTATATATTCTTTTCATATCAAAATCCTTCCAGCTGCTTATTCTTGTCGCTTCACCAATCTCCATCGTTCTTTGCAACTTCCGCATACACGTCGAGTCTTTACTCCAGAGAAAATCATGATCACCTCCATTGGTTTCCAGATCCTTTTCCTCTGTCTTCTATCAACAACATTACCAGTGCTCGGCTACGCAACGACAATAAACTCAGCAAGAAAACACAATGCTCTGCCACAAATTCTATGTTTGGACTCTGGATATTGCGCACCCAAGACCATGTCAACGCCCTCGCTCGACCTGGAAAGCCACATCAAACTCGACATCACTGGCGAAGCATCTTTGACACCACAACTAGGAGGAATGATGTTGGATAGAAGTACTGTGTTTGCTGTCAGGCTTTCGGAAACGGCAGACAATTCTTCTGCAAAGAAAGGCTGAAAACATCTCGTTAAAGAGAGGGACCCATACCTCTCCGATAAAAGAACATGGAATCATTGAAGCAATGATCTCTATCAAACCCTTGATACTATGTAAGATTCTGTGCACGTCAGATTACAAACATAGCTGGCGACAAGGCAATAGACAACAAACCTAATCAGCGAGCAAGCTACGCTCTCACCGCATGACAAGGCCGCGATTGTCAATGCCAATGCCAGCCAAGCAGCATGATGTGGGATTGAAGAAGAGGAGGAGGAAATATGCTGTTTATGACTCTGAGGAGGGGACTTTTGCTAAATTAGAGAGAACATGTGGTCAGCTTCAAAGAGTCGTCCCTCTCCCGGTTAACAGATGGTGCCATAGTATACTATGGAAATGCACAACTGGTTATAGAATCAGACGTGTGGCCATAGAAGCAGCCTTGAAATGATAGCTCTCCTTGGACAGCACTTTATTATAGAAGATGTTGTGCATTTCTACAGCTACATCTATAATAGTCTCTAGCACATAAAGACAAGCCACTGCTTAAACCCTTTCTTTCCCCATCATGTCGTTGTTGAACTCCACGCTTCCCATAAGAAAAATCATATAGTTGAATAAAAACCAAAAAAAAAACGGGGGTATCTTGTTGAAAATGAATGTCATGAGACCACAGCTGTTGAGTTTGCTGTTCACTGTCTCTCGGTTTAGCAGTTCTGGACCTGCAAACCCTCCTTAAACCATCTTGCCATCATCCTTGTTCGATTGATGTTGAGTGGTCTCTTGTTCTGAGATTGAAGTCACGGACGAGCGGCTCTGGACATCCCAGTAGTCGCCATCGATGACAATCTCAGAGGTGTCACCGACGAGGAAAAGGTACCAGTATACGAAGGCTACAAAGACGCTGCCGCCGACAATGTTGCCGAGGGCGGCAGGGATCATGCTTTTCCAGATGTAGTAACCGACGGTGATATCGGGATGGTGCAAGAAGATNNCTGCCATGGTCAGTACAACCTATCACAGTATGATGTGCACGCACAAGGTGTGAAAAAATGAAGAAGAAAAACTTACAGCCATGGGGATATAAAACATGTTGGCGACAACATGGTCTAGACCAAGCAAAACGAAGGCGAACACAGGCCACCATATGGCCGTCACTTTGGAGAAGAACTCCCTGGCACAGCAAGCCAAGAAACATGCGAGACAAACTAGCCAATTGGCACCGATAGCCTTCAAGAAGATCTGGTGCCACTCTGGCGTCACAGCCTTGGTCGTAGCGATATTGAGCAGCTCCTTACGATAAACAGGAGCCGACAAGACACCGCCATAGCCAACAACAATGCAAGTGACGAACAGGGCACCAGCAAGATTGCCAAAGAAGGTGAGCAACCAATGTCTCAACATCAGCAGAACAGAAGTACGGCGATGGAGAGCAGCCAAGCTGGTGTACATGAAACTTCCAGTGCAGAGATCTGCTCCAGTCATGACAATGACAACCAAACCGAAGGGNNGGAAGATCAGAGCTCCGAGCATTCTAGGAATTCCAGGAGCATTCTCATTTAGCCAGGCAGAGGTGTTGATGACACTGTAACAGGCTCCTCCAAAAGAAAGAAGACAACCGGCCATGAAACTGCTGATGATGGTCTTGTCGATACGCATGTGTGCCTTGTAGGCACCAGTTCGAGACGAGATCTCGATTGCTTCCTNTGAATATGTTAGGATTACTTGATACACAGCAGAAGATGATGAGATACTTACTTTGGGTGTGTAAGCATTGTGAACCACCGGCAATGGCTGCTGTTGGCGTGGAATGTCCATTGTTACCTCGGGAAGAGTCTGCGAAGGGAACGTAGGATGCATGATGCCGAGCGAAACAACCAGACCTTATATATGCACAAGAAACCACAGAAACTGGAGATGGAGGACCAGGAGTAGAATATGCTCAAACAGAAGAAGTCGAGCCGGGTTTTTAAATATGCTCAATGCAAATGCTGACGGGTGTAGGGAGGATGAGAGTTTTTGAGTCAATGGGTGAAAAATCTTGATGCCTCCCATTCGTCGATCTTATCAGTATACCGCGGCACGACATTAATATTCCCGTAACAGACGCCGCGAGGGCGCAGCGATGAACCTTGTGTAACCGTCAGAAAGCCCACCAATAAGTCGAGGCGAAGGGCTGAAACTATTGTTGCCAAGCACAACGTGCTCGTGGAGGATCTGGATTTTAGGTTTCCTGAGATGAGGGGTAAGTACAAGTACCAATAGCAAAAAGATACATCGAGAGAACAACGAGGCTGGATCTGGCGGCCAGCTGGTCCAGCCAGCAGATGCTTGGGATGCTTGACCATGGGGCTCGTTGCTTGGCCATGTTGCTTGTCTCGACATCCTTTCAAGATGTTCCTGAGATGGCCTCACTGCGTCCATGAATCAGACGTCGTTGAAGAACAACCAAAGAGGAATATGCAGAGTCAAGTCCCTTCCCTCGCAAGGACCTCCAACCCCACAAAAGTCGTCCGATTCCGGGAATTCTGACATTTGAGACCGACCGGGGCTAGATCGCTAGATCGCCCACGAGGGCATTCCGTGTGCTAGGTTTCTTACAAAGCAATCGAGCGCCGCCAACATCCCCCACGCACAGCGGATGTAATTCCTGACGACCCCGCTTGGTTCCCCTGCCTACCCGAGTGGCTCGATAAACACCCGTTGGCTTGCATAGAACTGAGGAAAACATCGAGTGACGCGTCGATCACAGGCAGTGACAGCACATGGCAAAATGCATCACAGGCGAAGGTTGGCGATAGCAAGCCACAAAGGGACACACGGCACTTGGTACAAGACACGGTAAGCGAGCTGTCAATGGTCATACTCGGAACAATGATATTGGTTCATACTCTCACACGAGAAGAAAACGAAATGTGAATGCTAAAGCTTGTTCGGTCGAGTGAACCAAGTCGAACGTAGAATGAAGAGTGAAAGATGTGAAAGAAGAAGCAGAACATTCTAAAAGGCCGTGGAAAAGCATCACTGCCTAGATCCCTCGTCTGTGGTGTCCCTAAAGTCATAACGGCCTGGCACAAAGTCACCTCCTAACCCTTCATAACGGGGTTGGATCGCAACCCAGATGCCACGCATGAGCGGTTCCTGTTCTTGTTCCTATGAAGACCCGGAAGTTGCCATGGCGGAGCCTAGACTCTGGAAGCTTGTACCTCTTCCTATCGCTGTCGCGCCCCCGAAGCCAGTGGCAGGTACTGAGTGACCAGGCACGGGACTACTAATCGGGCCCAGTGAGTGAGAATGTCTTCCAGTTCCAGGAGTGCCGGCATCGGGCTCGAACTTGACCGCAAAGCCACCAGGTGTAGAAGGCTCGTGACGAGCATGCAAGAACCCACCACCGTTTTGGGCATCACCCTCAGTCTCGCAGATGGCTTCAATCTCCTTGATTGTGATCGGGCTATCGAGCATGACTCTAGAGCCCTCGATCTGGCGCAGGAGCGTCTCGACAGAGTGGTAGTTGTCAGNGGTGGGTTCCCGAGCTGTCAGTGCCTTGCATGCGTTACATACAGCTATGCGAATTGACAAAGGGCGGTTGGGACCCGAGGGACGGTGACCCAAACCGCCGAAAGGCATGGATGACCAGCCGCTACTTGCATTGGGATTCCATGATGAGCTGGGTGTAGATAATCCAGGTGGAGCACCAAACATTGAAGGTGATGTCCAACTACTGTTAGCACCAAAGATGTCCATGCGTGGTTGGTTCTGTGAAAACACAGGTGAACCAAAGCCGCGGGGTCCAGCAATGGCACTAGCCCGACGACTCTCTGGCACTGAGGGCAGTGGGTCATCTGCATCACCAACCAGCGCACTACTACCAAGGCGCTTGCTCAAGTCATCCATATCAGAGTTGTTTGGCCTTATAGATGAGGGTCGCTGAATAGGAGTTGGGCGGGTGATGGGTGCAGGCGAGCTGATGGAGTCGAATGTGTTCTTGTCGGATGAGTGGGTACGAGAGTGCGAGGCAATACTGTGACGTGTGGGTCCGAAACCAGGTGGAGCAGTGGGTGATCCGACTGGTGGCATCTGTTGCTGGAATCCGGGAGGGCTCTCGAGCGGGTAACCGCGACCCTGTGCTAGGACTCCAAGCCCAGTCATGCCAGGCGGAGGAGTATGCATAGAATTGGCAGGTTGCATAGGCTGGAAGGGCCCACTGCCAAATGGTCCGTTAGAGAAACCGGGTAGTGAGGGACGATGATGCATCATGGGTCCATGAGGAGTACCAAAGCCAGGGAAACCAGTAATGCTGGTGGGAAACCCATTGAACCCATTGTTCTGATGTTGAGGGTACATGCTGGGTGGTGGCAGCTGGCTGGCGGGCGAGATGGGTTGGTGCTGCGCGAAAGGCTGCTGGTTCTGCGGTTTCTGATAGATGGATCTGGGCATGGACTGATTGAAAGCGTTTGCTGGGGAGATTGATTTGGTAGGAGCCATGGCGGGAGCCTGTTGCGACTCGGGTGAAGTAGCGTTTTGACTCTGGAAAGAGCTTTGGCGAGGCTGCGCTGGTGTAGACGGTTTTGGCAAAGCTGGCGTGGCTACAGGAACATGTGGTGAAGACATGACTGACGAAGCCTGCTTGGAAAGTAGACTTGGAGGTACAGCGACCATGCCGGCTTGCGAAGGACGTTTGACCATCTGCGGCGTTTGCTGGTTTCTGGCTTCTCGATCGGCTTTCACCTTTGCGTCTCGTTCCTTTCGTTCGCGCTCTGCTTGAGCCTTCTTCTCCTTTACTTCCTTCTCGCGCGCCTCTCGTTCTTCGCGTTCCTTTTGGCGGGCTTCGTCCTTTTGCTTCTTCTCGAGCGCCTTCTGCTCGCGGAGTTTGCGTTCGGCTTCCTGCTGTCGCTCACGTTCTTCTTGTTGGCGTTTTAAGCGTTCGGCCTCCTTGCGTTGTCGCTCTTCCTCTTGAGCCTTGCGCTCGGCCTCTTTCTTCCTGCGCTGTTCCTCCCTCCTCTGCTTTGCCTCCTCTTGCTTGGCTTGTTCAATGGCCTTTGCAGCGGCTTCTTCGGCTGCCTTTTCGGCATCCTTCCTAGCCTTCTCTTCGGCCTTTGCTTGTTTTTGAGCCTGTTTCTTGTTCTTCTTCTTTTCAGCATCCCTAGCCTTCTTGGCTTCGCGTTCCTCCTTCTTCTTGTCCTCGTCTTCCAGTTCTTCCAGTAGTTTCTGTTGACGCTCGGCAGCGACTTTTTCTCGGTAGGCGGTCAGCACGCGTTGTTCGAACATGCGGGCGGCGAAGATTTGGAACATGCGACGGCCCTCTTCCATGCGTTGCTCCTCGGTCATGCCGCCCTGTACCTTGTCAGTGACGCACGTGACCACTTCCCAAGAGTTATCCCGTGTTACCGTCTCGTCCTCTTCCTCTTCGTCCTGGCTGTCCTCGTCATACTCTTCTTCGTCATATTCCTCATCATCGTACTCTTCGTCGTCGAGCGGCGGCTCATGTCCGTTGGATGTGTAGGTATGCGAAGGTTGTGCCGAGTTGTATTCTGCCTCTTGTTCACGCTGCATCCTGCGCTCGGCCAGTTGTTCCATCATTTCAATGAACTTTTTGCCGTCGTTCTTGAGCAGATCATCGGCTACAGTTAGGATGCCACCTGAAATCACTTCAGCCATTTGGAGATAGCAAACTAGCGGCAGAGCAGGCCTACCTTTGACTGTCAGACTGTTACCAAAGTTGAAGAAGTCGTTGCCTATGCCTCGCGGTATATCGTCCTCGGGTTCGTCCTCCTCGTCGCTGTACAGGTCGTCTTCCTCATCGCTGTATTCCTCTTCCTCCTCTTCGCTCATACCCTGACTATCGGCTTCGTCGCCCTCGTCTTCTTGGTCGTCGTCTTCGTCGTTCAGGATTTCTTGGACTGGACTCGTTCGGTGATGGGGTTGTTGATGGTGAGTGCTTAGCGGTAACGGTACGGCGGAGGAGGGGTGGAGATGTGNGGGTGGTAAACTGCGCGGAGGTGGTAGCATGCCGTGTCCTGGTTCGCCGCCTTGGTGGTGGGCGTACTGTTCAAGTTCGTCGTAGTATGCATCATAAAGCACTTCTAGCTCTTCTTCGATGGCAATGCGCTTGCGACCACACACTGTACAGGAGCATGAGTGCTTCTGCTGTTCCTTCATCTTACGCAGGACGGCCTCCTTCTCAATCTTGAGCAAGGATTTGCGCTCTTCTTCACTGAGTGTCAGCCAAAACTGCTTGATGCGCTCGCGCTCTTCTTGGGTCGATGTGTTCCAGATGCGATCTTGTCTCGAAGAGCGCTGGCCAGATCTCAAGGCGCCAGTCGACATTGGTAACGAAGGCGGTATAGGGGATTGGTGCATAGCAGGGCGCAAATGGTAGGGGTAGGGCGAGTGGTGAGAGCTGCCACGCTTCTTCTTCTTCTTGTTGCGCTTTTTGCGCGAAGGTTCCACTGAGTCGTCGTTACTTGGATATGAGTGTTGGCCGTTGGGCAGCGGTGGTCGCGTCGAGTAGGTGACGTGCACATCGTCCTCGTCCTCGTCCGACATGGCCTCGGGCAGCGACGGAGGTTGGCCGAGATGGGAGTGATTGTCGGAGAAAGCTTCATCGGAGCCATGGTTGAGCTTTGCCTGCTGCTTTGCCCTCCTCTTCTGCTTCTTGCGATTTCCCGTTGTGAGAGGATGGGATTGGTCATGAGTCGGGGACTGGCCGTTGGAGGCATAGGTCTGCGCCATGTTACGAGTGAGGTAGGAGCCAGGGCTTGCAACAAGCGCTCCGGGAGATGTAGCGACTGTGCAAGGCTTGGTGGGTGAAGGTGCTATGTCAGTGTGTAGTGGAGATCGGCGTTGGTAGTGGGTGGGCTGGCGGGGTCGGGTCAAGGCCGCGCGCTTGGTAGACAGGAGGCGCGCAAACGGGTCGTGGATTCCAAGGCGAACGCAACGAGTCAACGAGCATCCGGCGATCACAAGTGAAAGAGTGGTGCGATTATCTGCCAGACGTACATCTATCTCTAAAGAGCCTATTGCTACCCTATCCACCTGCTGTCAGTCTTGTCCGACACCCTTTCGGCAGTAACCGGCCAAGTAGCCCTTGCCTGACCTGATTGGTCACCTTTGCTGGAAGGAGCGGCCTGTTATCAACACCCACAGTGGCATACACCGTGCTCTGATACGATATTATGTAGCATAGGTAGATCGTGAGAGGTAGACAATGACTGACAGTCACCAACATGTTCACATGGAGGGATGGTGCTTGTCTCCAGAAACGCTAGAATCTCTACACGTCTAGAGTCATGCCTGCTGCCCGTTGTTCACCTTGCATGCAGGCTTCGGAGCGACTGTGAGCGGCGTTACCAACATCTTCATGTGCCAAGGCGGTGAGAGCCAGCCGCAGAGCAGCTCCTTCCTTTGTTGTGCCCCCACGGACTCGTATGTTCCGCCTGAATGCCGGGCTTCCCAATGTCGTCTATCTGGAGTCTGCTAGCCCTGTCGTGATTCCTTTTCCAAAGACTTCCAACATTTCGCGTTTGCAGACTAGTTCCTGTGTGACATCCTGTCAAAACCTTGTAGTTCTGCGCTTGAGGCGTAATCAAGACTGCATCCTGAAACGCGGAAGCACAGCCCACTCTGTAACTCTTGTCGACTCCCCAATCTCTCAATCTCTCTTCTGCTCATCAACTCGACCCGGTCTGACTGCAATTCTTCTTCCGCCTCACCTACAACCTCGCCTTAGCGTCTTGATCCAATCCGACCTCCCATCCATCAATCAATTTACGACCCGACGTCCGCGTCATCACCTCTACATTCCCCGACTTTCCCGTATCTAAGCGTATACTCAGCCAGTCACTCCACTCGACTGTTGTCCGAACGCTTCTTTCGAACCCCGACGTGTCTCTCTGTCTCAACTGGTCGTCGCACCGTATCCCGTCACCTCTATCGGACTGTCTAGGAGCAAGCCTGCCAAAATGCCTCAACAAGAAGAAGGTGTTATGAGAAGGTGTGTTTATACCCGGCCCACAATCGCGAAGACCTGTTCTTGCGTTTCCAAGTCTCGTTCCCATAGTGCTTTCTCTACGGCGATGCGCAATACCAGCTATACGGACATGTCGACCATTGGACTCGATTAGTTATCGACCCGATGGACTGATGGAAGACTGTTTCGATATCTTTTGTACCTCTTTCCGTCAGACACTGTTCTCGCTGCTTCACTATAGCAGAAAGCAGAGCAATTTTGATCAGGGATGGCTGGCGCATGTCTAGCATTGTCTTGAATCGTCCCAAGCTGACCATCGTTCTCCCGTAGGAAGCTTGTCATCATCGGCGATGGTGCTTGCGGAAAGACTAGTTTGTTGAGTGTGTTCACTCTTGGTTACTTTCCAACTGTATGTAATCACAGATCTTGTTGAGCCGTCATTTGCTAACTATCTCGTAGNCGATACGTATGAACTTGGTCAGCCAGTGTTGTATGCCGGCTTACTGACATCCTCTAGGTCCCAACCGTATTCGAAAACTATGTGACCGACTGTCGTGTAGACGGCAAGTCCGTGCAACTAGCGCTCTGGGATACCGCTGGACAAGAGGACTATGAACGTCTGCGACCATTGGCTTACTCACAGGCCCACGTTATCCTGATAGGGTTCTCTGTCGATACACCAGACTCTCTCGAAAACGTCAAGCACAAGTGGGCCGACGAAGCTACGGAGCGATGCCCTGGAGTTCCCATCATCCTGGTCGGACTAAAGAAGGATCTCCGTGACGACCCCGTGGCTCAGGAGGAAATGCGCAAAAGAAGTCAAAAGTTCATCACCACCAAGGCCGGCGAGGACATGAAGGAACTCATCGGAGCACGGAAGTATCTGGAATGCAGCAGTCTGACAGGCGACGGCGTCGATGATGTGTTCGAGGCCGCAACCCGAGCTGCTCTACTTGCGGTTGACAANAAGGATCGCGCAGGCTGCTGTGTCATTCTCTAGTCGTTTTACGCGAACCCACGGCCTTCTTCTTTCCTATTCTACGACCAGCATTGGGATGGCGTTTTCTGTTTGCGGGGCACAAGCGGATTGTCAAGTGGTACCAAGAGCGGACCTCTATTGTTTCTTTTTCTAGCTGTTTGCTTTTCTTTTTCCGTTGTGGGCGCGGTGTTGAAAAAGCCGGATTGATTCTCTTCCTTTGTTGAAGTCGTGCTGATGTTGTTTTTCGGAGATGTGTTTAGAGGCGGCAATGAGGGTACGTTCTGACCCGAGATCCGCTCATTTTGATACCACCATTCTTCCTTTAGTATATTCTCTGTTGCTATTTTAGATGTCCCAACCGGTCTGCTACTCTAGACTGGCCAGACAGTCCAGACAATCAATTGCTTGTCATCCCATGTGTCGCGCAGGGCTTCTTCTGCTCAGGATTTAGTTTGAATGTCTGATGATTTGTACATGAGAATGGTGATGTAGTTGTCAGATGTTTTGATTTCCGCAGAGAATACCGGACCATAAGAGATCAACGCCAGAGTATGATACAAAATAATAACACAGACATGACTTGCATGAAATCTACCTCGTCCAGCCGTGGTTCCAGCCATCGGTGCTCGGGCTGTCGGTCTGGATGCGGGCGTACTCGATGGGAACACCACCCCAGATGTCGTTCTTCATCATTGCGATTCTGTACAACCTTCCAACGTTCTTTCCTTGTGCGGCAGCCTCTCCCTCTTTGACGATATTGCCGGCCGAGTCCATGAGGCGCAGAGCCTCGCATGCATCTCTCATGCTCTGGTATTGGCGTTCGAGATCGCGCTCGTGCTGTGTGCGCTGCTGGGCCTTGTAGATCTGCCATGCGCGGTGAATGGTCCAGTGTCTGAGATAGCGATCGCGGGAGAATCTGAGGGGTCTGGGTGTGATGGGGTGTGAGAGGAAGTAGCGGATCAATTCNNTTTTTGGGCACGGTCAGTACAGTGTTGGTGCAGTAGCGGGGCAAGTAAACTCACGAATGCGGGCATCCTTCTTGGGGCCACCGCGATTCCTTTNTTGAGGAACGGGTGTGCTGCTGAATGATCTGGATTGTTGGAGAGCGCGGAGAATGGTGCTGGGTTGAGATGTAGCGGGAGAGGCGGTGATTTGCGGAGCGGCGCTGCGAAGGCAGCGGAGGGAGAAGAGACTGTTCATGCCGGGAGGCGTTCGGTGTGGGTAGCCGGAGTGTTTGGATATATGCGACGGAGTCCAGAGGTGACGATAGAGAGCTGCAGAGCGTCTTGAGCTGGTATAGTTGGAATTCGTAGAATCGGAATCTGAAGTCTGATGCTTGGCGTCTTTGCGGAGCGGCCCTGAACGGCAGCTGCAGCTCCGCAGTCGATCTTTCCCGCATCGGGCTGCTTTGGGTTTCATACGGGTTTCCATGTCTAATAATATTGCACCATCAAGCTTCCACCGTGATTGCCTTCTCTGCTTGATTCCTTGACACATTGCATCAACTGTCAAACACTCGACCCATCTTTTCAATGAGCCACGATCAAGCTGTCAAGGAGGCTTCGGCCAAGCACACTACTCCCGCCGAGTTGGTGGGCAAGTTCCAGTATGGTACTGCTGGTGTAAGATGATGCTGAAGCGCCGTGATGCTGTATACACAATGCTGACGATGCTGCCAGTTCCGTATGAAGGCGTATGTCCCTCTCCTGTCTAACACTCCGTATCCCGACTCACCATCCTCAGCNAAGATTCTCGACTCGGTCGTCTATCGTGTTGGACTCCTGGCTTCGTTGCGCTCGCGCAAGCTCAATGGCCAGACCATTGGTGTCATGATCACCGCCAGTCACAACCCTCCCGAGGACAACGGCGTCAAGCTTGTCGATCCCATGGTACACTCTTCCTCAATCACTCTATCGTCAATACCACGTCTGACCGCTCGTCTANNGGGTGAGATGCTCGAGGCTTCATGGGAAAAGTACGCTACTCAACTCGCCAACGCCGAGTCCGATGACCACCTCGTTCAGGTCTACAACGAACTCGTCAAGACCCTCAAGGTCAACCTCGATGCCCCCGCCAGAGTCATATTCGCCCGCGACACCCGTGCTTCGGGTTCCCGTCTGGTCGAATGTCTCAACGACGCCCTGACTGCCACCAAGGCTGAGGTCGCCGACTACCGAATCCTCACCACTCCCCAGCTCCACTACCTCGTTCGTTGCGTCAACACAAAGGGTACTCAGGATGAGTACGGTGAAGTCAGCGAGAAGGGCTACTACGAGAAGTTGGCTGCTGCTTTCAAGCAAGCCATGGAACACACAAAGGCCCAGGGCCACTTGACTGTTGACTGCGCAAACGGTGTCGGAGGTCCCAAGTTGCGCGAATTGCTCAAGTACCTACCATCTCCTGCTGATGGTGGTCTCGATGTAAAGGTCGTCAACGATGACGTCCACAAGCCCGAGAGCTTGAACCATCAAGTGAGTGCTTCTGAATCTAGTACTATCTAACAGCACTAATCAAGACAGTGTGGTGCCGACTTTGTCAAGACCAACCAGCGCGCTCCCCCTTCATCCAAGGCTGGCCCCGGAGATCGCTGTTGCTCGCTGGATGGTGACGCTGACCGCATCGTCTTCTACTTCCAAGACGAGAAGAACGTCTTTAGACTTCTGGATGGTGACCGTATCGCTACTCTTGCCGCCTCGTTCATCGCCGAACTCGCTCGCCAATCTGGCCTGATGGACAAGCTTACTGTTGGTGTCGTACAAACCGCATATGCCAACGGTGCCTCGACAACATATATCCAGAAGAACCTGGGTCTGCAAATAGTCTGCACCCCTACTGGTGTCAAGCACTTGCACCACGCTGCCACTCGTTTCGATGTCGGTGTCTACTTCGAGGCCAATGGACACGGCACCGTCGTCTTTTCTCCCTCTGCTCTCAAGGCTATCCACACTCACCAGCCTCAATCACCTGCTCAGGCTGATGCTCTCACAACGCTCATGGCTTTGACTGATCTGATCAACCAGACTGTTGGCGATGCGCTCTCTGACCTTCTGCTTGTTGAAGTCATCCTCGCACACAAGGGTTTCAGTTGTGCCGAGTGGCTGCAAACTTACACCGACTTGCCCAACCGTCTTGTCCGTGTTGAAGTCGCTGACCGTAACCTCTTCACCACTGTCGAAGGCACCGCCGAGCGTCAACTCGCAACANNCCCCGCTGGCGCACAGAAGGACATTGAGAAGGTTGTCGCCAAGTACAAGGATGGTAGAAGTTTCGCCCGTGCTTCTGGTACCGAGGACGCTGTCCGTGTCTACGCAGAAGCTAGCACGCGTGCTGAAGCAGAAGATCTCGCTGCCGCTGTTGCTCAGATTGTGAGAAAGTACGGTGCCAAATAGACGGCTACTTCTCTCCGGGGTTGAGCAGGGGATTAATGAAAAGGGCGAAAAATGCATACATTAAAGGGGTGTCTCTGGCGTTGTTTGATTGTCTTGTTTTGCTCTAGAGCACTTTTTATCTTTATATGACTCAAATAGAGAATAATATATCCTCCTCGTGTGCTGAAGTAAGTCATGCAAATGTGACAGGCAAGGCGGATATTCTTCGAGAACACATGGATTACAGTGGGCGCATCACTTTAAAATTGTTAATGTCTCGAGCAAGGATAACAACTCCAGGTCTTCGCCCACGAGGTAGGTTTCCAAGTCCCATGATACTAAAAGCATTCTCTAAACTCAGAAGGCACCGTGCGAGTAGATCAAGACTCATGGACATCGGATATAGACTATGATTGGTGGCAGAAGTACAAGAACAGGGTGCTATCTTCAGCGTGCTTAGTAAGCCACGCAGCTACCATTCCCACCGACTGCCAACCATTCTTGGATCTCCGCTTCGTAACTTGACCGCAGCAAGGCATGTAGTAGAAGGTGTTCTGACTGAATACGCAAGCACAAGTATCACATAGCATGACGCATTTGAGGCTCCTCGGATTCCGATTTGCGTGCAATGCGAAGACCGGTTTGTCCCACGATGCATACGAAGAGTGAAGGATTGCAACGACGCCGGACGATAGAAAGGCCCGAAGGCTTTTGATTTTGGCTGCAGCCTATGGAACTTTGTAAGTACCGAGCACAACAAGATATAAACGACGAGGTTCTCCCCCTTGGGAATTGAGGTACATTATTTTTATACAGTATATCCTCCAATTTCTCTGCACATACGCACAAATCACGACTTTCTGCTCCTAGATGCTTGAAGGAGAACAAACAATGGCGACAACATCACCCAATGTCCTCATCTCAGGCTTTGGCATCGCGAGCAGTGTCCTTGCATCTACACTTCTTCGCGCCTACCCTCAAGCCACCATCACAATCATCGAACGCGACCCTTCCATGCGACTCACTGGTGCCAGCGTCGACATCCGCAGCTCCGCCGTCGACATCATAAAATGGATGAATCTGGAACAGCAAATCCGCGCCAAAACCACAAAAGAAGAAGGTGTTGAGTTTGTCGACGAGTCTGGAAAGTCGTTTGCTACTTTGGTGGCTACGGGTAATGATCAAGTTCAAACCATGACTTCGGAATATGAGATTTTCAGGGGTGATTTGGCGAGGATATTCTTTAAGGATATTGAGGATAGAGTGACAGTGGTGTTTAATGAGAGTGTGGAGAGCTATGAACAACAAAAGGACAGAGTGGTTGTTCACTTTGCTAATGGCAAGGCTTCGCAATCTTATGATTTGCTGGTTGCGGCCGATGGATTGGGATCGAGGATTAGAGGTATGATGTTGGGTACCTCGCCTCAGCAACACATCCATGACGAAGGCGTCTATGCTTCCTTCTTCGTCATTGAAAAAGACTTGCTCAATGGCTCCAAATTGGCGAAATGGTACAACACCACCGGCGGCCGCGCCATCTTCCTTCGCCCAGATCCAGACCCTAGAGGCCGCACCAGAGGCCACTTTATGAACTCGGCATGGCCCTCTGACGTCTCCTCCCGCAACAAAATCAACACTGCACTAAGAGAAGGCAGAGAAAGTTACACACAACTCGTCGAAGAAACCTTTGCAGACGTCGGTTTTCACCAAACCCACGAGATTCTCGCCGCCATGCGCTCAACACCAGACTTCTACTGCTCGAAGTTCGCTCAAGTGCGCGCCCCTCGCATCCAAGATGGCCGCGTGGTCCTCCTCGGTGACGCAGGATACGCTACCCCTGGCATCGGTACCTCGCTCGCCATCATGGGCGCCCACATCCTCGCCGGCGAATTGCTTTCCCACAACCTCGATGTGCCAGCAGCGGCAAAAGCTTATGAAAATCTCATGTTGCCGTTTGCGCATGCACAACAGAGCAGTATTGGCGATTATGCGATGCAGGTGTTGAATCCGCAGAGTGCTTGGGGGTTGTGGGTGAGGAATATGGTGTTGTGGGCTGTTACTGCGGCGAGGATTGATAGGGTTGCTGTGTGGATTGCTGGGAAGCTTGGGGTGGCAGAACCGAAGATCAAGATGCCTGTTTATCCTTGGCCTGAGGTGAAGGCTTGAGGAGCAGTTGGAAGAGAAACAGGGTGATGGTGGATGATCGTAAGGAATGAAATCAGATAGAAAGCATGTAACGAAGTAACATGAACTATGCTCGACCCATCAAACCGTCTGCTTTCTTTAAATGGGGGTTTCCTCGTGTCATAAAGAGCAAGAGTCAAGAGGAGCTCCTATCTCATCCCTTCCCTCATCAACAAGCTTGCCATAAGCACAAATCTGAGAACGTGAGAAGTCACAATACTCTCGAGATCCGCAGACTGACCATTGAGTGCATCTTTTAACACTCCTTTGTTGTCCATGGCACCGATGAAGAAGCAATCGTGCGTTCAGATTGTCGCGACAGTGTCTTAGTTCATAGTATGGATGCACAATCTCAATTGAGAGAAGACGTCATACGCCAATAGCAACATGGCAGTATCTTATAGTAGAGCATTGCGTGATGGGTGTTCTGCGTGTTTCCATACACATATTGAAAAATGTTGGAGGCGATGGACACCTTTTATATTGTGGGTGAGAAGGTTCCATAGACTCGTTTCCAAGAGGTGCTTATCCTTGTACATCATCAGAAAGACCAGAAACCAATACCCAAGAAATATGGGGAGCATAGTATGTACAAACAACGACCAACTGTATGAACAAACATTTTGCCATGATGAAAAGATGAAGAAACAAGGAAGGTGGAAATAATAGAGAGAGAGAAAACGTCTCTAAACCTCAGGCACCATGATTTCATAAAAGAGCAGGTAGACTTCCCGCTGCATGCCCAACACATCGCTAGTCTTGGACTCTTTGATCTTGTCATCACTGATTCTCCACCATCTATTATGTTGATTTCTCTGTTTGCGTTTCAACCTGCTCAGATCAAGGCTTTTGCCTGCTTTTGAGGATGTGCGTGCGGTTTGCTGGTATGTGGGCTCAGCAGTTGGTTTCGAGGGAGTGTGAGTTTCTTGCGGCAGGGGAGTTCCAGCACCGCTACTGCTGCTGTGTGTGCTTTTCGCGTCATTGGCAGGGTCCGCGGTTTTTGAACTTTGACGGTGGCGGAGGGAGAAGCGCTTTTTATTGATGAAGAGCGGGAGGATGTGCTGTTGCCGCTGCTGGAGGGAGAGTGTGTGAGGCATGGAGTGGAGGGCTCGAGCATTGGACTGGGCATGCCGCTTGCNCCTCGGTGTTCCTTGAGCAGAGTACATGCCTTGTGTGCCCATGCTCAATTTCGCACTATACGGTTCGGCAAGATATTGTCGTCGGAAACTCTCGTAGTGACCGCTGTTATGGCCTCCCTTATGCGTCACAACACCCAGTAAACGGTAAGAATGTTGATCCAATAATCCACCCAAAGGCAGTGTCTCCGGGAAACTGACTTTGGCCATGTNTCTGCTGCTGCTGGAATTAGGATCCCAGACACTTCGCGACAAGTGGATGGCAAGGACTTTGGGAAAGCCGCTGATGCGCATGTGGCGTGAGATACGACGTTTGGGGGCTAGAGATGGGTCAGGCAATCTGATTCTCTTGGGCAGAGCTTCCGGATCCGTAGCGAGCGCCTTCTCAATAGCGGAGAGCTCATGAGTAAGGAGATTGCGTGTTTCATCATCCGTGGCGCGTGATAATTCTTTGGTCTTGACTTGAGTGGCGTGTTCCAGACGGCATCTGTCGCATTTGTAGTCATCGATGTGTTCGACTTTCAGCATGCCATCGAAACATGCATTCAGCGTGGTTGAAGAATGATGAGGTACGTTGAGGGTGAGAGTGACGAAACTGGATACTGAAGGTTTGGGCTTGAAGTGGCAGGTCATGCATTCAATCTGAGCTTCGATCTTTCCTTCGAGAGGAAAGCCTGGATCGTCTTGCAAGTCATCATCCTCTGCATGTCGCGGTTGGTGCACGCTCTGACGGATTTGTTCGATTTCCGACTTTGCTTGCAGGCCGCGAGCCGACTCTACGGGTCGAAGCGTGTCCGGTCGTTGCTTGTGTCCATTCTCTTNTGCGTCGTCTTCAGGCTCGGGTGCTTTGAGGGTGGTGGTACTGGGGCTCTTGAGCGATTTGGCCTTTCTCCTGGCATTTCTTCCAGCATTGTATTCCTCGCTCAGCCTCTCGGCGACGATTTGCAGAAATTCTTGAGCGTCTTGTTGCTGTCGACTGATACGTGTCCTGAAGGCAGTCTCTATGACACCGACGAAGGTACGGGCCGAGATGGTCTTCTTGTAGATGGGGCGCTCGTTAAGCGCATCCAGAATGTCCTTGAGTCCAGCCGTGACAAGACCCTGTTGCAAACCCAGAACCTTCCAGCTCGGCTCTTTTGTCTCGTTCATCTTGACAATGTCCTTGCTCTCGTTGGGCGAGATTTCATCTTCCAATTGCTCGACAATCGAGTATATCTCTTTCCCGTCCAGCTTTCGTCGGTGAAGTTCTCGGATCAGGTAGATGCGCAGTTCGGGGAGACCGGCCATGGTCTGTAGGACGGAATTGATGAAGCAGTCGTTGGCGGGATTGACGAGGCCTACGACACCCCTCTTGCGGGTGGATCGCGAGGATTGTGAGGCTTCATCGTCGAGCATGAAGGTGGGACCGAATACGTAGACGAGAGTGATGGCTGCCAGCGATGCGCCGGCGGCGTAGGTCGCAATGGTGAGGGGTTTGTCGGGCATGTTGGGAGAGAGGAAGGGGTCTAAAATTCTTTATGCAATGCGTATGCCTGAATGCTGATGGTGATGCTGTGTGGGGAAGGAATGGACGCTCTGAGGATAGGGCTTGGTTAATGGTCGAGTCAGGTTCGTTTCATATCATGGCATGCTGGTGCGTGAAGAGGTCTATCGCCATGGTCCAGACAAGAGAGAGAGCAAGGAAAGTCGGTTCTATCAGGGCCAAGGGCTCCGGGCGGATAAAAAGGCAGACGAGAGACGCCTTGGACCCGCGTTTTGTCAGTCGTGTGGGGAGAAGAGGGTGCTTGGTGCATGTCCCGCTGCTCGTGCGTTTGCCAGTGCGTTTCGCGTGCGTCCATGCCCTGCTGTCATGCCGTCCATCGCCGGCCACCGGCTACTTGTCCTTCCGCTCTCTGTCTAGTACATCTTTCATCACCGCCAACAACTCCTTCGACATGTCTGTATCCAACAAGACTGACTTTCCATCCATCTAACGATAAGCTACACAGTCTCGACCCACACGGTACGCACTCTATTCCTAGATCATCTTCACTCTCACAACCAGCCATTGTGATGACCAAGTAAAATATGTTTCAAGACGAGACGGAGATTCACTATGAATGACAACTGCTTCCATTCCTGATGTTGGCTTCTTTCTCGCAACCACTTTTGTTGCTCTTCTGTCAAGTCTCTGGCTGACTAGATTTGTGAGCAGCCATCATCGACATCACCTTCCTGCGCAATAGCGACCAGCATGTTTGCAGCAAACAGCCTCCATCTCCATAGCTCATCAAACAATACAACCTCATCATGCCCTAAACTCTTCCAACTTCTTCTTCTGCCTACCCTGCTCATCAAAATTGCTCTCGTCCAGCCAACTCTCAAAAGCCTTCTTCCTACCCTCCCACTCTGTATCCAACATGGAAAACCAAGTCGTATCCCTATTCCTCCCATGCTTGTCGATCAGCGCCTGCCTAAACGTTCCTTCCTCCACAAACCCATATCTGGCCGCTGCTCTCCTGCTCGGCGCATTCAAGCTGTGGCACTTCCACTCGTATCTGCGGTATCCCATTTCAAACGCATACTTGGCCATCAAGTACATGGCTTCAGTCGCAGCAACAGACTTTTGCAGTGCGGATGAAAACATCAAGTGTCCGACTTCAATGACGCGATTTTTGGGCTCGATGCGGAGGTAGGAGCCCCAGCCTACTGCTTGCTTTTTGTCGCCGACGTGCTTGAGGATGGTGTAGAAGGTTGGGTCTGTAGCCGCGGCTTTATTGACCATGTCGTCGTGGAGAGCCGAGACTGTAGCTGGGCAGGGGTCGTAGGGCATATAGTCCCAAAGTCGTTCATTGGCGGTGCCTCCGATAAGTGGAAATAGTTCTTCGGCGTATTTTGGTGATAGAGGTTCCAGAGTAACGTATTTGCCTTGCATGGTAATCTCCTTTGAAGGCCATGGTGCTGGGCTTGTGTTGGCAACTATTTCGCCCAAAGGACGTTCGGGTGTGTTGCTCATCTTGAATTGAATTGAATTGATCTGTAATGAACAGGCAAGCAACTGTAGGCGCCTTTCTCGGTCTGCTGGTTTTATACATGTGTTCAGTAGTCTTGTGAGTCAGATGTTTTGATACGAAGCACGCTCTTTCCCTTTTTGATTGCCCGATTGCGCCACCGGCCAACTTGCGCCCGTACACGCGAACAGTCTAAGCTTATTGTAGCACTTTGCGCTCTATCGAAGTGGTGATCTAGAGAACAGCAAGGAAGCAAGAGTGCGATGTAGCCATGGCCAGAGAACCAATAATGTCAAGCTGGAGAGAATGTCACAAAGCGTTCGTTGATGTCTTCGAAGCGCCGACAGCATACTCCTAGCAAGAACACAGGGACTCTTAAGGCATACAACTCGCGAACCCTTCTTCCGCAGTACTTTCAAAGCATCTTCGTTATAGAATTGCAGCTCTACAAACGACTCTGTGTCTGTACGGAAGCCTTGCCATTTACAAAGGTATTGGCCGCCTCGGCATAATCACACACATCAGAAGAGTCCTTGGCAATCTTCCTCCATCGAATCTTGCCTTCACCATCAATTGCGAATCCGCCAGAGTTCTGCCACCTATATGCTCCTACACCCGTAGGTCTCATATCGATGCCATCCGACTCTTTCAGCGACTTCAACGATCCCATAATATCGCCATTGACCATGCCGGTCCAGCCTAGTGATCCAACGCCCCATGCTGCATAGCTCTTGCGTTCAGGGTCTGTGACGAGGGTATAGCGAGTTGAGTCTGGGAATGCTTTGTTGCNCACTACGCTATAGTGAGTCCACATGTTCGCGGAAAGCTGTTGATCAGCACAGCCCCTTCAAAAGACTTACCCAACATCTTCAAACCATTGTTTTGTGGTGGCTTCGTCGCTGTGTTGTACAATTACCACATGCAGCTTCTCATGCTTGCGAGTCTCGGCTCCGAGCAATTGTATCTCTTTCTCTGCAAACGGGCAGCCGCAGTGCCGTACGAAGGCCACAAGAGTAGGTGTGCCATTGCCGCGTGTCAGGTCTACCGAGCCGACTGGTGCTGGAGCCGCATCGCCAATCTCTGGCAGTGAAGCGACTGATGGCGACGCCTGTGGGAGGATCGATTTGATGGCGGGAATGTACGACGCCAGATAGCTTGTCATGATTGCGATGTCTTGTGCTGTTTCAATCGATCGCGTTTTCTTGCAGCGCTGTGATGCTGTGATGCAGTAATCCTTCTCTTTCTTTGCTTTGTCTCTTAAAGCGGAGTTGACGAGGAAGTGTTTGCTTCTTGGATGGTGACGGAGGGATCGAGAGTGATCATGACCCCACCTTCAATTTGAAATGCTGTCGTTTAAGGTTGTTTATCGACGTCATGTCTGATGCTTTTCATGTGATGCTACTCATGACTTCGACTACCGGCAATCGTGGACCAAGAAATATGTAGACGAAGCTCTCAAGGCTGGCTTTGGGATATGACTGGAGGGACACATGAAGCCGAAGGGTGGGTGTGAAAAATACGCGCGGACCCAGTCAAAGGGCATGAAAGCTCTCAAGCGATCTACCAAGACTTGCACATGCATCCAAGCAGTGGCCGGGTCGCAAGCGGATGCAGAGGAAAGAGAGAAGGAGATGATGTGCAAGGTGGACAAACTAACCCTTGTCCGCGTCTGTGTCACCATGTGCCGGCGCTTACCGTCTTGCATATCAACAAGCCAAGAAAGCCTTATCTGGAGATGCACAAAATGTGATACGTTCTTCTTCAGCCTCCGGTTGAGAAACCAGAGTCGAAACTGATGAAAAAGTAGATTGTTCGCGTCAGCCTACGGGAGTGCAAGACAGGCGACACTGTGCCGGGAGATATGAAGGCAAGCCCCAGAGATCTCCTAGCAGGTTCCAAAGACTGGGTTCAACATAAAAAATCTTAGTGGTCAAACATAAGAAGAACAGATACTACAGTTGATCTAAGCCAATTGGCAAGAGAAGTTAAGGAGAGAAGGAAAGAGGGCGAGAGACCGAAGGCTTATATAGCCAGCCTTGGTGGATGCGAGTCATGAGACCGTAGGCAGCAACGTAGTCGCCAGGCAGCAGTGGCCAGTGAAGCAGAATGAGCAGGTGATTGAGGCCTGGCCAATGAAAGACGGTACCAAGTAAGGATAGAAGATAAAAGAAGTTGCTGCTGCTTCACTGACAGCAAAGCACTTGCAAGACAATTCTTACCCGAACGACCACGATATCTGCGCAAGCTTATGCGAGGCGACGACGCCGCCTGCGATACTGACCGACCTATCAGAGACCATGCAACCAATTAAAGTATCGAAACAGGCCATAGCACTTCGTATGCAGCCGATGCAAATCCGAGACGCCTCAGCAAATCATCATCTTGCTCAAGCACTACAGAGTTTGGGCTCAGAACATGGCGAGACGGGTGTTGCAGGCAGCAGCCCAATATGACACAAGGCGCTGTTGGAGAACAGCAAGTGACTCAACTATAACGAAAGAGGTCAGACTCCAAGCAGGCAGATTTGATCAAAAATCGTGTGGAAGCGCAGCGATGATGATGATGATGCAGTGGGAATCTTGATTCTGGCAACAAGCAAGCAAGCAACACTGCGCGGACCAAGACTTTGTGGCGACAAGCCCCTGACGACTGCTTTAGCGGAGGCGACGGCAGAGTGCCATCCGCTCTCCTTTTTTGCTGAAAAGCTCAAGAAATAAACAGCATCAAGCGCTGCCGAAAAGCGAGTTGTTGTCGCTAACGATGAATGGCTTCGTTGTATACAGGTAGTGGTGTGGATGGCATGATTGGTGTCTCATTCACATGCTGGCCGACGAGAAGCGTGCGGCAAAGCGTGCCGAGGAAGGTGAGTCATAGTTGTTGGCGTCTGTCGCAATTCACGAAGACAGAAAGAGTGTTGTTCGACTGCTGGTTAGAGAGAAAGCACGCTGTCGACGTCGCAGTCGTGTGCCGATAGGGTGTTGTCGCTGTTGGCAGGAAAGCACGACAGCCAGGTTGGTGGAAATTGATGGAAGGATCTGGTCGAAGAGTTTGGAGTGGGTCAAACGATTTGCAGGCGCGAGGCAGTCAAGGTTTTAGCGTTGAGTCAAAGTGGAGCTTGGCGCGATGTGGCTGTGGGTATAAATACCTCGGGCATCCCCTTCATTTTCGCAAATTTCCCGCGCCTTTACGCTTTGCCCGACCCTTTACGCAACGGCGCCCCTCCACATCGTCCCCGCAACACATCGCAACTCGGCTGCACTAAATCAACAATCGCTGCGTCCATTACGCGTTATTGTCCAATTTTCTGCTGCGGTTTTCTTTGTCCTCCGGCGGAAATTGTTGTGAAAGGGAAATCCATTTGTGTTCGCTCTCACTTCCGGATTGGGAAAGCGCCAAGACCAAGACACACTCACCACAATCGAGTTCACTTGCTGGCCGTCGCCTTCTCTCTCTCTACCACAGCGCATCCTCCAGGCAGCATCTGTAGGGGACACATTTGGTTGTTTCTCTCCCGCTAACGGTACGAGACTATCCATCTCACTTCCGAGCGCACTCAACGCCGCCGCTTCTTTCCTTTTCTCACTTGTCGCATCGTCGCAACCGGTTCACCTTCATTAAGGTCGTCACTGGCTGCGCATTCATCACCTTTTCTCTCGTCTCACCTGTCGCATAACTATTCAAGATAATCTTCCAAGAATTCCATTCCTGACATCAGTTCGCTTCAGACTGCCTTACCACACTCCGTCGTCGTATCCACAGCTCACCGCAATCATGGAGACTGTCATCACGCATCCCTCGACCGCCGCTCAGGCCAAGAACTTCACCGCACCCGGCTCTTTGTCCTTCCCAGGTGGCGCTGGTGACCTCACCCCACCTTCATCTGAGAAAGATGGACAGCAGACCTCGCAGACAATCGGCGCATACGGGTACGGCAACACTTCTCAGCCTCAGGGCCAGCAGCAGCCTGCTCAGCAGGGAGCAGCCGCCCAACAGGGTGCTGGGGTGACTCCCGCGACTCCCGCTGCTACGCCCGGCGCTGGTCAGGGTGTCAGTGGCATTGTGCCTACATTGCAGTGAGTATCTTCGTGTTGCAACGTTTTGTTGTTGGCATGTTGTTGACATTTCGCGCTCTCAAAGNNGAACATTGTCGCCACGGTGAACCTTGACTGCAGACTCGATCTGAAGACGATTGCCCTCCACGCTCGTAATGCAGAGTACAACCCCAAGCGTTTCGCCGCTGTCATTATGCGTATTCGCGAGCCTAAGACCACCGCTCTGATCTTCGCCTCTGGCAAGATGGTCGTCACTGGTGCCAAGTCTGAAGACGACTCGAAGCTGGCTTCCCGCAAGTACGCTCGTATCATCCAGAAGCTCGGCTTCAACGCCAAGTTCACCGACTTCAAGATCCAGAACATTGTTGGTTCCTGTGATATCAAGTTCCCTATCCGTCTGGAAGGTCTTGCCGCCCGCCATCACATGTTCAGCTCCTACGAGCCCGAGTTGTTCCCTGGTCTCATCTACAGAATGATGAAGCCCAAGATTGTGCGTGTCTTGCTACCACTGTGACCATGTTCTTTTCCTCTTTACTAACATCTCTCANNGGTGCTTCTCATCTTCGTTTCTGGCAAGATTGTCCTCACCGGCGCCAAGGTCCGCGAAGAGATTTATCAAGCCTTCGAAATGATCTACCCTGTCTTGTCCGACTTCCGCAAGGCCTAAGTCGACTTCGAACCAATGCACTAAACCCCGAAGCTAAAATCGGAGCAACGACCAATCCCGCTAAACAACCACAACCTCCACTGGCATCTGTAACAATAGACTCCATCTTCGGATGTATTATCACCACTACGAGGTCTTGCCAACCTCAATGGATTGTCTCCAGCATCAGAACCGCTTTTCGACACATCCTTCTCTTCCCTTTTCTGCAATTGCATGGCGCGGCGTTCCGGTCTCTTTCAAAGCTTTGAGCATGAAGGCTTTTCTTTTTCGGATGGCGATTTTCAAAATCTCTTCGTTAGGTGCTTCAAGGGAGGGTGCTGATTGCTTTCACATGCTCTTTGGTCTTCTCTTTCTTTTTCAATACCACACGACCAAAGCATGGAAGCACCAACCCTTTTGATTGACGTTGTTACACCTTTTCTCTCTTACTTTCTCATTTGGAGGGCCGCTTCTTTGATGTGGCCACAAGAAACAGCACGAAAAAATCCTGACGGAGAGAAGAATGAACAGACAGGCGGACGGAAGATTGGAGTGAAGATGTGATGATCGAAGGCATGGGCGTCTTGCTCATGTGCTAAGGAATGCAAAGGAATGCAAAGGAAATGATGAAGCCATCTTGCTGCGGCTTGGGGCGCACCACTCACCTAATTGTCATTACTCTTCAAGCATAGACAACATGGCAGAGGTACATAGCTTCCTCTAATGTCATCACAAAAACATTATGAAACTCATCCAGTGTTTTAGCCGGTGCTTCTTGTGACATTCTCTGTTTCATCCATGTAAGTATCAAACACTCTCGAACCTGACACGCTGCTCAAGCTTCCTCTTCAACATCTATTGAGAAGCAGTCATTGAAGTACCCTCTATCCATGCCACCTATAACCCCATCTCTGGTGTGTCATCCTGTTCTCCCTCACGGATACGCCGCAGTTTGAAGCGACTAAAGCAATCGCGTGTTTGGCCAGATAAGAGAGCCTTTGTTGAGATAGCCAAGGTAGAGATGGAGATATGCATGATGACTTTTCTCGGGGACATCCTAACGCCCAAAGGAAATGGAAAGCCCTCGTTTTGATAACGGCACTGCGTAAAGTAACCAGATTCCTGACCGATGTAGAAATTTCGTGCTTTTTTACGGCAAGTGGTTTGCTCTTTGGGGGAAAAGGGTTGAAGACAACACAAAATGCTTTTACTGCTGAGGTTCTATCCCACTGTCTACAATCTAGCCTTGTTCTCGCCCTTTCTCAACTCGTCTTCTAGCACCATGCCCTTTACACCACCTCGCCAATCCTTGGTCCACACCTGGTCCTCGAGATCGCGTTCGGGCCAGGCCCATTTGTCCTTGAATTCTGCTGGTGGGTTGCCCATCAGGCAATCTATGATTTTATCGCCAATCACGGGTAGGAACTTGTAGGCGTGGCCACTGCCGCCGGTGGCTACAAAGAGGTTCTTGTATTGGGGGTGGTAGGAGAGGAGCCAGTCGCCGCGGGGTGTGTCTGTGTACCAGCAGATGCGTGTGGAGATGAAGGGGCGGGAGCCCAGGGAGGGATATACGGCGGAGAGGAAGGAGCGGAGGGCTTTCTTGCCTTCGTCGGGGATCTCGAGACCGGGGTGGGAGATGTGGGTGCGTGGGAGGGAGACAGTGATGTTTGGTGCCGAGGGGTCTTCGGGGTGGGGGATGCTGACGGGGTTGCAGTAGCCGTAGCCGTGACGAGCGATCTTGAGGACGTTGTTGACGGGTGGGATGATGAAGAGTCCACTGCTCTCGTTCAAGAGCGTCGGTCTTCCGCCAAGTGCTTTTTGTTCGGCGTCGCTGATCTTGATGTAGGAAATGATCTGGCCAGTCGCACTGCAGCGGCCGCGAAGATCCAATAGGGCAGGTGTCCAGGCCCCGGCGGCGAGAACGACAAGATCTGCGGTCAACACTCTTCCGTCGTCTGTCTCACAACCGGTCACTGCATCGTTGCTGAATTGCAAGCGAGAGATTGAGGCATGTAGGAAGTGTACGCGATTCGTCTCCTCGACCTTTGCACGCAGCACACGCATGCCCTTCTCAGCGTCCGCCCATCCAGACCTCCAGTTCACGTAACCAAAATCGCCCACTGAAGATCCACCCTTGCCTGTCGCTGCAGCGGCCGCAGCAGCCGTCTCTTGTGCAGCGTTTGTGTAGTCTCTGAAGATATTCCTGATATCCCCTTGTGTCTCCATGGCTTCGATTTCACCACCCTCGCTCTTCTTTCCTGGCTTCAGTCCACAACGCTCAACGTTGGCCATGCTGTCTCTCATGTATTTTCTTCCCAGGTCGCCGTTGCCATTGTCGGATTCGTCCTTGTTGACCACGACTGCGAGGCCAGGTTCATGGTATACATCCTGTTGACCCCACCACTCGTTTCTCCAGCGTGCCTGGGCTTCGATGGCGAGACGGGCGTAGGGGAGGTCCGCGTAGTCGGGGCGGACAATGCGACTGCTGTCTATGCTTGCACCATCGGGAGCAGGGAAAGCACTACGGTCGACGAGTGTTATTGATGTATTGGCGAACTTGGGATTCTGCGTCAGGCTGTATGCTGTACTCAGGCCAAAGACTCCCGAGCCCAAGATCAAGACGGACTTGGGAATGTCCTGTGAAGGTGCTGCCATGAGTTTCCTCTTTCCTTCTCTTTTCAAAAACAGATAACAATATGCGAGGAAGGTGTTAGTCGAGTGCTCAGACGAAAGTTGGGAAGGAATTGAGCGATGAGCAAGAAGAAAGACAAGTCAGTGTGCTTTTCGCTGAACAGAGACCTACAAGTTGCAGGTCTACAAATTCTCTTTCCTCTTCCGAAAGACATTGTTGCCCAGACAGATTAAACATGCTCTTTTCCTTTCATCGACCTCCGCTTTTCCCGCCGATAACCGTCCTTCAGCATGCGTCTGGCCGAGACCGGGGTGGAGGATTCACGTGTCGTGGTCATTGCTTGTGTGGGTCGTCGGTCTTCACCTTCCTTGCCCAAGAGCCGGTCGAGGAAGGTCGTCATATAGGTTATTGGAAGAGAGGATCATGGTGCTCGACTTTCAAACATGTTGGAACAAAGCTGCACTGTCGAGGTTATGTGCACCAGTCATCGTTTGTGTTACTCGAAGCAGGTGTGATGCCTTGGTACCAGACAAGAGTGCAGCAGGCGCGTTGCTTCGAAAGCGGTTAGCGCGCTTTTAGGAATCCATGAGAATGCACTTTTTGATATCCGACCTGCTCCATACCTTTGTAACTGTGATACCAAGTCAGCGCAACCCCCTGTCGCACTTATGAGCTCAATACTGGGAATTTAAGTCGGTGCGCCGAAGCCGAGCTCGATTCTGTCTTCCTCGCGACTGTTCTCTACCTACCATGCTTACCAAGGCGGGTACTACGCCAAGTTACGCCAGGAAAATCCAGAGGCCTACAGGCAACATCTGGACAAGGTGAAAGCACGCACTCGTGGAATACGCCAGGATCCAGAAGCTTACAGGCAATATTTGGGGAAAATGGCAGCTTATTCAAAAGCAAGATACCATGACCTGCGTCAAGAAGACCCAGAGACTCACAGGCAACTTCTGAGAAAGAAGGCAGCTCGGTTGAAAGCAAAATACCACGATCAGAACCCAGCAGCTAGGAGGCAATTTCTGGATGAAAATCGCGTATTGTTTCAGCAGTGGTTCCAGCGTCCAGAGAATAAAAGCAAGNNCCAACGAGAGAAAAGCAGACTCTACCGCGAGGCCCAGAGGGGTGACGAACGCTTGATATTCTACTCAAGGTTTTCTATCTGGTGTCGAAAGTGGTCATGGTTTCGCGAAGAACCTTCTTGGAAGTCGCATCAGCCTATCTGCTACGACGACGTGGTCGAGCATTACTGTGACGGTTGCAAGTGGACGAGAAAGGGAGGAATGAAGCTGTGGTGGAAAAAGATCCAACCATCATCAGCGACGAACTCCGACAGTTGGTTATGCATGAATTGTTACATTCTAAAGACCAATTGGGCAGAAGCTATGCCTAAAGGCTACGAGGATCTCACAACTGGCAAGGAGCTCCTCAAAAGAAGAGACAGCCTAGGCCATGGCAAATGACTCCATTGACAGCAATGCGCAAGGGACAGCAGACAAAAGTCAACACTGGTCAAGCATATACTCGAGTCTCACAATTTTTCGTACCTTCTCACGCCAGGCCTGCTAAGAAGCGTGACGTCGACATCGATCGATTCGACCACCATTTCTATGTCGATTGCAACAAGTCAACCAGGCACATAGTGGCTTTGTCGAAGCTCAAACGCCATCGTTCAATTTCTGCCAAAAGAGTCCGGAAAGTGGCTTCACAGCTGTCATAGACTTGTCAGCAACAATCGGGTCAATGAACGATATAACTCGATCGACAACCGGGCTCGAACCATCCGTAACCTCGGGAGATTGTGTATAAACTACACACTTCTGGAAAGCTACATTACTAAGCCAGGTTGCATAGTCAGACTCGGATGCCGGTGGTGGCTCTTCACCAGTGTCTCCTTAGACATTCCAGGAGAAACATTTGAGCGGTTAACCACTTCTACGATTTGAGCTGCGATGCAGGCTCAATGCCACGCTGGATACAATGACTTCCGGTGTAAGAAGGAAAGGTGCGATAAGTCAATTTCCCTTACTCGGAGCTCTTTCTCTTTCGGATAATCAACACCGTGCGGACTTCTATTACTAGTGTCGCTCCTTCATTTTTGCTGCTTCACCTAAACTCATAATCTGTGCAAGGTGCTATATCTCTTTACGATGGTACAGGCAAAAAGAAATCGCATAATCTTGCGGTTCTAGCCGTAAAGAGGACCTCCTCTAATTTGCATATGCACACTGTCACACTGAGCTGTCGACGACTCCTAAGTAGTACTCTCCTTTCGCTAAAGACCTCTTCTACTCTCTACAAGCCGACAACAAGAAATACGGTGGCAATACAATCGACTCTAGTTTTATATCTGGTTTCAAGAGCTGGCTAGCATTGGTAAGCAAGTGGAATCAGGAGACACGGTGACTGAGCATCTCATACATGCCCGGACAGATACTTGTGGTAGGCAGATTACACGCACAGCTGTAGGATGGTATTGAGCTTACCCTCCAACCAATAATCCCAGCAAGAGTATTAGAGGGACAGCTCCACACGACTGGAGTGGGAATAAGCCAGGATCCTTGGCCAGGGTTCAGACTGACTGACTGCGTACAGAGGGCAGTCAATCACGATGGGTCCAGAAGATAGTCGAAAAATGTGATGACTATGGAGCACAGGGTTCCGGCCAAATAGTTCAAAGATAGGAGTCGGCGGTATGGCGTATATCTAGTACACAGCATGCATACAATTGGTCATGATATTTCAGAGTACTGTGCAGCTCAATAATGATGACATCTGAATCCGTTCGTGGATGGCTTGTTGGAAGCAAGACGAGAGGTAGTCGGACAGGCGAGAGATTCCTTGATCGAGAAGGAAGGGGTCAAAGCTTCTCCATGCAGCTCTCTCACATGCTTGCGACCAAAAATCTTTCGAGTCAAGACACAAGGACTCAAGATCTCAACACCATGCCTCGAGGTGTGCCGAGAGCCATACCCAAGAAATCAGGTCCCTACCATGCCAGAACTCCGGTCCTCGAATACAGAGCTCCGCCTCCACGCACACCGATAGCCCCTCGACCAATCCCGCCGCCGCCGCCGCAAATGCACAATCCAGAGTCAAGCTCCAGCGAGGAGCCCGAGGAATCGGCGTCTATGTCATGGGAGCCTGTGCCTTTGGCATGGCCTTCTACATGTCCGGACTCGCCGTGTCGCTATACAAATCAAGAGGTGCACAAGCCGATTATTCGCCCTCGGCACAACGCGATGTCGCCAATGTCTACGACACAACAGCAGGAGGCTTTGATGCCGAAGTCAACTTTTCCGAGAAGGTCGGAGGTGTGATAAGAGCACGGAAACAAATGTCAAGTATGGTCAAGGGGCATGTGCTGGAGGTCAGCTGCGGCACCGCGAGGAACCTGGGCTACTACAGTTTCGACAAGATCAAGAGTTTGACTCTGATCGACCTCAGTCCGCAGATGGTCCAGGAGGCTCGCAAGAAGTGGAACATCTTGAACCCAGGCAAGGCTGCTGAAAATGTGCCCATCAGATTCCTGCAAGGCGATTGCATTGGAGAAATGCCCGAGCCACCGTCGACAACACAGGAGGCTGCGAAGAAGAGCGGTACCACTTTCACACCAGGATTGACCAAGGGTTACGACACCATAGTGCAGACCATGGGTCTCTGTAGCACAGCACAGCCCGTCGAGCTGCTCAAGAACTTGTCAAAACACCTAGATCACTCCAACCCGGACGCTAGGATCCTTCTCCTGGAACACGGTCGCAGCTACATCGGATGGATGAACAGACTCTTGGATATGACTGCACCTCAACACGCTGACAAGCACGGCTGCTGGTGGAACAGAGACATCGGTCAACTCATCGAAGAGAGCGGTCTTGAAGTCGTTAATGAACGTAGGAAACAGTTTGGAACCGTTTGGATCTTTGAGCTGAAACCGAAATCCGTGACACAAAGCATCAAAGAGAAGGCAGAGCAAGTTGGAGTCAAAATCGAGGAGCAGGTCCAAACTCAAACCACTGAGAGAGGTTGGCTTTCTTGGATGTCCAAGTGAGGGGAACATGACACTCAAGCTTCTGAGTCGTCCACCAAGATGCTCAACACTCGGCTGCTGCAACGCACAAGGTCGACCAGGATGGTTGAGCGCCCATTGAGAGGCTGAACGCAAATCACTCTCATGGCCTCTTTCTACTCCGTCTCCGTCCTGTGCAATTCCAAAGCGAGATACAAGCCGGCAAACAGACACACCCATGATAAGACCTGCCCCGCTTGAAGCTGACAGTCAGAGTTAAGCTTGCCTCATAGATTGGCTTTGGATCAGACACAACTCTCTGAAGTTTAGCCGACGGTGCATCGACGATACCCGCTCAACTGCCCAAAAGAGCATACCCAAGGGGAGACGTTATCCACAAAACGGCGTCCAACCCATCGACTCGACAAGCGAAAAGAGGTGGTCCCACGAGGAAAGAAGCAAAGAAGGCGGCCAAGGATAAGCTCAAAGCTGCCTCGGGCATCACCTCGCCGTATTGAAGCGCTATCGCTTTCCGCAAGAGACGAGACAAGGACCATGCTAGGAAAGCCCCTCGAAGATGCAATCGTAGCTAAACACACAAAGGAAAGAGTGTGGGGAAAGCTTTGCTCGAGAAATGCAAGCTCGAGTTCGAAAGTCACTCGCAAAGAGGGTGGCATGTCGTGATTCCCCTCTCCAATAAAGTCAATTGCCATCCCAAAGTTCGCAAGCCCAGGCTTTCCTCACCACCTCCTTCTTCGTGCGTACGGGCTTATCGGCACACATGGCAGTGATGCAGATAAATGGATCGGCGCGGACCGTAAACGTCAACCAGATTTCTTTTCTGAGACAATTCGGACGCGCACAGAGAACAGCTTGGTGTCGCAGAGACGAAGCAGGCAAGGGGAAACTGCAGCATATGCAAGCCTTACAGCTCTTCAATGCAGTGCTCAATCTCCGCCTGCCGACTTTCTGGCAAGGCTAGAGCTAAGATACAGATGTCGTGCGTGTCAGCGGCAGGAACTAAGGTTACACTTTCCTGCTTTGCTGCAGAAGAGAGAGAAGAAGCAAACAACAGTCCCGCGATTCAGGTGCATGTAGCCGATTGCGGAGACCGAGCAAAGCGTCTAGAAACGGGGTAAGGGCCCTCGAAACAGAATACGAAGTACGGCAGGCTTTAGTGGAGAGAGGGAAGCGCAGCAAAGAAGCAAAAGCAGAGAGGTGGAGGTGCAAGGCGTGACTCGTGGGAAGTTGAAAGCTGGAAGCATGATGATAGAACGAAAGATTTTGTGTTTGAGCCGGATCGTCGGGGCTGAGGATCCCCGTGAGATGGTAGCTGGGTAACTATTCTCCCATTGATATCTCCCAACGTGATGAGGAGATGAGATGAGTGCTTTAGATTGGGAATTGGCAACAGACAGCACTAGAGCTGCGGTGAGGGAGATGAAGTTGATCAAACAAACAGCTGATACCCGATGCTCCGTGACGGACCACGGAAGACGGTATGGAGGACAATCCGAGCTTTATGTTGACGCGAGGTATGATGCATGACTCGACGTCAGAGACACGAGAGGTACAGCTTTTGGAGCATCAGGGGTACCGCGGCATGAAGGTGCTTTTTCTCGAAAGCCATGATGATTGGTCGATCAGTTGGATAAGACTAGCTCCGCGTCTGCAGCTTGCGACGCGGGCATGGCTGGTGCGACGTAAAGTCGATCAGCATGTCATTGGCTGGNNGAGGGAGCTGCAGCTGNNCTTGCGTGCTGTTTCAAGTCTCGAAATTCACATGGAGAAAAAAAGGGTCAGCTGCGTAGAGCTTCGAGAAAGAGCTCTGGGAAGAGACAGGACTGTTTGCAAGCAAAGGACAAGTGTCGCAAACAAACAATGGAAACAAATGAAACACAGTCCGATAGCAACGATGGGCTGAGTGGAGAGAAATAACGTTGGTGCTTCTGGACGTAGCGGCCGAGAGTCGCGATGGCCGGAGTGTGGTGTGGACGCGGCGGTGGTCGGTGGAAGGTGCGTTCTCTTGCTTGGGTCACGCATTCGCCAAGTCCCTTGCTGCTGCCTGTGACAAGATCGAGCGACCATCCACGCTGCTGTTTCCTCTCCTGAACTTGGTTTTTCCAATACCTCGCACTTCACCCAAAGATACAGCATTTCCTGGTCGCAGAATTATCAGAACGATTGTGCAGAATTACGGCTTCCTAGCAACCGCACACGAGCAAACAACTTTTTTTCTGGCTAGAGCTCTGCCAAAGCTTCTAGCACGCACATCCGTTCGCCGCCGACGCAACCGCCTGGTGGAAAGGACGAGCCGAGCCCCCTTGGCCAAAAGCATCCGAGCTTTGGAACCCCTAACACCAAGAGACACAGCATCCCAACCATCCTCCACCCACCGAGCAACAATCGCCATCATCATTCGAGCCATCCTCATTCCAACCCATCTGCACACGATTCTATCCACCAACATTCTTCCACGCCCACTCTTCGGACAGCACACGCTCGATAAGCAAGGCTGACTATCCATTCCCCAACCGACCAATCACCGCTCAGCTCAAGCTTCCAATCCGCTTGCTCGCCCACATTTTCCCAGCCGGACGCCCAAGGAAACAGAAACGCCGACGCGCCCAAACAATCAACTTTTGTGTACACTTCATCTTCGACCCAATTCTCCCCACCCAACATGCCATACAACACCAGAAGAAAGTCGCTGTCTCTCTCCGAGCTTGGTATCACTGTCCCCAAACGCTCGCGAGCTTCTTCGCAGTCGCACCCCTCGCCGCCAGCCACGGTCATCGATGACGAGCCCGTCACCAAGAAGCCCAAGAGGTCGCACGACTCGCTGTCCCCTCCTCCGGCATTGATGAGCCCACCAAAGACAAAAACTTTGTCTATCCGTACAGAGCCGCCGTCGCGACTGGCCGAACACACTCCTCCGCCATCCCCAGGAACCCAGACTGTGCACACAATTGATACCGAGGGCATTAGCGACGATGTGGTTGTCGCAACCATCAAGCAGTTGGAAAAGACTGCCAACAGGCCGCATCTGGTAAAGGAATTGGCTGCAGTCTTGTGTCACTGCATAGGCGCCGTGGAGAAGTAAGCATAAGCAGCCTTCTACGGCCGTGTAACGCACTGACATTCGCTATAGNNGTCTGCCAACCCTGCCAACCTGATTTCGTCGCGTCTCACCAGCTACCTCAACCGCACCTGGCCCGCCGTCAGCCCTTGTCCGCTGGCTAAGTACCAGTCTCAAGTCCACCCCCGCCCGCTATACTATTTTTTGACCACACAACCCCACCAACCTATTCCTGAACTGTCGCATTCTCACGACACTCCCGCCGCCCGTCGCATCATTACTCCAGCTCTCTCATCGGCCGCCGACGACGAAGACGAGAAATACAGCAGGTCACGCGCCTCGCTCTCTCCCGAAGTCGATTTGTCTAGCCCCGAATTGGACGAGCCACCGCATGGCGATATTGGCTCCACATTCCACCCTCGCCATTCGCTCTCGCGCGATCACCCTCCAACCACGTCCAACCTAGCCCACAACCGCCGTGCCGATAGCCCTCCTCTCGAGCGTGAGGAACGCGACTTCAAGCAGACGGCAAACGCCCTGCAAGAGCTTCGTCGTGCAAGCCAGGAAGTCATTACCAAGCCCATCAAGGTTGAGGCTTCCGAGACCATTGCATTGTCGGTCGAGTCGGACGACAACAACGTCCAGACCACCAACGACCTCTTTGATGGTCAGGATCACCTCTCCTCCTCCGTGAGCACCCTCTACGATCTGAGCAGTCCTGTTCTGAGACCCCAGGGTTTTTACGATCTCAAGACGCAGCAAGCCCAGGATTGGAACGTCGAGAAGAGACTCTCCATTGATGCAATGTCTTTGGATGACCAGGACGATGATGCCGTGGACATGTGGAATGACTTCCGCAGCCCCGAGAACATTGATCTCAACGAGCTTGAATGCCTCTTGGACGCCTACTAAACGCGCTATCCCCCGCGTCTCAACCCGTCTCGTATCCTTATCGCCTTCTTCATCCCCATTTTGTTTGAGCTCGGAAAAGCGTTTTGCATTTTGATTTGCTGGACCGAACCCAGAGAATATTCTTGGCCCTTTTCTGCTTTGGGAAGCATTTTCAACTCCCACTCCTTCTTATGACCCTTTTCACCACTTTCCCCTCTCGAGGGATCGTAGGTTCCGCTGGCGCGAGCCACGCTACCCTTACGGCCCTACTCTTGTATTACTAGACACGACCCCCTCCTTCAACACCCTCCACACATCCTGACGAGAAAAAAGAAGTCGAACGAAAACTCTTGTACTTGTATATAAACATGACATCTTCTTGACGATAAACATAAAAGCTTTTATTTTCTTCACACTCCTTCCGATTTTTTCACTTCAGTGTGCCATGCAAGCTTGAAGATGTCTCAGAAAGCTTTCTAGAATCTATATCTCATCTGGTTCTCGAGGCACGCTTGATGGAAGATCATCCATGCGATTCTGACAGAGTCCTGCTAGCAAGGTGTGCGACCCTGACCTTCACTTCAAGTGGTCACTCGCGATGAATCCAACGACTCTTCGATTTATGACTTTCATTGAATGCTACCTTAAAGGCATGTCTTGTCCTCGTACAGTGGGTCGTTGACTTGTGATGTCTATCAAGCGTGTTGGTGCGATTCCTGGTTTCCCTATCAAATTGTCTTCTGTTTCCGTATGAGCGATATGCAGACACCAGAACTATTTTGGATTTGCCTACTGAAAGTTCAATTAGAGCAAGGCACAGTACCGCTATTGTAGTTGCATGGCATTCTCTAGAATGCACATTTTGTTATGTATAGTCTGTTCTGTCAATACATCATTGATAGTAGTAGTGCGCTAGAACCTCGGGACATGGTCGCTTTGCGCCTTGAAAATATACAAAAGCGTGCGACCTCTAACTTATCGTCCTCCCAACCATTCCTAAGTATGGTAACTTGTCGCCTGTCTTCGTGTGTCGTTCGGCCTTAGTTGCAGATTATCAGTCGAACATACACCTTAAAAGTTGTTGATCAGAATGGTATGCCGTTGTTCCCGAGTTCAGGGTCATGTGGGAATCCTTCCCGCAGACAAGCACAGAGAGCCTCCATCTTGAATTTGCGGCCGCAAAGCACGCACAAACCCGGCCTCACTTCCCAATAGTCCGAAGCCACCTAGGCCGCCAGTGATTGCATTCGAATCATGTAGCAACGTCTCAACAACCCTTCAGATTTTGTGTCCCTGTTCGTGATCTACCACCGTCGACATCCGTTCCATAAGCAACAAGACAGCAGCATCACTGGAAGCCAGCAACAATGCAGATCCCGACCTTCTTTCTGCGCACCAACACGCGACTCCTGATCTTCCAGGCTCTCGTCGCGTGGATTTGCATCCGCTGTCACAATCTGCCGATACCCTCTACCGTAGGATTTGTTCTCACTTCAACCCTGGGTCAATACGTCAGTACCGCCAAGGCCATCCTCGACAGCAGATACGGCTTCGTCCTGCCCTGGGAAGCAACCTTCTTCCTCCCAGCAGCTCTGGATGCATACATCATAGACAGCATGCCTGAACTGGCCATTTTACTCGGAACCCCGCCTTGCGACGAGAGGGTTGCGAAAAGGGATCCAGTGACCAGTATGTGCATCCAAGATATTGCATATCAGTGTTATTACTATGCAGATGTGTACGCCCACAAGACGAAGAGCAAGAAAAGCTTGCAAGTCATGGAAGCTTGCTGGGAGAATTATCACACGGATGTCAGAGCCGCGAGGAAGCATCATGACCTGGGTCATAAGCATGAGCCAGCAACCCTCATGCAGCTGATCGGATGCGTGCAGGTGGTCGAATATTGGGAGAAGAAGAGTGAGAAATGCGGAAGAATCCAGCCTATCAGGCATTGTATTGCGTCTTTAGGAGCCTGGGAATTTGTCGCAGACCTCCGGGAGAGAAACCCGCATCTAGTCAAGGAGCCAAAGGCAGGAAAAGAGACGACCATCGAAGGAGGCGAAGGAACGACAAAGGGACCGCAAGTCGAAGCAGCGACATCATAATACGACGCCGGATATTTCGGGAGGACTAGCTCAGGATGAAGGTAGAGGGCAGACCCGGTGTCGGGACAGGCAGCATCCGCTTGCTTGAGGAGGATACAATCCGAGAGGGAGCTCGGAACGATGAGAACGATGGATGACGGTCCTGGCAACAAATTATCAGTCATGCATCATCAACTCGACTCGAGCTCAATACGTACCTCTCTCATCCTCTACCATAATCACCAACACACCCACCATCTCAAACGTTTGTCCGTCCGACAGGCCGGGAAACCCGCTTCTTCACGTTGCACCCCATGACTCACGACGTAGAAGCAGACTTGAACATCAGCGCAAAGGCTTCAGACAGAGGGATGCTAATGCGAAGACCTTTTGGGTCTCTGACCCATGTGAGGATAGCAGAGTAAAGCGATGCGTCGCGTGGCTCTATCGACGCTGTGGCTTCGCTAGTTTGATGATGGCGATGTATTGATGATGATGGTGATAATGATGATACGGACGAGAAGAGTATTGAGATGAATGATGGGTAGAGCTTTGCGGTGTTGGATACGGCGTCGAGGAAGTGGCGATGGTCCGTTGTCATGAGGCTTTACGAAGGAAGCAGCCAGCAATTCGCACTTTCCTCAGCACTCTCACAACGATGCGACCGCTGTGTTTGCAAATTGACTCGAAAACAATAATTCCATGTGCACGCGACGAACAAGTAGCTAAAATAATGCCCAAAGATCCAACCAACGCCAGCCCATCCTTTTTGCTTATGCTTCTCCTCTGTGTACAATCTGGTTCCTCCACCACCATCTACTCTGCTTATCACAATTCAAGTACTCCTGCAATCTCGATTTTCAGCTCTTCGACCAAGCCCTCAGCTTGTTCTACGTCCATCGTATCTTCCCATCCAAATACACCAATGCCAAGCTCACCATCAGCGACAGTCGCTTCGATATCCAGTGATCGCTGTGAGAGATCAGTACGCAGTTCCGAAAATTCTGCTTGGAAACGATTGCTTACCTTGTACGTTTTCTTCAAGTCTTCATGCTGCAGCTCTTGTGGTACGACAAAGTCATCTCCCATGAGATCAGACCNCTGACTTCGCTTTTCTGTGCGATGCTTTTCTGCCGCCTCATCCATCACGATTACTTGCTTTCTGGCGGCATCATCGTCGTTTTCTGGCACCTTTACGAAGTTGACAAAGGTGTCCACGGTGATTCCCGTCCATGCCTCAATCTCCCACAGTCCAACACTGCTATTCTCAGGCGTGCCAATGAGTTGCAGATCTTTTTGGATCTGTTTGGCGAGCTCAGCAAGAGAGGTCGTTGTGGGCGAGCGGACGCGTAAAGGAACGAGGTTCAGTGTTGGTGCTGCTAGGCTGGATAGATCTTCCAGATGTGAGCGGTTGGCTAAATAAATACCTATTATCACGTCCTCGGCTGTAGGGTCGGAGTTATAGCTGTACGCTCTGGCGTAGGCAGCGAAGAAGACAGACTGGAGGCTGAGTCCTTGCTTTCTCAGTCCGCTCTCAAACTTGGACATATCGGACATGGCGCAAGGATCGTAGACTTCGATATGCCGGGCTGATGGTGAAGCATCAGACTCCAATTGTGGATACTGCGTGCCTTGAAGGTAGTCAACCCAGAAAGCTTTTCTCCCACTTGCCTCAACGGTGCTCAGAGGTTGAGCAATGAAGTCGATGAACGCGATAGGAGATTGCTTGGTCACGGCAGAGCCTTGCAGATGACTAGCCAGCTGTTGGCTCAGCAATGACAGACTCACAGCGTCGTACAGTGCGTGATGAATTTTGAGACAGAGTTTGAAACCACCATCTGCCTTCTGCGCTGTCAAATGGGCAAATGGCTGCTTGAGGGTTGACGACGGCTTCTCTTCATTGTCCAGATCCACAAATGAAGCAGGAGCGTCACGCAACACGAGTTGTAAGAAAGGTGTCTCGTTGTCTTGAGTAGCGACAAAGACTGTGCGCAATACTGCATTGCTGGCGACGAGTTTCTGCCATGCTTGCTTGATACTGTCCACAGTGGTCGGTATAGCGGTAACATACTCGAACTCTCCATAGAAGAGCTGGCAGTCAGTGGTAAGCCATGCACCTAACATGTAGACTTGACCAGCAGTTGCAGGCAGAATTTGATCGATGTGTTGATCCTCGTAGCCAAATCTTCCAGGCGTGAAACCTCTCTGTGCCATGAACTTGGCAATAGCCCTATCAGCAGTGTCACCATCAGCCTTGGTCGTCTTCTTTGTCATCTTGTTTTGTGCCACTAATGCAATCTTTGAAACCGATCCAGCACGCATAATCTCGCTAACGGTGATCCTGATGGTTTTCTGACGCAGCAAAGCCGAGAGCTTGATAGCGTTAATTGAATCGACACCCAAATTTTGGATAGACGCAGTTTTCGAGATCTCGGATTCTGGCGTCTTGGTGACCTNTGCAATAATATCTCGTATGGCTGACTCAATATCGGACCAGTTGTCTTCGTTCTCGATCACGTCGTTATCGGCCTCTACTGCCCGGGTTGGACCAGCTTCTACCGGCTGCTGGAAAGCAGGCAAACCACAAACACTGACTTCTTTGTTATGGAACGTCAGTGTCGGCTCATGCGGCTGGTCGACAATTGCTTGTAAGACACCATCGAGAGTGCCAAGGAGGTTGTTTACACCATCCTCATCAAAAGCACTGCTTTTGCAAGCCGTGCGCCAGATCAATGAGCCATTGACAATCTCAGCCTCAACAGCTACAGGATACTCGACCTCGGAGGCTCCATTGACGGACTCGTAAAGTATTTGGTCCTCAGCCTCGCCAACGTCTGGTCGGCGCTGGAAAGTGAAAAGCGTGTCGAAGAAAGCATCGTTCTGACCTGTAGCTGTCGATGATTGGACCTGTCCTTGGCATGCAGCCTGGATCTGACGCAGCGGGAAGTGCTGATGGTTAGAGATGTCAGATATGGTTGCTTGTATGCTTTGCAGCACGTCTTTTCTAGATCCATGCAGGACAGAACGCATGATGACTGTGTTCATCATAGGAAACATGACTTCTTCGGCAAGTTCGCTATCACGACCAGCCAAGACCACTCCAAACATAACATCCAAGGATTGCACGGTGTGAGCGAGGACAAAAGTCCATGCTGTTTGGCAGACGGCTTGTAGTGTGACTCCATGCTGCTTGCAGAACGATGAGAGGTCATTGGCGGCAAGCAAACTCGTCTTCTCTGCGCGGTGGGTGACTTTCTCGGAGTTACCAATGTTTCTAGTATCTGGAAGCTGGGTCTTTCTCGCATCGGTCAAAAGGCTGCGCCAGAACATGATAGCCTCCTCGGGACTACCATAGAAAGTGTCTTTCAAAATCTCAGCATAGAACGGGCGAGCCTCAAAGGTATTGTTGTAAGCCCTGAGGACATCTTGATGAAGCAGTGAGATACTGTGACCATCGTAGAGAGCATGAGCAATCGAGAACACAAGATAATTCGCGCCGGGCGTGGATACCCAGGTCAATCGTAATTGAGGTCCGAATGGAGCGGCTGAAGCTACGCTGGAGCTAATGTGCGCCAGATGCTCATTTATGGCATCTTCACTCGACAGCTCGATCGAATCTATCCTCAAAGTGTCAGGCACATGTACAATTTGAGCAAAGGTAGCATTCAAGTCTGGATCTTCGACTTCGAGGAAGCCGGTGCGAAGAATAGGAGAAGCCTCGATGACTGTTTGCCATGCCTTCTCAAGCCTCTGATGGTCAACGTTCTCAGACACCTTTAGGATATCATGGTTGAAGTAGGCTTTGTACGACGAACGTACCATTTCTGAGACCAAAGCCTCCTGCATGGGACTAGCTGGCAGAACACGTTCGATAGAACCATTGTTCTCTACTCGGCCTTGTGCATAGGAGGTAAGCTTGCTCTCGAGGGCTTGGAAAGCGCCATCTGGCTTCGTCTTCGACATGTCAATCTTGCCGTTCACCAATGTTGAAACCATATGAGCGATCGTTTGTGATCGCATGATAGTGCTCACAGGCAGAGCAATATTCTNTTTCTTGAGACGCGACGAGAGCCTTACAGCATCCACACTGTCCAGTCCAACCTCGAATATGGAAGTGCTTTGACCAATCTCAGCTTCCTGCACACCGGCAAGGGTCGCCATCTCCGAGCGTATGACAGAAGCTTCGGTACGCCATTCAAAGTCGGCTGTATCTTTGATTTGGTCTTTTTGGTTGTTGCCATTTGCACTTCTGGCAAGCCTTTCGAAGGTATGGCCAATGCTCACACCAACGTCGTCCTCAGGTGAGTTGGTTATCGCCAAGAAGGCTTGGTGGAACTCATCAATCAACTTTCGAGCCTTCACCTCGTCGCAAACTGAGGCCTTGGCAGCCACAGTGACCTTCAGCTCTCCGTTTGCTGCCTCTTCCGCCTCAAATGAGAGCGGGTAGTCTGCCTCGAAAAAGCCATCTGCTAGAGGCTTGAGGATTGGGGTGCCGGTGTTATGGTCATCGAGAGTGCCTTGGTATACGAACAATGCATCGAAAAGCGGGTCCGAGTTTCNCCTATTACACCACTTCAAGATATCGCGAAGGGGCGTGTGTTGATAGGGCAGAGCTGTTGTGTTGAAGTCGTGACATCTTTTTATAAGAGCCTGCCATGAATCTCCTGGCTCACATCTCAAGTAGAAGGGAATAGTGTTGAACAAGGGTCCGATCACCTTCTCAACGCCATCAAAATCGATTGAGCGTCCGGAGACAACTGTACCAATGGCACCTTGATAGTACTTCCGCAGAGTAACAATCCAACTTGCTTGGACCAAAGCTTGGATGGTCACACCAAGAGAACGTCGAAGCTCATCTACTTGAGTCAGGATGTCCAGGCTGGCTGTACACAGGATGTCTCGAATCGTTGCATGTTCAACAAGTCGAGGCATGGGTGCAGGTTCGACGTCTTGAAGATGGTCTAGCCAGAACTGTTTCGCGCCCTGCACATTGCGCAAAGGACCAAAGGGCAGGCATTCAACGAAGGATTTGCCGAAGTCAGCGTCTTCGGAAGCGTAGAGCTTGCAGACATTGTCCATCAACATGTCAAAAGAGTTGCCATCGTAAAGTGCATGATGTAGGTCGACAGACACAAAATTTTCTGAGCCAGAACGGATAGCCACAACCTCAAAGGGTACAGTCAAATGAGCAGTGTTGTAGGAGCGCCATTTCTGTTTGCGTTTAGCAAAAACACTGTCCACAGATGCAAGATCATAGACCTCGAGTGTCCACCATGGAAGATGGCCTGTCTTTCTCACAGCCTGTACATAACCGTCATCAGTTTCGACAAAGAAGGTACGTAAGATCTGTGTTCGTTTCAAAGTCTCATTGAAGGCCATCTCCAACCTTTGCAAATCAACTCCTTCAGCGTTGTATTTGAAGCTGTTGAAGTAGAGCGAAGATTCGCTTGCTAGGGATCTTGAGATCATGCCTTGTTGTAAGGGTGTACACGGTGCAATGGCTTCGATGTCATCCGCTTTACAGCGAAGGACACGAGTGATTGTGCCCATATGCTTTTGTCGACAAGCAGAAATGACTTGTTTAGAATCAGCGACCTCGCCATCCAATCGATCTGTCGATACAGCGAGTGCTTTGGCCAACTTGCCGATAGTCGAGCTCTTAAGCACAGTCGCCACTTGCGCGTTCGAGAAGCCACTTTTCTTGAGCTTTCTAGAGTACTGGATGGCTGAGATGGAATTGAGTCCGAGAGTGAAGATGTTGGATGAAGGTTTGAGGTCGTCCTCATCAATCTTGAGTAGTTCAGCGAGAACTCGAGCAACCCTCCTCTCTCCTTCGCTAAGAGACTGTTGGCTGTCTGCTTGCGTAGCATAGCTTTGGATGATAGTAGTGGGCAAACCAGCATATAGTTGACGGAGTAGCTTCTCTTCTACTTTGTTGTTCACGGACAAGGGGATGCGCTGAATCGGCAAGAAGTGTGTAGGCACCATATAACCAGGCAAGCGTTCTTCGCATGCTGCACGCGCTGTTTGGATAAGATGTTTGGTTGACTCAGCTGGGCACAACTCAGGTTTGCCTTGTTTCCTGGACTCATCAATGCCGATGAAAGCGATAAGCTGATCTTTTTGTTGTTTGGGGTGTTTGGCAACAACACAGACAGTGTCCTGTATGTCTTGACAGCGCTTGATCACCGCTTCAATCTCATCAATCTCAAGTCTTTGCCCTCTGAGCTTGACTTGATTATCTTTTCGGCCCAAGAAGTCGATTGATCCATCGTGGAAAAGACGGACCAGGTCGCCTGTACGGTAGACTCGCTCGCCAAAGACATCAAGGTATGGGAAGCAATCTGCAGTAAGCTCAGGACGGTTCAGGTAGCCCTTGCCTACAAGCTTTCCGGATATGCAGAGTTCACCGACGGCACCACGTAAAACGGGGGTCTGAGACCCTGGGGTCAAGACGTAGCAGCCAACATTGTCAAACTGCCAGCCAATGTTGGATGGCTTGCCCTCTTNTGGCACACTAGGGAAGACAGTTACACCGATTGTGCATTCTGTAGGCCCGTAGAAATTAAACAGACAGCCGACATCTCCCCATGTGTTGATTTGATCTTGCTTGAGCGATTCTCCACCAGTGATGAACACACCTTTGTGCAAACTGGGCACCAAAGCAGGATCAAGAAGCCTGCCAAGAGATGGCGTGAGATCAAGGTGAGTAATCTGCATGGTGTCGAGGAAGCCCGCAATGTCTTCTAGGATGAGATCGCGAGGAGCACACACGAGACGCATGCCAACAATCCAGGTCCAAAACTGCTCCAAGACCGAAACATCGAAATGGTACGAGGCGAATTGAAGCCAGCGGGATTCGTCTGTCCATCTTCCCTTGAACAGGCGCTTGAAGGACATGATCAACTGAACGGCGTTGTCATGAGTAATCTCACATCCCTTAGGTGTTCCTGTAGTTCCCGAAGTGTACAAGACATAGCTGACAGAAGAAGGAGACAATCCCGTTACCGAAACCGAGGAAGTCGGCAACGAACTTCTCTCTTCCAAGTTGATCAGGTCAACCACATCGCAATGAGTCAACTCTTTTAACTCTGCGCGAATTGAATCAGACGTCAATAGGACTCGAGCACTAGAATCTTTTAGAATGAAGGCTTTGCGAGCTGCTGGTGCTGTAGGGTCGATAGCGCAGAAGGCACAGCCTGCCTTGAGGATACCGTAGAACGCGAATGATGCTTCTGGACACTTGTCGAATGAAGTTGCAATGATGTCGCCAGGCTTTGCACCACGATCGGTCAGGAGATGTGCTATCTTGTTTGCTTCTTCGTCAAGCTGGCGGAAAGTCCAGTGTCGACTCGTGATTTGTCCGTCTTCCAGACCGTCTACAAATTCCATCGCAATACGGTCTGAATAGTGCTTGACAGAAGCCTCAGTCATTTCGTGCAGATACTGGAAGTCGGTTGGGATGATGGAATCCTTTGGTGGGATGATAGACAGAACTGATGAATCAGGTGCCTCTTGTAATTTGAGCAGTCCGGTAATTATGGCTTCCATCTGCTGTAACACGATCTTGCCTTGCTCGTAGGGTACCTGAGCAGGGTTAATCGTCAATCGAAGACCAAGTCGGTTGTCACTGAGTGCTTCCATTTCAATAGAGACAGCAAGCTCAACTGAAGCGCTCTCGCGTGCGATCTTCCAGGAAGAAGTGGGAATATCTTCGTTCAGCGGTCTTTGGTACACAAAGATGGAGTCGAACAATGCTTCGTTTGGCAGTTCGGCGTACTTCTGTATGTTTGTCAAAGACGTAAACTGATACTTCTGAACGCTGGCATTATGGGACATCAAATCTTGGAGGAGCTGAGCATCATCCACCGCAGCATTGCTCGATACCGGAAGGGTTGTGATACAGGGGAAAGCAGTATCGGCTGTAGCAGGAGTCGTTCGGCCAGAAAATACCACACCGAAAGTCACTTGCGACTCTCCAGTGTACGCGCTCAATAGTCGGGTCCAAGCTGCCTGGCCGACTGATTGCATTGACACACCGAGTTCTTGACAACGAGCCTCTAGCTCGTTCCGCTGGAACCCAAGAACCAGCTCAACGTTTACCGTATTAGTACTTTCGGTTCTAGTCGGTGCCAAATTAGGGAAGCGAGTTACTGAAGCACCACCAAGTTTCTGTGACCAGAAAGTGCGTTGTGCTTCCAAATCGGCTTGGCTGCTCAAAAGAACGTGACTCAATGCGCCGTCGATTGATTGTCTTGCGGCGACATAGCCACTAGAGAGAGCAGATTGGAGATCGGACATGACCAAGCGTAGACTCTCTGCATCGAAGATGGCATGGTGTGCAGAAAACTGCAAATATCGCGTGCCCTGCACTTCAAGTAAACACCATCTCCAGGGAGGTATATGAAGGCTATCTCTGACAGAATCTGAAGCCGTTCGTTCGCAGTACTCGAACGTCGAGTCGTCTTGTGACGAAGTTCGGATCTCGAGTTCATTGGCCCTGAGCTCGTTGTAGGTCAACATCACGAAAGGATGCTCAGGATCATCAGTACCGACAAATCCAGTACGTAGTATCTCGTGTTGCTTGAGAACTTGTGACCATGCGAACCGGAACTTCTCAGGTTCAAGAGTTACCTCGACCGCGTAAAAAGTGTGGTTGAAATACTGATGGCCATCAGAGTGTGTGTACTCACTAAGCATGCCAGACTGCACAGGAGTGCAAGGTCGGACCGCAGACACTTTTTCAGTAGCAATTCGTTGACTGTTCAAGGCAAACTGACGGTAGCGCTTGTCGAACGTATCAAAGTCAAATGTGGATGTGTCCAGAACAGGAGTTTGTGATCGGGTCTGAACAGCGGATGCCAACTGTGAGCACGATGGGCCCTCCATTACGTCGCTAGCTTGCACTGGGAGTCCGTCTTTTCGAAGCCGATTGGCAAGTTGGATCGCGCTGATACTGTCCAAGCCAAGCCTGTAGATTGTTGTGTCCCTTCCAATCTGATCCTCAGGAGCAGCGGACACCGCAGAGAACGCCGCACGAATTTGCAATTCAAGAGACGACCAGGACTCGTCGCTAGAAGGTCCAGGAGTTTCGAGCCGCCTTTGCTGAACAGTCTCGATAGACTGCATATATTTTTCATCCGGCTTCAAAACACCAGCTACTAAATTCTTGTCCAGATCAATGAAATCAAAAACATCGCTCGACGGGTATCTTATGCATGATGCAAATGCAGATAAACACGCTTGATGAAGGGTTGCAACAACTTCATCGTTGAGATAACTCCNTGGTTTGTGTCAGTTTCGGGGTCCCTGGGTGGGAAAACATGTCTAAGCTCACCGATTGAAATGCAAGGAAAGGGTATATGATTCGCTGTTGGGCGTAAGTTCGACGATGCAAGGGAACTATGTCATATTAGCCAATGTTTGATGCTGAATCACGTCTATGACACTCACATCCATAAATCCCGATTCACGCTCCAACTTCCAGATGGTTGGGTCAAGGTCTGTAGAATTCTGCTGCAGAAGAACAAGAGAATCAAACAAACGCTGCCCGTTGGTACCAGCTTGTGCCTGGATACGGCGCAGAGGTGTGAGCTGATACGGCAGGCTATCGATGTTGACCGTTTGCAGAGCTTTTATGAGGCTTAGATTGCTTCGGTGCCTTGATAAGTCGATACGAACGGGGATGGTGTTGAAACATGGCGCGACCAAAGACTCAATACCATAGACAGGCACGCTTCGCCCACTGACCACGTTGCCAAAGCAAACGTCTGAGTAGGATTGAGAAGCGGACAATGTTTTCGCCCACATTGCTTGAACAAGACTAAGCATGGTTGTCGAATGCCTTGTTAGGAAGCTCTCAACTATGTCGAGCGAGAAGTCGAGTTTTCCATTGATCATGCCAAAGCCGCTTTTTGATTGTCCTACCTCTGTTTTGGTAAACGGCTTTGGTATGAACTGCTGAAGCTGATTGCCAAAGAACCTATCTGCTTGTTCAACACTCCCAGAGGTCATGAAATCAAGAAAAGGTTTGAACGATATCGGTCCAGGAAGCGGTTGGTCTTTATACAACTGCTCGACCTCGTACAGAAGACTGGACATTGCGTTAGCATCGTAGAGTGCGTGATGCATGTCGAGCAAAAGGTAGAAGGTAGACCCTGATTCAAAGACTTGAATTTTCCAAGGTGGCGTGGTCTCGGAAAGTAGATCATTATCAGCCTGTGAAAACTCAAGCAACTCCGAAGAGCGGTTAAAAACATTACGGTGCTCCTCCCACGGTAAGGTCCACTCTGATAGGACAGCCTGCACAAAGGGAAATCTCGGATCCTCCGTTGGGACGAAAATTGTCCTTAGGATACTATGCCTCTGCAACATAGTTCCCCAGCAAGATTTCAGCTTGTCGACCGAGCCCTGCAGACTGAACAGTGTTTTGTTTATGTAAGTGGAAGTCTCGGGTGTGTTTTNTGTGGAGAGCATCGCCTCCTGCAAAGGCGTACACGGAAGAACGTGTTGTACTGTCTGACCGTGCTCACGTAGCTGTGATACTACAACCTCATGTAGATCAGGACCAATAGTTGCTTCGCAATCTGCCGCAGTATGTCCGTTAGTTTGCTCCGAGCTTTCCAGTTGTGCATCCTGGATTTGCGAAGCCAGTCTGGCAATAGTGGGCCTTTTGAGAATCTGAGACACATCAATCTCATATCGGTGATCAGTTCTCAGCTTGGTCGCAAGACGGATTGCAGACACAGAATCGAGGCCCAAAGCAAAGAAAGAGGTTGAGCGGCCGATTGAAGCGTGTGGCATGCCCAAAGTATCTGCCAGTGCAGAAAGTATCTGTTGTTCGGTTGCAGAGAGCTCACCGATATCTCCATCGGCACCGGAACCTTGAGAAAATGTATCAAGGTCATCCACACTGAGTGTTGAGCCATCATTGGCTAACCGCCTTCTATCAATCTTGCCTTGTAGGGTTTGAGGAATAGCAGATACTGGGATCAATGCATCTGGGATCATGTAAACGGGCAGATGGTCAGCGAGGTGCACAAACATTGTTGCTATGACCTCTCGTAGTGGACTGTCTGGTTGGAGTACTTTGTACACGTCCTTGGCATAACCGGCTGGGATCCAGAAGGCCATGAGACGTTCTCTGTCTGCAGTTTTGACGATCTCGATCGCGCAGTCCTGCACATGTGGGACTTGGAGTAGACTTCCAGAAATTTCGCCAAGCTCAATTCTTTGACCACGAATCTTTCGTTGATCATCAGTACGGCCTTGAATCAGGATCGTCCCATCGGGCAACAACCGACCAAGATCTCCACTACGGTAGATGCGGCCATATTTTGGATGGTTGATAATTTTACTATCCGTAAGCTCAGGCATGTTTTGATAGCCACGGAACACTTGCTGTCCGCCGAAGCAAAGTTCACCTAAGCCACCAAGAGGGACCAGTTGGAAGTTAGATCCCTGTGTCAACACAAATGCAGATGTGTTTACGAAAGGTGGGCCAATGTTGTTGATGACATGATTGGGCTCTACTGCTGGATTCACTGTACAGATATTGGTTGTCTCCGACGGACCGTAGCCTTGGTAAAGCCCTCTGCCAGCCCAAGCACTATGGACATGATGAGTGACGGCTTCTCCAGCAGTGACAAGGAATTGCACTTTCGGGATATGTGCTGGATCTGTTAAGGCCGCCACAGTCGGTGTCAGAGAGAGATGTGTAATGCCAAGTTCATTGATTGCGCTCTCGAGATCACGGAACAAAACGTCCTTGGAGGCCGAGCACAAACACATGCCAGTATACCAAGTGAAGAAGATCTCAAACACGCTGACATCGAAAGCTTGGTTACAGGCTTGAAGTAGCCTAGATCCTTCCGGGACAGGGTAAATTTTGCTTAGGACCTCGAGGTTGCTGAGTAGGTTTTCCTGAGTCACAAGAACTCCTTTGGGATTGCCTGTAGTACCGCTAGTGAAGACAGCATATGCAATACTGGTGGGCTCAAAACCAAGTTGAGGATTTGTGCATGATTGGTTGGACACGTCGGTTGAAGTGATGTTGATTACATGGCAACTTTCCAGATTAGCAATAATGGATGTCGTCGAGGAGTCTGTCAAGCACAACTTCACATCGGCATCAGAAAGAATGTGGCGGATTCGAGAGGCAGGTGTCTCTGGCACTAGAGNGAGATATCCACAACCTGCTTTGATAGCGGCGAGAATGGAAACGTATAGAGCGACGGACTTCTCCATGCAGATGCAGACAAGCTCATCAGGCTTAGCACCTTGCGAGACGAGGTAATTGGCGAGCTGATTTGCTTGGGCGTTGAGTTCACCATATGTCAAGCTATTGATTGTTAAATTCCCTTTCCGGATATCGTGTGCGAAGATCAGAGCCAAGTCATTGGAGTTTTCCAGAGCTTGACCTTCGACAACAGACCCAAGGCCGGCTTTATACTTGAAGAATTGTGGGTCAGGGTTTGCGACTGACAAGACAGAGGCGGGAAGCTGACTGCTGAGCTCACTCATGAGGGTTTCAGGTCGTGCTACCACAATCGTGACCAAAGCATCAAATTGCTGCAACAAAACTTCAACATGTTGCGATGGCAGAACACTCGATTGGAACGTCGCCTTTGTTTTTACGCCATACTGAGTAGGCTCGAGTTCTAGAGTTAGGTTGAACTCCAGATAATCATGAGCTTCTACTAGATTCAACAGCGGCTGGTTTCGTGGGCTCAGTCTAGCAGTCTCCTGCCAGACAAAAATACTGTCAAATAGAGCCTCGCCTGGAGTTATTCCGCAGGCCTTCTTGACATCTGCCAAAGGTGTCATGCTGTGCTGCATGATGTCACGATTGTCACCTTGAAGGCGACGCAGGACATCGCTGAACTTTCGGCTTTCCGCGGTGTTGATCCGTGAAGGAAGAGTTGACAACAGAGGTCCAACCATACTTTCGACTCCGATGATTGGTAAAGTTCTTCCGGAGAAGACTGTACCAAAGATCACGTCCTCTGTGCCCATATAAGAACCAAGAAGGACAGCATATGCAGCTTGGAAGAAAACATGTGGGCTACAGGAATATGCCTGTGCAGCTTGATGTAGTGTCCCCATATCCACCTCGATGGTATGCTCCCTACTCTGGAGAGGCTGCAATGGCATCAATTTTGGTGACAGGTTTGGTAAGCGACCAGAAGTAGCTCCAGAGAGATGGTCTCTCCAAAAGTCGAGATGTGATGTCTGGTCTTGATTTCTCTTAAGACTGAAGAACTTGTTGACAGCTCCGAACGAAGGTCTTTCTGGTATTTCTCTGCCTTGCAGCAAATCCTCCAGATCGTCAAGAATGACTTCAACTGACCATTGGTCATACAATGCATGGTGTATATTCACTACAAGTTCCGCGCCAGCATCAGACCTTTTGTATTGGAAACGAAGTGGTCGCAGAAGCATCTCTTGGTTTGTGATAGACCATCCAGTATTCCATGACTCAACACATACGAATTGAGAGGCAGCCATGGTCTTCCATACGATCTGAGCGTAGGAACAGTGAGGAACTCCAGATGTGCAAAAGCCAGACCTCAAGGCAGTATGCGTTTCAGCTAACGAGGATAGAGCTTGACGTACTCTTTCGATAGGCATGGCTGAAGCCACTGACAAACGAAGCTCGTTGCAGTATGCTTGAGGTTGCCTTGCTGTTTCAACCAGCATCGCATCTTGGAGTGGCGTACATGGCATAACGTCTTGTATGTCGCTTGCAGCTGTATTGGATTCAAAGGTTGATTCCACGTTCGTTCTAAGCTCGCGGACGATGCTCTTCCAACTCTCAGTATCATCTTCATAGACAGCATCGGAAATGGCCTTAGCTTGAAGAAGTCTATCAAGGGCAAGGACGTTAGACACTGAAAGCAGCTCAAGAGCTCCGACATCAGAGTAACCTTGCTTGCGTAGCCCAGAAGCAACTTGAATGGCTTTGAGAGAGTCCAGCCCAGCAGCGCTGAGCTCAGTGTTGTGATCAATCGGAACGCCTAACACGTCTTGAATTATGCGCGCTACGTTGTTGGCAGTCGCAGATGCATCGGGAGCCACCGATATCGTCTGTGGGGCTTTCGAGCTGTAATCGTTCTCCAGCCTCTTCTTATCGACCTTGCCTGATGGAAGATAAGGGAAGTCGTCGAGTAAGACAATATCGCTAGGTATCATGTAAGCTGGGAGCCACTTTTGACAGGCTTGCTTGATGTCCTCAGAGGAAACCTTGCCGGAATCGCCAATGCAGAAAAGGATCAAGAGACCTGATATGACGCTTGCAACTACTGCGTGACAGCCGGCAGCCTTTGATGCAGCATGCTCAATCTCCCCTAGCTCGACACGTTGACCTCTGAGTTTGACCTGGCCACTCGAGATACGTCCGTGGCATTCCAGTGTGCCGTTACGACGAAGGCGAGCCTTGTCACCAGTGCGGTAGAGACTACCAAACTTCGGATGGACCACGAAAGCAGCTCGAGTCTGTTCTTCCCGATTCAGGTACCCATCTGCTAGTTGATGTCCTCCTACAACGAGCTCGCCTATCTCACCTATTGGCAAGATTTTGATATCGCTAGCGCGTTCGGCAAATACTGCTGGCTCGACAATGAAACAAGAGACGGTGTCCAGAGGAACCCCGATAGTGCCAGCAGGTAGATCAACCGCAAAGTCTGGTTGTAGAGTACAGTGAATGGCAGCCTCAGTAGGACCGTACATGCCATACAAGATACCGGGCTCGTCATCTGAGCCGCCAAATTGTTGGATAACCTGGGTGTTGAGCATCTCACCAATGGTAAGGAGTGTCCGTAAACTGGGAACATTGTCCCTTGTACGAACCAGACTAGCAGCGACTGATGGCGTAAGCTCGGCAGCATCTATGTTCAATGATGCGATCGTTCCAGAAAGGTCGTTAAGCATGCGGCTGCGTTCGACTGAGACAAGTGTAGATCCACGAAACCAAGGAAAGAATATCTCGAACACACTGACATCAAACGTTGGGCTTGCGAACTGCAGAAACCTTGAGAAACTTGGGATGAATCGGTCATGTGCCAGAAGAGACTGTGTCACTGCCCGATGCGACAGACAAACCGCCTTTGGGAGTCCAGTACTGCCCGAGGTATACATGATATAGGCAAGAGAAGAAGTGTCGGGACGTGCCATCTCATCTCCGAGCATTCTTAAGTCTTCGGTGTCAAATTTGACTTCGGACTGCTCGTCGTCCACTGCAACAACGAAGACGTCCTGCAGGTCCGGAAGTTTTGGGCGCATAGCAGTAGTCGTTAGAAGAATGCTAGCCGAAGTGTCCTGCAATATGAACTTTAATCTTTCTTCTGGTACGTCCAGATTCAAGGGACAGAATGCAGCTCCTGTTTTGAGAATCGCCAGTTGCGAAATGTACAAATATGTGCATTGCGGTATATAGATGGGCACAATTCCAAGACCCTTCTGCGAGACCCTGCGACTAACTTGGGTCAATCGCCATGCTAGATGCTCTGACCTCCTGTGCAGGTCCGAGTAGGATAATGTGCTCGTCTGACCATCCGCGTCCAGGTATTCCAGAGCAGTTCCGGGAGTTTCAGGACCTGATATAAGTTCGTGAAGTAGCCCGGGACCTTCCAATTTGCTGGGCACGGGATTGAGTATAGAAAGATTCTCGTCCATTCTGAGTGTTGTTTCGTCGGCCGAAAGAATTCGTGCCGGCATATTATCAATCAAGGATGTAAGTCGTGATCCGGAAATCTATGATAGAAGCAAGAGGCTGGACACCAGACGTGTTTGTCATACCAAGTTAAGATCGAAAGAGGCAAACAACCATCCCAGTGAGAGCGTGAAGTGTAGATTAACACAAAGAATTTGGCGCGAGTCAAGTTTGCATGAGTTCTTGTTTCAGCGGCGGCGTGCTATCCATGTGTTAGACCATGTCGACTCGTGCAGTCACGCGAAATCTATACGAGGAAAAATTGGCCGGCGATCGAGAGACTGACGATTTCCATCACGACCAGATTAAGCCTGGCACTAGCGAGCTTAGGGCAGCGTTCGTGCACTGTTGCAGAGGAAGAGATATGCCGAGGTCGGCGGGCAGCAACTTCTCACTTACAACTGTTCCTCGCACCTGCGGATGATTGATGACAATCTTTGGCAGCCAGCTGGGTCTACGGAAGCAGTCGTGATGTGGTCGTCAGATCTGAAAATTTGGTATCGAACGAGTGACTCTTGTGCCGGCAAACGGCATGTCACTAATAAGGCTGCGCGGACCGAATTCAAAGGGTACATGATCTTCGCGTCGCAGCGACAAGATGGGCAAGAATTACTCAGGGGACGCGCCTTCTCTGTCGCGTTGCGCTTATGGAGTCGTCTAATTTCTTCACCGACAAGACTTTTACAAGGATCCCATCCTCATGTTGAGATGTCAATTACTTGGGCAAAAAACTTATCTGATTCTCAGCTGATCAATCTGATAATGATAATCTAAAGATTATGACGATCAGTTAGCCACTGACGACAGGATCAGCTCGTGCACATCTGATAGCCTGTCTCGGCTGCTCACCGTCACCAAAACCACGCTTCCAGTGGCCGGCGATGCTTCAACGCTTCTCTTAGCCCAATGGTTGACAGTTGACAATATGTCACTGTCTCCTCTCTGACACATCTGCTGAGCCGCCGCCTTTACGCGTCACAATATCTTCCGACTTGCCGAAGCTGTATGTGATCATCGGACAGCACCATGGGCAAGGTAGGAACAGCGTGGGTGTGCCCAGGAAGCCTCGGGTATCAAGGCTCAACACTCCTTGACTGCATATTGTCTGGTGGTCTGTCCAGAAAAGTTCTTCTTTGCCATAATGTGCGCAAGGTCCTTCTGATCATGCCACGTGTTGGATGTATTCTCTCAGGTGTTGTCACTTTACGATTGCGGAGAATTTTGAGGCTTGAAGTTTAAGGTAACTTCTTCAAAGAAAAAGGAACTTTGGTACCAGAAAAGCCTCTGCAAGTTCTGGCTGAAAACACCATCTTGCCTGCATCACTTGGAAGAGATACATATCTCCAAGGGTATCCCAAATCACAATGTCCTCTGCCAATGGCGGACGGACAGTTTCATCTGATCATGGACATCCGCGACCCTCGATAGCCCACGCCGAAGCGGAGCGTAATTTCGAAACTACAACCATGAATTCCGCTCAACCACGATCCTGGCATACCGAATTTGTCTTCGTCTCTCGGAAATGGATCCAACAACTTCTTGGCAAGAATCCGTTCAAGAGTTCTTATCTGGATCTTTTCAAGCTGGTCAACGATGCACAATCAAAAGCCATCTTGTGGGCTGGTATAGTTTTGGCGATAGCTGCTGGTACTCCGCTGCCCGTCATTGGTTATATCTTCGGGCAGATCATCACCTCGTTTCCCCCTCCGGAAGACGTCTTGCGCGACAGGCTATACCAACTTATTGGCGTCGCTTGTGGTTATTTTATTGTTACGACTGGCTACGCGATCGCTTGGGGATTGACAGGGGAAAGAATATCGCGTCGATTCCGGGAAACCCTTGTTGAGCGCCTGCTTGGTCTCGAACAAGCATACTTTGATGTCAATGATCCAGATATCACAAATCTTTTGACCGAGAAAATTGAAGCAATACAGATAGGGACATCTGAGAAAGTCGGAATCTTTATCCAGTCAATCAGCTACTTTGTCGCTGCCTTTGTCGTCGGCTTCATCTTGAATGCCAAACTCACTGGAATTCTTTTTGCCGCCGTCATACCTGTCATGACCTTAATCGTTGTCTTCGGGTCATCACGAATTGCAAAGTATACGAAAGCAGCCACCCAATATACCGAGGCCGCTGGAAGGATTGCCGAGAGCGCCATACATGCTGTCAAGGTTGTGCAAGCTTTCGGAATGGCTGAGAATCTCAGTAAAGAACACTATCGCCTTCTCAAGCTATCTGCAAGATACGCTGTCAGGAAGTCCGTCTCTGCTGCACTTATGCTTGGCTTGGTATACTTCACCGCTTACAGTGCCAATGCGCTTGCTTTCTGGGAAGGTTCACGATTGGCCGCAGAATCTGGCACGAACAACGCTGGTACCGTATATGCAGTGGTGTTCTTGATCATAGATGCATCGTTCGTCGTTGGCCAGTTTGGACCGTTTCTAGGTTGCTTTGCTAGTGCTGCAGCTGCTGGTGAAGGTATCTACGAAATTCTCAACCAGCCACGATCGGAAATCAACGTCTACTCCGAAAGTGGACAAGAAGCCACCGAGGATGACATGAAAGCCGATCTGGTCTTCCGGGAAGTTACGTTTGTATATCCTGCGAGAACATCAGCTCGTGCCCTGGATGGACTCAATCTCGTTCTAAAAGCTGGCCAGATGAATGCCATCGTCGGTACAAGTGGTTGTGGCAAAAGCACTCTTGTGTCTTTGCTCTTACGCCTTTACGACATATCGTCTGGCCAACTGACGATAGGAAGTCATGATATCAAGGCCTTCAATGTGAGAAGTCTGAGGAAATATACAGCATTGGTCGACCAAGACTCTGTTCTGTTCTCCGGCTCAGTTCTCGAAAATATCAGTTATGGGCTTGGTGAACACTCACTATCAAAGGAGACAGTTCTAGAGAGGTGCACAGAGGCCGCTAAAGCTGCTAATCTGGACTTCATCGACTTCTTGCCGCAAGGTATCCATACTCGTGTCGGCAATGGCGGCTACACGCAACTATCGGGCGGGCAAACTCAGAGGATTTGCTTGGCCAGAGCTTTAGTCAAAAGACCTTCTCTGCTTCTGCTTGATGAACCAACTGCAGCTCTTGATGCAAATAGCGAGGGGCTAATTATGGATGCCGTAAGAGGTGTGGCTGCTACAGGCACAACAGTGGTCATGGTGGCCCATCGACTCTCTACTGTGTCAGACTCGCCCAACATTGTACTCATGGGTGCAGGAAAAGTTATTGAGCAAGGCAATCATGACGAGCTCATGCAACTGGGAGGCGCCTACAACAACCTCATTCAGGCTCAACAACTCAATGACTCGGATGAATTGTCTGGAGAGGTTTCTCCGGCAATCACCAGCCAGACAACGACACGCAAGATATCAAAGTCTGAGAACACGTCCGCCTCCACTGGCTCTGAGACTACGACCCCCGAGGCGAAAAAGACAGCCATACCAGCCAAGAAGGCTGGAGTCTGGAAGCTCCTTCTAAGGTGTCTTAGCCTAGCCAGATCCGACTCTCCGATCGTTGCTTTGGGTCTTGCTGCCTCCATCATATCCGGCGGCATCATCCTCGGCGAAGCCATCGTTTTTGGTAACCTCATTTCTGTGCTGAACGATCTAGAAAGTCCGGATTTCCGCGATAGAGCAGACTTTTTCTCGCTCATGTTTTTCATTCTAGCACTGATTGCTTTCTTCTCCTACGCTGGTAACGGATGTTGCTTTGGTGTCGTCTCTTCGCACTTTGTGGCCAAAGTCCAATATATCTCTCTTGCCAGCATTCTACGACAGGATATGCAGTGGTTCTCTGGTCAGTCGGTATCTTCGCTCATGAGCAATCTCAACTCAGATGCGGGTCAGCTTGCTTGTTTATCTGGAGTGGCTATCGGTACCATTTTTACAGTATGTGTATCGGTCACCGGTGGAATCATCCTTGCTCATGTCGTGGCTTGGAAAATTGCTGTTGTTCTGTTAGCTGCTGTTCCTGTCATGGTAATGGCTGGCTACGTCAGGCTACGCGTGCTCGCCCTTGCGGAGAGTAGGCACAGGTCTGCATACAACGATGCTGCTTCCATCGCTGCCGAGGCATGCAGAGGCATCCGAACCATTGCTTCTCTGGGCAGGGAGCGCGGGGTGTCTCGAACTTTCAACGCGGCTGTCAAAGAACCTTACGAGAAGGGTATCCGATTTACCCTCATATCGAACACCTTGCTCGCTTTGAGCTTCTCGATCACCTACTTCGTTTATGCCCTTGCCTACTGGTGGGGAGCTCGACAAGTAAGGAACGGCACCTACGATCAACTGGACTTTTTCATTGTTCTGCCTGCACTTCTGTTTTCTGCACAAAGTGCTGGTCAAATCTTCAGCTTGTCCCCAGAGATGTCGCGAGCTGGAGCGGCTGCTCGCAACGTATTTGGGCTACACGATCAACAGCCGTCAATTGTAGATGGCGCCACTAAGCAACCCGGAAATTCACTAAGCTCTGCCGGTTCTATCTCAAACTTGACAGACAAGCCAGATCCAGCTTCAGGAGGCTGGATCGAGTTCAAGAATGTCAGTTTATGCTATCCATCCAAACCTCAGCACCCAGCATTGCAGAATGTCAACATTTCCATCAAACCAGGAGAGTTCATTGCGCTCGTCGGCCCCAGCGGAGCAGGAAAGTCGACTATTCTCTCACTTCTGCAACGTTTCTACGATCCCACGACTGGCAGTGTTTTGCTAGACGGACAGAACATCCGTGAGGTCGCCGTGTCACAACACCGAGGCCGACTGGGGCTGGTACCCCAAGAGCCTGATCTCTTCCCTGGCTCCATCTCGTACAACATCGGTTTGGGTGCAGCGCCAGGTCAATCCGTGACGCAAGCCGACATTGAAGAGGTCTGCACGAAGTGTGGGATTCATGATTTCGTCATGAGTTTACCAGAAGGCTATAGTACAGAATGCGGCACCAATGGCTCAAAATTGTCAGGTGGACAGAAACAGCGAATTGCCGTAGCCAGAGCACTGATCAGATCGCCGGAAGTACTTCTGCTTGACGAGTATACCTCTGCTCTGGATGCCCATTCGGAGCAACAGATCAAAGAAGCTGTTGACGGGGCCAGTATAGATAGGACTACAATCGTGGTCGCACATCGACTGTCCACAGTACAGAATGCTGACAGGATATTCGTGTTTGACGATGGACGTGTGCTGGAGGTTGGAAGCCATGCTGAGCTTGTTGCACAAGGAGGGTTGTATGCGAGTATGGTTAAGGCGCAGACACTGGCATAGGTACAGTGGTCTCGTCTCAGTTCCTCTTGTTGGTTACACGAGTCTACATTGTGCATTTCTGAGTCTTTTCTTTCGGTCAAAGCTATTAGCGAGGAGTTCTGGAAAGATCAAAAGTGGTCCAAATTAGGCGAGTGTCATTTGAGTCAAAGATATAGCGGTGTCAGATCTACAAACTTCGAGGTCTTGTTTCTCTTGCGTACGAACAAGGGCCGAGGCAGGCCATGGTCGACAATCCGTCGTACAGTGATGCATGTGCTCGACCAGAGTCCCAACAGAAACAATAAACCGCGAGATCTGTCCGCGATAATGGCGTGGTGGGACAGATTGATGGCAGGTGGCTCACCGTCTGTGCGCTGATTGAAAGCAGATCTGATAACTTTACTTCGGGCGCCACCGGTTGTTGAATTGTGGGCACGCGGTATGAGCTCCGATGACGGCGGGAGTCAAGGATTACGGAAATTGATGATGGTGCGAAGAGTGACGTTCGAGGCGAAGGGCATGGACGTCGACCTCGTTGTCTTGCTGCATTCTGGGCGAAATGACGGCAGGGTACAAATATCGATAGACGCTCCTTCCAAATTGCCGAAGAAGTCAACGAGGATCATGACAACGCATCGCTTTCATTCTCGTGACAAGACAAACGGCCGGGGCGCGCTGCAGTCAGCGAGAGGTCCGTGGTTTGGGCGATGGTGGTGCCCCGCTGTGTGGTCCCGTAGCTCGCGAATTGATCCTTGATCAGTCATGGATGATCTGATTAGACTAGTTTCATCAGATTAGATGCAGAATTTTCACGTCGCCGTTCCTACGCGATGGCCCGCCAAGCGACCATGATGGTTTTGCCCGTGGCAGAAGCTTTGCAGCACTGACCGGCGCGAAAGCCAACATGACATGTCCCTGCTTTGGCCCTGCTCGACCGAGCTTGCGACGAGAAGGGCAGAAAATCAGACCATGGATATGTAGAACCAATTGACCTCTGTCGGCGACATTCTTTCCTCTCCCTCGTGCTTCCTTGTCTCACCTCTTCCTTGTGTCCGAATAACGATCCTGTCGTCATACATCAGCTCGAAGGTTAAAGATCGCGTGGATATACTTTTTGGTATTCGAAATACGATCATAACTCAGGCACGGTAAGTTCTCATGCACACTTCCCCTGGCTGAGTGGCTTCACCTTTCTACCTCTGAGAACCACAAACACTACTCGAGGCATACCGTTTATGCATATTCGAGCAAACAATCCACGCAAGACGAAAAGCACCCTATGTCCCGACTGACACAAGCCAAAGAAGCAACGATAGACGACACAATGGCACCTCACGCCGACACACCCGAAATGGCTCTCGAGAGCGTCCCAGAGCGCATTGGCTCCAGATTCCAGACACACCTTCAATCGACGCCGCAAAACGAAGTACACGATGTGATCTGCGTGGGCTTCGGTCCTGCCTCGCTAGCAATCGCAGTTGCCCTTCACGACTCGACCAAGCAGACGGGCAAGCAGATGCCACAGCTCAGAACACAGCCCAAGGTCGCCTTTCTCGAGAGACAAGAACACTTCGCATGGCACGCCGGCATGCAGATTCCTGGAGCCAAGATGCAGATCTCGTTCATCAAGGACATGGCCACCATGCGCAACCCTCGCAGCGAGTTCACCTTCCTCAACTACCTGCATGAGAACGACCGCCTGGTGCAATTCACCAACCTCAGTACTTTCCTACCGCGACGCATCGAATTCGAGGACTATCTACGCTGGTGCGCCGGCTGGTTCCAGAACCTGGTCTCATATGGTCAAGAGGTGGTCGATATTTCGCCTGACACTCAGGTCAAGAGTGCAGAGGGTGTCACAACATGGACAATCACATCTCGCAATATCCACACAAAAGAGCTCAGCTTCCGCCGCACGAAACGTGTCGTAGTCGCTGTAGGAGGTCACCCCAGGATCCCCGAAGCCTTCCCTCAGCACCACCCTCGTGTCATCCACTCGTCGCAGTACTGGACACTCTCTTCCCGCATCTTCCGCGACCGTGACGCTCCTCTCAAGATCGCCGTCATCGGCTCTGGTCAATCAGCTGCCGAGATCTTCATGAATCTCCCCAGCCAATTCCCCAACTCCAAGGCCTACCTCTTGATCAGAGGCGCCGCTCTAAGACCTTCAGATGACTCGCCCTTCGTCAACGAAGTCTTCGACCCCGAACGCACCGACGACACCTTCAGCCAAGACCCTGCCATTCGCGCCGCAGCCATCAAGATGGACAAGGCCACCAACTACGGTGTCGTCCGCCTCGAGCTGCTGGAACACATGTACGACTGCCTCTACACTCAACGCCTCGTCCACGGCGACGACGAAGCAAACTGGCCCCAAAGCCTGCTCAACTACCGCGAAGTCGAGTCCGTGACCGAGTTGCCTAACGACCGCGTGCGTCTACATGTCAGAAACGACACTGCAAATTACAGATGTCGCAAGAGCTCTACAAAGGAGTCTTTGGATGTGGACTTGGTCATGATTGCTAGTGGATACAGAAGAGATCACCATGAGCAGTTGTTGTCCAAGGTCAGATCTATGATGCCTGGTGGTGACAAGCCTGGCCAGAAGTGGACTGTCAACCGCGAGTACAAGGTTCATTTCGAGCAGGGCGCAGTAGCCAAGGATTCTGGAGTCTGGCTGCAAGGCTGTAATGAGGGTACTCACGGTGTAAGTTCTACTCTTCCTTCAATTTCATCATCGTTACTAACAATGCTTCTGCAGTTGAGTGACTCCCTCCTCTCCGTTCTCGCCATTCGTGGCGGTGAAATGGTTCAGTCCATGTTTGGCAGCCAGTAATCGACCACCCTCCCGACATGATACCCCGACTCCCGCACTTATTCTCCTTCGCGAAGGACGGAAGTTGCGAGTGGAGTGAGAAGAAACATAAAACAACATGACATATAAGGTGTCGATAGCGATGGCGTTTGTTTACAATGTACAAAAGACTTGGCTACGAAGATTCCACTTCATAGATACACATACACTTCCTTTACTATTACTTTAACTCACTCTCAACCTTTATGACTTGCATCTTCGCTTTCTCCACTCGCCAAATATCCCTGCAGGACCACATCTGCACCGTCAGCACCACGCGCCAGTGAAACTCAACCCATTCCAAGCCAACACAATACCCTCACAAGATCTGCACGTCTACAACATGGCCATTGAAAACAACATTTTGGGTCTGCGCGCTCAGATTGCTGGTAAGAATACACTTCCATATGAACTGCACTAGCTGATCCAACGACAGCCAACATGAGTGCCTTAGACCCTCGCTCGAACGCTGATGTTATCACAATCCTGAACGAGGGCGAGTGGCAAGCCATCATCGTCGAGGGTCGTAAGATCGTGTACCAATCTGACCAATGGCGTGATACTAAAGAAGCCGCCTTGGAGATGTTGCTCGAAGACCTCAGCTTCCGTCTGTACTGTGAGCTCGAAGAGCAGCTCACATGATGGAGCATCGAATCACCAAGGTCGAATTGGGAAGTGTGTCACGGCAGGAATGAATGGCGGAAGGGACGGTCAACACTCGGCGACTGCGACTTCCGAGGAAGTGAATTTATAACAAACACTACACACGCTCACTTCGTTGTCGATTACCTCCTTTCCCACTTATCAGATGTTTCCATTCATCTCAAACATTGTTCTCGTCAGCAAGACATCCACACCATCAAACAAACAGAATCTGCACAATGAATGGCCTAGAAAAGCTACCCATCCGCTCTCGGAACACTCTTTCCTCCTCCATCAACGACAACAATCAAGCACCATCGNNCAACCTCCTCAACCACCAAAAGCACCTTCACTCTCAACCAAAGACAAAATTGACGATCTCTACTCCCAAATCTTTTGTAAACCTCTGTCTTCACCCCAACTCACCTTACCATCTTCTAACACTGTCCACAGCCAAACTCTCACTCCTCGATGCATCCTTAGAAGCAGCAATCGTCACATCACACACGGACAGAGAGTATTATGCTCACGTTCTCGATGAGGATAAGAAAGTCAGATATTCGAGCATGGGACAGGGGAGTCTTGAGGTTGCGTTGAAGGTTTTGTTGGAGCTTGTGACGGAGGATGCGGTCATGCAGGATACCACCGAAGATGAGATGGAAGCNGAGTGAGGGGAAGATGAAACTGAGAATGATTACGGCGATAGGGAGATGGATGTGGACTAGAGAGATGGTCATTGACGAACAGCAAGCACAACAACTTTGCTGCTCTTTTTGTCGTTACTCCTCTTCATTCGTCGAAACCATATTTGCCCTGTGTGGAAGTGTTGTGACATGTTGTATGATTTTTGACAAGATCCCTCTCGTCTGGAACCTCCGTGACATATCGGTATTGGCGGCTCTGCCGCATGTCCTGATGGAAGCTAGCAAGTCGAAAGTTTTTCTCGTGTTGTTTGGCTGTAGCAGATAAGTGTCGATCCACATTGAAGGTAGGAAGAGTAATGTTTAGCAGAGAAGAAGATGAAAAACAAAAAGTGGAAGAGAAAGTGGTGTTCATCGCGGGCTTATGCGATACTTTCTGAGATGAAGGTGCACCTTAAATGTACTTTCCTTACCTTCGAGTTTCGTTACGCATTGTCTTCTTTCAACGGTTGCTCTCATCCTTGCATGACCTTTGCAAGATCAATCGAGACAAACGACTCATCACCTGGGTTAGGTATCCGATTCGAACCGTGGTCCTCCGCTGCGCCAAGCGTTTGAGGCTACCCACACGTCCTCTTTCGCAGCTAGATGCTCACGCTTTCTTCCACCTCTCGTCCCAGAGCTCGTCGACCTAATGTCACGGATTTCAATCCTCGTCACACTGTATTTTCTAATGGCTGCATATATGTGATCAAGCCGCACACAAGAAACGCCATCATACGCACTAGGAGTTGGTGAAACAAAATCGGCCGCCTGAAGCATTGTCAAGGTGTTTCCAATCGCTGCTTCACTCGAATTATTCTTCATCTGAAGCACTTGTTCTT